GACATTGAACTTGAAGAATGTGCATTGTGATCCTTCTACCCGCCTGGAGAGGTTGCGCGGGTTCACTTTTTCTTTGCGGTATTCTTCCTGGCAGACGACCTTTCGGAGATACCAGGGAGGGGATCGTTTCAGTTTGCCGGAAGTAGTGTTACAGTACATGCACACGGTGCTTCTTGGTCAATCTGCCCTGGGCTGTACTTTGCCCGGGTCTGCAGGTGTGGCGCTGGCGGCTCGAATCCGTTAAGCCAAAAAGCTTGCAGGCATAAAGGCTGGCAGGCTGGAAACGGGCGCAGCGTCCTTCAATCAAGGGCGCAGCTTTAGATTGATAGAGAATTCTGCCTCCGCAGATTTTCCACACTCTCCCAGCCCCTGGCCCTCCGGGCCGCGTCAAGATCTTGGAGTGGGCCCACTAATGCCAGCGATTGAGGACAGGCGCCGCGCCCGCAACTTTCACTCCCGGATGGGGTATGTTCGGTCAGGGTATTGCTATTGCCTTCGCGGCTGTTCGTCGGCGGTGGTGTGTATCTATGTGTCGTTTGTCTTCTTCGGGCGCCCATTCTCTGGCCCGTGTGGTATTATCTCTCTGGCCCCTGACGATAGCATGTTCTGCATATGTGTTGTTCCCGTGTTGTTGGAAAGTTTTCTTAGCATCGTGTAGCCTATTACCTTGCGCCCTTTGGGCGCTTTTTGGTCAGTTTGCGTGCTTCACTCCGGTATTTTCTAGGACGGCACGTTCGAGCTTCAGATTGCGAGGTATGTATCACGGAGCTTCCTCGGAAGGGGTTTGGCTGCTCGAAGGATTTTGGGGAAGTCGCGAGGTAGTCAGGTGGGGGCTGCAGCAGGCCAGCTGACAGGTAGAGAAGATTTCGCAAGGGGCGGACCTTTAGCGTTCTGTACTTCATCTATTCTAAGTGCTAGGTGTCAGGCTCTGCTATGTCGCCGATGTTTGTGGTAGATTGCCGTAGGCTAGCGGTGCGTCGAATAGTACCCATCGTGGTGGATTCAGCTCGTATTTTGGGTGTTGTGTGTTTTTCGACACGACGAACGCGAGTGTCTGTCTCGCTGACGGGCGCCCCGTCGTGCGTCTCCTCGTTGGTTTGTTTTTGCTCCTTGTGAGTTTGCACGCCGGCTGCGTGGTTGGTGTTGGCCTTCAGCCACAGTCCGAGATAGTGGGGGCCAATGATGTGGGTCTGCTCGCTGCACCAGCTGGTGCAAGGGCGTGCGATGTTCTTGGTCACTGCAAGTCTAAGGTGGCGGAGTTTGATACGCTAGGAGCTAGGCTCCATGCCAATCGGGGGGCCTCGCTAGCTCGGAGTATTTTTGTGCTCCCGCTTTTTTTCGGTCCAGAGGGAGCGTTGGTTTATTCACGCGGCGACCCCCGGGCGCCATGGCTATTTGCCGATATGTTGAGCGCATTTGTGTGGCTCAGGTTCTTTTTGCTAAGGCACCATCTTACCGCGAGTTCGGCGGCCCCGAAAGTGTTGCGATAATTCTGAGCCTTCCGAAGTTAATTGTTCATGGGGGCACTTCCTTTCGCGTCCTTGCCACAGCCGCACTGCTTGCGGCCGCGCCAGTGCATGAGACTTGCAAAGGCACCGGGTGGGACCTGGCCATAGCTGCGGACATCGAATCGAATTGGGTGCAGGAGTTGCGGCTGGCGTATCTGGGTGTTGTAGTTGATCAAAGCAATGGACCCAGGAAGAAGGTGACGCGGCTCATCCGCGACATGCTTAAACAGGGCGAAGCCGACACTAGCAAGCCGGGCCCTGTCTTGGAGCGAGACGCTGCTGCATTGATGAAGGAGCTGGTCGAGGTCATGGAAGACAGGCCGGCACCTGTGTTTGTTAGCAAGAAGCATGCCGACAAGGATGAGCTGAGGCACTATTTTGTCGCCGCGAGCGCAGTATCTCAGCAGCCTTTTTTGCGGCCCACGCCGAAGGCGAAGGAACCCAAGCTGTTGGAGCCTTTCAGCCTTCAAGTTTAGAACGGGGAACGATGCAGCAGTTGACGAGCTTGTGGACGAAGTATTTAGCTGAAATGCCACTTATTAGCCCAGTCGAGATACCTGTGGCGATAGTTTGGAAGCTTGAACTTTGGGGAGGCGAAGAAGGGCGAGCCCGCTCCGAGCAGGACAGAGGCCTCTGGGGGGCCCTTGGATGGACAATCTCCCCCGAGGAAGGGGTGCGTTTGGGCAGCAGGGCCGCGACCTGTTCGGAAGCCCTGGGCTGCTTGATGATTGCAAAAATTAGCGAAAAAAATGAAAAATGTTGCGCCTTGGTGGAAGCAAACGGCGAAACTTTTCCAAATTCGGGGACCGCTTAGGAAATCGAAAAAGATGAAAAATGGCGCAGATCCTTCCGCAGGCTTGAAAACTGCCAACCCGGGGGCGACGGCGAAAGTGCCCAGATCGCCCGGGCCACTGGAGAAATGAAAGAAGTCGAAAAATGGCGGAACGTTGCAATCCTTCCGCAGGCCCCAAAGCTGCCGGGCAGATGCGGGCGGCCGGCGAAAATGCCCAGAGCGCCTGGGCCAGTTGGGAACTGGGAAAAAGCCCGGAAGCGCGCGAAAGCTCAAACCCATCGCCAGGCCAAGAAACTGGCTGCCCGGCAAGGGCGCCCCGGAGGCGGGGCGCGCGCACGCGTCATACCCTCGCGATTGCCAACAAAAAAAGAGACGCGTTAGAAGCGAGTGGGGGCATGTAACAAAGGCCCAATGAGTGTGCCGTGGGTTGTTGCCACTCACCCGCGCCCGAAGTGGGCGGCTGTGCTGGCTCGGCAGGCACCGCGAGTTTTTGGAAAATTTGCAAAAGTTGCGCAGGCCCGGGCTCTTCGCCCCCTGCCCCCGCGTCGTGCGTAATGTTTTGCGCGATGGCGCGGTGGCCTTGAAATAACCGCCCCTACCGCGTGGGGGGGGCTAGAAAGGTAACTAACGATGCCCCGCTACGAAATATCCGGGCCAGGGTTTCGTGTTCAATGCGCATCGCAGGAGCGTGCGGGCGACCGTAGTTGCCCGCGGCCCTCTACGGAGGGCCCCGGGGAAGTGGTGGAGCCGGCGGCGGCTCGCAGCTTACTTGGCTACCAATATCGCCCTCCGGGCGCGGCCTCCATACTTGGTGAAGGGAGTCACACCATACCCAAATCCAACGCCAGGCTGAAGGGCAGAGGTAGATGGTGCTTGGGTTTCCTCGTAGGGGTAGGTCTGTTTAATTAGGCATGCGTGGCAGGTGATCATCGGCTCATGCCGCTCGCGAATTTTCTACGAATGACCGGAGCCAACCCACAAAGTGTACTAGACGACGGTGGACGGCTATCGTAAGAAGAAACTTTTTCACCGTAACGATCTTGGAAAGTCGCTGAATTTCAGTTGGCATCGAGCTGAATTTTTTTCAACTCGATCGCGACCCGGAAATCTGGCATGTCTTTTGTTTGAAGATGTCGTGCCATCTAATCTCAAAAGCTAGCTACGGTTGCTCCAGATACATAGTTAAGCGAAGGGGGGGGAGGAGATCTTGATACAACAGGCACGGCTAAGAGGCGCGAAGGAGAACCTGCGTGATGACGCCCTAGAGCGTGCTGCGTGACCATTCAAGCTTCGCTGCTTCCGGTTTCCGTTTTCAACATGCATCCTGCCACCCTAACTAGCTAACTTAAGATCTTAACTGAAGCAGCCGTTAGCTAGCAGCATGAATAGCATCCATTGGGTGAGAATATCAAAACTTCAGCTCTTAGCTGCTTTGAAAAAAAGATCGAGGCTGACACCGAAAAAAGTTTGCGACTTTGCAAGATCGCTACAGTGAAACAGTTTTTTCTTTCGATAGCGGCCGTTTCCAAAGTTCGAAGTCTCCCACGCCGCGGCTAAAGAGGCACTAATGCTGTACGTCAACGAAAATCGGAACGATGCAAGACCGTCGATCGGGTTCGGTCGCTATAAACTCATCGATAAACCCGAAGACCCAGGTGCCAGCTCCACGACAGGGTCGCCGATGTCCGCAGCTGCCAGCTTCGGCTTCGCGACACCTTCGTCGAGCTCCGCAACTTCGCCCGCGTCGCCGCCCCCATCAGCTCGAGCAGCTTCGCAATCGTCAATCGTCTCAGAATCTTCATCTTCCAGTAGCAGTGACGAGTCCGAATTACCAAAATGGAAGGGCTCCTACGATTTAACAGCCTCTGGAAAGTAGAGGCGGAGCGAAGGGGAAGGCAGCGCCGGTTCTCGGGGGTAGATCCATAGATACTGGACGTATTTGAAGATTTCTGGAACTTCGTCGGAGCAAAGCCTTTTTTCCGGCCGGAGAAGGAATGTCCCATGTTGAATGCTGCGCTTACTTCTCAGATTAGTACTTTAATTTTTCGATGACCGAAAGCAAAAATCACTTAATAGCAAACATGTTTGTCGGGCCGCGGCTTGCAGACGTGAAAATGAACATTTATATGGTTTCATCATGTGACACGGCAGAAAAAAGTGGTCAAGTAGGAGGAGACTCCTTGGGTTTCTCTGCAGTACTAACTTACGTGAATAAAGGAAAGGCACTCTGCGGTACTTTTGGAGGTACGTGAATGAATCGTATGTGAAAAAATGTGCACGAGTCCACTGTCGTGATTTAAAGATTTACGTACGACACACATGAATGGAGTTGATGTCTGTTCTTTCAGAGGGGCAACATAAAATCCAAGGGAGATCTAGATCTTGCAAGGTGGTATACCCCAGGCCGAGGGTGGTTGTGCGGCATAGTTTCGAGAAGCCATTTTTTTAGATTGCGCTTACGGACGATCATTTTTCGCGAGACATTGCCGGCCGCAAGCATTTTCGCCACCAGCAACAGCAAGAGGCGGTTAGGAACAACTACGATGCTACCTAAAGCAACTAAAAGACGATCGTGATGCGCTGGCTCACCGCGTGACCGCTCGGGACATGTTGTGTGCGTGCTATTAAAACAGAATATACATATTAGTATAGAATTCGTGTTTCAGTGTGGCTAACCATAACTTTGAAGAAAGCAAAAAATGGGCCTCCTCACGCTTCTCCGCAAAATCAAGACAAAGGAGAAGGAGCTCCGGCTCCTGATCCTCGGTCTGGACAACGCCGGCAAGACCACCATTGTGAAAAAGTTCAACGGCGACTCCATCGACGAGATCAGTCCAACATTGGGTTTCAACATATTCACCCTCGAGTTTCTGGGCTACAAGCTGAACATCTGGGACGTGGGCGGACAGAAAACCATTCGCAGCTACTGGCGGAACTACTTCGAATCGACCGACGGTCTCGTGTGGGTGGTCGATTCCACGGATCGCAAGCGGTTGCAGGACTGCAAGGACGAGTTGCAACAACTGCTGAAAGAGGATCGGCTCGCCGGGGCGACATTACTGGTCTTCGCGAACAAGCAGGACCTACCGGGGGCGCTCAGTTCGGTAGAGATAAAAGACTTTTTGGATTTGGACCAGATTCAAACGCGCCACTGGAGCATCGTGGGATGCAGCGCGTTGACAGGGACCGGGCTGTTGCCCGGGATGGAATTTCTTGTGAAAGACATAAGCAAACGAGTACTGTGTTGGGGAGATTGAAGAAGCGAGCGTAGCGGTTTGCCGGAGTAAATTGATTGTCTAAGCATAAAAATGAAAATCCCGTCCTTACGCAGTGCTTGCGCGCGCGTATAGCAACGTAACAACGTGCTCCTTCTGCTCGTGCTCGTTTGTGATTGCTCCCAACTCAATCTGTCTTGTTCAGTTGTTGCTGGTATAGAAATTATAAAGAAAGAGGCCGAACGAAGTGCGGCATTTGCCGTAGATAGTTTAGCACCCGAGACACGTTTTCTTTTTCGAGGATGAGAAGCGTCGGAGCGGACAAACAGATAACGAGCGCCCCCTGGATTTTCCAAAGTGCATAGTGGAAACGAGGACGGTGGACCTTATACTTGCTAGTCTGCTCGTCGTTAAAATTACCAGGACCCCTGTCTCTGTCTCTGTGAAAATCATATTGTTGCAGCTGCAGCAACCTATTTGCGACCGAGCCGCGGAAACGAAGTCCGGCGGCAGTAGTGACGTTTTATTCAGGCTCTACGTTTACTGTTTCTTTTTACTGAATTTTCCATTCTCATTCTCCACTGCCAGACTCAGATAAGTTTTGTGTCGTGCTTATCTGCCGGGAACACGATTTTCTCTTCACTCTCATATCACGTTCCTTCGATTCTCCTGATCCCACGCAAATGTTCCGCAAATTCCGTGACGCCCTAAAGCCGCGGGAGAGCCCGCAAGGCAGCGCAAACTCTCAACTACCGGACGACGAGGCTACGGAGTTTGAAATTGGGGAAGAAGATTGGTCATTGCCGCTCTACGACCCGAGCCTCGGGGATGTATTGCGCGACCATGCGGTTCTGACTCCCGCCGCGTCAAGCTTGTTCGGAGAGACAAAGAAGTCCATGATCGATGTGCTCGGCGCCGACGTTGCAGATAAGAGTGCAGAAACGACTGTTCTTACTGGAACGCAGGATACTAGTGCAAGATCAGTGCAGGAGGACGCAGACAGAAGTCTACCAGCAGGACCGCAAACTCCTTCGAGGAATGGTGGACAAAGTAACCTCGAGGACGTTGAGGCTTTTTCTCCAGACGCCAAGCGGAAACCCCCGCAGCCGAGTGCCAACAACGCCTGGAATTGTGGGTTGCCAATAGTGCCCGGCCATTGCCTAGTCGGGGTGGGCGTGGTGATTTTTGACGAGGTAGAAGGACCCGTCGTAGATTGGTTCTACAGCGGAGAAGAAGAAAACCTGGGAGGCGAAAAAACACCAGATGCTGCAGCACCCTCTCTGAACTATGTGCGCGGTGAGCAAGGAACAAATGCAGCAACGGCATCTAGTCCTTCAATACGGGGGGAGCGCAGCGTTCAGTTTCCGGTGCTCGCGCCGGATGTGCGCTGCTTCAGTTCAGGGGGAAGCACAAGCAGTAAGGCAAAACCAGCGACAGAAATACGGAAATCTGCTGCAAGTGGCACAGCGGAGAATGCAAGCCTGGAATCAGTCGAACTTCCGTTGCAAGCACAGAACAGCAGTAGTTGTGGCGGAGATCTACTTACTGAAAGTTCAGAGTCGTCCATCACTTTCCACGAGGATCTGCAACCGTTCCTCGCCTTTCTGTCGATTCCGGACGGGGGGCATGCCGTGCGCGAGGATTCCTTTTCCACCACCTATTTCATTTTGCCGACGACAAAAAACTCGGTTTTGTACGGCATCTCGCTGTACGGGTGGCAGGTTTGTGCCGGGAGCAAGCGCGGGTACCGCCAGTCGGCGCTCGTGCTGCTCTCCAAGGCCCCGTTTTTCGGCCACCTGCGCAAGCGGTTGCTGCCGATTGCACGAATCTGCCTGCTGGGAGAAACGGACGGCGTTCGCGACATCTTGCGGGAGTGGTACGACTACATCCGACAGGGCATCACGCCGCACTCACTCGTGATTCAACCGAACAGAACACGGACAGACAGTGCCGGCTCGTTTGCGTCGCCAGCAAAGAACCGGGGGTCCTCGCAGATATCGCCGAGTAAGGCCGCTGCAGCGGGAGAAACGACGCCAAGCGGGGCGGTAGTCGCTAGAGGTGATGAGGAAGCTGAAGCAGAGGAAAGCGCTGCACTTCTTTCAAAGCGTTTCCTCCTCCCCACCTTGTCCGATGCGGAGTTGAATGACTGCCTGGCAGATCCGCTCCTCTACCTCCTGAAGTCGCTGAAAAAAGGGACGTTGATATCAATCCTCAAGGCCATCCTGCTGGAGCGGAAAATTGTCGTGTACTCGCCGAGCAGCGAAGTCTGTTCCTCCGTGGTGTTGGCGCTGTGCAGCCTGCTCCCAGGGTGTTCCTGGTTTGGGTTTCTGAGTTACGCTTTCGGCCGCCAATTTTTCACCTGCGAGAAGTTCGGGCTGCCGCTGCGGTTATTTCACGAGAAGAACCCAGTGTATCCGTACTTGTCTCTGCAGCTCCTGGACAGTCTCGTTTGCACAACTGGGTTTCTAGTTGGCACGAGCAATCGACTACTAGTGTACAACGCCGAAACCGCGATGAGGAATCAGTTTTCGGCTGTTGCAGCGACACCAGGACGACCGGAGACGACTGAAGAGCTTGACGACGAGGAGGATGAGGATTTTAAAAGCACTGGGAATAACCACGATGTGCGCAGAAGTCCAGAGAGCAGAGATGCAAATAGAGCTAGTCCCGCCAATGGTACCCCTGGAGGAGTTGCATCCTCGAAGCAGAAGCCGTCCCCAGCTGCTCGCAGCTCCCGACAGCCCAGTTTCCCACCGCGAGCACCGACCACCGTCGTGCCGGATCTTGTCGTCATGCTTCCGGGAAGCATCGCAGGTGCAAACGTGACCACCCATCTACGGTGGACCCGACCGGATGTAGAAGCGGCATGTCACCCGACCTCTGCGGACGTGAAGTTCCAGAATGACCTCGCGAAACTCGTGAAGCACGTGGAGCCGGGGCAACTACTCTCGACGGAGGAGCGCTCCTGCGGATTGCGCACGCCCTTTTCCTCCCCGAAGAGGAAGAAGCGGTCGTCCGCCATTCTCGCACGCAAAGCTGCGGCCGCGGACAAGAAGTCAAGCCTCGCGTCGAAAACGCTGGCAGGCGTGATTTTGCCACGGAGTAAAGGCACTAGAACAAATAATGCTCTTGACGGTTCCACCTCCGCAGCTTCAGCTTCTGCTCAGACCCAGACGGGAAAAACACCCAGCGGTGCGTCAAGCGGTGTACAACTACAAGAGCCTACTTCTGCCCCCTCGGGGAAGCCAGTGGACCTGACAGGGTTCTACAACGATGATGGCACCACAACTGCCTCTACCGCAGCCGCGTCTGTGGAGGGGGACGTGGACATGAGCTGTTCGCCGAGCGCAGTGCAACAGTTCGCCATGGACGACGATGACGATGCGCCCATCGAAGTCGACATGTCAGAATTCCGCGAAGTAGATCTGGGGGAATCCGCAGCGCAAACGGCGTCGTCTTGGCGAAGGAAAAAAGCTGACGCGATGGCCTGGTACAAGCAAAAAAGCAGGGCGGCCAGCGAGAAAAAGCGCGCATTGATTGGCAAGCTAAGGACTTCGAAAACCAACGCGGACGGTGAACAGGGAAGCAGCGAGCACCACGGAGCTGCCGGCACGGCGTGTTCCTCCGCTCCAGAGCCGCGAAAGCTGAACTTTTCCGCTGCAGGTACAGTACAAGAAGATGCAGGGGTTGGCAATGAGGAGCAGAAGGTAGATGCCCGCGCGAGTGCGAGTGAAGTTGTCGACTCCGCGGACGAGGAGCTGATCGCGTTTCCAGCGACAGGTGCAGATGCGCAAAACTCGCCGGAAACGACGAGCTCGAGCACTGAGTCGGACGAGTTAGACCAGTTGCCGCTTGACTTGCGCACATCCCCGAAGGGGTCGTCTTCTGCTGCAAAAAGTGTGGGAGAGGAAGACGAGGATTTAGTTCTACCATTGGAACAACAAGGTCAACAAGCGCCGGGAGCAGCTGATGTGGCAGCAAGACGAAAGAGTGGCGAAGGTAAAAATGATCTTGAGGAAATGATGCAAACCACGCCACCCCCTCCAGTGAACAGCGCAGCCATGGTGCGTGATTTCGGGCGGCAGCTGGCGCACAAGTTCATGCATGCCTCCGACGAAGACGGGAACGCGCCGGAGCAGGCTCTGGCCCGCGTGGACACGGTGCGCAGGGCACTGTGGAGACGTTGCGAGGAGTTCCTGCAGAAGCTTGCGTTCTTTGCCGGCGAGGAAAGATCCTTCGACGCGTACTTCACTTTTTCCGGCGCGACGGGGTACGGGAAACACAGGCAAACGTTCAAGAACAGCAGCCTGCGCGACTGCACGCAACCGTTGTCCTCGTCGAGTTTTTTTCTAATCCCGGCCCTCGACGGTGTCGCGCCCGTCGCTGCCTCGCTCGCCGCCTCTGTCGCGAAGCAGGCGCGGGCGGAGCTCGGGGCCGTTTATGGTCTCTCCTTCGCCCTGTTCTGGGCAGTGCGCACACGGTCGGGCCGGCGATTTCTGAAGTGCCACCAGCTCGAGGTGAACCCGGCGCAAAAGAAGCGACCGCCCTACCGCGGCTATGGCAGCTACACGTGGCCGCAGAACGGGGACAGCTACCAGGGCCAGTTTCAGCAGGGCAAGCGTCACGGCGAAGGCGTCTACGTTTCGCCGGAGTTTGGCATGCGGTTTGACGGGCAGTGGGTCGCCGACAAAAGGCACGGGCACGGGCTAATGACGGTAGAACGAAGGAAGGACAATGATTCAAAGCAGGAAAATACAAGCGGTACAAGTAGTTCTGCAAGCAACGTAGCGGATTTGAAGCAAACAACAGTCGCTGCTGTGGCGGAATCCGATCCCAAAGCGACGCAAGTTTTCTGCTACGATGGGAACTGGGTGAACGACGAGCGTTGCGGTTTTGGGCGGTGCATCACCACGCGCGAAAAGTACTCGGGGCAGTGGCAAAGTAACCAGTTCCACGGCCACGGCAGCTACGTAAGCGGGGACGGCCGACTCATTTACGACGGCGACTTCGAACGAGGGCGATTCCACGGCATGGGCAAGTTAACGTCGCATGGCCTGCAGGCGAAGAAGGGTGCGACGACCAGTGTGCCAACGACTCCCGTTGCGACCAGTGGGGCGCAAGCTGCTGCAGTACCCACCTATCGTTCTTTCCAACTCCTCGAAGACAGCGGGAGTTTCCAGTATCTCGGCGAGTTTCGCGACGGCAAGCGGCACGGCGAGGGGCAATTGCGCTGCGTGGACGAGAGCTTCCCACTGGTCTACGTGGGCGGGTGGCGAGCGGGGCTGCGGGACGGCGCAGGGCAAATGTTGCTGGAGGTAGAGGAGACGGCTGCAACGGTGGAACAAAGTGAACAAGGAGAGGACCACAGCGCTTCATCACCTAACAAAACTAGCAAGGAGACTTTGCTGAAATCCTGGCGGTTTGACGGGACTTTCTCTGGCAGCCGTGGAAAGCACGGGCGCGGGAAGCTAAGCGCTGCGATAGAGCGAGACCAGAGGAAGCTCGCATCCGTGACTCTTACCGCAGATTGGGTCCAAGATGCTCTGTCTTGCAAGGGGGTTTCAGTGTGTGTGGTCGTCAGCGATGAAACACACCAACGAAACTTCAATCAACTGCGATACGAAGGAGGTGTAGAGTTTCTGGACGAAAAGCGGAACCCTGTGACGCTCCGTCGAGACTCATGCGCGGCACTTTCGGACGGACAGCTGTGGGACAGCAGTGGCAGTGCTGCGGAAGAGTTCGTTTCGTGTCTGCGAACCGTTCTGGAAGAGACAAACGCAATCGCTAGCGATGCTGCAAGCTCGTCGCATGAGAGCAAGCCAGTCATCCTGCCGCTTAACTTCGGGCACCTACAACTGCGACCGCACGGAGCCGGGAAGTTGGAGCTGGGAACAGGGACTGAAGACGAAACGCCGGCAGAAAATAAAACAACCGCTATTGAAGGTGTTTTTAAGCACGGCATTCTCGCGAGTCCGCACAAAAGCGAGTAGTGAGTACTTACTTAAACGCACATGGTTTTCTTCTTGTCCCCCTTCCTTCATTTCGGAGGATTATCGCACATCCAGGTCGCTGATCTTGCTGTACCAACTTCACAAAAAGCTTTCATTGAATTCTGTTCTTGAACTGAGCGTCTCTTGAGCGTAGTCCTGAATCAATGGCAGGGCGCCTCCTGTTGTGGAGCGAAGTCTACTTACTTTTGCTGGGGAGTAGGGAGGTATTCGAGCGTAAGTACATCTTTCCGAAGAGAGCCTTCCGCTAGCGTTTGCATCTGAGCCTTACAGTTACATGGTTTCCAGCAGTGTGCGATTTGAGATATCTTGCTCTTGGTCTAGATCGGTTGACCAGCTACGGTTTTTTACGTACACCTGAGTTAGTTTCTTTGTGCCGGTCGGTCTTGTCTACCAAAAGCTTCTTCGTTATGGCTCGCTAGTTGCGTTCTGCTTCTGGGCATTGAAAATGAGAGCATTTTTGTCGTTGAAATTAGAATTACTACGTCGAATTTGAAAACCAATTAACTCGGTTCGTTCTTTCATGCTTTACGTAAACGTCAACTACCTTCGTACACGGGAAGTCTCTCAGATTGAAATGCCATTTATTACGTGCAATGTTTTGCTTCAAAGGCTCTGTTCAAACTCGTATTGATGACTTTTTGCACGGCGTAGCATCGTTGACGTTTGGTGTAGGATAGCGCTACGTTTTGCAAGTACGAAGCCTCGGCGAAAAGAATAACTGGGAAAAAGTATCTGCTGAAATTAGAGACACCGATATTTCGTTGCGTTTTCTATCGTCCCCCAGACAGCAAGTTTACGCTAGATTGGATAGCTCCGCGACCACACCCAACCCAGCAACAAAAAAGCCACCTTCTTCTAGTGAAGCTGAAGAACTTCGAAAACAAACACCAAAACACAATCAACCTTCTTGTAGGGCGGTTCGGAATTTTTTTCGAGCGTTATCATCAGCAGGTTTAGAGTTTTTTTATAGGATCTCAACGCCTATAAAACAAAGCAAGCAAAATGGCGGCACAGGGAGCAACATTGCAGAACTACAACAACGAGCTCGTCAAGAGCATCGAGGATCTTCGGGAGAAGCGCGAAGAGCTCAACCGACAAATCCTGAAGGAGGAGGAAGACAAGGGAAAGGTACGATTGGGTTTTGGCCCTGATTTTTCAGTTTGCATGTCTGGGTCACCACCAGCAGAAATAACCTGATGACACTGAATTCTCTTTGTCCTGCATGAAACAAGCGACAACACACTCTTTAGTCAAATTTTGAAATCACACCCGTTTTCTAACTCGCCAAACACAGATCCAGAAGGAGCTTTCCATCTTGACGGATCGGTTGCAGAAGATTAACGAGTCTCTCGTGCGCAAGACTCAGGCTCGCAACGAGTACGACAAGACAATCCAGGAGACGGAGGTATGGACGCAGTTGATTTTTTCCTCTTTGTTGATTTCCTCACTTGGAATTTCCTGTTATGTTCCTCCTTGTATGGCAACAACATAACAACATGTTGGTAGGGCATGCTACAACAGATGTACAAATTTTATTGAATTCGCAAAAAACAGGCTGCCTACATGAAGATCCTCGAATCGAGTCAGACACTGTTGCACGTGCTCAAGCGCGAGACAGTGAACCTGAGCAAGAAGAAGCAGGGATCGGAGTAAAAAGGTGCACGAGGCGCGAAGCACTCGTCGCCTGGGGGAGGCCGAAAAGCAAATGCAATTGTAGTTCTTTGTTACGCAGAATTAAAAACACTTTTGAATACGCAGGTTTTAGCAATTTCGTTCCTAACTTAACTCGTTTTTCTTTTTCCAGTATAAACTTAAACTAACAGCAGCAGGTTATGGCAAACAAGTCTGTCGTGAGATCTCATTAACCGTGGTCTTGAAGGTTCCCTAAACTAACATCATCATTTTGTCACTTAGAAAAATCAAAAAAACACACCCTGTCACGAGCGACGGGGCAAAGAAATCTTTTTAGCTTCGTGAATGAGATCGCACCGAACAGTATCTACCCACCAGTGAGACCTCAAGAACTACTACAACACCCTCAGCTAACCCTTTCCAACCCCCTTGAAAATTACATGCTTATTGCAAAGTCACCGCCGAATCTCTTGATGTTACGAGGAGCAGAGGCTCGTAACCCGAAGCTGAACTTCCTCCCTGCCTACGCCTTTTGAGCCGATTCCAAAGAGATTCGATCTACGATAGCTTTGATTAGTCCGCCAGACTAGTCGAACCGCCTTCAATGTACACTAGAGTTCGAAGAGTTTAAGTACGTAAATATTTTCAAAGTCGTCGGGACAAGATATGCAACACATCAAACGCGCACCAAGGCAAATGCAATTTCATGTAACCCCCTGAAAAAAAATAAAGCGAGAGGTTCTCACCCAGAGGACTCGGGCACTTCCACAATTTGCTAGCACATGGTGCCGATGTCGTTGGTGTTCAACGAAATCTTCAAGACAAAAAACCAGTTGCGTCTTGCCTCGTTTTTCTTGGTCTCATCGTTTCTGCGTGTGTAGACGGAGAAAAGTCGTTGTTTGCTGGATGAAGTAAATGTTTTCGTTGTTTTCTGTACTCCGGTTTCGTGCTGGTTGTCGTGCCGATAATCAACTGCCTTGTTAAGATTGAAACATTTTTGTTCGCTTGATGAGCAGTACCAACTTTTCAGTAAGGAGTAGGGACATCGAGTCAGGGACTCAGAAGAGCCGCTAGGGACATCGAGCTACCAAACCACTGTGCACTGCCATGGCCGCTGCGATATTCGTAAAGCATCAATCTTCGTGCACGCGGTACTGACACGAAGCTCTGGAGTGATGCCGATCAGGAAAGCGATCGCTCTGAACGCAAGACCACATTAGTAAGGACGTGAGCCCAGAATTACCAGAACCCGGTTCGTCATATTCACTGTATGCTGGGCGGTGCAGCCCGACGGGCGGATCGCACGGAGCTAGTGGGGCTGCGGCATGCGGACATAAACATGGAGCTCGAGGACCCGGTCGCGTCGTCGCGGCGAAACAAGAGGCAGCACCGGCGGCTAGTGCGCTTCGAGGAGAACTGGCCGGGGCGCAACAAGTTTTTCTGGAACGGAGCCCTGGTCACCGGGCCGGACGTGCAAAACCTCGTCATCACTGCCGGACTCATTGTTCTGCCGGTCGTCCTGCTGTTTTCCATGGTTCTCCCGATTATGTGTCCAGCCGACTCGGAATTCTACGTAGAGCAGTTCTGCGGACCGAAAACCAGTCACGGTAGGCAACTGGGTGACGTGGATACTTTCGACGCGGAGAACTACAGGTCACTGGGTATAGAAGCCGACGCTGAGCGAGATTTTTACAAAACAACCTCAGCTGCGGTCGTGACAGGTGGCAAACATGTTGGCCCAGAGCAAATCAGTAGGGCTGTATCCTCCACTTCAGCAGTCCCTGCGGCAACCGCAACACAAGTGCATATTGGTAGTAGTGCGAAGCCAGTGGCCTCAAGTTCAACAAAACCGTTCTTGGACCACAGACGGCAAGCGACATCTTCTGTTGCAACCGGCAAGACCAGTCCGATCGCACAAGCGCCGTCCGCGTCTTTGCTGCAGCACAGCTACCGTCCTCTGACAACTACGAATAGCACAGGGGGAGCGTCATTAACAACCACAATATCATCCACTTCCGAACAAAACCGCGCCCGGTACCGAGGCAAGCAGGAGCTACCCGGGCACCAGTACTGGGCGATCGTGCCTTTAACCCTGTTCCTCACCGCCCTGACACTAGTCACCTACTTCCGCACTGCCTGCACAGATCCCGGGATCATACCCCGTGAAAGTCTGTATCCCGCGGCGGTCGGCGGGGACGAGGAGTACAGTAAAAACGGCAGCCGGTCCGTCGCTGCGATGATGGACGATTACGACCTCTGCCGCGAAGTCGTCCCAAATGGCAGCGTGCACATTCCAGGCGGGTCGCCTGAAGCAGAAGTAGTCGGCAGCAGAAGTGGTAGGGAGCGTGCGGAGAGCCGGGGCGGCATCGAGCTGCAGGAGGGGGAGCATAGAGCGGCGGACGAGGAGAATTATAGCAGAAGTAGTAGTCCATCTGGTAAGAAGAAAAGCAAAGATATTAGACTAGACCACGAGAACTACACAAATGAACAAGAACTCCAGAGAATGCAAGACCAGCGGAAAACCAAATTGTCGGCGTCGATTAGTGGCGGTGGCACTGCTGGTGCGCATGCTGGTAGTGCAGGTTCATCTGTAGAGCAATACCAACTACACCAACCGGACGACCGCGAGCGCTACGCGGTGAATATGAATCGCGTGTTACCGCGAGATAACAACAGCTACAGCTGGAGCCAGACGCTCGGCGGTGGCACAAGAAGTACTTCTAATGCGAAACCAGAAATCGAGGAGATCGTGAACGGGGTCCGCTTGCGGCGGAAGTGGTGCACCACGTGCAATCTGTACCGGCCGAGCCGCGCGAAGCACTGTCGTGAGTGCAACAACTGCGTGCACCGGTTCGACCACCATTGTCCATGGATCAACAACTGCGTCGGGCTGAGGAACCACAAATACTTCGTGCTGTTTCTCTTCTCGACGTTCTTCCTCTGCGCCTGGGTGTTGACCGTCTCCGCGACCACCGTCTTCGTGCAGAGTCCGAAGAGCTTCAACGCCGCCATGCGGTCGTTCGGGCGGAAAGGTGCGGCCAGCTTTTTGTTTTTCTACAGCTTCGTGTTCGGCATCGCGGTGTTCAACCTGGGCTGCTTCCACATCTGGCTGATCTCCCAGAATTTGACCACCAACGAGGAAATGACCCGACCCTACCCGGACGAAAAGAACCCCTTCTCCATGGGCGTGCGCCGCAACTGCCGCCTCTTTTGGTGGGGGCCTGTAGAGCGGTCTCTGTTGGGCGGGTTCGTGTACAGTGCCGCGTCCGAGGAGGAACGCAGGGCGGAGAGGCTTGCGGCCGGGTCTGTGCCTCTCGACGCTGAGTTTTGACCCATAGCTATAGCGAGAAACAAAACATAGAAGATCACAACGCATCGTGCATGTTGTACCAACGAAAATCAGGCCTACTGTTGTTCTCGCCGAGCCGCGCGGCCAGTACTACCAGGAGCAAAAGTCAGATAGTTTGTCATTCTGTGCTAGTGATGGTGTTCGAATTCTAGTCGTATCCAGGTTAAGTCGTCTTCCCTTCGTCCATTTCGTCTTCGTCTTTCTGTGATAGTTCCGCGCGTTTGCAGGGGACAGAAGTTATTCGTGTTGCATCGAGTCGTTCTTCTTCTTCCTCAGACAGCTTGCTCTGCAGGTCGTACTTCAGGTCGTTGTTTAGAAACCGTTCAAGCATCACTCATCAGTCTTTTCGCTCACGAAGCTGGTGTCGTCTTTATCTGCTCGTTGTTTGCTGGTCGTGTAAGAATTTATGTATGGATTCATTTTTTTCATTTTCGTAATGCGCTGATTTATTCGTTTCTTTCCAACGCCCGCACCATCAGGTATTTGTTTCAGACCCCACTGACTTGATTTACGATCTCAGATTCTTGAAGTTTTTGCTGCCATTGGAGCCAGTGCAAATTCGCACGTCCACTAGCACTACCGACCGTTCTCGACAGGAAACGACCAAGAAAGGTCAAGATGGATTGCAGCTGTTGCAGCAGCCGCCCGGGCAAGAACGATCGAAAGGCCCACGGTCCGGTCGATGTCTTTTCCGGCACGCCGGCCTGGCCTGCGTCCAGTGTGGCGACGCCGCTATCGGGATCGCAGTTGCAAGAGACCGACCGGATTTTGCTCCAGTCTATGCGGCAGACCACATCCGGAAACGCCCCGCAGTCCTTTCTCTCCCATCGGGACACTGCCGTCGTTGCCGAGGAAGAAAAGGTGCAGGAAGAGGAATGGCACAAATTTCTGCGCAGCACCGCAGACAAAAACTTCGAGGGCATGAGAATTCCGGAATTTCAGTTAGAAGATGCGAGAACTTCAACCACAGGGGCGCCTCTGCAGAAAGCTCCTTCCGAAGTACCCCTGCAAGAAAACGATACAAGAAAGAGCAGCAGGTTCGATATGCCCGACGTAGTTTCCAACTATTCTGTTGTAGGGCACAGATTCTCCCAGGCGCCATCCTTTGCGGAAGCTGTGCTCGCGGAAGGCGTCCACATTTTGAAAAAGTACCTCTTTCCACAGCTCAAAGAAACGCTGGAGAAACAGTTTTCCATGTTTCCGCCGGAGTTAAGGACCGTGTTTCTTTTGCTGGACGCCCAACAGATACGGAATGTATTTCAGTTTTTGCTCTTTCTTTTAGTTTTTTCTTTGGCCTAGGTGTGGGTCCGCGTCGGTTTGTAGCCGGTCTTGTTTCGTCCTGCACGGGAACATTCTTTCATCATCAACGTAGTCCTAAACCTAACCTACAAGCAACAGCTCATTCTGCGTAACGCGCACCAGCTCATAACCTTGAAACTAACAGGTAAGACGATGGATGCAGTTCCGCTACGCAGAGCGTTGTAACCTGAGCCGGGGGGCGATTGTGATGATCACAGACCATGTGGGAGTATCCGCCGACGAGATTCCCGGGTCTAACGATTGCGCCCAGCACTCCGTCCGATTAATCGCCCTCCACCTGGGTGTGATGGAGTTAGACGCCCGAGACCTCTTGGCCGTGCAGAAGGAGCAGCACCCGGAGCTGCTTGCCTCTATGTTTCCGTACTTGTTTGCTGAGGAATTGATCTTCCGGCAATACCCCGATGCTGTGGTTGCTGAGGAAAATTTGGGCTTCTGAAAGTTCAGATTGATGAAGTGCATTATTTTGTTTAGAAACAAGGGACGAGTAGAATTAAAAACCTGTTGCGATGTGATTGAAATGCTTTGCCGGTGCCTGTGCTGGACAAAAGGAAACGACAATTGTGTTCACATGGATCGATCATGGCGCCAATCAGAAGCAAATGATGACTTTTTTTCGGAGAGAGGCGAATGAAGAAAGGACCATGAAGGCCACACAAGCAGATCAGTGTCGAGATGCAAACGCGATTCGTCCGAGAGCAAATGATGAAGCCAATTTCCGCAACACGATTTTCTGAGATTCAACTTCAACTAGTCTTCGCGGTACTGTGTGATGAAGCTGCGTTTTTTGAGTTTCGTCTCCATTGATTCAAAAGTCCTCAAGACTGACTTGCAATGAATATGTTGCGAAGTTGTAGAACATCCTATTGAGTCTGTAGCGGTTCTTGCCAGATAAAGACCGAACGAACATGGATGAGCTCAACGTGCGTGCGTTGCGATTTTGGGTGAAGCGGATTGCGTGTAGGGTAATTCGATCCTTGCGCGCGAACCTTGAGCAGGAAGTCGCAGGCCGTTTTTTTGCGCATTGGAAGGACTTTTGCAGCCACCAGAAAGAAGGCTACGCGCAAAAAGCTACGAAGGTCCAAGCGCTACAGAAGGCTGGCTTGTGGAGGCGGTAAGCTGCTCCTGCTACACTGACGCGCATGTGATGAGAAAAAGTGCTCGCACTTGCGAGGAAATATTATGTCGAAGGCTGCATTGTGCTCACATGTTGATCTTCCTCATTACTTATTGCGCTATCGATACTCAGGTGGCACGAGCTTGCCGAGCGGAGAAAGATACTGCGACAGGGATGGCGCGCTTTTCACTGTCTACACGCCCTCCGGCAGCGACAGTATGGAGCAACCAGCGTCATCCAGACGCGACGCATGAAGAATGCCTGCGGAAGCTTACGGCGTCACGCACTACGGAACCAGGAGGAGCGCCGCCTTCGCGGCAGGGCGAATCTGTTTGCGAAATGCAGAATCGAAAAGACCTGCATCCGAGCCTGGATCGAGCTCGCGATTGCCGGCAAGCGTAAGAGGTTGATGGGGGATCTTGCACGGCAGGTAGAAGGATTTGATTTTTTCACGAGAGTTCTCGTGGTGAATTTGAAATTCAAACTTTTCATTCTTTCGACTGAATTCTGCAAGTCACTATGTATCAGATTAGCAATAGAATCAGCAAGTTCTTTTCGCACTTCCAAACGAACTGATTTATCCCAGCACGTCCTTCAATGCCGGCTGCGCTTCAAGCTCCGACGGTGGCTAGAGCGTGCGAGCGAGCGGAAAACCTTGACGTGTGCAGGAATCGTGGCGAAAGAATTCAGACTTGGCAAGGTCGTTCCGCCACTCCTCACGAATTGGAGGTAATGGTGGATGAATATATTGGTTCCGTAGTACTGCAGTTAACTATGCGTGATATGGAACAACGTTGAAATCCGTCTCTTGACAGGCTGAGCAATTGATTTCAGCGCGATCGCTTTTTTGTGGAATAATACAGGTCCTGGGCAGTAAACCGCGTCAGCAAAAAAGCGCGCCAAAGGGACGCTTACAGGCAGCACCAAGACTCCCTTCGTCGTGGTGCTGCGCGACTGATTTTGACGAGGGAGCGCGAGGACATGTTAGCACGGGCCGCTGCTGCAAAAGAGCGGGCCTGGGAGAGCCTCAAGCTGCTGCACCGCTGTTTTTCCGCGTGGAAGAAAACGCGTTCGACGCTTTCTCTGGAGCTCATAGCGCAGAAATACGGAGGAGGAATGGGTTCTGTAAGCAATATGCCGACGGGCGTTGAAATACAGGCACCTCCTGCACGCGAAACGAGTGAGTTTCTGCACACAGAGATGAAGGGGCGGAACTTGTTCTCCGCGGAAGCGGCGGCGCAAGGTGACCACCAACACGACGCCCTTCAGTCCTTTCCTGACGATCAGATGCGCTTTCCTGCAATGCACGCAGTCGCTACGACGCAGTCGGTGTCGTCATCACCAATGTCGCAGCTTTTCGAATGCCTCTCTTACGCCGCACAAGCTCAGGGGCATCGAAATCTGGGAGCTGCCCATCTCCCGTCGCAAGAAGGCGGAAATCCAGGAGGAGGACCTGCATACGACTACATGCAAGAGCCGCAAGGCGACGTGCAAATGCAGGTCGACGAGTCCTCTTTGGTCGTCAGTCCGGCAGGTGGCTTTGACGGTTCCTTGCTCATTGGTGCAGTATCCACGCCCGAAAAGGAACTACCGGAAGTAGCACATAGTAAGAACTCGTCCAATACCAAATGTAAAAATGTCTGGGTCTGGAAACTTGTGATGCTGGGTGGCGTCTCATGATGAGGCTACAGATGCTGGCTCAGCATGACAAGTGTCTGAGCTCCTAGGTGTTGCCTATTCTGCATGACAAACTGCGCTTCTGCATCACAGAAAAGCGGAGCTCTTGGGTAGCGTGCGTGACAGATTTAAGAGTCATGCCAGACAAGCATGACAAACATGAATTCTTCCAGAGCCAGACATTTTTACATTTGATATCCAATTGCGTCGAACATAATGGCGCCAATGAGACCCTTTTAACCGCCGAAACAGTAACAGAGTCGGCAGCGAACGGTCGACGTCTTGAGGCGACGGTGCAGCCAGGCCAGCAAAGAGTGGAACTATTGCCATCGACCGCAGCTGCAACAGCATCAGCTGCGGCGATTGTTGAACAAGAAAACAAGGGTAAAAGACCGACAGACCATTCCGAGCGCAGCTTCGACCGTACAACGGCCTCACCCTTCCCTGGGCGCACCTCCTCGCCCTACACCTCTACCACCGCCCCCTCGACAGCGAGACCGGCATTACTGTTGGATGAGCGCGAAGAGCACGGGGTTCCCTTTGCGGACGAGGTTAGAAGTGTACCAAGTGTCGTGCGGGAAAGTCACGAGAGCGCGATGTCGAACGTCGGACTCTTCTGGAAGGCGCAGAGCAGGGCGAAGCAGCTGCAGCAGTTGTTGCCAGGGACGGGGTGCAAGGAATTCCACGGCAGAACGACGTTTGGCACTACGGTACGAAAGCAGCGACCTGCGCCGCGCATTCCCCCGTGCATTTTGAGGTGACGGCCGCGGGGTGGTGTGCCAGCGTAGCGAGTGGAATCCGGCTGCAGGTAGGGGAGAAGTGGTGGTTGGGCACGCCTCGCTTCTGGGAAACGAATGGTAGAACCTGACCAAACAGGGCGGGGGCGATTAAACTCTGCGATGCGGGCGGCGCCGCAGCAGGGCGGCGGTGGCGAAGGACTGGGTTGCTCGTATGCGAAGGGAAGGATTCACAAGTCCTGTTTGCACTGCGTTGAGGGCGTGGTGCTAACAAGCTTGTACCCTTTAGAGAATATATGAAAACTGACCTGAACAAAAGATAACAAAAAATGAGCTGCAAAAGTTAAGAAGTAAGAGCTACGAATCATAATTTTGCCGCGGTTGAGATGCCTGCAGCACCGCACTATCTCAGGGCAAGTGAAACAAACGGGAATGAAATAGGCAGATAGGTGCAAATAATATTCTACTGACACAGCCGGATTGACGCCTGCTATCTTGCTCATGTTCCTACAGAGGTGCTTACAGTCAGTTTGATGTGGTCAACATTTTCTGCGGTATCCAGTTTAGATGTCGCTTTGCTGCTGGGTGGGATGGTTTTTTTGCAAAAAAGTCGGTTAAGATCTTAACCAAAATCGGTATATAACCTGTAGTCAAATTTGGAAACGCATATTTCTGTCGTGGGTGGGGCCTTCAGCATTTCATTCATTTCGTAAAGTCTTCGTAGGAAAAGATCAGAAAGGGAACAACAGCGGTGTGGGTATCCAGAATTCGGGGCCTGTTTTACTCCATCTTCAAATCGATGAATCGTGTAAGCCGTTGTGAAAAAATCATTCCGGTTCATGGCTTGTTTCTGAGCAACTTTTCAACTTCCACATTCGAAAGTTCGTTCTAGGAGCTTTACAAACCAATTGGATTTTTTTCAGGGCTTGCCACGAACTACCGTGGCTGCGAATTCATTCATGTAAGTAATTTTTAATCTGTATGTAACGGCTACAGTCCGTGACCGTGTCCGGAGTAGCACTTCTTGCCGATATGCTTTTCGTTTCTCCCGTGATTTCACCGCAAGGAGGCCCCCCGGCCTCTAGCGTGGTCCGCCGAACAAGCATTGCCGGGGTGCCTGGGTTCGCGGGACTCGCGACGCCACGGGCACAGCCGCCGCCGGTCGAGAACCTGAATAACGCGGTACGGCGGTACATCTCCGCGAGTCTCTCGCCGCGGCGGTTTCGTGCGCAGGTCGCGGTTTCCACGCCTACGAGAAATGCTTGTACGCCGGGGGTCGTGGTGGCGACAGCAGGCGCTTCGTCATCCAGCAGTAAGAATGTGTTGAGAGGTGTTGGCTCCTCGCCTGTCAAAGCTGCAGTAAGTTCCTCGGTGACGACAATCGACGCAGATGCTGTCGAGCCGGTTGCTATAATACCAGAAGAGGAAGAGGGGGATATAGAAGTGGAAAAGGAGCCGCAAAGCCAAAGGAAATCCCAACGCCTCGACAAACCGGCGCTGGCCGACAGTCGAAGAACTTCGCTGTCACGCTCCTCGTCCTGCGCCGGCCCGAGAGATCTTCTGAATCCGCGATCTACAACGACGGTGAAAACAACAACAGCCGCGCCACGAGTACTACCGCCGACGAATAGCAGCACGCTTTTACTCGGAAACGGGCCGGCTTTTCGCGGAGGTCCAGCGCCTCTCCCAAGCGGTTGCCAGACGCTCCGGTGGCCGATGCCGCCAGCTTCAGCGCGAAACGGGCCTACGGGTGCAGCCTCTGGCGCGTCTTCTTCAACATCATCTACTGCAGCAGGGAAAAAGCCGGCGGTGCAGAGTAGTACTCAACAACCCTCGTCGTATAACAAAATTCCAACCGGTGGACCAGTTGCGTCAGCGGTGACATTCGCACCCGGAGCTCGGAGTCCTTTGGCGGCACGCAGTCCCACGGGGAATTTTCCGGCCTTCTGCCTCACCCCTCGAGTTGGGGCACCACCTTCTGCCAATGCGAGACCCAACCTTCTCCCGGACCACAGTACCACGGCGCTTTTGTCATCAAGGAATCATGTGCAGCTACCTCCTTCGGGACGAGCGCGGCCACCGGTCATACCGAGCAAACCTCCCACTGGTGCTGCATCCGTACGTGACGTGGTTTCAGCGGCGCCTCTTCCGAAGAAGCGGCCATCGGGTACTTCAACTAAGACTTTTGTGAAAAGCCGAGATGGCGGCCTCCCGCTCTGACTCTGTTTCAAAAAGAATTTAGCGTAATTTTCTGAATTCACTTCAAACAATCTTCAACAAAAAACAAAGGTACGTCGAGCACATCTGGTGGCCCATCCAGCAGCAGTTCTAGCATCTCGGCTCCAAACGCAGCCTCCGAACAAGATCTCAGCCGTAGACCCTCCCTCAACGAGGGAATTCCCACCGTCGGGTCGAGCATACGTGCGAATAGTGGAGCTTCCAGTTCTGGACAAGGGACAGCAGAAGACGCCGATAGTGCGACACGAAAGAAAGCGGATATTAACCCGGCTAATACAACTAGCAGCAGTACTAGCAAGCCAGCAAAGAGAGTGGAACTGCATAGCAGCGCTGCAATCGACAAATCCCGAGATGACCGGATTTCCCCCGCGAATTCGTCTCATCCCGGTTCGGTCGCGGAGGAATTCGAGGACTCTTTTCTGGATTGTCGGTCGCCACTCAGTGCTGCACAGAAGCGGAATGGAACAAGTGGTCCGAGTAGTAGGCAGACAAGCAAGAACAGTAGTGAAGACGGGGAAGGGACAATATCAAGTGCGAACGAGAACGTCGATCCAAAAGCAGACGAAAGTGTCGACGGTCCGGTGGTCGTTCTTTCTCCAGAGAGAACACCAGCTGAGAACAACGGACAAGGAAATCCAAGCGGCATCGTCAAGGGCAGTACCACCGACAAGAAGGCTAACAATAACTCGGAGAGCAAGCCGCGGCGCGCGAGCGAATGCGAGCCGAGCCCGACTGCTCCCGCAAACACGACCCCATCCACGCGTCGAACCTCTGAACAGAGCAAAATCGGCTGGGCCGCGAAATTGCAGCGGAACGGAGAAGTTTTGCGAGACATCCTGCGGGGCTTCTCGAGTTCCAGCGACGAGGAAAAGTCGCCAGAAAGCCGGTTGTATGTGTCGCCCCAGAAGGAAGAGGAGCAAGTCGCAGGGCAGCCGCAGGAACCTCCGTCCGCGTCGCAAACTACAGAAAGAGCAAAGGACGACGAGGCAGTCACCCTGCTGGTCGCTGACGCAACAGACGACGAAATTGTAACTACGCAGGAGGAAGAGAGTGAAATAGAAACTACATCAAAGGTGAAGCACGATGGCAACAGCCAGAAAATAAAAGCTGAGAAAAGTGCGATGGAAACTACTACAAATCTTCACAACAGCGACAAAAAGCCGGTAGGAAAAATGGATATTCTCAGTCCAACCCCAACGAAGCCACGACCGGTCAGTCGTTTCCCGATGCCGATGAACGACCCACCTAGCCGGCCAATGAGTCCGATATTGCCAATCCGTACAAAATTAGTCCCGTTTTCGGTACGTCAGGGAGTCGACGGCAAGGACCCAAGTCCGACAAAAGCCGTGAACACGACGGCAGTGCAAGCAGATGCGGCGGAAGCGGAAAAAGATCAGGAGCCGGAATCACAGAACATGCTCGGCTTTCTTGCGCAGGCGGCACGACTGTGGAAGACGCAGTCTTCGTAATCGTCATGGTGGCCCTGGCGCTGTGCATGCCGGCAATGTAAACAACGGACACCAAATGCACCAGTGCAGTATCATGTATCAACGAATTACAGTGACAGGCTATTGCCCTTCGCATTGCGTTGTACTGGCGTTTTTTGACTGAAGTCAAATGTCATCATCTTCCAATTCTATTGCTAGCTTTCGAAGCTAAAACCTATTTGTCGAAATGTGTACCAATGTGGTGGTTTGTTTTTTCAGAAAGACAAATTGCTTTGAAAATGAAATCAAAATTTGGCCACTGAACTTGTGTATGATTTTTTTCCAGAAATAGTTAGGTTCAAAATGCACCTATCGTCATGATTTTCGTTTTACCGGTTGTCGTTGTGTACAATCATCTAGACGACGCCTGCGTCAAGAGCGAAATTAATGTAAATGTATCAGCACCTGCTCCTTGTACCCAGACTTTGTCTGTTGTCATGTGAATAACCAGTGAATGCAACCGTGCATGTGGCTTTTGGCTGCAAGACTTATTTGGAGGCGGAGATGTGAGTGTAATGGGGTTTGAATTTCGTTTCAAAATCAAATTGCAATTGGCGATAGTCTTCATCTGTTGGTTACAGGGACTAAAGCGCCACAAGCTTCGTGATTTTCTCTGTAGGAAAAGTGGATCATCAGTGTGAACACCAGTATCCGTTACCAATTCTAGATCAATGTGAAGATGAAATCGTTTCACGTCAGGCAAGCGGATTTTGTAGACAAAAGCGTAAAACTTTACTACCAGGTGATGATCTTGAAAATAGCTATGCCTTGTTCGAAAAAGCGATCGTAACCGTGTCAAAAAAAAGACCGTGTCTGGGATCACGTGCTGATCAAATAGAGCGAAAAGAAGAGATTGATCATACACACGACACATCGATGGTTGATCTCGACCAAAATCCCATAGGCTCTAAAAGTGATGCGGCACTGTGTCTGAATGATTGACTCAGGTTCTGCCCCGCCCACTGTTTTGCAAGCCCCCCCTAGACTTGTTCCGTAGTGGCTGACCTTTTTGAAACCTTAACAATCACTAGAACAAGAAAGGCTGGCGTAATTATGTAAACTTTCAGAATGAACATGGTTCTTGACATTCTGGATTCGGGAGCGTACTCGACTCTCTTGTTGACTACCGTCGCCATTGCAGTGTTGCTGGACTTTCTTGTCAATCGTGCAGAGCTTGTACTCGCGCTGGAGAGTCGACGAAATATTAAAGGCGGGGATTCTTCTCCTACAACCCGAACCAGGACGTCGGAAGATGATCATGTCACCCAGGGCGACGTACTCGATCGGAACGATGAAAAACCTGAAGACCGCAAGGAGCGACCAGTAAAAGAATTTCAGACGTCTCTTGTCGAGCTCTCACACCTTTCCGCCCTGACCGGTCGACGCATTTTTGCGAAGTGCGAGTACGAGAACCCAGGTGAGTCCCTGAAAGATCGGGTCGCCAATCGTCTGGTCGCGGAGTGCTTGCGCAAAGGGAAGACAAGTTTGTACGAGGGTACTTCTGGCAGCACGGGGGTTTCACTAGCGAAGCTGTGTCACGAGAAAAACCTCGAATGTCACCTGTACGTACCGGATGACTGCGAGAAAGAGAAGCTGAACTTGATGAGACAGTACAACGCCACGGTGCACTTGTGCAAGCCGACCAGCTATTCCAGTCCGGAGCAGTATTCGCAAGTCTGCATGCGGGCGTGCAAAAAAGCGGGGGCCTACTTTTGCGATCAGTTCGAGAACGAAGTGAATTGGCGCGACCATTACACAGAGACCGGGCCAGAAATCTGGGAGCAGGCGAAAAATTTGGTGCGACGAGAGAGAGATGAAAATCGGATCGCCATTCCTTTCGACGCCTTCGTCATGTCCGCGGGCACTGGAGGGACCATTGCGGGCTGTGGCAGATATTTTAAGGAGCAGAGCAACAACCAAACAAAAGTCATACTCGCCGACCCCCCGGGCAGCTCACTGCAATTCAAAGTGCAGACGAATCTGTGCTACAACCCAGAGGTGGAGAGGGAGGGCCACCGGCAGCAAAGGATAGACGACACCATCATGGAGGGCTTTGGGCTGAATCGCATCACCAAGAACTTTCAGAAGGCATTACCGTTCGTGGACGATGCGGTCTCGGTGTCCGACGAAGACGCGGTCTTGCTCTGCCACTACCTGCGATACGTCGAGAACCATTTCTGCGGGAGCAGTTCGGGCGCGCACCTCGTGGCCTGTTTGCACGCCGCCGCACAACTACCAGAAAATGCGGTGATTTGCACGGTGTTGTGCGATAGTGGGGAGAGGTACAGGAACCGCTTCTGGAACCATGAAGTGTTGAAAGAGCGGGGGCTGCTACCGCCGGTTTTCGACGTTGGGGAAAGTGCTGATGTAGAAGTTGATACTGAGAAACTCAGTTCTCTAGTGCAGCAAAAGTTCGAGGCAATTTTCGCAAGAACAGTGCACAGTTAGTTCCCACACATGAAGTTATGTAGACGACATAAACGCGACGCTATTTTTTTAAATTTGCCGGCTCTACTTAGGAGCCATGACTTCTACTAATTTGTCGCACCACCATCAAGGCAGCGGTAGGCGCACACCTCCTTTTTTGCAGACAGAAAGTTTTGTTCCGTATGCCATGAAATAGCTCCATTGTGTTGTACTCAAGTGCGTTTTGTATCGATCCTGATTCGGTCACAACAATGGTAGAGCTCGGTATCGTTCCACACGGATGCAGATGCATTCACTACACCTCCTGCCATTGCGTCTGTACATTGGAAAAACAGAAAAAAACATTCTCATCGGTCAGTTATCTCACCTTCTGTCTAATTATGAAAGTGTTTTGCGCGTCTTTGACTCCGTGCGGCATCTCTACAACTCTTCGGTGGTATGTCGTTCTGCATCGATTTATCGTGCACCATGACGCAGTGCAAAGTGCTTCGGTCGTGCCTCTCTGCGTACTTACTCACGTGCTTCGTACTTTTTCTTGTCGCTAGGCTGGTCGTACAAAGCAAGACTTACATAGAACGACGTCACCAGTGCACTGGCAAAATAAAACACAGCATCTCTACTGCCCTCTGGAGATTGTATTTTGTCACTTTGATTTTTCTCACTTTACTATCCTCGCGTGTGGTGGTGCATCTCTATTCCCCACCTGCTTCTGTCCCTGTATCTGTACAAATACGAAACTTTGGTTTTTCATACCATCTTCCTACGAGCAAAATGTCCTCGCCTTTTGGCAGCTACGACCCGCTTGTCGGAGGTTCCCCCATGCGGACCAACATGCCAGGTTTCGGGAACACGGCATTCGGCAACGCATTGACGGTTCCGCAAGCGAACTATCCTCTTTCGCCGCAGCCCTTCGTGAACTCGCCAGCCGCCTACGCCTCACCCTTGCCCGCAAACCTCGCAATGGCGCCACCAAGTATAATACTTTTTTGCTTGTGTTTCCAATTATATTTTTGCTTCCAGGAGGTCCTGATCCTGTCTTTAGCTTTCGCCTTTCGGTTATGGTTTCTCGTTTTGATTCCCGTTGCAGCAACAAATCCGTTTGTGAAATCAGCTCGGTGCTGCAAGAATTTTATTTTTACCCAACGATACAACAGCACCTGCCGGCATGGGGCAGGCTTTGCTGCAGGCTGCACTGTCTCAGCAGGCCGATGAACAGCGCGAGATGATTGCAATCGAGGTCCACCACCAAAGGCTCAATCGCGTGGAGGATGTGGTCGACGGGTTAGCCCGCGAAACCAGCATGGTAGCCACCGACCACGAGATGCGGATGCGGAAAATCGAAGATTTTTTGGCCGACCAAATCAACCGTATGAAGCAAGGCATGGACACGGATAAGAGGTCATGATAAGAAATTTATGGCACTTCCTCGCGTTCGTGATTACATTCCTAAAGCACCCACTGTTTGATTTTGTTCTCTATTTGACCTTCCCTATTCCGCTGCCAGATCGTGTCTCTCCATTCTTAGCGAAGAACAATTCATAAGAGAAAGCTCTTGTTTATGTTTTGAAAATTCAAGCTTCGCTTGCGCTTCATTGTGTTTTGAATTCCCCTTGTTTCGATCTCCGATGTGAATGGTTTTTTTTTGGCAACTCCACGCGAGATAGAAGTTAGGAAAGCGAAAAACAATTTGCACTTCGCCACGGACGCACGAGGAAGGACCTAGCGGCGTTGTCAACGAGTGTGGTTGTTCTTATATCTTCATCTTGGTTGTTTGAACCTGCGTGCTGTCCCACTTCGGTATTGACGCTCTCGAAAGCGCGAACATATTCTCGGTAATTCGTACCGCATCGGTTTTTGGTTCGCCGCGAAATGTCAAACATTGTCGTTTCGCTAAAGCAAGTGCTTCTTGTCGGCTTTTAGTTGAAAAAATCCTTTTGTGTTTTGGTGCTGCGCTCCTTCGTGCAATTGCAGGCAATTTTGACATCGTAAACTACAAGTTTAATGACCGGAGTTCTCCTTCTCATTCAAGCATTAGCATTTGCAGTTTAAGTTTTGGAGAGAGCAGCGTGGGGCCGTAGAGTTCCCCCCTCATTGTTATTCCAGGAAAATATTAACACAGTGGTTCTGTTTCAGAATCACTTACCGTGCTGCTGCTCGCTCGTAGTTGCGACATACAACTCTTACCACTACTGCTATCTTACTTTTTTGAACTTCAGACAACATCCTCCCTTCAGTGTCTTCTAGTGAGCAGTCTATACGTTCGCTAGCGGACTGAAACTTCGAGTGAGTCACTATACTTTGAGGGAACGAAGACAAACGGCAACTTGTAGCTATACCGTTCGCACTCTACTTTTCAAAGAGCGCGTAGTTGCTTCTTCTTCTGCATCTAAGGCGTCTGCTGCCTTTTTTCTCGGAGGAGTCCTCCGACCGTCTTTATTGACTACACGTTATCTATTTTTCTCTTGTAACTGCTATTGCAATTGCACTTGTCAAAAAACGCCAACAACAACCTCATGAAGCAGCAGGTAAATTTGGAACATAAAATTCCTATGACCGACGAGCAGCAAGATAAGACACAGTCTAATTTGTAAAAACCGAGGATGGCAGAAAACCGTGCGGCCACAATCGCCTCGCATGTCAATGCGGGGAAGTCGGGCGACTCGGAGATGGCCTTTTTCGAACAGCGAAAAGCGAAGAATGAGGCCTTCATGTCATCCAAACGCTTCCAATACGTGGAAAGACCGTACTACTTTCTTACATTTGCATTACTTGGTGGGTAGTTACAGTTAGTGATGGAAATTGGACCGCGGAATTGATGCATACTAGTCATGAACTTTTCTGTAGTTTTGTTCGCAACTACAAGCGCATCACCCCAGTTGTCGCCATTAAAAGTAAAGATACGAAATCCCAGCTCTTCTAATAACCAGGTTTGGTCCCGCGGAAGTGACCCGGTTTCAGGGTACCCGACAGGAACTCCCCAACTACCCTTCTGCCACCAGTGCCGCGAAGCTGTACACGCTGCTGCGCGACCACCGGGAGAAGGGCAAGATGTCGCACACGTTTGGGGCGCTGGACCCGGTGCAGGTGGTGCAGATGGCGGAGGCCGGGCTCAGTTCGGTCTACGTAAGCGGCTGGCAGAGTTCCTCCACCGCGAGCACGAGCAACGAACCAGGCCCGGATCTCGCGGACTACCCCATGGACACGGTGCCGAACAAAGTGGATCAGCTGTACAAGGCACAGGTGTTTCACGACCGGAAGCAGTTCGAGTTCCGCATGCGCCAGACGCCGGAGTGGCGCGCGAAGAACCCGGCGGTGGACTACATGCTGCCCATCATCGCGGACGCGGACACCGGGCACGGGGGCCTGACGGCGGTCATGAAGCTAACCAAGATGTTCATCGAGAATGGCGCGGCAGGGATCCACCTCGAGGACCAGAAGCCGGGCACGAAAAAGTGCGGGCACATGGGCGGCAAAGTACTTGTCCCCGTGTCGGAGCACTGCCAGCGGGTAATCGCGGCCCGGCTGCAGGCCGACGTGATGCGGTGCCCACTGCTAATCGTCGCCCGCACGGACGCGGACGCCGCGACATTACTGGACTCCAACGTGGACGGGCGCGACCACCCCTTCATCCTCGGCGCGACGGTGTCGAATGTGGAGTCCTTGCGGGAGGCCACGGCCAAGGGTACGGACAAGGACTGGATGAAGCGCGCGCAGGCGAAGACCTACCCGACGCTGATCCGCGAAAAACTCGCTGGGGATGCAAACAAGGTGAAGGAGTGGGACAGCAAGTGCTACCAGCTCTCGCTCCCGGACTTGAAAGCGCTGGCAAAGAAACTCGGGGCGGGGGATCCGTTCTTCGATTGGGAGGCGCCGAGGGTGGTGGAAGGTACTGTGACGGGGAGGCTTGCAAGAACTCATGATACGGACGGGATTTTATGTTTCTAGTCGCATTGAGGGGATGAGAACGAAGATTTTCCATTGCTCTATAATGATTTCTGCGGACAAAATTTTTCCAGGTTACTACCAGATCCAGGGCGGTACCAAGATGTGCTCCGAGCGCGCGAAGGCCTTCGGAAAAGTTGCAGACATCGTGTGGATGGAAACCGCAAAGCCTGGCGTGCAGCAGGCAAAGGATTTCGCGGCCGACGTGTCTGCCACCCTCCCGCATCTCATGCTGGTATAGATAGGAACAATTTTCATTGCAAGTCGTTGATATTCTTGTTCGGGATTGCTGCGCATACCGAGAGCAGAATCACAACAAATGGAAATTCAATGAGGATTTTCCTCATGTTTAACTTCATTTCTACAGGCGTACAACCAAAGTCCGAGCTTCAACTGGGACGCCTCTGGGTTGTCAGACGAGGAGATGCGTACGTACATTTCCGCCCTGGCCAAGATGGGTTTCTGCTGGCAGTTCATCACCCTGGCCGGGTTTCACTCAGACGCGCTGGGAATTACCCGATTCGCCCGCGCCTACAAGGAGGACGAGATGCTGGCATACGTGACGCAGATCCAGCGCTCCGAGCGCAAGGAGGGGGTTAGCACGCTGACCCACCAGAAGTGGTCCGGTTCAGAGCTGATCGATGCGCAGCTGGGCGCCGTCACCGCGGGCAAGAGCTCAACTTCAATCATGGGCGCCGGAGTTACCGAAAAGCAATTCTGACACAGTACTGCCATGGATCGTCATCATCATGTCATTGCCAACAATGACGACAAGTTCGCCACAAAAACGAACAGCGGCTTGAATATCCTACACTCTCACTTTGTAAATTTTAAGAAGCGCCACTCTATGCCTATCTATGCAGCTACTTATTGTGTTTCTTCCCGAGCACATATCTTGAGCTAGCACAGGTACGGACATTTTTGACTTGACAAAACGCATGAAAGCACACCTCTTTTGGTGTGCCGAACTAGTGTAAGATAGGGCAGTACTAGTAATTACTATCATGTCGTCAGTTGCAGTGCTTCTCGCTGGAACTATTTTCCACCATCACAATTTATGATGCTCACATGATCTGAGTTGTATCTCGGAGATAGAACAAACTATACCTGAACAAGTACTGCAAACGACGCCCACAGTGTCTAATGAGCGGTACGGATGTGTGACTGAGGGGAGAGAAAAAACAATGTGCCATCAAACAGCTTGTGCAGATGAAACCAATAGTGTGTCTAGCTGTCACTACAGATTTTCCACCCAAGGCGTGTCTAAGCGCAGGACTCGGCTCACATTATCAGAGTCGCGTCCGCGCGCTCCGATGGTCTTGCATCGTTTTGCGCATAGCAAATGCTAAAGACAGAGTAACGTGTACTTTAATTTAGTGGTAATAAATGTGGCAGAGGAGAGTTTGAAATATGTAGCTAGACGATTGTTATCCATCGCTTCTACTTGATGTACAACTTACTTTCCGAAGTATGTGATCCACCTTTTTTTCGTGACACCCTACATTTTCGTGTACTTGCTTCTTTTCGTCCTGCACTTGCACTCGTGACACCACCAAAAAAAGTAATTTGATTACGGAATAAACCAAAAATGTTACTAGTTCACAGCAATACAACAACTACGTGATGATATACGCAAGCGAAATACATGCGCCAGAAAATGGAATATATGCGGTTTATGAGTATCTACCATATGGGCTTTGTTTGTTTCGTTCAGACCCACGCGCGGAGATTTCCAGCTATGACATGACCTGCAGCCGTTTCAGTAAAAATTTCCTGAGCTTGGTAAACAGAATACCTTGTCGTGCTCCATGCAGTAGCAGCAGCAGCATATTCATTGTGAATATGCAGCAGGGGGCTAGCATTTTTGCGTTCCGGAAAGATACTCTGATGATGGCTGCCGCTAATGACCGTGCCACTTGCTTTGTCGCGTACAGTTCCCGAATTTGTCAAAATCCATCGGTATGTGAGTACTCTAACCTCGGTTCTTTTCGTTCCAGATAGATTAGTTCTTGCATTTTCGGTACTTGTGATTCTCGCATCGTAGTCGGTAGAGGCCTGGCCTTGGCGTGTATTGAGAATTCGGTTTGATTTAAATTTCCATATCGGTTTGCATTTAGGTCTGTCAATAGCCGACCTCTCGCTTGGTTGTGTCGGTTTTGTGAGGCGAAGTCTCGGTGCTTCAATTGAGTACGGTCATGGTGAATTTCCAGTGATTCGTCGTCGTTGTTTATCTCGTCTTGTCGACATCATTTCTGCTGCTTTTAAGACTGCATACAATTTCTTTGCACATCAAATGACTATTCCATTTCCAACAACAGTGGCTTCACGCCAAGGAGAAAACGGCGAATCGTTTCGTCGCCTCCAAAACTAACGAACCCCAAAAAAAACACCCAAAAATATTAAGTTTATCCCTACTTTTTTTCAATACTATCTTTCTAGCAGACACTAACAGAGTTTCGAGTCGATTCGCGTTTTTGTTCTTTCTTCATCTACTTCCCATCTTTCCCTGTTAACATGGCCGAACTTCCGTACATGTCGGGGCACAGCCCTGTGCAGTACTTGAACCTGCGTCGGGAGGTTACGAAGCAGGAGATGCGGGATCACCCGGCGCACCCGTGCAGACACGATTTCCGCACGGTGACCAGCGGGATCGACGGGTGTGACATGCGCGTACTGGACTACGCTCCGCGGTACCGCGCTTTTCACGTCAGCACGGAGTACCGGGACCACCTCGGCTACAACGACGAGGCCCGGTGGCGCGCCTACAACGGGCCGCGGTTGCAAAACTGCATCCGCGTGGCCGGCCTGCCCTCCTGGCCCACCATCGCAGGGCGGGGGGACCGAATCAACCACCACAACCGACGCTACGAGCGCGCGTCTAAGTTGCAAAATGTGCAGAAGGAGCGAGGATGCTACTCGAACGAGTATTCTATATTCAGTTTTCTTCAGCCTATGATGGATAATCCCACGACGATGATATATCTATGTGCGTCTTTTGCTGTCTCATCTTAAATGAAAATTCGGCACGTAGCGACATTTGCAAGGATGTAGTAATCGCAAAAAATCTACAGGCAGGAGTGGCGGCAGGTGCGCTTTACAGAGTTGGGCGGGATGCGCGCGCTGTCAGGTCGGGGCACCATGCCAACTGACATGCGACCACACGTGGGGCGAGAGCTCATGGAAAACGGAGAAACGATTACAACACTGACGCACAAAGAACCTGCAATGATCAGCGCCCGGAGCGACTCGACCTCTGCCCGGTCTTCCGGCCGGAGACACACAAAAGCATGAAACTCTGGCACTGACGGGAGTTGCTTTGCACGACACCCGGATCGGTAGATTGAACGAGCTGATGCCTCCCCTGCTCGTCCTTCGCCGTGACTCTTGCCAAATCATGCACACCTCGTTCGTATCTGTATCTGTACCAACCACACATAGGGATAAGAAGAAGTTTTTCATTCATGTACTATGGCATTTTCATACGATCCTGTTTCCCGCCCTTCGAACTAGTATCAATCAATCTTGAGTTGCATTTCGACCCATATACAGCATCTAGTTCGTTTTCTTCCGGACGATTATGTTTCTATTTGTAAGACAGCATTTTTTCCAGTGGTGTAAGTACATGGTATCTCTATCTCATCTGCGCCGGTTTTTTTTTGCCACGAGAGCTCACCGACTCGGAGAAATGACGGTTAAGAAGCAAGTAGATTCAACACGAAGTATTTGTCTTCCGAGGCCATCGCACTATTTCTGGTGTTGCTGACGCTCATGTTTGTTCACTGAATGTTGTGAGGAATCTACCAACGAACGCGAAAACGCGGAAGATCCTGATTTTGCTCGTAGCTCCGACTCTATGGATTTTGCATATTCATGATGCATATGCGAGGATCCATCTCCTTCTCCTGCTCTTGGCACTCAGATGCTTCTGAACAGAGAAGATCATGATAACATTTCCACCTGTGCGCAAGATCAACATGGGTTGACAAGATCAACATGGTTTCCACAAAATTCCACCCCCGTGTAAAGACGCCGAATAACTACTGGAAGACTTCTCCTTTACTTCTCTCTTCGTTTACCTTTACAGCGACAAAAACAACAACATTCTATTTTTTTTATACGATGGACAACCTACAAATAAGGAGCAGCCCTCTCGTCAGCGATGTACAACTAGTACGTAGCAGTACCACGCTCGCAGAAAAGTAAGAATGACACAGATTCCATTTCACATTGTGCTCCGCCGTATTTTGTAAGACACGCACGACACCAGCACCACACGCACCAATATACAACAAGCCATGTGGGGCAACGGTGGTGGGCAGTTCAATGCCGCCGGCATGCCCATGACGCTCGACCAATATGAGCAGGATTTAAAGCAACGACTCCAAGTCGAGGAGCTCGAGGACGCGGAAACGCTCTGCGCCCGGTTCGCCTCTGCCCAGGCGCACGCCCGGGACGCGGTGAAAGAGCTGCGAGATTTGTGCGGGAAGCACGTGTTGGAAGATGAGGCAGAGGCTTTTGCCGACAAGTACGAGGAACTCCAGTTCCAGCTGAGTCGGCTCCGGCAAGCAAACTCCTTCATGCGAAAACAAATCGACGACATCAAAACAGAACTAACCACAAAGGACCCGGTGCACGAATTGAGGAGAAGGGTACAGTTTTATTTCGGATTTGTGAATAAATTTGAGTTTTTCTTTTTGAGGAACTGATCACTTGATGCAGCGAAAGGGAGCGAATTTTGTAGTCTATGTAGAATTTGGTCAACATCTATCAACACTGTATGCACTCTCGCAACTTCTTCTGCAAAGTCGTCAAAATCGAACATAAAAACAGCACGAGAACGACTTGTATGAGGAGGGTCTGTTTATGCAGCAAATCCTTCACGCCGGGGTGCCCGACCCGGAAACGCCGGTGGATTTGATTCCGGAAGACGAGTGGCCGCAGCGGCAGGAGTTGCTGGACCGAGGACTGGATCCGAACTCCACCCTGTACCGGCTCCACCACATGGCCTATGAGCACGACCAGCGAACGATACTCGAGGCGCAGTTGAAAGGAAAGAAGGTACATTTTTTTATAGTGCATTTATCTCGACAAAAGTTTCTATCTCTGTGAAGAGTGCGCTACAGAATCTTGACCTGGTAACAAAATATGTTCTTAGACGACAAACGACGCAATGACGAATTCGATACACTATCACGTACCACGTACCAATGACGAATTCGTAATGACGTACCACCACAGGATGTCCGCAACAAAGCGGCGGAGGAGCTTTCCAAATGGAAGGAGCAGGGCGAAGCGAAAACGCTGGAGGTAGAGAAGGCCCAGGCCTCCATTAGGAAGATCCTGGAGCAGCGTAAGACAGCGGACCAGGGCGGTCCCGCCGCTAGTCCCGGACTGCAGCCCTCGAATGAACCGGGCAGCCGAAAGAGCAGCGCCGTCGTGCTGCAGGGTATGGAGCACAACACAGGTGACGTGGAGATGCTGGATGCGGGTACTATTCTCGAGCAGCAGCAGCACCTCCCCGGTGACCACGAACTGCCACCGCACCAGACCATCCTGCCGGCCCCGCTGGAAGCGATTCGTAGTCGGTTCGCCATCCTACCAGAACAGGGATACGACCCGGATATCGACTGCTCGGTGCTGCAGAGCGTGGAGGAGGCGGTGATCGCGCCACGGGACTCCGCCGAGCCGACCAAAAAGGAGCGCCGCGACGTCGTCCTGATTCGCGACAACGTGCAGGTGTGCGTGTCTATCCGGGGCCCGGAGCGCAAAGAAGTCTCGCTCCGCTTTCGTTTGCAGCATGAGGAGGGGGCAAATAGTCATCACCAGGAGCAGGCCACCGTGGGATTGTGCGCGTACGCCTATCAGAGGGACAACGTCGGCAAGCCTACGCCGCTGGGTGGTAGAAGTAGGCCACAGCAACACGCAGGCATTGAGGCGGAAATCGAGTTTTCTTCTGTAGGAGAGGAGAATTTCAAAAAGTACGACTGGCTCGGCAAACTTTTGAGGAACGAAATAACCGCCCTTGCCGTAGTTCAAAATGTTAGAGAACAAGTGGCCAGCTTGGAACTGTGAAAAACTCTGTTGACTTGTCATACTCACAACTAATTGGCGACACGAAAAAAAAAACAAATGAAAAATAAGGAATCAAATACTTACAAATCACCACTACTTTCGCTGCTTTGTTCGATGGAGCTGGCTTGTACGCATATTGACAAATTTTCTTTTGATAGATTGTGCTTTTCTTTTGTTGACCGTGCTACCGGTCGTGAGTAAGTGTAAGTGCAACTCGTTTTCTTGCGGAGAGTAATTTCAGAGCGATTTCGTTCAAGATTTTTGCTGCGTATTCTGGTGTGTTTCTACTTCTAGATTTGCTTTTGAATCACCCTCGTGTTGACGGTGTATCAACGAAAGTCAAAATGCAATTGCCTCAACGTCGCTCGTAGGAAGCCACGAGTGCCGCGGAGCATGGGACTGGATACCGGTTCCAACAGCGCGCCGCCGATGCTGAGCCTGAATGGTTTGTCGGAGCAGCTGCTCGAGCGGCTCTCCGCGTTACCAGAGCAGGTGGACTCCCTACTTGCGCAGGCGAAAAGGCAGCCGGCGGCGGCGGCAGTCCTGGACGCTACTCCGGATTTCGTCTGGCGTGTGGGGTTATCAAAAGTAAAAATGTCTGGGTCTGGAAACTTGTGATGCTGGGTAGCGTCTCATGATGAGGCTACGAATGCTGGCTCAGCACGACAAGTTTCTGAGCTCCTAGGTGTTGCCTATTCTGCATGACAAACTGTGCCTCTGCATCACAGAAAAACGGAGCTCTTGGGAACGTGCATGACAGATTTAAGAGTCACGCCAGACAAGCATGACAAACGTGAATTTTTCCAGACCCAGACATTTTTGCATTTGGTAGGGGTTCGGCGATTTCATGCTTGGCTTCCTGTTCACGCTGTTTTTCACGTTTTTCCTCGTGCTCGTTGGCGACGGTCATTTCCGGTGCTTTTTCGACCTGATTTGGCTCTCCCGGCACCTCGCGTTGCTGTTCGCCTCCGTCGGGTATTTTGTGTTTCTCCGCGGACCTGACTACTACGTGGCCATTGTCCAGCACTACTTCGGGAATCGGGACGTGCAAGTTGGTCGCCCGGACGATGCGCTGGCGGTCGACAAAACGGCACAGGGTACTCTCGGTGTTATCGTCGCGGTCGTGGTTGTGTCCTTCATGTGGAATTACTACTCCAGCTATTGTTGGTGGAAGGGCGAACTCGAAGCGGAAATTTACATGTCCAAAACGCACAACGTGAAGGCGTTGCTTTTGCGGCCACAGGACCTCGTGCCCAATGAGAAAAAGCTGACGGTCAAAAACATCGCGTGTCGGGGCTCGTTCGTCATAGGATTCCTCTACTGGACGGCTGTAGTGGTACCCATCGCGCTCACCTTTGCTGCCCAAACCGTGCTGGACAGGCCGTTGGAAGAAGCGTTTCTGGAAACCTACGATGAAACGCACCAGAAATTCGGCGTAAGTTGTACTGTTGTATGTTGTTTTTCGTTACACTATGGAATCCCTCTCTGTCAAATCAGAAAATGTCAAGAAGATTTTTAGAATCGGCATGATCGTTCGAGAAGAATTTATCGAACAACTACAGGGCCGCAATATCTTGGTCACTGACGCAACGCACGGTGTGGGCTACCACACGGCCAAATGGTTATCTGAGTGGGGGCGTGCAAAAATGCTCTACCTTGGCGTGCCTTCGATGACGGCGTGTGACTCCATTATCCACACAATTCTTCGCCCCGATTTCACACGCCTGAAGTGCTTTATCTACGATTTTGGAGCAGAGGAAGATTACCAGCGAGTACATGCTTAGTAGCAGAAAACCTGATGCTCCGAGCTACCTCGTTTAAAGCTAATGAATTCATTTCATTCATTGTCTTTGTAGCAGTACAACTGATCCTGGTGACCGGTTTTCATAGCCCGTTGAGAAAAATCGAAGCCAAAGTAAAAATCTTCAGATTAGCGACGTGGTGAAAAGCATGGACGATTTCCGTGTGGACATTCTGATCAAGACCGCGGTGTTCCAAAATTACCCGCTGGGCCCACGCCACGAAGATTCCTCCACATCCTTTTTCCGTAACCCTGGCGAAACCTTCCAGAGGACCTACGGTGCGGAGCGGTACCTGCAGCGGTACATTGAGAAAAACCACAATGCGAAACTCCACACTGTTGTGGTCACTTCGCACGCGGCACAAGTGTGTCCGTTACTGGGGGAGCCTGGCCGAAAAGTCTCGCGGGGGCCGACGGACGTCGATCTGGAGCAGCTGTTCCACTCCTGGTTCGGCTACATGCTCTTCGAGAAGAAAGAGTACAACGCCGGGCAGACGGGGAAAAATGGGCGCTACCAGATCGTCCCGGATCACGCACTGGACACCTGCTACATTCTGGACGAGCTCTTTCAGAGCTGGGACTACCGGCGGTCCGTTTGGATGGAACTCAGCTCCGGTCCGGGCTTCGTCAGCCCCGCTCTGCGGGTGACGACCGAAACGACCGCGAAAAACGGGACGATAACAAGGAAACAGGAAATGCAGCCCAGGGCGGTGTGCAGCCTGTCGGACGGGAAGCCTTTGGGCATTCCCGCCTGGGATTTTTTGCAGGCTACTTTTTGGCAGCAGGTCGCTGTGAAACCAGGATACGGAGAGATTGGAGCGCTTCTCCATTTCGTAGCGGAGGGCGGCGGTCTCGATGACAGTCAACAGCAAGGCGTCACCAGCTTCACGCGTGCGGCGCTCGCAGAAGCTGCAGGGTATCTGATGTCGGGTAGAATCTTCGGTATGTTCTCCGCCGCTATTTCCGGAATGTTTCGTTTCGCGCGGTTTTTTGCCGTTCGGGAAGGACGCATCGGCGCGATTCCTGTCCTGCGCGCCGCGCTCGAAGACACGCGCGACCGACGGACTGCGGAGTGTATCTCAAACCAAGCTGGCTCAGGACCGTGCATAGGAGAGGATGTCTTTGTTTTCAAAAGAGACGCCGAACGCAGTGTGAAGAAGGTTGACGAGACGATACTCCAAAGGCCCCCAAAAAAGCCAAAACCATAAATGACATAGACATCTAGTGCAGAGGTTGTACCTCGAAGCATACGATTTAGTGATTGCCGAACTATTGTTCCTCGCAACCTAGCGAGTAGAGGCGGCACAAAAATGAACAAGAGCCAGCCTGTTATTGTGATGTGCGACAGAAAGCGCGTACCTACTGTACGCGCGCAGAGGCGTTGACGCAACCGTTTGAAAGATCAGGAGAGAAGCCCAAAGAAAGTCAGCGCGTTTGTGTCTGCGCGAAAGAAGATCAAGAAGACGAGAAACAACAGTGTCAATTAGATGCAGCTCTCGCCCTTCACCTGGCCTTAATGTGGAGCGCATAGATGTGGTCTTCAAAGCGTGTGAGTTTCTGACTGATCCAGGAAAGTTCTTCCTTCTGTCTTGCTTTTTCTCGTGCAAGCTCCTGCTTTGCCTTTTTTGATGAAGTATGTGGTGCATGTTGTCGTGGTTCGTTTCTTTGGTTCGAAGTTGGTTTGCAAGGAGCACGTGAAAGCGTGATGGAAGAAGCGCCATGCAGATTGACAAAGAAACCGTGAGCAAAGAAAATATGTTCACCCGCATTCTGAGGTCTGGCATAGTACTTACCACAATAGAACAAGGAGCGATTTGATGTTCATTTTTTTTCGCAAGAAAAAAATCTGATTGTCAACGACAGCTGCTGTGTTGGTAGACAGATGGAGCATTCTATACACTTCTTCGTGATGAGATGACAAACAAAACGGTTGGAAAATGTGTTTTTCGTGAAAGGAAGTTCCATAAGCGTCTTGAACCTCTGTTCGTTGTCGTCTCGATTCTTGTCAAAGTGGCTGCAAAGGTGAAGAAGCGGATGCTTCTTTATTTCAAAACTGCTGACTCGCAACCTCGATAAAAATGCAAACTACTTAATGCAACAAGTTGTTGACAGACGGACTACTTTTGTTTGTGCCTTCCGTGTAGTTGAACTTGAGTACGCAAGTTTGTGAACTGATTTTTTTGATGAATGCTGGTCGCCACAAGGCATCGATTCTACATTAATTATGTGCTTTCACATGAATCAATCATAGTGTGTTTGTTGAGGAGCTGCTTTTGTTCTTATCCCCAAAATTAAGTTAGTAATACCAATACGCACGGCCTGTTGCTGCTTCGTCTGTACCTCAGTCATTGCCGCGTGACAAATTGTGTTGCGGCGACCTCCTGAGGCCTCAAATATGCATCGCGAAGACATAAACCTGTAAAGTACCGAAATCAAAACAAAAGTTGACCCGTCAAAAGCTATAGCATCCAAAACTAAGAAAATGGTCGCCGGAGCACGACTCCAGGGGGTGCCTGCTAACACGCAAAGCACCCAGCCGATGCCACCAGGTAACAAGTAAATCCTTTAGCTATGATACAGCTGCCTCTTTCGAATTTGCCTGGTCTTACTACCAGGATCGTGCCTTGCGGAACTGTTTTTCAGCTGCTGAAGACGATGAAACTGTTTTTGCTTTCTCCAACGGCAAACTGTATCAACAAAACAGCCTCCTCTCAGCTCTCCGATGTTTTGGACGAAGGAGCATTGCGCAAAGTTGTGAAACGGGCCGTTCAGACGGGGGTGTTGTGCCCAAAGACGCTGAACCCACAGCCAATGCAAAAGTACGACCTGCAGAAACACGGGGTTTTCGAGCTGCCGCAGGGCATGTTGAGTAAACCCGAGTTTCTTGCAGAGGGCGGCTTTGGAACGGTGGCGCGGGCCCAGGTCCTTCCGGGAGGGAAAAACCCATCGCTTGCTACCTACGATTGCGTCGCGGTCAAGCGCATAAAAATAACGAAGAGCGCGGACGACTGGGAAGACACATTGAGGCTGCTCCGCGAGGTACTTTAGTTCATTCTGCTGCGTATGGTATGGGAACGCACCGTAATTTTACTGAGTAATTGACGTGATCAAAAATGATTGTCATCTTACAGATAGTCATCATACATGGAACTGGAACAAACAAAGGTTCACTTCCTCAAGTACTTGCGACACCCGAACATCTCCCCGCTTCTGCATCTCTACACAGAGTACGGATCGAAGAAAGCACTCTTGTTGTGCCTGACAAGTTCGTCTCAGTTACAGTTCCAGCGAAAGAAAAAAATGCATGTGCTGCTCGTTTAATGCGCTTCCAGCTCACAAAGATACATAGATATCCCGCTACTGCTGTCTGCACAGCATATGAGTTCGGAATATTATGATTCCACGGCAAAACTGACGAGTAATACGGACTTGTCATTGCGCAAAGCAGCTGTTTTTCCATTTCATAGACTCGGGACGGATGCGAGCAAGTTCGACTACGTCTACCTCGTAATGCCCTGCTACCGGCCTGGCAGTCTCGACGAGTATTTTGCATCGGCCTTTCTCTCTTTTTCTTCGCATAGAATCTATGAGGCTTCTAGTGCGCAGAATTTCTCCTTCATACAAGGTTCTGCGTCCACCCAATTTGCAATGTAGTGGCAAACATGACAATTATCTCTCGCTGTCCCTTCGATCGCAGGTTTGCAGTGAACGAAATCTCGATGGTGCGCCGGATATGTGCGGGAATTCTCCGCGCCTTGGATTGGATGCACCAACACGAGGTGCTGCATCGCGATGTGAAGCGGGAAAATATTTTTTTCGACCGGAACAAGCGGGAAGCAGTATTAGCCGACATGGGCATGGCCCGGAGCATGGTAAACAAGATGACCACGAAGCGCGGGGTCGGTACCCGGTGCTACCTGGCGCCGGAAATGCTTGCGGCCGTCGAGGATTACGACGCGAAAGTCGACGTCTTCGGCTTGGGATGCGTGCTGTACTGAATATGCTTGATGTTGCTGATGAAAATCATGGAAGCTTCAAGATCATGTTGTAGCTGATTAAAACTACATTAAGGAGAGGACAAGAGTGTACTTAATGAAGTGCTTTAGTCGAACAAATATCATATGCACGCCGCAGAAAATCTGCAGTTTCAAAGCACGTCGTCGGAACTGCCAATTATTTTTAGGTTTGAACTCGTGGGGCTCTCGCACGAGCACAGTTTGATTCCCATGTCCATTGCGGGTACGCTAGACCATCGTGCACGGCTTTACGGGCTCGCCGGGAAGGGTTGCAAGGCCGAACCCGAAGTAATCGAGAAGAGTAAGAAGAATCAAAAATGGTGCGAAAACCGGTGGCGGGCCTTGCGAGCGCGCGCGGGAAATCACGTCGAGGCTATCTCCGAAATCGTGCTGCACTCCCTGGCATACGATCCGAAGAAGCGATGGACGGCGGAGCAGCTGCTGCAGCACGAATGGTAAGAGCAGGAGAATTCTTTAAAGGTCGCATCATCTCCACCAGGAGCAGTTTCAAATCACATACCCGTCAACCAAAATTCGTTTTGTTTCACTTGTTTCAACAGTCGTTGTTGGTGACATCATCCCGCATTTCTTTTTTTCCAGGTTTGGCGAGGAAGATAGCCAGTGTCCGTCCCAGGTCTCGCAGTCCGAGGTTGAGGAAGAGTACCCAGTTGACGTGAACACGAAAGCCTTTGAAGCCTACGACCTGGCGCTCCGTGAATTGGATCATGACACCGCAAGATTATTGAAGATTCGGTATAATGTTGATGGACTGCTGCTTTCAGCTTTTTGCACTTGTGGACGAGAATGTGCTGATACCAAAAAATTTGTCAAATCAAATCACAACAGGGAATGGATGCTGGATCTGGTCGCGGACCGGCCCGTACCACTTCCGAGCGGCATCAGGAACCCGCTAGAAAAATCAGTTGCAGCGAAGCAAGTGCACGCGACAGTCAAGATTTTGGAGGCTGCCCGGAACGGTGCTGCATCTGCGAGCTCTTGCGCGACGACCACTCCGAGAGGTTCGAGCACACAGCAGGCCAAGAAGCTCCTGCACAAAACCGTCGCACCGAATCCAGCGAGTTGCTCTTTTCCGTCGAATACTGTAGTTGCGAGCACAACTTCAACTTCTCAAATGATCAATCCAGAAGAGAACATGCTGCTTAATCCCGGCAACGCGTTGACATCCAAGCAAAAGCAGTACCCACGGCTCTTTGGAGACCAGCAAAGTAACACAGGTGGTTCTTTTGCGAACGCGAGTGCGAACATCAACAACCTCAAGTCCCCCGCCTGCACCCGGAATCCGAATCCGAGTACCGCGACGCGGTGGCCAAGTAGAGCTGCGAATGCTCCTCCTACTTCGAGCGCATCCTCTAGCTTCATCCATTCCGCACGAACCGCTGCGGCCGCGAAGAATGTTGACAGTCAGCCCGGCACGACCGCCATGTTGCAGCAGCGGCTGGCTTTTCAGGACGACGATTTTTCGCGCACGACAACGGTGAGCAATTGCCATCCGAATTACAATATCAACGCAGCATCGTCCGCGGGAAACAACTTGAAGCGCGGCCGTTTGGAGCTGCACGAGCCCGAGCAGGGGTGTTTGATGAGTGGAAAAAGACTTGCCACGAACACCAGAGCAGAAGTTGCATTTACGAATTCCTGCAGCTTCTTTCCCGCCCAGGACGATGCGAGCCAATCCATATCTAGCTGCACAACGGCTACTGGCGGAGCGTCCGTTTCACAGTACCCGCCCGCGGCGACGTCGACGCGCACTGCGGGGTTCATATTCCCGCCACCATCTCAGGACACCATGAATCCGTTTGGAGCGAACGGCATGGCATTGTCTGCTGATGTAGCAGCGAAGCAGCGAAACAACAATCCCGGATTCAATGCTGCAGGAAGAGCACGCGTCACCAAGGTCGCGCCCGGGTCTGCGCCTATTGACGAGGCAATCGCGGTGGCACCGCCAAAGTCGAAGAAGCCGAAAAAGTAGCGAACCAGGAGTAAGAAACAAAATGCAGTGCTAATCATGGGGTGACGCGCCAACGCTAACGCACTAACTTCCGGTGGAAGAAGATTCACATACCGAAACTCGGTAAAAGATATGCACCTGTACATGATTTGAACTTTTGTGACACTAGACAACAGCACGGATTCCATGTCCTTACTGCCCTGCATGCCAGGAGACGCAGTGAATCGTGTTGATTCTCAAGCTTCATCATCTCGTCTTTCGTACACCTACAGTACTACGCTGCAGCTGCACTTCAGATGCGCTCTGCGTACTAGATTTGGGTTGTCTTTGCGACGACCTGGCAGCAAATCTTTTCGAACTTTATCCTGTGCATTCCCAAGACAAGCGTCGTGCGCTTGTCTATACACACACCTATGAATACGATTTCGCTTTGTGGATTGCAACGATGACAAACTAGTTCTTGCAGAACTGTCACATGATACCACACTTTTACTGCCTTCCAAGGCCTCCAGAACTCGAATTTATTATTGACCCTTCCCGAACAAAAACAAAACCAGAAGACGCGCTCAGGATAAAGCCATCTTCTTCAGCTGAATCTTTTCGTCTTTGTAAAAACGACCCCAAGTAAAACTTGTAGTGAAATCGGGCTCCCTTGTAGCTGTAGAAACTGCACCCCACGATGTAAGTACCTCTAGTCACAATAGGCACCTGTTTTTACTCCGTATTTTTACTGAGCGGACTTTTTTTTCTTTCCCCTGACGGCGAGCTGTGTCTTTTGCTTTGTAGTTCAAACCTCCGCGTTAGATCCCTTATCGCGACTCTGAAAAGATTTGGACCTTTTGCACAAGGAACTGACGCATGAGACAGCGGCGAAACAAAACTGCAAAAAGAGAAAACACATCTAGACCCGATTCGTTGGCATTAGAGCAGGCCATTAAGCGCCCGCCCTGTCCCTCTGTTCCAGCTTTGTACAACAGGTTCGGGCTTTCTGACCTTACTCCCGGAAGATCGACGCAGCACCGGCGGCGCAGCATTGGATCTCATGTGCTCAAGCAGTAAGTACTAACTTTAGTAAGTTGTTTGCGATTCGCGATTTTTGTCCTTCGGATCCTTTTTTGGATCAGGTGTCGACGCCGTGTCTTCCATCTTGGTTTTAGTGTGTCGAAAAGACTACAAATCCACTTAGTATGCAGATCGTTTCGGACCCGGACAGCACCCCAACGAAGATACTTATTTGTACGTCAATATTTTTTTGAAAACCATGGTGCTTCGTGCCTCGCAGCTGGACAGTCTCCAGATGGAGGCCAACATCGCCCGCATCATATTCCGGAGCTGCCAAGACTTGCTACGGGCTCCGATCGATGAAACCTGGGGTCTGACGCTTGTGCGCTTTATCATCTGGTATCTCACTGTGTGGCGTGGGAAGCCCACACCCGGCATGCGGTTGCAAAATCTGGTGCACGCGGACGGACGCGCGCTGGCGGCAAGGGAGCGATTCGTGAGAAAATTGCTTTCCTTACCGCCGAGCGAAACAGACGAAGGCCCTTCGCTACGGATGAAAGGCGTCGACGCACCCAATTCATTAGACCTGACGAAACCGCAACGCGTTGCGTTTTTGCTGCTGACGCTGCTTCCTGTGGAAACTCTGCTTGACATCGGGACGAAAGTTTTCTATTCGCTGCAGCGCAAGGCGGTTTGGAGTGAGGTTTTGATGCGCTATCGATCTCTTAAGAGAATGCTGACTGGCGGACCACGAGCAGAAAAGGCCCCGGAAGGCGATGATGAGGAGCATGTGGAATTTGCGAACGAATCGACAGAGGAAACGGTTGCTCTTCCCGAGATTGAGGATGAAGAAGAGCGGGAGTTTCAGCGACGCATGTTGGTGTCCAAACTCAAGGACTGGGCAGAGGCGGCTTCTTTTGTCTACTCCTGGCTGTTTGTTGCGAACCTCGTCAAGTATGTAACGCCGGCGCACGCAATACTGCGGATCTCCTTCGTGCCCCTGCAGGTGGGCGCAAAGCGGCTCATGGCGCAGGAACACATGTGTCTCATGCTGTTGTTTTCCCAGTCCAGCAACATGCTGCTAGAATTGCTACCACTCCTTGACCTTCGGGGCTTGCGGAAATCCGCGGTTTCGACTTGGGAAGACGTGCGGCAGAAATTCCTGCTCTGGAAGTTTCGCCTGCTCCGTCGGAATAGTGAACGAGCACACGAATTTGCGGCTGGTGCTGTTGCGGACGAGCCACGAGAGCTGCCTCCAAATCAGGACGGGCTGAAGAGTACTAGAAGTGATGCGCGACCACCAGTAGCAGCCTTTGAGACCTTGAACAAATTCGAAGGAACTGCGAATGACGCGGACACAGCTCCACCCAGCATCTCCGATGGAGGTTTGGTTTCGAGTTCTCCTGTGGCGGACACCTCTCGTTCCACCATTCTCTCACATGGTGGAGCGCACTCCATCCGTACACGCGATCGAGGGCTAGTGGCACGCTGGAAAAATGTTCTTTTGCCAGGTACGAGACGAGATGTGGGAGCGCCATCGTCGCCCCTCTTTACCAATGATAGAAAGAGCGAAAAGCTGACGAACGCACAGCGGCAGCGACTCAACAAAAGATGAGGAAGATCTAATTATATGGCGGAAAGAAGCTGCGATGGTGTTCATCTGGCGCGGTTTGGAGGCGTCGTGTAGCTACTAATGCGTTGCTTGGTGGCAGTTGGTACTAAAGCCGTTTTCTCTGAAGGTACTCTACTACCACAGAAGTTCTCTTGTGAAGGGCGCCTCGAGGTTCCAAGCATTAGGCCTAGCGAGGTAGAAGAACCAAATCCTTCTTGAAGAAAGCCCAAGAGTAGAAGAATGGCACTGCAAGTGGTATTGCGTACAAGTGGTCCAAGACATGCCGGCATTGCTCCGGCCCCGCTGACTGGATCGTCTCCAAGCTGCAGCAGTCGCGAGCTCGCCTCCGCCATCGCAGACATGCGATACTCCAGGCAAAAGCGGCAATTACAACAGAAAGAGCAACAAACGAAGCCGTGGCTCAATGTGGGAAAAGCGAGAAAACTCGACGGCGCTGGCGTGTTCGCGTCAACGGACGCATTGAAGAAGCTTGCGAAATCTGCCACGGGTGTCGGTGGTCGCGCTCCGCCAGCTTATTCCGCAGAGACACGGGCGACTCTGTCTCTGACGATGACTGGTAAAACGGGTTCAAATCAGAGACACCAAACTCCGGCGCGCGCAGGAGCTCCGACACCGAAGAAGGCCGATAAGAACCTCATGCAAGTAGCTCTGCAGGATCGCCCACCGCAACCGATGATCGAGTCTCCTTTGCACGTGAGCGTGGGGAGATGCGAACTGCACGCTGCATTAGAGAAATGTCGCGAACCTAGGGACGCGCTACGGCTTTTCTTGGATCGCTATGAGAAGGGCAAGAAACGGGATGAAAGCAGTAGAAGCCAGAAGAACGCGGCCCTTGATGTTGCACGAACAGCAGATGACGAACAAGAAAACTACAACAAACCTCCCCCACTCAGACCCGTGGAAGCGCTGGCGGTGCTTCACTATTTGACGAAGAACATTGATTTCAACCGCGCATCGGACGAGTTCAAGCAGTTTCTTGACGCTTTGGCACTTCTCGCAAAGCAAAACCGCTGGCCCGCGGACACGCTTCGTCGGGTACTGTTGAAACTGTCCACGTTGAAGAGCAAACCGGGAGTGCTCGCTATCTGGCCGCTTTGCGTCCGTATGAAGGACGACTTCGAGACGACGCAGAAAACGGAAGTTTTGTGGCACGTCAGCCTCGTCTCACGGGCGAAGCTCGACGTTTCCGACGTTACTGGGTTTGTGAAGGACGTCGACGTCGAGCTCTTGAAGTTTACCCACATGTACCACCTTCTCCATGGTTTGGTCCGTCTCCACTTCGGCGGCCAGCACGCGCCCGACGACCCAGACTTATTCCCAAAATCGTTTTTGCAGTTACTGGAAAAATGCGCCCCGCGGATATTAGTATTGCTAAAAGAGAAGAAAGAGCAGTTTCTCGACCTGCAGGCGCGGGGTATTGAAATCGACCTGGAGTCGGACGCGGTGCAGGGAAAGCCCCCGAAGGCGAAGTACACTGTGCGTCTGATCGAGGTGTTTGGACGAAGCGGTATTAACTGCTCGCCCTTGCTGCACTTGGCGTTCATGCAGGTGTTGGATGTAGATCTGGATCGGTTGGAGTACGAAGAGCTCGGTGCCGTTCTCGACGTGTACCGCGTCTGGGCGCGCGACGGCCACGGACTCTGTCCGACCCGGTGGCTCCGCGCCAAGAAGAAATTCCAGGGGGAGCGCGCGCGACCGCGGGTGGAAAACTACAGCAGCTGTAACCGGGGCGCGAAACACATCTGGGAGTTCATTTTTCGGCTGGAGCAAGCGATGAATCTGTGGAAAAAGACGCGCGGGTTTTCCCCCGAAAGCAGCGTCACGGCGCCAGGGCAGCACAGGAGAGGGCGTACACGATTGCACGATCACGGCGGGTCGAATCACACTAACGAAGAAGAGGAAGGATTTTGAGAAAGTTGTAATTGCAGCGTGACTTGAACAAAGAATGACACTATAGTGAAACTTTTATTCCTTGCGCAGCCTTGTCACACTCACCATTCTGCTTTTTGTGCCACTGTGATGTTCATGCGAATCATTTGTTATTGTTTTAGTGTCGTCTCCACGCTCTGATGAGACTGTTCGATTGTCATGCCGAGCGGTATCGGAATTTTGCGAGCGCTCAAAGCGAGACAAAGTCAAAGATGCTAGAGAGATGAATTTTGAGAGGACCGGTCACGGAGTTGTGAGTGAGTCAGTACAGGCATAGTATCACAACTTGTCTAGATTGTCAAGTAGTCGATGACGTCCGCGCCCTTGTACCACTGAAACCAAGCGGTGATGTAAAGGAGAAGTAAGCTTTGTCGCAGAAGCTTGGGCTAGACGAATCCAAAAATGTACAATCGCCGAACAAGTAGCCGACCGCTTGCACGGCTCACTAAGAAGAATGTTACGAGCTTATCGAACACGCTGCCGAGCGGAAACGATACTCTGCAAAAGACACTCGGCACTGATGCGGGAACCGCAGCTCCTTTCTGCTTTTCCGACGACACGAATGTAGACCCTCTCTCGCAGCTGCAAGGAGGTGGAGGCGAAAAGAACGACGCACCCCCTCCTTCCGTAGATCCTCCCCCAGATCTCTCATTAATCTCCGGTTCGCCCTCTGAGGTGTTCGGAAAACGCCCCACTCTAGCTGCCTCAACGTCAAAAGCCTCTTCCTCGCCCAAGAATGTCGGCGGCCTGTCGCCCAAGGACCAGAAGGTCGCGAACAAGCTCAAGCGCGAAACCGCACTCGCTGCGCAACGCAAGAAAAGACCAGACGAAAAGACAAAAGACACGACAGTCGGTGGCGCCGACGGGGCCACGCCCAGTGGGGCGCAGTCGCCGAAGAAGAAAGTTTCCGCGGAGGAGGAGGAAGCACCGGATTCCCCAGCCGGCCCATGGAACTTCTTCAGCATCGTGAAACCGGAGCCCAGTGCGAAAACCGAATGCGCGTACGTGAATTGCAACAAATGTATCTACTGGCCCAACCCACGTCGTTTTGGCCCGCAGCAGAACCGACCCCAGGTCAAGCACATCGTTGTCGGCGAGACGGGGCGAGTTCTAGACGTGGAGCACTTTCACCCCAACCCGGACACGCCCTACTGCATCAAGAAGAGCGACCCAAATCTGCACCTCGACCGGCTGAAACCCGCGTCGCTGTTTCTCAACGAGGTAAGCGCCATGCATTTAAAGCAGCGGCCCATGAACTTCTGGAAACTCTACCGTGACTGTTTCAAGGGCGACGTGGTGTTCTGCTCGAAAGACTGCACGCTGGCGGCATTTGACTGTCCCAAGCACATCACGCCCGATTTGAGCGACAAGGGCTGGCAACTGATGCGAGTGTTGCTCTCCAGCCCGAATGAGGAGCTGGCTGTGCCGTATGTGGAGCTGTGCTCCGAGGAGGATCTGGATTTTGCGGAGCCGGTGGAAGGTAAAAACAGCCTCTGTGTATCAAAAATGTTGAAAAAACAACATCTGCGCGTGAGAAGTTGTAGGGTTTTATCCGGCTGTACTAAAAAATGAATTTTGATCGATGATTGGACAACAAAAAGAAACCGCGTCTTTCTAACACAACAGGTCTGCGCCCGCTCCATCTCGCTGTGCGGAACGGCATGTCCACCGATTTCATCCGTCTGTTGCTGGAGAAGGGAGCGAAAGTAGATGCGAAGAACAACTCCGGGTACGTGGCGTTGCACTACGCCGCCATGAATTCCGGCGAAGACGTACGGCCGGTTCCTCTCGGTACAACACGGGACACCCGGTCTCCCGTAATGGATGTGTTGTTCGAATTTAACTGTGATTTGGACGCGCAAACCGACCACGGGCGCACAGCGCTGATGTGGGCCGCGATGAATGGGAACAGGCAGGCGGTTTTGTGGTTGATTGAGCACGGCGCAAACCGGAACCTGCGCGAACACAGCCTGATTTCCCAATCCTCCTACGACATGACGGCGCGCGACTGGGCGGAGCGGAAGGGGGAGGGACTGCTGTGCATGCTGTTTGACGACGTCGACAAAGCGGAGGCGCGGCGTGATTGGGCTCCAGGGCAACCGTTCGTCGGCCGGGGACAAGCTGCGGACCCGGATGATCGACCGAGCGATTTGGAAAATTCTTAAATAAATGTATAACAACAGCAAGATGTTTCTAATGGTCAATAACGTTGGTTTTGACCGCTAGCGCTACTTCCTTGTTGTGTACCCTCTGTTTCGCTCGTGTACAATGAATGCTCTGAAGGAATTACCCGAACCTGGTGAACTTCAACATCGATTAAATCTATGTACGAGTATCATGAAACAAAAGCCCACCAGTGCCCCTCGGTGCTGTGATCTGTCTAGTGAGCTGGCGCAGTTTGATGCGACTTTGTCGTTTGACGATGTCGCTTCCACTTGAGCTGTTAGTGGCCGCCCTGGTTTGGCAGAAAGGAGAACAGCTACAGAACAATCGTCTAATCGCCAATAAAGAATATCGATGAAGCCGTCGTCGTCGTCGTCGTTTTGTGAGTAACTTTCCAGAGCAACAGGTATGGTCGGGTGAAGGAGCTGTCTTGTCGAACACACTAAGGCTCATTGATTTGTGAGGAGAGGTCTTTTCGCTGGTTTTTGCGGTGCACTCGAGTATTGAACAAATGTATCGCCGAGCATTAACGTACCCTGTGGCATCAAACAAGTCGTGAGCCCAACGGCAGCTAGCGGGTAGAAGTTGTAGCTTTTCCTCATAATTGTTGAAGTTCTCAATTTCAGTTCTCTTTGTACGAAGTAATTAACATCTGAAGACGCATCGCCGAGAGGTCAGACCGACGTGGCGGCTTCTCGTCCCAGGCGTGTCTCCTCCTGCATCCACTCGACACGCTACCCCAACGACCGTACCTAGAACCAACTGAGTAGAATTCAGTTTTAATTAGCTGCTTTCCGGAAACTGTCTTCAGTTCCTTCGCCAACCTTAGCGGACGAGACACCACCGAACGATCCGAAAGTGCACTTTCGAGGGGAGATTCGAAGGAGATACAATGAACAGAAGGCGCTCCCAGCTACTGCTTCACGTGTCGCGTCAAACAGAAGCCGCGACCAATTTTTGCTTCTGAAAATAAGGGGTCTGGAAAACTTTTTGGCAATTCGTAGAGGAGACCCAGAGTTGACTCGGTGCAATAAGGGTGCGAAGATAAATTTGACAAACAGTGGCAGGACGGAGAAGCTGCTCGCCGGCGTCGGGCTGACGTAGCGAGTTTCCCGGAGGCATTCGACCAGCAAAGCTAGGCCAAGAACAGCTTTCTGCGCAGGTCAGGCGCTTTGGAGAACTAGGTGAAGTGATACCACTGGATAGGGCGATTGGTGCAAGCATTCGCTCAACATGACGGACATAATCAACTCGCAGAATACCGCTGGGCGGGTATCGCTCTTTCTTCATTGCATTGAATCATGTTTTTTTATTTTTTTCCTCTCCTCTCGAAAAGCAAAATTCTTCTTGTTGAAGCCGCACCTTCACTAAACCTCCAGTTACTCCACACGACACCCGGCCTAGCGGATCGGCTCGCCCAGCCACCACTGCAGCGCGAAATAGACGTAAGCCGGGTTCCGGCCGGCGACAAGGACAATGTCATACGAGATCTCCAGGCGCAGCTCGATGACGAGATCAACAAAAATCGGCAGCTCGAAGCACAGTTCAAGTACAGTTTTTTGTGTGCTGATAGACGAAACTCACCATCGCGTTCTGCAAGGCGAGGCACGTAGAGAAGATGTACTTAAATTCTTTTCTCCCGAGCAACGGCGCTTTTCATTTTCGATATCAGGTACCGGGTTGGTTCCTTCGTAAAGCGAGAGACTCAGGCGAAGAAGACAATAGAAGCGCTGGAGAGGCAGCTACAGGATCGCACCGATGAGGAGCATTACCAGCGCATGAATGTAATCCGCAACATGCAGGATAGCGTCATACAAGGGCTCGACGGGATACAAAACAACACTGCTAAAGTGTTACAGGAACAGGAAAAGGACCTCATGAGAAGTTTTCGAGCCAGGTTACAGGATCTTTCCAAGGAGCTGGAAAATCAGAAAGCAGCGAAGGTAGGAAATTTCTAATGAATCTTGTGTGTTTTTGATCAAGTTTTTCCACGTCAATAAAAAAACGAAAAAGACTCTTCACATGAATCGACATACTTCATCAAAATCGTACCTCAGGGCAACTATTCCGCCGAGCTGCAGGCTAGGCATCAGCGGGTGCTGCAAGAACTGCAGTCGTCACAGGAGCTAGCAGCCGTCTTTGACAAAAAAAACCAGCAATTCATCGCGGAAAACCAGAAACTGCAGGACATAATAAAGACCCGCGAGGTATTTTTGAAAGCGTTTGCGTACTAACTTTTGAGTGTTCTTTTCGCAACTTGCAAGCATTGCAAGTTTTGTTCAGAGGACAGAACACAGATGAAAAAAAGTTCTCGATCTCCAAAACACGCAGGACGACCGGCACGCTTTGCTGAAGGAGCTGGTGAACGCAAAAAAAGAGAATACGAAACTCACCGTAGAAATACAGCAGAAGGATGAGAAAGTGAAGGACCTGCAGAACGCAATAGCGAGCAACGCCGTCCCCGGGGCCAGCGCGAGTAGCGCACATACGAAAAATGACCGCAGTAAATTCCTCGCGAGCACGAAGAACAAGGCGTATTCTAATTGTTTGTTGAAATTAGTGTTTCTCTGTGATTGTGTTGAAAACCAACGCCAAGTGATATTCGTCCACAGTAGAATTAGAAGAAATCTCGCGGTGCGCGAAAGAGAGTGACGAGTGCCGATCAATCTGCATGTACAACAGGTACGAACGTGAGCTGGCTCACCGGGAGGCGATAAACAAACTGCAGCGCATGTTGGATTCCGAAAGGCTACAGGTCAGGATGATGCGAGATACGCAGAATGAGCTGTTGCACTCAAGAACGGAATTGGAAATGCTGTTGCGGCAATGCCTCGACGACGTGAAGCTCGAAGTAGCGAAGAAGCAGCTAGACTCGCAAGCAGCAGGGAGGAGTATGATTTTTTTTCGAAATGTGCTGCGACTTCATTCTTGATTTAGATTTTGCCAATTTCTGACTCGAAGGATTTCTTCGTCGACCCTTCCATCGTCATCGAGCCTTAGATAAGGACTCGTAAACAACTGCCATGTGAATTTCACGACAGAACCCCTCGGTGAGCCGCAGGCTAGCGATGTTTCTCTGCACGAACTGGGGCAGCCCGCGCGCGAAAGGGTGTTGGAGCTTTTGCTGTCGCAGCAGCGCGTCGTGCAATTACTGTACGAGAAGTCGTTCCCGGACCGGCCACCAACGCCAAAACAAGGAGAGGCCGAGGGAGCGCCACCCGAGGACTACAAATGGGTCGAAGAGGTTGCGAAAGGGTGAGTGAAGCAAGTTCACTTCTCACTTGCTAAACTTCAAATTGTTCCGAGTACGATCCGATGGTTTCTGCAGAGGTTTCCTTGTAATCTTCCCTTCGCCTCCTGTTGTAGTAATCTGCTTGAGTAATCTAATTTCACAAAAAATCCAAGGTGCTGGCTGATATATCCAGCAGCACGCTTGCTGAACACATTTTACCGAATAAATTTGCTGATCACATTGAACCGCGGCGGAGGAGGAGATGAGCAGAGACCTATCTTAATCCTCCTTGAACACTAGGATCTGCACTACTTCTCTTTGCTTATGGTTTATAGCGGATCTCATACAAAAAAAAAAATAAATTTGCTTGAATCGATACAGTCGAAGTTGCTTGTAGATCAAAACGCAGTGCAACCGAAACGCTGAGCAGGATGAAGTTGAATGTATGTATGATGATCGATAAAGATCGGCAGTTTCTCATTCTTCTACGAGCGATTCACGGTTTTAAAAGCCCGACGAAAGAAGCGACAACGCCCAGAGAAAAAGGCCTGGGTTTGATGTCCTAATCAACAAATGATGCAGAAGTTCGTGTGCACAGATCTTCAAGGTTCTGGTGCCATTGTGACGTGGTTTGCCTTGGTTCCAAAAATGATCTGAGCAATCCATCGCTGATGATGAACGGAGGATCGGATCCGCCCGATAGATTGAAACGATCCGGAATGATTCGTTGGAAGCGCGTGATGCTAAACAAGAAAGATCCGCTTGATGAACTCTAATGTGATTGAAATACGATCCAGATGATCGCAATCGCTACGGAGCGCTGTACGCTGTACGCTTTTACGATCTTTTTCATACGCTGGTGATGATCAACAGGTCTGACGACAACGTCGCGTAAGTATGGAGTTCAGCCGATTGATTTTAGTAATTTGAAGATAGTACACTACAAGAACGCTGATCCCAGTGAAGACGTCTTACTTGTTTAATCTATTTCCCCTAGTTGTTTCATCTCTTTCATTACCATTACCTATTTTTTCCCGCGACGAAACCATGCCACCCAAAGGCACAAGAAACAAGCAAAAGCCGCGCCGCCGTCGTGGCGCGAATGAAAAAGAAGCACCCGACGAGGTTGCTGATGCTGCTCCTGCGGTAGCTTCTGCGAGTACAACGAAAACGACGAGCGCGCCGCAGGTGGCAAATGTGGACAATGCAAGCGCGCTACTCTCCGACCCGAACGTGTTCCTGCTCATGCTCTACCAGCTGCAACACCCGGAGAAGATCATCATGCCCAACGTTGGCAAAATGATGGAGTGTCTGTGGCTCACGGCTGTGATGCGCCTCCACCGTTCTGGCTGGACGTGTGCTGGGGATCCCCAGCAGGCCATAAACCATCTACGCATAATCGAAGACGACAAGGAAGGCTGCACGAGCGCAGACGAGAAGAAGAAAATGAAAAATCACGTGCGATTCCAGTCTTCCCGCGACACAGAGTTTTACTGTGTCAAAAACGGTGTCCGAAGCGAAAATGTGTCAGTTTTAGATGTGCACTTGGAAGACGAAACGTGGCAGCTGTATCTGATGCAGTGTGTCCCGATGCTCACCACGGCGAACGTGTTCGCTGGGCGCCTCCGCTGGCCGGTGGAAGTGGTGCATTTCAATCCAAGCTATGTGAGCCAGCCTCTTGCCGTGCTGGACATTTTGTGCGTGGACGAAGACGGGGAGTCTTACGCAGTAATGCGGAATCTCGTGCAGGGCGCGTGGCGCGGAATTGACGTGGACTTCTGGCGGCCGGCTGTGGTGAAGAGTAGCGAATCGCCCGCTAGCGGACCGATCGGACACGAAGACGAGACAGGAAAAAGTGGTAAAATACAAGAGCGGGCGGTTCCTTCTTCGGCCAACCAAGATCGGCATTTTGGGCAGATGGACATGGCACAGCTGCCAGGCATGGCACCGCAAGACTCCTGGCTGACCTCGACCATGTTTGGTTTAACCGCTCTGACCATTCGCACACTAATGAACAAGATACAGAAAGGCGAGCACCAAAGCAGCCCGAAAATCAAGATTCTTTTCGTTGGCTTAGGCTGCGGTCAATTAGTCTCTGCGATCGCCCGATATTTTTACCGGGATAATGCGCGACTCAACGGTGATTTGCTGCAACTGGACGTAGTGGAGCCCAATAATCAAGTTTTCGAATACGCAAAGACGTTTTTTGGCTTCGCTGGTACAAAAGCGGTTCATCTTGCACAGGACGGTGCACCTACGGACGAAGTTGCGGAAGAAGATGCGTTTAGCATTGCGACGTACCAAGGACCAGGTAAAGAAGGCGCGTTGCGCGACGACACGGAAGAACAAAACGCGAAGCCGCGTGCCGCGAAAAAGAAGAAATCAGTGGCGAATTTGCGTGCCCTCCCAGAGGTGATTTCCGCTCGTGTTTTCCCAGAGACGTTGGAAAGCTTCGCCGCGCGCGAGGAAAATGTTGGAGCCTACGACATTGTCGTCGTAGGTGAGGAGCCTGCTTCGACGCTCCTTCAAGTGACCAGCAAGGAAAACAACGAGGCAGGCTCTTCTAGTACTCTCTCCCAGCTCAACGCTTGTCTGCGGAATGAAAATCTCGGCACACTGATTCTTCGTGAGCATGGCTGTACCGGCGGGAATATTGCGAAGCAGCGTCAGAAAGCTGAGAACAAGATGGAATCCGTGCTCCAGGTTGCGGAGTTCCAGTTGCGTGGAGCGCAGGAGGAGGAACATGGATCCCCCGCGGATGACAACGACAAGTTGAGCAAAACCTGGTGCACGGATCAAGAAGACGTTGTCGTGTTTGCGAGACGAGGCGCTGAGAGTCTGGAACTTAGTCTGCATGAGTGGGACGAACAGGTGGTCGAGGCCGAAGATCGGGCGATTTTGCAAAAGCCGAATTTTTCCTTCGGCCAAAAAGACGACGCGGATCTGGAAACCCCAAGGGAACAGGCGGACGAGAAAGAGAGCAAGCAGCCCCCACTTCCCACCTTGCGCGACGCCCAGCAAATGCCTGTTGTGAAATTACGCAATGTTCTCACAGCGGATGAAATTTCGCAAATCGAACGACTCGCGCAAGACTGTGCGGACGAGAGGATCGGGTCCGAGGTACGGTCGCACGACAAGAGGAAGGCCTGGAAGGTGCTGTTTTTGCAGCAGGGGCTACGCTTTCAGACGGAATTTCCCGAGATTTGCGAGAAAATTTTGCAACGAGTGAAGAAAGCAGACAAAGAAAACTGGGACCTGATTCAGGACGGCAACTTCAACATGCGGGTAATCGAGTATCACAGACAGGTTGCGCCGTCGCCCGGGTTACCCGATCCCTGGCACTACGACCAGGATTCCTTGCTCACATTGGACATTTTGCTCTCCGAAAGTGTTTCCTCCTTTTCTGGTGGGGACTTTGGGACGCTGGAAAAGAATGGTGATTTGGAAAAACACAACTTCGAAAGCCAAGGTGACGCTCTGCTGTTCGTGTCCCACAAGTACCACTGTGTGCAGCCGGTAACTGCGGGGGAGCGCCGGGTGCTGGTCATCGAGTTCTGGCGTTGGCCGACGAGGAGTTGCGGACACAGGTGCGAGGTGGCGGCACGGAGGAGTTGTCCGCTAGAAGAGATCAAGCACGTCGCAGGGGAAGCGTCAGTAGAGAAAAATGATGAAAAGCAACCGCCCCCTACTCCCAAGACTGCGGAAAAAAAGCGGAATGAGTTGCAGATGGAAGGGCAAGTAGACGTCTCCGCCTGCTTACCCTTGCCAATGCGCTTGGGCAATGTCTCGGAGCAGGAGCAGACCGAGGAAAGCAGCTCGCACTGCCTCCGCATTCTCTGGCAGAGCAACGAAGTCCAAGCAGGGAAATTCACTGCGTTACCCGAAACACTCGATCAAAGCAACGAGGCCTGGGATCTATTCGATTGAGAAGGCTAGCCCAAGTTAGTCTACCTAGCACTGTCCCCACCTCATGGTTCTCTGTAAGCTTAAACGCTTTGTGTACTCATTTAGAATTGCAAGTGCAACAAACGCAGTTCATCGACGCTACAAGTTCATATCAGCATACCCACACGCGCAGTGAGTACGATCAACGAAAAAAAATTTTCTGTCTCCGAATGCTGTAGGAATATTCAGAGCGCAGCGATGAAACGTCCTATAATAAGTGGCGGTGTTCTGAGGAGTTCGAGTTTTCGAAAGCTCGTTCTGGTAGTACGAGAAGCAAGTTAGGAAACCTCGAGTGATTTCAATGAGTTTTGTGTGTGAGAGACTCAGAAAAGTTTGGATCATTTTCTTTCGGTTTTCTTGCTCGAAATGCAGCGTGATCATATTCAATTTTCCAGGCTCCTTGATTTTTTTGTTAGTGCCCACGATATTTTTAGCCCGACATTCTAAAAAGTAATTCTTTCAAAGAACAATTTTCGGCTTTGTTTTGAAAGTTTTGTCTCTTTCTTTGATGCATGCCTCGATTTTTTTTTTGCAAGGAACTTTCATTCACTAGCTTGGATTAATTTGTGTAGCTCAAGTTGTTCTAGAACCTTGTATGGTTCACATTTCTTTGTTCCTAGCGCAATGCGAAAACCCTTTTGGTTTGAGCGTTGTCGCCTATCAGTGTAGCACAGCCACTTCGTTTCACTAGAGTACTGAAGATCAGCAACATGGTGTGCAGTTTGTTTTTCGTAGCAATCTTCAACTGAAACAAACCATAAAAATTTCGAAGGGAATGAAATCGTTTTATCCATTGACTGGCAATAGTCGGTGCCTTTCAGAGTTTTTTGATAACTACTAGCTCTATTATACTTCTGCTTCTCGCGTCCAAAATATGGCCGACCGTTTTATTGCATTCGCGGACACTGCAGCTCAGGTGTCTGAGGATCCGGCGGAAGCAGACCGCTGCAGCGGCCAGCTGACGCCCGATCAGGCAAAGAACATGGCGATTGTCAGCCGCATGCTGGACAGCTGGGTCTCCGGGGCGTTTCATCCGCACTTGGCGAAACTCCCGCCCCTTGCAGAGGTGTCTCTCGTTCCTTTGGCGGTCGCGGGGACGCGAAAGTCGATGATGAAAGGAAGAACGAACGAGAAAAGAGAGTCGGGCGATCCTCAAAGAGGACCGGCTAGCGTGGATTCCCATTCATCGCCGCACCGACCCTTTGAGCCGCCTGCCAGAACCGTGACGCCGGATGATTCGAGAGCACAGGGTGCGAAAAAGGAACACGATTCGCGATCGATTGACAGTGTCGTGGCGACAACAACAATACTGCTTAAACAACGATCCGATGAAGACAACAAGCTTCTAACACAACCTAGCTTCATCGTGACTGCGACCCCGACCCTGATCAGTGCAACGGCCGCAGACCTTGAGCAACCGGTAAGCCTGCTGAGCGAAATTAGCAAGAACGGGAGTCGCGAGGCATTTGAAAAACTGAAGTTGGAGAGCGACCAGGCCTCAAGTCCGCGATCCACAGCCTACTGCTCTCCAGCCTTAACGGACTCCGCGGCCAGTAGCGATCCAGAAAACTGCGACGAGCTCAGCTTGGTGTTTCAGGAAATGACAGAAGCGGAGCGGAGAGAGGAAGAGAAGGAAGGAACAACAAATGCCGTAGCAGATCGCTCTTCGAGCCGCGAATCGTCCAGACGAAAGAGTAATCGCTATTCCAAGATGCAGCGCGCGTCCGTCGGCAGCTGCGATATCGAACCGGAGGAGTCCTCCGTTCGTGTAATTAAAAAGTCCACGCAGGACCAGGATGACGAAGTGCAGGACGAACTGTCGGAACAAAATCCCATCCCTGAACCGCAAGATCCGAGGCCACCCTTACCTGCTGATGTTCGGAATGTTTTGAAAAATTTCTTCGAGGACGATTTTTCGTGCGATTGCCGGGGACCCCGTGGTTCCGTCTTTCGTGAATACGAGGGCCTGGACGAAAGCGCTTCCTGGTTGCAATTTTTAAGTGGGCAGGCGATCTCTATTCGGCAATCGCAGCTCTTCCCCGGACCACCCGACAGTGGAAAGGTGTACTTCGACTGGAAATATGTCGTGCGAAGCACCAACAATGCAAATTCGGATTCGACTACAGCTGAAGGAGCAGAGAAGACCGAAGTAGAGCATCACGACATGATCTGCTACAGTGTCGGGAAGCGTCGGATCTCACACATGAGGTCATTTTTCGGAAATGCGAAGGGCTGGGACGAAATCGTTTTCAAGCAGATGAACCAAAGTGAGGCTCTTTAAGCGATAGTAAGCAGCTGCTTGTGGAAAAGAAAAAACATGAGTTTCGCCGTCCTGCTGATGTGTAATATTATTCGACCAATGTTGATACTGATAGTGATAGTACGAACATGCAGAAGATGTTTCATATCCAGATTCATATCAAGGAGCCAGTGTACGGTATTACTAGCAATCTACCGACTGTATGTATGATGTACCTAATCCAAGCGTTTATGTTTTGCTTGTCTTGTTTTGCTTTGGATTCTTCGACGCCAATCACAACTAGAAAAGTGCCCATTTGATTTGGCGCATCGATCAACCAAGAGCATGATGATTTGCAATTTGGTTTTGCTACTCTTGAATGATGTGCCGGTTCGCTAGTCCTCTTCGATTCTCAATCACTTGGACAAGCACGGCAGACGAGCAGAACCAAAATAATAGATCGCGTGTATGGAAAAGCATGAGCAACTAGATAAACAGATTTACGACAACTGAACTCGCTGCTTGTTGGAGAATGTTCCCGTTGTGTTTGTTCTTGTGTACAAGACGAAAGAGTGCGAAGAGAGCGTTATGTTGAGATGTACGCCTTCTAGAAGAGCGGTGGCCTTATCGTGTTTGTTGACTCTTTCTGAGTGGTAACCGTAGTGAAGCGCTTTTCGATGCAGTGAGAGAAGGAGTATTTCAGGAACAAGAATGATGACAAGCAACAGCAAAGTTTTCTCGTTGCTGCCACTGCAGCCGGGTGCCTAGAGTAAGTATGTACTAGAAACAGGTTTTGTGGAGTTTGGCTTAAACCTTTCCTTCGTCACTCAGTGTATTTGCGCTCGAACACAACATGAGAACTACCAACGAGCCGCGCATATCCTTCACATTGGGAGGAGGCACGTCGGAGGAGCATGGAAACAGTCGGAGCTCACGCTACCGCGCCGAGGACGACGGACCGATTTGGAAGGCTGCCCCACCACAAGATGTCGATGACAGCTGCACGATTCAGGGCGGCTTTCTCCAGCATCGGACAGAAGACAAGAGACCAGACGGAGACACCAGAATCCAGGCGCCGGTTGTTCTCCCGCTGATATTGGGTCAGTCGGACGATCGTGCTTCCGATCCGGGGGACGGAGGAGCACAGGACTTCGAAAACTGCGAACGCTTACAGAACATCGCCACAATGCTCAGCCAAGCCGTGCCCGCCGTACAGAAATCCATCCGGCATTCAAGTATAAAGAATAGTTGCTTACTTCTAGAAAATACTTTGTTTGCGGTATGTCATGGGAAAAAAGTCGCACCCGTTTCTGCAGCCAAAGAATCCTACAATCACTCGCATTCGTCCAGGGTCCCGCGAGCATCGGTTAGAGGAGGAGAACGCGCGTTTACGCACGGCACTAGACGAAGCGAAGGCGGAAGCCCTACAACTTCAGCGAATCTTGGAACAGGAGCGGACGAAGCACCGAAACGACCTGAAAGAAATGGAATCGATGTACTCAGTACTGCTGGACCAGCACGAGCGGGTAAGATTTTCGTTGCTCCTTGTCGATAGTTAAGTTGTTCAGTGCATTTGGATTTCGTTTTCTTTCTGCTTGCATTTGCATATCAGACATAAAACGATGGTTTTACATCATTCTCGCTACAGACCGTCGATAAGCTGCAGCAAACGCAGCAGTTTACAGCGGCTCCTTCACCAGGAATTGTCGTTGATACCGCCTCTGCGAAGGGGGGTACGCACAGTAATCACAGCGGGTCGACCAGCCCGCAGCCACAGGAGGAGCCATAGGAGACAAGATCTTTTTCCAAGTCCTCGCTACCAGCTTGAGGGCGGTGATTGACTGGATGGCAAGTCCGGTTAGTTAGGAAGCCAATACTAGTTTTTGATCATCAACTACACCCCCATGACTCAACAAAGCTGCTGGAGGAAGAATTCCATAATTTGTGAAAATACTTGTTGGTTGACAATTATCTGCACTTCCACTAGCTGAAATTTTCCCTACTATCAGCTTGCAACTACGCCTACGAAATAATGACCCATAAATCTGAATGAAACAACTCGTTGTCACACCTATTTCTGCCTTGCATAATCCTTTTCATCTGCCCTTCTTGGCGCTGCGTGCAGGTGCAAAAGTCCATGTAAAAGCGTATCCGCGGGAGCGGTACCCCATTCAGTTGGTTTACTTGTACACTCGCTGCAATCTTCTCTATGTCGTATTCCGCACACATTTTCATTCGCTTCAATGTACCCCGCGGACGTGGTTGAGACCAAGGGAAATTCATTGTCAAACATGACAAAGAAACACAAAACAGCAGCCGCTGCCTATCACCATACGTAATCTTGCACGTATCAGGGTTCTCATCCCTGTCCTCCTCCTCTGTGCCTCCTCCTCCGTGACGCGATACCTAAAACGCTGCATCCTACTTGTTGCACTTGCAAGCGTTCAGAAAACAGGTTGCATGTTCGTCGTGGGTGACACCCACCACGAACATGCAATGCCATGCTGATCAGAGAGTTTTAAAGATCAAAAGCAAGAATCTTACCAGCGGGAACCAGTCCCTCGTGCCACTTTGTGGCGAACTCGGAATTTTTGTTGCGTCAAGAATCTTTTCGCCGACAAAGCGCAAGGATCAGGCTACGGGCGGTTCCTTGAGAGATCTCGACACAGCATTTGCGCTATCGCACGCTCTGGAAAAAAATGCGCCCGGTGCCGCTCCAAATCAACAATCAAAACAAATGTTGGCCTCACCATGCCACCGTCACTCTTCAGGCTTTGCCCTTTTGTCTGCACTGCTCGTTTTCGTGAGCAGACTGCTCTTACCGGTCTGTGCAGATGAAGATGACGCTGAGAAGATTGCGCGCGTGCTGGAAAGACTCAAGGAATACGATGCGGAGGAGGTATCGCACTGGCACGGGGTGGAAACACCGACGTCGTGCCGCCGACCGTGGCAGTTTTTCGATCGCACCCCCCTGGTGTGGCAGGATTGGTTTCGGCGGGAGTGCAGTAGGTCGCATAACAAAGTGCCAGTCTACTATGAGAACGCCACGTCCTCAATGCGCGTTTTCGCGTTCGACCGCTTTGTAAAGCGAAGCTACCTACGGGATGGCGCGGGTATGGAAAACCTCTGTCAAGACCCGGCCCTGTACGAAAAGCAGTTCACCTGGCCCTTCCGCATGGAGTATGTCCTTCCAAGAAGAGGCCTGGAACAGACGATGTCTTCAGACATGCTTGATGCGGGAAGGACACTGGAGACTCTGCAGCCGGAATATGGAAAAGACTTGGTCCAGAGGGAGACGGCGGCGCTTAAGTCGGCTTGCGCGGCGTCGCACGAGCGCGCTACCACTCTGACTCACCCATCGGTGTCTCAAACCAAGGCAAGTCAGCGCCACCGTCCGCGCATATCTCCACCCAACTACTTCCCTCCGCAGAGCAAGACGTATCTGCCTCTACGCAGCTCGATTGCGCAGCAAAAGCATCCGGTCGTAAACATGGATTTGGACAACTACCGCTGTAGACCTTGGAATCACCGCCCAGAAGACCACATTGACGTTTCTGTCGAGGCGGATATTTACGCGGTGATTAATCCGATACGCTCCAAAGTGACGAAAACGATAGAAGTGTCGATGGCCACGGGGCTCCCGCGCGAACTGCCGATATACCGCGTCGTTGCAAGAACGGACGGGAACGAAGATGATGAGAACGGGCAAATTCTTGCTGGTCGTTCAACTTCTGCGGCGATTCAACTTGACAGCCTCGGAGCCAGTGACAAAACCAAAAACGTCAACTACGATTACGACATGCAAGCCGGTCGGTTCAGGTCGTTTTTCGTCCTACACGACCGCTCCGCGAGTTCCGGCAACTACACGATTTATCTACCGCACGACACGTACGAACATCGGTTCAACGGAAGCAGTATTCAACTAAAGTTGAACTCCACGATGGGCTGCGACACGCCTTTGGGACTGTGGAGCCACGACACCCGACCAGTGGTGCGCTGCGTTCTGGACTCGCTTGCGGAATTTCTGCACATGGACGAAACGACGAGTGTGCTGGATTGGGGCAGCGGGTGCGGTCACCAGTTGGCATACTTGGCTGGAAGCTACGGCGTTTCCGGTCTGGGGATCGAGCCCGTGCTCGGGGCGGCGACTAGTGCGCAGAAGCACTACGAGGGACGATGGGTGAAAGGAAAAGCAGCAACTGCAGTGTCTGCGGAAGGGGTTAATGATCCTTCGGACCGCACGGTTTGGGCCGAACAGCAGTTCTTCAAGCAACCTTTGCTTTCGACGGCAACGAACCCGCCAGCCGAGACTGCTGCGACCGTTCGGTTCTGCCAAGACAACGGCGCGGATCTGAGCCACCTACCATCGAACAGCTTTACTCACGTGCTGAGCTACGGCGCATTGTATCACTTTGAACCGACAGCGCAGTGCGACATTCTGCACCAGATGGTCCGGGTTGCGCGGGAGAAGGTGGTCATTGGCTGGCATGTGGCTTCCCCGACGACATACGCCTCCGCGACCTGCCCGGGTTGGGAGCGGTGTCTCGAGATGTTGAGGTTGAAAACACGAGGCCTGTACTACGGCGTCGTTGAGGTGTGCATGCCGGAGAGGTGTATTTTCGGGCAAAGCACATACGACCTACCATTCGACAGCATCATCATCCAGAAAGTGTACGGATCTGTGGCGGCTGCTGGTGGAGTCGGTAGACAACGCGCATGAATTTGATTGCAAACAGGCTCTGTGGCATAAAAATTGCGTGTCACGCGTCTACGAGCCGCATGGAGGCAAGGCCTGATTCAGGCGTGCTGCAGCGTGTGTGTGACTGTGTTGATGTTTTCCTTGTTTCGCGTTTCCGGTCCTCGCAGGAATGAGATGTTTCCAAATGAATCGAGAGTGAGTGCCCGCGACCAATTTCGTAGGAGATATGGAGAGGTTTCATGCAGACTGACAGACCTCACCCCCATGCTTCGTCGAAGTCTTGATATTCGTTAATCGAAATTTCGAAAAACCACCTTTCCTCCAGTTGTTTGGCTGCTGTTTCCTCGGCAGCCGTATCTGTCTTAATTTTTTTGTCGGTATCTCACTGGCAAACACACCATCGGCCCAGTTGCAGCGTATTTGGCACCATGGTCGTTTCTGCCGTCGCTAGATGTGGAGCTACCGCCGCTTCTCGTAGCGGAGCTGTGTGGAGATGCCGCCTAGTCACTCCCAGTGCGGGTGGCGCGTACCGACAAGGGGACTGCAGTCCGCTTCCCGTTCATTTCCGTCCTTCTACCTCCGCGCAGCAGCAGCATTTGCGGAGTTTTGCTACTTCCGCGTCATCGTCCTCCTCTTCCAGCTCAGCGCCAAAACAAAGCGAAAAGCAACTTGACGCAGACAGCGTTGCGGCCCGCGCGGTGGCAGTTTCAATGCACAGGCTGCTCGTGCGGTCGCTTTATCGTATTAAGGACGAGGACGAACTTCCCGCTTCTTCAAATTTCGAACTTGGTGGGCTGCTTCGCACCATAGCTAGTCGCTACGGGGTAAATACGGACTTCAAAATCACAGAGAGCAACAAGCGCTGGATCGCACAGGCGTTGGCCTGTCGCAATCCATTTTCGGACGTGCAACACGGCTACGAGTTGACCATTCTCACGCCGGAGCGGCAAGGAGGGAAGTAAGGATTCTTTCGATTCGTTTGTTTCTCGCTTCTTGCGTGAATGTGCGGACTGCAGTTGAAAAATACTGACCGCGAAACGATGTAATCACTCATTGCTCACACGACACACAGGTACCATCTTGTCGAAGACAACGGCGATTATCTCAACACGAAGCCAGTGATGCTATCCTACGACACCCTGATGCTGCAAGACCGGACCTACATAAGATGCACGGGCGCAGACGAAGCTGAGTCTATTAATGCGGAGGATCCGCAATTCTGTAACCTGCGAGCACTAATCCGGCAACTCTTGGCCAAGAAGCTTCAGGTATAATCTTTTCTGCCCCGATGCGAAAAATCACCCTCTGCTGTAGTTTATCAAACTGCACGAACAAATGCCACCCATGTTTAATGTCGGACAGAGGTTTCGGAACTTTCCCATGTACAGGTAGAAGTAGATCCCGCAGAAGCGGGAGAGCACTCAGGTCCCGTCTCCTTCAAACGGGAAGCAGTGCTCGACCTTGGTTTTGAACTTCTGGAGCTAATTGCTGAGTTTCGTCGCAGCTCGCGGTTCGTCGCCCGGCAGAAGCGGCTGCAGAAGCGACAGATCGATCGGGAGTTCGAGGTGCTGTCGCACAAGAGAGCGCCGAAAAACCGGGCCCGCATGCGTCAAGCGAAGGAGCGCATCAAGGAGCTGTGGCTAAACCATCCGGACAGAGAAATCCGTGATCGCCTGTTTTCCGTCTGCAACCTGGTAGGGGATCTCGATTTTTTGACCACCACGCCGCGTCGGGGAAAGGCGGTAGAGGACTTGGAATCTTCCGCGAAGATAGATGACGCCACAAAACGCCAGTGCCTGCTCGAGTTGGACGATATTCTCAGCGTAAAATTTGTTGCTTACTGATTTTGCGGTTTGATCTTGAGCGTTTTTCTTTTTGTTCTTTCATTGTGATTGTGGTGAATAGCCATTCCCATTGCAATCGATACAAGATGAAAAAATGAAAACACTAACACACTACAGGTCGACCCGCTTCATGTGGAGACGCTGCATACCCGGGCGCTGCTATTTTTCATGGACGGAAACTACCCGGCATGCGAGGAGGATTTGAAGCAAATCCTGAAGATTGAGAGGCGGCACTTTCCCAGCCTGCAAACCCTGTTTCGCTTGCACCAAGTGCGGGAGGATCGCAAGGGCATGATTGACGTCGTTGACGACCTGCGAGCCATCGCGCCACGCGATCCGGATCTCGACAATCTCTACCGGGACATCCCAAACGCAAGCGAGAACCCACCCGTAGCGAAAAGCACGCGAAGTAGTCCCAGGGTGAATGATACCGAGACAGGACCAGTGGCTGGCACATCTGCGAAGAGCAAAACCAGGGCATCTTCCGCAACGGCAAAAACCGATATCGAGGAACTTTTTGACGACGACAGCGCTGCGGAGCAGTTCAATGCAAATACGAGAAATAACGCAGTTTCCTCCTCATCTGCCCCGGCGGAGGGCGACGCCCCGTCTGCCGCCGCGGGTCCTGCTTCAAGGGCGACGGCAAACAACCCGACCAGCAAAAAGGTGCCCGTTGACGCTGAGGGTCGTGTGGACTAGCGGTCAATGTCATACAAAATTTTGAACGAAAGAGAAAGACGATTTAGACGCAAGTCATTTTTCTCTTCACTTTCATTCGATTCTCGTCTTATGTTTCGTACAAAATGCACAATGCGATAGTCTTTGTTTCTGGTAAAATGACGGTAGTAATTAGAAGACGGTTCTGGTTTGAGTTTCGTACGGAAGATGATGCCGAACTCCACTATGTAAAAATGCAGTGTAAACAAAAGCGTGGAACGGAATATTTTGGGCATAGGTAGACGAACTTTTTGTCCTGGAGGTTTATCCTTACACACAACTGAGGTCGCATTCATCTGGAAATGCCTATGTATCTGCAACTGACCAAGTGTTATTTGTGTTGTCTTGTCGCAATACGGCCTACTGTATCAACCAGGAAACAGGAGCGACACATTACGAGAGAAATAAACGGCTTCTTCTTTAGAGGAGAGATACAGGTATAGAGCGCACTTCACGACGAGTGGTGGTAACGCTGCTTATCTTCAAAACCAAGGAAACAAAGACAACGAATGATATACAGAGTTCTTGTTTTACTTTCCAATACAGCATCCAGATCCATGTCCACGGAGCGAAGGATACCAAACGTAGCACTCCGCGTGCATAGTGATAGTCAGTATGTTGCGCAGGACGAGAACTATGTTTTCTGCTGCTTATACAGCAACTTAAGGTCAGAATATTACAGTCGTTTACCGCGGCGACGGAGGATTCTATACACTAGTTTACCCGCCCACTGGTTCTTTTGAGTTCAGTTGCGATAAAGACCATGGTGCTTTACATCAACATCTTGATTCTGAATCCTGATGCGGCGCTCGAAAAGCAGGCGGGGCGGTTTTCCCTGTTCGCAAAGACGATGGTAGACCACGATACCCTTACCGCCACCATCGCAGAGGTGATAAGGCGAAAGGCGGAACAGGACATGCGAGAACGAGGCTTCGACGTGGAGATACGAGTACGGGAATCACATTCGTTGTACTGCGTGCTGGAAATAAGCATCAAAAAAGCGCCGGTCAGCGTCTTCAACATCTTTAATGCCTGCTGCGAAACCCAGTCCGCAGCTGTTATCATCGTCGAAAAAGGTACTTTCACTTTGATCTGTTGCAGCTACTACATACAGTGAGTTTCGGAGCAACGAGAATTTGAATTCTGCTCGAATTCTATAATGCTCTAGACATGTTGATGTTCGTAAACTCACACATCACCGATTCTCTCCACAGCCATGGCAGCAGCGTTTCCTTCGACACTAAAAAGCGAGTTGCGAAAAGAAGGGATAGAAGCCGACGTTGTCGTGGTTCGAGATACGGAGAAACAAGAGCAGTACGAGGGCAAGGTGCTGGACCTGTTGTATCCACCCGCGCCCGACGCTACCGTCCTCGCAACACAAGTTTGAATGAACATGGCAGAAATGCTTCACGACCTCGCAGTTTCATCCTTTTACAACCGAATGCACACAAAAACCACGGGACTACACGTGTCACGTGGTTCCCTGTTTCACACAAATACTCATCGCACCGATTCGGTGCTGCACATCATGACACAGTTCAGTTGTCGGCGCCACGCACGGTTTTCGGGATAGTGGAGATGCGGGATCTGTTCGATGCGACTCTTTGTCTCGTGCCTCATGCAATCTGTAGTGCCGTGACCGTGTTGCTGTCGTGCGGCACTATCTTGCTTTCTGTTTCTTTCGCTTTATTTCATAAGCACGCTTCGTAATTTTTTTTTGTCTCGTACATAGAAGTACAAGTAGATCTGTCTTGGTATCGCGGCCTTACCGATTGTTTTTGAATATGATCTTGGTTTAGTGCGATAGCTCGAGAAGACAAGCACACAAAGAAAGACGAGCACGACGCCACGTAGGCAATCAATGCGATCATGGGTTTTTTTGGATCCGATAAAACTGAGCGAATCAAATCGAAGGGGCGAGTGGCCAAACAGAAAGGGGTCGCTGCAGGGGCACTACCTCCAGGTCCAAATTACCCGCAATACAAGAACCCAGACCCGCAGCCGCCCATGTGGCCGTCCTCTTCGTCTTCCAAACGGACTAGTGCGCCGCAGTCCGCCAGAAGCGCGCCCCCTGAGGACAGTGTAATCAGTGGGGGTCAACAACTACAGCGGCAAGAACCGGTTTTCACGCAGGAGCTGATCGGCTTGGACACGCAACTAACTGGGATAGACGGAAACAAGCAGAACCGCTCCGTCACGGTCGACGACCCCGGCGGGCGGCCTGGGACGGAAAGCAGATCCGGGCCGCGGTCGGGGTTCTCGCGCCGGGGTGACAGACGGGCGGACGGCAACTATTGTTTTTGCTCCTGGCGATGCCTGCTCGTATCGTTTTTGGTCATAGCGATCGCGTTTGCGCTGCTGGTCTTGCTTGTGGAGTACTGGCAGGAGGAACACTCCCCAACGAAGCAGCCGCGGAAGAAATCCTCCTACCGATCCGATGGGTCGACGATCGGGCTGCCGCATATTTTCAAGTCTTCCGGGTCTGCGTTTGGAGGGAACCGTCCGTCGTTATACCACCAGACAAACGCTATCAAATGTAAAAATGTCTGGGTCTGGAAGATTGCCAGGCTTGGTTGGTTGGTTGGTTGGGTAGCGCCTGTCGCCGGTGCAGGTCCCGCCCTCCATCGATTGCGATCCGGAGTAGCCAGAACACAAGGCCCTAGTGGCACAATCGATCGACGAAGGTTTGTCATGCACATTTTGCATGACTCCTGATGGCCCTAGGTTTGTCATGCACATTTTGCATGACTCCTGATGTCTGTGATGCATGCCCTAGCATCACAGATTTTGTGAGGGCTTCCTGATGCCTATACTGCATGACAAATGCTCTTTCCGTGTAGCAAAACTTGGACTCTCTTTGCTGCTCAAGCAATACAGATTTTTTTTACAATTCAAAATCAGCATGACATTGATTCCAGACACAGACATTTTTACAGTTGACAAACGCAGGGGAGCAGCGATTTCAACTGTGGGACCAGGAGGTAAGCGAGCATGCTGATGCTGCGCACATGATTTTTTGTTTGGTTGGTACACGACACGAAGATGAGGCATGTAAAGCAAAGGGAAAAAAAAGCATTTAAGTACATAGATACTCAACATTCACATTAGGAGGAGCAAGAGCCGGTCGCTTCGAAACCATTGAAGCCAGTCAAGCCTCTACTCGACGGGAGCCTTTCACTCGTTCCAGATTACGCTTCTCTACACCCGTCACCGATGGATAGCGTGCGAGCAAGAAGGTTTTCGATTCTCAAATCCGCACAAAATTTCTTGGAAGCGATAGAAACTAATCTAGCATCCAGAATAGCAGATGCTTCGGATAGTCCTGCCGCTAGTGCAAGTGCAGTAGAGCAGCCCACTGACGCCGCGACAACGAGCTCGGGCAGTGCGGCTGCTTCTTCCGGCGCGGCAGCGCCACCAGCAGCGCAGCTTGCAGCTGCTGCCCTGCCAGCACTACCTACCGTGATCAAGTCCTACGTCGAGAAGCTGTACTCCCGCCGGTTGACGGTTGATGTTCTCGACTACGGAAACGGTAGAAGCACTGATAAAGCGGTGCCAGCACATCAGTCTACTTCTGACCAGCCAATAAGCCCACTCGCAAATTTGCGAATAACCTACTCCACGAGCTCCACAACGACCAGCAAGAAGCTTGCGCCGGTCGGATTTCTCACTCTTTTCCCTATCGGCGAGAGTCTGCGGGAAGCGGTGGATAAACTACAACGAAGTAGCGGAGGCTCTTCATCCTCCCATAGCGACGACAAGCACTCCGCGATTCCGCCTGAGCTGCTCCATGTTGCACTGCTGGTTGGCCTTTTAGAAGTGTTCGCAGCGGAAAAACCCGCTCTGCAAAGCGACGTCGTAGTGGTTTTTAGTCCGGACAGTGCCAGTAGAGACGTTGGCGTGGACAGGATGCTGGAAGGTATGATTCTTAGCTTGGTTTTTCTTGCACCAAAAGGAAAAGAGGTAATTGCACTCCGTCGTGAGGAGAATGAAAAGATGACGAAGTTGTCTGAAGATCACATTCAAAATCAACAAACCCCCCAGACGGCCTCCTTTCCGACCTCCGTTCTGTTCTCTACCTCCAAGGGTCCGGCGGCCATCCAGTTTGCGGCTCCACGTCTGCGCTGTTCTGGAAACTTGGGGTTTTCGGGCAGCTCGCGGGCTCTGGGCAGCCGCAGCAGGGTATCAACGCGCTCGAGTTGCTGACGGCGGCGCTCGACCGGTTGCAAGGGACGTTCTACCGCGAAATGACGCAGGGAACGCAGGTGCAGGACAGGCGGCACGGGTTTGAAGTTTCGAGCACCATGAAGCCTACACAAATCAGCTGCGACGGAGGTGGTGACACGATACCAGGGCACTGCACGGCGGTTGGGGACGTTCGGTTGTCTCCGTTCGTAAGGCCAGAGGAAGCGAGGAGAAAGGTACAGTACTGCACATGTTTGATACAATCGGCATGCATTCAAAGTCAATTATATCTATGCATGGCATTTTGAAGATGCGACTGCGAGTAGAGTGCCTTTCATGTACAAAAAAAACAGCTCGAAAGCGCGGTCGCTCTCCTCAACGAGCACGTGGACCGGCTTCCCGCCCGCGGTCCGTATTCCAAATACTCCCTTTATGGCACCGCCGACACGGCACCTCTGGCAAATAAACTCGGCCGCTTGGATTTCCACTGGATCTTCGACCGGAGAGAAGCGGACGTGTACGAGGGTTTTGTCTGTAATCCGCGAAGTGCTCCGCATCGCGGTTTGATACAGGCGACGAGGGAGCTGTATGGTGCGTCACATCCCCACGCGATTGGCGGGAGTATCCGGTACGTGCGGATGCTACAGGAATTCGGGCACGACGTGCAAGTGATCGGTTTCATAGAAACGAGCAGTAGCTCCGTGATAGACAACCCGGAGGGTTTGCGGGTAAATTTTCAGGTGTTGACAAAGTACTTGAGCTTGCTGGACGTGCACCAGAGGGAGGAGCCGTACGATAAGGAAGTGAAGGTTGTAGTGCATCAGGCTAGCACATAAGGCACAAGCTACTTGTTCGCTCCGGTGACGACGGCTGGCGCGCACAAGAATGTGTGTCTTCGCACCTCCCTGGTTGCGCGGCGTTGTCGCGGTGCGCCGCAATATGTCGGTGTGTTGCAGCATAGTCAAAATCAAGATTTCGAGGCGGGCACGTCGCCGCGGATTTTGGCAACGTACACTGTAATAATTGTGAATTGTGATATCGTCCCTGCGTGAGCGTGCCTACAAGCATTAATTCGCAATAAAAAAGGAATCAATCTTCAGCGGTTGCACGACACTCTTTGGCCCGGTTGCTGCCTGAGGCAGAGTGCTTTCGTCTTGCAACTCGAGATGTTTTGAGCGACTAGCTTCTCGGTAGGATGGACATCCCAGTCGAGCGGCAACGCCACTTTCAACGGTAAGTAAGTAAGTGCGCGCATCATGGAGCTCAACAAATAGTGTTCGAATTGCTAGACTGTCGGAGCGGCAATTAAAGTATCTCGTGAACAAAGCTAAGATGAAGTACATCTGCTTGCTCTCGTGAATCACTATGTTGCGAGATATTTGTAGATAATGTATCATGAAAAAGAGTCGGGCAATCGCAATGCATCCGTGATCGAGGTCGATTCCGTTTAGAAAAGTGTCGTGTGGGGTCGATGGGGGTTGCAACGAGCGGTGACGAGTGTAATCATGAGGCTCGTCGCCGGACCGGAAGGGTGAAAAATCGAGCGAAGTCATCAAAGTTAAAGTAGAAGCTCGGCGACCGTTCAATCGATGCAAAAGCTTAACCTCGTCACAACTTGGTTAAAATCGAAGTTTTACAGCTATCTCTCTCAATGAAAACTCGTTTAGGCACGACGATTCGACATGTGCATGAAGATCAACCAAAATTTAGTTGGGTCCTGCTTTCGCGTCGTTTCAGCTGAGCGTCTTCCTTTTGTGAATTAGAATCAGAAAAACTGGACTCCTACTTTCAATACCTATGTATTGACCACTTTCCAAGAAATACTAATTCGGAGAAAATTTACATTATTGCGTTCGCGACCGTGGACTACAATTGCTACTTTCCGCGGACGATTGATTTCGCAACCGAGGATACCGTGCTTCGGCTTTAGGTTTAGTGCTGCAACTGTCTGGTGCTCTTCATCATTGAGATTGCCGCTTCGGCTCGAGCGTTCGCCGCAATAGGTATTGGCTTTTGATTCTGTTTCTGTTTTCAGTAGAAATTGAAATAGATGCTGGATTCGGTACGCGTCGTCCGGATATCATTGATTTTATGGACGCCCATGCCTAACTCAACACAAACTGTATATGTGCCCGACCGTGATACTTTATTTAGGTCTGCAGGCAGTTGTTCCGGGACCTGGGTTGCGAAATCCAGTGCACCTAAGTACGCCATTGGCTGTGAGGCGGATCGAGTTGTCAGACTTTTTTGCAGAAGAGGCTCGCTGGAAACGCCTCGACAGGTACTCTCTGCTTGCAATGAATGAAGAGATCGTGCTCAGGCAGCTGGTAGATCGTCGACACTCGATCGTCGTCGTGTCGTAAGTATAATATAGGTAACTTATTACTTATATATTAGACTTTTTTGTGATTGTGAAATGTGAAGTAGATGCTGGCATTCGCATTTGCCGCTCGAACCGGAGACATGGACAGGTCCATAGATACGTCACAATGTACGAAAAAAATTTTGTAACTCAGGGGCTTCTGAACTCAACTACATTCCTGCTTTCGAGAGCGACCAGGAGTAGAAGTTCCCGTGCTCTCTGCTAGCGGCACCTGTGGCATCCGTACTTCGAACTTTTGCGGTACCGAGTTGACACGAGTTCTGTTCTTCGACATCATGTACGACAAACAGCAGATTGTTGAGGACTTCTCGAGCTTCCTGCAGCACGGGCACAAAAACTTCACGGATTGGTTGGTTCATAAAAACGAGGAGTTTGGGAGCACTAGCACCGAAAGCTGCGCCGCTTCGTCGAGCAAGATTTCATCGTGCACAGCAGGAAGCGAGCTTGAACTCTCAAGACCATTGAAATCCTTGCAGAACACCGCTTTTGTTGAATCCTTGTCATCATCCTCCGTGTCATCTTCATCTCCGAGTAGTCACCTAACGCGTCGCACAACACGACCTACAACCTTCAGAGCAGTCGGTGAAATAGTTGAAACCGGATTAGAGAATGCTGAACAGAGTGCCGCGGTTTTGCAAAGACAAGCCAGTGACAGGATACGCAGAGATACAGCGGACATTGGAGCCGCTTTGGGAGATGCCCAAGGTCGAATTGCACATGATATTCAAGATTTGCGGACTCAAGCAACTGGAGTTTTGGGGTCATCTACAGCAGCATTCGGCAATGCGATGGGTACAGGCGGCAGCTGGTTGATGCACCCTCGCCAGACAGCTGCAAGTGCTGCTGGTGAAATTGGAAACGCGGCTAGCCGTACGGGAGCGGCCGTTGCAGGGGCTGCAAACAGTGCTGGAAATACTTTCGACAATGCAACTACTGCCGTGGGAAATACTGTGAGCGCAGGCTACGGAGGAGCATTGGCAGGCTACAAAGGAGCATTGGATCTTGCTGCAGGTGGTGTGGGTGCCGGTGTCCACGGAGTGAATCAAATGGCGGATCAGTTTAACCAGCGTTTGCATGGGTTGGACAATCACCAACAACTAGAAGAACAACCGGCCGTGCCCCCCCAGGACCAGCCTCCGGTCGCGCCGCCTCCGGTCGCGGCGCCTCCGGTCGCCCAGACTCCGGAGCAAGCAGCTGCGTCGCCGTCGGTGTAGCTGATTTCACGGAACTAAGAACCTCAGTCTTCCACTTACCGATGAATGTGCACGACAGAAGACCCTGGTCCTATAAACCTTAAACCCTGAACTATCGCAGCACCGAACAAGGAAACAATGTACTTGCGAAAAACTCAAATTGACTGTAGGTGATTCTGATTGCAAGTTCTTGAACTTACAAAAAGATCCTGATCTTATATATTGTCTCTTTCTGGTTGATGCCGTGTCGCGAAGTTGATCATACTCTGAAGCCAAAAGACAAGAAATATGGAAATCAAGAATTGCGCAAGGTTTTATCAGAGCTGTGGCAAACCAAAATTCTAGAAACAAAAAAATCAAACAAGCGTCATATAGCAAAGAAGTCGTGGAAGATGTTGAGGTTCCAAATTATAATTAAGCTGGTTGTTCTTGCTCATGGTCACGATGATTTTTCAGTTCCAAAAAGAGTAGGCGAGGAAGTAATATTGGATTGCCAATTTCGGTTTGCTCTTGGTCTTGTTCAAGTATGAATGATGTGCGCAAGGACCATGAATATGGACATAAAACGCGTATTGATGACATTCCAAAGTGATAGCCGCACCTGAAACCGCCAGGGTCGATCTAGGTATGTTTACTTCAAAATGAAATACTGATGTTTTTCGATAAGTTAGTATGGATTTTTTTTGCGTTGAACAATATCAGAAAGTCCAAGTGATGAATCGTGTTTGACCCCCATTCGTGTTGGTGTAGTGACTCAGAAACCTGCCCCTGACGTTGTCACGAAATTTCAAATCTGTAAGTATATTCAGTCACGCTCACGCTCACGTTTCTGGGCACGGAGATTTTGTGCTTTAGAAGAAATATGGCATCGACAGACGGTGCCCAGGAGGTCACCAAGACCGTTGCCGAATGGAACGAGGAGCGTAGGAAACTCGGTCTAAAACCTCTCCGAATAGAAGAAGACGGCAAAGCGGTAGACGGAACCTCGGACGCACCATTAGACCACTGGGCAGAAAAAGCGAAGAAGGACGCCGCAAAACACGATGCAGTCGCCGCGAAGCAGCAGGACAAGAGGAAGAGGTACATTTTTTTGCTCTTGCGAATTTACTTTGTTTAGCTGTGTACGTGTTGTGACGAGCCGAAACTGAATCCATTTCTTTCTGCGGTAGAAAATGAAGATTCATTGCGAACCAAAATCTCTCAACAGGGAGCGGGCCAAACTTGCAAGCGGTCGCGGTCTCGGCGACATCCTGGACGATGACGATGATTTGCAGGCATGGGCCAGCAGCCACCACACGACAAGCTCGCGGAACCTCGAGCGCGCCGCGGCGAAGAACCGTGCGACCAAGCAAAAAGAGGAGGCGGGAGACGGACCGTCGTTGGATAACTTCAGGGTATTTTCTTTCAGCTTTTTGTTTGGCGTTCTGCTTCTGACAATGATAATGAATTGTTTTTCTTCGATTTTCTTTAACTGAACGGGAAAAAGGACGACAACGCATATTAGAGTTGATTCATGATCGATTCTCAGGTGACGCACGACATGGCGGATTTCCAGGAGGGCGAGCAGGCGATTCTGACGCTTGCGGACGAAAGGATAGTAACCCTCGACGGCACCCTGAACAGCGAGATGGATCTGCTGGAAGACATTAACAAGACTGACGCGTTTAAACTGGTATTTCTATTTGGTTTGATGGTTGCCTGGTGAAAAAAACAAAAAGTAAAGTGCACTTTTCAGCAGCAACAGATTGACTCAAATTCTGTGTCTCTGCAGCGCCGCTCGATTAATTTTAGCGCTCCAAAACGATCGATGATCCAAACAGAAACAACGTGAAGAGCGGAAGAAGCAAAAAGCGAACTACGACCCTTCCCGAGGCTACCACGGTGACCAGCAAACCGGCGACATCCTCGCGAAGTACGATGAGCTCCCCACCCGCGCCACTGGTTTCACGATGGCGGACGCGCACTCAGCCGTGGCCGAGCAGAAACTGAAGGAAATGGCACTTGCCGACCAGGCGGACGGAGAAATCAGCACACTGAAATTCCAGTCGGACGTCATGGACCAGGCGGAAGAGGTGAAATTCCGGAAAAAAATCGCGAAACAGGCCAAGAAGCAAAACAAAAGAAAGCAATTGAACATCGACGAGGACGAGTTTGACCGACCACCGGTGAAAATGCAGAAATTCAGGGTCCGCGCCGACGTTGACAGCGACGAGGATGATCCGGAATTGTACGAGCAGCTCCGCCGGCAGAAGACCGCCGCCACGACAAAACGGGACTTGAAAAAGGTCCAGGAGCTGCTGCGACCGGAAGAGGCTCTGGTAGCATCCTCGGGTCTGGCGAGGGACAAAGACAGTCGGTTGGTCAGCGCGACCAGCGAGTTCTGTCTCACGGTACAGACACACGACCAGAAAGAGGAGAAGACGAAGCAGGAAACCTATGCGGGGATGGAAACGTATTAATTTTAGATTTTTTCCTTTCGTTTCATATTTATGCTTCTTGTCATGATTTGCGTTCTGCTCAGTCGATTTACCGATCAAACTTGATGGCAATACATTCAATCCACAGGTTCAAGAAGGAGCGGGAGAACAAGCTCAAACTACACGACGACGAGGCCGCGAACGAGCGGAGAATAAACGATTCCAGGAAGCACAAAAGCAGCTCCTCTTCCAGCGCGCCGGTGGTCTCAGAGCAGCAACAGAAGGCCGTGGAGGAGCAGTTGCACGAGAAGCCTTTGGACAACAGTATGGCGAGTGCCCTGCTATATTTACGCGAGCGCGACGGGTTTGGCAAGGATCAAGGCTCACACCTGAAACGCTACACCGCCGAGGGCGGCGTGCTTGATATTGGAACCAACGAAGGCGACGTGAAGATCGAGTATAAGGATGAGTTTGGGCGCGTGAACACGGCGAAAGAGGCCTTTAGGCAACTCTCTTGGAAGTTCCACGGGAAGAAGCATGGTGCGCGCAACGCCGAAAGAAGGCTTCAGAGAATAGAGGAGGAAAACCGAATAAAACGGCTTGACATGAACGCCCCACCCAGTCTAGAGGCTCTGAAAAAGGTTCAGAAAAACGAAAAGACGCCATGGATGACGCTGGGATAGCGGCGCGTGTTGACGAAGGCCGTGTGCGGCCGCCCGGTCGTCGTGAAAAGCTCCACCGCGATCGGCTTATGGCCTTTCGTCATTGTCGTGTCACCAACCTGTACTTACCCACCCACGATTTTCGATTTCGACTAAGGTCCTATCACACATCTCCTGTTCCCCACGGGATGGCGAAATGTGCCAAAGCTGCCTTTTCTGTAAGTACCAAGTATATCAGCGACAAACTACCCAGAGAATACATGTCAAAAGTGTCACTTTATGTCGACATCTAACCAAGACAATCACAATTCTTTTCGCAGTCGAGACACTTTGGTGTTTGTACCGGCTGAGGCTAAGACTGAAGGTGCACGCTGTTCTCTATGTGAAGAAATTCGCGTTAATGCTAAAGGCATCGTCTTCGTTTTGGATTGACAGGCTCATCGAGACACGCGCGCGAGACACGCTTTTCAAAAAATGTACGGTAGAGCGAAAGTAATCGAGCGAGTAGAAGACGTCATACAAGGAAGTTTGCCAGAGACGTGGTCGTTGTAGCAGGAGGTTGAAATCGCCGAGACTCGTTCCTGCGCATGTACTTACGTGTCAGGACCTTTCTTCGATGAGAACTGATATATTCTTGCTCATTCCCACACATAAGTCAACAAAGAATAGCAAAATGTAGGAAGCTGTACCTGTAGTGTCTAGCAAGAAATTCACACTGTATGATAATGCTCTCTGTGTGTACAACCTCTCAAACTTCTACGAATATCAAATGAGCACGTTTCTGCTGTGAAAAACACATCTATCTTCATACCGACACACGTACGCGCAACTACGTGAGTCAAACTTTTCTTTGGATCTACCGGACGACCATAGACCTACGAGGAGCACCAGGAAACATCAAAGCGCATTGACGAGCACGCAGAGCAGTATCCTGTCGCTACGAATTTTTTACGCAGAAGAACGAGCGACCCACCGCGGCAACGGCCGGGGAGTTTGCAAAGTGTACATACCCCAATTTGGTGGCTACCTGACCACGCGCTTTCTCACCACCGGGCACCATGGCGAAGTTGATGTCAGCGCGGTCCAAGGCGCTGATGGAGGAGGCGGGTATGGTTCCCCCAGACGAGGAGGAGCAATCGGAGGAGACCGAGTACCTCCGCGGCGTCTTGCTGGATAAGGGGGAAGGTGTCATCATGAAAGCGTGGCGAAAATACTTCGATCCGTACTGCATCGGCGACGTCACGTTCACGAAGTTTTGCAAGGTAAGTACTATTTGGATTTTCGTTTCGCTTATGCAGTAGCTCTCCTTGCGCAGACAATGCAAGCCAAACAAAGCCCAGTGCTTCCTTGTGTTGATGCAGAATTCCAACAAAATTCTAAATCGCAGGGCCTCACATCCCTGGGCGCCGCTGGCGAAGACGCAGTGGATCTGTGGAAAAAACTGGACTCTGATGGCACCAATCTTCTAACGCTCGACGAGGTCGACATGGACTCCTTTCTCATGATGGAGTATTGCCAGCGCTTCTGCGACAAATTCGGCGGTGCCGCTGACATGTTTGCGCAGGTCGACTACAATCGCGACGGGCGACTGGATAGGGAAGAGTTCGGTCTGGCCATGCAGTCCCAGGGCTTCTGTGACGATCCAGACTGTCCGGAATTTTTGAACACGCCGCAGAAAGTATCTGACCGTCTGTTTCCCGTTTGCGACGTGAATGGGGATGGCAGCATTTCCATGCTGGAGCTGGTATTGTTTTTCACATAAGTGTTTTTGTTCGAGGGTGGAAATGTGAAGCTAATGTAAACGCAGATCAACATCAGTTACAGCTTCAGCGCATTTATTGTTAAACAATCCAATACCAATTACAGCTGTTCCTCGAGCGAGACGTGGAGAAGCGAAAGGAAGTCCGTGACAGGATTTTGCAGGAGACCCACGAAAAGAAATTCGGGAAGCCAAAGTCCATGCTTGCACACTACATGCTGCGGGACATCACACGCGCAACCAATACGATCGACAACTACATAAATTTCATGGACGAATACGGGGGCGGAAACGACGAGAAGGGCGGCGGCTTCAAAGCAGAGGATCTGCAGCTATTGGTATAGTGAGCATTTGCGTTTCAATTTGAAAACTAGAACTACCGCGTACGGCGCGTCGCTGTACACACGTCGTGAAGATATCAGTTTGGATACTCCGATTACGTGCGGCATTGCTGGTGCTAGGCAATGTATTGCACCTTCTCTATGATCTTCTCACACAGGTTTCCAACAAAAAGCCAGCATGGTACCTGAAGCTGAAAAACCAAGCACGCGGAGAGGATCCGTGGAGCTCGCAATTAACAGGGCAGCTTGATGACTACTGGTCGATGGAAAACCAGATCGCGCTTGCAAAAAAGGAGAGCAAGATATTCGCGAAAAAAGCCAATAAGACAAAGTCCCTGTCGCCGCAAATGCCACAGCCAGTGGTGGATAAGGAGAAAGTAAGATTGGGCGATTCTGTTTTTTGTGCCTGTTTGTAGTCGGAGTTTTGGAACATCTGATGCAAATCCAAATGCTCGGTCAACTCACACGTCATTTGATTTCAACGTCAAAACTCCAGATTGAGACTCGCCGCTACCTGAAAGCGATGTACCAGCGCGCAATAGCCCGGGCGCTGGTGGCCCGCGAGCCAAACAGAAGTGCGGTACAAACAGTCGTGGTTGCGCCGCCACAGCCTGTGAGAGAATCTGCGCCGCCGCCAGTGGCCCTGTATGATGCCTACAAGCCCTCCACAAAAGAGATGGAAGCGAAACTGCGGAAAGCGACGAGCGGTGATAAAAAGTCCGCAATCAAGAAGCCAACGGACATAATGCGATCGACGGATCAGCTGTATACGCATTACGCTAAGCAGTAAGAAAAAAAATGTATGAAAGTTGCCTTTTTGTTCTACTTGTACGATGTACCTTCTGCTCCATTATTATACCCTTTCGCATTCCCTTTCGCTTTCCCCCCCCCCCCCCGCGTACTACCTTCTCTCCGACGTAGATGGAGGTAAACTCGCTCGCAGACGAACGAAGGCCCTTGCCAGACCCATTTTCTGACGTTTTCTGGCGCTCAATGTACAATTATGAATGTTTCCAATCTACTTTGGTTCTGAATGAAAGAAACAAACCCCGAGCGAGAAGGCGCAGAAATGAAACGAAAAGAAAACGGATTTGCAATGCATGCAAGGTATCTCGGAGATGGTACGGAGTTTCACTTTGTTCGACGTGTAGGGGCACAAAGCAAGGTTTATTTACGTTTCGGGCTGAGATTCGTAGTCGTACTGAAAACTAACTGCTGGTAAGCTTAAGGGAGAAAGTACTTTGGAACACTTTCGAATCAGGGTAGAAGTGTTGAATAATACTTGGTCCGTCTTCATCACTGGAGTGACCACGGAGAGAGACTGGAGTAGAGAGACGTTTTGATCGCGTTCCTCATGTCTGCGCAAACGAGTGCGACTCCTCATGGGCAAGAGAAACTTGTCGTCTCGCTCTTTGTCTTTACAGCAAACTCGTGCTCTGGGAACAAGAACTCAGCTTCGATTCAAAATGAATTCGTAGCCGAAATGGAAGACGTGTGTTGAAAAGTCGAGTTTTTTCAGCGAAAAAAGAATCATGCCCGACGTCGTAGACGCGGAGAAGCTGCTGAAGGCAGCGGGACCCGGGGTGTCCAAGCACTTGAAGGAGCTTCTGAAGAAGATCGCAGGCCACCCATCGGCGGACAAAGCGTACGATAAAGTTTCGTCTCTTTGCGTGCTCTCGCTCTGCATAATGTGAAGGACTAGATGTTCTTGTTCAGTTCTTGGCTTTAGTAGAGGACTCGCCCTGCTAAAAAAAGGCTAAGCCTCTGCACGTTTCTATTTTCTCTTGCAGGTTCCATGCACTTGAGGTGTACTCAAGAAATCTGAAGCTCGCGCCACCGAAGGCCAAATCAGCTTACGACCACACCCTCACAGAGGAGGAGATTGCCTCGAAGCTCAAAGATGTTGACTCCGTCAAGAAAGTCGCCTCGGACCCGAAAGACGATGAGGGCGCGCTTCTGCGTATAATTATGCAAAATTTAGCGTTTTGGTGTTGTCGGTTTTTCTCCTGGTTCGATAGGTAGACTGCTTTTGTGTACTAGCGTTTATTGAAGTGTCTAATATATATGGTGTCTCGACGAGAACGAAATTCAAATTTCCATTCTTACAGCAATCTGCGCCCTGCCAAACTTTTTGGAGGAGAATGACGTGCTGACATGGGCGGGAGTCGGGTTTTCATCAGGAAAGGCCAATGCCGTTATGAACAGTCTCAGGCACTTTGCCGCAACAACAGAGGGGTTGAAAAAGGTACGAATTTCCCCTGATCCATCTCTTTTAATTCCAAGTCGCGGCGCAATGTTTGGATGGTGCCAATTCAAAAAAAATGCATCGATAAATGATTACAGGTGCGATTCTGGGGTAAGATTTGCGGTTCCGGCGCTGATTACTACATTGCAGAGGGGCAGTTGGATGCCGCTGGGGAGGAGGATCCAGAAAATCCAGGCTTTGAGCCACTCGGGAGTGGGTCAAACATGTTCGCATACTGGGTATAGTTTAGCTTCCGGTTTGAAAATCTTTTGACGAGCCATTTCATAGTTCATGTCTTATTTGTAGGTACTAGTACTTCTTGAGTCATATACATATTGCGATCGTGCAAGGATAAGAAAATCACACAAAAAAATTATCCAAAACTCACTCCCCAGGTGACCAACTCAGTAACAACGCCGAACTGGGTATGGAGAGAAAAAAGTTTGTCACAGTCACTAACTTGCAGGTTTTGCATTACAAATTTTCTCAGCATCACAAACTTTCCTTGTATTGCAGAAACACTAGGGAAATCCCTAATGAAGTTTGGCTGTGATGCATTTTTACGCATGACAAACAATTTTGTATTGCAAGAATGCGCATGAGTGATCGTGACGAACTTTTTTTCTTTGATACTGGGTGCGATTACCCGACGCCACCCCGGAGAGCATCGTTGCCGCACGAGGATTGAAGAAAATTTTCACCGGCGACCTCGAGGCCCCTATCCAATGCAAAAATGTCTGGGTCTGGAAACTTGTAATGCTGCGTTGGGAACAGTGAATGCTCTGTAATGCACCACCAAGCATGAGAAATATCTGCGCTTCTTTGTGTTGCGTTTTTCGCATGACAAACTGCGTTTTTGCATGACAGGCGAAAGGGTCTCTTCTTGGACACGCATCACAAACTTTTTGGTCATGCCCGACAAGCATGACAAAACTCGCAATCTTCCAGACCCAGACATTTTTGCATTTGATAGCCCCAGTCGTCACGGTCCCCTACTTCGCCGCGCCGGAAAAACTCCTCTTGCGCGCCCAGATCGCAAGAATTACCGCGGATACCGTCCTGAACGTAAAGGGGTACTTGACCGTCAGCGAGGACGACGGCAGCATCGCAGAAGCCGAGGAGTTCGTCTTTCCCGATCAGAGCACACTGCTCAAGCCAGAGGGCTGGATGCACTGTACTGAGTGATGAAGACCTTTGACGTAGTAGTTTACGAACTTGTTCTGCGTTTCAGTTCGTGACATCAAATTTCGTGCGAGGACCTCACAAGGCTATTCAATTAGCGAGAATGATCTAATGCAAAAACCGAATCAGGCGTGCCGCACATCCTCCGCACGGGTCGCTGCTCCTACATGGAGATCGATGCCGAGGCGGAGCCAGAGGCGTTCGCTGCTCAGGAAGCCAAGAAAGCGTCGGACCCCGTGCAGGAACAGCTCCGTGGCGTCAAGTCAAAGGATTGGGCCTTCCGCTCGCATGCCGGCGCAGTCGTCAGCTGTCGCTCCTCCAAGTTTCCCGGTGCCTTCTGCGTCTCCAAGGGATCGGCGTTTGTGAACATGTACTGATAGAAGATTTTTTTCGGCTCGAGTGAACTTGTTTTTTCCTTCTATTTTCATCCAAATCAACGAGAATCTATCATGCAACACTTGTCGAAACCCAACGCCTGCATTCTTGCAAACAGCTACGTCGGCTATGGGTTGAAGAGGAGCACGAACTTCTTTTACTGTGCGCCCCCCGCCGTGTTGAACGAACCGGAGGACTTACCGGAGTGCAGCGAGCCCACACCCGCGGGTGGTCAACCGGCGCCGCCGGCGGACGAGTAGGTACTGAAAAAAGAAGAGAGGCCTTGTACTATGATGTCACAATGATATACCAGTTTTCATTAACACTAACTCTAACTAACAGACCCGAGATTCAACAACTCACAAACAGAGAAAGTTAGTTGATCAAGCTAACACTAACAAGAGCGAATCGAACTTGGATACAGTTATCTTCAGACAGAAGCAAAAAATTAGAAATCTGTGTACACAAAGCAGGCAGATTCACAAACTATGGTTACTTATTCAAAATGAAACGGTTCACTACCTTCGTCGCACAGACTGAAAATTTCCTATGACCTCTCTGAAGATGAATACCTCGAAACGACTTGAAACTATGTCGACATTGTAACACCGAAATCGTGGAGACCGCCGAAATTTATGTCAACAGTTTTGCGTGGAGCCAATTGCAGACGCGCAAGGTTCTGCGGTTTCAAAGAAGAGCCGGGCCGTCAGACAGAAAAGTGCAGTTTGGCGTATTTGACGTTTTTGTGTTTTACATGTAGAAGGGGCTGCCACAATGAACGCAATTTTGAAGATCAGCTCGAACTACTTTCGTGTTTTTTTTTCGTTTCATCATCATCTCGTGGTGCAAAATCGTCGGGAAAATATTTTTTTCATGTCGTGGATGGGCTTCGTAAAGTAAGATTTCACAGATGCCCTTCTGTCTGTCAGTTTCAGCTGCTGTTTTTCTCGTAGAGATTCTAGGATTCTGGAAAAGGTAAACTTTTTGTTGGAATCACAGGAAGATCTCACAGAAAATCGTCGCAACAACAATGTTCATCTTCGTTTTTTCGTCTGCCGTATCAAAGCAGAAAGGGCCCATCTGCGGTTTTTTGACAGAGGAAAACGAGACTTCGCTTCTGAAAATCCAGTATGGGGATTTTTTTCAATACGTTTTACGGGTTTGGATTCAGTTCTTAACTTTCTGATTGGGATACTGCTGGAGCGCGATGCGAATGCACGCCTAAAATAACAACTACTACTTACTCTGCTCAACTTCTCGACCAAACCATGGTATACTCGAGCCCCAATAAGAAGCCCTTGATTGTGGGCACCCGAGCGCCAACGATGCCGTGCGTGAATCTGAACGTGAACGCGACGAACCTGCGTAGTACCGCGCAACTAACGTCCCGCTCCCCCGACAGTCGGCATTTCATCCGTTCCAAAAGCGCGGCGACCCGGTTGTACAGCCGAACCATTGCGAACAAAGAGAAGACGGTCACAGTCTCTGCGTTGGCGCGGGCGACCGCACCCAAGGGATTATTGTTCGATGAGGGTGGGCCGCTGGTTTTGGAAGACGACGCCATCATGCTGAAGCGCGCAATATCCCGTCGCCAGCAGCAGGCCGCCGCGACGGAGCAGGCTTTGATGAAGCCAAGAAAAGAGGAGGCAAGCGTCGGATTGGTCAACATGTCAGCTGGAGCTTCCTCAACTTCTTCAGCAAAAACCTTCTCGCACAGCTTCGATGTAAAGAACAAACCCACCACTGATTTGATTGTGCGCGACCCGAGGGGGCAGGCGGCAGGACAACAAACCTCTTCGACCACCCGCCCGAGCGTCGCACCCGTTGGTTCCGCAGAGACTTGGCGGGCACGGACCCCGACCACGCCCCGTACCAGTTCGAACTCGCGACGACCGTCTTTTAACAACGAAGCCGCTGTTGACGGGGGAATAGGTTCGACCCCGGAGCCGCAGCGCTTTTCGACCGGCTTGTTCGCACCACGGACTGCATCGCAGCCGCGTGCACGGGCGTTGTCCGCAGGCAGGGAGGTGCTCATGGTGTTGCCCGATACGTGGCAACCGCGGCCGGAGATGAAAGGGAATTCTGGAGGAACTGATGTGAACGCAAAAGCATCTGCACATGCGGAAGAGCGATCTCACGACGACACGCAAAATGAGGATGACGACCATAAAATCGGAGCCAGTGCAGCGACGACCAACGGTGGGAACGTCCCGGAAAGTGGCACTACTCCAGGGGCTGAAAAGAATGCAGCAACATCGTCAAAAAAAAACGACTCAAAGCGAAAGGCGATGTCTGCCCGCCCGGCGCTTCCGCGCACGGTGCGCTTGCCGCAGACGACTCCGCTTCATATTGCGAACATGGACAAGCCACTCTCCTCTCCGTCAGACTACAGTGATTTGGTTCCGGATGAAATCGTGACCGTCAGCGATGAAACGCCGACCGATGAAGAGTACGTCATTGAGCGGCAGGACGGTACGAAAGTTACGACAACGCGAGAGAGGAATAACGATAAGGATAGGCAGCACAGCAGCCTAGAGCAGGAGGACTTTTCCATCGCCGCCTTCACCGAAGAGAAACTTGCAGCGCTTGGATACAGCTCGGACCTGTTTCTCGGTACTAGCTTGAAGCGGCAGTCTGTGACAACGGGTAGACCCGCAGCGTCTACTGGTGGTCGGAAATCACGACCGCAGTCTGCTGGGGCGGTGTCGTCAAGTTCAGCGTCTGGTAGTGCAGCGCCATCACCTTCGAAAACCAAAGAAGACAAGAGCAAAACTGCTTGGAAACACATCAAGATGGTGAGCCAGCATCAAAATACGTACGTCCAAGGGCAATCTGCATTGCGACCGAGTTCAGCAGCACAAGCGGGAGGGGGTGTGAATGGCACAACCACCGCGCCGAACACGACGTCAGAAGAAGAGCAGTCGGACGAAAACCGTGATATAGTAGTGATGCAGGACGACGTCGAGGCCAAGAAGCGGCAGATGCGGCGTGCGCAGAGTGCGCAGGTGGTTGCAACGCAAAACCGGATCATGATGAGTGCGCTGCAGCCTGCCCAGTTCACCATGCTCAGCAGCCTGATGGCAGGCGACGAGATGAAACCGCTCCCGGCTGTGTATCAGCCGCATCAGACGCACATTCCCCCAGAGGCCCAAGTTCCGGTGGCCGCGTCCCGAATCACGTCGCAGGGGGGACACTCAGCCTTCAACGATCAGCAGTATCGAGCAAATCCGGTTGTGCCTGTCTTGGACCAACTGCGATTGCAGGGTGTCAGCAAAACGAAACCGGAAACAAGCAACAGGACAGCCGATCCGCAAGACCACGCGCTCCGCGTGACGAAAAGCGACATCGCGCTTCGTGTTGAGAAGGAAAACAAGGCCGATGCCAGCATCGCAGAAAACTCTGGCCACGAAACGCTCACAGACGACAAGAAATCTTCCGAACTGCAAGTGCTCCAAACTCCGCGGCGTTCTACTTCACGAGCGCGTTCCGCCGCTGCGTCGCTCAGTCCCACGCCGGTCTACAAGGCGCCGGTTAGGAAGGTTCTCAAAGTGGTGATTTGGGAAAAACCGAAAAACATCAACTTCACGCAGGGCAGCATCCGGACTCGATTCCACGACGGGCGGTCCATCTACCAGACTTTGAACGAGCTGGACCAGGGCGTCACGCAGGTGCGCGACATTCCGAAAATCTGGGTGATTCGAAACGAGAAGGACGGATCACTCTGGTCGCTGAACAACCGCAGACTCCATACTTTCAAGCAGTTCTGTCCGGACGAGGAAATCGAGGTTTATCTCCTGCAGGATCCGGCGTATGTGATTGGTTTTAACAACCCAAGTCCGGGTATGGAAGTGTCAGAATCGAAATCGACAAAATCGAAAAACTTGTGATGCATAAAATCGATACCAGTTGGAGCCTCAGTTTCCAAGTGGCGCATGACAAATTTCGGAAGCACTAAAATCCAGTCTGTCATGCTGTTTGGGCAAAGAAGACTGCTCCTGTCATGGTACTCTGGCAGCGCAACGCCTTCCCCTAAACAGGCTTGCCACCGGTCTCATTTGCTTGCTCCCCAACACAGGCCATACGTGCTCTACATTTCACGCATTACAAATTTTTCGATTTTGTCGATTTCGATCCTGACAGTTCCATACCGGGCAAGGGTGTCGAGTTGGTTTCCCCGCGCTGTTTCTGGACGGCGTATTCAAAGGACGTTTACCGTGCTATGGCGTTCTCAAACGTTACATTCTCAACTGTTACGTGGATTTGTAATGCAAGAACGGCGAAAGTGAAAGGAGGAAGGATGCGCCTTTTGCATTACAGATTTGGCACAGATTTAGATCCTGTTTAGCCCTTCGGATGTTTGTCATGCGAAGCAGCTTAATCGTGGCGATCTTGGTGGTAAATTTGCATGACAAATCATGTAACAGTTGAGAATGTAACAGTTGAGAGCGCCATACGTGCGGAGGATTTCCCGGCCCACCCGATCGTTGACACGAAGAAGTACAAGCGCGCGGTCTCCTCGCCCGCGGTGGTGCGCATCGAGCCGCCGCCGGCGGTGACGAAGAAGAAACTGGAACGACCGCGCTCCGTGATCCCGATGGCGCAATTAGGAAAGGCGTTCACGCAGCATCGGGTGAAGTCCGCGAAAAAACCGACGCGCGCGAAGTTGCCCTTCAAGCCGCCGAAGCCGCGGCCGCTGACCATCGAGGAGGAGAAGGAGGTGATTGACTCCGTGAAGGAAATTGGCTCCAGTTTCGCCGAAGACGACGTGGACTACAAACTTTTATCTCCAATTGTAGACGAGGTGGAGGAACCGGAGGCGAACAACCTGCAACTCGCGCTCGTGCCACCGGTCCGGGAAAAGCTGATCCGCGTGCAGAACGAGCGGGTCTACGACGAGATGCCGGACTGGCTGAAACCGAAGCAGAAGAAGCTCGACCCCCCGCCCCCGTCCGTGGAGGAGGTTCGCGGGGGGCTGTCGGCGCTCGAGCGGTTCGACAGCTCCGTCGTGCAAGAGCACCTGCATAAGTTCCCGCTTGTGGAGGAGGCCTGGAAGTCCGAATTTGGGGAACTGGTCACGACAACGGCTAGCAGTGGCGAGGAGGAGCAGCAGAAAATAACGGAAAGCACAACTGCTGAGCCTGCTTCAACACCTGTGCGAACAAGCATGAATTCCTTCCGCAGTCTGTCGCCGTCCATGCGCATTAGTCGGGAGAGTCTGCTACGGTCGGCGAAGCAGAAATCCAGCCCATCGAAGCAAGCAGCATCGACTGCGGCGGTAGAAACGAAGTCCGCCGCACCGGGGGCGCTACTGCGGATCATGACAGCCTTGCAGAAGTTTGGAAAGCGCGGGGTGCCGTCGGAACTGTTGTGAGGTTTTTCCTCAGAGGGCAAGCGCAAAGCGATAAAAATGAATGTGACGTCGATACTAGTACGATACTACGAAGCTTCTGGCTCTGTCTCAGAATGAAGACCTAACACAAGCAGGTCACGGATTTTTTTCTAGCATCTACTTTTTGAATTTGGACCATTTGACTTTATTTGAATTACATGATTATCATAGGCACTAGCACACCCACACACCGACACAATGTATACCATTTTTGTTCACTATGCATTGGATAGCAATATTAGTACCAGGAAAGTATCTGCACAGTCTGATGGATGATAGATGATGTAGTTGATGTGGTTTCCCTGTACATAAATTTTGGAACAGCTGTAGCACGAAAAGTTGAAAAATTTTAATTGAATAGCCGCAACAAAGCGTACACAGGAAAAAACTGCACAGTGTCCCTCCCTCTGTTGACCAAGAGATGAAAAATCAACCAACAAGGAGATGAAGAATGTTTCTTGATGGAGGTTTTACCCACGAGAGGAGAGTCAAGAAACCGCTGCCGCACCGCGTTTGATTTTCACAGGCCAATCATGCACAACGAGCAGTAGGTGTTTTTGATAGAATGTAGTTTCTCGACAGTTGTATGTAGTGAGGTCACCGAACGGTTCTAACCGGGGAGTTTTTTTGCCACCTACCGTGAAAAACGCCCGGCAGTTTTCAAGCGGCCGGAAGCGTTTTTTGACATAAAAAGTTTTCAACTACTATCAAGCGGCCGGGGCTTTGATATCAAACAAGCCCGGTCGAAGACTATCGATTCGCACTTGATAAAACGACGCAGGGGAGCCGGCAAAAGGGGCGCCCTTCTGAGACGCCCACCGCCTTGGTTTCTGGCGATTTGGGGCGCCCAAAAAGGGGCGCGCAAAAAACGCGCCCGAAATCAGAACAGCGAAACAGCATGGCACGGCCGCGATTTCGGAGCATTTCGGGCGGCCGCGAAAGCGGCTGCCTTTTCGCCGGTTTCAGAGCCTGGGAAGCTTTGCAAAAAGCGCCGGCGTGAAAAATAAAAACGCGAAAAAGAAAAAGCGCCCCAGACGCGCAAAGCCAATCCGCGTGCTATGGGCCCAATTTTCCTCTGCTTTTTGGGCGCCCCTCGTGGCACCCGGATCGGCCCCATAGCATGAGGGCTGGCTTTCGGAAAGGAATTTCGGAGATTTGCCAAAATTGGCGACGTTTATCGAGCGGCCGCCCTACCGTGCGGCCTAACGCTACGCACAGCGGTATGGCGGGCCCAGAAAAAGCAAAGGCGCGGCCAAGGCGACGGCCGGCAAGAAAACGCCCACGGCCTCACTACCTCCGCCCCGGCGGCTATATTTGGTAGCAACAATGTTGCCTGAGCCTGAAACTATGTACGCAGAACAAAATGCGTTTTTGCGGGATTTGCACGCCGAACGGGAAAAGCGGGCTCAGGACAAGAGAAGCGTCTTTACATTCCAGGGCCGTTATGCTGTGCATGTGGTGGAGCGGCCAGGCCAACAAATCGGAACCCAGATTTGGAAAGAGGGCACGAACGCATTGGCAGAGGTGGTTTTGCCGCTTCTACTCTTGCAGCAAAATACCGAAACATCAGGTATAAAGACTGTGGCCGAGGACAACTACAAGCAGGTCCCACCAAATAGTTCTTTCGCAGACCCAGACGCCCTTGGAACTCCGGCATCAAGATGCAATCCAACCGGTGAAGCTAATGGCGCAGGAGCTCGTGGGAGTGGCTTCAGGACTAATAAGAGAAGAACCGTGGTTCTTGAGCTCGGGTGTGGAACAGGCACATTGGGGTTGATTCTGGCACAGCAGACGCACGGACACGTAGACCATATTTACTTGACCGACCATCCGAAAGTCCTGAGTATCACTGAAACGAATTTAAAGGCCAATCATGATCATTCTCCGATAGAACACGGCGCGGGAAAGCGCCAAGTGGCAATCAGCGTGCGCCGACTAGATTGGTGTTGTCTGGACAATGTGGACGCACGCAATCTTGCAAAAGAGATATGTGTCGACGCTCACGAGGCACGAGAGTCACAAAGTGACGCAGACCATGAAGAAAGGAAAACGCATGACGATTTTGGAAGCGATAAAGGGAGTTGCAGCCCATTCACGTCGGACTTTTTCATTGTGGGCTCTGAATGCGTGTACGACCGGAATTTGGTAGAGCCGCTGCTGCGCACCATATGCGTTCTTTTGGAGCAACTCGGCGTATCAATGAAAAGGGCCTCATCTGCGGGAGGTGACCTCACTGTGCGAGAAAACATGCACCTCCAGAAGAGACCAAGGTTCAGAATCTTTCTCAGCTTTGGAAGGAGCCGGCCTGATGCCGAAGACAAGTTTCGAGCAAGCGCGAGGGATTTCGGGTTTCGAGTCGTCGATACGAAGGGCGACAACGAAATAGACGGGGGCTATCCAAAAGTTGTTGAACTTGTAGGAGACGAAACTTGACGCCTGGCTCTTTCAAATTGGACGGACGAACATAGCTTCATGCTTTTGACACATTCACATAACGTTTATTATGTTTGACTACTCGACGACAGGACGCTGAAAAGGTGACGACCTACAGATACTGTCTTGATGGGTGAGAAAATTCTGTTCGCTTCTACAGCAACCATTTATGGTCTACTCATGGCTCATGTTTCCTTCGTCTAGCAACGATAGATGCAATGTAATCAGGGGGGGCATCACCATCGGCATCGCAAACTGTGAGTCGTGGTTGTTTGTAATAGTTAACTGGTTTTTCGCACTCCCACTCGCACACTTCATTCGGAGTCGGTCTGGGTAGGGGTAAGGGTCATGAATCTGGTTTTCTTGCGGTGCTACTTACACACGTGGAGGTGCATTTCCTTCGTTTTCAGTATTGCGCTCAATAAACTGCGTTTCGTATGTCAACAGGGCGTCGGTGTCGTGGTAAAAAACTTACGGTAGTGTCTCGCGTATCAACATCTTCTCGTTTACTTATCTGCTGCGTCATCTTCGTTCCACCCAATTCGGAGAAATAAACGGAACATTTATTTTTTTTTTTGCGAGCAAATGTGACCCATCGCCGCATTCGGAAAGTAGAGTTAACGCGAAACCGAAAGCAACCACAAGAACGATGGCGTCTTCGTACGACCCCGCCGCCGCTCCGGCTGGCAACGTGGTGACACCGACCAAGCCCCAGCCAGACGCGAAGGACGACAAGAATGGTGCGAAAGAAAAGGCGGAGAAGGAGGACTACTCCATGGTGGGCTTCAAGGACCTGTTTCAATTTGCAGACGGGGTGGACCTATCAAATGTAAAAATGTCTGGGTCTGGAGGGTTGGAACTTGTCATGCTAAATCTGAAGCATGTAAAAATCTGTGTTGCATGATTACCAAAAGTCGCCCAGTTTTGACCAAGTCGAGAGGGAGTTTCTCATGCAGGATAGGCATGAGAGAGATCGCGCAGAAGCTGTCATGCTAGGTCCTGCATTCCAGGCTTCATGGGTCATGGAAAAGCTGCATGACAAGTCGCGCATTCTTCCAGACCCAGACATTTTTACACTTGATAGGACAAGGCCTGCTACCTGTTCGGCGGGTTCAACGCTACGCTGTACGGCGTATATCGCAAGAAAAAACTGTTTCACTGTGAACTTGTGATGCATAGAATGGAACACAGAACTATTTGTCTTGCTACACCTGCAAGGCATTGGACTTTTAAGCGTGTTCTCCCTTGGAAAGCGCGCATGGCAAATTTTCTGTGTCATGTGTAGCAAACTTGTGATGCGGATCTTGCAAAACCATCACAGTGAAACAGTTTTTTCGTGGGATAGCGTAGGACAGCCGGCAATCGCGTACGTATTCGGTGCGGTTTTCGACGTCGGGATCATGAACGCCAACGACATGTACGACAAAATGATGGATTTGCTCGTTTGGTTCGGCGTGATTGGGATCGTCTGCTGGATTACCGCGACCATTTTCACCTGGCTCTACGACGTCGCCGGGTCGAGACAAACCTGCAAATTCCGCGAAGCCTACTGCAAAGCCGTGCTCAACATGGACGCCTCGTGGTTCGACGAAAAGGACCCGATGACGGTGCCGTCCCGCGCGATGACGGATGTGCGCAAGATCAAGGACGCGCTCGGGAAGAACTTCGCACTTGCCGTGCAGAATCTCGCCCAGTTCATTGCCGGATTTATCTTCGCGTTTGCCTTGAGCTGGCGGTTAGCGCTGGTTTTGTCCGCGGGAATTCCTTTCATGGGGCTCGCCGCGTACTACTTCGCGATGGCGCTGCAGGAGATCAACGGGGGCACGATGAAGTACTACGTGAAAGCCGGCGCGGTCGCGGACGAGGTTTTCGGAGCGGTGAAAACGGTGCTGGCGTTTGGATCGGAAAAGTCCGAATTGGAGCGGTACGGGGAGCATTTGGAGTACGCCCGGGCCGGAAAAGCGCGGTCCGGGGGGCGCGTGGGCCTGCAGGTCGGGAGTCTGTGGGGTGTGTGTTTTTTGCTCTACGGCTTGGCGTTCTGGTACGGGGCAATTTTGGTGAAGGACGGAGTGAAGAACCAGGAGACCGGGGAGGCGTTTACGGGCGGGGACGTGATGAAGGTCTTCTTCTGCGTTCTGATGGGCATGTTCGGCATCGGCAGTGTGGCGCCCTGGATCCAGGCGGTCGCTGAGGCAAAACCTGCGCTCAAGAATCTGAAGTGGATGATGACCGTGGAGAAGCCAGTCGTGCTTCCGGGTACCAAGGAGCTCGAGGGAGAAGGGGCTTTGCGGATCGACGCGACCGACGTGACTTTCGCCTACCCGACGCGGAAAGACGTGAGTGTTTTGAAAGGGGTGTCTTTCTCGGTGTCCCCAGGACAGAAAGTCGCGTTCGTTGGCGAATCGGGCTGCGGTAAGTCGACGATGATTCAGCTGCTTGAGCGGTTCTACGACGTGAGCGGCGGCTCGATTTGCTACAACGGGATCAACGTGAAGGACTTGAGTTTTGAATCCTTAGGGTCGCAAATCGGGTACGTCGCGCAGGAACCGGTGCTGTTCAATTACTCGATCCGCGAAAATCTGTGTTTTGGGTTGAAGAACCGGCCCAGCGATGAGGCCATCAAGGACGCGTTGAAGCAGGCCCAGATCTGGGATATCGTCTCCGGTTTGCCCGAGGGGCTGGATACGCTTCCGGGAACCGCGGGGTCGCAATTCTCCGGCGGACAGAAGCAGCGAATCGCGATTGCGCGGGCGCTGGTGCGCAAGCCGAAGTTGTTATTGCTGGACGAAGCAACGTCGGCGTTGGATTACCAGAGTGAAAGGTTAGTGCAGGAGACGATCGATAGCCTCTCAAAAAACTCTGACTTGACGGTTGTCGTCGTCGCGCACCGGTTGTCCACCGTGCGGAACTGCGACCAGATTTTTTTCCTGCAGCAGGGCACTGTCGCGGAGAAAGGGACGCACGAGGAGCTGCTGGCACTGAAGGGCGGCTACTACCGGTTGACCGAAACGCAAGAAGCGCTTTCCATGGCAGAGGAACGGATTCCCTCGAAGGACGGAGAGCTCTCGCGGCAGGTGAGTCGTGCACCCGAGGGCGCCACCGTTGTCGATATGTCCGTAGCAGACGGGGCCGGCGCGGTCACCGAGGGCTCGATTGCAGATGGGACCCCCGCTGCAGAGGCGACGCTGGGGCGGTCAGCGTCGAAGGAACGGCTCATGGCGATGGATGTTTTAAAGACGCAAGAGGAGAAGGAAAAGGAAAGGCTTGCGAAGATCGAGAAGGAATACACGGTACAAATGAGAATGTCCACTACCCTACGTTTTGCTCACTTTACTCCAAGTTTGTGATGTGTCACTCTATCTAACTTGCTTCTACAGAAGCAAAGTGAGAAGTCTCATTCTGGATGCTATCGCACCAAAATTAATCTTCTCTCAGGTTCCCATGAAGCGCTTGCTGAGTTTGAACACGCGGTACGAATTGATGTACTACCCGCTGGGGTTCTTTTTCTCCCTGTGCAACGGATCCTACCAGCCACTCTGCGCCTACATTTTGATCGAAGCGATGACCGATTTTTACATCGTCGACAAAAACAAAATGCAAGACGAGCTGAACAAGTCCGTCTTGCTCTTTTGCATCATTGGTTTCGTCGCCCCGTTGACCTACTGCTTCGCCAACGGGTGCTACTCCTACGCGGGCAGTTACATGACCATGCGTGCGCGACGTTTGGTGTTTTCCACCTACCTGAAACAGGAAATGGCCTATTTCGACGAGCCGGAGCACACGCCGGGGAAGCTAACGGCCGCACTGGAATCGCAGTGCTCCGACTTGAGCTACATCGCCGGTGAACAATTAGGCGTAAAGGTGGAAACCTTGTCCGCGATCGTGTGCGGCCTCACCTTCGCCTACATCGCCTCCTGGAAGCTCGCGGCCGTCGTGACCGCGTGCCTGCCGCCGTTGATTATCGCCATGATTATCCTCTTCGTGGTGATCATGGGTATGGGCGGGGAATCCGAATCGCCGGAGGTGATTGCGAGCGGCGGCATCATGGCGGAAGTGGTGCTGAACCTGAAAACCGTGCGCGCCATGCGTGCGGAGCACGACTTCTGGAAGACCTACTCCAACGCGGTGGTTGGCGTCCGTGACAAGGAGGTGAAGAAGGCGTTACCGTCCGGTTTCGCCTTCGGCTTCTCCAACGGAATCATTTTTGGCGTGTACGTGGTCGGCTTCTGGTACGGTGCGGTGCTGATGCGGGACGAGGGGCTGGCCCCCGGCGATATGTTCAAGGCAGTGATGTGCATCATCTTTGCGGGCATGGGTGCGGGGCAAGCCGGCGCCGCCATGCCGTCCATCGCGAAGGCGAAGGCCGCGGCGCACGACATTTTCGAGCTGGCCGACCGGGTGCCTCTGATTGACCAAACCGAGGAGGGCAACGGGAACAAGCCGGACCCGCCGGCACTGGAATATCGCAAGAAAAAACTGTTTCACTGTAGACTTGTAATGCAGAAAATGTATCGGAGAAGTGTTTGTCTTGCCACACATGCAAGACAGTGGATTTGGCTGTGTTTTCCCTTAGGAATCTCGCATGGCAAATTTTCTCTTTGGTGTAGAACAAACTTGTGATGCAAAGCTTGCAAAATCCTAATCCTTACAGTGAAACACTTTTTTCCTACGATATGGAAAAAATCGACTTCAGCGACGTGTTTTTCTCCTACCCGTCGCGGCCAACCGTCCCGATCCTGCAGGGGCTGACTCTGTCGTTACAGAACGGGAAGTCCGTCGCGCTCGCCGGGCCGTCCGGGAGCGGGAAATCGACCATCATGGCGTTGCTGATGCGGTACTACGATGTGAACAAGGGGAAGATCTCCCTGAATAACAGCGCCGATCTGACCGCGGTGAATTTGCTCAAATGGCGGCTGTCGATTGGGTACGTCGGGCAGGAACCGGTGCTGTTCAACTTGAATGCGCTGGAGAACATCCTGTACGGCGTTCCAGTAGACGAACGACCCAAATTCAGCGCTGCCGACGTGAAGCGGGTCGCGGAACAGGCAAACGTGAATTTCATCGGGGATACGCCCGGGACGAACCAACTGACGTGGACCGAGTTGCTGGGGCCGCGGGGGAACAAAATTTCCGGCGGCCAGAAGCAGCGGATTGCGATCGCGCGCGCGCTGATGCGCAACCCGCAGATTTTGCTGCTGGACGAGGCCACTAGTGCGCTAGATTCGGTGAGCGAGAAGGAGGTGCAGGAAACGCTGGACAAGCTCGACACGAAAAACCGCCTGACCGTGACGATCGCGCACCGCTTATCCACGATCCAGAACTGCGATTTGATCTGCGTGATGTGCGACGGCATTTTGCTCGAGCAAGGAGGACATCAGGAACTAATCGACAAGAACGGGCTGTACAAAAAACTCCTCGGCTCACAAGGGCGGAAATCGCAGGTCATAGCGTGAAATCGTGGATGAAAGACGCGGGGGCATGGATGCTAGTGGTGGAGATCGAAAGAATTATTCGGACGGAACTCTTTAGTATTTGAGTTGCACTTGGTCCGATGGCGTCTTCATCTGCTCTCTACGCGTAGAAAAAGGTGGGGGTCGGACGTTTGTGCAGGGGTTTCTGGCCCTCGTAGCAGCGCGAAAACTTTTATTTTTACCAACATAAACATTAACATAAAGATGGAAATGGATAAAAGCACTGCAGGAGCTGTTTCTGACTTTTAGCAAATCCAAATGTACTCATCGATTCTGATCGGGTAAAAACAAACCTTGCTTTCTTGTAGGCCAGAACATCATTGCATGAATCAAGATGCCCAAATCCCCCGCACGAGTGGCTTTTCTTAGTGGGCGTTGGTGCAAAAAATGCAGATCCTCGATGAAGATATCTGACAGAAAGAAAAATGTATGATATCCATATCGCTTTTTTGTTGTTGTGATATCATTGCTGGTCAACATCAACTCAGTCAGGGGTGGTTTCGGTTTCACATAGACACAGACCTAATCTATCATGCCTGCGGAAATGAAATCAGTAGAAATCATGTCAAGGAGATGGATGATGAATGACAACGATCTGTGGATCAAAATGGAATTGAAGCATGTAGTTTGTTTCGCTGGCTGCATGGTGCCCATTCATGACGCAAAAAACATTTTCTGTTTGGCGTGGACTAAATCTGGATTTTCTTGTGCGGAGTCAAGCTCAAATTCATTAAAGTATATGATCGGCGAAGTGAGCTCGGTGAGCAGTCATGCAGTTTTCTTTTTTAATTTAGTTTTAGAAAAATGGCGAACCGGAACCGCGAACGAAATTCATTTCTCTTCGCGATCTTTCTAGTTGTATTGTGCTATGGGCATTTTGGCACTTTCTTTTTTTTTGTCTTTCGAGAGGAGTACGAGTAGGCGAAACCGAAATGAGCCCCGTTCAAAAGTATGAGACAGGATTTTGACGAGACGAGAAAAAGAATCACGAACAATACAAGAGAAAGAGTCGAAGAAACGAGAAAATTCAAAGCAAACCAAGGCTATGATGAGACTGACAGAAAAAGAAAAACCAAGAGACGTTTCTCTGCGTCACTGAATATTTTCGTCTTTATCATTTCCTGTGTCGTTCCGCAGAGGAATTAGGACTCTAGTCGTGGTGCAAAACTCGCGAAGCGACCACACAACTGTGGCTCTGTTAGTACAGTTTCGGCTCTTGTTTTTGCGCACTCAACACGTAATTAGGCAATGCCAAACATGAGTTTCGCGCACCACACCCAGTCCGTGCCGCTCGGGGCTGCTGGTTCGAAGCCATCAAGCAAGTTCGAGGACGACGCCGCGCCGGATAGTGACCAGCGACCCCCGAGCAGTAGTGCCTCCTCCTCCCCGGGCTACACGCAACGGTGTGAGCACTGCGGCGCCATCACGGGCGCCTTTCACTTGTGCCAGCAAATGACGGCGCTGGAGCTGAAAAAGGGCCTTGAGTCTGGGAATATGCGCTACATGAACGGCTTGCTCCAGACGAAGCCAGAGGGGGCAAACGCACTGCACCGACGGCAAGTTGCCGAGGGCCAGAGGCCCGCAGTGGCGGTGATCGGGTGCGCGGATAGTCGGTGCAATCCGCAAGGTGTCTGTGATGCGTGCGAGGGGGAGATGTTCACGACCAGAACCGCTGGAAACTATGTGGGAACCAGTGTGGGCGGCAGCGTATACTAATGTTTTCATGGACTGATTGTGGTATGCAGATGCACACCCACATCCACGTGCGTTTGAGTCGCACAACTTCAGTGTTGCATTTTTTGTCTCTCTCAAATTTCGCGGTCGCAAGCGTGATTCATTTTGGAAAAACTACCTTCTACAGATCCAGTACGCCTGCCAGCACCTGGGTACCAAATTTGTTTTGGTCATGGGCCACACGAAGTGCGGGGCAATCGCGGCTGCCTCAGCACCGCGTCCGGCGGGTTCGACTTCGCCCACTTCGCGCTCCTCGCCCGTGAACTCCAGCAGGCCGCGACTACGCGTAAACAGCGAAGACAGTCTGAACGGAGGTACGCCGAGCCTTCCGTCGGAGCCTTCAGAAGTTAGTGTCACGCGGCTCACCCGCACAAGGTCGCAGACGGAGGCGCTGCCGGGCCAGGACCCGCTGAAAATGTTGATCGACTGGATTCGCCGCTCGCTGGAAAACGACGGTGAGTGGTTCGGCTGCTACCCGGTAATCGACGATATGAAATGTAAAAATGTCTGGGTCTGGAAGAATGTGAACTTGTCATGCAGGTTTTCCAGGACTTTTTAGGTCTGGAATGCGGGACCTAGCATGACGGAGGCTGTGCGGTCTCTTTCATGCCTATTCTGCATGAGAATGAGAAACTGCCTCTGCCCTTCAAGGCCACACCGAAACTCCACCTTGCTCGCGGGCTTGGATGGTAAGGGGGTTCTGCCACACGTAGCGCCCACTGGCCGTAGTTACGCGTAAGCAATCGATAGCGGTTTTGCGGATGCGGCCGGGTGGTAGTTAGGACGTGGAGCGAGTATCCACCTAGGGGTGTTGGCAGAGGCTAAATCTGTTCTAACGCCCAGGCATTGGCAGAGGCTAAATCTGTTCTAACGCCAACCCGCCAGGAGTCAAATGGTTACTACTACTAACTTGTTCAAAAGTGGACCTCTTTTGGTAATCAGGCAACACAGATTTCTGCATGATTCGGATTTAGCATGACAAGTTGCAATCTTCCAGACCCAGACATTTTTGCAATCCATAGACGACTGTGACAAGCAACTCAGCCTGGTGCAACGGAAGTTGGAGCCGGAGAACCTCGTGTGTCGCAACGTGGTGGAACAGTTGGGAATTTTGAAGAACATCCTCCACGACTGTCCGGAAGTCGCGATCGTCGGGAGTATTTTCGAACTGGAGACCGGCCGCGTCACCATTCTCGACGACTATGTGCAAATGGGGGAACTGAAGTCCTTCACGCGGGACGAGGAAATTCTGATCCAAAGGGGAGGCGGCACGACCTCAACGTCTTACAACTATTAGCAGGGATGGGAGCTGCGAGACGAAGGCCGCCGTGGCGTCGTCAATTTCGTGTAACAAATAATGATGGTCGGAGCTGCGACTCCTGCGACAAGATGAACAGAAGGTGGATAGTCTATTCGCTCCACAATCGCTATTCTTGCGTCGATACTGTTCTTTACAATATGACAACATCAGTGTCGACGCCGAGGAACGTTGAAACACACCAAATGAGACCTAGTGAAAGTCATTTCTTCAGCGGTAATCTCGTATATGATAATGATAATGATTTTGATTTCCGAAACCTACCGCAACCCGGAAGATTACGATTGCTCCTGCGTTTGTCCTACCAAGACCACTGCAAGCGTTGTTGGCCTTGTTTGACGGAACATGAAGCGGTTTTACTGCACAACGTTTCTGGTGCAGAAGAAAAAGAGAAGAGAAAATCCTTGAAAACGGCGTTTCTAGAGTTTCCGCGACATGTGAATTTAATGCCCCGATATCCATACCCCAACTCGCGCCCATCCATCACTCACACACCACCGCGACCACCCGACAAAACTGTACCTTTTTTGTTTCTTGCTCCGATTTGGCATATGATCAAGATGAACCGACCTGTGCAGAACGGAATATTGAAGAAGAATCCTAGAACACGCTTCCCAGCAGGCTCGTTCGCGCATTTCACCAGTATGAGTCGTGTTCTCCTACTCCTTGCGTTCTACTTTTATTTTTGGCGGAAGGCCTTTCCGTTTCCGCTCACCGTAAGAAGCGCACACGCAATGCTATCTATTGCGCATGATTTTTTTTTTCGACATCAATTTGTGTTGATTCAGAGGAATAAGTAGGTCTCCCCAGCATCAGGAGGGGCCTTGCGCTTCCCCATCATACCCGCGGGCAGTAATCAGTGGAGCTGTATCTATGTAAATAGATTCGCATCGCTTACTCTGATGGCGAGCAAACGAAGATGAGCAGCGCGCCGTTCACCTTCCTCTCCTTCGGTAGCTCCGTCGGAAACAGGACGCCGAACAAACCGGCCATGAAGAATTTTCTTCAGCCACTGTCCCTCCTGCAGCTCCTGACCAATATCATCCTCGTCCATGGCGGAACCACAGTCGCTCCCCAACCAGCCGTTGCCCGAACGGGCGGCTACGCTGGCACTCCCACGACACCAACCGGGTTCGATTTGGTCTCGACCGCCCCCAACACTGACGGGACAGTATCCGCTTCGGAGATGAAAAGTCCGTACGAAGAAACATATGTTTTCAACAATCAATTCAGCCTTGATGCCCCAAAGTAACGCGATTAATTACTACGGCGCTACGGCGTATGGCGTTATTGCTACCTGGTTTTGGCACACGAATACCGGGCCGTACCAGTGGATACAGTTCCAATTTGCGAATGGCGCGAAGAAAAGAGTCGATCGCTACACCGTGCGGGTTTATACGGCGGAGAAGGATTCCCCGACGATGTGGACGTTGAAGGGATCGAACGATGGCGTAACCTGGACGGATCTCGACCACCAAGCGAACGTGAATTGGATGGGTCCGGGCTACATGTGGGAACACGACATTCCCGCCACCGTAGCATCGGATTTCAACATCTACCAGCTCCTGATACAAGACGTCAAAGGCCGGCAAGATGGATCAAAATACGTCACGTTGGCGGATTTACTGCTCTATGAGAACACGAGTGGCTCCCCTGCACCTCCTGCACCGACACCTTCTCCTTCCCCCCCGGCGCCGGCGCCCGCAACGGGAACGGCGCCTACTCCAGCTCCGGCGCCCGCTCCATCCCAGCCGGCGCCCGCTCCATCCCAGCCGGCGCCCGCTCCCGTCCCTCCTGCTCCGGCGCCCGCACCAGCACCCGCACCCGCACCAGCACCCGCAACACCCCCTGCGGGACCAGTACCTGGATCGCCCGAGTATTGGGCGGCACGACGAGCGGCGTGCCCGCACAGCGGGAACATCAAAAAAGTCGTCGAGGGAAACAATCGATGCTTGAAGGATGCAATAGAAGACGAACGGCGGCAGGCGAACAACAAGCAGAAGCAAGAGTGGCAGGATGACAAGGACGGGAAAACGATGGTGTTTCTGGCGACTGTGTTTCCGGCGCTTGTGATCGTAAGTCATTTATTTCGTAAAATGCTTGTGCTTTCTTGACTACATTGATCCCTGGCGTTGATGAAGATGGAGATGGAGGGTTCAACCGGCCAGGATCAGTACTTTCAGCTAGGAACGTAGCTGCCCAGTTCCGAACAAACTTTTTCCACACAATCAGATTTTCTTCGTCTGCGGAACCTTCTTCTTTCTCCGCATGAAAACGCTGTTCGCCCCGGTCGAAAACGCAGAAGAGCAGAAAATTTGCGAAGCCGCCGTGAGTTCCGACACACAGGGGATGCATCGGTTTTGTGCCAGCTTGATCGGGTTTATCGTGGGCCCGCTAGTCTGCTTGTTCGTCACCCTCGCCTTAACAGATTCCGCGACATTGGAGCCCGGGCCACAAAGCGAAATCGCGGGGGTCATTAAGGTCGGAGAATTTGGGCGCAACGAACCAACGGGGTCAGGGTAAGTTGGAAAATTTTTAGTGCTGTTGTAAGTAGCCAGCTTGCCTTGTTGGCACAGCTACTGCCAACGCCCTAAAGCGCGCTTCTTTACAACTAATTCATTCAATTTTTTTTGTCTGCTCATTCTTGTCCGTCGACTTCCAAACTTCACAGTCACGACACCAACTTGCAGTAGCTCCGCGCATCGTCGTGCGAATAAATAACCACCTCCACCAGGTACACCTGTCTCAACGAATGCGAACTTGGGAGTTGTGTCATGGGATACGGCCCGTGTGCGATGCAGGGAGCTTTCCAAAAAAAGAAAATGTGTCGCATCGATGATCATTCGTGGAATTGCGTGCGCGTCGAGTGGGTCGAAGAAAAGTGCGGTCCGTATGCGTACGACACGTGTGAGACGGTCAACGAGGGGTTCTACGTGACAGGGGTATTTGAATGTCAATTCTTTTGTAAACACACATCGCACTGGGCATCTATCGGGCAGCAAGCAAGGGTGGGAATGAAAATGAAGCTGAGGTCGAACTATGTTGCCGTATTCTCACCTTCCCTAAGCTAGAATCGACTTCAACAGGTCTTCATCTACTACGTCCTCGTTCTCGCGCTCCTCTTCAAGTGGATGAAAAAGCCCCCCACAAGGGAAAAAATCACCCGCTCTTACAAAAAACAAATCCGGACGTTGCGCAATATCGAGCTCGCCATGTTCTTCGTGTGGATCTATTACGGGGGACACACGGCGTCGCTTTCAGCGTGGTTCGCTGCGATGTATGATTTCATTCTCAAAGCCTTCAACATCGAGGTGTCCCTCTACGCAGAAGCACGAGATTACTTCAAGGAGGCTTCGAACGCCGGTTTCGCCAATGCGGCACAGAAATTCGTGCGCTTGCTGCTGTTTGGCTATCTCAGCAGAACGGACACGGTTTACAACAGGGCGGTGGGACCGAAGACGAAATTGCTGAGTGCGGGGATCGCGTTCTTCGTAATTGATTCTTTTGATTTTCTGCGTTTTGCCTCGATGTTTTTTGAACGTGAGCGTGGCACACGCACAAATTCCTAACGATCTACATGCTATCTACACCAGCATGCGTGTCGTGCATCAAATTCATTCATCGGAATAAACCGTGACCGGCCGCATTTGCAACAATCAGGTCGTTCTCTGGACCCAAGTGGACCGCGCCAACGACCTCCGCATGTTCGCATCCAAAGATCAGCGCCTCCAGCACCATGGCGACGTTGTCATGGGGATCGCAAGCTTCTTAGTCGCAGCGATGGCCGCTTTCGGCTGGACCAAGATTCAAGCGGTGTATTGCTACTTCTTCATCTGTCGCGAACTCATAGACGTCACCGCGTACACGAAATCTGACACCCTGCCCTGGTATGACAGGATAGTGGACGAGATACGTAGAGAAGAAGAGGCACGAGGAGGGTGCTGTTCTTGCTGCTCCTGCTGTCCTGGGACACCGACGCCGGTGGGCCAAAAAATAGACCCACAGTCGCCGGCGACCACGGTGGCAATGGTCGGGACGCCAGCGGTGGTTCAGGGAGGTGCGACGGGTGCTGGGGTTGTGATGATGACAACTACGCAGCAGCCGATGGTGCAGGTGCAGCAGGCAAGTAATATGATGCCAGTGCAGACAGGAGGGATGATACAGATGCAGCAGCCAATGGTGGCACAAGCACAACCAGGAGTCGTGGTACAGCAGCAGGGGCAAGCCGTAGCAGGGGCAGGGGCAGCGCAGCCAGTGATGATGACAATGGAGCAGTTTCAGCAGTTCCAGCAAATGCAGATGATGCAACAGCAGGGCGGAGTGGTGGTCATGCCACAGGCCGCTCAGCCGGCAGGAACAGCGATGCAACCAGTGCAGCAGCCCATGATCGTGGTAACACAGAATTCGGCTCCCGATACGAGGACGGAGGCAGCGAAGGTAGCCGAGGCAGCGTGAAAGTAGAAGACGAGACGGGAACGCAATTGCGAGTTTTGAGTTTTTGACTAGAAGTGGTTGTCTCCACGAGGGTGTTTGTTTGTTCTGCAGAATATGTTTTTACAAGAGCAACTCAATTAGATGGGCGTCATAGTAGCTCCGGTACTAGTTAAGTAGCGCACCGATTAATCTTCAGCAGCCTGGATGAAGACTTCTCCTTTCCAGAGAACAGAACTACTTTTGTATAATGACGATGCGCGCACACGCACCGAAAACAAACGCATTGAGTCGTGATTCTCAGAATTCCTTCCTTGTACTCCCTTTCTTTCTCTCAGGCGGTACTACTTATGGAAAGCAAGGCGTGCTCCTGGCATTTGATCAGAAGATCCCAGGTACCACTCAACAAGTAATTTTCGCCCCGAATTACAGCAGAGACCTTAGTTTCGTAGTTTTGTAGTTTCATGTTTCAACTAGCGTCCAGATAGAAAATAGCATACAACTAAGTTTCATAGCATATCGGCAGAGCGAGCCCCCACTCACTGTGGGGAGTCGGTCTGCCGTTGAGTGATACAGTGATGGTTTCGCAGTTTCCTGTTGCGTTAGGGTAAGGTATGAGGGTAGCGTAGTTAGAGTGAAAGCAGAACCCGTAGCGTAACAGAGACACCCATAGAGGAAACGGTTAGGCCTATACGCATGAACCAACATAATTAGTGCAGAAAAGAATTATAATATAAATAAAGAACAACCATGCACTTTTTCACTTAGAACAACCTTGACAGGGATGGTATGCGTTTTTTCACTTAGATGAGCGCAAAAAGCACACCGAGGATCCGCCAAGGGTCAAGCAAGCGCTGGAGTTCCAGGGGGCAAGCAAGGCCCTGCCGGTCGGGGTCACGTACGACGCGCCCCGGGGCAAGCTCGTTGCGCGTGCGAGGGTTAAGGTCCCGGGGGAGGAGGAGCCCTACCCGCTCTCCCGCACGATCCACCCGGAGCTCTACGCAACGGCGGAGGAGGCGATCGAGGCGGCGGTAGAGGCACGGGCGGAGCTCATTGCGAACCCTTCGGCCGACGTCGAACGCATCCGGGCGCTGCGGGAGCGGCGCCAGCTCGCGTCTGCGTAAGTAGCGGGAGCACGTAACTGCCCCAGTGGGACCGGGAAGATAGCGCGCGTCTAGCAGACTGGCCTTGGGCCTGCTGTCGACGGCTAGACGAAGCGGCGGATCCCCGCTGGGTGGCAGTGATGTTGATGTGAGGTTTGCTGCGAGATGAGATCAGAGAAGGCTCGTAGTTAGAAATAGCTTCGGTCTGGGCGAGTGAAACGTCATCCAGAATGTGCCCCTGAGACCCTAGCGAGAATTTTCTTACCGTGACTCCCCTCGGGATTGAGAACGTTAGCCCGGATTGGCGTCCACACTGGCATTTGGTAGTCGCGTGCCCGTGGTGCATAGCGTTGCGTCGTTCCCTGCCCCGGTCTAGTGAGCCACATGCGAAGAGGCCACCGCCAACCACCACCCCTCGAAGTGAAGTGAAAACAATTTGAATTTGAATTTTGAATTCACTGTATTTGCGCATGATCTTCCACTTTTACATGATCGATGTTGACGACGGTTTGCTTTCGTGTTTTTTTTTTGGAAGTTCATATCCGTGTCGTGATATTTCTATCAACCTGTTTTCGCATAAAGAAAAATGTGAGTGCACAAACATTAAACATCAACCGTTTTTCTGTCTGAATAAAAAAGATGAAGCTACTAAAGATTTTTGTCGTGCCGCTGCTCCTGGCAATGCGCACTGTTTCTGGCACGACCTTGCCTGAGGTTTGCTTGCAGCCCGGGCTGGAGCCGTTGCAGTCCTGTCTGCAGCAGGCGGCGAAGGAAGCGGTTCCGGAGCCCATCTTCCAACTGTTCGAGTACGTGGCGGGTGCGAACGTCGTCCAGGACCATGGTGAGGAAGCTAGCCCGCTCATTGTTGCGTGCATGCAAAACATGCAAACTGTGGCTGCCTTGTTTCTTACGCTCGCGATGCAAGTGATGCAGGCCGGGCTGCAAACGCCGCAGCAGCAGATTCAACAAGCCTTCGCGGAATTCGACGCAAAACAAACACAATTGTTCGCCAACGAGGGCTTTGACCAGATCGAAAGTGGGGTCCGCAGCAGCGGGATTCGCCACTCGCGGAAGCTGAGTGGGCTGTTGCAGGAGGCGCTGGAAGCCACGTCCACGCCGCGTGTAGCACCTCCGGGTCAAGGGACGCAAGACGCAGGACCACCGAGCGCTGAGGACGTTTTTTCCGGGCTGCTCTATGCTGCGAAGAAGGTCGGGGACCGGGTGCGCTTACACGAGCAAGAACTGATATATCACCGCCACATCCGCGGCATCCGGATTGTCGAGGGGCTGCAGACCCCGGTGTTTGTTTTCCATGACTTTCTCGCCGCCGACGTGCCAGCCGCAGTGCGGTTTCTGCTGGAAAAGCAAGTGAAGTTCGGTACAGCACGGCCTTCACTGGTCCAAATCGGCGTTGGCAACGGGGACGTTCCGGTAAATCTCCTTTCTCCACCAAAGGATGCGGCTGGAGCCGGCGATCCCTACTCGTTGCAGTCCAGATTACAGTACATTGGTGTGGATACGTACTTCCAGTCCGAACCCGGTCCGGACGCAGGTAGTACCACGGCAGAGCAGTTGCAGCAAAAGAACATTTACCTGGAGCAGCTGTACCAGCAGACCGCAGCGCGGCTGCAACCGCTGCAGCAGCAAAAACCTGACCTCTACTTCCTTCGCGGGCAGCACGAGGAGGCGCTGTTGTCACAACTGCCTGATCAGTCGGTGGACCTCCTGTTCGTGAGCGATTTGGTGGGGGAGGAGGACGTCAGCGCGAATTTATGGACGTCTGCGGGAACAAATAGCACGAAGACGCGGGACATCGAAACAAACTACAACCCAAACGCGGCACGGGACCCGTCTCATCCCAACGCGAACGTGCAAATTCGCGGAGATTTCGTTTCTGACCGGCTTGCGTCACTGTACCAGCTGTGGAGCTCCAAGGTGAAATACGGCGGCATTATGGCGGGCGCGGGTATTCTTGGGAAGCAGGTAGTCGAAGCCGTGTGCGATTTTCGCACCGCGAATGAAGTTCACGTTACGGGCGCTGGGGTTTACTGGTGGTACGTGGAACCGCCAGAGGAGTGAAGGTGGTTCTGCATCTTCAAAATAGTGATGTTTTCAATAGGCCCTGAAGGCAAGAACACAGCCTGTTTCGCTGCCGTCGCGTGACCAGTATGTCGGATCGATTTCAGCTTAAGAACAGAAAAAGTCAGTGACAACATGAGAGACTAAAGGGAAAAACAGCTTCCATTACGGTGAGTTCAGTTTTTTGTTTTCGGCTCGGAGGTATTTCGTTCGATCGCTCGTCGCAGATTGACCTCGTTTTAATCATGGTGGATCAATCGTAATTTTTCCATACCCCGTGTGCGCTTTTGAGAGAGGAAAATATACTGCAATATTCGTATTGATGGCGAAGCGGCATGAGCTCTGTCTTAGCATCGCATCTTCTTCGCCATCCTGTTCTTCTCTTTCGACGCATTGGTGTTAGAAAAAATCAAGATCAGGATAAACAAGATAGGGACCACGCACAGGAGAAGTGGGTCTGAAGCTTAAGGCAAGGTGCCACGACCAGGTCGTTATTTAGAACACAACAAGCATTCGCTGAAGGAAGAGTAAGTCTTTCAGCATTGGAGAAGATCATGCCTGCCTACAACTACAACGACATCGCCTGTTTCGAGGGGCGGCCCCTTGACGTTCGTGATGACTACGGTTTTGGAACGATCCAAGACGAAGACTTCTTTCGCTCGAGAAATTCGTCCACGACATCGTCTCAGAAAAAGACCGACAACATTCTCGAGCGGTACCTGACCAAGGAGAGGGTCGAGGAGTTGAAGCTTTTGGTTTGGGCCGAGCGGCCGGTTGTGGAACAAACCTTTTTTCCGTCCCCCGCTAGCTGTTGGAGCAGCATCAAGGAAGCGTTCGGGTATGCTGCACCTGTGCAGCCTGGCGAGCGAGACAAGGCGTCAACCACAGCCGCCGCGCGCTTCTACGTCTGGGCTCTCTACTCCTTCGTGTTTTGCGGTCTGACCTTTTTCCTGTACACAGCGGACAGGGAACTTTTTCAGCTCAGCGTACTGCTCTCAATCGAACGAAAAATGCAATCCGCTGCCATGCTGGGGATCATGCTCAACATTCTTTCCACCGGAAACGCAGCAGGTACCTTGAGTTTTTGTGTGAGCGAACGATTATACTCCGACCTGAATGCATTTTTCAGACACAATTTTGGTTTTGGATCGTCGCTCGACTTGGCGCCCATTGATCCGCGATGTGCAAGTCACTTCGTCGTGTTTGAAATTGAAGTCGCTCTCGACGCAAGTATACTCCCGGTACTAGTACTTCTCAACCCGTGCGATTGACAAAAACGCATGAAGACCATTAACACGGAACAAAAACTAAACGCATGAAGACATGACCATAAACATGAAACAAAAACTAAATAACAAACAAAACCAGGTTTCTCGCGTTCCTTTATTCTACTGCAGACTTTTTCGAGCATGTCCCGCCTCATTTCTGCGTGTCTGTTCGTCGGGTATATGCCCATTGACGGCACCGGATTGAGCTTTTATTCGGCGATCGAAGCTTGCACGTGCTCTTTCTGCCTGGGGATCTGCTGGCTGATGTTTACCAGTTTCAAGCAAGACGCGGAAAAATCCGAGTCGGTGCGGAGGGAGATGAAAAAGTCCAGGCTGTCTGCCGAAGAGCGGAGCCGGAACGCCTGGAAGGCACAGAACGCGCAGCTCGAGGATTTGGAAAGGCGGATCCGCGGATTGCTTTTGGTCGGAAAGCAAGCCTCATTGAAAGTGTCCGCGGACGCAACCGCCAAACTCACCGGCCTCCAACGGGCTCCCTCGACGCGCGCGATGGAGGTCCAGTTGCAGCGAGAGGCGGTGCAGTTTCTGAACCAAAAGAGCGTGACCAAAGCCCTGGCGAGATTGCAGCGAGACTGCGTCCTGGCGAAGCGGGAAATCCTACCCCACGTTGGCGGCTACGCGCACACCTGCACGCCCCGAAGAATCGATGATCGCCCCTTCCTCCCCTTTTTCCTGTTTGCCTGCTGGGCGGGCTACACGTTCAGAGGGGACATGAACCAGGATTGGAGGTTTGACGCCCTGTGGGCTATCGGGATGTGGTGCGAGAGCCTCTGCGTCATTCCACAGCTGTACCTCATGAACAAGGTACCACACAGAAAAAAGCTGGCAGGGCATATTTGTAATGCAAAAATAAACACACAAAAAAATCTGCATTGCATATCCGAAACAGCATGCTATGGGGCCACCCACGACAAATTTTTCTGTGTGTTTATTTTTGCATCACAAATATCAATATGCCCTGCCAGCTTTTTTCTCTGGGATACAAGGTTGGCAAGATCAAAGCCATGGCGGCACACGCCATGCTCTTCTGGACCGTGGGCAGATGCTGTGGATTCATTTTCTGGTACATATGTTCTTACCATAGAAAGTTTTTCAAACGGCGGTTCTTTGATTTCCAAAAACTTGTTTTCGGGTTGCGGTTGCGGAAGTTTGCTTCCTTACAGCGGTTATACGGGGTTTAATATTGATCCCATATTCAATATGGTGTTAGAAGTTGCAGTTGCGAGCAGTCGAATCGATCATTTCATCACACCACCAGGTGCTTCGCCACCGAGGAGTTTTATCCCGAAGACGACCACAGGCCCAGGTGGTGGTTCATCCCTGATATCAATTGGACCGGCTATTATGAAATGCCAACGTCTGGGTGTGGAAAATTCCAATTTTGCTGCGAGTCTGTGAACGATGACCATGAGGAAGACGATCAATGATGGGGTCTTCACTGATGCAAGCGTGACATGTTTTTGAGCTCCTATGTGTTGTGTTGCGCTTGCGTATTCCACGACCTGGAGTGCTGCACTTTTGCACCACAGACAGGAGGATCTTCTGTTTCCCTCTAACCATCACAGAGTTCAGAGTCACTCATGTCAGACATTCATGGAAAATCTTGCATTGGTCTTCCAGACGACCCAGACATGTTTGCAATGCATAGCTATTCTATCATGGCCGCACAAATTTTGCAGTTGGTTGTGATCATGGACTTTGTGCGGGCCTACGCCAGGAAAGTTATGTCCGCCAGCTTCACGGACGCCACTTGGGAGTATGAGAGTGCACAACTCCCCCTCCCCATCATTTGTCATGCAAAATACCAAATCCATCCTTTGCCTCTTGGCACTTTTCGCATGACAAGTTCCGGAAGCTCAAACAGCACTGCAATCCCGGGTGTATTTGTCTTGCAAAACCTGCAGTCTTGGCGACGCTTGTATTGCTGTTCGTGAAACACAAACGAGGGGAAGTGGGAGTAGTGCACTCTCATAGGGAGTGGTCGCCTGAGAAGATTCATCTTGCCAACCTCAACGAACTGGTGTGAGAACAGGTTTTCAACCAGTTTCTGCTGCGATGCAGCAGTGTATGTTGCCCGCACATCATGCTGCAGTTCATACCGTCAATATTTTACAGATGAGGTTGACCAGCTGCGAATCCAGACGCAGAGAATATCTTTGTATCTCTAGAGAATAAAAGTGTACCAACGCACGAAATCAAAGAAAATTTGTACCGCTTAAATTTCAAAGAAAAGTAAAAAATAATGAGAGTCCCGTTCGCGTTTCTTACCTGTACCAATTATGTAACCGCATTTCCAAATTGATGAGCGATGTAAATTTAAATTAGTGCCTACTTGCCTTAGCAGTTCTGCGTATGGATGTGTTTGTATGCGTACTAACCAAAGATGACCTGTACATCATAAATAACGATAGCCAGATCAATGCGTATGGCTCTGTCGTTTCCACTATTCCTCTAAAGTTTTGTAACTATACTCTGTGTGCAACTCTTCTACCAGTATTTAACTTACTTACCGCTTTGGAATGTACAAAAGCAAAAAGCTCTTTTGCCGTGTGGCAAGTATATTTTCCCTGCTTGTATTTGTATTATGTACCTATGCTGTAGCGCGCTCCTATTTTGTATTTGCTTCTCGTATATGAATTACAGGTCCAGCGGGTCCACGACTTCACTGTCCCATTGTACAAACAAGCAATTTGACCTTGTCTTTGTTTTGTAGAAACAATATCGTACTGCACCAAAAAAATTTCAATTTCGATCGAAGTCTACTTCTGTCTGTGAAGTTGCAAATTCGTCACACGAGTGTTTACACAAAGTTTAATGTTTACACGAGTGGTGCGCAGCACACCAAATGCCCATAGTGTAGAGGCCGTCCATGCGTTTGTCCGCAATTTTCGTCATATCCGTTTTTGCTGTTGTGATCGTCCTGCTGCTCGTCATCGTGGTTCTTTCGCTTTGTCGGTCCATAGGTTATGTCTCTCGCCACGTGGTCGTCAAATCATGTTCCGTCGTCCTTCGTTCGTTTCGTGGCATCGTCTGCCGTTCTCAATATTCGTTGTGGTTTGTAGTTGATGATGTTTCGTGCAACGGCTTTCGTAGAAAGGCAAAAAAGTTACTAGTACTACTCGCTCAGCAGTTCCTCGTTGTTTTTGTCGTCATTCATACTGTGATGAAAGTTCGGGCTTCTACTTTTCATTCCGAAATTCAAAAAGTCAAACTTCATGATCGAACATCGAGGTATTTCTTCTCGCCCGAATTCATGCGCATGAGCAGCATCCCACCCATTATACAATCCTAGATCACCCTCGTCCAAGCTAGACCCTAGTAAAGTTCTGCCAATTGTTTCATTTTTCTCGTTAACGTTATGACTTGCTTTACTCCAGTTTCGCATCCTCTGTTTCTCGAAAATTCTCGAGGTGTTGTATCCGATAGCACCGGTGACAACGATGGGTCTTTCTTTTCTTGGAGACCCGGGTTTCTTTTCGGCGGCAACAGAAGCTCTGCAGATTGGAACGATGGCACAGTAGCTTACGTGAACGAGCCGGAGTACGATTATGATATTCACCAGACGCAGCGGCGCGCGATACTTCTCTCCGCTACCGGCGGTAGTAGCGATCCGGAGTTCGATTTTATTCGACTAGACGCCTCTGACGCGCACTACTGGGTGGTTCTCGGCAACGTGCCCCCCTACGCGGTTCCCGAGGTGCTTTCGCAGGTGCAGCGCTTCGTGCATTGTCGCATTGTGGCCACGAGGAGAGGGCAGAGTGTGTACGAGATTTTCGTAAGATTTCAGGATTTGATCGGGGTGCAGGAAGTGCTCGAACTGGACGGCCACTCAATCGTCGTGCCGGTGCTACAAGTGCGAAGGCCCTTCGCCTCGGAGTGGCTCGCAAGTCAGATGTCCACCTATAACCCGCCGTCGTACCTCGCGCGCATGAACCTTGCGAGGCCCGACAGCTCGAGATTGATGCGAGCGGTGAAACAAATGGGCGACTGGTTTTTTAAGTAGGGCAGTAAAAGTAGAAAAAATATACGTTTACCGAAATTTTCTGTTAGTTGGACCCCATAGCGCTGGACCCCAAGCGCTGCAAAAGCACCTGGTGATAAGAAGTGCGCAATGCTAAATATTGGTGTAGATGCAACAAACAAGCACTTTCGTAGAAGAATCAATCAGAAGCAGTCTTCTACACGCTAAACCTAAAGCAGAAAGGAAAAGGACAAAGACTACTACTAGTCGTCCTGTCACTTGTTTGACGCGCGCGCGCTGCTGTCGTTTGTGTTGCAACTGTGACTGAGTGGGAGTGAAGTTTCGGTGAATGAGAGTAAGTTTGTGAGTTCTGCAAGACTTTTGTAACGTCGCAGTCGTGCCGGTGCCGGTGCCCTTATGATGAAAGAAGCAAGAGTGCTCCAACTGGTCACAGGATTTTAGAATAGCTTCTAAGAAGCCAGTTCTGATCGTACTTACAATCGATATCGAATAAAAGATCTGTATAAACTACGTGTGTAGACAACGCTGAAAATAATCTCTGACAACATGCAGGACTTGTACGAGCAGGCACAGTCGCAGAGAACATGACGCCCGGCAGGAGATCAGCGTTGCCGAGAGTGCCTTCCTTCGCTAGATGCTCGACGACGCTCTCGTTTTTTCTCACGTCGCCGTGGCTAACGACTGCGACAACTGCGGAGCACCCTTCGCTTCTGCGCCGTGCCGACATGGACGTGGACGGTTCCGTGACCGATCCGCAAAACCTTCTCGAGCGGCCGCCCTCTGTGCAGGCGGTGGAGACTGTGATCGACAAAATGAACGAGGACATTGAGGCCGATGCGAGGCGGGAAGCAGCACGAGGACATACCGCTGGGACAACACTGCACAACAGTCACGTTGGGGACGAACCTTTGCTCCCTTCGGGGACAGCGGAGGCTCGTGATTTCGGCAGCAGAGCAGATGCACTTGGCAATGATCAGTCCGAAAGTGGTGCCTCTACACCGCAGCGATCGCAGCAAATAATACGACGAGCGTTGCCCGACTCGGCAGAGATTATGTCCGCCGAAAACCAACGAAAAATAACCAAAAGTCCTGAACAAGACGGAGAAAGAACCGAACTCACTCCTTCGACTGTGGACGCAGCGCGCGATATTTTGTCGGGCGTCAATTCGCCGGAGGATGACGAATTTTTAGGCCTCACAAGACCATTTGTCCAGAAGAAACCAGGACCAATCGGGGACGCTAACCGCGCCTTTCGGAATCTGGTGGACCCGCTGCTCTCATCCGATGACCCCGCCGCCCACTACGAGCAGCAGGCAGAGCATGAAAGTTCCACGTCGCAGCACCATCACCACCGCTCGCACCAGCACCATCGAGCGCGAGCGGGTAGCTCGCACCAGAGCGGCTCTTCCTCGCAGCGGGGTGGAGGCGGGGGTGGGGTTTTCGGAACGGTTTGGGACTACACGAAGAATGGCGCATTCCGGGTTGCGGTTGCCGTCGGCTCCCTCGCATTGTTCATGCTCTGTTGGTATCAAATGTAAAAATGTCTGGGTCTGGAAACTTGTGATGCTGCGTGGCGTATCATGAGGAGGCCACAATTGCTGGCTCAGCATGACAAGTTTCTGAGCTTCTAGGTGTTGCCTATTCTGCGTGACAAACTACGTTTCTGCATGACAGAAAAGTGGGGCTCTTTGGTAATGTGCATGACAGATTTAAGGGTCATGCCAGACAAGCATGACAAACATGAATTCTTCCAGACCCAGACATTTTTACATTTGATAGTTGGATTTTAGGCGGACGCTTTTCTACCGCGTTGTACGCAAGATTGAAGCGGCTTGGTATCATGTATGTTTGTTTTTGCTTCGTGAGTGTGGGTTTACGTCTTCCACAAGAGAAACTGTTTGTGTTAGTTTTGTGGTGTTTCTTTGAAGTTGAAGCCCAAAGAAACGCTGCCCTTCGACCACGTTGAGGAAAGATTGGTCAACACTGAACAATACAGATGTAGCGCGCACGAATGCAGAGCGAACGCCGAGTCGTCCTGTTTCACCGACCCGCGACGGGGGGCAGGCGGACGATCAATCCGTAGAAGACGAGTACGACGAGAACGATAGTCTGCATAGCCCCAATGCGGCCAACAGCAGCCGTCGCGTGCTGTTTAAGGACGAGGAAGCCAGCAGTATTTTCAGCGATTACAGCGCGGAGCGGGGGCGGGGCCAGCCGGATTTTTCAGCTGCTGGCCAAAATAAGGCCGACGGGCCGCCTTTATTTTCGCCATCCCCGGGAAGGATGTCGCGGCAAGAAAGGCGAGCTGGAGGAAGGGCGACTTGATCTGCCGAGCAGGATACGAAATGGTCGTGCGTGGTGAAGCAAGATTCTGAGCCGCAAAAGCGAAAAGTTCCTTACCAAGTAGGTTCATTCAACACCACTGGTTCTTTGCTAACAAGGTTCCCGTTTCCATCACCATCGTTTCTTTCGAAGCAAATTGCGGTATAGAAAAAAGTCTAAAGAACATGAACACTGCTATAAGCCTTGAAGAGCTAAAGCTAATTGAGTTCGAGAAATGACAGAGTGGTTCTTGGGATGCACCTGAGAGATTCGATGTTTACACAAGTGTGTGACGGGCACTGGGGTTTCTTCTTTATAGAAGTTGAGAGAGGGGTAGGATATCACTATCAGGTGATCCTGGGTATTAGACGAGAGCGAATATTCCGAGAGAAATGATAAAACAAATTGTCCATATTCAAGACCCGTACAAGAAACATTGTTTTTTCGAAAAAAACTTCTCGACCCAGTTGTCCCCGCGCTTTGCTGAGATTGAGGATCTAAGTCCTTACATCCCAGTTTTCCTCAGAGTAAAAAAACCTGACAAGGAAGATAGAAAGTTTTGATTTGTGCGCGAACGCTTCGAAACGAACTCTAGTCTTTCAAGTAAAAGTCACAACTACAATAAAATGACAGTGCTGGAGCGATCAGGACCGGCGTGCGCAGAGGAAGACATGGTCAGCGACTGTGCGGTAAGTTTGTCGACACCTCCTTTTTCTCAACTTAGCAACAGAAGCACCACCTCCTCCGCCTCTTCGACCAGTAGAAGGCAAGACGGGAAGAAACACAAACCGCTCGCACTCTTCCCAGTCCGAGTCCGCACGTTTTTTACCATCTGCGTTCTGGCCAGTGGTGCGGATCCAACGTTGTCAGTATCATCAACATCAACCGCGGATGCAGACTGTCTGGTGGATCCGAATCAGGCCAAGTGCTGCCAAATGTCCTACGAGTATGGGAGCACGCTGGATGACGGAACACCCTGCATTATGGCCTGCTGCCAGAGCGACGGCACCTGCCCACCGTGCGCAGGGTAAATGATATTTAATGATGTCTTGATGTGTTATCTTTCAAAATCACAATGATTGAGACTGATGAGAGAACCTCAAAAACATTTTTATCTTCGGGCTCTCTACTACAGCAACCAAGGCGAGGTGTGCAGTGTGGCGTGCGAGCACCGGTACAAATCGCTCGGGCACTCCTGCTGGCAGAAGCTGCACATGGGCGTGTTTTGGATGGTCATGAAGAACCTCTGCGATCCACAGGACGTACCTGAAATTACATTTTTGTATTGAAGATTCGTGGTTTTTCGCTTGTGCACCAAGAGAGCATGCTGGTGTAGTATGAGCACGTAGAAGTACTTCTAATTACCCTCTGCGCAACACCCCGCGCAGGATAGATGATGATGATGATGATGATGATGATGTGTTCTTCATCTTCGCAGTGGAAAACGAAAATCTACACATAAATACGACAGAACTATTTCAAGAACGGGTACTTTGATCCACCGGCGACGGGAGCTCCGGGCGGCGGTGTGAACCCCAACCAAATTTCTGGCGCCTCCAGTCTGTTGGGCAGTACGAAGGGCGCGATGATGCTGGCCTCCGTGATCGGAACGGCGACGTGGCTGTTTTCGTGAAGCTTTTGGACTGCAACAGCGACAACTATTTGTTGCGTTTGAGGACTCACTTGTTGCATCGACTTGCTTCCGATCTCAACGAAATCTGATGAGCTTTCTTTTTGCAGGCTGCCCCTACCCCTAATGGTAATGACTCTTCTCACTACAAGCACAACTTCCCAACCACTGACCTGTTTGAGTTACCCTTATCACCCTTTTTCATCTCTCTTCAACCCAAGAAAGTTCGCCTCCTCACTCGCAGCCGTGCTTTCTTGATTGAGAGCAGATGACTTTCTTACCCCGATGAACTCGCCTCTGCATGCGCAATTTTCTGAGCTATTTTCTTGATGAGGCAACTGCAATTTGCTAGATGCGACGAAGTAGGGTCGTTTGATCTCATCATTCAATGTTCCAGTTCTCGCAAATAAGTACGATACTTTCTTGGTCTGGTCAAATTCGGTCGTGACGCAATGTGAAAGGTTCAATGTCAATCCGTGGAGGACACCATCGTGAATTAGATCAACGAGTTCCTACACCGAGACTAAAATGAAAGGATCCACGCACCCGCTGACAGGTCCGCCAAAGGTCACGTGTTTGTGGCCGGAAAATAAGAATGTGATCTCGGGCACCCATGAAGATCACATGATAGCTTAGTGGTGCTACTGCGATCCTTCCAATGTCCATAATTTGAACCTCAACCCTTATCAGGCGACACCAACACCAAGGAAAGGCGCGTAAGTAGCATATAGAGCAGGACGAGGAAGCATTTAAGTTTTTTTGTCCTGTCACTTTGACATTAGCCCGGCATACCAATCAGAAACCACTTCTGTGTCCATACTTGTTCGTTAAGACAAAGAAAAGGAAAAGCCAGATACAACTCCAAATAGCGGCAATGGCTTTCGACGCCTCAAATTACTGCAAGATATGTGCCAGCGTGCTGGACTACTCACAGGCGAATAGAAAGCATTGTCAAATGTGCGGCTGGGATGTAATGATAGGAGAAAAAGAATCGCTCTCATCCGCGATCACAATCACCAAGGAAGCTGCGGTACTGATTTCCGTTTTAAGTAGAACTGTCTTTAGATGAGCAAGAACTGGTCCAGCTCCCTATTGATAGATTCAGCATTTAGAAGTCCCACCGAGAGGAGCACAGAACTCGATGAAGCGTTTGAAATTATCACAAAAACCAAAATCAAACAGGTGAAGAGGTGGCAGAAAGAAAACGCGTTCACGGTACCAAGCGGCGCAGAAAACTACGCGGAGATGATACAAGACTGCCCCAAGTGCGGCAACGACAGATTGATGTTCTGGACCAGGCAAACTCGATCCGCAGACGAAGGCCAGACGTGTTACTACCAATGCGCAAAATGCGACTATCGAAAAGCGGAAAATTCATAAGGCGAGGATCTTGAATACTATACCCTGTGGTCGTAGTAAAAACGCATAAGCACGTCTATTCAACGAACAAGAAACGCATTGCAGGCATTTTCAAACCGCTTACTAAGCGGGAGTAATGTGGCATTGGCCTCATTGACAGATGCTCGCTGAAAATACCGGTGTTCTCGGGCTGGGATGAATAGGGTCGGCCGCGTGTGGTGGTAATGTGGACTCTTGCAGGAAAAGGTCCGAAAACAGTTGAGACGAGGAAATAGGATGACATGAGAGCAAGGCGTACGGAGACGTCTCAAAAGTCGATCTCCGTTGTGGTGGTTGGCACTAAGCTTTCACGTTAGTGTCTTTAGGAAACAAAGCGGTTTGACTTTGTTTGCGTCTTCGTTTGCGAACGTTGCCAAAGTGCAGAAATTTTCCAAGCTGTGAGGCCTGCGTGGATTTGATTTCGTCCTTATTTTTCGACCGCATTTTTTGCGGCTCACCTACCAATCGCAAGCGTCCTACGATAAATGAATCAAGCTTGGTATGTACTTCTTTCTTCGTTGGCTCTTCGCTTATTAAGACTTTCGTTAGAGACATCGATCGCAAAGAAAAAATCGACGGGTGGTCCTTTTGCGAAAGCGACAGACACCTTGACTATTGCGCAAGATATAGACCATCCGAGAACTACGCACCAAAGGATCATGTGGCCCCGTCGGAAGGAGCGGGATCTCCCGATGCTGTCCCCGGGGCGGCTTTGGGAGGACATGGAAGGCGATGATGACGAGGAGTGGGACGAGTGGCTGCAGCAGATTCCGAAGAAGTACATTCGCACCACGGCGGAGGATTACAATCACGATTTCGTGGTCTCCGAGTTGCGCAAACGCGAATCCGACTACTTCGAGGGGCGGGAACAGTCTCCAGCGCGGACGCTATCAAATGCAAAAATGTCTGGATCTGGAAGAGTGCAAATTTGTCATGCTTGTCTGGCATGACCAATCGGTTTGTGATGCGTGTCCAAGAAGAGACCCTTTTGCCTGTCATGCAAAAACGCAGTTTGTCATGCGAAAATTGCAACACAAAGAAGCGCAGATATTTGTCATGCTTGCTTGTGCATTACAGAGCATTCACTATTCCCAACGCAGCATTACAAGTTTCCAGACCCAGACATTTTTGCAGTTGATAGACGCCGGATGATATGGTGCAGCGCTTGCCGAAGTTTTCCTTGAAGGATTTAGAAGAAGACCTGGCGGACGAGGATGAGATGGGACTTTCGATGGACGACGACGAGGATAAAACGCCCGGAGCCGGTGCACTGAATGATGCAGAGGACGCGGATTCCCTCGCCGGCGGGCAGCACGTCGAGGTAGATGAGTCGCTGGGACTGTCGCCCCTGAGTTCCCCCACAGCCGGGAATAATACCCCGGCGGGGGTCGGAGGGGGCGGTGACCAAGGCGGCCAGGAGAAGGCAAAATTTCCGGCGTTCGATGATGAGGAGGAGGAGGATATGAGCGCGCTATTCCCCGCGGAGAACGGTGGAAACAACACCTCAAAGGACCACGACGAAAGCTCGCTAGGCGATCTGCTCGCCCAGGTTGACGACGACGGCGATGAGGCGGTTAAAAATATCCAGCAAGAGGGGACGAGCAGCGCTTTGACTGGGAAAAAAGCTACTGCGGTCGGAGTTGTTGCAGCTCAAGACGTCGTGAATCTGTTGGATAATGAGGACAGTGTGAAGAGCGAACAGATTCCGATGATGTCTCCCGTGGTGACGAAAACGACGAAGCCGAAACCCAGCACGCCGGCGCGGGTTCACACGCTCGGCGCGGCCGCGCCATCCTTTCTGCGCAACGGAGCAGCCGCAGCGACGACAAGGCTCGCGGCCTCGGGCGGCATCAAAGGGGCTCTGGGCGGTGGGGCTGCTTCATCGTCCTCTGCAGCAGGTTTAGTACCAGACGACAGCAGCGAGGATGAAATGTCAAAAATTCTCGGACCTCTTTTGCGCGACGTGCCGGAGGACGGGATTGACAGTCCGGCTGCAGGAGCGACTGCGGCGCTGCCGGTAACGCAGGAAGAACCAGAGCAACCACAAAGCGCAGGCACACAGACTGGGCCGGTTGTACCGCCAGAGGAGGCTGCCGACTCAGGCTCGGGAACATCGGAGTACGAAGCGGAAGTTGCGGAAACCAGCTCGACTGGTGATCAAAGCGGCACTGCTAAGTCCGGTGCGCAGAGTACCGACACACTAGAGACGACACAGGTAAACAAACATTCATCGCGAACTTTCAACGATGCTTTTCGCTCGTGGTTGCGTTTATCTAGTTCGATTTTACGCAACTTATCCGTTGAAAAAAATCAGGGTGCGGAGCAAGCCACACCGGATCCTGCCGCAGCATCAGTGGCCCCTCCGAAGGCAGCGTCCAATCTAGGGCCGGTGGCTGATAAGCGCGGAAAGCAATTTTTCGGAGTGGATCTCCTGGCTACGACGAAAAACGAGGAACCTCAAGCGAAAAAACAGCCAGTGGCCGTCGAAGCCGAAGATTGGACTTCGGATTCCGATGATTTCAATTACGAGGTAGCAAGACAGAATAGCGATTGCGTCCTGATGCTGCGTGTCAAGTGTGTCATTTGCTTCCGACGAGTAACCAAAGAAATAGAGAATCTTCATATAGCAAATGAAATCCCATCAACTTTTCTCCAAATGAAAATTCAGGGCAACACCAACCGCAAGGCGGATCGCGCACGTCGAGCAGGCGCAAAAGAAAAAACGACTGCGCAAGAGGAAACAGTTCCAAATACGCAGGCAAATCCGTCGTCCCCCAGTTCTTCCTCACCTCCCCGCAAGCTGGAGCCGCTGGCGACGAAGAAGGAGGGAGAAAACACACCTGCCAGTAGTTCGCCAACCAGCCCATCGGTAGCCATGTCACCCTCGCCATTACCCTTCCGCATCCGCTCGGTGCGACAGGGCGGCAAAGAAAAGTTGAACACCGCGGGCGAAGAAGCTGCCTCTTCACCCGGGCCGGAATCCGCACAAGAAAAGTCAACTGGCCTTGCAATACCCACTGAAGCATCTTCGGAAAAGAAGAAAGAAGAAGACGCTGGTGGTATCAACGATGCGCTTTTTCGGATGTTCGGCTCCGGTGGCGCAGACGCTGAGTCTTCGAGCACGTCGCCCGCCGCCACGACCCCCTCGCCGGATCGCGATAATATTTCAAAGCTCAAGAACGAAACTGCGTCAGACGAGCTACAGCTTCCCGCAGAGGCCACCGCAGGCGGGGCTCCTTCCACCGCCGAGCCGTCATCTGCAACCAAGACGGAAAAATCCACCGCTGTGAAGAGTGCGGAGGATGAGACAGTAGAGGTAGCAGACACGACAACTTTGCACCAGGACGAGGAGATTAAAGCGCCCGCCGATGCAGCAGCAGCCGACGACGGCGTCGATCTGCAAAGCGGTGTCACGCCCGTGAACTACGGTGGCGCGATCCGCGGCGGCGAAACTGCTGTCTCGGCGTCGTCGTCCGAGTACGTGATTGAGCTCGACTCCAATTTCACTCTGGAATCCAGACCGCTCGAGGAGATTCCAGCGGCTTTGTCCGCCCGAACCGGAGGAAGCGGCAGCGCCAGACGACCCGCGCCACCCCCGGTTCCACCAAATGCACGTGGGCCAGTACCTCCGCCACCACCACCACCACCTCTTCCGAAAAGTTTGCCGAATGCGAATGCTACAGAACCTCCAGACGGCAACATTACAGTTGTAATGGGCGTCGAGAACAACATCAACGGAAAGCCGGATTCGAAGCAGAGCGCGCCCGCAGGCTCGTCGTCGTCTGAGTATGTCTACGAAGTTTCTCTCACCGAAGAGGACGGCGATAGCTACAGCAACTCAGAATCCGTAGCAGGAGCGCAAACTACTCCAAAACCACCCGCTGCGCCAGCGGCAGGGGAGAGTAGTAAACCGGACGCTGATCATGCCGCTGACGATGGTGGTTTTGTGTTTCGCCTGCGACCAGAGGACGAGGAGGAAGAGGAGGATAGCTTTGATGCGTCAGCATCCGTCTCTTTGCCAGTGGACAAGGACAGGGATATTGCGACGATCCAGAAACTGGTAGCAGACGGAAACAACACTCCACCAGAGGTAGAGCCAGTTCTTTCCGAAAAAGCAGAGTCAGACGCTTCTCCTGCAGCACTGGTGAAACAAGACGCGGAAATAATTCAAAACATAGTAGACGACGCAGCTGCTTCGGCTTCCCCCGGAGCAAAAACCGAGAAGTCTTCGGAAGCTTCGCCCGTGCCGAGGATAAAATCGTCACTGGACTCTCCAACCTCCCCTTTCGGCCCACCGAAAAGTAAACTCGCGGACGAAGAAGAAGAGGAAGAGGACGAGAAGCCCGTGAACACAAGGTCACCGCGCATGCCGGAATTTGAGAAGAAAGGCGCCGCCATTGTGTTTGACGGAGAGGGCGTTACGGGAGGCGACCCGCTGCAGCTTTTCGACAAAACTGCGGATGCCGCGGCAAAACCGCAGACGCAGTGGCGCTCGCTAGGCTTGGAGTTCCTGTCGGGCGACGCAACGCCGCCGACCAACAAAGCCTCGGACGGAGGGGGAACGGCGCCGCCGAGCGGCCCGCCTTCCGAACGCGGTGGCGCCCCGTCTTCTGCAACAAGCAGCCGGTCACCCTCTCGCCGCGGGTCCGACCCCAAGGCCGGCGCGCTCGTCCCACCATCAAAGAGCAGCAAGTGGAATCCAAATGGTACCGAACAAAGAGTGCTGAATTGCAAAAATGCTGCGAAGAGTCTTGAATTAATATACTCGATCTCCGCCATGTGTTAATGACCTCTTACGTAAATACTTCTTTTGTTCAACACCAATCGAACTCTTTCTCTTCTCTACTTCAGGTAGCACAACGCCGCCGCCCCCACTGCCTCCGTTCCGTGGCGCCTCGCTGAAGGTAGAGACCAGTCCTCCCGACGCAAGCACCTCCACGCACTTCGGTGCATCAAGTAGCACGATCAGTGCAAAAGCAAAGGCCTTCGCCATCGACACCCCGGTGTTTGGGGCCTCGCCGCTCGGTTCTCCGCAACCACTTGTGCCGAAACCCAAACCCCAGTACGTCGTCGCCCGCACGAACTCCGCACTGGAAGACGTCTCACCGTCCGGAAGTGGACGCAACGACCCCCTCGCAGGTCGAAACAACGCGCCCTCAGGCTCCGACGAGCCGGAAAGGTCGGGGTACGAGCAGCAGCGCAGCGGGCGGAACAACAAGACCCGCGGGCGCAGCTCGTCTTGCAGCGTGTCGAAGTGTGGCGGCGTGGACATCACGACTGATGCGGTGCTGTCGGATCCCGGCACGCTCCTGGCCAGCCGCGCGGCCTTGCTAGATTCTTCTCTCTCCATGGAGCTGAGCGCGCTCACTGCCCACCCGCTGTTCCACGGAAGTCCGAACGCACGAGCAGGGACTTTCGGCGCGGCGTCCAGCTCGGTGACCCCTATTTACCAGTCGCATGACGGGTTTTCCGGCATTGTCGCAGGCTTGCGCTCGCCCAACGGGGGACTGCTCAACGAAAGCGGATCGACCTCCATGCTGGATGCTACACAACAAGGCCTCAAGCTGGAACCATTCGTGCCGGCGCAGCATGGAAACAACAACTACTCCGCGTCCTTCAACACGTCGCCAAACAGGAGTGGCTTTGCCCCCGCCAGTAGAACGATGTCGTCGCGCTACAGTCGCGACGGGCATTCGCAGAGCTCGCGCACATTGTCTGTACTGGAGGCTACGGAGCAGTTCGACCACTACAAGTCAGCGCGCAGCGGCGCTCTTCGTCCCCCGAATTTGTCGGATTTGCAATGGAGGTTCTCCGCCTTGCAGCGAAGATGCAACTACAGCAGTGCTGCGTCTTCCGCTTCTGGCACCACTGCTAGTACAATAAAGCAACCGCGGGAAGATGCCAGTCAAATCTTTCGACGCCGGCTCGAATCTGCGACAAGCTTTAGATAGCATCGCTTTTTACCGCTGCCGCGAATAAACATGCACGAGTTCTTCACGCCTGTCGCAGGCTGTGTCAGCAGGCAGTCTCTTCTCAGAGCCAAACGTGTAACGCAAGATCGTTTGTGAACCTCAGGTGCACATCTGAGTGGTCGCTCAGTTGAAAAAAACGAAAGACAGCGCACAGTGTTGAGGAGCATGTGGAGCATCATCTGAAGATGCTGTGTTCGCAAGAAGCCACTCTGTGGCGGATACTGCAGATGTCTGTCAAAGTACTTTAAATGGACGATTTTTTATCGGTCGTAGGTATACTATAGCTCCCCAAGAAGAACATGTCTAACTATATTAGTTCACCGTGGTGCGAGAACTGAAAAACCTCTTTGCGAAAGAGCAGGATCAGATGCACCGACACAGACCTTGATTCCGTTCCAGGACGAGTTAAGATCATGTACGTAGTACAGCATGTGCATTTGATGCATTGAGGATTTGGAGGATCAGCATCAGCGCATGATTACATAGGATAATAGGGGCTCGTTTGAGACAACACACAGTTCGATCCTTATCTTCTATCAATCATCGCAGCGACAGGAAGATCCCGTTGGTTCCCCGCGAACAACAGCTTATTTTCAATCCTCAGTGTAAGAAAAAGTTCTCAACTACTTACTCACCGCGCTCCTTCAGATCCCAGCGATAGTTATTTGTTGTAACTTCATAATTGTCTCTCTCTACGACTACGCCGCCCGTAGCGACGATTGACAGAGCACTTTTGAAAAATACGCAAAGATTTTGAGGCCAAGGACCCATTCGACGTAGATACTGAGATTATTCGCTTTGATTTCTCTTTTCTAAAAGGAAGCGTAAGCGACTTTTCTCCTATAAGTTGTAGGGCTATCGGCCACCGCTTTATTTCGCACTTTTTTGCTTAATTTCTTTGTACCCACTTGCACTTCTCTCGACAATGTCGTGCTGCAGTCAGTTGCTTCGTTGGGAGGACCCGGTCAAGACGGGCGCTGTGCTTGCTGCGGGGAACGCCGTTCTGCTCGTGCTGCAATACAGCATTGTGGACTTCTTCGTTTGGCTGCTCGTATGGGCGGCGATTCTCCTCCTCTGCGCCGGCATCGTCGGAAAAATGACCGGACGTAAAAAGATTTGACTGTGTTGAAAGGACACTGTTACAATGCATGGCGCTCCCGAAGTAACCCGGAGCTGATAGACACTCTTTGAAGATGGTGAAATTCACCTGACATTTTTTGAGCTATGAATGTATGCATTTTGCCATGAGTTGAAACGCATCATAATGCCATACACACACAGGTATCGCGTTTGTACAGGAAAAATGCTGCCTGGAACAGATAGTGAGCAGGGAGGTCGTCGCGTCTTCCGTCGTGGAAGTATATGACCAGAGTGCGTCTCTTGTCGCAGTTGCAGTGCCTCTTCTCACATGGCAAGACTGCAAGCAGTCGGGCGCCGCATTGGCTGGACTGTACAACTTCTTCTACGAATTTTCATGATGAAAGAATGATTTTCGATATCATGTTCGCTCTTTAATATATCTAGACCTCTCTGTCTGTGACGGTGTCGATACTAGTCATGACTTTATTCACAACAGGTACTGCATGCACCTCCTCCTGTCTTGGTTTGGCCTCCTGCTTTCTGTGTTTCTTGCGTGGAACATAGCGTTCACCTACGGCAGATTCCAAAAGGAAATCCACGCGCAAGTCGATCCGTTGGTGGCAAAGGGCAAGGCAGAAGTCGAGAAGCTGTGGGCAAAGGTTCCCAGATATGTCGAAAAGAAGGGTGAAGAGAAGAAGGAATCATAATTAGTCACGATGGCGGATTTCAATTCTTACCCCTTCGCAAATTGAGGGCGCGCATTCGCATGTTTGCTTTCATTCTCTCATGGACATGAAAACGCACCAACATTTTTCTTGCGATTTGATTCCCATAGATCGTGGGTAATATCTTTCGCCATCTATGCTATGCATAACGGCCCGCAGCGCTGCGTGGTCAGTCTTTCCCCCAGCACAGCAACTGCTACATGCTACTACAAGAAGCCCAACATAGTCATAGAGACGCTCTATGTTCGCAAGGAATGTACCCCCGCTAGTGTAACTTAGTAGGGTCAACGTTCTGTATCTCGAAACTGAGCTCACAGATCGATAGGGTTCTGTTCAGCATGGCACTTGTTCTTTCTAGTTTTGTTGTTATCGATTCCCTTCCCGCCCGTTGTAGTCGGAGAAAATCGCAATAAAGACCCACCGCACTGATGTGAAAGTCATTGCGTGGTCGTGGTCTTCAGAAACCAAATCATTTTCAATAGCACTAGCGAATACCCCAGTCTTGTGTTTGAGAATGGAGCGCCTTTCAAACGACAGAAAAAACAATTCCGATCGGAATTTTCCAAACTTTTTCATGATCTACAAATTGTGTTTTTCAAATCATATCAGGGGTTTTGAACTCAAAGGAAACTACGAGTAAGACAAAGAACAAAGAGAGCAGGAGAGAGAGACATTGGCAGAAGTGCAGACAAGTTCGGGTCGTCATCATCAACACAAACTCATGGTCTCGTCGTTTTGATTTTTCCCTCTGGGACGGTTTTTTTTTTCGTCCGTGTTTAGCATGATTTCCTGGCCGCTGCCTTGCCAAAGGGTACAGTCGCAGTTTGAAGTTTGAAGGAATTGTTCGTGCTTGACGATCGGTTCACATCTTCTGCAGCCGAAAAATCAGTCTAGTCCGTCATCGCGCAAAATGGACGCTGGTAGTGAAAACGCTACCTCTCCTGCAGCCGCACCTGAGCTGCAAGCCGAGCAGCCAGAAGATAATCCAGCCCAGATGTCGGGGGAAGAAAAGAAGCTGGAGCAGGAGGACAACGAGCACGAAGATTGCTCTGACGATCCGGACGACGATCATTCGTGCATCGACGAGGATATGGATGACGCCGGAGACGATTCGTTAGAAGGCGACTCAGAAGAGGACAATGGCGAGTACAGTGACGATTCCGACGACGAGGTGGAAGAAATTTCCGACGATGACGACGAGGACTTTTACGACTCGGACGAGCGAGAGTACAACGACAAGAAGTGCGAAAACCTCGGAAAAATGTTGCAAGAAGCGGAGAAGAAAAAAGTTCCAAAGGTCGAAGCTTTTAACTTTGCAATCCCGGCGCCGCCACAGGTGCGAATCGTTGAGACAGGTACGACAGTGACGATTCACGCTCCGAAACAGCCCGATTCGCTGTCGGGGTTCGCGCCGCCGAAGCGGACTGCAAAGAAGAACGAAAACGCCCCACCCGTCAAGCAATGCGAGCATCTTCTCGATATGTTCAGGCCGCCACGAAAATCGAAGCAGATCCTCCTGCGGCAGCAGCAAGAGGAAGAGCTGGACGAAATGGCCGAAGAGAGGGCGAGGAACGACGCTCCAAAAATTGCGAAGCGCAGCGCAATGGTGGCTGAACAAAGTGCAAGACTAGCGCCGTTGGTTGGCGCGATGTCCTGCTCCGCGCCGCAGACTGAGGAGGCTTCGAAGTTCGCCATGGACCCCGAGGATGTCCTCACCCTGGAGGGCGACAAATTCGAGGTTACGATTGACGCCGCGGCGACCTCGAGCGCGAGGTCGAGCCGCGCTGGACCAGAATCCCTGACCACCATGCTAGAGAAAATTCTTTTCAAGACCCCGCAGCTGCGCGATCCGCTCGGTCTGACATCCTTCGGCGGAATGGAGTTGAAGCAGCACAGCATTGAGCTGTATCAGCACCACGGACATCGACGGGCTTGCCGGATCACCGAGGTGCCAGTATTGAGTTCTCGTGAGCGAGCGGCGTTGGCAGGAACTGTGAAAGTGTTACTACCCGCCTATTTCGAGGGCGGTGCCACCACCTTTGACGCGGCGACGGAAGGATTCCGCAGCCCCTTTGTCGCCGGCTTTGACGGGACGCATGGCAAGCAGGTCGAAACTCCCGCCTACCTGTTCGGAAGCAAAGAAGCCGGTTGCGCGCGAAGCGACCGCGAGCTGCGCTGCGTCGCATGTGCCGGCGTTGATGACGTGACTTTTGATGTGGAGGAAGTGACGCAGGGCGCGCGCGTGACTGTTACCTACCTGATTCTGCGGTCGATAGACCTGTTGCAAACAACTGAACCATCGGAAAGCCTTTTTTCCAAGAAAGAAAGCGCTGACGTCGCGCTCGAAAGGAAGCTGACCGCGGAACTGCGGCGATTGGTAGCAGATCCATCTTTTTTGACACAGGGCGGTACGGTCGGATTTCCCACATGGTCAATTTACAGCAACGACGAAATTTTTCCCGAAGAGGGGCAAACCGCGCGCAAAAGCCTCACGCAGAAGCAGTTGCAGCACCTCCGAGATAAAGACAGCGTCCTAGCCCGCGCAGTTGCGGCTGCGGGTGGCGGCCTGGAGATGTTCTTTCAGCCTATCCTGGTTCATGAGCATTGCGATTGCGGTGGCGCCTACCGGCTGTTGAAGATTCCGAAGTGGGGTGCGTTAGCCGCGCGTCTGCCGGAACTGATGGACGACGACGACATTAGAGCCCATTTTTCCGCATACTTCGGAGCCGACGACGGTATAACACAGCAGGCAGTCAACTTCTGGGCATTGGAGTGGTACGACTATGCCAACATGTCGCAGAAGTACGTCGGGTCCACTCTTCTGTGCGGAGAGTTTCGACCCACCCCGATCAATCTGTGGTCGAAGTCCTTCCTAAAAGTGCGCTTCCCAGCTCCCGAGCAGCGCGCGCTGATTGCAACTCCCACCAATTGCCCGACGCCAGCGAGGCAGACCATGGCTGCGCCGCAGGACGAGTGCATGGAGGGCGTCGAAACTGCCTCGAAAAAGGACTGGAAGAAGCGATCCATAGAGAGAAACGCGCGGCTCTTCGATCTGCTGATACGGGGTGTCGTGCTCACGCTTACTCCAGATGGTGAGGAGAAACTCCAACGAAATCTGCAGGCGGAACTGGAAAGACTTGTGGCAGATCCGGAATATCTCACGCCCGGCGGATTTTTGGTGTTCCCGTGTGTCGGCGACAACAGCGACATTTTCCGCTGCAAGGAGCAACCACGAGCCAAGCTCGAAAGTCTTCGCATGAAGGCGAACGCCGTGGCCTTTCTGGACAAGGTGGGAATCAAATACGCACCTAATCGTGAGGATAACACCATGATGGGATCCTCGTCTTCATCGAGCTCATCCTCATCCTCCTCTTCTGCGGAAACTGAAACCAGGGACAACACAGCCGGGGAGGCGGCCAGAACAGCAAGAGACTTTCTGCTCGCGGAAGAAATCGCGAAGTTGAAAGGCTTAGATTCCCGTGTGGCGCAAGCAGCAGATGCGGCAGGTATCACTGATATTGCTTTCCTTTCCTCGATGTGTGTTGACGTTGACATCGACATGAAGTTGATGCATGATCCACCCGGATAAGGTTCCTTGCGTTGTAAGTACTTGAGCAATTATAAAGAATAACAAAAAAAATTCTGCAGGTTTGAAGGTTTTTCTTCTCATTACGGAGAATCACGAAACCGACCGCGACCGCAGAAATTCTAACTTTCCGTTTCGCGACTCCTTGCTAGCTTCGTTTCCGCCCAAACTGCCAGCGAAAATGAAACGCCAACAGTTTCTTGACCGCACCATGGACTACACTAGGTTGCTGCGAATCACGAATCTTGACGACCCGGCTGAGCTCAAAAAAACCACAGGAGAGAAGTACTACACGATTGGTCAAGCGAGGGTGCCGCAGAAGGTAACACGGGAAGTAGTGCAGTTCAGCGACTTCAAGGGTAAGGAGATGACAACAGAACAGAAGGACAAATTAGCGCAAAAGCTGAATCCCGTATTCCGCATACTCTCCGGTTTAGGCGGAGGCGATTCTTCAGATGAGGAGATCGAGTCGGAAGACGACGATGTTGGCGAAATGACCTACACAACCGCGCTGAAAGTGGTCGTCCCGCCGGCGGCGGAGCGGATCAAAAAGCAGGAGGAAACTACAATCAAGCAGGATAGCGCAAGCACAACTTGTTCTAAGAAGTCGGAACCAGCCGATTTGAAAGAGAAGAAAGAAGAAAAAATTTCACCGCCCACCAAGCGGCGAAAATCCGAAGACTTTATCACTGAATGATCAGACTGATCAGAGACAGAGAGGATCAGTTATTGATTGTCAGTGTAAATAGTAATAGGCACAGATACGCTGCTTTTGAAAATGTAAATGAAATACAATCAGAGCAATACAACTGGAATTCACTGCTTTTGCTTTTTCAATGAATACCAATGCCTCCAATTAATATGCTTATGCGCGACGACAAGCGAATCCGAATGTGAAGAAGGAAACGTCTAAATGTATTATATTCAGAAATTATCGAAGAGAGAAAAATGTAAATGTCCCGCGGTCAAGGTGAACGTGAAGATTTCAGAGTAAGACAGGAGTGGGAATCAAAGAGTAGCAGACCTCTTTTCAGCATCATGCTGGATCCAGATGCTTGTACTTCAATTTTCCGAGCTTGTGAATTAAAAAATGGAATAGTCGTGTCGCAGATTTGCATTTGTTCGTTTCGCCAAGCGGCCACGGGTGGGGTAGGTCTACGCTGAACCGTGCAGATACTGTTCTTTCATTCCTGGAGCGCTTCCAGTTCCAGTTTATTCCGCGTGTCCGCAGCCTCCATAGAGACCCATCCGACAAAAACACGAAAAGAGATAGAGCACCAATTCCTCCTAACAGATAGACTCAGCAAAAGCAATTGCAGAAGATGCACAAAAGAAACAAAAGATCGCAGACGCAATCCCTTCTAGGCATTCTCAGCAACTACTTTTAGATCATATTGCTTGGTATTGTTCACGTTTGGCTCTAGGGTTTAGAAGAAAATAAACTAACCTCCGAACCAGATTTGTTTCTGTGTAAACGCGCAATCGCAATCCCGATCTCGATCATCACGAAAATTACCATTAAGTATGTAAAGGCAAATACCAATTGCAATTGCAGCGATGTACAACACTTGTTGACAGCCACAGCGATAATCCTCATCTACCGTAACGCTATCCATTTTTTGGTTGGAGCAACTAGCTTCTGTAGACGAGCAGTAATAACTACAGTACAGTACTACTACAACTCCTCTAAGAAAATAGTAAAGAAAAAAGCGATGTGGATGTTGGCAAGACAAAGGTTGACTTCTTTCTCGAAGAGCTTTGCCTAGATGAAACGGGTGTACTTCACCAGTATCTTGGAGCGCCCACAAGCACGACCCGCAGGCTGACGACTGGTTTCCGAGCGGTCTACTGACTAACGACCTCTGGTTGACAACTACGCCAATCTCGATTTTTAGTTGTAGTAAATCTATCAACCTACAGCCGCTTTCCTATCTCACCCCAGAACCTCCCCCGCAGCGTCTGTTTAGTAACACTACACCTACAGAAGAGATATCCCTGAAGAACACTCAACAACCACTGTAGAAAAATCCTCACCCACGACATCAACATCGACCGGCAAGAACATCAGCACTTACCGCTATCTCGTCGAAATTTTTTCCTTTTAGCGAAACGAGGACAAACCCAGCACGGCACTGAGTGAAGAAAAATGTCCAGTAGAAGCCACACGGACATGCTGAAGGCCAGACTGGCGGAGAAAAAGCGGGACGAAGAGAACCGGATGAAGAACAAGCACGGCACGGCCAATGGCACCGGCGGGGATCGGCGCGACCGCGACCGGGGAGCGCAAGACCGCGACCACCGTGACATGCGGGACCGGGGCCGCAACACCAGCAACCGATCTCCCGTCCCGGAAAAGCGGACCGGCTCCAACCGCGACCACGATAACCGGGAAGCGAAAATTCGGCGCAAGGACCAGGAGATGAATATGCAGCAAGCTTCTTTGAAAACGAAAGACGGCCAGACGGCCAAGGAACACCAACAGAAGGAGCGCATGCGGCAGCGCGAACAAAATAAGGTACAGCTGGTCCCTTTACCACCTAAGAAGTCCTCGTCCTCGTATAACAGGGACAATTTCGATGAACAACAGGAGCAGCCTTCTGGTCCTGCTAGTAGCAAGAGGGAGTACAGCAACAGTGCGCGAGGTGGTGGTCTCTTGCCGCTACCGCCTAAAAATGATGTGATTGTGGCTGCTAGTGCTGGAAATGGCCGCGGAGGTAGTGCGACGACCCCCGGTACTAGAGGAGGTGTCGCCCCCCAACATTTTGTTGATCAATCGAGGGGGCCAGAAGCGCAACGTGTGCGAGACGTTGATAATGTTGGCATGGGCAGTAGTAGTGTAGCCACTGGTAAAGATGCAAGCAACACGAACTCGAGTACTATGGCTTTCAATGCAAGAACAAGTGGTGTTGGGAGTAGAGCGGGGCGCGGGCCGTTCTTGCCATTCCGAGCACCAGCAGACTACAGAAGACCTGTTAATACCAAGTTGCATTTTGCAGATACTACAGAGCAAGAATCTTCGAGTGGCTCTGAATCATCTCTTCAACAAGAAGTATCGTGTATGACCACCACATCTCAGGACGCGGGCGTGATGTCGCGAGAGAAAGACCGGGAGCGCGAGCGCGAGCGGGCAACGGAGCGGGAGAAGGACCGAGGAGAGCGCGGCGGGGGCGATAAGCAGGACAACAACTTTATCCGCGGTAGCAAGAAGGAGGAGAAACCCAACAAGGCGCCGGACCACTACATTACGGCGAAACAGAGCGACAAAGACGTCCGACCCACGTCCATGGTGTCGAATCGGGAGGTGCGCGAGCGGGAAATAAATCGGGACAAGGACGCCCGGAATACGACCACGTCGAATCAAGGAACGACTTCAACCGGAGGCGGGTTGGTCATGAAGTCCAAGTCCGAAAAGGAGAAGGAAGAGAAGCGGGCGGAGCGCGAACGGGAGGCGGCGCGGGGCGAACGCGAACCACGAGGAGACAGGGAGCAGAGGGACAACAAGGACCACAGCTACCGGCGCGAGATGAACAACGAGCCGAAGGAACAGCACCATCGGGGAGAAAAAGACCGAAGCCGGAACAAGGAGGGTAGCAAGGAAAAGGACATCGCGGAGCAAAGAAGCGGGGACAAGGAACACGCTAGTGGTGTCTCCTCGAGGGAACACAAGTCAAGCAAACCGGTGGCTGAGGAGGAGAAGAAGCAGCTCCGGGAACGGGATCGAGAACCCACGAAGGACCGATCAGACCGTGTTGAGCGGGAGACAACCCGAGAAAAGGATCGGGAAAACACGGAAAAAAGCAAGGCCAGTAAACACGCGGATAAAGAAATGAATCGAGATGTTGACAAGTCCGCGGGACGAGACCGCCCAAGTCAAAGTAAAAGAGTAGAACGAGAGACGAGTGGTAAAAGCAGCGGAAATAAAGCTCCCGATGAAGGTGCGAATACGAATGCCAACGCCAAGGTAGATCAGCAGCAGGATCAAGCAAAGAAAGACAAAAAACCGGACCAGGCTGGAGCCACTCCAGCAGCTGCGACAGCAGCTGGAAAGGACGGCGCTGCACCTGCAGCCGCAGCGACAGCAATTGGCAAAGAAGCCCTCAGTGCGGAGCGGCGAAAGCAGGTGCTAGAAAAAGTCATCAACGCTGCGAAGGATGGCGTAGTCGAATTCAAATCGGGCTTCGAGGATTTCGCTGACAAAGTCAAGCGCGCCAGCAGGGATTCGGATCCGAAGAAAAGGGAGGTCGCGGATAAAAAAGCCGAGTTTCAAAAGATCAATGAAAAGCTTACGGGCGTCCACGCAGAGGTACATTTGAAGTAGATGCTGGCTTCCTCCTTTTTTATGTCGGTACCTACTACTAGTAGCACAACTTAAGATTCGTATGCTGGCATGTACTGATTGCGAATGCGATTGAATCTCGTTTTCAGAAGTTGCAGGCCTTGTGAAGATAATCTTTCACTTCTTCAAAACTAGTCAGTCGAACAAATTGAAAGAAAAGCCTACCTCTCGTTTCCTTCTTTACCACAGTGCGAGACCAAGTTGAACAAAGTGAAGACAAATGCGGAGAAGACAAAGACCTACAAAGACTGGACGTTGGATCAAGTAAAGCCGAGCCAAAAAATCTTTGACGACCTCACGACGCAGTGGAAAGACCTTCAGCGCAAATGGCCCAAGGTGATCCGGGAACTGGAGAAAAAAATCGAAGAGACCAGCTACCGGGCCTTCGGCCTCGGGGATTTGGAAAGGTACTAGCAGTGCGGTATTTGAAATTGAAAGATCTTGCTGTGCTGATGGTTTTTTCTTTTTTCGTCTTCTGTCGTGTCGTTGTATCCCGCCCATGCTTGTTTGAATGTTGATGTTTTTTGTTTGGTACAGACCACGACAGAAATCGGAATGCTTAATACATAGATATCTCCGCGTCGACCCCGAGGAGGCCAAGAAAGCGAAAGAGAAGGCCGCTGCTGAAGAGGGCAAGGAGCAGCAAAAGAAGACGTTACGTGATGGCACGTGGAAGTACCCTCCACATTTACTGATCACGCCCGGTATGTATTTCGGGGAGTGGCGCGAGGATCTCGAGCACGTACTGGGTCCCAAGCCCGAGCCCATTCCGGACTACCCCTTGCCGCAGGTGTCGCTCCAAGCCTTTTTGAAGCGGGAGAAGAAAATCGAGCGGAAAAAGAAAGAGAAAAAGCTCCAGCTGAAGATGGGCGTCGAGGCATTCAACAACTTCAAGACCGTTCTCAAGCAGAAAAAGATGAAAAAGTTGAAACTCAAAGCCCTGCAGAAGAAAAAGAAGCTGGCGAAAAAGGAGCAAAAGCTCGGCTTTGGCGCCTTCAGCAAAGCGCTCACGGGACACAGCCCGAATCTACCACTGCAAATAACCGGTGCGCAACAACAAGCCGGTGACGTGACCATGGACGTCGATCCGGCAACAGCCGCCGCTGCGGGTACTAGCAACCAGCTTCTCGGAGACGACGAGGAAAACAACGGTGCAGCCGCGGTCGATGCCCTGGGTGACGGCGCAACGCCGATGCTTCGCAAGGCGGAGGTGGGAGGTCCGCAGAAGAGAAAGAAGCATCCAAAGTTCAATGGTGCCATCAACTACCGGGAGATAGAGCTTCAGTCCGACAACGAGGGTGACAGCAAGGCCAAAAATAAGCGAAAAGAAGATGAGGAGAAAAAGGAGGCCAAGCTCGTGGAGCAGGACGACAACGAGGGCGGTGATGCGACAAAGAATTCGCGAAGGACGGACCGGGACCGCGGTGCGGACCGGGAGAAGGAGCGAGAGAAGGAAAAGGAAACTAGGAGCAGAGACCACAAGGAAAGCAACCGCGACCGGAAATAAAAAGCCACTGTATTATTTGTGCGGCTTGTTCTCTGTGTAGAAGCTGAGTGCACGTTAGTAAAGCTGCAGGAGGCTGTAACTTTGTGTATCAAAGGCGACGAACGATTCGACTGTGCTTTCACTTCTCCTCGACAACTGCTCTGCGGTACTACGAAAGACACCGCAGTCGAGAAAGTTCATTCGGAACTGCGTCCGATTTACACCGAATTGGAGACCGAGCCGAGACGGCGAGAAAAATCACAGTCGTGGTAAAAAATTTAGATGATCTGACTTTGCGACAAACGAAGGATTAAGCTCAAGAAGCGAGAAGGGCAGCGAAGAACCTTCGACAAGAACCTTTAGCAAGAACTAACAAGAGCAGGAGCCACATCCACATGTTCAGCAGCACCACCGGTTTAGGATAGAGTCGTGTTTTCTGCTTCCCTCCGTTTTTATGCTGCGTCCGCGTACTGCTCAGTCACAGTCTTCCCACGCAACTGTGTTGATGCTGTGCGTCTCACCTACCTTGGATCATGCTCTACTATGTTCCAGGAATGGCTCGGCGCTTCTACTTCTAGCCTCTTCCCGGGGCGGAACGCGGGAACCGCAGTGCCACGGCTGGACTTGAAGAATCGGGAATAGACCAGGGCCGGTTCTTCAAGATTTTCCCTGCACGAAGCAATCTGCCGTGGTACAAGAGCTGCACTACAGCAGGGACGCAGATGACGTGTAGATGAACATCGAGTTCCAGATCGAAATGACTTTTCGCGTATCAGAAACTTGCTTCTGGGATCCACATCAATCGTGTAAAAACTACGCAGATAAGTAAATCGCTTGCGTCGTCACTGGTGCGTCATCTTTCGTGTATGTAAAGGACGGTTGGATGGAAAGGATCTTCTCTATAGTCTTTCTTTACAAGGACGAACGGCGAATAAGTACACTGCTGTGTCGAAAGGCGACACCACTTCTTGCGGCAGCAGCGGGGGAGAGCGAGAAGCTGTATGCAGAGCGTGGTGACGCGGAAATACATCTAGAGTTTGAAGACCACATGGAGTCCCCACGAGAAACACGTAGTAGAAGTTGATAGAAAATGAAAATCATACGCGACGATACGCCGGGGCTAGGAGAATGGTAATTCATCTACACTTACGAGGATCCGGATCCTCGACACTTCGGCGCCGCATCGGTGGGTTCCAACATCTTCTGCTCCCCTGTCCTTCGGCAAGCCGCCGTCAGATTTTTCCACCGTCATGGCGCAATCGGATTTTCCCTCTTCCTCCGGGCGGAAGCCGTGGTGTGGTGAGCAAAGTGGTGTATCGCCCCCGTGCATCGGAATCGGCGAGCGGTACGGCGCCGCTCGGAGAAAATGAAAATTGCCAGAGTACTCCGTCCGTTGCGACAGCAAGGCCTGCAGATCCTGCTGCCAGCAGCATCGCTGCGTTCGCTTCCAGCGTCTCGGCGAAACGGAATCCCGACGATGCGATGTTGAGGACTCTGCGGGATACCGTCCTCGAGCCCCTGCTCGGCTTTCGCAAATTTACCGACACGCAGCGGCACGCGCTGCCGGTGCTGTTCCGGGAAGATGCCAAGTCTATTCTAGTGCGCGCCGCCACTGGGAGTGGCAAGACGTTGTGCTATCTCCTTGCTATCCTAAAACAGCTTGGGGATCCGCGCCTAGGGCCTGGTCTCTTTAGTCGGGCAACTACTGACCACGGCGCATCAGTTGTTGACGGATGCAGTGCTGAGTCCGCGGCGCTCCTTGCATCTGACCAAAGCAAGGATGAGGAAATGACGGAAATACCGCCACCCGGTGTGCGCGCGTTGGTAATTGCGCCCTCGCGGGAGCTGGCGATGCAAATCGCCCACGAAGCGGAAAAGACGTTACTGAAAAAGCAAACTTCCAGCACTAGCCCTGCCAACAAAGGTGCCGCAAACCCTCCACACGAGTCGGCGCACGCAAGTTTGTGCTGCCTCGTGGGCGGCTTGCGCGGGCGCAAAATGGACTGTGTGGAGCTGAAAAAGCGCAAGCCAAATGTCGTGATCGCCACTCCCGGGCGATTACTGGACCACTTTGAGCAGACCTTGTTCTTCCACGATTTGTTCAAGCACTTGGAAATCGTAGTGCTCGACGAGGCCGACCGACTGTGCGATTTGGGCTTTCTGGGTGACCTCAAGCGGCTCCTTTCCTACTTGACCACCGCGAACCAGAACCCGAATCTGCGGTATTTACTGTTTTCTGCCACACTGCCGGCGACGCTGGAAACCAACGTCATTGCGCGCTACATCGACGGTATGCAAGAAAAAAAGTGTGTAAGTGTAAATTTGTGTTGCAGAAGATGCAACAGAGTTACACCTGTCATGCCAGACAGCCATGAAGTCCTATTTTCATGTGTGTTTTCCTTTACAAACCATGCATGACAGGTTTTCTCTGTCATGTAGAGCAAATTTGTGATGCCGTTCCTCAAAGAAAGTTACACTTACACACTTTTTTTCCTGGATAGACGGCTCCGTGGTGCGGGTCGAGTGTGACCAGGAGCGCGCCGGTGAGGACGCTGAAAATGGGCGTGCACCAGACCATCGAAAACCTTCTGGAAAAATGGAGAACCACGACGAGACGGATGAGTGGGGCGACGAAGAAGTAGATGATGATCTTTGCGACGCCAGTGAGAACAACAACGACAGCACCTACCTCCGGACCGACAAGATGCATCAAAGTGCCGAGTTTGTGTCTGCCGAGACCTTACTTCCAGCGCTCCACTACGCGCTCACTGAGGAGTTGAAGCAGAATCCCAGCAATTACCGGATCATGGTTTTTTTCCCAACCGCTCGACTTACACAGTTCATGGCAGCCTTCTTCCGCGAGCTGCTTCGCTTTCCTGTACTAGAGATCCACAGCCGCAAGGACGCGCACCAGCGCTTGCGCACCAGTTGCGAGTTCCGCACGAACGGCAAACCGTCGATTCTGTTCACCAGTGATGTCTCCGCCCGCGGTATGGATTATCCAGACGTAAGCCTGGTATTGCAATTCTGCGCGCCGCACAACTTCGAGCAGTACGTGCACCGAGTGGGGCGGACCGCTCGGGCCGGGAAAACAGGCCGCGCACACCTACTGCTCTCGCACCACGAGGCGAAGTTTGTCCAAGTTCTCAGTGCGAATTTTCAGCTCGCTGGTGTGCTGCCGGACAATGTCGTTTCTTCGCTGCCCCCGGGAACAAATGATCTTCTTGGAAGAAATTCCGAACCGACGAGGTCGCGAGGTTCCTTATCTAGTAGCGCACAAGAACAAGAACAACAAATCTTCCGATCGGGAGGACGACTTTCAACAACAAACCGCAACACCGTCGACTTCCTCGATACCACGCAACGGTACTACTATTCCGAAGCCCTGAATGCAGCGACAATGTCGTGGGTGTCTTCGACCAGCATGAATTCGTTGGCCGCCGCCGCGTTCGCGTCGTTGCTTAGCCATTTCAAGCTGTACACCAACGTCCTGCAACTTTCCGAGGACCAAGTCGTCCAGGCGGCGTACCTGATCCTGACCGGCTGTGGTATGGTGCAGATGCCCGTCTTGTCCTACGAACTCGCGGAGGGACTCGGCCTGCAGAAGCATCCCGGTTTGAAAATAGCGCACGACTTGCGCGCGGGCGTAGTGCCAACCGGACCGCTGGACCCGGTGGCGACGTACAACAACCGGGTGAAAAAGCGCGGAGGCGGGCGACGAGGTGGGAAGAGATTCCTTTGAAAGGAAATATGAAATATTGTGAAGTGATACTGCACTCACGATGAGAATCAATCAGATACATAAACACACATAATGAGAGACAGCAATAACTGTAGACTGATAGATGAATTTCAAAAGCGCATGATACGTGCCGATGGTCTACTTGTACTACTTCACCACAATGAAAATAATCATGAACGTTTACTGACATCAACTTGTGTCACAAATGAACTGTCATACGATGTTGCACTCGGGTAAAAAATCACGCAAACGAATTGTCACAAGATTTTGCATTTCATGAAGGACAAGCGCTTTCAACGCGTTTGCATTTTCTTTTGCAATTCTTGAGACGAACTGGCACAATGTGCTTACTTCGTGGGTAGTATCTCGCAGGAGGATACGTCTACTGCGGCCATTGTTTGTTTTCCTTTTCGCGTCACAAGAACTTTGACTTTCATCTTTATTCGATTTTGCTTACTGAGTAGAGTGACATCGAGAGGAATGCGAAGGAATGTTTGCGGTCGGACCGAAGGTCGAGGGTGTAGGTTATGACAGGAGAAGTGGAGAATCGCATGGAGGAGATAGCTGCTTGGTATTGGTGCACGCAAGAAGACGATCCTGACTCTTGACAGCTCATGTCACGTAGTCCTCGTGCGATTTGTGATCGTGATAATTGTTGATCATCGGCATAGCTGTGCTGGAGTGCCACGCGTCGTGTGCCCAACGTGTTTCGTTTTCTTCGTTGCCATGTCGGAGTTATGATTCCGCTCGCGATTGCGAGATGGAAGATCAAGATCCCTAGCACCAGCATACACCTGATGCTAATTGGAGTCAGTCACGAGCTTTGTCGGGTTACAGTTTCTTTAATAAGCCCGGTGTCGTAATACATCTAGGTCTCGCCTTGATATCTGTGCGCTGCCCGCTGGTCCTATTGAAATGATCAGTGAGTTATCGAATACTCAGCCAAGTACAACTACGTACGCAAGAATGCAATAGACAACACTTCTTCTCTTCACCACGACAGCAATCTAGAAAAAAATGTTGTCGACGTTCATCGACGCGGCGACGCCGCTGGTGAACCTCGGGTTCGAATACAACGAGCACCTGCGTGCCAACCACCTGCACAAGGAATCCATTCTTCAATCACTTCGCATCCACGAATGCGAGACGCAAGCCAACAAGGAGTTTCACCGCGTGGACGTGAAGCAGAGCAACGACCAGCATGCCCGCGAGATGCTGCAGGCCAAAGTGCAGCACGAGGAAAACATCGATTCCGAGCGGCGTTTATCAAATGTAAAAATGTCTGGGTCTGGAAACTTGTGATGCTCAGTGGCGATGATTGGGGATGCTCCTGAGTGCAGCCAAGCATGACAAATTTTCAGGACGCTTCCTCATGTGTAATGCGCACGAGAAACTGCGTTTTTGCATGACAAAGAATTCGCGCTTTTGTCGGTCGCACAATACAGAATTTACAGGAGTGCAAGACACGCAATACAGATTCCAATTTTTCCAGACCCAGACATATTTGCAATGCATAGCGTTCGGCGATCCGGGAAAACCTGCGGGACGAGTGGTCGCAGATCACGGAGAAGGCAGAAACCGTGTTGATCGTCAACACTTTGATCTTGGGTGTGGCCTTTACCATGCTCATCGAAGGTCCGTTGCCGGACGAAATGATCTTGGAGCACCCGGTCTTGGCGCAACTTTACATGTGCAGCCTGAGTATCTGGTACTGGGTTTGTTTTCCAGCTTTTCCTTGACTTGCAATTCAGTGCATGATGGCCGCGTCTGTGTCTTCGTTCCTCATACTAGTGATGCCCGAAGTTCAAATGAAAGTGAAACATCCGACTCATACAAAAACTACAGCCTTGCGACGCTGCTTCTTTCCGTTCGGTACTCTATGGTTCTGCGGTTTCGTGTCGGAAGGACGATTGTGAACGAAATGCGCACGGCGATCCACCGCGCGCTGAATCTCGACCGGCGCTTTCGCGTTTCGGAGCAGTACAAGCACTGCAACCGTGCGAAGGTGACCGTCGCAGCCTGTGACGACGTCAGTCATCCAACGCGACTGAAGAAAGTGCAGTCCTTGCCACGCCAGATTGCCATCGCAAGGCAGCTGAAGAAGCCGGAGAGCAAGGAGCCAGACACTTCTACTGGTGGTAAAGGTACTCGGGACTGGTCGTACAACGACTCGGGGAACTACAAAATGCGAAGCAACACGGCAATGTCGTCTTCCACCGCGTCGTCCGGGAATACTGTTACCCATACCTCGAACATGAGGAACCGAAGGATGCAGCAAGGAGGCTCTTCCTCGTCCACCAGCCGCCCGGTCACATTTTTACCGGGAGGAGCAGGATCTGACGGCACAAACACGAGCTTCCAGAGCTTCGAAGAGGAAGAGGAGGATCAGCGCACCGAGCGCAGTAGTTCCAAAGACGAGGATAATGGGGAGGACGCTTCGCCGTTTGGATCGGAGTTTGGCTCGATGCTGCTGCGATCGGGGAAACTTGGTGGAACGGAACTCGGCTACGAATCGCTGGAGTGGGTGGACCGGAGGCTGGGGTACTCCTACCCCTGCCCGCGGCGACGGAGCGCGTCCTCGCCACGAAGGTCGAAGACTACTGGAGCAGGAGTGTGTCGCAGTCGAAACGGAGTAAGTCGTGGGGATAAGAAGTAAGCACGTGCTGATGCTTGTTCTCTTTGGTTCTTTCAACCCTACCATCATGCATGTGAAACAAGATCTTCAAGAAACTGATGCCTGTTCTTGCTTTGAAAATCCTTCTATCCGCTCTCAGATCACGTTCACGCGGCCTAGCCCGCTCCTCCAGTACGAACGACAAGCGTCCTCTCTTCCTCGAAGGGAGTCACCGAACGGAAGACCAGTCCTCCCTAAGCTCTTCGTCCGCTTCCATCGTGGGCCGACAGCAGGATCCCGGAGACATGCACCATCCACCGGGGCTCCGCAGGATGCAGACGATTGGGCAACTGTTTTACCGCAAGCCACCCAAGCACAGCGGCGAGGCGACGTCCGAAAGCCCAGAGACTGTCTCGCCTGTGGACGAGGCGTTTGCAACGACCGCGGGCAGCGGTAGGTTCAACGAGCACAACGCCGCCCAAACGTTAATCGCCAGCGGAATACTGCGTTCCAGTGTCCGATCCTCGGCAGCCGAGGCGAGCGGGCCGGTAGAACAGGAGCCTGAGTCGGAAGATGTTGCCGCAGGGACGCCGCTGGACAGTAAGAACCCAAAGCTGGTGCCCAATAAAACGATTGGTCGCATCGAACGGAACCGCAGTCACGAAATGGCACTTTCTTCCACCGCCCTATTTTCGCAGAACAGAGGACTCGGGATGGACCGGCCCTGGGCAAGGACGAGCGAGATCATGCTCACACCCTCGTCGCCCTCACAAGTCTCCAAGGAGGACGGCATTCAGCGGCCGGAGGATGTGCCGACGCCCACAAATACCAAAGGTGTGGAGGAAGACACACGACGAGCGAAAGCGCTGATGCGCGAGCTGCACGACATTGAGCGCAGCTACCAGGGGCTGCTCGACGTTCGGCTTTGGCAGGACAAATACCTCAGCAAAAAGCTCGACCTGCTTCGCCGCAACTGGTGCAAGCCGTACGACAACGTCGCGCAGTTTTGTTTCATGCTTGGCACGTGGATTCTGCTGGGCTGCGCCGCGTGTCTGGTGATCGCCCGGTCTCAGACGCGACTTGTCCGTCCCATGGAGCTGAAGTTCGGTACCAGCTCGGTAGCGGTAGCGTTTTGCACCATGAGCGCCATCACCGTGTCCGGACTGGTTTTGCTGGAAGGGTTGTTGAAGCGAAGGCACAAATACGAGGTGTCCGTGCGACGGTACCGGCAGCACATGTACCAGGCACCAAGGGAAGATGCGGAGGACACAACCATGATCGGTGACCCAACGCGCTTGCCGCACGACCAGCCTTGGAACTACACTTACACATCAGTATCCACTTGGTTGATGAAGCCGAAGAAGCCCTCGTTTGCCGTACCACACGACAACTCAGGACCACCATACGGAGGTGCCCCCGGCGGCCCCTCGTCGAGTGCGCTAGTCATACCGGCACCGGGGTTGAATTACGAGGTCGACGAGGTGGACGAGCTCAAGGCGAATGCGTTCAACAAATCGGGCGTTTCCACTCTGGAGTACACGCCGCTAGAGGAGATTGGTCGGGAGTTTCGCTATTTGGAAAACACAGTGCTCTTCGACAAACTGCCCTACCGCTTCACGCCGGGCCTGCTCTTCGTGCTGGTACTCGTTGCGCTAGTCTTCGCGACCATCGACGCCGTGCGGGAAGGGGCGTACGAAGTGATCAAAACTGCACAGAGTGGCGCTGGTCAGTTCACGTTTCCCGGCAGCGAGTTCTTGACGCGCGGCGCAGATTTGTTTCTGGACGACATGCTGTTCTTAATCGCCGATTCCGAACTCCGAACGCAGAAGAAGGGACAAGCCGCTGCAGCGCACAGCTTCGCGCAAGGCTCCCAGTTTCGAGACGTGTGCGGTCTCGCTGCAGACACGAGTTCTGCTTCGTCACCACTGCTGATTGCGGGGCTGCTCGCCGGAAGTAGCACGGGTCCGACCGCGGCAACGGCCTCCTGGATACACGTGTACCAGCAAAACGGTGCGACGTCGAAGTTCCTCTCGCCCGCACTTTTCCCGCCCGGATTCGATATCGCAAGTTTCGTAGCGAACCACGGGGAGCCGGTTGGTCTAGGCTGTCTGCCGATTGCGGATACGACTGCTTTGACCGATTTGACAAACGAGGCGAGCGCTCTGGCCTCTTCTCCGACCACCGTCACTGTCGCGAACAACGTGACGCTGAAAGTTCTGTCCCCAACCGCAGGCGGCTCCTTTGGCACCGCTTTGACTGCGGCGGTGCAACAGCAACAGCTGTCCTCCTGGCCGGCGTTTGCGACCGCGCCGACCGCGGTGCAACTCGCAAAAGGAGTTTCCGCCGCGGAGTTCCGCGTGCACGGCGTGCAGCTGTCCATTGGCTTCAGCAAGGGCGCCATTCTCCCCGGGTTCGTGGTGGAGACGTTTTCCACCTACAATGACGCTACTACATCCTCTGCGTTCAACTTCGTACCGACCAAAACCCTGCTCGCCCACATCGACTACCTCCGAGGTCGTTTACCGGCCGTCACCCTGCGTTCCCTCCAGCCAGTTTCGGAGACGAAAATGGCACTCATATTGGACACTGAGATGCCGTACCCTCTGTTGGCCATCGGAAGCAGGAGTACGAGCGAAGAGGTAATCGTTTCCTGGATGAAGAACATAGACGAAGGTACGCTGCGGCGGGGCATGCTGCGACAACTCAACGGCGATCTGCGGTTTTTGACGAGCGACTACTCGCTTGCAAAATACGAAAAAACGGACTACGACCTGGAAAGCATCACATGAGACACGGCAAGAACGAGTTGTAGGGACTGGCGATTGGCGGGGATTGATGGTGATAGTAGTGAAGCAAATGCACCAGTGCAGCACGGGATTCGCGGCTCAAGTGCGTACAGCCGGGCGACTCCGATTCGGAGTTCCAGCCACGGTGGCTGTGAAGCCATCGCGACGCGGTGGGCAGCTTGGAAGAGACTCAGGCGGAAAGCGTCCCGCCATCACGGTTGGGTAGGACTAGCAGGGCATGGTCAAGTAATGTGCGACAGTAGGAGCACTTGAGCATGAGCTTTGTCTGTCTGCTTTCATCTAGTACATCATCTCTCCGTAGTTCTTCAAAAACGATCTTGAATTCACACCACATCTAAAGATACGAAATATGACGAAAATTCTAAATACAGTACTTGCACGCGTCCCCTCGCGTACCACGAATTGGAATTATGTCCAAGACCCTAAAATGACCGGAACTCGAAACCCATCGGCTCCCCGTGCCGATCAACTTCCAACAGCAACAAAAACCTCTCTAAAAAAACCTAGGGGGTGCGCTGCACCAAGGGACTTTCGGCTTTTCCTGGAAAGGGAGGCGAAAGATGAAGAACTTCAACAAAACACCAAATGAACAAATGCTGCACCGAGTTCGAAGTGACGCCTCTATCCAGATACATGGGAAGTGAGGAAACGCGGCCGAGGCAGGCGAAGTCGTGTTTAAGTAGCCGTCGTGGTCCTCTTCAGACATAGTGTTGAAATGCATTGATCTAGCTCTGACAATATGACAAGATCATTCTACCGCAATGACCTAGATCAATCATGCTCATGGACACTGCTTTTATTTGCGATCCATTCTTTCAGGGTTAGGTTTAGCTTTAGGGAAAGTGGTACTATGCTTCATATGGGCTATTGCAGCTACCTCTGTTTTTTCGATAGGGATAACAACTGTTTTTTATAGACAATTACCTTATTTGTATTCTGTGTCTGTGTTTTCCGCGCACCATTTGGCCACTCACAATTCTCAGATCTCTACCCAGCTGGCCCTTGAGCGACATTTTGATCGTATTCTCACTTAGTAGATACCTACACGACGAAAAGGAACCAACAAAAATGGTGTGGTGCGATGAGTGCGAGCGGTACGGGCATCACAGCGATTATTGCAACGCGGTGTGGTGTGACGATTGTGGACGATGCATTCAATCTGGCGCCAACAATTGGCAATCCAACAAGAACAATCTGGCGCAGCACGCAAAGACGCACCGCCCCCGCAATCTCGCGTGTCCGGTGTGCGGCGAGCAACGCTTCCACTCCGCAACGGGTGTGGCCCTCCACTTCGAAGGTGGTAACTGCACCAAATGCCGGAACCCGGGGCAAGCAGCTGGCCTGACGTACCAGTTCGTGCGTAATCAGGCTCCAAACTTTTTGAATCATGCCATTTGTGACCGAGATTTCACGCACGAGGTCAATCCGAATTACGTTCCGAATAACGCCTACAACTGCCCCACCTGCGGAAAGAACTTTTCAAAGTTTGCAAGCTTGTCGCAACACATGGAAGACGCGCACCGGCAGAACGCGCCCAGGTTCCAGGCATTGGGTTGGTGATTGAAAGATGCAAGTGCTATCATCCAGGTTCCAAACACGATTCCAGCAACATTAATTCATGGTCGACGGACTAGGGTCTAGCTTTCAAAGGAAGATTGACATTCCACACAATCTATCGAATTTCATGTACATTTTGCTTCTCCTTATCGTGTACACTAAACTGTTTGCATTTGGTCACAACATCTGCTTCTGGTAGGAACAAAAATCACAATCACCGACGAATGGAGAGCAGCAGCTGGCTGCTATCTACATTCTCATAAACGTAGTTCGCTCTGGCGGCCGGGTTTTTTGCTGTGCGTTACTGTTCACCCTCTACCGGCATCAGAGTCCGTACATCTGCTTCCTCAGCCGCACGCAAAAAGGCACGACGCATTTCAACAGCAGCAACCTGTCACTCGTATTGATATTCGTGCAAGTGTAGCATGCCAAAGGCAAACTTTTTGTGTGCACTAACAATCGCATTACAATCGAACGCCAGCCAAGAAATCGGTCAATTCTCGTTGCCCTTGTACTAAGGTAAGTCACCCCATCGTCCTCTTCGTGCGTTGACCGTGGTTCGTTTTCCACCACCGTTCGTTTTGAAATTCCATCCTTTTGCCCACGCGTTTCGTGCAAGAATTGATACTATTGTCATGTGAAAATCCACTTGATTTCGTTGTCGTGATTCTAGTCCGTCTCCGTCGCTTCATCTGACCTTGAATGTACAACTATCAAACCCACACTTGTCCGTGACAGGTTTTGCAATACCTCGGTGTTGCTAAGCCACTAGATAGAACCCCCCAATATTCTCGTCTATTTAACATTCAAAAACGAGAAATATTTCGATACCATCACAACATTTGTTTTCCCCAATTTCTTTTCCTTCCAGGGCGGCTTTGCCCATTTTTTTGTCACGACCGGGCGAGTCGTAATAAATTTCCTTTTCTTTGGTGCTCACAGTACTACATCGTGACAAAATGGACGTGGCCGACAAAACTGCCAACTATGCGACCAAGACGAAGCGCGTCCCCCAGGGCGAGACGGCCTTCCGGATGCAGCGGTTTTTGCTGCACCAGAAGAACGAGCCCACCCGGCAGGTGGAAGCGTCGCTGGACGAGGCGGTGGAAGAGGTGGAGCGGCTGGCCGGGATTTTCGCGGGCCACATGGCCAAGGCGGACGTGCACATTGCCGAAATGAAGAAGGAGATCGCGGTGGACTTCGCGAAGGGGCCCCCGCTCATCGAGTTGATCCCGGAGAACCTGCCGCAGCCCGGGCAACTGCAGAAGCTGAGTTACACCCAGTACAAGCGCGCGTTCGGCGGGCACTCCGTGGACGAACTCCACGCTATCACGAAGTTTCGCAGCAACAGTCAAAAGCGATTATTAGGCGGGTTGATGAACTACGAGCATTTTTTGGGCTACATCGTTCTGCAGCACACCTTCGTGCTCTGGAAACGGCAGATCGTCGACAAGAAATTTTCCTACGCCAGATTCCTCGAGAGAACGCTTTTATCGTCCGTCCAGTGGAAGAGATGGTTTAACCTGCGAGCCCTTCTCCTACGGTGGTACATGTTTACCCAGTGGTCAAGAAAGGAGGAAGCGGCAAGGTAAGATTTTTGTGTTTAGATAGTGCAAGCTCCTGAAATAGTGCGTTTTTTTTGTCACAACAAGTGTCTTTTGACTTCGATCACTAAATGGAAATGTGCCTGATCCGGTTGTACACACAAACTCTGTTTCTGAGATAGATCTCAATTTTTCATCGACGACGCACAACAGGCAACGCGCCATGAAGAAGTTGGTTGACCGGGATGCTCTGCATATGAAGCAGTGGGATAAGGAGTACAGGAACGCGTTAAAGGCCCTAAAGGACACCGCCATTCCGGATCCCGACGAGGGTTTCCAGAAGTGCCTCCAGTACCTGCTTCCCCACGCGGTCGACGTGCTGGAAAACGCGCACAAGCGCTCGGCGGTGGACGTGCGGCAGTTTGCGAATTTCTTCATCGAACATTTGAAAACTGTCAATGTCCGGACCGATTTTTACGAGGACGCCGACAGCAAGAAGGGCAGGATTAACGCGCAGGCGACGCTGCTCGAGCTGATGTCGCTGGCGAAGCAACACGTCTACGAGCAGGACCCGAGTTTTCAAGACGACCAGGCAATCGCGGACGTGATTATGGCCGTCACACGGCAGGTCGACGAGCGCGCGCACACCGAGATCACCCGGCAGGACTTCATCGATAAGGCGGCCCGGGACATGGTGGATAACGTGTACCGCCGGATTCTGCGCGGTAGGTCCATCAACGACCCGGCGGACCAGCGGCAGCTGAACCCCAAAGAAATTGACATTAGCCGGCTCCCCTGGGAACCCGGGCTGCACAAGCACGAGCGCCACATGATCGAGGAGTACATCGAGCACTACATCACGCTGGTGTGCGACGAGCGGACCATCTTCGCGCAGTTGCGGGACGCCTTGCAGCAGGATCGCGAGATCGCCAAGAAACGGCTCGAGGAGGCGGCCAAGGAGGGCCTCACGCCCGAGCAGGCCGAGGCCCAGTTCTACAGTGTCGAAAACGCGTCGATCTCCAACTTTTTGTCCGAGACTCGTAGGCTGTTTGAGGACAGTTTGGACAAGGCCGAGAAGGACTTCCGTCGCCGGCTTCCCGGCGCCTACCAGAACGCAGTGGAGAAACTTCCGGAGGGCGGGGACAACATGGGCCTCCTCCCGGGGACGCTGGAGCGCGACGAACCTAGGATCGCGGCCAAATACCGCACTCTGATCAACGCGGTGCGCGAATTCATGAAGAACTGCTTCGTCTACGACTTGGAAAGGTTGAGAAGAGACGAAATCCACCGTTTGAAACAGGGGGGCACCACCGGTAGGCTTTTTCTGACTTATAGATAGGACAACTTTGGATCGTTATTTCTTTATTTCCTGGTACTACTTATGTGGTCGTATGTGAAGATGTTTCGCTTTTGCATCGCTCTTGATGATTTTCTGGTTATGGCATAATAAATTGGATTTCGAACCAGTAAGTATAATGGACTGTAGTTTATCGTTATCCAAAAAACCAACCAACAGACGTGACCGGTTTGCTTCGCGAGCGCTTACTTGACTTCATGCCGGGCCGAGACCACCACGCGGCGTTGACGGAGGGTTTTGGAACCCTGAGCACGAAAGATGAGTTGGTGCCGCGCGCCTTTATCTTCGAGCCCCTGGGCGAATTCCCGCAGGATCGGCATATTCTGCAGCGCGCTCGGCACATTTCCATGAACTACTTCCGCAGCAGCAATTCAACGGTAAATTCCCTAGTCCGCACGGTCACGCTCGACATTGTCCGCTACGTCCGAGGCCTGTGGGAGCTGCTCCGTCAGCACCGCTTGCAGACGGTTTTGTCGGAGGAGACCATGAAGAGTTCCATGCCTCTGCGACAGAAGAACCAGATGCTGATAAACGCCATCGAGGAGATCGCGCAATTGGAGCAATTTTTCCTGGCGCGGTTCCTGACCATCTACGACGTTTTAGGAACGAAGGTGGAGAACACCGCCGCCCCGACGGCGCTGTACATCATCACTTCCGCAAGCGACATGTTGCGGGCGGATCTGGATAACATCCGGCAAACCTTGAAGTCCCACGAGGGGCTGTACATCGCGCAACGCGCCGTGGTCGCGGACCGAGTCTTAGCCTACTTCGTGCAGCGCTTCGAGGAGCACGACGAAAACGAGGGCGGGCCGCAGCAGAAGGAAATCGAACGACGGGCGGAGAAGTTGCTACCAGAGAGGGTGGAGCTACAGGAAGTGCTGGTACGCTTGGAAACGCACGAGGTCGCGCAGGCCATCCGCATGTTGCGATCGCTGTGGGATGAAGTTTTGGAGGAAGGCGTGATGCTCACCGCGTTTGATTCCATCCAGGACTTGGAACGCAGGGAAAACTTCGTTACGGACGAGCAGGAGGCGGAACTTAAAGTCTTGATCACCGGGCAGGAGCGCAGAATCCAGCAGATCGAGCACTACATCAGGGAAATGCGGGGGAAGGTCCGGCTTGCCGCCTTACTCAATTCCGACAAGCACCCCGGGGACAAGGGACTGAAGAACCTCGACCCGCTATGGGTGTTGCTGCAGACACTGGATTTGGCCAGAAAAGAGCTGGACGAGCAGGGCTTCTTCTTTCCGGCGGACCGCAGCAACGGCGCTTTGCTCGCAAGCTCCAAGCCGCTGCGCAGTTTCCAGGACCTGTCTCCGGAGCGGCAAACGGCGTTGAAGCACCGCGTGGTCAACATGATTTGTGCGTTGATGACTACGAAGATGCGCGACCTTCCGCGGGCCACGCCGGAGTACGATGCCGCGGAGGTGATCCAGGTCATGTTCGCGGACGAGATGGAGGAGGGCACACAAGCGCCTGAGTTACCCCAAGACGTGGCGGACCGGGGACGGATCGAGCTCGAACAGGCAGTCCAGGGGCTGCGGGAGGTGGTGGCGCGCGGCACAAGAGATTACGAGAAAGCCAACAAGTACGAACCCCACGTCTCCGGGCTTTTTTACGATGCGTTTTTGGCCCAGGTGTTCAACGCCTTCACCGTGGTCGCCTACTGTTTGCACCCGGTGGTGCCGCCCCCGGACAAGCACACCGTGACGCACTACTTGACGCGGGAGGGCTTTGAGGAGCACTGGCAGTGGTCGGACGGTTTGCCCGAGCACAAGAGACACGGGAAAATCACAAAGGTGACGACCCTCGGCGGTATTCTCGCAAATTTAGCGCACTACTGGACGGGCAAGCCGACCTGCAGCATCGCCGTCATCTACGAGCGGTTCTTCGAGTGCGTGTGGGAACTGCACACGAACAACGAGGCGCTGTCGAAGGTCCCGCCCGTGAAGATCTGCGTCGCCTGCGTCAACTACGCGTGTGACTTACTTCACGGGAAGGTGAAGTACGTGTCTAGAACCCTGATGAAGGCGTTCCTCGCGCAAATCATGCAACTCTTCGCGTCCGACGTGCACACGGCCGACGACCCGCGGTGCAAGCGCACGGCCAACCACAGTCCGTTGATGCGAATCATTGCCTACAGCTTCTTGAAGAACGTAGTCGCGGAAGGCGGCGACCACAAGGCTTGGTTCAACAACCTCCACGCCAACGTTCCCGAGTACCACGGGGTGGACGACTTGATCGGCGTGCTGAACATTGTCACGCAGTGCATCGCCGCCCCGGACGGCGAGAAGTGGTGCGAGCGGCTGCGGTCGCTGCACAACTCCTCCACGAACAACCCCGCGGCGATCTTCCTGGGCGGGCAGTTCGAGCGCATCGAGCGAATTTGGTCGAAGGGCCTGGATCGCTACATCTACTTCTCGCACAGCCGCCGGCTGATGGCGGCCCGGGCGCTCGCTGCAGATAAATTGGAGCGGGGTCTGGACCACAACCACGGCTTCAAACACGAAACTTTTGTCCCAACTGTTGGGTATAAGAAGATCCACAACTGGCGCGCGAAAGGAGGTGGTTTTTTCGACCCGGACTTGCACAATTTGAGCAACGGAGACATGTTCATGACCGAGGAGGGTTTGAACCAGGGGCCGAATAAGATGATAACCGCTCTGCTAAACACGCCACCCCTGCCCTCCGCGAAAGCGGCCATCGCGCTGATCCACTTCTTCGAGCAGACAGCGAGCGCGTGGCGACCACCGCTGCCGGCCCAGAAGTACCAGTCGCCGCTGCTGATCGCGAACGACATCCCGCAGGAGGCCATGGAGACGATTTACGCCCTCGCGACGGGGTGCGTCGACATGGACAACCTGCTCCTCGCGGCGGATGGCAACCCGCACGCGGAAGACGGCCCCATCGACCCGATTCCGCACTTCAACATCCACGAGGTGTTATCCGCCTGGTTTGCCCGGGTCTTTTCCAAGGTCATGATCCGGTTTCCGGAGTGGCGGCGGGAGTTCCCGCGAACGTTGGACTACCTCCAAGCCTTCGCGTTTGGCATCCTGGAATACAACTGGAAGCAGCGGGAGGGCTTGATGCGGGAGTCCCGGCTGAAGAACGACGAGATGAAGTTCGCGGAGATGATTCGCGCGCGGGCAAAGGCCAGGGTCGAGCAGCCGCAGAATTTAGAGGAGCTAATCGTGAACGCCGAGGATTTCGCGCAGGTCTTCATCCTCTCTGGCAGCGGGTTCATGAACAAGAGCGGGGAGCTGGAAATCGACAACGAGGCGGGCTTGGTTGCGTTCGACGCCTTCATGCAGAAGGACCTTGCCCAGGTGGCGCTGGTCTTCTGCAACGACAAGGACTACGCGGAACTCTTCATCTGCTTCGTCGCCATGGCGGTCGGGAGGCGAATCTTCTTCAAGCACCGCAGCCACTACAACTCGATTTTGTGCTACTTCTTCCTGAATTTCACCGGGGAATACATGGCCATGATGCAACTGCCGATGTACAAGTGGCTCGAGTCGCAGTGCCGAAGGATTTTTGCGGTCGCGCAAAGAACGCCGGTCGTGTTTGACGCCGTGGAGGATAACATCAAGAAGGAGCTGGAAGAGGTAGAGGAAAACAAGAAAGCGGGCATCCAGGAGGCAAAACTGCGGCTGGGGTACGCAAAGCGCCGCGAGCGCTGGGGAACGGTCTTTAACGAATTTGACGCCGAGGCTCTGCACGAGAAACAGCGGGAAATGCGGGAATTCGAGGCGGTGTTTCTGGCCGACAGTGGGTTGTTCGAGCTTGGAAAGGACGACAACGAGGGACAAATTCGCATGGGAGAGAGTCTAGCGTCGGGCGACGGGGAGTTCAACAGTATCCCCATGCTCGCTTCGGGCGTCCCCATGTAGTAGAGAGGCATTCATGAATTTCCATTTGCTTCGATTTTATCTTCATAGACACCGGTTCTTTCGCAGTTTTTACTCGCTTGTTCTTCACACTTTATCCACTTGCATTTAGAGTTCTTGAAACATCACAAACATTGCCACGCGTGTGTCATTACGAAATTGACACAACGCACCCGCCGGCACGATATCTCCTTGTTGAAAAAATTGCATTTACTCACGTCAAAGGCTGTTGTGCGACTATGTTCGTGTAGCAGTGAAATTGAAAAGCTAAGCGTAAGTCTCGATGAGAAACACTTTCCGCATTTTATGTTCATATACTTTTCCATAAGTTTGTTAAAGTTAAAGCTAATTTTCTAAACATCTACAACAGCTGTATTCTACTTTATTGGATTCAAACAATTTCATTCATTGCACGGTGTACTGTTTTTTTTCTGTGATTTGCATTGTCATTTGTGCTTCGTTTATATTGCAATTGCTTAACGTGAGCTAGAGGTCCGAGCTCTCGAGCTTTGATATCTAGTGGTAGATGATGCCTCTACCTTTTTTCCGGTTTTCCCCCGGTCCGGCATCTCTTTTTTTTACAAGCTTAGCAAAATTTTTTTTACTCCCTCGTAGGCTTGTGTTGCTCCTGCTGCACCTGCATACACATACTCATCTTACCTCACCCCCACATGAACCCAAAATCATATGCATTATCCCATCATGATCATACTAGCGCATTGTATCCCAAGACAAGAAACCGCATCCCGGCATCCTCCAAGCGTGGCTATGAGCTCGAGCATCCCTCTTGCTTTTGCGCAGGCGCTTTTATCCCATCGGGTCAACAAGCATGACATGCTTGATGTACACTAGAAAAAACTCAAAGAGAAAGACCGAATGGGCGACCACTTTTACCCTGGGGATGAACTCTGAAAAAAAAACACTTTTCGCAACCTCTCACCGATTATATTTCGGAGACACAGGAGAAGCGCAGTACTGCTCGCGAATGTTCGCGACAATGTTTTTGCATGCCTTTGGCAATTCTCGGTCGCAATCATGAGCGGGCCTCAGGGATGGATGCCGTTGCGCAATGAAAAATGAAGATCCTTCTGCATTATGTTAAGGACTTTAGCCAACTTGGATTCTTTCATTCAACGCACGACGGTTCTGGTTCTCTTTGAGTTCTGAAATTGATCTCTATCTAGTTGTCGTTGCTGATCAATTCATTGCGTATCTGTATTGATTTGTCCAGTCATGAGGTAAGTGTTCTCTTCGTTTACGCATCGCATCATCACTTAATATTCCCTCCAGCATCCACATCCAGCATTATTACCTATTACTTCCAAAAGTTTGCTTTCTTATTCCGACATCATGGCATGAGGCCTCTGTCACCGCGGGCTGGTAACCATGGACGGCGATTCGTCTTTCCTGTTTCCAGTCTGGGAACAATAGCTGCTCTTTGACGTCGGCGAAGTGAGAAAAACACTTCGAAGCGTCGTTCTCGGGAAGAACAACCACAGAAAAAACGCACACCATGTCGAGTGCCTGGCAGCGTTTGGACGATCTCTGGTATCGGCGGCATGAGGTTTCCGGGATGAAATGGCCGGAGGACAACGAGCGACTGTGGACCCACGTGGTTTGCGGCGCCAGGTGCGGGGGGCCGATCGCCCTGGTTCGCGACGAGAACGTGTTTCAGCAACTCCCGACCTCTAGTCCCTTAATCCCGAAGTTGCAAACGACGACGGCGCTGGGGACGCCCCTGGCGAGCATTGACTGGACGTTCAAGGGGCTACTCGGGCTCTACTGGACCCCCGAGGAACTTCTGGTAGCCGTTTTTCAAACCGGCCAGGTCCGATTGTTCGATGCGTTCGCGACGCAAAAATCACAGTGGACGCTAGACCTCGGCGCCGGAACTGCGGGCGGCAATGCGGAAATCCGGCTCTCCCTGGTCACCTTCTGGCCGGGCGGCATCGTCGCGTGGGGCAGCACCACAAAACGGGCGTACGTCAACCTGGGCTTCGAGCGTCGCTCGCCCTGGAAGCTGGCGGACGCGGTAGACTCCTATCCCTCGCTCTTGCAGCAGTCCGACTTCGCGGCGGTGACAATTTCCGTGTTGCCGGAGGCCGCGACAGCAAGTTCCGCAGCCGCAAATACAACCGGAGCGGCAAACGAATCAGGACACCTAAGTGCTGGTGGGCACCAAAACAATAAAGACAATTCGTTGTCAATTAGCATGGAGGTGGAGCAGGAGGATGGGAGCAACATGCGGAACAACATGCTTCAGCTTCCCGGGGGAAACGCGAATAACCCTTCGAGCGTGTTCGCGTTGTTGAACGGTGGGAAGAGTGACATCCGCGTTCTGGTGTCCACCGAGCGGCATGGGGTCTTCGTTTGCGCGCCAAACAAGTGTTTTCAATTGAACGACGAGTTTTTGTCGAACCCAGCCGGATCTTTGTCGAATCCACCGCAGCCGAATCAGCAGGTGATAACGAACCAGGATCCCGTGACGCATTTTGCCGTATCGCCGTCCGGCTTTTTTCTGGCGTTGCTCAGCGAAAAGGGAAATTTCAAGGTATTCGACAACCAGCTTGTACTGTTAGACGTCGCTCACCTCGAAAGCAGGAAGAAACCGCGGCAGATGGTGTGGGTGGGCGAGGATTGTGTGGCTTTGTACATGGCGTCCAGTACGAAGCAGCACGCGCTGTTTGTCGGCGGCCCACGGAACGACTGGATCCCCTACCAGTACGATCACCCCTTGTTTCTCGTTTCCGAAACCGATGGCGCCAGGATCATAGGACAGAAGTGCGAGATCCTGCAGCGCATCCCCCCGGCGGTCGAATCGATTTACAGGTATTGAAGAAGGGTACGGTAATTACATTTTTCTGCTGAACAAGGTAGGGTGACTGTGTTTCATGGGCATACTGCTGCTTTGATTGAAAATTTTCTCATAATCGATACATACGATTTTCAGCATCGGCTCCTGCGAACCCCCAGCAATGCTGTGCTACGCACTAGAGCGTTTCATCGAGGGAGACGTGCGCGCCGAAGAGTCGCTACGTGCCATCAATGACGATCTTGGGGATGCAATAAACCAGACCATGGATGCAGCAATGTATCCATCGTTTTTAGATTTTTTCGTTTAATACTTGGAACTACGCCGAGTAAACGTTTTAGCTTACGTTCCAGAACTGCACAACTCTGGAAGTACATGAACCTACTAACTTTAACTGCTCGCGAGAGCGGAAAAGGCTTCGAGCTATCTTGGAATACTTTTTCCTGTTCAACAGGTGCGAGTTCGAGGAGAAAAATATTTCTTCGCTCCTGCAGGCCTCGGTTTTTGGTCGAACCTTTCTTTCCAGTGCGAAGAAGGGTGGTGCGGCAACGGCTGAACAAGCCTCAAAGCGGTTCGTGGAGGCGTGCAAGTGGATCCGCATCGCCACTGCGCTGAGAAACAGCTACGACATTCCAGTCACCTGCGCACAGCTCCAGCAGGTGGGTCTGACCACCATGATTCTTCGCCTCGCGGCGCGTCGAGAACACTTGATCGCGAAACGGATTGCGGACTGGGTTGGGTTGCCTCTGACCGAGAAGATTCTCGTGATGTGGGCGCGCGACAAGATCCATCACTCGCCCTCGATGACCGATGCGGAACTGTGCGACGTCATTCGGAAAAAATTTTCCCGCCACGGCACCGGGGCAATGCCCGCACCGCAGCAGCGGGGACCTGCTGTTGGGGGGCCGAATGTGGTCAGGTACAAGTACTTTGGGCGCCCCCAGAATCAGCGATTAGAGGAGCTCCCCGTTTTGGAGACAACTTCTGGTGACGTATTGAGAGGAAAAATCCCCCCTCACCATATTGAAAAGGCATGTTTCCGAAAATTTGCGTTGCTGATTTGAGGTCACAAATCACATTTGTTTTGCAAGAAGGCAAGGGCAGAAGCTTCCGCCCCATTATGGAAGCGACTTGTCCTGCTGTTGGGCCTAAAGCGGAGCCGCTTGCCATGCTGAACAACTAGACGCGTACGCCCCCACCTAGCCTGGGGACCTGACTGCAGTGCTTTCCTGCAATACAAAGCTGCTTTGTGTACTCAAATCCAGCATCAGAAATTTCGTCTTGATATGGGGAGGGGGGATTTTTCCTTTTGATATGACGTGCCTTACGCGGAAGTCGCGGAATATGCCGCGGCGGCACACCGTCCGGCGCTCGCTACTATGCTGCTCAAAAACGAACCACAGGCTGCACAGCAGGTAGAAAAAATTCTTTGGCGGTTTGAACTAACCCTATATCCTCTACATTTGATAGACCCGCCTCTTCAGCGAACTTGAAGTGCGAAGCGAGTTGACTAAAATGTGGCGGTGTACTAACATCAAGAATCATGAAACAGAAACGAGAACGACTCCTCACATCAGGTTGGTATGCTCCTGAAGCTCGGCGAGCCCCTGCTCGCGTTCGAGCAGGCTGCGCAGCCCAAGGGCGACCCCGAGCTGCTCCGGGAATGCCTCAACGCGAGCGACCTCTCTGGGGAGCTTCTCACCTCGAATCTGCGGTCGCGGTGTCTCCACGTCCACACGTTGCAGAAACTCCACCGGTGGCCCGCACTGCTGGCGTTTTGCGAAGGCGGCTATCCGCACAAGCGACTCATGGCCGAGGCGCAAACACAGCTGGCGTATGCGTCAACAACGAGCGGGAAGCACCAGCCTACTTTGCTGTCCGACCGCATTGAGTTCCTGAACAAAGCGACAAAGTCCTTTGCTGAGAAGAGCAACGTCCCGCTGAAAAACAAAGAGAAGGAGCTGCTACCGCCCGACCCGTTTAGTGCAGCAGTGACGCAGGAGCAGGTCAGTTTGTTGAAATTGCAGGAACAGCTTGAGACCAAGGCGCAGAACTGGCCGGGAGTCAGCACAAGCCTGTCGCCACCCTGCGCCAGCGTCTCGTCGGCTTTTGCCGCTACAGCATCCACAAGTGGTAGCTCGTCCTCTTCGAGCGCATCGCGCGGACAGCAGCACTCCAGCCGCCACAACTTTATCGGACGCTCTCTCATGCAGACGGTGCGAGTCTTGATTCTCATGGGTCAGACGGCAGAAGCGGAAAAGATACGGAAGGATTTCGCCATACCTGAGAAAAGGTACTTCATCTTCTAGAGATAAAAGGCGCGACGTGCTCATGGGTTCTTTCTTCCTTTTGCATCTGGATGTTTTATGTTTGTTTTGCAAAAACTAAACAAAATCAAAATTCTTCGCAAATAAACTACAGGTACTGGTACTTCAAAATTGCTGCTCTCGCTGAGGCTCGAAATGTGGAGGAGCTGGTGACCATGGCCAAGAGCCGGTCGTCGCAGAGCTACGTGCCTCTGGTGGAGGCGCTCATCACACTGAACCGCCCCGATTTGGGCAAAGAGTTTGTTTCCCAGGTTAAAGACGACCAGCGCGCGGCACAGCTGCTGATGAAGATGGGATTCCGGAAGGAGGCAGAAGAGCTTTTGCAGAAGTCCAACGCCGGCGGAATTCTAAACTGGTTCAAAGGCCGTGGAGGAGGGGGAGACTTGTGAGTGTCTGACACTTTAATTATACCAGGGACAGCGCATGGAGCTGGAGGCCGATGCGTCGAAGAACTTGCGAGTTGGGAAGCTCGGGCGAGCCGCATGTGGCGCGGCGCGGCAGCGGGGCGGCGGTCACAGGAATCGAGAGCAGCGGACGGGGCGGTGGCAGACCAACATGCTAGGCTGCTCAATGGCCACATTGAGGTCGATTGAGAGCTCGAGCGTGTTGCTGTGCAACTCCTTAGCCACTTTCATGTGCAGTAGATGCAGCGGGTGCCTTTCGCGTGCACTTGAGGCCCACTTTAACTTTATGGCTTTCGTGTATGTAAATGCATTTGATCGAAATCTGTTTCTGTACCCCTACGACCGAGTAGCGACTACGACATTGGAATCAATCAATCCTCCTCTACCTCGCAGCTGCGATAATGCAGGGCTTCGTCAGAAAGAGGGATTAGCTTGCTTCGGTTTTCTCTCCCGCGTCGGTGTAAAAACTCCAAAGATACACTTATCGGTTAATAGTCGCGGCCTTGGACTTGGTCTGTGTCTCAAAGGCGGGGAGACTCTTCTGTTGTACAACTCCGGACTATCCTCGGTATCGGCAGAGGTCGTGCTCCAAGACTGCGCTCCATTCATGTCGGTTTCATTTCATCAGCAACGCGCCTACCTTGATCTCGGTTCTGCTCCGCGTTGTGTCTTCGGTCGTGTGCCACTTATCGGCACCATCTTCCCCTACACGTATACGGATCCAGCTTCGGTACTATTTCCTTCGCGCCTTAATCGTGTCTATCTCGGACTTTTAGTTTTGGAAACGGACCGGAATTGAAAAACTCCTTCCTAGCACTCCTTTTAGCTATTTCTACCATGTTCTAGTAGAGGATTTGACATCTTCAATTTCAAGCACTTGCAGATCCAACCATTATACCCTCGCTTGACTCATAGTCTTACGTGCGTGTGATCGAGAAAAAAAGCACGGACATATGCGACCTTCATCATCGCCCTAATTATTTGCTTCCAGCTCCAAGTAGGAGCGCTCACAACCACACGCGATAAAGTTACATTTCTAGCGCTCTGCACGGGCTAAACTCTGAAACTATTTTGTACCATATTTGAAAACTGATCCGAGGACGTCTTATCTAAGTGATCCGCGCGAAGGCGAATTTGAACCGATGTCTTCGGGCCAACATATTTCTACAACTTGCAACTGAGACAACTCAGCACTTCATCTTCAACAAAGCAGCGATACCATAGAAAGAACAGACTGATATTCATAGTACTAGCGACCGCATTATACATAGCGACACGTCATGATGCATTTTTGACACTGCAACCGGCCCTTGAACGACATCGCAGGCTATTTGCTCGTACAGATTCGACTCTTTTAACTTACAGATACTAGGTTTATTCCCGAACCCCGCCCCCTCCCGTCATGTCTTCCTCGAATCGGCCCGCCGGAGCGTCGCTGCGCAACCGCACGCTCTCGGCCGGGCGCGCCGACAGCGACGCGATCAGGGCTCTTGACCTGAACAGCGACGACCAGCAAAACACCCGCGGGTTCGGCGGCTCGACGCGCAAGAAGCAGCAGGGGCGGCGGAATTCCACTGGGGAGCCCGGCTTTTCCTCCAGCCGGCGGGGTAGCAAAAATACCGACCAAGCCGGGTTTCTGGCGCCCAGCTCCCGCCAGTACGAGCAGGAAAAACTAATCGATGTCGAGGCCGGGCGGATTAGCAACTACGACGAGGATGGCGTCGGGGAGGGTATTGACGTCGAGCCGAACATCCAGCGGATACCCGGGGTGAACGAGGCGGTGTTCGAGGAACTGAAAGAGCCCATGCTGAACGAGGAGGAGCAGGAGCAGTTCCGGAACATGGTCCTCCACGGGGATCTGGAGGGCGTTCGGGGCACGGGCAGGCAGGACGACGAACAAACCCTCCGGTCGGATATCACCTCCCCCTCACAAGCACCGCGGTACGCCGCCGAAGATTACCAGGAAGCGATCACCAAACCCGGGAAGCTCGGCCTGGAATGGAGGAACCTCACCTTCACGGTGAACGGGAACAAAAACATCTTGAAAAACTGCTACGGAAAGCTCTACCCCGGGCAGGTCTGTGCATTGATCGGGCCCAGTGGGGCGGGCAAATCAACATTGATGAATTTATTGGCGGGGAGACAAGGGTGGACCGGAAACGGGGTAGAAATGACGGGCGAAGTCAGGTATAGGATTTGTGCTTTTTGTCTTTTTTCATAGAAGATAAAGCCATAGCTAATGCTCATTCAAGATTTTTTTTTCCGTCCTGAACAGCGAAGATCGGATCATCACTGTTGATGCGAAAGAAACAAACTTCCGCATTGCGTATACGGATTTTCACTCAGGAAAAAATTGACTTTTTTCGAAGAAACATGTACTTACTAACAACCTCACCCCCACTCCCACAGATACGGCGGCAAGCGTGTTGACTTCCAAGACCTGAAGTCGAGTATAGCGTACGTGATGCAGCAGGATGCCATTCTCGGGACCCAGACCGTGATGGAGACGTTAGTGTTCGCGGCCCGCATGAAGCTGCCGGCGGGCATCGAGAAGGAGCAGCTGATGGCCAACGTCGAGCAAACGCTGAAGCAGCTGGACCTGTGGGAGCACCGGGATGTTCCGATCGGCGACGCGTTGCGGAAGGGGATTTCCGGCGGGCAGAAGAAGCGGGTGTCGGCCGCCCTGGAACTCCTGACGCGACCCTCGGTGATGTTTTTAGACGAGCCCACGTCCGGGTTGGATTCTTTCTCTTCCCTGAAGTTGATCGCGGAGCTGAAAAACATCGCCATCGAGGAGGACGTATCAAATGTAAAAATGTCAGGGTCTGGAAACTTGTGATGCTGGGTGGTGTCTCATGATGAGGCTACAAATGCTGGCTCAGCATGACAAGTTTCTGAGCTTCTAGGTGTTGCCTATTCTGCATGACAAACTGCGTTCCTGCATCACAGAAAAATGGAGCTCTTGGGTAACGTGCGTGACAGATTTAAGAGTCATGCCAGACAAGCATGACAAACATGCACTCTTCCAGACCCAGACACTTTTGCACTTGATAGGGCGCGATCATTTGCGCGACCATCCACCAGCCGTCGTCCGAGATTTTCGACAACTTTGACCGGGTGATCTGCATGCGGGACGGCTATCCTGAGTAAAAACGTCCCCACCCCAGAGTTGTAATGCAAATCTGCATGCCCATGCCAAAAAAGTTTCTCATGCGGAGCCCCATGAGAAGCTTTTTCTAGGCGTGTTTTGGAGTCTGTGATGCTACAATCAGCATCATATGCTAGATATGTGATGCTTCTGGACTAGCTAAACAGCATTATACTACGAGGCAAAACTTGTCATGCGCAACAGCCAAAGGTGGCTGATTTGTGTAGCAGGTCTCCCATTTTGACTCTGGGGTGGGGACGTTTTTGCTCAGGATAGCGGCGAAATCATGTTCAACGGCTACAACGGGAAGGCGGCCGAGATCCTCGTGCAGGAAGAGCAGCTCGCGCGGGGCGCCTTGTCCGTCGGCATGGTGAACGCCGCAATGGCCGGAGCAGAGGAGCAGATGAGCATTTACACGATCTTAGGCTTCCTCGATTTGATCGTGCGCCAGCCGTTGCCGACGGGGTATAACACCGCGGATTGGCTGCTCTACCACGCCCAGTCCATGCCCCACGACGAGGCCCGAGAGGTCATCGAGCAGTGCGCGCGCGCGTACGAGTTGCGCAACCACGGCTACAGCCCAGAGCGGATCCCGCTCATTGAGTACAGGGACTTGGTGTGCAACGACCTCCCGATCCAAAATGTGATGTCCTTAGATAAGAAAGCCGTTTTCTGGGCCAACGGGTCAGGGTATAATCCTTTTGTGGTTTAGGTTTTGTTTTCGATGACTTAGATTTCGATTCGCATGAGACATGAACACGCCGGCTCTCGCTCTTGTCCTGTTTGAGTACTTACACTGACACTGCGTGTAGTTGCCCTTGCGTTTTGCTGCTCGATCTCTTCAACTGTACTATACCATGATGCTGATGATCTTCCCCAACGGACGAACTACATCAGGACCGGAGGGCAGATGGCGGGCATGCAGCGACAAGGCATTACGGACGATCTTTTCACCCTGCACGAAGACAAGCCGCTCTCCAATCAGGCAAACTCTTCTACCGGCACAACAACGGCCCAGAAACGGAATTCGTACCGCCAGGAGCCTGAAATCGAGGTAATTGGATCCTTCAATCCGCAGAAAGCGGTCGTCCCAGAGCACGCCGAGGAGGAGATCCACGATTACGCGGAAGTTGGCGCGGTGCCAGACGCGTTAAAAAGAAAACACCTCGATGCGAAGTGGATCCAGAAGCACCCGGAGAGCCAGGAACTGATGCTGATCGCGCAGAAGCAGAACGGGCTGTGTTTCCAGCTCTGTTTTCTCACGCACCGGGAGTTAATCCACCGAATTCGCGACCCGTGGATCCTGTTCTTCCGGTTTCTGATCCCGACCCTGCAGGTCTGCCTTTTCGCTATCGGTTTCGCGGATGTTGGGAGGCAGGTCGCGGAAGGCCTCTACGACAAGGAGGGCACGCCTATGCTGAGTAAAAACGTGGTCCCCACCCGAGAATTGTCATGCAAATCTGCATGCCAACAAAGTTTCTCATGCGGAGCCCCATGAGAAGCATTTTCTAGTCGTGTTGTGGAGTTTGTGATGCTAGAATCAGCATGATGTGCTAGAGCTGTGATGCTGCTGCGCTAGCGAAACAGGATCACACTATGAGGGCAAGAAACTTGTCACGCGAAACAGCGAAAGCTGGTTGATTTGTGTAGCAGAATTTCCAACTCAACCCTGCTGTGGGGACGTTTTTACTCAGGATAACGCCCATCACGACGGCACAGCAGTACGGCGAGAAGATCCGAGAGTTGTACGGTGCCGCGAACAACATCATCTGGATTCTCATGTTCAGCACCGCGACCGGGTTTACGCTGACGATCCCACAGGAGCGGGCGATCTTTCTCCGGGAATACCACAGTAATCTCTACGGCGTCATACCCTACATCGTCTCCAAAATCGTCATCGAGGTCGTCATCATCCTCGCACAGACCGCGTGGCTGCAGATGATCCCCTACCTTGCGTGGGGCATGAACAGCAATTTCTTCTACCTGTGGGGTGTCACCTTCCTGCTCGGGATGGGCGGTTCCGCAATCGGGCTGTTCCTCGCTGCCGCCAACTGCAACGCGCCGGAGCGCTCGGTGATGATGACGCCGATTTTTCTGTCGTCCGTCCCTAATGTCTTCTCCGGGGCCTTCCGTCCCGTAGCGGAGATGCCGCAGTGGATGGCATGGCTGGCCTACGCCATCCCGTCCACTTACGGTCTGCGTCTGATCGGGTTCATAGAAAATATGGGCTGGATCGAATCTCACTTGGAAGGTTCGAACCCGCAGCAGTTGGCCCTGTTCACCGATGCAAGGGACGCCTGGTGGGGCCGACACAACATTTCGTACGGAATCGTGGGAATCTACGCCGTCGGTTTGATATCTGTGGTGATGGCCATGATGGTTTTGTCCGTCATATTCCTCAAGTGTGGGTCCAGAAGCTTGTACATGTAGGAGTAGTTGTTTTTGCAGACCCGCCACTGTCGCAAGCACCTGCGCCTACTGCCACTGCATTTCTTAGCTATCATTCAACTTTTTTTAACATATTCAATTTACAATGAACAAGAGCGACCAGGTAGTCCTGCATGTTTTTGACGTACATAGGCTTATTCGAGTAAGTGGTCACTGCCGCGCAACAAGCCTAAGGCGCTGCGCACATACAACTAGTGATTTTTGCTTTCTGTTCTTTCGATGTTTGCTTTGCTTTATTCTTAACAAGTACCTGCTCCCAGCCGGGAAGAAACCTCCAGGGGAGGTGGAGGAGTTGGCGGGTCTTATTCGTCCTTTACATCCGAAACTTATCCTCACGATCGTTACCTTAAGTATACAACTTACCAACACCAGAATTGCTTGTGCTGATCATTACCTCCGGCGCCCGCGTTTATCGTGGCGCACCAGGACGACGCACTTCTTGATTGGGTATGAAATGTGGAAGATTGCCATAATTGTGTGGATGTCGCTGTTTCTCTGTTTGCTACTTCATCGGGTTTGCCAGTCACTTTTCACACCGGCACTTTTTCGAAATCATATCAAAAGCGAATCTAGGTCACTCACACAACACGAGCAGCTGCTCAATTTAGGCTGCAACTATTCATTGCAGCTTATTGCGCTAAGGACGATCTAAATTGTTTCAAACGCTCCGTCGATGCGATTTAGATTTCATAGCCGCTGACTGCAAACTGTCGTCGTTTTCTGGCTCCGGTATGCACTTTTCGTGGGTGCTGCACTTGAAGAACCAATGATTATAATGATGGGAGAAAGAAAAAGGTCGTCGGCTTGCAGCATTCGACGGCAGCATGACGACGCCCTGTTTCCCTGTATCTAATGCAAGTGTCGGCTCATCTGGACTCACTTCGCTTCTGTGAGGACGGACGGTCGGAAATGAAATATTTGTCGCGATCATCTGGAATCAAAGTTATTCACCAAGAGCAACATGTTGATCATATTATCCATATCGCCGCACTGACAATAATGAGAGTGGTCACTCCAAGAAGAGGAAGTAGAACTAACCGCAAAAATCAGCTCGTGCGATCCCTTCTTGACCACAGAGAGGAGTGCTGAAAACGATCTAAATCGCAAGGCAGACAAGAGATCGCTGGATCAATTTAAAGATCAGTGAAGATGGTCTGGGTCTTCAGAGTCTGGCTCTTCAAGTGACGATATTAAAGTCAAATCTGTTACAACCTCAACCGAAGATCATCAACGCCCATTGTCGTGCCCGCTTCTTGTCGCTGGATCTAAATCTTATGCTCACTAGCAGCAAGAGCTACTCAATGAGTTCTAAATTTTTATGATAAATGTGCGAAGGTCGGAAAACTAAAACAATAACAAACGCTTGTACAACCTCTCATGGGAATCGAATAAACAAGTAACCTCACTAATGCTGACTGACCACAATCCTCTCTGCTTCTTCTAACCACAGGGACCCACTTTCCGATCCTTGTGATCCAGTAAGACTCTCTCTCGCCGCTTTTGGCAGACGAGGACGTGTAAATCCAATACATTGAGCTGCCATCAAAATGTCAGACGTTGAATCCGTTGCTGCCAGCGTTCCGGTCGAGGAGGAAGTGACCGACCTGGGGTCCGCCGTCCGCCGCGTCTGCAAGAACGCTTTGGCCGTCGATGGTCTCGCTCGCGGTCTCCACGAAGGTATTGTTATACTGATGGTTGTGCTTTAGAAAATGTTTCAGAGCCGACGACCACGAGCTGCGTTTTATTGTGTGATTTAGATGAGATTCGCGTACTAGATAGAATCTATGCAAGGAGAGTGCGTGCCGACGGTTTTCCTTCCGGTAGAATCTTGTTTTGCAGGGAGTGTCTGGTTGCAACTCTCCACGACTAGAGAATTTAGACTATCGGATTATATTAATCGTGGCATGATGCGTAATCTCGTCGATGACTGCGCCTTCCTAGTGATTCATATTTTTGCGCGTTATTTGGTGTTTCTTTCAATCCTTCCTCATCGTCGCCCAAACTTCTGACCTACAGGTGCCAAGGTGATCGACGCTGGCAAGGCCCAGTTCGTCTTTTTGTCCGAGTCCTGCGATGAGCCGGCCTACAAGAAGTTGGTGAAGGCTCTGTGCGCCGAGAAGCAGGTCCCCCTTTACGAGGTGCCGGACAGCAAGAAGCTCGGTGAATGGGCTGGCTTGTGCAAGATCGACTCCGACGGTAACGCCCGCAAGGTCGTCGGCGCTTCCTGCGTCGTCGTCCACGACTATGGTGACGAATCCGAGGGCCTCAACTGGTTGCGCAACAACACCTCCTCTTAAGCGTGCTGACAAGTTTGATTCCGATTTTTTCCGAGGAAAAGAAGTGGAGTCAGATGTAGTAAGAAAGTACGTACTCTGGAGCGTGGTGTAAGAATTCGTTGATGACGAGAACAGAGAAGATGGATACACTATACTCTTAGAACACACGCTGTCAACAAGAAGAATTCAGCGCACGTCGACATTCGCGGCAGAACTTGTGATGCTCATTTACTGTGAGATCCGTCAAGTGAGAGAGTAATGATCAGAGGCCGAGCTTTGTTTTTGGAGAAGCGCCCTGGCGGTCGTGTCGGCCAGCGGTACGATGATAGCCCCACTGTGTTCGTCATGCATCTCTCGAGTTTAGCGTATGATCGTGATGCACGTCGGTACTTTCGGTACATGCTATGTGATTATGTTCTGTCGTCCTGACGCAGGGTTGATGAGTCAGTGCAAAGCTGCTGCTTCTGCTTTCCCTCTCGGCAGACGCAATCTTTTTGATAGGGTATAGTATTAGGAATAGTTTGGCGGAGATTCGTGGAGTCTCCGTCGTCATGCACTGCACATGGAAAACTTATCCTTTCGTCTTCGCGTGTAAGACTAAGATGAAGAGCTTCTCATCGTCATCCTCATCTGCGCTCAACGGATCTCAAATTTCATCAAAGTTTAATACTCTCCATGCCCAACTGCATCCCCAACGCCGTTCCATGACATTGATCGCGTGAAGCTGGGTACGCAGAACGAAAAGTGGATCTCCGCTGAAGATGTTTGTAGCTGACCAAAGCCCTCGAATATCTTCACGAGGTACAATGATTTTAGATTTGTTGAGCCCTGCCAGGTATTTTGAGTCAACGCTGAAGGCGCAGGCGGTGATCCTCAGTGGTTTTCATAACTAGTGGTGATGGTCTTTGTCTGCTAATTGGTGGTTTAGATCTACTTATTTGGCTTTTTCTTTCAGTCTCACCTGCCATAATTCGACGCTGTTTACGGGCACTGACGATTTTATCCTTACGTCAACGACAACATTCAATTGCTTTAGGTTTACCACTTAAGTCACAAGCGACTGCAATAGCTTCTCCATCGTAATCCGGTGGTTTTTTGATTGATGGTTTGCCGCAGTTGTGTATAAAGATATTTTCTGAAGGCCGATTAATAGAATCACACATAAAGATGCGCCTCGTCTGCAAACAAAGACGACCGAAAATGTCGTCGCTCCAATGTTTGCTGTGGATCTTCGCCACGCTCCTTGCTGCGGAGGAGACGAAAGCTACTGCCGCGCATGATCGTTTCTACACTTCATTGGAGTCCGACCGAGTTCCGCTGTGTTCAGACCTGCCCGCTCTGCGCGACTTGGCGTGGTTTCACGATGCTTTAGCTCAACAGCGCGGTGACCGGCCTTTCGCGTCCGCCGAGTCTGTATCTCGACGTCCTTCGCATACGGCCGACCCACCAAACCTCCCGGCAAAAGTTGCGTTGTCCACCGGAGCAGAACGGGTCTCATTTGTTCGAACAATGACCACCGCCGTCCCTGGAAGCCTGTCCAGCACCTTGACGCTGGAGGCAGGGACGAGTAAGATGAGCGCTGTCGGTCCAAATCCTAAAATAAATCCCAGCACGGCGTCGCAGCACGTCGACGTGTTGCAGCGGCACATGGCCGAGACCTCCGGGAATGTTCTTTGCCTCGCGCGCGCCGGTGATCTGCGGTTTTCGCAGGACAAGATTTCGGCCGTTTTTCGCGACTCTGCCATGGGCCCGGTTTTCGTGCTGGCCCAAAAGTTCGGGGAGAACCTGATCGAAACAGTCGTGCACAAGAAGCTCAAGGAGCTCCTGCACCAGTGGGGGAAAAGTAGGGAAGCGAATTATAGCAAAACTTCTTCCACGACTAATAGTCCGGAATTCTTGAAATTGAAAAAAGCACTCCAGCGGTTCTTGCAAGAGGAGTTAGGAGGCGGCAAAGTTTTCGTCAAATCGGACCACTGGCGCGGAAGCGAATTTGTGTGGGCGCCCTTCTCATCTAGCGGTGTGTCCTCCGCCGGACCACCAGCACGAGCCAGCGATTTGCTAAGCTTACCGCTTCTGCAGACAGTGGCGCTGGATCTTGGAACCGAAAACGGAGCTGACGCGGACATTCGCCACAAGCTGCTGTTCGATGCGAAAACGCCCCACCAAAATTCCGCAAACGTGCTCGATGTATCAAGTGCAAAAATGTCTGGGTCTGGAAGAGTGCATGTTTGTCATGCTTGTCTGGCATAACTCTCAAATCTGTCATGCACATTACCCAAGAGCTGCATTTTTCTGTCATGCAGAAACGCAGATTGTCATGCAGATTAAGCAACACCTAGAAGGTGAGAAACTTGTCATGCTGAGCCAGCATTTGTGGCCTCATCATGAGACGCCACCCAGCATCACAATTTTCCAGACGCAGACATCTTTACATTTGATACGATGCGCTAAGTTACAAGAGCGTCGTTGACCCGACAGGATGTCGTCCTGCGTCCTCTGCGGAGTCGTGTGCGGGTCAAAATCAAGAAGACGAAGACGCTCAATTACCCGGCGTTGAGCCACAACTTAGCGGAGATGAAGCAGAAGAGGAGCACCACGTCCAGAACTTGTGGAGTTTGGATAATCGCCGGCTCTTTGTCTTCAAGCGCGCGGCGCAAATGTTGCGGGAAGCGGTTGCCGGGCTTCCGGGTGCAGCATTTCCGACGTCCGTCAGAAGAGCGCTGGCGGACGAGATCGATCTGTATGTGCCAGTGCGCGTGCAAATCTACGGTCTGGGCCACGTGCGCAACCTAGAGATGCAGAAACAGAAGTTCAGTACCAGATCGGTAGGAAAGGACATAATACTCGTGATGCGGGAATGGTGCTCGAAGACGGGCGCTTTACTGCGAAAACAAGAGCAGGTATTCGCGGGCGCTTTTCTAAGTCCCTACTTATCGCGCAAAGACGAGCAGTTGCGACGACGAACACCCGCCAGTTACGACACGAGCGAAGACATTTCATCGCCCTTCTGGGACCCTCTTCGAACGTTCCAAAGCAGTTTGGTTGCAAGATACAGGGCGAAGGCTATTGAAGCGGCACACAAATCTCTTCGAAAAGCCACTGTACTAGTAGAGCGCAAAAAGCAGCAGGACGCTGCAAAGCGGGCAGAAGCCAGAGTAGAAAGGCAAATTCGGGAGGCAGCATTGCTCAGCGAGAAAGAGAAGCAGCAGGCTCCGTTGGAGGAGCAAGTGATGCAGAAGCAGGCCGCTTCTGAGGAGGGTGAGCAGAGACGATTACACCATGCGCTAGAGCAGCGAAAGCGAAAAGCCGAGCAAGAGGAAAGTCGGGGCTCCCAAAGCGAAAGCAGACACGTCCAGGCGTTGCTGCAGAAACAGGCCGCGCACGCACAGCGGAAAGCCGAAAGACGCAAGGCCCGCGCTGAGCGGGAGGAGGCCACCAGCAGACGAGAGAAGCCGACACTTCATCCGGCGAGGGAGCAAGAAGCGAAAGCAGAAGTAGAAGACCCGCCTGGGGCAGAGGAGGGGGTGGGCCTGCACCTTGCAGCGGAGGTTGACGCGGAGATGCTGGACGAGGATGCAGACGAAGAGATGGAGCAGGATATCGATTCCGACACGGAAACGAGCGGAACGGGCGATGAAGCCGACATTGACGAGAGCGATCATAAAGTCCGTGGCGATTCTGCTTCACTAGACCCTGACGATGATTTTCCGTCGGACACCGAAGAGCAGGACCCAGCGCTCTGGCAGACCTGGGCCGAATTCGGTCCGCAGTTCTTCCACCAGACGGTGGAATACTACACGACATCGCGGGATCTGCAAGCTGTGAAGCAAGCGATTGGAACCGCTTCTACGATCGGTGACACCTCTCGTCGTCCCGAGGGCAGTACAAGTGTTCCAGGTCCCCGCCCCGCCGAAGCTGGCACTCCAGCATCTTCCGAGTCTTACGTTCCGGACGTTCCTGCGTCTATCCACAATTTAGTGGCACATGTTCCCTTCAACTATTTGCAAGAGCTCGCCGCGGATTTTTTGGCCGTACTGCAGCCAGAAGGTCTTAGTCTTCCTGCAGAAATAGCATCTGGTGATGGTGGAGGTGGAGTAGAAGGTTTGCCGACAGAAGGCGAAGGACCACAGGGCACTCGCAGCACCAACGGGGTATGGGAGGATGTGGAGGGTATCATCGACTCCTTTGAGCAGACTTTCAGGACCCGGCTACAAAAAGGTACTTCTGAAAGTCGTCCTACAGAGGATGGTGGTGCAGGAGCAGCAGGACGAGGCTCTAGCGATACCGAAGTTGTAGATGCGGCCAGCACAGAGGGCGACGGAGATGAGTTTATGCAGGATGAGACTCCCGTGGAGGTGGACCCCACGGATCATCCAAGAGCGGATCATCCTCCGGATCGAGAGCGAGATGCGGAAGCAGAGCGAGATGCTGCGTCAAGTGTAGAAAGTTTTGCGCCTGCACCATCTCCGCACGAAGAACTGCGGTGGTCGAGGGCTTTTCGCGAAGCAGTGCGTACGTGGCTACACGGAGACCACCCGGTCTTCCACAAAGTGTTTGGCGATGACGCAAGCGTTACCGACGCGGTTCGCATGTTCGTCGCCCGCGGCTTGGAAAAGCCGAAGCGCATCATTTCCAAGTGGTTCGCGATAAAGGTACTACAGCCGCTGAAAGAATTGAATCTGAGGCATGAACAAGTGCTGCAGAACCAAGCAGCAGGAAATGTTGGAAGCTCGACGGATGTTGGCGTGGCTCCATCACCTGCACCTCCTGCGTCAGACACTGCGAGCACCACACGAACTGGAGCTGCTGGCGCGCCGGTTGAAGCTCTCTTTTTGAAGTATGCCGATCTTGTGGCCAAGCTCGCTTTTGTCTACGCAGTGACTCCGGTTTTTTCCATCGGGAACGACGGGGACGATAACAACCGCCCCTCGGTATTTTCCGAGGTTGAAACACGTTTGCGGGAGCGCGTACGGCAGGCCAAGAACAGCAACAGAGAGAGTGAACACGACGGCAGACCAGCGGGGAATGTGCACGAAGGAGGTCTGTCGGCCGTTTCGGCTTTGCTGTCTGCGCACTCGACCTGGCTTTCGCTCTACTGGCAAAACGCTTTCACAACGCACGAGGGCGAACCTTTGAGCTTCTCCGCGGTCTTTGCGGCACTCATTCCAAAATGGGTGCGCGAGCGGTGGAACGCGATGGGCAAAAACAGCCGGGCACACGACGAGGACGCAGTGGGCGAGGACGGAGCGGGTGAGCCGGAAGTGGAGCAAGAATATCGACCCTTTGCGACGCTCATTTTTTTGGTGGATGAGGTGCTCCACGGCAGTGTGGCGAGGCTTTTCGGCACGGACCCAACCCGCACTATTCTGGGCTCGTTTCTCGCGATGGACCAGCAACCTACCGGGGATCAGCTCTTCGCGACCTCCGCCTCGGCCGCCACGAAAGCACTGCAATTGCAGTCGCTTTTGCAGAGTGAGGTAGCTGCCACTGCTGGCGGAGCCGCGGCTGGGATGGAGGGCGGCCCATTTGCATCCGCCATGGGTCGTGAGGATCTTCATGGAGCTTTCGAGCAAGACAGCCAGTTTTTGATTCGGGTTTTGAACGAAGCAATTTTTCGACGCCGGTCCGAGTTTGCAGGCGCGCGAACCTTGACGCGCACTTTTGCGGAGGCCGCGCGGGTGGTCAAGGATACTTCTGACAGCAGCGCGGAAGAGATTCTCGAGCGCTGGAAAGCGATCTACGAGCGCGTGTTGTGGTCTTCGTCGACTATTACAGCTGCAAGTGCTGGACGAGATGCCGCCGCATCGGACGACGAGAATCAAGAAGATGAATCCGCACAAGGATCTACTCGCTTCCCGTCTTCTCACACGAACTACCTTCGAGCTTGGGAGGAGTACTTCCGAGACAGCAGCGTGGTGGACGCAATTTTTGGCCTGGTATGGCAGAAGACAATGCGGGACCGCGTTTACACACCCGCATTCGTACAGTTTCAAGAAAATGTCTTTGCGCTCGTTGACAAAGGTTTGAAGAACAAAAAGAGCGACCTAGTGCCATCTGCTCCTTCCGTCACGACCATTAGTGTTATCACATGGGTTCACAAGGTCGCCACTCTGGTCGTGGAGCTGCTGCAAAGCTCCCGGGCGGATCTGGACGCCGCGGCCGCCGAGTCTCGGCTGGCGACGAAAGCATTTTGGGAAGAGATGCGAAACAAGTACCGGCTTCCCCTGGCTAATTTGCTTCAGGAACTGGATGTGGCGTATCAAGCGAAGCTGTCGTTCCGGTGGATGCCCACCATGCTCGTCAAACTGAACAACTTCCACAATTGGTGGACAACGTCTCCTGCAAGCATCTCTCAGATGGGTCAGAAGCATTGGCAACTGGTCAACACGTACCTCCTCGGCTTGCGGACGCACCTCGCGTCGAAAATAGTTGCCGCCACCAAGCACCATTTTGCATTCCGCGGCAGTACGGTGGAGCAGTGGCTAGGGTTGACCAACGAAGGCAACTTGGAGGACAAACAAGTGGCGGAAATCCTGCGGTTGTCCGGAAAGCCGGAGTACGAGTTCGCGCTAGGGGAGACGTTGTTGGCCGGGAGAAGCAACAAATGGCTGAGGGATATCTGGGAAAAGTCTTTGCGGCCTTGGGCAGCGACCACGCTCGCCGGGAACTCCCGCCTCTTCGGCGGGTTGTTGCAAAGAGCAAAGCGGGTCTCGGAGTACGTTGATGCCGCCTACCTATCGGGAACTTTTACCGAGGCCGGCGGTAGAGGCGCGGCATTCGCGAAGCGCTTGCACGAACTCGCGCACGACCGCGACGTGTTGGAGAGAGTTAGTCGTACCGGATTCCGGAGCTTGCCCGCGTCGGAAAAAACAGCCGCTCGAGAAGCCCTACGGAAGTATGGAGCAGGTACTAGTACATTTGGTCAGCCGCAGGGTGCCGCTGGCGTGTCCTCGGATTCTTCTTACGAGGGTCTTGGTTCCACGGCCGCCTCGTCCGGTACAGAAAGCGGGGCGGCTAGCTCGAGCGCAAGCTCTGTCTTCGCTACTACAGATGCTACCGCGAAAAGAAAAGTAGTCAACAAGGCTGAGAAGAAGCGGCTCAGAGCGGCAGCTGCCTTGGAGGAGCAGCAGAGTTCTGGAGCAGGAGTTCCTGGAGCTGCCGCCCCGGCGGCCGGGAAGGCACCAGCTGGTGTTCCGGCCGGAGCACGAGCAAGTCCGGCTAGCGCAAGCAATCACGCGCAAAAGGCGGTGGGAGAAGGAGCAGAAACTGCAAATGCGATCGCCCTTGCAATGACGCTCGTGAAGGGAAAGTTAGTTGACTTAGTGTGGAGCGATGTCGCACGCTTGCCGGAACTGTTTGAGGCTCTTGAAGCTATTTGGGGCGGCACGGCACGGAATTTCTTTTCCTTCACGCTTCTCGCCGATTTTTTTGCAAGACTCTCTGCGGCAGAGCGACTACAGAACCGGCTCACAGACTGGATCGGCTGGAACGCAGTCAAAAACCGCCTCGGACTTGAAAACTTTGCGAGGTTTCTAGTCAGAAAAAGGCACAGCGGCCCTGCTGACCGGTTTGACCTTGTTTCCCAGAGCCTACCTCAAGAGTACGACACACAACTACATCAAACGGATGTGTCCTCGCTCTTTCCAACCGTTATTAACGTGCCTCGAGGCTCCCTGGTCGCGGTGCTTGATGAAAACGCCGCTGACGGTCGCAATTCACGCAACAGCTTTGATGAACACGAACAATTCATGCGGCGCTCCGCGCTCTGGTCTCTCTTTCCCGAACACATGCTGACGAAGGCGAAGCTGGTATGCACGCTCGAAGACTGCACAGTTGCGGCGATCACGCCGTGCATCGACGAAACCAAAAAAGTGCCTTGCTTTGGCCTACTCGCGAGCAAGGCTTCCCTTCTCGATTTTCGTCCTCAGACTCACGGCAGCGTGCAGCAGCATTACATCAGCCCGAGGACGCTCACCGGTTTTCAAGTGCAAAGTCCCGCTTTACTCTCGCTGCACCACACGGTAAACCTCTCTTGCCCACCCTGCAATCAACTCAGCCTCGTATCCAGGTGGCTGCCTCCCGCCGTGCGGGAAAACGCGCGCAGGTTGGACAACGTTGCAGACAGGGCGTCTAAGCTTTTTGAGGCGGTCGCAAAGGACGTTTTCGACAATAATTCTGCAACTACCTGTAGTTCTACGGACGGCAATTCCGAGGTGCCAGCCTCCGCTTCCGCTGGTAGTTCGTCGGGAAGTCGTTCGTCGGGACGCCGTGGCCGCTCCCAGGGTGGAACTGCGGCAGGGCAGGGAGCGGGCACTGACACGGAAAGTAGCCCGAGTTCTTCATCGGGAAGCGCTGCAGGCTTGGATTTCCAGGCGCTGTTCGCGAAGTACTCCGGAGACTTCGTTGACCTTTTCGGACATGCGATGACGGCGTTTCGGCATTTGGGTAGCGGTTTCTCCCGGTGGACTTCGCCGCCGTCTGACGCTGATGCGGCAATGCGGGAGCATATCGGTCGTTTCGCGAGATCGGTAAACATGGCGCGCAACAGTTATGGCATCACGGACGAAGATGCAGACTCCTCTTCGTCTGACGAAGACAGTGGCTCCGAGCCGAATGTTGACACGAGGCAGCGGTGGCGGCGAGGGCAGCCAGGAACGGGCTCGACAAATGATGTCATCAGATTAGAAGTTGATGGAGAAACCATAGAACTTCCGAACACGGCAGGCGTTTTTCCGGATTTTATTGAACGACTTGCCGGCTTAAACTTGCAGCCTTGAACAAGGTAAAAACACATATGGATGATCAGTATAGGATTTCTAGCGGAAGCAGGAAGTTATGGACTTCTGCTCTCGATTTTGTCGCATGTGCAGAGCAGACGCACCATTTGTTTTGAGAATTCAAGTTTCTCAGTTTTGACAAGGTAGCAGCGCCTTATTTTTGTCGAACAAAACAAGAATATCTTGACCTGTTCAAGAAAAAATCACGCGAGCGGAGCTTTGATTAGCTCACCGCAAAGTGTGACTCCGAGCTGTTGTGTTGACGAAAACGTGCAAAGGAATGGTCAATGGATGCAGTGCAAGGACGTCGAGAATCGTCATCGGATTATCCGAGGCCGCAGTCTAGATTTTGCTTGGTGTTCGTGGTGCTCGGAAAATGCACGAGAAAGCGGGAAAATTCTCAAACCGTGTTGGAGCGGCAGTGTGATCAGCGTGCTTTTATGCATGTGTGTATAGCTTCCATTTCATGTTGTAGATGAGGGTGGCGGAGCCCGAGGTTGGATCGAAATGTCAGAAGGTATCTTTGGGATCAGTCATTTACGCGGCATGCATTACATACGCGACGATCGTGAGCAGGATTCTCGACGCCAGACCCTGAAGATGAAGATGTGATACACGCTCGAATTGTAAAAAAAGATGAAGATGTAGATGATATTCTCTTTTCCCAGTTGCATTTGGAGGTTCGCGACCGACAATTTCTTGATCTCAAAGTAGTGCGTACGCCAGATGGCTCCACTGTACGAATTTCTTTTGCCTTCAACGAGCGATCTCCTCCTCCTGATGAGAAAGGATTTTACCAGCTGTCAGTGCCTAAACTGAAAAAGCACACGAAATCTCCCTCTTTTTTCTTCCATTTACAGATCGGCTTTTTTCTCGTTCTCCTAGCATCCTGAAGATAGTACTTACAACTATTTTCTTTACCTTTACGTTTACCTTTACTGTAATTTCATTCTGGGCCAAGACCAAGTGAAAGCCAAGGAGCGGAAGTAGATATTTATAAACCTGTTTTGCTCTGGCTCTCTTTTTGGGAGGACGAAAAAATGAACGATTTCATCCAGAAGACGAGGAAAAACCCGCTGCCGCTGTTCTGTATTCTTTATGGCGGTTATTTCCTGCTTTCGGGTGTAAGTCACCTCGGAGGGTTCACCGAGTATGTGCCACTGGACCAGTATCGCATGCTCATCAAGCTAGTCAGTCTCGCGTTCGCAGTGCTCTTCTACTACTCGAAGAACGACAAGAAAAACGACCAGAGCAATTCTGGTGCAGGTCCACGAAATATCAAACCCACTTCGAATGCTGTCAGGAGCGACGAGATCAAGACCACGTCGCCACGAAAAGATTCTGGTGCTGATTCAGAAGCGATTGGGCAGAAGAAAAGAAAGAAGAAAATCTCGTCGAAGTCTGACGCAGAAGAAGTTGAAGAAGCAGGTGCCGGCGGCACTGGTACCGACGCCGCAGAGGACGGTGAAGAAGTCAAAAAAACGAAATAAAACTTGTAGAGCAGGAAACTACGACCACCACGACAGGAGCAACAGGGAGAACAACTTTCTTCAGAAGTAGTTGTAAAATGGATTCGTGGAACTCGAATAAGTCGAATAGAGCGATGCCGAGTTCTACTTTTACCGGTGCCACGACGTTGAGCCAAGGTAAGAATGCGCATTTGCGAGAGGACGGTGGAGGTGAAAATCAATTTTCGCTTGGAGTACGGCATCAACAAGCACAAGATTGTCCCATCCATGATGGCCAGAAATCGCGTGCCCACCGAGAAACCCATAATTCGAGGAGAAATCCCGTAGAAGACGATGTGGAGAAGAGCTTCGGTATTTCCGACAACAAAAGGCGGGGGAATCAGCACAGTATGCTGGATGTTCCTGTTGTTCACGACCAACAAGTTGTCGGGGCAGCTGCGGACGAAAATATTCTCTTCGCTGACGTGTCCTCGTTAAGCGTAGATGCGCTGGTAAGCAGGTTCGGGAATGACATTTCCGCGCTCGCACACATCGACGATCAGGACGAAAGCTTTATTGCATTTTCTGAGAATATTAAAACATCATCTGTGCCAAAAGCTCCTACTGCCGGTAGTTCTAGTACCAGCACATTTTCTTCAAGATGCGGCACAAAAGCTACAAACCGACGCGACGACGAGACGCCGCAGCACAGCAGCTACCGTGCGGTGAAAGGGCAATTTCCGGCTGGAAGTAGTTGTAGGAGCGCGATAGTACCACCGTACTCGTCGCGGAAGCCGCTCGGCCCGTACGACAGGCCACAAGAAAAGTCTCCAACTTCGCGTCAACGCTGTAAAAAAGTAGATCACGTTGCTGGAGGAAAAATAGCTTCTGTGGGTGAAGATGGGTCTTCTAAGGCGATGAAAGAGTCCTCGTCATCCTCATCTTCTGCGGGCGGTGCTGAAGTAGAACTGGATCCTTCCGAGCTTGGCTTTGTATTGGGACTGAAGCTGAATATGTAGCGATGCATTTGTCCTTCTCGCAAAAGCTGGGATCTAGACAGTGCATGCTACGCCATAGATAGATCTTCACGAGTCTTTTTCTACTTCGCTGTAAGTACTACTTTGAACGACACATACATACTCCTTTCGAGAATGGCAAAAGAAACGTGACGAAACCGCGCTTCTACTCAGACCGGCAGAAAAGACGGGTTTCTGTCTTTGGTCGTGTACATGTACGTCTTTGAGAGCCATCACGAAGATGTTCAATTATGTGTGCAGAAGTGTCAAAACATCATTGTCGGCTTCGGCATTCGCCGTTCTCGTCACCTTGGCTGTGGCACACTCCTAGCGACACTCACTGAGCTTATTTCATGGCGCTTCTGCAAGTCGCGAGCGCGACACAAGATAGTGGCACAAGCGTCCTGCAGTCCGAGATCAAGATCACCTCACAACTACGCCTTTCTTGGTTGTATGGGCGAATGTCATTCGCTGAAAGATCACTGAATTACTTTTACTTCCATCCCCACGTCGCAGTGGCGCATGATTGGCACTTTGATATTTCCGTTTTCATTTTTTGTTTCAATCAACAATATGCACTTGTTCTATCTATCGACATGACACGTTCATCCTCACAGGCCTGAAAACTTCCGAATTTAGACAAGAAAGTTTTATTTTTGATAGATTTTCTACTACAGCAACATACAAGTTTTCTAGCCTTTGAGCTCTGGCAGCCACCTTATATATTTTCCTAGCAGTGTAGTTGTAGCTCGGTTGTACTTGTAGTGATCGAACGAACATAGTATCCAAGGATGAAAATAGTAAACAGAAAGAGTCTTCTTGTCATAGTAGGAAAAAATAGCCTTCCAACCTTCAGTCACGAACTCGCAGAAATTGAAGAAGCATGTGAAAAAAGTAAATGTAAGAATCCCGGCTATGTCATGTCTTCGTGTATCTCAAATTGAATGAATACCGATAGAAAATCAATGTGTAGCACTCAAATACCGTGCGTCGAAAGCAACGGCAACAAGCAAGGCCGGCTCCATTTTCTCGACCTGTAGTCGAACCTGTTGGCGGAGCGAAAATATTACAATTTTGAGTTTGTGCAGCTCCTTGTTTCAATCTTTTCCGCTTCACACACGACGCTGCTCCACAAGGTCTCTCCCAGGCGGCTTTGGATTTCGCAACTCGGGCTACTACTACTACTACTACCGGCAGCAAGTTGAAGTCAAAAATTCACAACCCGTTTGCGTCACCAGTCGTGTAACGCCAGTTCTGGGCAGTAGTGCATCATCAGCAGTCCTCCCCCGCGTCGTACTAAAAGTATATCGGCGGTCCCAGTGCCAGATATTATCATCGGCGCAGCTGTCCCCGTCCAGCTCCTTGCCAGGTGCAGGAGTGACTCCTCAGCAGAGAACCGAACAACTGCCGGGAAAATAAAACTCCCCTCGGCGTCGTCTTCAAGCTTTTTTTGAATTTTGTCACCGATGCGTAAAGTAGTCCGTCGAGTTGTGTATAAGGACTACTCACAAGGAAGATCCGACGAGGCCCGTTCACTTCGACATCATTTCTTTACCCATTAGTATTAGTTCTCCTACTGGTGATGTCAGTCGCAGTATTCCGCGGAGAAGGAGACGAGAAGGACGACAGAGGCAGCAGCACCATTTTTTCCAAGAAATCCACAAGAAGGAAACTACAGAAGCGCCCTGTCTCTAGGAGCCCTTGTCCTTGGCGGAGGTTGCAGATTCTTGCACCCCGATCTGTGGCTGTAAGTGAGTAGCTCTGCAGCTCGTGGCTCTCGTCGACAGGACCAATTTGGTGCAGCAATAGCAAACTTCTTGGTTCTACGGCCGTATTCCCGAGGACCGAAAGCTGCAACGGCGATACTCCATCAGTATGGCGACGTCAAACGCATTTGTTGACGATGACGAGGAGGACTGTCCCCTGTGCATGAACCGCCTGGATGAAACCGATAAACACTTTTACGCCTGCACATGTATTGAAATTTTTGCGTTGGTATTTTCACATGGATGTCAATTTCAATTTTGAATCGGTTGTAACTCACAGGAAATTGAAACTCGATAAGCGTTGTGAAGTGACAGCGGCAGTACTTTCACCGAATTAGTATTGAAAAGGAAAAAACAAATCTCGCAGGTTCCTACCGAATTTGCCTTTTTTGTGTGAATTACATCCGAAATGAGGACAATGGGTTGTGCCCTGCGTGCCGACAGCCCTATGACGAGGCAAACTTTCGTGTCATCGAGCCCCCGAAGCAAAAATCTGCAAAAGCCGCGGATGCCACGGCAAATAGCGGAAGTAACAAGCAGCAGGCTGGGAGCAGTTCCGCTGCGCATCAGCAAGATCTTCGTACAAGCGGCAGCAAGCACAACAAGGGAGCTGCGGGTACTAGCAGCAGCAGTGCAACTTCTGCGACCCGGGCCAGTGGGGGGCCCTCACGCGGCGGGGCGACTGGAGCACGGCCAAACGTGCCAGACCCCACACAGGCGGCCGCGCCCAGTGGAGGTGCCGTCAAGCAATCGCCACTCCGTCCGGCATATCAAATGCAAAAATGTCTGGGTCCGGAAAAATGCCAGACTTGTCATGCAGATTTTACATGACCCATAACGCCTGTAATGGAAAACCTGGCATCACAGATTTTTAGCGGGCTTTCTGATGCCTATCCCGCATGAGAAATGCCCTCTCCATGTAGCACAAACTGGACCCCTCTTGCTGGTCATGCAATACAAATTTTTTTAGAATGCAGAGACAGCATCACAAGTCGCAATCTTCCAGACCCAGACATATTTGCATTTGATACGGCAACGAGGTATCCGGAAGACTCGGCGGAGGTGCGGGAGCGGAAGCAATACAAAGACTTTATGGATTGCAAAAATGTCTGGGTCTGGAACAAAGCAACTTGTCATGCGAAATCTGAAGCATACAAAAATCTGTGTTGCATGAGTGCCGAAAGCTGTCCACTTTTGACCTAATCGAGAGGCAGTTTCTCATGCAGCATAGGCATGATAGAGCTCTCGCAGAATCTGTCATGCTATGTCCTATATACCAGACCTCATGGGTCATGGAAAACCTGCATGACAAACTTGCATTCTTCCAGACCCAGACATTTTTACATTTGATAGACTTACTGATGGAGCAACGGGTGCGACAGCCGACTGCAGTGTATGTCATCGGGCTGAGCAGGACATTCGCAAACGAAAAAATCCTGAAACAGGAGTTTTTTGCGCAGTATGGCCCAATCAAGTCGGTACTGCACTGGAACTGGTTGTTGAATGATGTCACAACTTCGTCTCCTGTAGTTTATATCGGTCTACGAGAAAATGAGTAACCAAAGCGTGCTTTCTGCAGCATTTGTATTTCCATGGCTTTATTGCCCAACAAATCTTGATCAAGTTTTTCTACTTTTCGACGAAACAGGTCGTCTTATCCTCGCAAGGAAAGCAGAGGCACGGGGAGGAGTATCATTCCGCCTACGTCACGTACCAAAAAGAGGAGGACGCCGCGAAAGCGGTGCGGGGCTTGGACGGTTACAAGCACCCGGACGAGGATATGACGCTTCGCTGCATGATCGGCACCGCCAAATATTGCATCAAGTGGCTCAACGGCGAATATTGCGACCGGCACACGAAAGGGGACTGTACCAAATTTTTTTGAACCTTCGAAGTAGAAAATATGCGTTTTTTGAAAATGGATTTATTGTGAATGGAACTCTAACTGCAAGTCGAACTCCATAACTTTTTTTTTTTTTGATCTGTCTCGTTTAACTTCTACAACAGGCAATTTTATGCACGGTTTGCATCCTGATCACCGAGATCTGAAGGCACTGGCCGCACAGCAGTCGGGTAAAGGCCATAAAGGAAAGGGGAAACGAGGAAAGGGCGACGAAAAGGGCGGAGGCACAGGAGCCTCAAGTAGCGCACTCGGAGCAGCAGGGGGAGCTTCAAGTGCAGCCTTGGACAGCATTTCGAGCAACCACAAAGGCAACAACCCGACTACGTCCTCACTGAACGTTCCTGACCCTGCCAAATACGTTGGCGGTTCCAGCTCCAAAACAAAAGCAGAGCCCATTAACCGGCCAGACGCAGCAAGTAAGAGGAATAGCCCCGAAGTGTTGAAAAATTCTCCCACGGCATCCACTTCTTCGGCGGTTGCAAATGCTGAGCTGCCCGCTGCCATGGTCCCGCCCGCCTTACCACCGAGCGTGACAGGCTCGCCGAGTACGGTATCTGACGCAGCTGGAGCCGCGAGCGGAACCAGTGTCGCGGGAGGAGCCGGCAGCTCCGCTGGTTCGAAAGGGGCACAAATAACGTCAATCGGCGGCACAACTACTGGCGCTGGTGCACAACCCCCTGCGTCCAAAACCGAACAGCAGAAGAAAAATAGACAAAACAATAAAAACAACAACGCGACGGCGACGGCGACTGCGACTACCAATTACGACTACAAACCCGGGAAGCGAGCGGGCGGTAAAGACAAAGAAGGTACAGGAGCCGATGTACTTGCGGAAAATCAGCAACCCGGCGTATCTGCTTCGTCGAAGCAGGGGACCGATAGTTGTGTGGGGGCGCACAGCACCGCAAAATCAACGGGAAAAAATGTTCTCAGTGAGAGCAGTGCGCCCCTTGCTAAGGACAAGGAGAAGAAAGAGCAAAAGAACTACGCGACTCATAGCTACAACTCCGAAGAGCAGCAGCCGCCAGGTTCTTCTAGTAAAGACGCCACAACAAGTAGTACCGGTGCGACGAGTAAGAAGAAAAAGAAGTACAGCAGTGCGGAGTACGAGAAGTACGAAAAAGAGACGACTAGCAAGTACGAAAACAGCAAGCACGAAAATTCTACGTCGAGCAAGTACGAGCAAAAAGAGAAGCATCAGTACGAAAGCAAGCACGGGAAGTATGACAAATACGACAAACAGAGCGACGTACTATCGACATCAAAGCACGGGACCAACAAATACGAGAAAGAGCAGTGGAGCGACAAAGACTGGGCAAAATGGGAGAAACATGAGAAGGCCGACTGGGAGAAACAGGAGAAAGCGAAGAAGGAAGCCAAAAAAGAGTACCTTTTATTTTGTTGCTGGTTCCTTTTCCTTGTCTTGAGCCGATGATGTTCATGTTCACCTGATTTCGTGAGCAGTAAATTTGTAGGGAAATAAGTGTCTTACCGTTACCGTGCGTACCTATGGCGCAACCCGAAGGTTGTATGCATTTGTCTTCATAGATGAGATAGACGAAGTCGAAGTCAATCGTAATGCAAGCACTTTGTCTACTACCTCAAGTACAAGTTTACTAAATTCCGTAAAAATCTGCAGGCGCAAACAGCGGGAAGCGGAAAGTTGGAAAGAGGACTGGTTTGTCGGCGATGATGGAAAGAAGTACACGCAGGCGGAATGGGACAAGTGGCAGCACGAACACAAACAGGAAAAGAAAAACAAAAAGCTCAAGCGGGAAAAGGAAAAGCAGAAAAACCAAGAAGACCCCACCAAAGTAGGGTACGGAGACGAAGAGGACCAGAGCGAAGACAAGGTCAGTTCCTCCGCGGCAGCCAGTCCCACAACGACCGATGGAGGCTACGGGGGTGGCAACAGCAGCTACAATGAAAGCAAGTCCACGCACGTTGAACCGCTCAAGACCAAAGCCCAGCAAAGCGCGGCTAAAGGAGGAGGGAAAAACAGCGGCAAAGGAAAAGCCGGAGCCGCGGGTGCTGTTTCTACTTCTGGTGCATCATCTTCATCTTCAGCACAGCAGCAGTCTGCCAGTGCCGGGAAGAACAGCAATAAGACTACGCCGTGCAGCAACAACGGGAATCATGGCTCGTCAACTCCCGCTGGTGGCCCTGGAGGTGCGCCATTGCAGTCGAACAGCGCTAGCAAAACCAAGCAGCTGCAGCCGAATGCATCGAAGCCGCAAAAAGCGCCCGACCTTTCGAAAATACCGTCGCCAATATTCCCACTCGGGGGCCCTCCCTCTTCGGCAGCGCCAGGAGCAGCTTTGACGGGGTAAGATAAAGATATCCTTTTGTTGATTATGCTTAGATTCATCAGCCAAAAGCTTTATTCATCAGCCAAAGCCCATGCATGTAAGCAAAGTTCATGCTTGACTGATATGAGTTTTTTGTAGTGCGTCTGCGGCTTCTTATGATACAGAGTTATACTTTGTGATTGTGCCGTTAGCTCTACCTTCGTGATGATCGTAAAAAAAAAAACAGGGCCTCATCTTCGGTGAACGGTACAGGTGGAGCGGGAACAGCGTCGGAGAGCAGTAAAATGGTCATCCCGAGCGTGCCGCCTCCCTCAATAGTGCCGGACTTTGCGCCGCCCACCCTAGCGCCACCTCCCACTACCGCGCCGCAGGAGTGGGCGGCGCATTCACCTCCTGCTCTGTATTTTTGTTGCGAACCTGATTTTTTTAGATTTTCGTTTTCCTTTATTTCGTGTACGTCTACCTTATCAGCAGAGTACGTAATCGTATTGTTACGTGACCTGATGTGGAATTCTTGGGACGTCGTGTCGTCGGTCACCTCTACATAGATACAGGAAGAAAATCAAGATGAAGTGTTGAAGTTCTTACGAAGGTTGAAATGGAAACTCCACCTCTACTCACAGGAGCGATGGAAAAAAGCAGAAGAATGCTTCCATTGCACTCGCCTCGCCGCCCCCTATCGTGGACTACGCCGCCTTCAACCAGGGACCGCCACCGCTACCTGACCTCCCTCCCCCGACGACCGATGGTAAGATTTTGCTATGTGCACTTTTGTTTTGAGTTTTCATAGTGAGAGTCGAATAAAAAGCGTTTTCTTAAGTGGGCACGAGTCGATGTCTGACGTTGCGCTTCGTTGTCTCCGGAACAAATTCGGGCGAGACTAGTATATATAGCAAGCCGCGCATCAATTTCAATTATCAACACGGATATCCTCAGGTAAGCTCGGTTCGTCTTCATTCGGCGGCGCTGCGGCCTCGTCGACTTCTAAGGGAGGCAACAATAGTACGCGAAAGGAAAATAATAAAGGAGGAAAGAATTCAAGTAAAGAACGGGAAGCGACAAAGGCGCAAAAGCAGAAGCGATACGGCGAGGGGGAGCATCGCTTCGAAAGACGCACACCGCCTTCAGCGCAAGGACAGGATGATGACGATGTGGAACTACACGGGCGAACGTCAAGAAGACTATCAACAAAAGAGCCAACAGCACCTTCTTCGTCTTCTTCACTGGAGCCTGCAATAGCTTCAGCATCCGGAGGCGGAGCAAATAAAAGTAAGACCAGAACGAGAGGCAACAAGAACAAAACGGCAAGCAACAGTGATCTCCCGCACGAAACTTGTACAAGTCAACAAGCGACCAGAAGGAGTTCTTGTACATACCAAGAGGTAACCGGGACAACCGCGTCGAGCACTTCTACGGGTGCTTCTACTACCAGTACCTCCGCGCAGAAACTCTTCAATGCAAAGACAGCGAATACTAGTTACGCCGCCGTGGCGTCGAGCAAAAGTGGCTGCACTTCTACAGAATGCCACCAAGAGAAGACCGCAAAGAGGCAGATGGACGGCGTGGTGCTGGACCAGCAAGACGAGCGCAGCAGCGACGCCCTCAGGGAACAAGACCAGGAACACGTAGAAGATGCAGATCATGCTTCGAGTCATCAACCTCCGACCTTTTCTTCTCCGGTAACGTCCAGTAGTGAGGCGCAGTCGCTGGAGCTGATTAGCGTCTTGGCGCCCTCTCCCGACCACGAGGACCAAGATACCACGGCCGGGGACCAGGACCCGCTGTCCAAATCCGGCGGCATTCACGAGCGGCTGGCGGATGTCTTCGACGGATGCAGCAGTCCGCAGGAGAGCTCCTCCAACACCACTTCCATCACGAGTGAAAAAAGCAGTGTGGTAATGATGTGCGGGGGGAGCACATCTTCAATAGTACAGGAACAACGTCCTCGAGGACAGCTGCAGCAGCGAGGAAGTTCATCGTGTTCTCTCATGTCGAGTTGTACCTCTATCTACAACCACGCGCCGGCACCTGCGAGCGCGGCACAGGGGACGCCCCCTGGAGAGGCGGTTGTATCTTCGGGAGTGGTCACACTTCTATCCAGCAGTACTTGTGCGGTGGTGGACCAGGATCTACTTCCGGAGAACATAAACGATAACAAAAATTCTGCTTGCAGCAGCACCACCAGCAGTTCCAACCTCGTGGATAAAAAGTCCGAAGGTTGTACCTCGTCGGAACAAAGAACACCGGAGTCCATCGTCGAGGAAGAGGAGGACGTAGACGCTCCTGCAGAGGAACGAGCGAACGGTGGCGCCGGGGGCGCTCGTTCCTCGGGCACCACTGTAGCCGCGAGCGGAAAAAACACTCGAACGCGAGCAAAAAGGAAGCGGGGCAGAAAAGCGAGTGAAGCACGAAGAAGTAGCAAGGACAACAAAATTATTCTTAACGGGGAACAAGAACAGCTTGCTGCCGCTCCCAACGATGAAAACAAAGCTGGAGAAAAAGATCATCGTCTCGAAGAGCAAGAACGAAAAACCGGGCCGAATGCGACAAGCATTAAAGTCTCAAATGACGAGCTCCGCTCCCCGGTTTCGAACGACGCTTCAAGCTGTGCGACGACAACAATATTGGGGGAAGATCCCAACCTGAATACTAATCCTGGAGGCGCGACAACTACTTTCCCTATCCCTCCTGTAATCAACACAGCAGCAGCTGCAGCATCGGCAGCAACCTGCTCAACATCTGTTCCCGCGGGCGTGCCTCTTCCGCCACCCCCTATGCCGGCCCTTGGGCCTGGAATGCAGATGCTCGCGCCTTCCTCTAAAGCGACACTTTCCACCAGTACGACGACCTCTTTCTCAGCGACCGTGGCAAAAATCGGTCCCCCGCCGCCCTTGCCCCCATCCCTTTCCATGAAGTCGACCGTGACACCCACCTCCGCGACCCGGACGAGTGCGGCGACTACGCACGTATCGTTGGTTGCACCAGCACCGCCGTCCGGAGTGCCCGCACTGCCGGCTGTGCCTCATATTTCCCCCATGGCGGTTAGCGCGCAAGCGCAAAGCTCCGACTTTAAAAAGGACACCTCGAGCTGCACGGGCGAGTCGCGGCCCGATGCAACATCCGCTGGGGACAGTGGCAGCATCAACAAGGATAAAAATGTTGAGAATGCCACATCCCAGGCAGCAGGCGATGCCGGACTGAGCACACCGAATAGCGCCACCACATCCAAGAATGCTGGCTGTGAAATGCAGGAGCCTCCACTGGCGCCGAAGAGAAAATCGACACGGACCTTCACTTCGACCAGCCCAAGCAGCAGAATACCATCGAACAGTACAACCAGGTTCTTGGCGACTTTGAATCTGCAGGCAGTGAATAAAAAGGGCACGCCGAGAAACGCGGAAACGTCGAAAGGAGAACTACAGACGAGCGAAGTTGTAACGAACAAGGGCCCGCCCGTGGCAGTCCCGCCTTCAGTTCCACCACCCGGTGCTGTGCCCGCCCTGCCACCGACAACAACGCTTCCGACCGGCGCTCTCGGCAGCTGCACGGTTGCTAATGGAGCACTGCAACCTGGTGCGCCGGGTGGATCACCACAGCAACCTGGTGCGCCGGACCATCCGCAGCACGCATCGACACCTGGTACGGTGGTGCATCAGCAGCAGCTGACCACTTCGACCTCCCCGTTCCTCCAAAGTAGTGCCGTTGTGCAAGGTAATGCGAATTGTATGCAGCAGCTGCAGGTCCCGAACTCGAACAATAGCAATATGATGCAGCAAGCTGGAGTTGGAACGCTTGGCGCGCCAACGAATGCCCCTAATTCGGCAGGGCTGGTTGGAACGGTCGTGATGCCGCAGCAGCAGCCGCAGGCTGTAGTAGCTGCCGCTCCGCCGGCTCCGCAAATGGTGGGAACGCTAAGTTTTCAGAACCTCGCGCAGTATCAAAACCAGAATGTTTCGGCCCTGCAACAGCAAGTGACGCGAGCGCCAGGAGGAGCGAGTGCCGTTGGCGGAGGTGGAGTAGCAGGGCAGATGCAGCTGGGGGTGAACAACTACAACGGCGCAAACCTCCTCAGCGTCAACAGCGCTCTGCAACTCCAGTCAAGTAACAGTGTCCAAGCTGCCCCGTCACCGATGACGCCTTCGCTATCGCAGCCCGCACAACAGCAGCTTCTATATTTGCAGCAACAACAGCGAATAAATGGCGTAAACATCAGTGGAACAAGTTGCATGCAACAGGGGCAGGCGCTGGCGCAGCAGCAGCAGCAGCAGCAGCAGGGCAGTAGCAACAATTTGAATTTTTCACAGCACGCTGGGTCATCAAACAGCACCGCTCCTGCTCATCTGCAGATGATGAATAATGGCACTGCGGCCACTTCATCAAGTTGTGTTAGCTCGTGTAATGGTACCATCTCCCAGGGCCAGCTGCAGCAGCAGAGTATGAACAACAACAATCAGCAGTCGCAGTTGCAACAGATGGTAAATCTGTTCAATGTGAACAGCGCCAACGGCGCGCAGCTGCAGCAGAATCTAGTAGGAACGCTCACCACAGGGATGACTACATCTTCGTCTCAGCCGCAGCAGCAAGCCGGTGCGCAGCTATCTGGGGGCGGACTGCAGCAGCAAGGAGGATCGAATACAACCAATAGCAATTCTTCCACGCTGCACCCTCAGCTGTCGCAGCAACAGCTTCAGATGATGAATTTGAGTCCCAATCAAACACAACTGCTGCAGCAGCTCCAATACACCCAGCAGCTCTTGCCACAGTTGCAGCAGCAGAGCCAGCAGGTGCAGACCGCGAATGCGAATGCCGCCGCGAACACTCTGCAGCAGTCGGCCGTGAATACTTCGACGTCCTCACAGCCACAGCAGATTCAGCAGCAGCAGCGAGCGCCCACCAGCTTCGGGAACAGTTTTTCCGCCAGCCAGCAACAGCAAATCGTCGCCAACGGCAGTGGGGGTGTCAACCTTTCAAATTTTCTGCTGCAGCAACAGCAGCAGCAGCAGCAGGCAAATACGTTGCAGCAACAGGGAGGGACGAACAATGTGGGGGCGCTGGTACCACAGCAGCAGCTACAGCAGCAGCAGCTCATTGCCCAACAGCAGCAGGCAAGCGCTAACCTAAATCAGCAAAGCCAGAATAATGGCACAACTACCATCGGGGCAACGGCAACTTCGTCTCAGCAACAGCCGTCAAATTTACTGGTGGCACAGAAGCAGCAGCAGCTTATGCTCTCTACCGCGCAACAGCAGCAGCAGATCCAGCAGCGGCTTCAGCAACAGCAGAACCAGAACGCACAGCAGCTGCAGCAACAGAACCAAAATGCACAGCAACAGCAGCAACTCCAGGTGACACAACTTCAGCAAACACTGCAGCAGCTGCCACCGCAACAGCAACTGCAACTTCAACAGCAGCTGTTCGCACAGCAGCTTCAGTCTCAGCAACAGCAAACACCAGCGCAAATACAGCAACAGCAAAATTCGTACAGGCACATGCAAGACGCCGCTGCAAAACTTGGTGCGAGTTGTAATACATCACTGTTCAACAATATGAGCAACCTAGTCGGCAACGGAACATCAATTGGGCAACAGCAGTCATGTAATACTGCTGGACCAGCTCCAGCACTGCACCACCAGAATCTCACCATGCAGCAGCTGGGGTCACCATGGCAGCAACAGAATGCGAACTCTTTGCAGCAGATGCAAAATTTTCAGCAAGTAAGAGCGCAGCAGATCCAGAACAGTTTTCAACAGAACCTTCCACAGCAACTAGGCAGTATGAGTTCACCTGGGAACAGCAACATGCCAGCTGCAGCGACGGCGCAACAGCAACTTCAAACATGCACTGCAAACGTGACAAGTGTTGGCGGCCCGCAAGAGCAGATGGCGCCGCAAAATGTCCAGGGAATGCAAAAGCCTCCAGATATTTCTGGAATGTCGATCTTGCACCTTCTACGGCACAACTCCCCACAAGCGCAGGAAGGGCAAAACAACTCGTCACCTGGTCTTGCCGCGAATCAGCAGCCGCCGCAAGCTTCTGCCCCGGGATCCTTGCATTCTTCGCCACAGGTACTCAATTCGCTACAACATCAATCTACATGAAGATTGTGAATTTAGATTTACGATTTTGATTTACAATTCGAAGTCCATCGCTATGGTGACGTCGCACGTGTTGACAGTGTTGATCCCAATGGGATCTACTCTTCACGCATCGAGAGTAAAACGACGAAACCCATGTACTTTCTTGCTATTAATTCAACAGGTAGCGCAGAGTGGGACACAACCAAGCAACGAAGCAACCGCGACTTCTTCACCTGGTCTTGTCCAGGAGAAAACATGCTGAAGAGGGCAAGTACTACATTATAGCTCAAAGTTTACCCGTCAACTTTTTTTCTCCCGTTGAGCAAGAGGAAGAAGTGTGAGCGATATCCTATCTACACTAAAGTTTTTTCGTGTTTACAAAATGGATTTCTCAAATGAAAATGATACTCACAACGACCGGCGCAGCCGCAGCTAGGTGCTCTAATTTCTTTCGATGTTATCGTAGACGACTTTTTTCATTCAAGGAAATGAAAAATGAAGCGCAAAACTCATAGTCTTTCTTCATCCGTCGTGCGGTTATCTTTTTCATGCAGCGATAATCGCACGGCAACGAGCGGGCAGTGACAGCTGCTGGGTACTATAAGCATGACCGAGCGGTTCTATAAATGTAGCCATAGGCATACAAGTCTTCACTTACTTACTTGTTTTTTTTGTTGTTTCACGGTTCTGGTAGTTCTTGGGCTGCATCGTCAGAAAAGGATGCAGACGACTGTGAGCGTGTTGGTTTGACTTATCAAGGTAAGCACTTAGAGCTTTACTGCAGCTGAAAATGGTTACGTTGCGAATGATATATGTTGTGTACTACGCCATATACATATTGGAGTCCTTAAAGTTAAAATGTACTTCGTTCCTTCTGCGACAGAATGAACTTCTTTTGGAGATCACAGCAGCTCTCTTCTGAAGATGTTAGATGTGCCAATGCATGGCGAGGCGATCATGTCCATTGCCGTACAGAATGATTTTTGGTCCTTCCCAGGACGTCACCAATGCGACAATTTTTACATACTTCGCGACTTTTCTTTTCATTTCTGATTCTTTATCTCGACGTAGGCGACACTGGCAAGAAAATACGAAAATCCACCTTGGTATTGGATTTGGAAGTGGCAAAGCTGGTGGACAAGCTGCTCACCGCAGGACCGCAAAGACCTTGCAGCGAACCGGAAGTTGTGTTCAAGATGTTTCTACTCTACGAAGACTGTTAGTTCGGTAGGGCCAGTGTCTTCATAATTTTGGAGGAAGAATCAACGGTCGTACTCGTATCTACAGATTGAAAATAGTTGTCGTGAATAATCCGCTCGTCTGGTGCTTGCGGCTCGTCGTGGCAAGAAAACCCGTCGTTGTTCCTATTACAATCGCTGAAGATGATCCTTATCCTAGGAATAAAGGAGGACGATATATAGAAATATTCACTTACCCGCTTTTCTTCATTTTTGAATGGACAGAACTTGAGACGGGTGCATTAGGGAAGAACGGAGAAGATGACCGGCGCGAGCGCCTCGGCGCGTCCCTACGCTGTTCTTTCGCCGGTCAAGATGAGGCACTCTCTCGTGTTTATTCGCTCTCCACTTCGGTGGTTGCTTTTCGTCTTTGCGACCCTGCTGGACGTCGCTGCTTACGTCGCCCCCATTGACACGAACGGCCGAAATGCCACGCAGCAATACGAGGACTGGTTGGCGAACAAGACGGTTCTGAATTGGCTCGAGGAGGGCGATGACGACGGCCGTGCGCACTTCCGCGGCCGCGCTAGCGCCGCACTGTCCAAGGTGCACTGCGGGACCAAGGGCCCCGAGGGCAAAAGAACGCCACAGCACGAGATGCTCCACGGGTCGATTATGCGGCAGGCTTGGGACACGGTGCGGAACTTCTTGATCAAAGTTATGCACTGCCACGCCCGTGATCCCGTCATCTCTAAAAATGTCTCAGAAATGGCCTCGGGAATGTAAGGCGGAGGCAATTCCCACAACGCCGGCGCCCCTCCTTGTGGTTGCAGGGAAGAGGGGCATACAAGGCGTCGAGCCGGGCCACCGTAAAGCAGCTTCCTCGAGACGCGGCGCCCGCTGCCGTATTTGGCGCATTTTTGTGGCGCGCAATGCGGGCCGCGGCTGGCGTTGACGTCCGGGCGCCGCCCGTTTGCCCCTTATCCCTTTGCCGGCCTCCCCTTGCATATATTTATGGACGCGAAGTGCCGCAGCGCCACACTTGTGTCGGGCCGATCTGTGCCCGCTTTGCTTTCGTTTTGTCGCAGGCGCGCCGGCGTTTTGTCCGCCGCCCGGTTCGAAGCATTGGAGGCGCCCCGCGGCCTGCCCCTGCATTTCCGCCGCCCCGGCGGCTCAGTGCCTGCTCTGACAGATTGGGACCTTCAGCGGGGTTGCCTCTGTAAGAAGGCAGCGCGCCGGCCTTGCCGCTGTTCCTTTCTTTGTTTCTTTGGCAGCCAGGCACGGGCCCGGCCTTGCTTTCTGCGCTGCGGACTGATTTCTGGCCCTGCCCCCTTGTGGGCGGCAGGCACGGCCGGCCTCACCCGGGAGGGCAACCAACTGCCGGCCCCCCATTGGTTGGCCGCCTGCCGGCGCCGCTTGGCCACGGCCGGCCGCTTCGTCAGCCCATTGTCGTGGCGCACTGATTTCGCACGCGCAGGCGCGCCCTTTGGCGCCCGGGGGACTTTGCCCTGTTTTTCTAGATCACAGGGCCACCGTGTCACGCGCGTGACACGGGCGGACCCGGCTTCGTTTTTTCTCGTCTCTAGCTGGTCTTGGGTGGTTTGGTGGCAAGCAGAATTGCTTCAGTCAGTTTCCCTTCTACCGCCCAAGCCCAGGGCGCTGCCACGTGTGTGTGTCTATGATTGGCATCCAAGGAGGTCTTGGACCTGGGGCGAAGGCCTCAGGCTCAGCCCGCGAGCCCTTCCTGGCTGCTGCCAGCCGGACCGGCCGCCGGCCGACAGTCAGCCAGGCAGGCGCCCGGTTTTACAAAAAAACCCAAAAAAGTTGCGCGCGATTTCCCTTTAGAAAAAAACCAAAACCGAAGACGGGCCAACTTCCCGGCCTTTCCCCGATGGTATGAGGTCGATCAGGCCGGCGATTTTCCACATTTCTGGCCTTTAGGAAATCGCGCGCTGGCCTTTCAGGAAATAGCGCGACCTTGGCCGGCGACACCTACCGCGCGCACTACGCTGATGGTAGGCGGCCCGGTGTGTGCCGTTGCAGGGGCAGGCCGCTGGCCCGGCGCGCTAGCTGGGCACCCAGGGAAAGGCCGCGGATTGGGGGATGCCTTTGGGGAGGGTTGGAATGGATGGGCCCGGTTTTTCTTTCTTCAGGGAAATCGTTTGGGGGGGAAGAAGCCAGGGCCCCTCTCGGTTTTCCCCAAGGAAACCTGCCTGGCGCGTTTCTTACAAGCGCACAAGCAAAGACTTGTCTTACAAGCACACAAGCTTACAAGCTTACAAGCACAGGCCTGGGACACGGTGCGGAACTTCTTGATCAAAGTGCACGAGTGGCACGACGAGCACGTGGATATGGCCCCCGAGGAAACGGAGCGCTGCAAGAAAATGATCTTCGACCAGGTACAGGAGGCCGTGAAGGAAGTGAAGGCGGAGGCGGACGATCTGAAACGGAGCGTGATCGACAAAACGTACCTGGAGCGGAAGGGGAAATATACGAAAGTGATCCCGGCGTACCAGTGGGCCCAGAACCGCACCCACGTGTTTTTGCTCTTGAAAATGTCCGCGCGCTGGAACGCCCCGGGCGCGCTGCAGATGATCCACGGCCCGCCGAAAAAGGGGGAAAGCAAGGCAGCCGCGGACAAGGATCCGTTCCCCAGCGTCAACGTCGTGAAAAACATCTACAACATCACCACGGTGCTCAACTTCACGGCGTTTGGGCAGATTTCCGCGGCGAAGTACCACTACCATTTGCAAATTTCCCTGTTCGACCAGATTTTGACGAACCCGGTGGTGAACTTGAACTCCGTGGGGAAATTTATGCTGACCGCGGAAAAGAAGCACCAAGTCTGGTGGAAGCAATTGCTCGGTTCGGTGGACAACAAGCAGAAAGCGCAGCTCTGGACGGAGCAACAAGAGAAGGAGTGGAAACTGGACCCCAGTTTTAATGGTACCGATACGGAGGTGAAGGAGCTCAGCCCGAATCTCTGCGCGAACAGCAAGGAGAGGCCACACAGCAAGTACTGCCGCTTGAAAGATAAGTGTGTCCTGGACTGCGCGGTCTCCTGCGACGACAAGCTGGCGACGGTGAAATACAACGAATGCGTGGGCAAGCCCTACGCGGGCGTCGAACGATGGAAGCCGGCCGCAAAGCGGCAACCCGTTGCCATAGCTTTCAAAGACACCGACGTCCGCACGCAGCATTTTACCGGCTGGGCCCAGGTATGGTGAAGGGAAAAATTTTGTGGGTGTGGCTTATAATATAGTTGAGTGCGACAATTTATCAACATTGATTTGGTTTCCGCTGTTAAAAAGAAGGAAAGTTTTTCGTAGTTTTACTTGAAAAATATTTTTACTTTTAGAAATAATCACACTGAACTTCATCGCGAGGTAAAAGTGTACGATTGGGGCACACTGGAGCGCGTGGAGGTGAGCGACCCCTTCGTCACGAAAAAGCAGGGCGTTCGCAGTGTTTTCAACGTCACGAGAAATTCCAAGCGCGAGTTTTATCTGAACGACTACTTCAGCCCGATGGGCGCACTGCAGTTGCAGAGTTTCAACGAATTTGGCCCGTCCGACCTCCTTCCGGTGCAGTCCTATCTGACCGACGCGGCGTGGTTGCCCACTTTGAAACCGCACCGGTTCAGCTGCGAGGACCTGGACGGGCGAAAAGGCTATGTCAGGCTGGAGTGCAAAATCGCGCGGTGGAACCCGCTGGAAGAGAACCCGCCCAACATGAAGCACAAGCAGGACGAGCGCGTTGTCGACATTCTCGCGACCGTGCGCTACCAGCTCCGTTTTGCGGAAAAAGTTCCTAAACGGGACGCGGACTTGACGGACCTGCTGCGGACGCTGAACAGCACCAGAGGAAGCGACCAGGACCCCTTTCCGCAAAACACTGTGCGTGGCGGGGAGGAGGCTCCGATATGGTACAGCTCGGCGCAAGAGGGCGACCTGATCCCGGCTAAGGCCAAGTACATTGTGGCGCTCCCGTTCAGCGACAGAGCGCCCGGGTACGCGAGTACCTGGAGCACGTGGAAGATAGTGGATTTTCACGAACAAGATGAGGGCAAGGGTGAGGGCGGTGCCGATGTTGACGGAGCAGAGGATGGAAAAGAGCCACAGGCGGCAGCAGAAAAGAAGGCAGAAGAACTATGAAGCCGCATATGCGTTGATAATCATGCAGGAATTGCGCGCTACTCATGGACGAACACAAAGTTGTAGTAATTGCATGGGCTGCGACGGGTCTGGGACCACTGCCGGGCGCGACTAGCCCCGTATGCCGGTCGGATTTTCGAAGAAAGTGAAACCGAAATGAAAAATGTTCACGTCGCTCGATGACTTGTCCACCCGCCACGCTGCCGCGGCGGCACTTTGTTGTATCCACTGAGGTCGCGAGCGTGCTAATCTATGCCAGACGAAAGCCATCAAAGCAAATTTTGTACAGATGCGCCACGTAGTACGAAAAAGAGTGCGCCTTTCTTTTGCTGTCATTCTGAGGCGCACAAAAACTTACCTTTGATGACGTTGTCTATTTTGCTTCAAAACGCATACGAAAGACTAAGAAAAGGATTTACGACGTGGTGGTAACGGACCGTGAAAAATCAAAATGCATGCATTCTTACACTACAAACATGATTGATCCACCACGATCACGGAGTAATAGCGTGATTGCGCTCCTCCGGATGGACCCCTGCCATGAGAGTGTTCGCGTTGTTTTTCTTTTTTCGTTTGACACGCGGACCCGGACCGACTCCTCCAGATCGTCTGCAAAAGTTCTGCACCACTTACTGCAGCTTTTGGTTCCTTGCTAGTGATAGAAACCACTATTGGTGGTTCCAATCATCGTCGAGCTAAACTCTTTCCGATTGGCAATAACGCCCCAGCTCTATTCAAGATCGCGCATTTCCTGAATCTGATCGAACGCGATCGTTACCGAAAATGGCTGCGCCCCCCGGTCTGGACGCGGACGCTCGTGCGGTGGACCTAAAGCAGCTTCCTGACGAGTTGAATGACAGCGTCTATGCCACCGACAAGTACGCACTGCTGCTGGATCCCACGGGGCTGGGCTACAACTTTCTCAAGTACCGCGGGCGGTGCCTATCCGCCATGCGCCAGGGCGACTTCGAAAAAGAATCCTTGCGAAAAGGGCTGGTGCAGACCATGCACAACGGCGCCTGGTTGGTGCTCGACGCGGACGTCCTCGATGTGGACTGGGCGTCGCTGTGCGAAGACAACACGTGCTTTCCGCCTGAGGCCTTCCAGAGGCCGTCGGCGCTGTTTGATCTAGACGTGTACGCGCGCCTGCCGCGGCCGGCAGACGAGTTTGCCGCGAAGGTGAGTTACGAAAATTTGAACATCGAGCAGGAGGGTCTCACCGACCGGACGAAAACCTTCGCGCCGGAGAAGTGCGTCGACATTGACGCACGTTTTCAGCCGAAGGAGTCCTTTCGCTTGATCGTGGTCACGAAAAAGACGCAATGTCCGGCGTTTCTGAAGGGAAAAATGGACATCCTCACCATCGCCGCGCCCGCAGACGCGACGGCGGACCAGGGGCTGTGGGCGGGTGGCGAGGCCCCGGTGATTGAGCGCTCGGCCGCCCAAAAGAAACTGGACAAGGAGTTCGTGGAGTGCTGCTTCGATGGAGATTTGGACGAAGTGAAGAAGTTGCTGGAAAAAGGAGCGGACAGCAACGCGGTAGACACAAGGAAATACACCGGGCTATCTGAAGCGGCTTGCAATGGTATACTAGGCGAAGTAGATGAAGATGCGCTGTTGCTTATTCTTGCCACGTGAGACCCTTTATGATCATGTCTTAAGTCCTCGCAGAGCAAGCTCCTGCTAAGGGGAGGCCAAATCTACCGATTGATTCATCAGGCCAAAAAGCGGTTGTCGAGTACCTTCTTGCGTACAATCCGCCGCTGGGGTCTGACCCAAACGCAAAATCTGCGGAAGGGCGCACGGCGCTGCACCGAGCGTGTTTCAATGGCCACTGCGAGGTCGTAACGCTTTTGCTGCAAAACGGGGCGGACCCCCGAATAAAAGACAAGATGAATGAGAGGCCGTACGACATTGCAACGAGTAAAGAAATTCACGCCTTGTTGGATAGCTGGAAGCTCGAGGACTCCTTGCACATAATGGAGGAAAGGAAAAAAGCTCGGGAAGCAGCGGAGGAAGGCTTGGTCCAAAATGACGAAGAAAGTATATCGATTTTTTGTCCGCTGTTTCTTAATATGTCTTCTTCTTTGCTATAATTTCTTTTCGGAACTGGAGTGCTGTGCACCGGGCGTGTACCGAAAATAAAAATGGTCCTGTAGAAGCGTAGTTACCTAGAAGTAGATAGCATAGCGGAGCGCTAACGACACACAGGAAAGCGGCTTCTGAAGAGTCGCAAGACGGCGAAGATCTTTCAACTTGTCGAGGAGGGTGACGTTACGATGTTGGACATCGAGCTGGTTGACGTCGAAAGCAATATCAGCACCTACAGGGACGACCGCGGAAACACCGCCCTACACCTAGCGGCGTGGAAAGACCGCATGGAGGTGTGCGTGTACCTTCTGGACGAAGCAAACGCCCAGGTCGATGCCCGCGACAGCAAGGGCTGGACGCCCCTACAGATCGCCAGCTTTCACGGGAACCGCAAAGGCTGCGAGCTGCTGCTGTCCAAGAAGGCGAACCCGGAGTTGCTGAATGCCTACCGAAAAAGCGCCATCGATCTGGCAAAGGACGACGAGGTGAAAGCAGTGCTGTTAGCAGGTACTGTTCGACTACAACCTATGTGCGGGGGTCAGGTACTTTTCGTACAACAATGCCAATCTAATCAAGCATAAGACTTTCTTGAAAAAGCTGACAGTTCCAAAGCCAAGTTACAAAAACCGCATGACTCAAAGGTACAGCCAATGCGATACGCGTGTCAAAGGAGAAACCCGACCTGTCATCCTTGCCGGCCCCTGCTGCTGCGCCTAAAGCCAAAGCAAAAGCCGGCGGTGGCCTCGTCGGTAAAGCAAAGGCAGCAGGAAAAGCGAAGGCAAAACCCAAAGCAAAATCTGCAGCGTGAGGACATTACACCCCTTCCGATTTTCTACCATGTAAGATACAGTCGTCTTTTACTTCGTTTCATTGTTTTTCTTTGCAGTTTCGGTTTCTGAATTTGTCAGCTTGTCCTTCGCCGGGGAAGACGCGAAGCAGGGATGCATAAGCATATGATGAAATGGAGAACCGCAGCCGAACTGACCTAATCTTAGTGCAAAAGTGGAAGTTCTTCATGCTCACACTACTCCTAGGCCGATAATCGTTTGCATGACATGCACTGGGGCCGCTCGATAGAAACAAATACTTCATACGCTCCTGGCGCATAAAGATAGCCTAAATGTAAAAACCGCTGTTCTGTAAATTCGTTCTTCTGTTCGGTTTAACAAAGCGAACGGACCTGCGAAATATTTGCCACAGGAGATCTCCACCTTTTGAAGCATGTTACGATTGGAAACATCGGACAAGTTGGATCTCCTGTTTTTCGCACTGCAAATGCCCAAGATTGTTTGGCACAGGAAGTAGATCATGCATCCCCTGCTCAAGTAGAGCGAGGATGAACACATCATGAACATGATATTTGGAAACTTGATCGCTATGCAAGCTTTTTCGCGGTCAGCGCCAGGCTAACAGCAAGTTTTTTTTTTTCGGAAATGTGAATGAATATGTTTTTTCTCAAAGTCAAATTTTGTCTTCGTGTTCCGATGTGGATACTCTGACCTTGTAGTACAAGAACTTGACCCATAAACCTAAAGTCAAAGTAATCTTGGTTACTTTTACTTCTTTCCCCTTTTCTTATGAAAGTTACTTTTGTTCCCTACAAATAGCCCCGGACGACTCGGAGACACCTTAAGTACGTTTAATATTACGACCCAACTACTTGAGAATACAGAATTTTCATTTTGTCGCAACCACGCAAGACGTGTGCGCATCGCGTGGAAACGAAGCAAGCCAATCATGTTTCCGCGCGCGTTGTCAATCTTCGGCGCCTGTGCTTCGGTTGCTTTGGCGAAGACGTTGCTCGATGATACTATTCAGACGGAGCAAGACGCGCGCGCGAGATTGCAGCCAGTATTCGGCACCTTATCGAAGTTGGACGCTGCGGATATCGAGTATTATAATATGATTGCACGACATGGCGTCTCTTTCATGAGACGCATTATGCAGTGGAATAGCCGCTTTGTTGTTTATGTTTTTGCATACATCAATTCTGCTGCACCGTGAGCATTTCTGTGAATGCCTAATTTTGTCCTGGTCGCAACAACAACACTATGTAATTCATCACCTTTCATCAGGTACGTGGTCCGGAACCACTTTTGGGACCTTGCTACGGAAATCGTAGCCGAATCGCACAAGCAGAGTGTGGATCTTTCGTTTGCGGTGCGAAAAGCCGTGAAAGACGTCCGGAACAAAGCAGACGAGCTGATTCGGTATCTAAACCCAAAATACCATGAAAAGCAGAAAGTGGTTCCGGTTTTCCGCTGGGCTCAAAGCGACACGCACATTTTTTTGACCATCAAGTACAGCGTAAAATGGGACGCACCAGGGGCTGTCAATGTGAAAGATCCGCAGGTATTATATTCCTTTTGGGAATAGAAATAGTGTCCAATAAGGATAAGCCACAATTCAATCACAACAAGGAGGACCAAAGCCATGAAATACATGCCACAGTGCGTTTGATTCCTACACGTTTCTACTCCCGTGAGCTTTTCTCGAAGTAAAATCTTCATACCAGGTCGTCTTCAACGACAACGTTTTCTCGTTTACCGCGAGCGGCGAGCACAGTGGGAACAAGTACGAATACTCGCTTAACCTCGATTGCTTTGACGCGATCGACGAGAGGGATTCCACGTGGTCAGCGGCGAGCGTGGGCCGGTTCACGGCGATCCTGGCAAAGAAACGCATGCGTCGATGGCCGCGACTGTTGCTGGACAAGAAGAAAAAGGGCACCGGGAGAATGGACCTCACCAGACAAGAGGAGCTCGATAAGGAAGATCACGGGTAAGACTAAGAACTTACATGATCCTGCCTTCCCTTCGTCTGCTTGTGTTTCCTGATGCTTGCCGCTTTCGAATTACTCAAGGTCTGAACTAGTACACAAATGATCTTTGCATTGAACAATTTGATTATTCCAGGTCTGCGGTCGCGCACTCTGAAAAGACCTGCCTGGCACTAGAAAAGGTCTACTGCCCGACCAGTGACAAGTGCTTAGGCAACTGCACCACCTGCACGGACTGGGATCAGCCGGTAGCGTCCGGAAACTACTGCAGCGGCCCACCAAAGGATAAGCCGATAAGTGTGCAGTTTACCGATACAAATATGGACGTCGGAGTTATGGACGGAGAGCTGAAGGTATAGAAGAATATTGAATATAATCTGCTCGCCTGGGATTTCTATCGGAGGTTTTTTTTCGTTTCAATGTGAATCTGTTATTTAATGAAACAAGCACGAACGGAACCGAAATTCGCCAAAAAAAATACACAATCGGACGATGACATCAGATCGAGCTGAAAGACACCTACCACGTCGAAAGCTTTGTGGTAAAGTACGGCCGTACCATCACCGCCGACCGAAGTGCTGACAGCTTCTTGACGCTCGCGGAAGTTCCTGTAAACCGCTTGAGCAAATACACGACAAAATCGCTGGCTGGATTGAAGCCTCTGGAATACATGGCACACGATGAAGAAATGTATTTCGCCGTGATGTGATTTTCATTTTCTTCCCGCGAAAGTTTATGTGTCGCAGATTGGATTCATTATGAACGCACCACGCACTGAGCACAAAAATGCGTTTTTGTTTATGGTCAACTTGAGGGACTTGCGCATTTCGCACAAAGACACCGTCTCAACTATGCGAGTGAAATTATCGTGCCAATATTCAGGGCCTTTGCTGTGTACCCGAAAAATTCCTTCGGCGTGCTGCAAAACGCGACCTTTAAAACTGTGGAGGACGCGTATGTGCCGAAAGAGGGGCCGATAGCAGTGAAATTTGCCGACACCAATGGCGACCCGCAAAAGCTGTCCGGTGAGGTCGAAATCGTAACCCCCGTGGACCCCACGATCAAAGAAATTGCGCTCTACTTTGGTACTCGATGTTTGATTTGCAGTCCAGTAGAAGAAGAAAGAAAAACTTTGAAAATTTTTTGGGCATGCTTTTGCAAGAGCTGCCAATCCTCCTGTTTTATGTGTATCGCTTCTTTATTTTGATCGTTTCCAGAAGTCGCAGCCGCGTGGATTTTACCTTTAGCATTGCCAAGACACGATATCACATCACTGCAAATACCAAAAAAACAGGAAAGAAAGCAAAGAACGGCAAAGTGACGCGGACCAACAACGAGTCCTACATAACGGCAGTGACGGCACTAACGGACGGCAGCACGACCAAATATGTTATGACGGACAAAGCAATGCCTACGGGCGCCACCGGAATTATTGCCTACAGTAAAAACACGTGGGGCGAGAATCGGGATGCCTTTATCTACATCGACATAGTGGATGCGCAAAAGCCGTGCTCAGGTATTTTCAATTCAATACAGGTTTGCCTATGCTATTGCTAGTAGAGTATTGCTTGTGCTTGTCGTCATTCACCAAATTAAGTATCTTTGCGATGCGCATTCTCGTAAGAAAGCCGTGTTTTAGGAGCGACACCGAGCAAGTCTCCCGCAGTCTTTTTCTTCTTTTGGTTTGTTGCGTCAATCGTGGCCAGACCCCGTGGTTGGTTCTTTTCTATCAGCTGTGACCAAAAACAGACGACAACAAAAAATGGGCTGTGCTGACGTTCGCAGTGTTGATTATGATACTACCGTGGCGGGCGCTCGAGAAACGACAACGCGTTGTCGCCATTTCCGCAACAGCAGGGCTTGCCGCGATTTTGAGCTACTATCTCTTTCCCTGACTCGCCTGTCGCGAGCGCGAAGAGGAAGACAAAACGTTCTACTTCATCACGACGGAAACTTCGAGGCAAAAATTTTATAATAAGCGCTACATCCACAACACCTCCACGACGTTCTACTTCTCGCTCGTCCGCCATCATCTTCGCCCGAGGTGGTATCATAATCAACTTTGGATTTGGAGGGATCTTTTTCCTGATGCGAAATCGGCACAGCAGCAGCTTCACTTGCGTCGACCACGACGTCCTCCTTGGGGGTCAAACATGATTTTTCCCGTTCTTGTTTGTCTCCCTCGTTGTTTCCCCGCCCCCGCTCTTGGTGAAAGATCTCGGTCGTTTTGCCAGAGTGGATCCAAATTGCACGACGCACGACGACAGCTGAAGATAAATTTGTGAACTGAAACGTTTACCAGGTAGCGACCGAGCAAAGAGCACTGACTGCCCCCCGAAAGTGAAAGCCATCACTGAAGATGCTGCGTCTGAGGCCAACTACATCACCGTCGCAATGGATTACGAAAAACCGTTCCCAAAGAACGTGCAAGTCGCCGTTTACCTGAGTACGGACAAGACGTGCCACAAGGCCTCCAACTACAAGCTCATCCCGGAAGAGAAACTGGAGAAAAAGGAAGCGACGCTCTTGCTGGACCGGGCGGAGCTGAACGGGGACGGGGAGTCGTGGCGATACACGCATTTGGCCACGTTTACGAAAAACGAGTTCGGCACGTCCAAATTCTGTTCGAGCATTCCTTTTAAAGACGTCGGCGCTCCCTCGGTCGACGAGGCGGAGGACCCAGCTGCTTCAGAACCAAAAAAGGAACTGTGAGCCCCCGCACCACGACCTCCGAGAGCAATGCGCATCGGGATCTTCTGTCATGCTCATGTCGCTCCCATCCACGGGCAACTTCAGTTCGAGTAGCGCTTGTTGGTTCCGAGTCGGATTTTTCCAAGAAGACAAAACCAAGAGACATGGAACTCTTACCAAGGACAGCCAGAAAATAAACACGTAAGTACGCGAAAAAGTTTAAGTTATGCTTCAAGCAATAAAGTTAAAATTGCTTGTTGTAGTACTGAAGGAAAATAACGAGCTACGTTGAGGTACCCCCTCGATGGCACTTCTACCCCGAAGACTGAGCCGTCAGCGCAGGCGCTTCAGAGAAACCTATACATCGAAGTAAATTTTCCAACCCGACGATTCATTCACGACGAAATCAATAGCGACACAGTTATTATGAAGAAACAGAACAAAAGTAATCGTGGACAATGTTGACCACGTACCACGCAGCTAAACGCGTTATCTTTATCGCACACCACGTGACCACATCAGCAGTGCCAGTCGTTCACTCGCTGAGGCTGTGTTGGATTCAACAAAAACAGGAAAATCGATCCTAAATAGTCGGTAAATTATGATAGTGCTTATTCGGAATGCATTTGTGGACCCATAAAGCAAGATCATAATTTCTCGCTTTGTTACGCGATCTCATTTCGTGGTCGTACCATCTTGCAAGAGCAAGTCGAAGGTGTTGACGTGTCCTTTGAAGACACGGATCGATCCTGGTGCTAAAAAGGCACCAGAAAAGATAAACGTGTTTGTACTCGATCCAGAAATTATTATCAGTCTAGACGTCGCAAAAGATGATAAACATAAAGAGCGAGCGAAGATGCAACACCAACCGGATCAAATAATCGAAGCAAGGTAGAAGATCAAGATCCTCCAGTTCGAGTTCCCTTCATCATTTCGGTCGTGAAAATTTTCGCTGGCGATCAAATACTACCCAAGCGAGTCATACCGTAGCGTGTAGTGAAACCCTCTCAACATTATTGTGTTTGCGATTGATTTCCCAGGGAGTTGCTTGTTGGAAGTTGTGTACTTTTTGAAGTTGCAGCTCCGCTATATTTTCTCTCTACTCTTTATTTTTCATCACGAGCTATTGATTATTACTAACTTTGCGAGCGCAGTCAGAAACTCGAAAAACACTATTTACGTTGCTAAAACTGATTGATTCATTTATTCGCATCTGTATTTTCAAAACAAAAAGAAACAGAAAACATGTTGCTGCGGTACTACTTGGATTCGAAGGGCGATCGTGTCTACACGACCAACAACAAAGCCCCGGATGGAACTCCGACCTACTCCGCGCACCCAGCTCGCTTCTCGCCGGATGACAAGTAAAGATTTTTCGCATTTATTTTTTCGTTTCATGATCTGCTGGCATTGATTTCTTTTTGTATGATGTTGCCTGCTTGAAGATCCCACGTCTATCTTTATTCCCAGATGGTCACACATCCATGGCTGCACGTCTGACTTTGCATTGAAACGAAAAGGATGTGATGTAAGCAATTTTTATCACCAAACCTAAACCAATCGCAGGTTTTCCGCGCAGAGAATAGCGTGCAAAAAGCGCTTCGGGATTCTTCGAACGCAGAAGCCGCAGGAGCCGATGTAATCGGAGGCAGCGGGCGAAACACATTTATCGAACAAAAAACAGCGACTCACTGCAAAGACGGTGTTAGACAAAAATGAATCGGGACTAACATTGGTTGGCGTAGCAAAGTTAGCAATTGCAACATTTAGAACGGAAAGAACGCAGAATTTATCACTCCGATTGACCACCAGCACCAGGTACTAAGAGTAACAGCAGCAGGACTATCAATCCCACGAGCCACGCACAATAGCCACAATGGTAATGAAGAAGACGACGGCTTGCTGGAAATAGTACGAAAGGCGGTTGCTTATTGATCTGCCATCGCTAGTCATTTGGGAGGGTAGGCTCAAGAATTTTTCAGTTGTTTGATGTCCACGTTATGCATTTGCGAGAGCAGGATAATCGAGGTTAGAGGACGCACCTGAATAAAAAACATCGCGGCCTCAGTCTCTCTGAAACGTGACCACAGCGAATTTTTCTTGCGCACTATCTTACTTTCGGAATCGAAAAATCGTACTCGCTACTTCCGCATCGACACGCGGGCAAGTCTCCAGCCTAAGGTCATCGCGAGACCAACTGGTGTTCTTGATCAGAAGTGAAATGCGGGCGAGAGTACTAGAGTCGTGGTTGTAACCCGAGCGAAGTTTCCAGATGTTGGACGTAGGACTTTGTGATCGTTTTTCTGTTTGTATGCGAGTTCGCTTCGTTTCTTCTGATGCCGCTTTTTCTTCTCGCTTCATTCTTCACGAACTCGATTTATTTGATAGGGAGAATTACACGACGACCGAAAGGTGCCCGTATCGTCGTGCCTGGCTATGGTACAACATTTTTTGGCTGCGGGTCGAGGTCAACAACACCGTGTTGGTTCTGTCTCGTCGTCGTGGGGCAGAGCAAAAAATACGACAGCATAAACCAAGATGCTGTGACGACTCGTCGTAGCGGCTGAAAAGAAAGGAGCGGGTTGTAGACAGCAGCCGTTCTCCATTTTTTGTGTGACGATCAGGTGCGGCCTCCGGCGGCGCAAGCAGCCATGGCGGAATTTACCAGGTTCCGACCGCAGGAGATCAGCCTCACCTATTGGGGGGCGCTGATGACCATTTGGAGCTACGTTTACGTCTTCACGCTCGCACTAATAAAGGAGGCGGTACTTCTTGTTTTCTTTTGTATTTGAATTCCATGCAACTCAGCATGGTCAATTTGTATTTTAATTCCATGAAACTCTGCATTGAGATTGACATAGACTTAGACAGAGATCGATGGAAAACTACGTACAGGTCTGGTGGTTGCAGTCGGTGCTTCGGATTGAGCCCGGGTATTCCTACCGAAAACGCAGACGGCCGGGTCTGGAGGCGGTTTTCATATCCTGAGTAAAAACATACCCACACCAGAGTCAAGATGGGGATTTTGCAACACAAACCTAGGAGTTTTAGGAGTCACGCATGACAAGTTTCAGTCCGTAAGGTAGTGCAAGTTAGCAAGGAAGGCCGCATCACAAATCGACCTTCTAATCCTGTTTACAGCATTACAAGTTCCCAAACACGATTGAAAATGCCTGTCATGGGGTTGCGCATCACAAATGTTCCTGTCATGGCAAATCTGCATGACAACTATGGTGTGGGTACGTTTTTACTCAGGATATTTCATCGAGCATGGTTACGGCTCCCTGGCCGACTGCTGGAACAGGCCTATCTCCAGTTCCCCAGCTGCATATGTGAAAGTGGTGAAAAGAGAAAGGAAGAGCCAAACGTTCTTTGACCCACTTAAACCACTGGAACTGACAGGGGAGGAGGTACTAGCACGAGAAAACTTTCAGGTCATGGTATCTACTATCAATATATGTTGGCCGAGTTTCTGGGTCGAAATCAAAAAGCTTTAAGATGGTTCGCTTTGATTTCGAAGAGGGGACGAGCGAAGAATATTTTCTCTGCTTGATCCATTATTTACAACTATCAGGTTCTGTCCACTAATCTGGCGTCCTACAACTACCTCGGGTTCGGCGGCGTGGACAACTTCTGCACCGAGTTTGTTGCCAATTGCATCGCCGGGCCCTGCGGCTTCAGCACGTGTGCGGCGCGCGGCGGGCACGCCGGAACACGGCGCATCCACTTGGAGCTGGAGGCCAAGATAGCCGATTTTCTCGGCAAGGAGGATGCGCTCGTCTACGGGATGGGGTTTGCAACGAACAGTATCCACATCCCGGCCCTGGTCGATCCCGAGGGCAACGGGAAGGGCTGCCTGATCTTGTCGGACATCCTGAACCACCGCTCTATCGTCGAGGGCGTCCGCATGTCCGGCGTGACCGTGCGCCCGTTTGCGCACAATGACATGGTGGATCTGGAGGCGAAATTGCGGGAAGCGTGCCTGGAACGCCAGATGAGCCAAGGGTTAACAAAAACCGAGGCCGCCAAGATTGCGAGAACCTTTAGCACCGCCACCAGCTCTAGTAGCTCCTCGAAAAGTGCTTCTTATTCCAGCGGTAGCACAACTCCTGCCGGCGTGGAGGTAACAACCGAAACAAAAAGGCCGTGGCGAAAGATCATTGTGATCGTGGAGGGCATTTACAGTATGGAGGGGGATTTCTGCCGGTTGCGCGAGACGGTCGCACTGAAGAACAAGTACGGGGCCTACCTGTATTTGGACGAAGCACATAGCATCGGCGCGGTGGGGAAAAGTGGTCGTGGCGTTTCCGAGTTGCTGAACGTGCCGACGGGGAAGATAGATGTGTTGATGGGCACTTTCACGAAATCCTTCGGTTCCGCCGGGGGCTACATCGCGGGGGACAAAGTCGTCATCGATTCTCTGAGGAAAAACGCAGCCAGCAGCGGCTTCAGCGTTTCCATGTCGCCGGCTTGCGCTATGGATGTGTCAGAGTTGAAATCGACAAAGTTGAAATAATTTGTCATGCATAAAATGGATGCCAGTTGGAACCCAGTTTCCAAGTGGTGCATGACAAATTTCGGTGGTCCCTAAATCCAGTTTGTCATGCTGTTTAGGCAAAGAAGAGTGATTTTCTCATGCTACTTTAGCAGCTCGAGCTGTAGCCCCCAACAGGCTTACAATCGGCCTCACTTGCCTGCTCTGCAACGCACGTGCCTCGGGTCATGCATTTTATGCATTACAAATTATTTCAACTTTGACGATTTCAAACCTGACGCTTCCATATGCGCGGCGCAAGCGTATGCGGCGCTGCACGTCATCCAGCTGGATCCGATAAAAGGTGCCGCGAAGCTGAAGAGCATCCGCGAAAACAGCAACTATTTCAGGGAAGAGCTACAGAAAATGGGCTACTGCGTATAATTCTACGATGAAAATGATGTTAGCCTCTGATTTCTCGATTTCGAAGGACAACATTAGGTTTAAGTAGGTAGAATTTTCGATTTTGAACAACACGACGAGGTGCTGTAGGTAGAAAATTACAGAATTTCGATTGCGATGATCTGCTTTTGCTTTACGGGTCTTTAAGCGGCTGAGTTGGGCGTTTGTTTCAGGTCCTTTGGAATTTCATATCAACAACCATCAAAAGGTGCTCGGTGACGTCGACTCTCCCGTGATCCCCGTGTTGATGGACCCGCTCGGCATGTTGGAGTTGAGCAAGCGGTGTCTTGACCTGGGCGTCGCCATTGTCGTGGTGGGTTACCCCGCAACGCCGTTTCTTTTGAACCGGGCAAGATTCTGTACGATTTTTATGCTTTGTTCTCACCTTCAAGAATTTCAATCTTCGTTCAAGGACTTCAAGAATTTTCAAAAAGCAACCCAAGGAGCCATAATTCTCGTTTAAGAAGTCTAGTAATCTCAAGGAATTATTTCTCCCCCATTGCAGGCATTTCCGCCGCGCACACGCGCGCACAACTGTCGGAAGTGTTGGGAATATTGCGCGAGCAGGGCGAGCGGCTGGGCATTCTGTACTGCAAGAATCAGCCGAAGTCCATAGACTGGGAGTACTACAATTACATTCGCGAATGCAAGTTGGAGGTCGAGCCCTTCGCACAGAAACCACTGTTCGAAAAGCTCGCGAGCAGGGACCTGCAACTAGAGGAGGAACAAACCAGCGCTGGCGCGGCCGCGCCGCCCAGCGCGGTGGGCATAATTGCGAACGCGGCATTTACTTCGGTGTGCTCTAATGTGAGCGGTGTGACCAACGCTGCGATCAAAAATATGATCACCTCCAGCACGACGGCGTCCTCGTCGACAGTAACGACACGCAGCACGACCACGAGCCGGCGCGAGAGTAAGGATCTAACCACCAGCACGACGACGGAGGTCGTGCAGGATGCGGAACTACACAACGTGTTTGAGTTGCATCAAGAACTCAGCAAGAACGACGAGGACTTGATAGGCAGAAAATTGGCCTCAGTCACCTCTACTGCCTCCAAAGACGGTGCGAGCGGGGGTGCAGGTGGTACTGTGAACAAGCTCTCATCGGCTAGCAGTTCCTCCTCCACGACTGCGAGCACCAGCACCTCCACACACGTCCGGAGTGTCGAGCCCTCGGAACTCGGGGACACCACGGTCAGCATGGGCACCTCTGAGGATTCCTCGCACAGAAGTCGCGCATCCTGCTCCACTTCGACAACTACTTTGAGGCGCCGCAAAGGAAGAACAAAAACGGCAGATGAAAAAGAGAAAATAAATCAAGAGCACAGGAGCTCGATTTCCACACCAATAAACGAAGGAGAAGGTGCAGAAATCGTCGCTGGTAGTACGAGTACAATTTCAATAAGTCAACGGCAGGAACATCAAATAGAGGAAGATGTCACTAACATCGACGACGCGTGTTCCGACGATGAAGAAGAGCACGACACGCGCACCTCCAGCAGCTCGGAAGATGCGGACCAGAATTCCCGCGCGCCGAGCAACATCGAGCTTACGCCGGAAGAGGTCGAGGTGGAAGCAGCAGCAGGTGGGGCACACCAGGCGGATGTTGGCATCTTGAGTTCCTGCTGTCCGGAGGAGCAGGCAACGGACCGGTTGGCGCGGGAGCTACTCGACGGCGCCTGTTGTGCCGGAAATTTGGAAGATCTACCCGAGGAAGATGAGTGTGGTGATCATCTCAATGCAGCAGGTAGTCGTGCCACTTCGAACCATGAGAAGCTTGAAACGCATGGGGGACAGCAGCTCGTACCAGGAGACCGCCGGGAACAGATCGGCGGATCCTCGAGTTCCTCATGTAAATCGACTGGTACTTCCACCAGCAGTCGTCGACAGCGGGCGAGCGCAGCAGTGATGTCATCGACGTTCACAGCAGCCGTAGACGACAGCATGCACGACCTGGTAAACAAGGAAGCGGCGGCCCGTCTCTGGGCTGGCGTCAGCCGCGACACCATAGACAAACGCAATTTCTGCATGCTGGACCCCATGGGACTCGCCATCAATCCACCACCGGATTTACCGAAGGTCTGCAACGACTACCTATGGGAAAACGGGTTCGGTGCGTGCGGCCCACGCGGCTTTTACGGTGGCACGACGGAGCACTTGTTACTGGAGCAGAGACTTGCGGACTTCTTTCAAAAGGTACGAACATTGATGATTCCGTCGCGGTTATTTTTCTTGAAACTACAACTACTATCTACGTGTAGATGAAATCCAGAGATGACTACGTAGCACGACAAATCTGAAATTCACACTACAACCATGTGCCAATCTCCACAGGAAGAAGCTGTACTGTATTCCCATTCGGTGACTGTTGCGAGCAGTGTCTTCGCCTCGATGATATTGGCGAAGGACCGTGTATTTTGCCAGGAAAGCGTAAATTTTGGCGTGAAGGCTGGCCTGCGGCTAAACCGCTCGGGCTTCAAACTGAAATTTTACAAAGACGCCGAGGAGCTTGAACACCTTTTGAAGACGTCGGAGCAGGAAAGGATAAAAGAGCAGAAGAACATGAATGCCGGCGGAGCAGGAGGAGGCGACAAGGGGAAAGCAGCCTCCACGTCGTCGACGATCACGGGCCACACGTACGTGATTGCGGAAGCCTTGTCCCACTGCGACGGCACCATACTGGACCTACCTGCGCTGCTGAAGCTGAAAAAGCGGTACGGAGTTCTGCTTGCACTCGACGAGAGCCTCAGCTTTGGAGCGCTCGGGCCCCGCGGCATCGTCGACTATTTTGGCGTTTCCGTGGCCGAAATCGACGTCATTATGGCCTCGCTGGAATACGGCATCGCCGGAATCGGGGGCTTCTGCGCCACCAGCCATGCTTTGATACGCGATCTTCGCCTGACGAGCAGCGGGTAGAAATACGAAAAATTTATGAAATTCAGTTTTCCTTTGTTTCCCGGGCGATGTCTTCCCAATTATATGATCGAACGAATTATTCTCGCAGCTTGCAAGCCACTCTAACCACCAACCAGGTATTGCTTCAGTGCCTCGGCGCCGGGCGTGTCTTGCAAATGGAACCTGGAAGTGCTGGAAAGACTGGGCAAGGGCGCCTTTGCGCAGCGCGCTCAGCAGCTCAGACTAAATGCGGACACCGTGCGGCGAAGCTTGGACGATGCGGTGGGAGACAAATTGGCAATCTCGGGCGCCAGCTACGTTATTTTTCTCCGCGAGAAAATAGAAACTTCAAGAAAAACAAAAATAAACCAGCACTCCTCCTCCGGCGGAGCCGTTTCAGGCAACAATTCGCTGCTTGGCCTCCTGCAGAAAGAGCTCGCAGATAGGGGCATCGTGCTGGATTTGTGGCAGAGGGGATCCGTGGAAAAGGCACTGACGCGACGATTTCAGTTGACCGAGTCGGAGACCCCTGCGCTCCGCCTCTGCATCTCGTCGCTGCACTCCGACAAGGACCTGCAAGAAGTAGTGGCAAAAACGCGGAAGGCCGTGCTGAAAATCATGCCCGGAGACCAATCGCAGGGTGCATAACGACAATGAACACGACGAAATGTAGGGCGGTCAATGCTCGAAGTTTTCGTGCTGTTGCGACTTGCTTGTTGTAGTAATTTTGCAGTGAAGATTTATTCACTATCCGTATCCCATGAGTAAATGCGAATGCGCATGTCAGTGTGTGCAGGAACAGATGGTGCGGTGCTTGCAGCTCCTTCACATCCTTCTCGCAGTGAGTGTCAGAGCAGGCCGGTCTGCTCAAGATCAGGGCCCCTCCTGCGTGGTTGCGGATTCATTTTTGTACCACCCAAAGCCAAAATTAATATATGCCAGTTATCTTCTCATCGCGCTTTTAATCATGCCAGAGTAAAAATACCACTATTTTTAAAATCTGACTAGATACATCATCAAACCGAAGAACGGGAGGCCTCGAGCTCGACTCGTGCTCTTCTCAATTCGAAAACAGTAGTTTACATTTATAGCAAAAAACAATCATCGAAACGAACCGCGTGGGATTTGCGAACGGGCAACTTGTAATTCCCAAAAATCGTGTTTCGTTCGTTCTAGGCAGCTTTTGTCATTCATCATGTTTACGTCGAAAACAAAAGGAAAAATTCGTGTTTACTCGCAATTTGTTTTTTACCTAGGAGTAACTGAAATCAATACCAAATTGGTTCAAGAAATTCGCTGTTCGAGAGTATATGACATTGAAGCTCAAGGACAAGGGCGGGGCGGGGACGAGCACGGCAAGAACGAGCCACAAAGTAGGTCTGCATTGCTCGGTAAAGCAGATGGCTCGACGAAGTCCCATGATATGTTTGTGATTTCTTTGTATCAACTCATTGTGATTTTTAACGATGTCTCAATTTCAATTTTCCATTACGTATACAAATCGTAAATAATTTTTCGTAGATTTGTCACACGACGACCGGTCACGACCAGGGGTTGAGAATGGGGGCGCCACAGCATGCGAAAATTCGCCCGGTATTCTCCGGCGAAGAACGGAGTTACCTCCGCGATTAATCCCGACGGGGAGTAGATCCATATCCGCCCACTGCCACTGAATAGATGGCGAGTTTGCTGATTATGTACAATGGCTATTCAAAATTGAAACAATCACGAGGAGGACACACATACTTTTACTTCTTGCATTTGCTGTTGCAAGAAGAGCAAGCCTGGGCCTGATGGTCATTCACTTGTTAAGTACTTTGACTTGTTTCGCAGCCGTGACATAGGAAGGCGTAATCGGCGAAGACAGGCACGAACAGCTCTGCTGCAGTCGGTTTGCCCGAGTAGGAATTCGGTATTTCGGTTCTTCCAAATTTGTTTCGGATGTTGCTTGAACTGCTTTTAGTCAAAAATTAACTGCCTAAAAGTATGCGTATAAATATCGGTGCGAGGAATGCATTGGAACTTTTTTCGATTTGGCTAAACTGAAAGTCAACTACTTTGTCATCGGTTTTTTCTTTTCTGATCGTTATCGGTCTCCGTGTCGTATTTTCGGATCCGCGCGGATCTCTCGTCCTCGTGTGCTCGGTTACAATAGATCTAGATCTACTTTTTTATTGTCAATCGGTAGGTTTTTCTGTTCGTTTTTCCTTTTATTTTTTCCTGCGAGTTTTAGGTGAACATGAACTTGAGTCGACACGGAGACGAACATCATGGCGCTCAACCTTCATGAGTGCTCTTCCTGCAAATGGTGCCAGCTCTCTCTAGCACGAAGTAGTCACTCGTGACTTTTATCAGCCCGTGTTGCGCACGTATCTATTCACAAGAAAGTTTATTTTAAATCAAGTAAGTAGTACCTAAACCCATGTACATGTATCTATCGCCTTCATTTAATTTCGAATTCAAACCCATTCGTATGCACGATGAAGAGTCAAAAACAAAATCGACACCAAATGCCAATTGCAATTGGCTTCTCGTTGACCTATACGCTCTTGGCAATTCCGAGTTGCACTGACGTGAACCCGATCCCGGTGATAACATGTTGATGCTTATGTACTTGATCGCGTCGACGGATTAAACAGACAGTGTTCTTGTTGAGCGCTGTCTACTGCCGACGCCGACGCCTCTTTGCACCCCATGAGCAGTAGTACACAGCAAGGGCCCAAAGCCGAGCCCTCTGTTGACACGACGACGACCCCGGGAGCGCTGGCTTCCTCGTCGGCAAGAAAGCAACACCATTCCCACAGGGATGTCGAGCAGAAGGGACCAGCATCCTCACGTTCCCCCGGGCGAGCATCGCCGCAGCAGCTTGTCATTGAAAGTCCCGCGCACAAGCGCAGCGTAAGAGGAGTTGTTTTACCTTCGTCGCAGGAGAAGGACCACGTAGTGGGCGGGCAGGAACACCTCCACCAGCAGAACGCGCGGAGGCGGCAAGACAGTGCTGAGCATCTTGCACAGCAGCAGCGGCTTGAGCCTCCTGATGGCCATCTTCATCAAATGATGTTCACCAGCAGTGCAGCTGGCGAAAACAAGAACCTCCCTACGGAGCAGGAGGTTCTTATGCTGGACCACAAAAATTACAGCGGCCCGACAAGTCCCCCGTCGGACCGGTCTTCGCCAGTGAACGAGCAGCAGTCCGCACCCGCCTCTCCGCTTCACCCCAGCGTGGTAAACGTGATGCGGTCCTACGCGGCCGCCGTCGCAGCGGAGCAGGGTGCAGTGACTGCTCCAATTCCGCTCCGGGAGCCCTCGCCCGGAGGGATGGGGAGGGTTCTCACGCCCCCGAACTACAGCAACCCGAGCTCGAAGGCGACTGTGGTCCAAGTCCTCGCCCCTAGTACAACAACTTCCAACTCGCTCGGCCTGCCGAAACCGAAGCGTCGATCGCCAACGGCCAACAGCGACCCGCGGAGTCCGCAGGTCATTTACCCAAAAACCCCGTCGCCCATGACCCCGGACCTGGAACCTTTATCCAGCATGCAAGACGTCCGCGGTTTCGACTTTCTCGAGCACAGTGTGTCCAGCAAGCAATCGGGTCTGGACCACAGCCGGTTGCCGTCGAGCGGCGGTCCTCGGCTGGAATTATCGCGGTACCTTCCAAAGGAGGTGATAGCGCGGGCCCTGGATCGGTCCGCCCGGGATATTCAGGCCTTGTACTGCAACTACGTCGCAAGAGCACTGGAAATGACCGCAGATGGAGGTGGTCGTGTTGCTAGCAGAGAGAGTTCTAACCCTGGGCCTGGGGCGGGGGCATTACCATCAGCGGGTGTCGAGTCCTCGCGGCCAAGCTCGCCCTCAAATAACAGCATGCACATGACCGGACTAGACGACAGCGCTTCGAAGACAAGCGCCGGGGAGATAAGCAGCAGCGAGCAGCCTACCACAGGTACTGTTAGTTTATTTTACCAGCTGCTAAGCGTAAGTGATCATGACCTAGAGGATCATGTTTTGGAATTTTCTACAGCTTGTCATTTTTTATGAGATTTGCTAAGCCACCAGGAACATACCTGTCGTTCCTTGTCCATGATCTTGTTTATGTTTTTGTCTCTGCTTAGTCTAGAATGAGTGCGTTTCCAAAAACAACTACAGAGAGCGTGCAGCGCGCCTTGGGTGGGAAAGTCCTCGACGTGGGTGCTGTTGTAAGTCGAAATGTAGCGAAGGAGCTCCACCAGCACGTGGACGCCTGCGTTATGAAAGTGCACAACTCGTGGTCCTCCTGCTCCCCCTCATTAATTTGTCATGCAAAATCTCAAATGCATTCCTTTTCCTATCCCTGCCTTGTGTTGCTTTTGGTACTTCGCGCACGGTAACTTATTTAGACATTCAGATTTGTGAAGCAGAACCTGTCAACATTAATGCTAGCTTTCGTGTGGCTGTAGACACGAAAGCTAAACCTCCACAGCTAATGGTAAGAATGGGGAGGACGAGTTGTCCACTCTCATATGCGTGCGCAAAGAGCGACAGAGCGCCTTTTCCAGTCTCTTGGGCGACAGCGTCTGGGCCACGGCTTCCGCGACGTGGACAGGCACAGGCGAGGAGATGATGAGAACCACAAACTCAAACCATGCAGCGTTTGTTTCCGCAGCGATGCCCGAGCTGCTTTTTCATCCAAGTGGCGCTTCTTTTCCACAGCTCTTCCCGGCAGCATTCGCAGGAGGAGACCTCAGTAGCGTTAACGCGACCGCCGGCCCACCTCCTGGCGGAGGCAACATGGGGATCGCACCGCCTAGTGGTGCCTTTTCTGCTGATCATATGATGCGACAGCCCCTCCTCGGCCCCGGCGGCCTGATGGACCCGGCGTTTATGGATCCGCTGTTGCTACCAGCGCACTTCCCCGGTCTGCTCGGCGCAGCGGCCGGTGCTGGCGGATCGCCTTTTCCGGCTGGAAACGGAAGTGATGCACCCGGCGCCGGACTGCAAAATGAAAATCCAAACCTCGCAGCACCACTACCGGAGGCGTTGCAGATGCAGATGATGCTGCTGGCAGGAGCGGCCGCCGGAGCAGAAGTAGGAGGCGTAGGTGGAACAACGACCACTCTTTTTGGTTCATCTTCTCCGCCACCACCCGGCGCCATGCCAGCGGCCAGCCAATTTTTGATGGCGCAGTATTTAGCCGCGGTGCGGGAAGAGTCGACTGAAGAAAACAAAACGTCTTCCTCCAACGACAAAACGTATTTGCACGCTGGGGCCTCGAGCGAAAAGTCCAGCCGCAGCGGGAATGCCGGCGCCACGTCAACTTCGCGGCCTAGTGCCACGAGTGCCGGCGGGGAATCCTTTCCTGGTTCTCCCATAATCCCCAACTCTCAAGTGGATGATCTTATTTTACTGCAGGCACAACATGATCCGCAGATGACGAGTGCAGCTACTTCTACCCAAGTAGGGAGTAAACCCAAATCAACTAGCTCGGGAACTAAAAACAAAAAAGCGAAGAAGTCGGGTGCAGAAGCAGAGAAAAAAGAGCGGAAGCCGCGGCCTCCCGGACCGGAACGCTTTGAGGCACGAAAATTTTTCTCCGCATCCGCATCGCAAAGCAGCAAGAGCGCCAGCAGTCAGGGCGACCCCCGCGACGGGGGGTCGTCAAGCGCGCAATCGTCTCCCTTTGTCGAAGGCAGAGAGCTCGATGGTCCTCTGGGGGACGAGCAAAAAATGCTAGTACAATCTCGAGCAGACCGAATTGGGAATACAGCAGCGGACGGAACGACCAGGAGTAGCTTCAATACTGGGACAACAACGCCGAAAACAAGCACAAGTCTTTCCGCGACCCCGAAAACTGCGGCAGCTTCTCCGGCTCTGCCGGCAGCATCTTCTACTTTACGTAGTCCTTCTAACATCTTGAGCTACAACTATTCGCCAGCAATGCGGAGTGGGTCGTTTGGCACGGGTGGTGGTGCAGTCGCCGGAGCTGCACCGGGGGGCGGAACAACCACAAATGTAGCACCTTCGTCTCCGACAACGTCCAATCCGGCTTTCAGGCCACCTGAAATTGCCCGCCGCCCTTCGCATAATGACAGCAACTACAACCCCACGACTCCGCCGCCCCCGCCCGCGGCGACGCTGTTGCAGCTTCCAAGCGGCGACTCGAGTCCCTCCGTGCGGCTAAATCGCAGCGGCGGCCCGCTGAAAACTTGGGCGGACTATACCAATCAGAACGACGCGCCGAGCAATGCGAAGACCAAGGGTTGCGTGCACTGGGAGACCACCGGCAAATGCCGACTGGGGGACGCCTGTAATTTCCTGCACTTGCCCGAGAGGCGCGGATCCATGAGCAAAAAGGCCGTGCAGAAGACGAAGCGGTTGGCCAGTCAGACGTCCTCGTCCGGCGGGGGCCTATCGTCTCCGACGGCAGGAGGGGCAGCAAGCAGCAGCAGTTGGCAGAGAGGAGGGGGAAGTAGCTCGAGAATGTGGGAGTGACAACATTGTCGGGGCGGGAGGAGCGATGGTAGCTATATTGAAGTCCAAGCTTTAGCTTTTGCATTCGCTTTTGCTGTTATATATTACAATTGCTACTGCGCATACCTGCTGCGATTCAGGGTCAGGAGAGCAGACTTCGGAGCTCAATAGAAGTTGAAGGCCGCGTCCTGTATCGCACGACGAGGTCTCTCTCGGTGTCTGGCAACATCTTGCTGCAATCGGTTGATATGATTGCTTTTCCATTTGTGTACGAATTTCCTGGCACAGTGACAGTTCACAACTACTTAATAAAAACAAGAAGGAACTTACCTAGTAAAGGAGCTCCTGTGAATCATGTGATGTGACGGTGATTGGAATTGCGTTAGAGGACAGAGTCCTCCTTCTTCATGTTAAGTGCTTCATTGGCCTAGTGCAACGCACAAGGAGTGGCCATGTTGCCTTTTCTCTATCTTCCAGAGGATGCGCGACAGCAGCATCCGAGGTGAAGCCACACGTTAATGCGGCAACCATATCGCTGTTGCTGTTCTACGATGCAGTTGCAGAGCTGTATTTCATTGTTGACCTGTGGATGTCGCGAGCTGTATTCAATCGTTGACCTGTGGAGAACGAGAAGGTCGCCACTGCTCAGAAATGTGAAAAGTCGTACAACGTGAAAGGATTTTTCGAATCAGTATGGTATGGTATCGGTGTGTCATTCCGTTCTATCCCTTTCTCTGCCTGTCGTTTGCGTTCAATGGACACGTCGTCGAAGAGAAAGCCCAATTGAGAAGTACATTGAAACACATTGATTTGTTGCTTCGTCGTGATGTTACTTTCTTAGATAGTTCTTTATCTTCTTGTTCTTGACGATTGAGCTTCTTTTGGCGATGCCTGTCGATATTGTTGAAAGATGCGCCAGCTGCTGGTACAGTTTATGTCTAAGTAGTCTATCGATGTGAAATAGATGTCAGTATTGTCATCTATCCTAGAGCGGCAAGAGGAAGGGCCCGGTGGCGGTGCTGCTATTAGTATTAGCTGTTGCTTGTTGGCTGTAGTAGTATAACCCCCGACAGGAGGGTCGTCCGCCGGCGGCCTCTCCAGCGAAAAAATGAGCGCTACTCCTGGAAGTGTTGCTTCCGCCACTGCGTACTACATGCAGGCGGCGGTTGCTGCACCATCATCCAGCACTGCCCCTCCTGCCGCGGAACAGGAAACGGAAGCGCCAGTAGTGGTGGTGTCCGATGATGTCGTAAAGGACTTCATGATGGAGGACTTTGGGTTGCCCGAGGAATGGTCAGAATACACGTTTACCGGACTCTGCCTCGTGGTCGGCCTGCTATTCGCCTTCCGTGGTCTGAAAATGATGAGACTTGTTTTCTTTCTGGTCGGATTCCTCACTGGCTTTTGGGTGTTCCAGCTGTTTCTGCAGAAAAACCTCCCGAAAACGGTGCCCTCGAGCACAGCGACGCTTCTGCAGTATGGCACTGGACTGCTCTCCGGAATCGCAACCGTCTCGGTCGTTCCGCTTGCCATGTTTTGCCTGGGCGCCCTCTGCTGGTTGCCATTTGCTGGTACTCTTGTGATCTTTGAGGATTAAGAATGAACGGGCGACGCATCTTCACTTTATTTTGCTTGTATTGACGATGACTGCTCTTGTTTCGGACATGGTCGCCGTTCCGGTTGCGCCGCCTGAAATGCTATCGGCGGGGGACCCGCAGCCCATTTGTTTCATTTCTACAACTTGTACGAAGAAAGTACAACTTCCTTGGACAGGCCTCGCATTCCAGCAGATTCTCATGTTTGAGATCGTGATAGAGCAGCTGGAGCACCTGCCCGAGGGCGACGCCTACCTGAATCTGGTGCGGTATGCGTTTCTGGGCATAAGTACCTTTGTCGCCGGGTATCTCGCTTCCAGAAAAGTAGTAGAGAACATGATTTTCATCTGTGCTACCAGTTTCCTTGGGGCCTACCATACCATCCAGAAAATTGCTAGTGCAGGATCTTCGCTTCTGTGATCGCAAAAGAAAAGGGACCTTCGTTGAGACAAGGAAACAATGTATGATAAAGCCAAAGTAAGTTGTAAATTGTAACGTAATCGGTCATTGAAATGTAAGGCGACACAGCGTGTCTCTTCAGGTTTGCAGCGCAGATAGGCTTGCCTATGTATTGCGGTTTGACCTGAGCAGGACAACAACGATGAAAAAGGATTTGCTAGTGATTTTCCGTGTGATTGCCTTGATCTGTCTCGGCTTCAATCACATTTGGCGGGCAACGGAGGGCGAGGGCGAATTTTTCACGCCACTTTTTGAAATGGACGCGCTCATCAAGGAACGGGGGGACGAGGTACAGCCATTTTTTTGTATCATGTATGACCGCTGACTCGATTGATAACCCCATCCATGTCATGAGTCATGACTACAAATTTAGGTTGGTTTGAGTTTCATGTTCTTCATCTTAAAATGGATACAGACACGGAACTACCCGGTTTAAAAAAATCTCGTTTTCAGATGCTCCAGACAGAAAGCGGGGAATTCTGGCTGATGGTGACTATCGGCAAAAAAGATCCATCGATCCCCATCCAATTTATCATGCGAAGAATGCACCAAATACAAATTCATTTTCTCTCACATCCAGTTGCAGTGCCTGTTATGCAGAAAATAGGTGGATTTGGATGTGGTGGGTGTTTTTTCCTGGATAGTGAACGGGCTCGTCGTATCACTTTGGAAAGAGCACGCCGGACTTTTGCAGCGAGTACTACTCCAATTTGAACAGAGCAACAAAAAGGTTTTGGTTGTGCATGCAGTTGTTTCGGGCAGACGTCGCAACAGCGGCATGAGCAAGCAGACGCAGGATACGCTCTCGTCTTCATAGCAGGGGAGTTCGGGGACTGCTGGTTTCAAGGTGATATGCAGGTCTTTCTCTCGCTGGAGTGGTCGTGCAGTTCTTTGGTCTCAAGAAACGAGAGCAGGACTGAAGGGCGTCACGAACCGACGTGGGCGGCAGTGCTGAGGTGCATGATTTCCTTCTTTACGAAGAGCTGCTTCTTCATAACGTTAACGCTGACCTTCACAACGGGAACGCAGGGGAATGGGGCGCCTATTTAGTTTTCCTTGTTCGCCTCTCTGCCTCTTCGTTCTCATGCTGTGAACAACAAGGTCAACCTCCCGGGTTTCATCATGGCACTTCTCTTAATACTTCCAGCTCTACTCGTATTCGCGCGCATTTTACACACGATGATTGTGTACTTCTTCGATTTCTTTAATTTTTCAGCAGATATCGTTGACCTACATAAATAGTCTGTGAGAGCAGGCTTCTTTACACGTACGCGCACCGTAAGAGGTGTGGTCGTGCATGTTGCCATTCATTTTCACAGTGAAGAGGGCAACGTGAAGGCGTCACTCTCGGGCATGACCTCGCGTGTCGCGTGCCGCAACTGTAACGCGTTGCCACCGTAAAGATGTCGTCGTGTGAATTGACATCCACGATAAAAGAGCGGCTACGATAACAAAATACAAATAGAAGTGAATGGCGGGAGAGTGAAGTAGTAGCACAGGATGTGGCTCCTCTTTGTAACGAACGCAGTTGCGATCGCAAGGCAGAACATATGCAAAAAATGGGAAAGCACTCGATGCACAAAAGCAAAAGCATCGATCTCGTACAACAAAGTTGATAGTCCACCTTCTTTCCAGTGGAAGTTCGATGAGTCAGATGAAGCTCTATGATGTAGTTTTGGGATGTTCTTCGAGGTAGAAATTGGACAAAAAGAAAATAATAGATACATAATTCCTTGCAGCTCTTGTTCTCCCGACCCTGGTCGGTGCCCTAAAGCCAGCAGGACGTTCGGAAACATATTGCGTGCGTGCGAGGTGGACCACGAGAGGGGGACGGCACAACGAGAGGACGCCTGAGGTGGCCGATTAGTTACGACCTAATATGGTATATCAAGGATAGTGTGGACCCTGATGTTCGTTGCACAACCTCAGCTGTAAGCACGGGGCTTCGTTTTCACTTCCCGAAGAGTGGTTTTCTGGATGTGAATGCATTTTGATTTTTTAAAAATTGTTTAATCTCTAATATGAAATTCTCACTCTACGTCGCGGACATATAAACGAATAGGAATATTGCTCTTTGTCACGAGGGCAGCAGCTTTTTCGCACGAAGTTTCGCGCGAATGTTTGCGGGACCAGGCCAAGGGAGCATCGGGGCCGGCGGGTCCTTCTCGTTTCCAGGTCCTCCGCGCCCCCGTGCTTTCGCAGCATCGTGCCTGCTCTATACCACCTGTGTGAAGTTAGATACGCAGTTGATTTCCACTGTGTCGGCGTATGATAAATCGTCTCAGAGGAGTCTTCGGGGCCAGCAGCAGAAAAATCTGTACGAAGTCGATGGCGCCACCGGCGACGCGACTCCCAACAAGCAGGGCTCCGATGAAACTATGGAGATATTGCAGGTATTATAGGGCCCGTTGCGAAACAAGACCGGCTGCGCCGAAAAATGAAAAAGTTCTTTGCAAATCATTATTTTTCAAAACACTAAATACGAAGAGCGCAGGAGCGCCTTCTTGTCTTTGTAAATCGCGTCCCCAGATGAAGATTTTCCAAAAATCATTGTCTTCAGGAGGGGGAAACAAGCCTGGCCTCTGCAGTGCAAGTCCACGTGAAGGGCCTGGAGGAGTCCTGGGAAGAGGCCCAAGAGGCGTTGGGCGAGGAAGCCCCCGAACACAACATGGACGAGCTGAAATACCAGAATATTCCCTGAAAATCAACCATCCCCATCCACTTTTTGCATGACAAACACAGAACTTTCTACATCGTTTGCATGGCAAACTGGGTGGCGATGGTTAATTTTCACGGAATACAGAATGCCTACAACGAATGGACCGGCAGTTGGATGAGCTGCAGGCCGAGCTGGATGTACCCACAATACTTCTGCGTGCACACCGAAGAGTCCTACAACAAGCTGAAGGAATTGGCTGAAAAAGCGGAAAAGGCTTACAAAGAGCGCTGCCCGCACGGACCGACGCCGGACGCAAATTGCAACTCCCTTCCGGGCTATGAAGTGTAAAAGTGTCTGGGTCTGGAAGAGTCATGCTGTTTTTGCATGACACAGAAGGTCTGGCATGGAAGCTCTAGCATCACAGGTTTCTAGAACCTTCCGCAATGCCGAATCCGCATGACAAGTCCCCTATTTTGCTGACAAAAAGTGGGAGCTTCTGCTGCGTATTCATGAGAGACTTTTTTGTGTTCTGAAACTGAAATACGCATTACAAGTTGCATTCTTCCAGACCCAGACATTTTTGCATTTGATACGGGCGTGCCGCCCGCCTCGGAGTACGAAGCGGAGCCCGAGGGCGTTCACAATGGCATGGTCATCTTTATGGGACTCCCAAACGTCACATTCTCAACTGTTACATGAATTTGTCATGCAAAACGCACAGCAGCACCCACACGATAAAGCTACTTCGCATGACAAATTTTTGAAGGACTAAACAGCATGAAAATCCGTGCCAAATTTGTAATGCGAGATGTGCACGCTCCCTTCTTTTATTTTTCCTATTCTTGCGTCCGAGATTCTGATTCATGTACCAGTTGAGAATGTAACGCTTGAGAACTCCATAAAATTTAAAGGGTCGGCCAGTTTTCCGGTCTGCAAATTGATTACCGGTGGAGGTGCGGAGAGTCAGATCAGCATTTCTGAGCAGGCGTTCTACTGGAAAAAAGGTCGTGCTTTACAAGATGACTTTTTTCAGCTTCGCCTAATTGTAAATATCAGATGTCGTCGCTAGTGGCTTGTTTATCGCGGTTTTTTCAACATTGTTCCTGACATTGACCTTGAGATTATTAAGTAGTACTATGCTTATGCACTCGAACAAAAACGACAACCACAACTTCAAGGCTCGGTCTACGACTACGCCAGCAACGAGGGCAGCGTAAAGAAGAAGTGCAACGATAAGGCCTTGGTAACGGCGCAGAAATTTTGCCTCCAGAACGGCGCCACAACGTCTGGCATCAACTGCAAACTATCGTCTCGGGTGTATGGAAGTAGATTGTGTGCTTTGTCATGCAGGAGGTTTATTCACACGACCGACGACGACTCTGACACTAACCCAGATGGTTTGGAATACGGGCGCCAGCGTCACAAGTTCTGAGAAGCCTCCTCGATGCCTATCGTCCTGCATGACAAATGGCATCTTCGAGTGGCCAAAAGTGGGCGCCTTTGCTGGTCATGCAATAAGTACAGAGTCATTTTTTTGTCGACCAGACCTAGCAGCACAATCTCGGAGAAGTCTTCCAGACCCACACGACATATTTCCAATGCATATCTGGTCCTGACAAGGGAAGATGGGGCACGCGCCAGTTTGGAGAGCAGATCACGTCGGATGTGTGCGACGGTGGGTCGGATGTGTACGTGGCGGGGAGTCCCGAGAAGGCCGAGTTCTGTAAGTACAAGGAAAACGGAGGGGCGAGCGTGACTCTTTTCCTGGGGTGCGTGCCCGCGGTACCCCGGATTACGTGCGAAAGTCTCGAGCAGAGTCACGGGATCTGCGACGACAACAGAATGTGGCTCATCGCACACGAAGACGGGCAACCGCGCAACTATTGCCGGGGAGCGGGAGCGCTGAACGACCCGGAGGGCCATTGCGTGGACACGTGCTGCACCAGCCCGGAAGACAAGCAAAACAACTACAAGTGCATATTGCAAGGAAAGGTCCCGCCTCCCCACATTGAAAAGAACGCATGATCCTTCTGAAAATTTGTGATGCAGATTTGCGACCACAAAGACAAATCCTGTCACTCTTGCAAGAAGTAGGCAAATCCAGAGAGTTCGCCGCGTTATGCAGGCGGTTTGTGATGCTGTAAGGTTTACAGGGCAGACGTCTTCCATGCTAGGCGCCTACATGAAAAGGCCCCGACCTAGGGTCGCGCTCTGCGTTCAGTCCTTTACTGCAGCACAGATCTGATTCGTGTACACAAATGGATGCCGCAGCATGATAAGATATGGGGAGGGGGGATTTTTCATTCTGATAGTGCAAATGGCTGCAGGATCTCGACCACAACCTCTGCAATGACAGCGGAGGGTTCAATGACGATGACCAGAATGCGATTACGTTGTACGACAGGAAAGACCCGGGGATTGCCAAGATCAGCTGCTGTAAGGACGGACGCGCTTCTATGGAGTTCTCAAACGTTACACGCTCAACTGTTACATGAGTTTGAATTTGTATCTGCACAGGGCTACATAAAGCCCCCGCAGGGGCAGGGGCTAACGCAGGAGGAGAAGGAGAAGAGAGTTGAGGAGCTGCAAGTAGTACTTCACACGATACAGAGCGGCTTCTCAGGCAAAACGATGTTGGCGACAGGCGATTACAATTCGGAGGCGAAGGTGAGAAGGTGGCAGGAGTGCAGAAGCGGAGTGGTGCAAGACCTACTCCCAACGACGCCTAGCAGGGTTGCGGCGGAAGCCCAGACCAGGCCGGACGTGGCTTTCATCCGAGACCGGGGGACGAAAAAGGCGACAGCAAAAACAGTACAGCCGCAGTACGTGCTGTCGGACCATCTGGGTATCTGGGTCGAGGTCAAAAGCTCGGCGTTCACGAAACGGGTATTGCCGGAGCTACCTCCCACTGCAGAGCAGCGGATGCGAGCGCCGATAAAGATGACTGAGGACCAGAAACGCACTCTGAAGGACAGCATGGTGGAGATGGCCAATGACCACAGCAAGCATCTCCACCTTGCACGCGACCTCGCCAAGGCGATGGGGACAGCCCGCATAACAAAATCTGCAACCATCCCGAGGGAGCGGCAAGCACTGCTCATGGACACCAAGGCGGGGAGGATCATCCTTGATCCAGGTGAAATCGCTAGAACAAGGGAGAAGAGGTTCAGAAGAAAAGAGCCCCACGGTGGTGACCCAGTTTCCCACGCGAAGATAATGGAGTTGATAAACGCTGGCCCAAGTGCCAAAGTCGAGTGGAAGTCAGGCGCACTGGAGAGGGCGCTCGCAGCGGTGTTCCCGGCCCGCAGTCCTGGTCTCTCCGGGATACGCCCCGAGCAGGTGAGAGAGGTGCCGTTGGAGTATTGGAAGAGATGGGTTGCGGAACAACAGGACGCATACAATGAGATGCGACCAATGGCCTTCGAGAAGAGTAATTTAATTTCTGCGGTTCCCAAGGTCCAGGAGAAGATGGGACTAGTGGAGAACGAACGCCCGGTGGCGCTGCCTGACGCTCCGGACAAAGTCCCGGAGGGGCTTCTACTCGAGGAGCTTTTCAAGATCGCCAAGGAGGTGGTGGAGCAGTCGGCGTACCTCCCAGGAAAGTCCGCTGACGTATCACTCTACAGAGCAGTGAGGCACTTCAGGACGAGAACCGCAGGGCGCACCAAATACGCCAGAAAAGCCGACGTTGAAGGCGGTTTTGAAAATGTGCTGTTTTCGGAGATGGTGAAAAGACTCCAAAAGCGAGGCGCGTCGAAGGAGCTCTGCTACCAGATATACGAATGGCTCCGGGGTCGCTGTCACGCAATACTAGTGGACGGCGCGATAGTTATCCGCTGGACGCCAATAGTCGGAATGGGCCAAGGCCCCAGGCTCCCACCGGCCTTGTGGGTTGTCTACTTGGCGGATTCCATCGACCAGCTGGACAGGTCCATCGTCCAGCTCTTGCCAGAGGTATTCGCCGACGATGTTCTCCTCCTCTTCGATTTCGACGGCGGAAAGGTGGAGGAGGAAAAGGCGGCAGCTGAGGCGCACATTACCGACTGGCAGCGGCATACGGGACTCACCTTCGGCAAAGTAGAGTGGTTGAAGGCCACAAGAGGCAGCGCGGGCGACAGCAGCTTTTTCGAATATCTCGGCTTCATTCTGCAGAGTTGCGGAAGGACGGAGCGAGAGGTCGACCGCAGGCAGGTGAAGATCCTGGCGAAAGCGAAAACGCGTGCGAACCAGACCAAGGAGGAGCGTATCCCGGCGGAAGACGTCAAGTTCTTTAACGAGCAATGCCGGAGTCACCTCAACTACGCCGCCGCGGCACTTTATGAAGGCCTGCAGGAGGACAAGGCAGCACAGAAAGAGCTGCGAAACACGGTCGCAAAGGCGCTGCGATCCTCGCTTGGACTGTCGTCTCTCTTCCCGGTCCAGGCCTCGTTTGACCTGATAGGCATGGGCTGCCCGCTGGATAACTTGCAAGTGGAACATGAGACGATGAAGTATTTCCTGATGGGCGAAGCGAAAGGGCATGCAGTCTCCGCTGGGGGACTGCACCAGCAGCCGGAGTGGTTCGACGAGAGTAGGATCAAGATCTTCACGTCCAAGAAGGTCTACGCCCGATTCGACATACAGCACGGCCAGGAGCAAGACTTGGCGATGGCCATGGAGCAACAGCTATGCCCAATGCCGGTGCCACCGGAAGAACTCCGGGCGAGCTGCGATGGCGGCAAACTGGGAGGCAGCGGGACAAGCCGGAAATCGCAGCGGGCCAACTGCTTCTACGAAACGACGGAAGACCAGCAAGCAGTAACGTTTCGGGTCTGGACCGAATTCCCCCAATTTGATGTTGAGGCAATAGCGCTGGACCAGTTACTGCTGATCATCGACGAGGCGCTGCAGGATGGGCATACAGTAGTCAGAATCTTCACCGACGCTAATGGTGTGCTGCAAGCCTTGGAAAACAGCTGCAGCAGGTTGGAATACATGACGAAGATAAGGCAGGGGATCAACAAGATCCTCGTGAACCACCTGGGCACCACGGTGGAAATTTTCTGGGTGCCGTCCCACCGGGGCTTCCGACTTAATGTCATTGCAGACGGCCTGGGGCAGCTAGAAGACAGCCCGGAAGATGTGGTGTGTGAACCTATTTCGAAGCAGCGGGTCAAGCTCATTGCGCGGGAGGAGCGCAAAAGCTCCCACGAAGCAGTGGAAGCAGAGGCAGACCGGGACGTGACTACCCTACACCGGGCGTCGAGGGTCCGGGCGCTAGGGAGATTGGAGCTAGCGGGGCTAAACGAAGCGCAGCAGCGGGTCGCTTTGTCGCTTTGGTCGGGAGAATCGTTTTTACCGGCAACGATGGTCAAACGATGTCCACGGGGATGGCCAGTGTGCCGCCTCTGTGGCGGCGACGTCAAGGTGAAGCGGGTCCAGGGAGGCTCTTGGATCAAGGGCTTCAAGGAGGATGACGAAGACCAAGATGTGCGGAAGTTTTCCAGAATAGTGGACCACCTCCTAGTGGAGTGCCCCGCAGTCCCGGAAGCTGCCAAATACGCAGGCAAGCATGCGCCAAGGGTGATCCAGAAATGCCCCAAGACGCACATGAACAGGCTAATAGACGCGACCCAGCAGCCGGAGAATAAGATCAGCCTATCGCACTGCTGGCCGTACAAGACGAGGAGTGACAAGCCGACCAGGGCCGAGGAGATGGCGGCGGTCCCGCGGGCGTGGTTGCAGGAGGGGAAGGAGGCGCTGAAAAGGAGGAAGCTAGACGGCGCTGGTGCGGAGCAGGCGGGTGACTGAGGGGGTGAAAGAAGTATTCGCACCAGGATGGGGCGAGGCAAGATCAGAGGGAAGATGTTTCTGCAGACCTGGCAAGACGGGTCAGTAGTTGGCGATGCAGTGACAACAAGGATCACCACTTCAGCCTGCTCCTGTATCGGATCCATCCAAGCAAGGAATAGTAGTAATGAAGATCAGGATTCTTGAGCGCGCTGCCTTGCGCAGTGCTACTTCCCATCCAGAGGTCGTAATGCTCGAATTGATCCAAGATGTTGTTCCGCACAAGATCGAAAATCGCGTGCAGCAGAAGTCTGTTCCACACACAAGCAGTGCCAGCAGGTCTTACAAGAAGATACTGACGATCCAGCATGTTTGTTTTTCTCCAGAAGCAACACCCTTTTTCTTTTGCGGTTCCCTCTCACTGAAGCCGATCCTTTTTGACGGGAAAGGAAGTAGCAGGCGAACCTACGGTTCCCGTTTTTCAATATTGCAGCGACTACTCTCACCGCAACCGTGCTACTGGAGAAGTCGGCGCTTCTCCTACTTTCGGGTACAGAGCCACTAATGAAGCGATGCAGGACATCAAAGGCGCAAATAAGAAGCAAAAGTAGACCCACTACCAAATCCAGGAGTGCAGCGAAACAAATAGTCAGGCGCCGAGCAATGCGGTGCAGCAGTAGGGTTTAAGGGTTAGGGCTAGGGTAAAGGGGGGCAACTGGGAGATGCAGGGCATAACTCCGTGTTTTCCTGTGTCTCTTGGTGGCGTTTACGTACCACTGCCAGAGCTCAGGCTCAGGTGGGGTCGGCAGGAAGGGCAAGAAGAGGAGTCTTGCTTAGGACCTGCCATTTCTATGGCGCCTGTTCTGACGCAAGGAAGGGCAAGCAGAGGCGGCTTGCTTAGGACCTTGCGGTTGTGCGGAGGTTGATAGGTGCAGTACGGATGAGGAGGTAGTATTGCGCCTTTCTGAAGCCAGGGCTGATAGTTGGCTCCGGCTGACATTCTCCCAGGCAACTCCCCGAGTTTGACTGGTTCACAGCTAAAAAGGGTTTTGTTTCATCAAGCTCCGGTGGTGATAAGTTGAAACACTATTCGCCAGCTATTCACAAGCAGGAACATAGAAAGTACGCTAAACAGTTACTCGCTCGCCTGAAGAAGCGAGCACCCGATTGAATTTGTATCTGCAAGGGGAGCAAAAGCAAAATCAAAATTGGGGAGCGGGAGCCTGCTGCTCCTCTCGCATTACAGATTTGGCATAGATTGATTTCCATGCTGTTTCTTGGCCCTTCGAGAATTTGTCATGCGAAGCAGCTTGATCGAGATTGCGATCGTCATCGTGTAGATCTTCGCGACAAATCATGTAACAGTTGAGATTTGACCGCTTGGGAATCCCATAGAATCGAACAAAGTGGTCGCCCCTGGGCATCCGGAAACCTGTGCAGACCTCCAAGCCGGCAAGTACGATGACAAGTACGGGATCAAGAGCCACAATATTCCCTGAAAATTAACCATCACCATCTACTTTTTGCATGACAGACACAGAATTTCCTACATGTTTTGCATGACAAATTGAATGGGGGCTTGAGCTGCGCAGTCTGTTAAGCATGACAAATTGGATGGGGGTGGTTAGTTTTGTTTCAGGGAATACACGACTGGTGCAGCGACGGAACATCCTGGAGGTGGTCGGAATCCAAGGAGCATGCATCCGTCAACTCCGTTATCTACTGGCATATCCCCAGTGGCGAAAGGACGAACCGCGAGCCTGCCATGAAGTACCACTTTCGGCAGATCTGCTGCGAGAAGGTCTAGGTCAGTGCGGCTGCAAGCGAAGCGGTTGCGGCACGACACCTACTTGGACGTAAAGCAAGAAATCGGGGGTACGATAATGATAAAATGCAAAGTACGAATCAACATCAAGCACCAACCACACTCAATTCATTTTTAATCACGTTTCATCATATTACCTAATAAAGACAGATAGAAAAAGACAAAAGATTCCGAATACGCGACAATGTGGTCTCTTCATCTTATCAAATGTAAATGTGGTCAAACATCTTCACATTGACATTCGAAAAAAATCAATTTGAGACATATGTAGGAGCGGCACAGATTGTGACTAAAGTCATCAAGTGTGAACGATCTGCTCAGCAACATAGAGAAATAAGCGATGAAATAACTTTCGAAGTACTACCGCAGTGCTCCGACGGGTTCGGAATTCGTATCGTTGAGAGATACTTTTGACTTTCAAATTTTGATAGCTTCGGTACCTGGATTCGTGCTTCGGTGAGAGACTAGGTTCGGAGTTCGTACTGGACAGGAACAAGAACGGAAAAGCATCGTTCCAACACCGACAAGAACTACACCAGAAAGCGATAGTGTCGTTCTACTTCTATCCGCTCGTGCGACTACTTCTACACTTGATTATTGTTTCGTTGGAGGTAGTTTGAGTTTCAATATTGTGTCTTCTCCTGTCTTCACCTCTTCACATCTTTTCCCTACAAGCAGGTCCTCAACAATTTTTATCGCACTCATTCTGAAGAGAGCTGCTTGTACCCCTATGTATTTGTAATTCCCCGTACTTGTACGAAAAAGAAGATACTGAGAGAAAAACTGCGATACAGAAAAAAATTTGAAATTTTGACTCGCCGAGGCGAACAGTATTTGAGTGCGGTTGCCGCAACGACTTGCAGTCAAAGACATGCCGCAATGGGCGGCCAGAGCAGGTAAGTAGGTGGTCGAGGTGGCGACCGTTAGGCAGGGACTGGAATCAAGTCCAGCGAATATATCTCATTTTTTTGATGCAAAGTGAGCACTTTTGGAAGACAGCTGAAGCGAAACACTTGGCCAGTTGGAAAACTGTGATACAGCAGATCGCGGTAGTGCTCGCACGAGTACACTGCGCTGCTGTATCACACTTTTACAAAACCACCATAGCACCGGCGTTAGCTTCCGCTTAGTGAAATTGTAAAAGTGTGATACAGCAGCTCGACCGAGGTACTCGCCGGAGTACTCGACGGAAAAACTCAGCGCCTTCGTTGGCGTCACGCAAAAAATACGATAACGCGTCGCAAATTCAATTTCATTCCCCATGGTGTGGTGGGTTTAGGTCTGCCCAATCTTGGTGGGCCGCTTTTCGTCGTTCGGAGCCTGCAACCAGCTGACGACTTTGCAATGTCGCTCTGTCGACCAAATGCAAAGTAGTTTAACCGTATCCGCAGCGTTGCTGCGAATCAAAATTTCAAATTTTTTCCTGTATCACAGTTTTTCTCTGAGTAGAAGAAGTCATCGCTACAATAATCTGCACCTCTTTGTGTTGGTCTCCCCCTCTCGCTTTACCAAACAAGCACGAGGGATTCTTTTACGCTTACGCAGAAATTTTGCCCTGTTCCAGCACTAATTTTTGCGTATCTACGGGATTTTGTACCCGTACCCGTGATACCTGTGAGTGTGAAACTCGGGGTCTTCGAGTTCATTTTATGCCCTAGTGTTACAGTTACCCATTCCCATTCATTCATCCGAGCTTGTGTGGCTTTTATCTATCTGGTTTTTGTCTGTGTGAGAGGTGCAGCAATGTGCCGCACCAGGTCGTTGATGTAGAACTCAACAGTGTCGATTGCAGCACTCGTGTAATATGAATTTCAATTCTTACCAACTGGGTCTCTAATTTAAAGTCCCTGGCCGTGTGCTGCCCGCATGTGATTTTGACAACATAGTTGAAAAGAACAAGAAGACGAGTGGCTGGAAATCAGCATCATCATAAATCGTCCGCGGGCGCGAATCCATCGCACGTGCTGGAAGATTGGCACTAAAGCCACGTCCTCGTCAAGCTGTGCGTAATATCCTAAGAATCTTCGTCACCAGCCGCACCTCCAAGCCCGAAATCGAACATGGACGGCAGGAGTAACATGAGTTCCGTATCGGAACCCGTGTCGGTCGACGACCTTGAGGCTATCCTGCGAGATTGGAACATCGAAGATGGGGACCAGGTAATAAGATTATGCTGGCAGCTTGTTCATGTACTAGTAAAAAAGATTGCGACTATAATATTCTTGGTTGTACATGGTTGCACAACAGTTTAAGATGGGATTTTAACACTTCATAGCTTGATCACGTTCACGCATCGTTCATGATCGACCTACAGGTCCTTTCGGTAAGCAGTTCTCGGGGCGGCGCAGTGGCAGCCGCCGCGGCCGCCCTCCATTCGGACGAGGAGGGCGGGACGGGTGCAATCGATGTGGATAGTTGGACGAGCGAGTTGATGGGCCAGCTGTCAAATTGTCAAAATGACCACACCATGGCCACAGAAGCGATCAAGCAATTCCTCAGGGCCTTCGAGACACAGGCGACAAACGCGGCAACCACTCGCAGCAAAAGTTTGGCGAACGCCAATCGGATTTTGCTAAAAACCCTGCAGCGAATACACCACAACCACAAACAAGTCACCAACAGTCTGCCGCAGCTGCAAAAGCAGGTAAGTCGTATTAAGTACCAGAGGAACGATCCTTGCGCTGTGGGAAAATCTTTACAGAATTTGAATTGCTGCTAGTACGTCATCAATTTTCTAGAGCATGTGCGAAAATTATCAAACAAGGTTGACAGAGGAAATCCACTTGCTGCACGAATGTATTGGGCACCAGGGTGTACATGAAATGTCAATTCGAAGATGCTCATGCTGCTGGTGGTGCAACAGCAGCTGTAGAAGTGGCATTACCACAAGCACAACTACATCACAAAATATCAGCGATTCCAATCAATCACAATTATGAATTATCCTTCGCTCCACATAAAGAACGAAACATCTAAATTTTACTTCAGGTCGAAGAGCAACGGACACGAGCAGAAGTCGCAGAGAGCAGGTGCAAGGTGCTCGAGCTTCACCTGCAGCGAGCCATGTCCATGAGTGACACGCACCACCAAACAAGATTTGACATTTAGCGCCGACTGCTGCTCTCCACGACCTGAAGACGCTCCTTCTGTTTCACCCTTGTTTTCTGCACACGAACTACTGCTCGCAGTGATTTATCCCCTGCCCTCCGGCACGCAGTTCTTGCAGTTTAATATCGTCCCTGGCAGTCGCGAAACTAGTGATATTCTACCGTCGCCGCACAAATAAAGAGGGCACGTAGAAGGAAATATTGTAGGACTACGAGTTCCTCGTCCTCGACGAGGAGGGAGGATGAGAAAAGAGAAGTGCAAAAAATCGTTACCAAGATTTTGCGAACAGGAACAGGACCTCTCGTAGTTGACGTACAGGCAAAGGTTCCATCTCCGGCGTCGACACCGGCTCGACTGAATGTTTCTGCGCAGAATTTTTAATGGGAACTAGAACTGCAACTCCGAAAAACGAAAACGGCAAACAAATTCAAATCGTTTCCATCGTCCGAATGTACTTGTACAGGAACAGGCACCAGGCCATGACGGAGCGGGCAGAATCGGACGGCGACAGTTGCGCGAATAATTTTTACCACCTCATCAACCGCGGCCAAGACCGACAAGGAAGTCCAGTGCGCTGAGTTGTGTGCCGAAAATGCACAAAAACGAAACAACCACAGCAGCACATCAGCGAAGAGGGGACGAAAGAAACTCGGACAAGAAGCCCTTTCGGCCTTTTCGCGCGTCTGGCGCCTTTTCACGCGGGCGGCCAGTGCACAGTTTTCCACAACACAACAGGATTTTTAGTTGGTGTTGTCGAAGAACTTTCATTTGGGCCAGAATAGCAATCTGAATCTTCCGTGTTGCCTTTTTGGACCACTAGAGTTTTCAGTTCCGAGTCTGCGACCACCTTGCAGCTCCTTTATGAAGAGTGCTTTTTGTCATCAACATCATTTGTCATGAGGTGTCATTTTCTTGATTGACCAAGAGCTAGCTAACCAAGTTTTCTGCTTCTGAATCTTCCACATGTTTTTTACTGGACGGTTATGTAGTAAAACGAACACGAAGATGAACACGCTGGCTGCCCTCCTCAATGTTAAGTAGCGGAGACGAGCTCGCCAACGAATTTTCAACACAACAAGTAGCGACGGACGTCGACCTCTTTCTCACCTGTTAAAATACTTTCAACAAGCTGCAAGAGTAAGAAAGAGCTTTGAAGTGCAAGGAACGATTTCCACCGGATTGTCTAGAGCTCGCGTGAGCTGTGCTGTTGTCATACGAAAAGAGAAGTACCCCGATTCCACGTTGCATTCAAGCTTTCAACAAAAAAAACGCAAAATTGTGTTGTACATTCAGGAGCAGCGAATGCCCATGCGAAAGCCTTTGCCTCAGGAATCACGGCAGGCCGTATTTTTCTCTGCGGCGATCGATAAAGTGTTCGCGTTTTGGTTCTTCGTTTTACTTGCTCCCTTCATTCTTGTGTGGCGCAGCTGTGACTGCTTATGAGTTGTGAGAGTCGTGGTCGAGATTGTGAAACAAAACGGCACCTGCTGTCATTGGGCAGCTTTGGAATCATTGTCACTGTGTCATCTTCAGTGCTCATTTGGTACTGGTTGCGAATTTGTACATCAGAGTAAGTTTTGTGGTATTCATTATCAGTTGTGGAATAGTAAAATAAAAGAAAAACAAACAAATTATAGGATAGTTCTTCGCATTGCCATCCCGCTTCCAATGAGTCGGACACAAAAATTTCAGCCGCTCTATAGGTATAGAAGAAGTATTTGATTCTCCCTCTTCGGCCTCCGTCGGTTTGTCTGCGCAATTGTTATCTCTACGCAACCAGAGTCCGATGGTCTCAAGCAAGCGCACGGGCGGGCGTTCCTCAACTTTTTCCACCCAGAAACCGGTCTTTTCATCCAGCGGCGACCCCTCGTCCTTGAGCAAGATGGTGCAGATAAAGCAGCATCCCCAGGCCCCGTTTCCCTCCCCCACAGGAAGCTCGTACCTGGATCGCATCCCGAGTAACAAGAAGCAGCGCATCATGGAGCTGGCCCACGAAATACGATCTTCTCGTCGCGGCAGCGGGGAGGATGGTGGTTCTTGTTCTACAGTAGACAACGTCGGCTCCTTTCTCGACACCGTAGAGTCTGCCGAGAAAATCACAGAGCTCGAGCGCAAGCTGGCAGCCTCGAACGCGCGCATCGTTGAGCAGGAGGAGCAGGTGCTGGCCCTGTTAGAAGCGAAGCGGCAGGACGCGCTGCGGGTTCGGGAGGACGTGAACAAGTTGCAGCTGAAGATTGCCTATGCACTGCAAAAGTATCTTCGCACTCGTACAAATGCAAGGCTTGCATTGCAAATCTTGTACCCAAGGCAAATCAGCACGACAAATTCCATTTTTCATGCTGAGGGAATTTGTCATGCGATTTCTTTTTCTACTCTAGTGCGATGCTTTTGCGTTTCATATCGCCGACTTGACCAAGGAAAACCAGCAACTGGGGCTGCAATTTGACGCCGCGGCGCGGGAGCAGAAACAGGCAGAAAAGGTGCAGGAGAAGCAGCGCCGGCAGCTGCGCATCGAGCACGGCCACGGGGAAGAATTGCGCGAGTTGCTGGTAGAAATGCTCGAGCAGGCGGAATTTTGGAAGGCACGAGCGGGCGACGGCGCGTTGTGGCGTCAAAGACTGCAAAAAGTGTTGGGGGGAATCCGGAATTCCGCTCTGGAAGGCGGCGGCTCTGACGAGCTGCCGCTCGGCGTCGGCAATGAAGCTGGTGGTTTTGTTGGCAATCCCACAGGAAATAATTTCAATCCGGTCCCGGGGGACGAAACGACCATTGCACCCAGCAGCCGAAACGCAAGCCCCGCGAAGGGAAATGCGGGGCCAAGTAAGGGGAACTGCTGGGATCGACCACAATGGGCTGATTCGGTACGGATGATGAATTATCCGCGTTTGTTCTTGTTGTACGCTCTTTTCCTTGTCGAGTTGGAAAGTTGTTTGTAGTTGTAGAAATTTTTAGAAAAGTTGAAAGAGTAAGCGCTACTTACTTCTGACTCACGTCCGGAACAACGTAGAAAGATAGAACGTTAGACAGTAAAAGCTCGGTCCCCGCCTTAAGTGGCGAGTGCCCTTTACTTAAATTATTTTTTGTCGTTTTCTAGACAGGCATGTCTAGAAAAAAAAAATATTATAGAACTTCTAAAAACGCTATAGAGATTCTCACGCATAGACATTCTGACTCTCATAGATGTTCTCGCTGCTCTTTGTTGAAAACAATAATTGGCACACGGTGCGCGCTTCGGATTTTTGTTTTGGAGGGGCGCGGGCGTCCTCTCGTATTCTGCCTGCGCTTGGCGCCGGGAAAATGGCATTGCGCCTACCGCGCGCGCTTCCCTAGGCGCCGTCGCTGACAGTGGTGATGGTATGCGCGTGCCCATTCTGTATTGCTCTGTGGCCGGGAGAAAAATTTGGAGCGCCGCGCGCACGCAGACACCCTGGCCCGAGCAGGGGGCGGATGCTTCCTTATTTCCTTTTGCTATCAGGGGCCGGCCGAAAAAAAATTTTCGCGCGCGCCGCGCCCACTCAGGCGCGCGCCATGACCGGGCAGGCGTAGAGGCCCTTCCCTATGCGTGCCCGGTAGCCGCGCGCTTGCCGAGAATTTTTTTTCGTGCACAGCGCATGCGCAAGCGCTTTGGCCTGAGGGCGTGGAAGGTATTCTTTCGTGTCCGGAAACCCGGGGCGGGCCGGAAAAATATTCTGCGAGCGCGCGCTGCGTGTGCGCAGACGCCTTGGCGGGGGGGCGCGGAGCGAATGTTTTTTGCGCGTCCAGCAGCGAGGGCGGCGCGCCGGAAAAAAAAAAGTTGCGCGCGCGCGCATGCGCATGCGCCCCGACCTGAAGGCGCGGAAGCCTTTGGTCGTTCCCAGCTATCGAGGGCCGCCCGATCGAAAAAAGTCTTTCGCCCGTTGCGCGCCCGCAGACGCCTTTGCCTGTCTGAGGGCGGTTGGGTTTTTTTCGCGTCCTCCAGGCGGGGCCTCGGCGGCAAATATTTGTCGTGCGCTCGCTGCGCGCGCGCAGGCGCCTCGGCCTCGGGGCGCGGAAGGTTTTCGGTGCGTTCGGCAGTCGGGGGCCGTCCGGGAAAAAGTTTGCGCGTGTTGCGCGCACGCAGACCGCCCTGGCCTTGGGTGAGCGTGGGAGGTGCCTCTCCATGGCCGGCTAAAAGGCGTTGACCGGAAAAAACCTCGCGTGGGTGCGCCGCGCGCATCCTCACCATGTACGGCGTCAGGGTGTGGGCTGTTTTATTTTTTTCGCGCCCCGCGATCGGGGGCCGGCCGGTAAAAAATTTTCCGCGCGCACAGCGCGCGCACGCCTTGGCCCGAGGGTGTAGAAGATCTTTTGCTCGCCCGGTGGTCGGGGGCTTGTCGAGAAAAATTTTTCGCGAGCCGCGCGCGCACAGTAGTTTTCTTTTGGCCCACAGGCGAGGAAAGTCTTTTCCGCAACCGGGCGCCAGTTGAAAACAAATTTTCGCGCGCGCGCGCCTGCGCGCGCGTCTTCCTTGGCCTGAGGGCGTGCGTAGACGCTCTTTTTCACGCCCGGCGGGGGTCGGGGGCCTGTCGAGAAAAAATTATCGCGCGTTGCGCGCGCGCGGGCACATTAGTTTTCTTTTGGCCCGTAGGCGATGAAATTTTTTCTCGCAACCGGGGGCCAGCTGAAAAAAAATTTTCGCGCGCGCGCGCGGAGCGCGCGCGTCTTCCTTGGCCTGAGGGCGTGCCTGGGCGCTCTTCTTCACGCCCGGCGGCCGGGGGCCTGTCGAGAAAATATTTTCGCGCGTTGCGCGCGCGCGGGCACATTAGTTTTCTTTTGGCCCGTAGACGAGGAATTTTTTTTCCGCAACCGGGGGCAAGCTGAAAAAAGACTTTAGCGCGCGCGCGCGCCTTCCTTGGCCCGCGGGCGTGCGTGGAAGGTTTTCTTCTCACCCGGAGGTCGGGGGCTTGTCGAGAAAAAATTTTCGCGCGCTGCGCGCGCGCGGACGCATTAGTTTTCTTTTGGCCCGTAGGCGAAGAAATTTTTTTCCGCAACCGGGGGCCAGCTGAAAAAAAACTTTAGCGCGCGCGCGCTGCGCGCGCGCGCCTTCCTTGGCCCGAGGGCGTGCCTGCGTGGAAGGTTTTCTTCTCACCCGGAGGTCGGGGGCTTGTCGAGAAAAAATTCCCGCGCGCTGCGCGCGCGCGGACGCGTTAGTTTTCTTTTGGCCCGTAGGCGAGGAAATTTTTTTCCGCAAGAAATTTTGTTTCCGCAACCGGGGACCAGCTGAGAAAAAATTTTCGCGCGCGCGCACAGCGCTCGCGCGCCTTCCTTGGCCTGAGGGCGTGCTTGGAAGGTTTTCCTCTCACCCGGAGGTCGGGGGCTTGTCGAGAAAATATTTTCGCGCGCTGCGCGCGCGCGGGCGCATTAGTTTTCTTCCGGCCCGTAGGCGAGGAAATTTTTTTCCGTAAGAAATTTTTTTCCGCAACCGGGGGCCGGCTGAAAAAAAACTTTAGCGCGCTGCGTGCGCGCGCGCGCCTTTCTTTGCGTGGGTGAGTCAGTGGCTTGAGACTTTTTTTCACGCCCGGCGGCCGGGGGCTTGCTGGAAAAAAAATATCGCGCGCTGTGCGCGCACACATGTTGGCCAGGGGGCGCGGCGAGGTGTTGCTTGCACCCGGCAACCGGGGCTGCCGGAAGAAATAGAGCAAATTTTCGCCACCGCCCCCTGCCCGCCCGCAGGCGCCGGCCTTGGTCTGCGGGCGGGCGCGGAGGTTTTTTTCGCGCCGCCCCCTCGGGGTCTTGCCGGGAAAATATTCGCGGCGCGCAGGCGCCTTGTTCTGGCGCGCTTTTGCTTGCGTCCGGCGTCCGGGCAGTCCCGGAAACGACTTTCGCGCGCCGCGCGCGCGCAGCCGCCTTAGCTTGAGATGGGCGCAGAAAGTTTTTCTTCAATATGAGGAAAGCTGTTCGCCTGCTAGCAAGGTGATGACGATGGTGATGAATCGCGCGCGGCTACCGGGTGTTGGCCGGAAAAAAACTTACCGCGCGCTGCGTGCGCATAGTGGCCGTGGCGTTAGAGGGTGGGCGGGGCCGCTTCTTTCGTGTCCACGATTGGGGGTTTGCCGGAAAAAAAATTCCGCGCGCTCCGCGCGCGCAAGCCTTTGTGCGGAGCCTTTCTCTCCGCCCGGCATTCGGGGGCGGGCTGGCGAAAATTTTTCGCGCGCGCGCGCGCACATGTTGGCCCGGGGGCGCGGTTGGGGACTTTTTGCGGACCCGCCCCCCTTCCGGGGCCGGCCCGGCTGAAAGAAAGAATAAAGTAAATTGTTCGCGCGCTGCGCGCACGCAACCTCCTTGGCCTCCGGGCCCGGGGCGTTTTTTTCGCGCCTAGCAGCCTGCGGCCGGCCTGGAAAAACTTTTTGTGCGTAACTTCCTTGGCCTGCGGGCCCGGCCGGAGTGTTTTTTCCGCGTCCAGCCTTTCCTTGGAGGCCCGCAGGGGAAAAAAAATTTTGCGCGCTGCGCGCACGCAGGCACATTGCCCCGGGGGCGCGGGGCGTTTTTTTCGCGTCCGGCCGTTGCTGGCTTGCCGGTCGGAAAAAAAGATCGCGCACTGCGCGCACGCAGGCAGACTGGCCCGGGGGCGCGCACGCAGGCAGACTGACCCTTATGCCTTACCTGCAAAGAGCAAGGGCCTCGCCGTCCTTTTTTCGCATCTTTTCACTGTAGGTGAGCGCCCAGCTCCTCGGGGGGCCTAAGCGTCCGGCTTCTCGTAGCCGGAGAAGCTGGACTTCCAGCTTCTCGTAGCCGGAGAAGCTGGCCTTCCAGCTTCTCGTAGAGCCGCCCGGGGAAGCTGGACTGTCAGCTTCTCGTAGAGCCGGGGAAGATGGACTTTCAGCTTCTCGTAGAGCCGGGGAAGCTGGACTTTCAGCTTGTCGTAGAGCCGGGGAAGCTGGGCTTTCAGCTTCTTGTAGAGCCGGGGAAGCTGGACTTCCAGCGTCTCGTAGAGCCGGGGAAGCTGGGCGCCCAGCTTCTCGTAGAGCCGGGGCAGCTGGACTTCCAGCTTCTCGTAGAGCCGGGGAAGCTGGACTTCCAGCTTCTCGTAGAGCCGGGGAGGCTGAGCTGCCGGCTTCTCGCAACCAGGGAAGCTGGACTGTTAGCTGCTCGGAGCAGGAGTGCTGGCGTTCTGACTGCCAGAATCTAGAAGCTAGATTTCTAGATTTCTAGAACCTAGAAATCTAGATTTCCAGACTTCTAGATTTCTAGATTTCTAGAAATCTAGTTTCTAGATTCTTGGCCGCCAAAGTCTAGAAACAAATCTAGAGGCTACGGAACCCAGAACCGCTATCCCAATAGACGTTCTGGGGTCAGAAGCTCTATTGTGATAGAGGTTCTGGGTCCAGAAGGTACGAGATAGAGCTTCTCAAGCTAGAAAATGTCAAGAAACAGTGAAAAGATTAGAAAAAAAAAAAAAATCAAAGAGCAACGAAATCAGTAAGAAAAATAAAGAAAAGAAGAAAAAAGAAAGACTGTAGAAAATCTAGAAAAAGCTTAGAAATCTAGAAAACCTAGAACATCTATGGAGAAGTTAGAAAATGGCCGAGAACCTCTATCAATAGAGGTTCTTTTAGAAGTTCTTGAATATTTTAACTTAAGTGACCCATTTTAATGTCGAATCCATCGAGGCACTAGTATACGAATTCGCTTTTCAGGTCGTCTTCAGCGAGCGATCGGCCCTCCGCAAGAAATACGAGACCGAGATTCAGAAGTTGCAGAATCAGGTCGAGCGCTTGCAGAAGCAGGACAGTGACCGCAAGCTCCGTCAAACTGCGGCCACCCAGCAAGACAACGGAAAGATGATGCTGGATCTTTGCCGCAAGGTGAAAACGGTGCAGGAACAGAACACGCAGCTACGTCAGAAGATTGACAAAGATACGACCTATATCAAGAAGCTCGAGCGAAAACTACTTACCCACAGCGTAGGTGCTCGGGGCCGAGCGGGCGCCCCTGCTGCAAAGTCGTCGAAGATGATCGATCCGCACAACCTATCGTCCATAGACACGTCTTCGATTGCAAATAACATAGGCGCGACCTCCTCGAATGCCGGCCGCCCGGACAGTCAAAGCGGCAGGAGCGTATTCATTTCCTGCTGTTTTTTCTTGTGTTTTTCGGACTGACTCATTTTTTGCATAACGATGTTCATGTTGCTGATGAGGATGAAGGATAGTAAAAACGTAATCAGTAGTTCGCGTCTGGATTTTCACTTCTTGGACCCTCAGTTCTAGGTACGACTCCTCGTTGAATCTGCATTTGGTGGGTAATTGCGAAAAGAATAATGAACTTACAGGGCCTTTCTTACTCCATATCGCCTCGCGCCGCCGGAGTCCAGCCGGTCATGCTGGATATTCAAAAAGTCACGGTGGAGCCCGTTTCCCACCGAGTGGAGACTTCTGTCGAGGAGTCAACGATCCTCTGTCCGGGAGGAACTAGTATAATTTTTACAGTAGTCTTGCACGACACTACTTCTAATGAAAATCAAGATGAAATGTACTTACAAAGGTAACTGCAGTAGAATCTCCTATGACGATTTCCGATGTTGACAAATTTTTTTTCTTTCGGTTGATGGTGTCTTTAATATGGAGAGTCCTGCATTATATCTGTACCGAAAGAAACGGAACGAAACTGTCATGTTCAGGTCAAGACCCTGTGGTTCCCGCTCTCGGCTCTGCCGAGGATCCTTTGTTCGCGCAGGGACTTCTGAACCAACCCTTTCCATCACTCAAGCAGGACAAACCGAAGCGTCGCTTCAAGCAGAAGCAAGTGCAAGAGCCGATCATTCATCCATCGCCGGCACACCTGGACGGCTTTGCTACGCCCGAGGACGGTTTTATTCCGCACGCCACCGTCGGAGCAGTTCCAGCTCCGGGCGGTGGATCTTCACTGATCGCTAGTGCGAAGCAGATCACCGCGACGGCACTGGCGGGGTTTCCCGCCGTAAGCAATCCGCAATCGCAGTCGTTCACGAGCGCGGTGAGCACGCTTACCAGAGGACCTGTCGGAGACCACATTACAGCAGCAGAGCCCTCTCCCGTTTCCGCCATATCGACACCGTTTGTGGATGCAATCTCGGGCACAGCTACCGCCATGCCAATCTCCTCTGTCAGCACTCCAGGGAACAACAACCCTACAGCAATGAGCAGTACCACGAAGGAGCACCAGAGAGGACCACGGCAGCTGCTGTCGGTTGTTGACCCTCCTGCAGCTCCGGCGGGGCAGCTTGGTTCCGCAGAACCGGCGATTGTTTCAGGCACGACACACAACGAGCAAGCTGAAGAGAGCGAACACAGTCCCGCGCTGGAACCTGTGGAAGCAGCCATTCTGGCCGAGGATGAGGACGAATTTGACTTGTCAGTTTTGGAAAAGTTTACCACTGACTGCGCGACTTCGCTCCACTTGCAGGCATCACCGACCACCGCGCCCCCGCCAAAAAATATTAAAGATAACGCAGCTTAGCGAAGGTCGAGAGCGTGCTCCCACGGGATAAAATGTCTTGAAGTGAATCTTCGTTTGACGTAGCGCACAGCACTAGCACAACATGCGGCATCCTCTGGCGCTGTTCCGCAGGTTTCGATCCTCTTCGGCTCTTTGGTATGGATGCATGCGGAAAGAACAGTGATTCATTGCAAGATGGCCGGATCGATGTCGTTGTCAGCGATGAGGAATTCATGACTACTTTGTAGGAGGACGGGGAGCACGACTGCTGCGCCTCCTTTCTTCTTCCAAAATTTGGAACGTGGATTTAATAAACAAGCGAACATCTTCGGGACTTCTGACGACTTTGTCTTTTGTTTGAATATTTGCGAAAACTGAAATGCACCACTGCACCACCCTTGATTCTCGACGTCCTTTGACGATTTTTGAACGCGCCCCGAACTCAAAAAATGAACAATCTTGTGCTTTGTAGCAACGAAAATTAATGAGGACATAGCTAGACCGCAGGAAGCTCAAGCAATGCAACAACTGGCACTTCGACTTCGCTTTTTTTGTTTGAGAAGGCTTTGCGCGACCGCGTTGGTTCAGTTCTTTGAACGCGCACTCGGGGCGTGCTTCTTTTGGTCTCGTGTTCGGTTTCTGTGGCGGCGCCGTTCATTCTTGTCAGGGGGAGCTGTACATATGACTGGTTTGGGGCCAGTAGCAGTACTTATACTTTGATTTTTTTTCGGGGATTTCTCTGGTCGTCTATTCTTCACATATGATAGCGTGGTTTCTGTTTTCCCGCCTTGGTTTCGTTTTTCTTTTTGTCTTTGTGCTAGTTGTCTCTCTTTGCCGGCTTCTGTTCCATTCGTACGTTAGGTCCTGCACCTACAAGCGCTTCTTCGACATGATTTTTGATAGGAAGGAGCTGATGCAGCCCTCTATGGTGGCGCGAACACGATAAAGACTCTACATCTTCGAGTATATTATTACCATTGCGAGTGAGTCGTCTTCATCTGTTGTTCATCTACACCAACTTGTATTCATATTTTACACGACCTTGAAAATCGAGCATGGTATGCCTGGAGTTTCACTCGCATTGGGTGACGTCGAAGGGAGAGAACAAGGAGACTCTCCGTATTCTGTTCGACGTTTTGACTGCTGAGGCGCACGTTTCCATCGGAGCTGACAAGCACCTGACCACCGTTCTCTACACCACTACGCCGCCGGCGCGACTGGCCGGAGTGTGGGACTTGTTTCCCGGCGCGGAGGTGCGTTTGCTCGGACGCAAAATCCAGTTGCGACAATGCAGTTCTGCGACGAGCCGGTGGGTGGATTATTGGGGCAAGAAGTTGACCGAGATTATTTTTAAGCTGGAACAGGCGATTAAGGAATCGGATCCCATCGCCGCGAAGTCGCTAGATGAGGGTAGTAGTACGAGAGGCGGTTCCCCAACAGCAAGCTCGACCTCGAGGAAGAATTGCCACGGGACCAACCTGTGGCATATGTTGACACGGCTGCATCGACTCCACCTACTCCTCGCCAGGACCGAACCGCAGCTGGTATGGCGTTCTCAACTGTTACATTCTCAACTGTTACATTGATTTGTGACGCAAGAATGGGAAACGTGAAAGGGGTCACCATGCGCGTCTTGTATAACAGATCTGGCAAAAATTCTCAGCCTGTTTGGCTCATCGAGAATTTGTCATCCGAAGCAGCTTGATCGTGTCGATTCTGATTGTGATTTTGCATTACAAATCATGTAACAGTTGAGAATGTAACACTTGAGAGCGCCATAGCTGGCCTCGACGCTCCGCGTGCCGCCGGAAATGATCGAGATCGAAAACCTGGCCAAGGCGATGCAGGAGGAGGACGGCGAGGGGTGAGGAGCAGCAAACATCAAGGGCGAAGCTGAGACGTAACAAGTGATACAGTGTGCTGATTGAAGATTTCTTATGCTTTGTTTGATGTTCATCTTGTACTTCAATTTATGTGTATGATTCACAACCTGTATGGGGGGCAAGTCATTGGGCCTCGTTTTCGATCGTGTGATGGTGCGAAGTGATGTAGTTGGAAGATGTGGCAAATTACCGGCCCCCTCTGGTGTGTTTTGTCTTCGAATTCGTGGCCTACTTAGTTGATTTTCAGTCTTGTCCATATTCTGTACGTGTTGAGGCTGTAGTTTTTGATTCAAGGGCGAGTCAATATTTCATGATTGAATACGAAAATTCGCTCGTCCGGCACGTTGTTCCTGCTTTGATAAAATCGACGCCCATGAATGTTCAAACCAGCTCCCAGTCCCGTCATGTTATACCACTAGCCATTAGTTTTAGCGCCAGTACCACGCCCACCACGCTCAGTCATGATTCAATTGTAATAGCAGATCTCATCGTGTACGTCTTGCCAGAGCAAAATTTTCACTATGATCTATTCTTTCGAACCAAGTCTCGTCATTTTTTTGGTCCGATTGTCGCTAAGGTTGCAGCCTGTTCTTGTCCACGACTTCCAATTTTTATTGCACACAGACAGAGCCAGGCTATGTGAATGCGTAAAAAGAAAAAGTGCGAGTAGTCAGGACCAAGAAGTAGAAAAATAGAGAGCCAGAACAAGTTTACAGTAGGCTCGTCTTAAAGTAAAAGACCAAGTGGAACAAGAAGTTTTTCGACGAGCAGGTCCAGTTTTTAGCTGGTTTACGTAGATGACCTTTTCGTTTTCGTCGTCGTTTTCGCTTTAGATAGATTAAGCTGAAAGTTTAACCAGCATGGCATTGTCGTGCAACAATCAGCTGGACCTTTACGGTGGCGGGCCCCGCCAGCAGCGGTCGCGTGGGTTTGTCACCGTGCGCGAGCCAGCTCTGGGTTTCTTCGCGACAGGAAGTACGGTCGAGCAGCTGAACGGCATTTACGTCTGTGTGCGTAACGATTCCGTGACCACGGTGGACAAAAGCCACAAGGTGCTGCTTTCCTATCGGAATGACAACAAAACCGGCTGGCTCCTTGTGCTGGTCGAACCGAAGGAGAAGCCGAAACCGAAAGAGCCACCAATCGCGTCCTATTTACGTCGAAGACAAAAACAATTCATGGATGACAGCGATGAGGAGGACAGCGATGATGAAGGTGAGATATATACAATTTATTACCTATGCGTTCGCGTTGTCGTAGGAGACGAATATTTTCTTTTCTAGAAATCGTGTGAATTTTTCGACTTTCGTGCAGCCCCGGCCCCCCAAATACTATTTGGGGAATAGACAATACAATACCGTCTTGACCAACGCAAGAATACACCGACCACAGTTTCCGCCCTCCACAAGCGCGAGTGGTTGTTTGTGGATCCGCAGGGGCGCGACCGCTTCCGCCACGACGGCGACACCATCATTCCGGGTGCCGGCGTTTCCTGGAAGCACCTCCACCGCCAGCCCTCCACCCCCGTCGAGGAAAGCTGCGACGAGGAAGAGGCCTTATGAAATGCAAAAGCATCGTACTCGTATAAATGCATTGCAAGAAATTTCCTCAGCATGAGAGCGAAAATTTGAAATGCGGACTTCCCTCAAGATAAAGATTTGTAATGCAAGACTTGCATTTATACGAATACGATACCTTTGCACAGGATAGGCTTGGGCGAGTGCGGATTCCGATTCGGACGACGACGAAATGAACGGCGGGGCCGCAGCCTCGTCCTCGTCGAAGAAACCGAAAACTTCTTCCAAGGAAAGCAACAAAAAGCCGGTGTCGGATTGCCGCGCCATCCAGCCCGCCGAGGAGAAGAAAGACGACGAGGACGAGTTGCCCTGGCAAGTGATTGCCATTTTGGACCGGGAGACGGTGAGCGACATGCGCTACACGCAGCGCTGCTACGACGCCAATATCGTCGCCGCGAAGTCCGGAAAAAGATTGCCCAAAATCGAGGCGCTCACTGGTATACTTTATTTGGATTCATTAATAACGACCCATGCGTCATTGCATGTTCTAGCTTCGAGAAATCCAGGAAAATTTTGAGGAGCAGACCTCAAAGCACACTTTGATTGCGCTCCAACTAGGCCGAGAAATGTTCTTCCCGCGTCTTCAGGTCTCGACCCGGAGCGGATGTCGGGCTGCTGGGTGTACCGGGTCCGGTGCTTGGGAGGTGTGGAAGTACGCGTGTCCCCCATGTTCGAAGCGCCGGTCATTGGGCACAAGCGGCACGGGGAATACCTGCAAATCATGGAGAAACGCACCGTCGACGACGAGGTCTGGTTGCAGATCAAAACCGAGCAGCGCAACGACAGCTACTATCGGGGCATGTACCTCGGCGGTGACAACTGGCTGGAGGAGCGCTGGGTGTCTCTGCGAGACGAAGACGTATAGAAATCAGTTTTTACATCAGGAGAGTTGTAAATGCAAGAAGATGAAGCTGAAGAAGGGATACTGGAAGAAAGAGCAACAGGCGCTTGTTTGACAGCATAACCATATACTAGGTAGTCAGACTGCGGATTTGCTTTGGATGTTCTTCTCCGGTCACCATCGTCGTGTGCTACTAGTGTTGTTTTGCCTCATCATGATGATGAAGGATAACATGCGCTATGATAATTTCTTTTTCTACAAAAAAAATTTTCAGTTCGACGAGGAGCGAGACCGCCTCGAAGAAATTGTGGATCTCCCGGAAATGAGGGCTGAATTGCCGGCGGAAAAGCCGGACGCTGGGGCGTTCGATCGTCCCTTTGAGCCGCGCCTTGCGGACGCCTCCGATGCTTCCATGGACGAGGAAGAGGCCGAGGAGGAAAAAAAGGCCGCAGCTGGTAAAGAAGCAGGAGCTCCTGCTGAAAGCACGAATAAAAAGAACGAAGAACCGGAACACGACATCGAGTCATGGCTGGATCTCTCGCATTTTCGTATGGTGAAAAAGGTACGCACAGAAAAATTTTCCATCGGGGAGGAGGTGATTCTGTCCGGATTGAAAAACGCAGCAATGAACGGAAAAATCGCAGTCATTGTCACAGAGCCCGAGTCCGGCCGCCAAGGAGTGAAATTCAAGGACGAGCAGGAGCAGGCGGTCAGTGTTAGGGTACTATATTTCGAAACATATGTTTGAAGGACTTTCAGAAAAAATCAAGATTTGCTCAGCAGGTGCCCGCCCCTGGTGGGAAGGGAAGTCGTGAGAGGGGCCTTGTGCCCAGATGCGCTACTAGAGGTAGACGCATCAAATCGCGCAAACTAAGCGGCAATACGCCGCTCCTCCTGCCGAGTGAAGAAGGGCGGCGCCCGCAATCCTGCGCGCGATCCCCCTACCCCTGGTGGGTGTTCTCTTGTTCTTGAAGAAGAGCCCCGCTCTGGAAGCGGGCGAGCATTGCAGGCTCCTGGTGAGCAGGCGAGGCGCCTCGCCGTCTCTGTTGGGTGAGATGGTGGTGGGGTTTCGGCCGGCTTAACCTGAACAGCCCAGCGCCACACCCTGCCCGACCAGCCACTCCGAGGAAGGCCCTCGGGCGTGTTGCCGCGTCGTGTGCGAAGAGGCCCGGCATGGCGTGCCCCTCTCGGCCTTCGGCCGTATTAGTGGGCACGCTCGCACCGCCGTAAGCCCTGGCGCCCCACGCCGCGCGCAGCAGCTGGGTGGCGGCACTTCCCGGGGATGGACGGAAGCGGTGGGGCCTGCGCTATTCGGGAAAGCCTTGGCGGGCACCCCCAGCCCCCTGGCGGGGCCGGCGCCGCTCTTCTTGACGAAGGGCGCACAGCAGGGCTCTGCGCCCCTTGCACCGCTGGCGGGCAAACTGCACCCGCGCGCCGCACAGATAGCGTCCGGCCTAAAGTCAGACGACAATTAAGGGACGCGCCCAGGTAGCGCGAATCGGGATCCTTTCGCCGTAGTATAAATCAATCTGTGTTGCCCACTTGGTGTGCGCCCTCTGATTGGTGCTACTATACGGAACGAGTGCAAGAGCCGGTCTGCCAAGGCCACAAACCTCCAGCGCGCTGTTCTCCTCCAGCTCTCGCCACTTGATGTTGCGACTGCGTAGGAGGGTTATGTTTCGCCGGGCCTCCACAGCCTCGCTGTCCGGCGGGTTGCTGCAAGTATAGCAGGGCTAAAGAGCGGGCGCCGTGTCTGTTTGAAACAAGAGCGGATCAAATACAATGCAATTTGCTCAGCAGGTCCCTGCAATGGACGGGAAATTATCGCCCAATAATCTTCGTAATAAACACTTTTATCTATCTGAAAGGCAAAGGACTAATGGGAATCACACGTACGAAATCTACTACAGATCGAGAACATGAATCCCGCAAGCGGCAGCGATTCTTCGGGGTCCGCCGAGGGGCCACTCGCGAAGTGCGCGCGGTCACTTGGGCTTTCCCTGGAAAAGTTGGGCATGGTCGAGGAGGATGACGTTAGTTCAACGGTCGCTAGCGAAAAGGATACCTCGCCCTTCACCGATAAAAAGAGCACCGATGCGGAGCCCGTCGACGATCCGATGGCGGTGGAGTCCAGCACCTCTCCAGAATTAGTCAGTGACAATGTCACCGCCCCCGTATCATCAACAGTAGCAAGCAACAAACCGTCTCGGACCGTAGCACTCGCCGACGTTTTCGCGGTGGCCCTGCGGGCACAGAAGCGCGACTCCTTCGGAAACAGGGACGAATTGCTGGCGGCACAGAGTGCCCACGACGTTCTAGTTAAGTCCTTGAAAAGTCGCGTGCAGCCCACGCGCGTAGTGGCACCTCGTCCTACACCCAGCGATCGTGGAGAAGCCACGGCAGGAGCTTCATCGTCACCGTCGTCAGAGAATAAAAAGGTCGAGGTTGAACAGAAAAGTGAGGACACGGAGCCCGCAGAGCAGAAGGACAAGACAGAGCAGAATGCAGTCGGGACGGGAATGCCCGCTTTTATTGTGTCCGGCCCCTCGGACGTGTTACGGCGCGGCACCCTCGGCGTCCGTGCGCAGGATGCCGCGGTCCTGTGCGAATCCGACGGCAGCATCAAGGCGGTCGTGAAGGGCGTGCACGAGCTGCGGACGCTGATCACGCAGGGAACCGACGACAGCTGCTCTTTGGACAACCTCCGGTTGCGTCTGACCCTGATTCCAGCGTTACTGCGCACGCGACGGGAGGTCGAGGCGGCCCGAGAAGCGGCGGTTGCGATCAAACTCTACCCAGACAGCACCGCTGCCGCTCTGTGGCACGCCAGATTCTCCCTGCGGAGCGCTACGGAAACGGCCGACAAGGAGAAAGCTCTGTCTCTTCTGAAAACCGTTGCAGAAGACGTGCCGAGCTTACTGGAGAGCAGTAGTGTCACAACAGGAGTAGAGAAGGAGGCATCCTCAGTCGCTAGTACCACCAGCACAGCACACCCGGAGAAAAAGCTGAATCCACACGGAGTATGGGCGCGCGAGGAGGCAAAGCGACGCGTGAACTTCTGGAAAGAAAAGGAGCGTGGGGAACGACGGGCGATGGACGCCTATTCGCGCGGGCTGTTCGAGGATGCGATTAAGTGGTACGACATGGCCATTCAGGGCGCCACGAAGTTCGAGGACGATAAGTGGGCGCGGGCGGAGCTGTTCGCCGCGCGCGCAGGCTCCTACCGCCGGATGCGTGAATTCGGAAAGGCGTTAGACGATTTGGACCACGCGCTCGGTCTGTTTCCAAAATACAAAAGGGCGCTATTCAGAAAGGGCGTCGTGCAGATGGACGCTGGTAGGTTGATGAAGTTGTACCCTTGTTCGCTTTGGTGCTCTGACTGAAGTGTATTTTGCTTGTGGTTTCCGTAGTTGTAAGTACTTGAACTTGTATCCCTCTGCACTTGATGAACAAGTTCCTCAAGACGAGGTGGGAGTCGTGAATTTCCCTGACCGTTTCTTTTTTCCTTCAGGTCGTGCCAAGGACGCAATCCAGAGTTTCGAGATATGGGACTCTCAATTGTTACATTCTCAACTGTTACATGAATTTGTAATGCAAGAACCGCGAAAGTGAAAGGGACAAGATTGCGCCTTTTGCATTACAGATTTGGCACAGATTTACATGCTGTTTAGCCCTTCGGATATTTGTCATGCGAAGCAGCTTAATCGTGGCGATCTTGGTGGTAAATTTGCATGACAAATCATGTAACAGTTGAGAATGTAACAGTTGAGAGCGCCATACGAGACCCTGATGGGTTTGGGCCGCGACTGGGAGCACCTGCTCGACTGGCTAGTACGCGCGCACGCGATGCAGCGTCGCGGCGGCGGTGTTACGTTCCAAACGACTGGCATGTTCTCGGAGCAGAAGCTGGGCACGTGGGCGGAGGCGGCCGGCGAGGGCGACATTGCCAACGAAAAGGACCACTACGCGGTTTTGGGCGTATCCCAGGATGCCACGGAAAAGCAGCTTAAGCGAGCGTACCGCGTGTTATCTTTGAAATACCACCCGGACAAAGAAGGAGGGAGTACGAGGTAAAGAAATTTTGTTGGAGGTTGTCTTTTTTTTTGAAGACATCTTCCTCTTCCATGCTTTGCTATGCGTAACGTTAGAATTAGGCACTTTAGTGCAGGTTTTAAATCAAAGTCTTGAATGTGTCTATAGCAAGCAATGTTGTGCAACGAACAAACTCCCCCGAACCACAGGGCGTTCCAGCGTGTTGCCCTGGCGTACCAAACTCTGTCGGACCCCGAGAAGCGCGAACAGTACAATAACGGTGCGGATCTGGGGAAAGAGAAGAAAGACGATGATAGCGACAGCGACGATGAGCAGAAGAAGCAAAGCCTCCGCGAAGAGATCGAACGAAAGTACTTCCCGGAGCGTTACAAGTTCTGGCCCTTTGGTGACCCCTTTGTCCAGAAGCGGAAACGCGAAGAGCAGAAGCAGCGCCGCCAAGGAAGACCCGCCTGGTTTGACCAGTTCTGAAGAGAACTGTCATCAAATTATGTTCGTCATTAGTTTAGCGAAAATGTTGATTCCAGCAAATCTATGTACATATCGATACTTATGTTAATGTTGTTTGCGTTTTCGTTTCACAGAAAGTGTACACCAAGCTGATTCAAGTGCTGGCAGAAAGTCCACATGCTTACGAAGTCCGGCACCGTCTGTCAACGCACGACATCAAGCGCGGTGCCGGAAATCGGCATTATTTTATGATATCGTCTCCTTGTATCGCGACTACGAATTCTTGAATCTGATTTGTACTATGATCATGTTGAAATAAAAATAATTCTTGGTTTGCATCGTCAGGACTACGGTGTTGCTGTTGACCATGACTTTGCAAGAAAGCCCACGCTGTCGTTGCTGAGGAATCTTCCAAGCTAAATACTCTCTCTCAACGATTGGCTGCTTTTTTCATGACTGCGACTGCTGTGGTCTGTGACTCTGAGTACGGAGGTTGTATCCTCTGAGTATAGAAGTTGTACTAGCAGCTAGTATCCTCGATGTTAAACTTTGGCTAGTTATAGTTTATTTTTGCTGTGCTTCCTTCATTTTGATAGAGATCGCCGACGACATAATTTTGAGTCGTTTATGACTTATTGGTTTTTACTTTATTTTCCTGGACCTGGACGACAACGAGGACGACCTTTTTCTGTTGATGGTTTCCCACTACAACAAGAAAGTTTGTTGCTACAACGACTATAGGTATCGCGACAATATAGCTGGTTGGATGAAAAAATATAAATATTGAAAGGCTGCAAATTCAGTCCGACTCCGATCATCATATTGCAGAGCGTCCGCCATGCGTAACAGCATGCAAGTGCGATGGAGACAGAGCGTTACATTTGTTCTCTCTGTGGCTTCTTCATTGCTCTTCGCCCTGCCTTGCTTGGAGGTTCATGAGTTTCAATTTATTGAGAGCAACTATCGTTTGTTCTATTCGCACGACAATCGTCCTCCCCTCGAGTTCTTTCTTGATCGCCTGAAAGCATCGATGTAATTGTAATGGAGTCGCTTTTCGTTTTTTCGATGTGTCGCTTGACCTACTCGCAATCACTGTATCACTATCGTAAGAGCCACTTGCTAATATTAAATGGAGGAGACTCGTCCTGCTCATCGTTTTGTACACTGCCCAATATGGGCCACCCTCGTTTACACTCGGTCTGAGTGTTGTTTCGTTGTAGTCAGGAGCTGGAGGACGAAATTGAGCTCCCCGGGCCTGGTCGGGCACCTCTACTTCTAGAATCAGAATGGTTTACCAGCGGGCCCCGCCGCCGGCACTCGAATGTGCTCCCCCGTGCCTGTGGTTTAGCAACTTGAAGACCGGAAAGTGCTCGGACCAGACGGTGTATGTGCGAAATCTGAGCAAGCAGCCGATCGAAATCGCTGACGTGCGTCTCGAGTGCCAGAACGGTTTCACCACGATCGCGGGACACGAGAGGCTGCCCTCGGGCGACCCTATCCTCGATGTGCCGCCGGTACCCTTGTACCGATTTCACGTCCAACCAAGCCAGGGGGTCAGGATCGCGCCGAAAGAGGAAGTGGGGCTCCGGCTCACGGTGCGGACGGTGGAAAAGGTGCGTACTAGTTTAAATGCACTTGTTGCTTCTAGCTACATGGAAGAACGCAGCTCAACCGTGTGCGTCGTGTCATTCACACTAAGTTCTTGTGGTGCCGCTGATCCTAATTCCTGATTCCACCTCCGCGACGTACATGCTTCATTTATGGTGATTTGTGTCCGAAGAAGATACTAAAACTGAAATACGCAGGTCCCTCGCCGTTTTCAAGAACTGATGGAGATTCGTTTGCGCACCGGGGAGCTGTACTCCTACAGCGTCGTGATCGACCCCGGCGTGCAAGGCAATAAAGCAGCCGCGCACACCAGAACGGGAAATAAAATCGACGCAGGCACACAACAGAGCGGCGGTGCCACGTCGAGCACAGCGGGACGAACTGCGCCACACGGTGGAGGCCGTGGAGGCGGCTCCCTGTCGCCGTCACGGGGGGTTCATTCCGCAGACGACCGTGCGTTGGAGTTGTTACGGGACTTGGAGGCCGGCAACCGGCTGATGCGGGCGCAGCTGCAGAAGCGCAGGACTTCGGACGCAAACAAAGCGTATTTGAAGTGCTTGCAGGAAGTCGAGATGGATCTCGACCAGGTTCGCGAAGACCAGCTTGAGGGTAGTACCAAGAAAGGCGCAGGTATAAGTAGTGCAGCAGGTGTCCACCTCGCAACTTCTACAGTAGACAACGAGAAGATGAATCAAGACGAAGATCAAGATGACGGCGCCAACCCCAACGCGGCCAAGCCACCGAAAGTCGATGGGCATACGTGGGTTCGTAAAGTGGAGACGAGTCTGCAGCGGCAAGCTTACCGGTATGGCCGAGTGGGTCCGCCGGTCGTGCGCGGAGAGCAGGCGGCGGTGGACAAAAATCTGTCCGCCACGACGCAGCGCCGGCTGATCCAGAAACTGCAAGACGAGAGTGTAGCGCTGCGAAAAGCGCTGGGACGCAAACCTGGAACGAGCGGGCGCAGAAGTGGTGGACCAAGGAGGCCGGGATCCGCCAAGCGGTTTGCTATGCCCAAGAACGCTTCTGCGATAACTGCTAATCCTCGCGGTTTATCGTCTGGTGGAAACAAAAGACCGAAGACCGCGGCGGCACGGAACACCGCGAAAGAAGTGGACGACCGACTGGCTTTGCATGCTGAGCTGCTGCAACTGGAAGCGGAAGTGATGGATTTACGAGCGGATCTCCTCCAACGCAGTACCAGCACTGGTGATTACATGCCGGACTTGGAGTTTATTCCGCCGCCTGAAGTAATGGAGGATGCTGATGGCCGCGGCGCTTCGTATGAGCCCCACGAGGAGGTGGAAGGTGAGACTGAAACGTCCTTCGACCAACGAAATGAGCCAGGCGATGAAGGCACCGACGATGGTAGGACGCCGCCGGAAAGTGCGGCTAAGAAGAGCAAGAAACATCAATCCGCGACCGCGGTAGGTGGGACTTATCCCGGCGCGCCGCGTGGTAAAGCGGCGGAGCGAATACAGGCGCCGGTACGGCCACAGCCGAAACCAAAGCGTCGGCCGCAGAGTGCCGGGCCGAGGCGAAACAAGGCACCGACGAGCGACGATCCGCTAATTCGCGACGCGTTGCGGGACCATTTCGTGCAGCATCAGAGTGGCGGTCTCGAAATCAATACCTTCGGAGCAGGGGGCGAAGAAGCGACGTATAGTAGTTCCCCTTCCGCCCTGCTAGCGAAGCAGTTACGCGACCGCGACGAGAAGAACCAAAGAACTCTAAATAATGAAGCCGATGCTGCAGGTCGCCGACTTCTAAATCAAAACTGCTACGATGACGACGACGACGATCCGGATCATAGTCAAGAAGAAACAGCAGTACAACAACGGCGCCAGCGGTCGCCCGGTCTCACAGAAGACGACCGTCGCGAGTTCGACGAAATTTTCAATAGGTCGCCGGAGCTCCGGCGGAAAAACTTGATCTCCCAGCACAGTTCACCGGAGGAGCGGGTCCACGTGCTGCCGGGAGAAGTACAACCGGACCAGCGGATTTCTGCAGCTGACGGGGCTGCTTCCAAGAAAAATAAGAAGCGAAAGCCAGCAGTAACGACGAAGAATAAATCCGCGGACAGCTTCTCCCCGCGGACCACAGATTTTGGCAAGCACCTGAGACCACCAGTGGAAACGTTTATCTCTTCCCCCTCACAAGGGAGCGAGAGCAACGCGGCGTTTGACCCGCTAGAAGAGGTTTTTGTGCATGGCCCCGAAAGACGAACCTCGACGTCGCCTTCAGTTTCACGACCTCAGGGGACAGCTGCTGCGGATGAAATAACGGGCCACGCTGATGGAATCACAATAAACAGCGCGGCGACCAACTCCAGCACTTCTTCCAACACCCATGCCCATGCGGTACCAGTTCCTGCACGCGGGGCCAAGATTTCCCACAAGCAAGCGGAAGAGCTCGGGCCGGACGTGGATTACGTCAAGGGCGTTTCCTCCTCCAGCACCGGCAGGCAGATCCTTTCCGCGCACGACGAAGACGCAGGGGCTAGCGTGACGCCGGTCGTATTTTCGAGCAACTACCAGAATTTTGTGCTGGACGAACAAGGGTCGAATGATGTTGAGACGTCTGCTGGACGAGTAAATTCGGATGCGATTATCGTGGCGGGGACCATTGAAGAAGGTGGCGTGGAAGATGAAATTACGGAGCTGGAAAAAGATTTACCAGGTGTGAGTGGCCTTTCGGAGATGCACGAGGACATGCTGCGGAAGCATCGAAACGGTAGTTCCAAACTAGCAGGAGCAAGCGGCGTGTTCCGCTGGCAGGAGGGAGACCCGGAGGGCGTGTACGAGGATCGAGAAGAAGAAGAAGGCAATAACCACGCAGAAGTAGAAGATCCATTAGGCGAGGGTAAAGAAGGAACGGAAGTGGCCACCGTGACTGTGGTTGAAACTGAAAAGAAAGAACAAGACGCACATTCACCTGCAGGTTCTGAAGCCGAGCGGAATCTGGAAGGATCTGATGTAGTACGAGTAGCTGCACGAGATGAGCTGCAGGCGGCGCACGAAGAGTCGGACGAAAACCGACCGAACGAGACTCTCGAAGCAAACTTCGGTAGCAGCGGCGCGCGACTGGTGCATGAAACGGACGAAGATGTTGACCAAAATGAAGGAGAAGGTCTAGATGATCCTGTCGAGGTCGGCCAGAGTTCAACAGCCGCCGGTGATGCGCCAGCAGTGTCGACAGCGGGTTTGTCCGCCGTCAGCCCACAGCCCGTGGCCACGCTCGATTCCCTTCCGACCATCCCGCCGGAAAACTTCGCTTCAAATTCTTTGTACCATGGTCTTACCCAAGACAATGAACACGACAAACGAAGTAGGGAGATGAAAGAGCAGGCAACACAGTTGGAGAATGACGATATTGCTTCCCCGTTATCTAGCCAGCTTGCCGCTGCCAGCCCTGCTGATCATGTGGAACTTCTATTGGATGCGACTTTGTCCAACGTACGCCGTGTTTCGGAGGACATGGCTTTCTCACCCGACATGCAAACGGTCAACGAGCAGCTTGAGCACATACTGACGCGAGAAATACAGCCACTCAAAGCGCGTGTATGTTTTTTGTGTTTGGAGGAGATGATATGAGACCTTGCAAGAATCTTAGAATATCAGTAAGTACTCGTATATTGCAGAAAGAACACGGAAGTTGGAACAATACCCGTTTATCTAATATCAGATCGAAGACCTCGACCGCAGTGCGCAGGAGATGCTCCGGGAAAAGGTGCAAGAGATTTTTTCGCTGTTGCAGTCCATTCAGATCCAAATCGCGCGGGCATCCGAGGCAAAAGTGGCTCTGCAGCTCAATTTGGACAACATCGAAAACAGCGCAGCCTTCTCGCAAGAGCAAGAGGTACAACAGTCATTCTGTTTTTCAGTTTTTGTACTACACATGTGGAAAACCAAAACGAAAAGTAGAAAAATAGGAAATGCCACGTGTTGGTATTCCTGTTGACTGCTCCTTGTTCTGAAAAAATCAGGATGTCGCTGCTGATAACGCCATGGTGCTGCAGCCAGACGGGCACGACAACATTTTACACCAGCCGGTCACTCTTGATCCGGATCAAGACCCCGATGCGGTTTCCTCCCTCGCGGGTGCCGATTCGTTGTCGATCGTTTCAGAGGAGCCCTGTGAGGAACCGTCGTTGCGTGTAAGCGACCGCTGCATTCGCCGGGTGGTTCTCCAGGCCCTGGAGTCGGCGGACGAGGGAAGCAAGAGCAGCGAAGTGGTAAAACCACCAGCGTTCTTTTTGCCCTCGAGCACAGAGGAAGAAGGAAGCTCTTCAGCCGCATCCAGCTCTTCTTCTATGGTGCTCGGCGCCGGCTTTCCGAAGCGCAAAAGCAGAAAACTAGCGTCAGAAAACCTCCGCATCCTGCGCGAAGAATACCACCCGGATAGTTATCCGAACACCCCCGTAGCCGGTTCGAAGACCACCAAACAAGCACTGGAACTCGAAATCGCTGATGTGAAATGGAAATCAGAAGCGTTCAAAGCAACTATGCACAGTGAAGTCCGCGCGCTCGCACGAAAAGCACTGCAGCGCCGGCTCTGCTACGGCACGGTGGGAAGACTGGCCGACCGGTCTATCGTTCTGTCGAGTGCGATCGAAAGCAAGACCAACTCGCCACAAACCGAAATAGGGGGAAGCGCAGCCGCAAATCGGCAAGACCAGCAGCAAGCAGTAGAGAAAGAAGTGCCGCAAGATGAAGCTGCAGCTGGAACAGCACAACTTCCAACTGATCCGTCCTCATCTCCACCTCCGAGAGTTGTAGACACTACGGCCTTCCTCGACGAAAATGTAGATGTTTCACTCGGTGAGCAGGCGATTTTACAGCAGCTCCTCGAGAAGGTGCTGACGAAGTTTTCTCTCGCTTATCTGGAGGAAAAGCAGGAACTGTATTCCCCGAAACGAGTCGTACAATTGAGAGAAGAGAAGCCAGGACAACATCAATCAGGAGCGGCAAGAAACAAAAGTTTTTTGATCGACAACCTCGTTGCCGAGATTCAGCTGATGCTTTCCGACCTTTTCGATCGGGTGCTTCTCTCCGAAGAGCGGCTCTAATAACTGTAAAAGTGTCTGGGTCTGGAAGAATCCAACTTGTCATGCTTGTCTGGCATGACTCTTAAATCTGTCATGCACGTTACCCAAGAGCTCCGCTTTTCTGTGATGCAGAAGCGCAGTTTGTCATGCAGAATAGCAATAGGCAACAGCTAGGAGCTCAGAAACTTGTCATGCTGAGCCAGCATCTGTAGCCTCATCATGAGACGCCACCCAGCATCACAAGTTTCCAGACCCAGACATTTTTATTTTTGATAGGCTCCTTCGTTCGCCCAATCGGGAAAAGCCCACTGCCGACGATTTCCGAAACGCGGTGAAGGGTATCCTGAGTAAAAACGTACCCACACCAGAGTTGTAATGCAAATCTGCATGCTGAAAATGTTTCTCATGCGGAGCTCCATGAGAAGCATTTTCTAGTCGTGTTTTGCAATTTGTCATGCTCCAATCAGCATGGTATGCTAGATCTGTGATGCTGCTGAGCTAGCTCAAGCAGCACTATACTACGAATCCGAATTTGTCATGCAAAACAGCCAAAACTTGTGGATTTGTCTAGCCGATTCCCCATCTTGACTCTGGTGTGGGTACGTTTTTACTCAGGATAAAGGGTGGCGCGGACTCATTTCTGTATGGTGGCACTGGTGCGAAAAGCTTCAACCAGAAAAAAACCGCTGAAATTATGACCGCGACTGCTGGAGTAGATCGGACGAGTAGCAAGGAAAATAAAGAAACGAAAGACCACAGTCAGCAACAAGAACTTCTGGCGGAACGGGATTTAGACGACGTGCTGTCGCGGGACGAGCTCGGTTTCAACCCGCTTTACGCTGTCACCAGCCTGTTGTACTCGGAGCCGTTGCTGGTCCACGACGGCCACCCGCGAAACGAGATTCCGAACGTGTTCAAAACGCAGGCCCTGTCGGCGGACATCTCAGTGTTATCGGCCCGAAGTTCGAAGAGTCTCATCACCGATTTGTTCGTCGAGCAGCTCCTGCACAAAGAAGCCACCCATTTGCAGGCGGCGCATAACGCATCGCAGATGGAGGCAGGTGGAGCAGCTCCAGGTAACAAGAACAATTCTTCCACCTCACAGATGGAGAAGGAAAATTCCCGACTGTCTGTGTCCCTGTCAGCCTCGTCGCGGTCTACTTCGAGGAATAAAATGCAGCAGGAGCCAATAAAGCACGTTTACTTGCCACCAGTTGCGCCGTCAACATTTTCCACGTCTCGGGGCTCCACGATGCGCAGAAACAAGCCTTCCGCTCTGAAAATAATCCCGTCTCTTGCGGAGGATGCTGAAAATCTTGAAAATACTGATCAGTTGGAGAAGGATTCGGAAGAAGGCAGCAGCTCCTTCTTCGTACCGGCAGGGTCGTCCGGCATTACAGCGCTGGAAAAAGTAAGTGGCGTGACCCAAATTCTTGTCCCCGCCGAGCAAAACTACGCGGACGAGCAGGCACCGCGACCTCCACCCCGTCCACCGTCGGTCGTCCGATCGAGTCCGCCCACGTCACCTTCCTCGATGTTCCGGCGCCAGTTGCTCGCAGACGAGGAAAGTCATGCGTCAGAAGTCTTGTCGGGTTCGGATCTGCAAGAGCAAATCGACGACGAGTGGGCCGGTCTAGCTGAGGACGGTGATGTCGAAGAGGAAGCCAGGACATTCACCGTCGAGGATGAGGTACAGAGCGAGCCGCAAAGATTTGTTCATATCGAGGATGAGTCTTCGACTGCTCGTCTCCTCGACGAACAGGAACTGAACGCGCAGGAAGGACAAGCAGCACAGGAAGAGAACAACGAAGATTTTCTACTTGGTCAAAGTTCTTCCGCAGCCTCGTCGGCTGCAACGGAAGGCGAGCACAATGAAGCTGCTCTAGGAGATCAAGCTAGTAGTACGGGTCGACATGATCCGAGCAAAGCTGAGGGAAGGAGGTCCTTGGTGGCAGACAGTCGGAGTTCGTCTTCGGCTTCGCGGGGGCTGCACGAAGATGATATTCTAGGCGCTTCTTCTGCGGGAGGTGAATTTTCATCATCTTCCGCTTCGTCTGTCGCAGCGCGTGATCCTGATCGCGATCGTGTATCGGAGGATGATGTTCTGAGCAAGAGAAATTCCTCCGCTGAGGTAAAGTCCTCAAGTTCATCCTCCTCCTCGTCGAGCTCCTCGTCGTTTCGCGTCGCATCCTCGAAGGAATCCTCGGTCAGCGCACGACAAGACGAGGGCGCTGACGAAGATGCTTCTGACCTTGCTGCTGCCGCAGTCGCGAGCGACGAAGTTCTTGCTGGCAGCGTTTCAGGGGGAGGAAAGGGTGCAGAAGAGGCCGCCGGACGAGGCGATAACACAGCACCAAAGACAGCACAAACTCAAGCGGCGCGGCGAAAACCTCCGAACTCGTTGAGCAGCAGCAGCAGTGACAGTCTCTCCCTGTCTTCTAACGAATTACTCTCTCAAGAGGCAGGAGAAGATCTTGACGCGGCGCTTGCACAATTTGATCGCCTGCAGTCGAAAGACTAGAGGTCACCGCATGGGAATCCATCGATCGTGAAGATCCGGCGCGTTTCATCACCGAGAAGAATTTGTTCGGGTGAAAAAAAAGAAATTTAAGCACTGCTTTCTCCTGTTCTAAGCACAAGCAATTGAGTCAATACTGAAACACCACTTCTTGCATTCTCAGATGAAGGAAACACCAGAGAAAAGAAAATCGGACTGTGCTTGATGAGCTTTTCTTTTTCCGTATGAAAATGTACTCAAACTCTAACTCAACAACATTACAGTTAGGGTTATCGATTTCGTGACTATTGCGTTCTACTTTGCCGTTGCCCGTGTATGCTCCCAATTGTACAAATATCGAATTCGAATAAGTAGACAATGACAAAAATAACGAATAAGTAGACAATGACAAAAATAAACTCAAATCAAAAGAAATACGTAGCGTCAGGTCGATTGTAAACTCGTTCCGTCCGAAGTTCGACGCTTGTAAACACATTACCACTACACAGATGAACGTCTATCAAGATCCTTATCCTTTGGACCCTGTTTTAGTTTTTTGTTCTTTCTTCTTGCGTCATCTACCTCGTGCTTTTGCTTCTTGAGTATCACACAAATGAATTTCTATTTCATGCACTTTGAGTGTGCATTTGGATTTGCAACTTTTGATGAGCGACAGGAAAGCGAAAAAGAACAAGAGAGGTGCGAGACGCGCAGCTCAGCTGCTCTGACATGATGATCTCACGGCGCTAAAAGTGTTCGCATGATGATGGTCACAAATTTAGAATACACGCTTCGGTCATTGATTTTGTCTTGACATGCAGAATCCCAGAAAAAAAATCAAAGTGCCATCTTACGAACACGAAGAACTTGCAGGATAAATGCATTCGACGAGTACAATAACTCTATAACATTGATTAACACCATCGCCTTGAAATCAGTGATCAGTTCATTAACTGCCTGTGTAATACGCAGGCCAACACACAGAAGATCTCCAACGCGCCACGCAAGCTCGAGTTGTTCGATGGTGATGCCTCGCATTACCACTAGAAGAAGTCTTACTCACGCTCACCCTCCCGCCTTCATTTAGTTCTGATTTTCATGATATCGCTCTTCATCTTCTTGTCGCACGACACCAGAAATTTTGCTAATGTCCTCGATTGTGTACGATGCTATTCTGTTTCTGTATGTACATGCTAAAAAGTGTAAGTAATGATTAGAAGTTGTGCCAGCACGTAGAAAAACTGGCAAGTAGTTGTTGTAACGATGACTAGATGTTGTCGTACACACTGTCACAGTGAAATTAATCGTCGATTTCGATTCGTCGATGAATGAGCAGTAGACATCACGACGCTAGTTTCGCAGAATTCATCGATTTCGCCTTCGCTCGTATTTGTCAGAATAAAAGCAAACAGACCACGACGAGCAATCTTCGACTACTAGGCTGCGCTGTCGCCGGACAATGCCAATGGTCAGAAGTCTGTTTACCGGTTCTAGAGACTCGATATCGACCATTGAGGTCGTGTCCTGTTCTGCTTCTCGATGCGAGCAGCTCGCGCCGTGGGTGGACACTAAGAAGTGTAACCTCGAAGAACAACCCAGCTGCGAATAAAACAAGGCTACGTTCTTGCTGTCAACGTCAGCCTCAGCGACAGACGATCCTAGAAGAAAGGAACTGCGTGTGAGCTGATAACTTTTGGGTTGAGGCGACGATTTGTCGTGTGGAAGACTTGTGGTCATCTTCAGGGTGAGTCACCTCCGAAAGACAGACCACGTGAGCACCAAGAATCTGGCATCTACGTAGGGGAAATGAAGTTTTCCTCGTACTTCGTGCTGTCCGCAGGGGCGGCAATGCTAAACTGCCTGCATGCCTGGAGTGTACACGAGCAGTTCTACCCTGCGGTGATCCACCTGGCCAGCGACAAAGTACAAGCTGTTTTCCGACGAAAAATGCTGTGTGACTGCGGCAAGAATAGAAAAGCATCTCAAGAGCATTTTTACTAGGTGTGTCTCTACATCTGGTTGTGGAAAGGGTTCGTTGCAAAAGTAACCCTCTACGTCAAATTACAAAAGGAATGAAAATTATGAACCAAAAACAGGTGAGCCTTGCCGTCCTGTACAACTTCCTTTTCTCGCTGTTCGTCATGCTGGGATGGCTAACGCTCAAGTTCTTCATCGGTAAGCCTAGTTGTTCTACTGAGTGCGACGTTTGGTGCATCTTCCTGAACGTGAATCATACCTGATCTTCAGGATCGATCATGTTTTTCTTCACCTATGATGAAAATACTATATCGGCTTTCGCTTTATTCTTTTTCTTGCAACTACAAAAATGAATTGCTTCATAATCTTTCAGGGCGACTTCGCGACCTGGAGATCGAGCAGCTGATTGACAGTGGCCGGGGGTTTCTCGCGGACACAATCCTTTTTCTGGTGTTCTACTCCCCGACGATCGACCAAAAAGAGGTGGCCACGCTGAGCCTGATGCAGTTCATCGTCGGGGTGATTTTTTTGAAGATGTTTCACCTGATCGCGCAGATCCGGGTGACCCACATGTTCGAGATCGGGGCCCCGAAGAAATCCGTGAAGATAAAACTCGCGGTGCTCATGCTGCTGCTCATTCTGGTCGACATCGCGACGCTGCAAAGGTTCTACGCCGCGAGCGGACGGCACTCGACCTTTTACACCTGGATTCTGTTCGATATGGGGTTCTCAAACGTTACATTCTCAACTGTTACATGGATCTGTCATGCAAAAACACCATCATCATCCTCACGATAAGGCTGCTCCGCATGACAAATTTGCGAAGGGCTAAGCCGCGCCTAAATCTGCGTGAAACTTGTAATGCAAGAGGCGCAATCTTTCTCCTTTCACTTTTGCCAGTCTTGCATTACAAATTCATGTAACGGTTGAGAATGTAACATTTGAGAACTCCATATTCGAGTCCTTCTCCATGGCCGCAATGATCGTCGTCACTATGCTCAAGTACAGTGAATTTCACATAGTTTTTGTAGTTCTGGTTTGCCTTTGACGTTGGTCCTTGTCCTCTTACTAATTTGTTCGTTACATTAACGTCACAAGCTGCCAGTGCCAGCACGGCAGGTGCTGCAAGATAGATACAGATGCAAAGGAAGTGTTGGTTCTGATTGTCCTCCAAGTAGATGAAATAGAAGAATGGACACGACTACCACAGGTATGTGCTCCACCTCATTGACACTTCACTGGAGCACGGGTGGCCGGGCAAAGCCGCCTACATCTTCTACCTCGAGCTGCTCGGCGATGTGGTGTCCATGACGATCTTTTTGTGCTTCATGAGCGTCTTCTTCATCCAGAATCCGAGCAGGCTGCCGATCTACATGATGGCGGATATCATCCAGGTGGCGCGCCAGCTCACGACCAGGCTGAGGAACTTCCGAAAGTACTACAGTTTCAGTTACCGTTCGATGTCCACAACTACCTATTCCGTGCATAGAAATATGATGGGATGTGGGTTTTGGTTCTGCTTCTGCTTTTGGTATGACTATTATAAATACAGACTCACAATGCTGGTACTTATATGAACTGTGCACCGTTTAATTTGCGCGGAAAAAGTAAGAAGTTCTAGGTCTAGCTGAGTGAGCGAGAACGTGAATGCGCACCACTAAGTTTTTACGCCGTCAATCTTACAATCAGGTATCGTTGCATTATGGCGGATTTCGAATCGAAGTTTCGCATGGCGGACGAGGAAGAGCTGAAGGCTGCGGAAACTTGTATCATTTGTCGCGACGACTTAAACGAAGGGAGCGTCATTCTGCCGTGCAACCACATCTTTCACGTGGATTGCCTCAAATCATGGCTGGTATAATGTTTTGTCTGACGTTGAGCACAGTTGAATGTCTGATTGATGCATGGTTGTGGGAAGGCAAAATGAGATACAACGAATGTCGAGCTTGGCAATAGTTTTCGCAATGATCAACATCAACTCACCGCAGGTGATGCAACAAGTTTGCCCAACTTGTCGGGCCGAGATTCCGATAGAGCGCGAAAAGCTGAACGAGGCTTACCGCGAGAGCGACAAAAAAGCTGGGCGCACGCCGAAGCAGGAGGCAAATCCATCCCGACTGGTGCAGGATGCGGTAAGTTGAATTCAGTAAAAATAAACGCAATCTCCTTGCACTTGCAGCCACACAACGCTGCATCGTATGTACTTATCTTGTTTCGGACACGACTACAAGTCTCCTCCTGTTCCTGATCGATAGTGAAGACGAAAATTATTACTTTCATACAATCCCTACACGTACACCAGGGCGATCACGGTGCGGGTACCAGTCAGGAGGATCGCGACGAGGCCGCGGAAGACGGTGGGGGAGACCACGACAAAAAGCAGAAGTCCTCTAAATCCACCGGCTGGCTGGACACTTTTATTGGCAAAACCAAAAAGAAAGATCAGCCTGTGGAGGACGCGCCCGCGAGCCTGCGAAAAATCGAGCACGGGAGCAAAAACACAACCGACCCTGCCTATGAACAAACGTACCAAACCTCCGCGATCCGGTCCCGGCACTTCCGCGAACCCACGTCCGAAGCCGCCAGAAAACAGGCGGAACTGATGCGGAAGCAGAACGCCGCGTTCCCACACAACAGTGCTGGGTCGTCTTCCAGTAGCAGCTCCTCCTCGCGGGGTCCTCGTGGTCGGCCACCGCCCGGGAAAGAGATCGACACATCGACGACGTCTCCCGCAACCGCTTTATTTCAAACGGAGCAAGCCGCCCCTGCCTGGGCCACCTTGCGAGACCAGATGGCAGCCGACGACAGCACGGGCAGTCCGCAGTACGGCGGGCCACTTTCGCCCTCAACTAGTGCTGCGCTTTTTGGGGGCGACCCAAATTTTTATCCACCTCCTGGATCGTCTTCCTCTTCGCAGCCGGAACAACAGTTTCTTTCACCGGTAAAAAGCCCGCATGGCATGCTGCCAGACGCCGCAGGTGGCCCGCCTCCACCGCCTGCTCTTGGTTCGCTTTACAACTATCCCCCCGGAACAGGTGGACCTGTCGCGACGTCACTGCCTTTCCCCACGCATTCCGCGTTTGCGCCTCCCCCAGCAGGCGCCGAGCACCTGCTCCCCCCGGGCTACAATATCTACAACCAGAGGCCAACGCCCGCGACCGGTTCGTCGGCACTTCCGTCCCCAGGAGGGCTCTACCCCCCGCAAGCGGGAATACTGCCGTCGCCGCTTGGCACACCTGGAACCGGCGTCGGCTCGCTGCTTCCACCAGGTAGTACGCCGTTTGGCAGCTCCCGTCCGTCCGGCCCATTCGCGCCGGCATTTGCGCGGTCACCCTCCGACATGAGTGGAGTGAGCGCCACAAGCCAGCCGCCGTTTTTGTCGCCGAACCCGGAGTTTCACGCGATGGTGGAACAGACGAACAGCACCATCCGGCAACTCTCGCAGATGCAGGCCTTCTGGTTGCAGCAAATGCAGGCACAGCAGCTGCTGATGATGCAGAGTAATCCGGGGAGCGCCGTCGGGACACCAGTCGTTCCAACAGGACTTGCGCCGTCGCCCGGAACGACAACACTGTTCCCCGGTGGAGCGGCACCCGGAGCAGGTGGAGTTCCAACAATGGCCGGCGTTTCGCCTGCTCCGCCCGCGGGATTGCCAACGCCAGGAATGCACCCTGGCGACCAGCAAGTTGCGGCTGCAGGAGACCCGCTCCTAACAACTGCCGGCACTTCTGCCACAGCCAGCGTGTTACCACCTGCAGGAGCTTCTGGGTCATCTTCATTGGGCTTTCCTTCACCATTGTGGCCCATGGCGCTTCCCCCGATGTTCTCTCCGCAGTACAACAGCGCCGGAGGACAGCAGCTAGCTCCTACTACTGGCATGTCTCCAGCGCCGCCGGCGACAACGACTTCAGCACCCTCACCGCCGCAAATGGCAAACACAACAATCGCGGCGTCTCCGCCCCCGCCAGTTGAAGCCGTGTCGTCCTCTGCAACTGCTGTAGACAGGAGCTCCGCAGAGCGACCCCGCAGTGCCACCTCCCCCGCAGGTCCGGCTGCAACTGTCTTGGAGTCGCCTTTTGCAACAGCTGGCGCGGCGCCTTCTGGTATGACCGGGAACGGTCAACCGCCTACACCGGCGGTGGATACGCCTGCAGCGGCCAACGGAGTGGCACCGGCAGTTGCAAATGGCGGCCATACAGCACAGCCAACTGGGAATGGGACCACGCCAACGCCTAGCCCAAACGGACACGCACACACGGGGGCGTCTTCAGGTATTCCGGTTTCGACTTGAGTGGTTGGCTCGAAATAAATAGATTTTTCATTTCAATCCATGGCATCCATTGATTTTAATTGAGGCTGCATTTTTCTGCACGAGCATTGAATGCTCACGCAGATCCGGCCGCTCTTTTTGTTTTTGTTCCTATACTATAGTGATAGTCCAGTACTACGAGTGAGTGCGAGTGGATGATTTACTGGGAGTGGGACTACGTTGAAGATAAAGCCGTTATTATTTGAAACACAAATCAGACACCCGACCGGTGCCGGACGCCAATCGCCCTTCGGTCGAGCAAGCGGCAGTGGCGCCGGTAGCGCCCAGCCCCAGCGGGACAGCCACAGAGAGTCCGCCGCCGTTGCGAGGCAATACCGATAGCGTTTCCTCCTTGTCTGAGCTGCGGAAACTCCAGGAACAGAAGTACAGAGAGCACAAAGCAGGCTCCCCGACGTCCGCAGAAAAGCGACCGAGTGCCACCAATGCTGCACCCAAGTCCCCGAAAAGCAGTCCTGGTGCAAAGTAACCGCGCCCCCCTCATCCAACGAATTGCAGGGGCCAGGTACTAGCAGCCCACCTCTTCCCGGATATCACAACTCTATTTCGTTGGTGATAGGTGATTACCATTACGGTCATAGAACCAATTCATAGTGTGTATGTTGGTTCGTATGATCACGATCACCACGGCCATATAATTTATGATATCGGATGAAATTGATATTGAAGAGTGTAGTGAAGCAGCAGCTCGCGGTGGAGCTGCTCCTCATGTCGAGCACGCCCAGGCGGGCGCAGTTCCTCATTTATTTTTTGTTCCGTACAAGTATTTGCTCTGCAGACATACGCTGGCGAAGTACAGCGAAAAGTCTAGTTTTTACCCTGAGTAGTTTATACAAAGAAACCTTCTGTCAAACGAAAGAACTTTTTAAGTAAGCGAAATACCACGACATGCGACAACGAGACGGAGACAGAGCAATAGTACTTTTTGCTCTACACCTACTTTAAAATAAGAAGGCGTGTGACGAAAGCTGCAGCATCTTCGTACTCATGTTCCATTTTCAGGAAACCAGGAAACACCCTCCACCGTTCTATCGACATACGATCAGGCACTTTCGTTGGTTTTGCGTCCGTTTCCGTTCATATCGTTTCAAATTTGTATTTGCAGTATGTGGACTGTCCTGACATCATTATGAACATGAAGCTTCCTTTCTCCGTTTGTTGTGTCGTTATCGTACTTGTGTTACGATTTGCTTCTGTTCATCATGCGCGTTTCTCTCCTGCACCTGCTCAGTGAAGAAAGGTGTGGGGGTCGGAGGGCTCCGGGTCTACAAGCCCATCGCGCCTACTAAGATCGAGTCGTGACGTCTTGATATATGTCGTTTGCTTTTTTGGTTCTAGTACCTCCAGAGCCGCACACACAGACATATGGTTCATCTGATTGCTTTTCGGCATTTCTAATTCATTGTAGAACCAGGAGAGGAGATGTGGCCGTAGGCGAGGAGAGGAAAAAAGGCAGTGATTACAGATTCGAAACGGCTTTTGAAACGACTAGCCGAAACTGCGACTGCCGAAGATACAGAGAAGAGAGAATAGATTTCAAAAAGCGCAGCCTTGGCGAGGAAACAAAGGTTTCTTTTTCGTCACGCGATCGCAACGTGGAGTGTCGGGTTTTGTAAAGAACCAACTTTTTGAGTTTGATGACCATTTTTTTTATGTAACTTTTGCGCAAAAATGGCCGTCATCGGCGACGGTTTTGCATCTGCTTTGCAGTCCATCAAAAGATCACAAGCGCGTCATGAAAAATCAAAAATGCCAGGTCCGAAAAAGTGTATAATGCTAAGATATAGCAACAAAAATACGTAAAATGGGGCTTCAAGATTCATCACAACAGCACGAGAGCGATCATCTTCGAAGACTGTGGTCCCGGGTCGATGCAAAAGCGGCAACAGAATACCGCGCCGAACCCGGCCGGGGCAGATGGGAACGTGCGCGCCGCAGCGGAAGAGGTGATGCGCTCGAGGCTGTTGATAGTGAGGAGCAACTACATACAGGCACGCAGCAAGAACAGCGCTGGGCCCCGAGAAACGTTGCCTACGAGTCACCGCGTCGAATAGTAGAGGATAAGCGTAGCTTCTCTACTTCTGCAACTAAAAAACCGACAAGCGTCACGCCTGGACGCCGGGAAGATAAGAAAACCCGTTTCACCACAACCACGTGCAAGTCCCCCAAGAAGCGAGAGTCGCCAAAGTCCACCCGACGCGGTGAAAAAGGCGAGGCGTATGGAGAGTCGCACGACGAAGAGGACGACATATATAGCGACGACTTTGACGACGAGGTGGATGATGATGCTTTTACTGGGTCAGGGTCACGCACACCGTCGCCCGATACAAATAAGAAGTCCGTGCAGTTGGAATCGTGGCTAAAACGTCTCATCGCGACCGAGAAATATTGGAACGACGATCTAGAAGGCGATGTTCTTGATGTGTTGGGCGACGACGGGATGAGCCTGACAAAAATCGAAGACATCAGAGCACGCGCAGATGAGAAGCACGTGCCAGCGAAATGGGCTGCCAAATTGCCCCTCCCGGGGTATTTGCGAGCTGACGATGGTGCAAGTAGCACTTCCTCTGACGCCGGAGTAGATCACAGAAGTTCAGAGCTTGTTCAGCAGCATGAGAAACAGATCTTCGATCCAGATGGTGAGGGAGGCTTTCTCTCAGCCTCGACCGAGCAGGATATCGAGCTGGAAACGGAGCAGCAGCCGATGGCGCACATTTTTCCAAACGAGTCCTCAAGCAGTCCGTCGAGCAGGGGGAAGGCAAGAGCGGCGGCGCGGGAGCGATTGACGGCCATCGCCGAGCAGAAGGCAAAGTTGAAAGGCGAGATGGCGGAACTGCTGACCCATCTGAAAATGGAGAAGAACGCTTCGTCCGCGGAGTTGCGCAAATATCCACAGAAAAAAACCCATCCACATCCAATTTGTAATGCAAAACACGTATCAAATCATGTGTCTGTCATGCAGAAAATGGATGTGGATGGGTTTTTTTTCTGTGGATAGCAGCGCCGTTTGCCGACGCAGAGAACGGGAGGAGGCGATTTTGGCAATGTCCGCAAAAGGTGATGGAAAAAGCGGAAGCAAAAACTGCAACATCAACCCGTGGGCACACGACGAAACGCAGTCTTTTGGTCTCGCATTGGCGCAGCTCGAGACCACGGCGAATCAGCTTCATACTGAGGGGGATCGCGCCTTCGCACCTCCTGCTCTTCTTGCCGGAGATGTGAGTTCTATGCAAAAAGCACAGCAACAACATCAACAGCGAGCTTCATCGCCCAGCATGAAAAGTCGCAACGGGGGTACAAATATTCTAGATCCGGGAAAAAGACAAACCCTTCTGCCGTCCACAGCCCCGGCGCTAAAGCGGTACGAGCGGGACTGTATCGAGCGGTTGCGGAACCGGCAGGCCGCACTAGAAATCCAGAAAAAAGGCGGAGTGCAGGCGGCCAAGATCGACACGTTCTTGCGGAAACAGGAGATGCTGAAGGAAATTTGGAAATTGCAGACAGAGGCCCGGCTGTACATTCCCGCGGTTGCTTTGGAAGGGCCGAATGCGGGACAAGGCGATAGCGAGGAAAAGGAAAACGAGAATCCATTCCAGGTTCGCCTAGCAGCGGCACAGTCGCGGGCGTTAAGCAAAAGTGTACTGCGGGAGGTTCACCGTGTGTCGCGATCACAGAGCCCTGTGAAAAGACGATGTGGGTAGCGCAGGAATTTGCTGAGATGCAGCTGTCTTCAAGATTCATCAGAACTTTTTCTGACTCGTTCTTTGCCACATACATTAAAAAGAAGCCGATTGTAGTTGTAGTTGTAGAGAATGGAAAGTGGGAAAAAAGGAATATGCAAAGGATGCACCAGCATGTCTCATCCACAAGAGACAAAAAACTCCCCGAGTCGCCTATTGGTGGTCTCAACTGTGTCTTCTACGTCGCGGTCTGTTCACCACACCAAATCATCAATTTTTTCACTGCGTGTACTTACTTTTGATGTTGTTTAGGGCAGGCTCTAGAAGTACCATAGACTATCCAAATCTTCAAATTGGAGCAGAACTACCTTTTGCCCTTGGTCGTTACAATTTATGCTCAGTAAGCTTCTACTTGAACCATGAAGACGAACCATGTCGGAGGACGCGCGCGCGTGGTATTACTCCGCGTTTCGTGGCGACGTGCTGGAGCACAGCCCGAAGAAGCTGCGGCGAATCCACTTCAACACCGACGAAGTCGAGTTTATCGAACCGGAGGTCTTTCTTGCAGGAGGGAGCACAGCAGCGAGCTCCAGCTACGGCGAGGATTTTTTCCAAGAATTCATCGCTCCATTTATAGAAAAAACGAGCGGAAGCACCACGACAAGACAAGAAGTAGCTGGTGGAGAGAGAGCGCAAAGATCACGCACATCTACTTCGTCGCCGCGGAAAGAAAAAGAAGAAGATGCTTCGAACCAGGAAGTCGACACGACGGCAAATAGCGCTGTACTCTCAGCCGCCGCAAGCTCCTCGACGACCGCGCCAAGAAGCAGGCCAAGCATGGATGTTTCGTGGCTCTCGGAATTTTATCCGTTTCGTCGTCTCAAGGAAGTCGTAAAAGCCGACGGTGTTCGTGTTCTAGAGCAAAGGAGTACTCGCGACTTCCTACTCCGCACAGCCATTTTCTGTCGCCTGGCGCTACCGGGGAGCAGCGGCACTAAGCACGTCTGGCGCTTGACCAGAGAAGACTTAAAGTCGTGGAGGAATATTTTGCGCAACTTTCTTGGCATAAAGATTAAGATACCAGACCGACGGATGAAACGACCTACTAGCGCATTGGGTGGAGGACCCAGCACTACCTCGAGACGAACAGACCAAGTGGTAGTCAACGAGTCGCAGGATGTCGAAGGAATATTGTTGATGAAATCCATGGCAGAGAAATTTGAGCGAGTCGACGTAGAACAAAACGCAGAAACCGACGAGAAAGATGAAGCGAAGGACCATCAAGCATGTCCTGCAGCCACAGTAGAAGTTTGTCCGCCGGCGTCGGAAAAAATCTCGCCAGCAAACAGAAACACGTCGAACACCTTCGTCACAGATGCCGCTTTATTACGTCGTGCGGCACCCACGCAGAATTTGGAGCGCCAGTTGATGACATTTCTGCTGCAGCTGATTTTTTCTAGCCGCTATAACTTTACCCCCGGCCTGTTCGCCGCGATGCTCAGTTTGCCTCCAAGAAACGAAGGTCGTGCTTCTAGAATCCTCCAAGGCACGGCAACTGCCTTATCAGGGGAACAAGTACTGGCACAATACGGGCCGCCGACTTCTTATCCCAGCTGCGTTTCATGGGATTGCAGAGTGTGCGACTTCACCAACGACGCGCACAGCAACGTGGGTCTAATCATTAAACGAAAAAATGCACCAGACGAAGAAGTCGAGAATTATCCGGACGGCGAACACGAAGAAGAAATCGACGCCGCGCCGGCTTTCTGTGTTGGTTGTGGCTCCTACTGGAACGATGCTGAGGTTTGGCTCTGCGATTGTTGCGACACGGTCTGCGCATTCCACGGCCAAGTCCTAGAAAATGTCCACGCAGTTGCAGTGGAGGACAACATGTTCGAGGGGGGAAGCACTTCTACCAACATGGAAGGGATCAATATATTTGCAACAGGAACTACAATTGGAATTGCAGCATATGGAGCTGCCACGGGAGGGTCGACTGTTACAACCGAGCTGCAAGAAAACGATAAGCATAAGACGAATGGCGACACTCGAGACTCTACTCAGTCCGAATCTGCACCCGATGAGGCAGCGTTACTGCGGTATCTGATTTGGGTGGTAAAGCAGCAGGACGATGTAGACTCGGTGGAGAGGACACCACTGTTTCCTCGGCCCGTAAATTTAGAACGGTTTTCCGCACTGTTGCCAGCCGTTGGCTACCCCGAATGTCCGACCTGTGGCATGCTTCGGCCCACGATCCAATCAATTCCCGGTTTCTGCAGGTAGCTACGAGGGCAAAGTAAAAGACAGCTAAAGAAAATTTCATACATGATTCAGAGGGTCAAGCAGGATTCAACGGGTACAGATGGATGTACAGCGAACATATCGGCATAAAGCGAGAAAGTAAATTCCTCCCTAGCCAGTTTTCTGAAGAGCCAACATGTCTGTTCATCTCTGTCCGCTTCATTTTCTTCGACATGCTCGCTGTTTGGTGGACTGCAACCAAAATGCTTCCGATCTTCACTTTGTGTAGCTGACCTGGTTGTTGATGTCACTGATCTTCAAAATTGAAACGAAAACGTCAAGCATCTTGAAATTGAAATTTCAAATCTCAGCGAGATCCTTGCAGCAGATCCATCGCCGGAATGATTTGAAAATGATGATGATCCTTTCACCGCTTCCGCTCTTGATCTAAGCAAAATGGAAATTATGCAAAAAAAATTATGCGGATGCGCACTCCTAGTCCTAGCGGAGGATAGTGAATAAAGATAGAAGAATTAGAATTCGCACTTGTACAGATGTGTTTCTTCATAATTTGTGCAACAACGATCACGATATTCTAATGTCAGGAGCTGTGCGTGGGAAACATCCTGAATGCTAGGACCGATGTGGTTGTTTTGGTATAATTGGAATAGGACGACACTCTGCGTGCTCGACAGCCCCAAGTAGAGCCGCCCGTTACGTTTGTTTTGACCGCTTCTACTATACTTGTCACAGTGATCGTGATGTGGTGGAGAAAAGCAAAGGATAAGGAAGACTACTACGATGTGAAGACAAAACTAGATAGGTTTTGAGAAGGACAGCGAATAGCTGCAAATCAACAGGATGCCGGTGTATGGCGTCGAGTTTGTCGGCGACAGTTGGAAGCACAACTGTATCTTTTTGTGGCACTGTTGGATTCTGTTTTCCTGCTGCTGCCTGATCATCGGACTGGACATTAGTCAGACCATCACGCCTCGGGTCGGCCCGGTCGGCGGCGGACATAACTACGGTCTGGTGAACAATAACTACAACAACGGGAGCACTTACTGCAGGGAGAACTGTTGCGTCAACAACACGCAGAACAATGTCATGGCCCACTTGGTCTTCAACGGCGTTGCAGTGCTTTTCTTCAACCTGTTCAAGATCGTCGGCCTGTTCATGGGCCTTTGCGACACGGAGTACATGGCGAACGGATTCCAAGAGCTCGGGTCGGTCAAGTTTGCCTTTTCGCTGCTGGTCACCTTTCTGTCCCTTACCGTGGACATCGTTTTCCAGGACGTGCTGACGAAAATGAAATTCTTTGGGGTATACATAGTTTTCATTACCGGATGCCGACCATGATGACGAAGTGGAAGTGCTTTCTATTCATGTTACTTCGCGGATAGTGATTACTTGAAAGTCTCTTGAATTCTGTTTCTATGTCTATCGAGCAGCCTCATGATGATTGTCAAACGTCTTGATGAACATTTCCGCTCCCACTAATTCTCTACCAGGTTTTCGTGCAGTGTAACGGACGGCAGAATCTTGACAATTGGAGCCCGGTGCCAGCTTACCTCTATCTCGCGTTGAACTACGCCTTTCACGGTGTTTACGTGGTTGCCATGATTGGGGCGTACTGTTCGGGGGAAGCGCGGGAAAACCGGCGCAAAAAGCGGCGACGGGTAATCCGATCCGCGCAGGTGCTGCCAAACCACGTGACGACACTCTCGGACCTGGACGAGTTGCCGGATTTGGAGTTTGCCAGCCCGAGGTACCGTCGAGCATCACGGAAAATCAGTCTGGTCGCGACATCGACGGGGGCGCAGCGGCGGGGCGGGGACTTCGAGGCCGGGGATATAGACCATCTGGGTGTCGGAACCAGTGGCGCACGACATCATCACCTCGAGGGGAGCTCTTCCTTTGGAAGTGGGAACACTAACAGAACAAGAAACTTGATGGACCAGCACTCGGTAACTGGGTCCTCGTCTTCAAAACTAAACGGGTTAACGCAGCATCAACATCCTCTTCCGTCCGCCCGAAATAAAATTGGCACCTCTAGTAGCAGCACAGCTCCCGCCTTCGAAACGGCAAACACAAGACGCTCCTCGTCAAAAAACAGTGTGAGTCATCATGCGCTTTCTAGTAGTTCTCGCAACTCGCGACCGAGTAGAACTTCGATCAATATTAAGAGGAGCGCCCGTACCACCGGCGGGGCTGCCAGGACGTCCAGTCGCGGTTTATTGCACAGTGGCAGTTACTCGTCTTATCCAGAACAGACCACGGAGCAGGTCAACGGTTTGTCGGAAAAGCGCGAAAGTACTGTGCGTGGATATCATGAGAATATCGTCCCCTTTGCAGAGCCAGATCAGGTTGACACGAAGCTGCACCTGCAAACGACCCAAGGCTTTCGTCCTAAGCGACCAAGGAAGCCCCCGGCCGCACCCCCATCGTTGATGCCAACACCAACAGGAGATGGAGCTGCCAGAGCTAGGTCTTCGAAATCTGGCGGCACCGTGATATGAAAGATCATGCGACACTGCCCGGCGCGGCCGCGGATGCCGCATAACAGAAAAGTAAGTCAGGCAAGCCTTTTCCTTGCCAAGCCGTGGGAGCGGGGAATTAGTAGAACAGGTGACGCTTCTCAGGTGTTTGTGCAAAACGAGGATGCCACGTCGTGCAAAACATTCTAAGGACGGCGTAAAAAAGCAAGAACCCGATAAAGAAAAAAGAGGACCACGAAAGATTGTTTGACGGCTCCGACTTTCCTCACCCTTTGTATGCCTAAATATTCGCATATACAAGAGACTGATTCTTGTTGGCATCAATTAAAAAGAAGTACGAACAAGATGAAAAAAATTCTAAACGCAGGATAGCAGCCACACTCCATCTGCCACCATAGGAGCGACAATTCTCTCCCTCTCGTAAAGCAAGAAAATCCGACCCAACCCCCAAGTAAAAGTCAAGTAAGCGACAATGAAAATGCGACTCCACCTCTAGTAAACCTAAACCCCCACACTCCCGAGTAAGACTTATTCTAGCAATGAATCACACAGTAATGCGGTTCATGGAAAATATAAATAATGAACATGAAGCGGCTCTGACACGCAATGTTCTTGATAGATGGTTGCCTGGCAGAGCATTTGCAGCAAAAGCCATGGAGACCCGTTCTCTTTTGCTGCTTCTCCCGCGCGAATGATCACGATCCCCATGCCCTGGCAATGAACCCGTAACAAAGCACGGGGGCACTTTGTATTGCTCCTGTGCAAAACTACTGCTACAGAGGGTCCGTCCTGTTTTCATCCATGCTGCGAAACCCAAAGCAGGAATAAGGAGACCCTCAATAAAACAAGTTTTGAAGAACTCTGAAGCGATAAAGGAATACGAATAACATTTCTTTGCCTTACGCACTGAGCTACGGTTTTTGTACCGGTACCTGTAAAAATTCAAGTAAAAAGTAGAATGAAGATTCATGAAAACCTTCCAAAATAAATTCATCGTAGTGTTGTTGCGGTCTAGGTTTGCTCCGAGGCTGTTGCGGTAGAAGGTCGCTCTTGTGTTCGTAAATCGAGGTCCATGCCGGATAGAATGAATCTGAAGCTGTCTCTTTTTACTTTTGTTTGCGTCCCTTTGTAGTTCGCGTTCATGTACTCATACTCTACTCGATAAGGTTAAGGTGCCCTAGTACAGTAATAGGACCTTCCTGAAGGATAGATACGTAAAAAGGTTTTTTCTTGTCTTTGCTGTTAGAGCTACCCGTAGTATTGTTTTATGCAAAATCTGCAAGAGCAAATACAAGAAGCAGATCGCCGAAAGCGGGCAGCCGATCTGCTACGATTCTCATTCTCTCGCGAAGAAAATTGGAATGATGGAAAAGCACGAGGAGCGCTGTGCTAAGAAGAAAATGAAAAAAGAGAGAGAAGTGCTCATTGATCAAGTGCAGTCAGATAGCGAGAGCGCACCACACCAAGAACACTGATAGTTTTTACTTATAGTGTAGACCCCGCAGTTGGGTACATCATCATCATCATATGCTGTATCTGTAGGAGTTACCCGGAGTATCGTTTTATGCTGTGCTGTAGCTGTCGTAGTGCCCTGAGTTTTTAGTCGCTTTTTTTGCTGCTGTGCTGGTTGTTGCTGCTGCTGTGCTCTGCTGAGTCCCAAGTGAAAGAGAACAACAGAGATTTCCAGACATTCGCTGCCATAATCGGCTCTGTCGATTGGCTAGCGCCTTTTAAGGAATCTCATCATCATCATAGCCTAATCGTTGCTAGCATTTTCTATTTCACCGGCTCAGTGCCTCTACTGCTCACCATGTCAAGCTCAAGTTCGTCTTTCTCTGGATCTTCCACGAGTGCCAATTCTAGTACAGGACCAGGTTCGTCCTCGAGTGGATCGCACATTCTTCACCGAGGATACGACGTCACCTCCCTATCGCCGGACCAACTTCTCGGGGTGCAAATGGCGTTCCAGGCCTGGCGTTTCAGCGGTGAGTATGCGCCGAGCCGGGAGGAGCTGCGGCGGCAGCGGAAAATCCAAAACACCGCGGTGACATACGCGACGGCGCTCGGCGGCCTCACGTTCCTCGGTTGTGGTCGCACGTTCCGGGTGTCAGGCGCCAGCCCGTGGACAGTGGTAAGAATATACAATTTCAACCAAGTAGGTAAGTAGGTGACCAGGATGAGTAAGTATGAATGAGAATGTCCATGCGTGGTCGATGTGGAGCGAAGATGAGTTTAAAAGTCCGGATTTGATGGTCTGGCGGCGTTGTATGTTGTAACAACTTCAACTTGCGATGAAGAACCTTTTCACAACTCCCTGCTCCTAACTTAGATTCCTGCCGCTGCCGCTGCATTCGGTACGCTTGCGATTTCGTCCCAGCTGCAGTGGTCCAGTTGGATCCGCAACGTGTTGGCCAAGGACGCACCGCCGGGCGCATGCTGGGCTACAAAGGTGCACGAGCTCTTTGACCAGCTTCAGCGAGGCGAGGATGTGGTCGTAGATGCTGGGAAGGCTGGTCGCGTTGCCATCTCGCCACGAACAAACAGGGAACGCCAAAGCCACCGCGGGACGACCGGGGGTGCTTTCGGCGGATATGGCGTGCCGCCGGCACAGCAAGGGCAAGCTGGCGGTGCTTCCGAGCAATACAGTGATGGCGATAGTGCTGGCTTTGATGGCGGGCAAGCGCAGAGTCAAGTGTCACGGCGTGGTGCGGGCCCCTCTCGGTCCTCAGTAGACGACTCGCAGTTCTCCTCCGAGTTTTTCGTCGAGGAAGCTACTGCCGGTCCGGCCATCGGAAGTGTCAAGTCCGACGAATTTTTACCAGAGATGGGACCACGCGGAGGCTCATCAAGCAAATCCACATCTAGCACATCATCTCTCTCCGGACAGAGGAAATCCGCCGGTGGCTCAATGATGGAGGACCTGGATTGGTTTATTTCGGGAGATTCTGTGGGATCGCCGAGCGAGCGGGATTTCAATCGGCTGGATCAGCAGCAGGGCCGGCTTGACGGCCAGAAGCAGCACTCGCGGGACGCCATGAAGCGAGCCACCCGCACCACCAGCCCGGCACTGCACGCCGCGCGTCAAGAGCAAGAAAACGAGAACTACAGCGTTGAGGCAGCTCAAAGAAATGATCCTTGGGCCTCATCTTGGGGACGCGATGGAACAGATTATCTGGACGAAGATCGCAGGACAGGAAGTAGTGGGGGCGCCACAACAAGGCAACCGCAAACATCCGCGGGGGCGCCTGGTGGTACAAATACCAGACCTGCTGTCGCCGCACCACAATATCGGTCCTGGGATGAAATTCGGAAAGAGAATGTCGGCACGTCGGCAAACTCGCAATACCGCACGTGGGATGAGATCAGACAAAATTCTTGACGATATTACAGGAATTATTCATCCAGGGAAGCGATCGAAACTGCACTCCTGTACCTTTGCTTAACTTTGCGTCTCTCTTTTTGTTTGCCGTGATGGCCGGTGAACAAGGACTACTTAGTTCTTCTCGCCGAGAAACTTCGTAGCACACCATTCCCGGCACACACATCCATGCTGTATTTTCTGTCACGATGCATCGCAGGCGGGGAACAGGACTTCGGGGACGGAGGGTTAGTGCCCTAGTACGAAGACACACATTGTTACGTTTTGCTTTTGCGTTTCGCAGTGGATATAGCTAGCAGGTCCAGGTAGATGTTTGCTGGTGAGGATTTGCCGCAGTCGTGTACTCTTTACTATTCTTAGAAGCACATCGTTGCGTAAGTCAAAGTCTAGGTGTATGCGTCCTCACGTTGCGGCTCGCTCGTTTTAGTTTCATCCAATAGTAATCGCTAATAATCGAACTGGACCACTGATGTGTCGTTTCGACAACTTCAGATCGTTTGAGTATTCGGAATCGATAAATCGGCACAGGAATGCCCTCTCCTTATCGTCCTTTATTGTGTCGTTTTGTTGTGGTTGATTTTGTGTGCAGTCGTCGTGTCTATTTTTCTGTTTGGGGGCGGTAGAGGAAAAAAAAATAAAAATAAAGTATATGAGCAACATAGTATTTGCTTCGTCTCGTAGTGTCATATTCCGTAGCCGTTCGGATTCTGATTGAGTAGAAGAATTGACGATGTGACTGACCAGTGACACCAATCGAAGTTATCATGCCGTCTTTGTTTGGTGCCGGTGACAACCTTCAAGGCTGTGCTCATCTTTTCGAAAAACCTTTTTCTTCCGGCTGTTCGGACGTGGATGGCTACCATGTCTGTGTGAGTATTGACGCCGGGCGCGGGAGAGCTGCGCCAGCTGCACCGGCATCTACTTTCGGATTTGGTCACGGACAGAGCCAAAAGCACGCACTCTACTCCGCCTTTCTAGAGTCGGATCCTACAACACCGACGAGTAGTTGCAAGACACGGGCATCATCTGGGACGACGAGGCCGCACACTGCTGTTTTCGCGGCTGATCATGCCGCTTCTGGCGTTCTTGGGGCGAAAAGTACAGGGAGGAACAACTGCAAAAATCTCGCGACGACGTCTCTCAACTCGACAGCTGCAGTGTGTTCGTCCCCAACGAGAAATCGCGGACCGATGTTCTTTTCGTCGCCAGGACGACAGCGAAGTAGTAGCTTCCTGGATCGGCCTCGGCGCCCGAACAGCGCGGCAGGACAACATCGGGAACAAGTGCCTGCAAAATTTGGGTATGCGAAAAACAGGAAAAAACCGATGTACTCTCCAAACATCATGAGTGACAAGTACCTGCAACTGCAGTTGCAAAAACTGAACCAGAAAGAGGCAGAAACGAAGCATGCAGCTGCAGCCAAAAATGGTGCTGGGGTAGGAGCAGGCGCTGCAGCGTCTTCAGTTGGAAAAAGTAGTCACGACCTTTCCTCGTCAAGCATCAAACTACCTTCCGGAGAAATTAGTACAACAGCAGCGAACAAAAGAGGGCGTAATTATAGGGGTCATGATCTACCAGAACCGCGGGCCCACGAAGACGAAGATGAAATAAATCGTCCCCATAATAAAAACAAGCCGCAGCCAGGTCCAGCGCCAGGTGGGTCTTCGCCGTCTCACAACACCGCTTTTCCCTGGTTTTGGATGAGTTCGTCGGAAAAAGCCGCCAAGCGGCGGCGGAAGATCCAAGCGAAAGAGGACGTGATTCGAACGGCCACCTTATCGAAAGGAAAGATCCCCCCTCCCCATATCAAAACGGAACTTCTGATGCTGGATTTGTGTACACAAATCAGGTTTGTATTGCAGAGAGGCACTGCGGCCAGATCCCCAGGCTAGGTCGGGGCGTATGGGTCTAGTTGTTCAGCATGTTGGCAAGCGGGTCACTTTTAGGGCCAACAGCATGACTAATCGCTTCCATGGTGGGGCGGAAGCTTCTGCCCTTGTCTTCTTGCAAGACGAATGCGATTTGTGACCTCAAATCAGCAACCCAAATTTTCGGAAACATGCCTTTTCGATATGGGGAGGGGGGATTTTTACTTTTGATACACGCAAGACTTTCGCGCCAAGCGCTGCTTCTTGGCGAAGCTGAAAGATTTTGACAAGACTTTAAGAAGGAAGGTGCCCTACGATATTGCGAAAATGGTGGAGCAACAGTATCAGATCGACTGCCGCGAGGAATTCCCGGTAGACGTCTGGCCGGACGACCCCGACGGCAGGGTCGCCGAATGCAAAACGAGGGCCCTGCAGCGGCTGGAAAACAAGAGCAAGTGGATACCGTTTCCCACCGCGAGTGCGACGTACCGAAAACTCGACCAGTGCGAGTACAGGGTGCAGCCCACATCTTGGGAAACATTCAAGCAGATATGCATTGCAAAAGTATCCTACTAGTATAAATCGCAATACAATTTTTTCCAGAAGGAAAAATGGAATTTGTAATGCTGATTTCGCTAAGAAACAGGATTTGTCATGCATGATTGCAATTACTACGACTGCGATACTTTTGCACAGGATAGCAGAAGATGAGCTGGAACAAATACCTGTTCAAGGACACTGTACGCCGAAAGATCGAGGTATGGAACTGTCAGAAGTGAAATTGACAAAGTTGAAATAGTTTGTCATGCATAAAACCGATACATACCAATTGGGCCGACATCAGTTTCTAGTCGGTGCATGACAAATTTTGTCCGTACCGGAGGCCAGGTTGTCATGCTGGTTACGGCGAAGGGGCTTCCCTCTGTGATCCTGATTAGCAGCCCAATTCTCGACCCTTACCAGCACTATAATCTGGCTCCCTTGCATCCTCTGCAATAGAGGCAGTTACTGCGTTGCATTCCATGCATGACGAACTATTTCAACTTTGACGATTTCGATCCTGACACCTCCATACGAGGAGCTGAAGAAGCTTCCGCGGAAGGTGAAAGACGCGACGAGTCGCGCGATGATGTCGACGCGGGACTTCTTGATCTCAAAAACGAAACAAGCCGGGCGTGGCGCCCTGGATTTTACGAAGAAGCAGCTGGCGCGCACGGGGTCCGCGATCAAGGCCGGCGCGAGTGCAGCCTACGCGGGATCGAAGGCCCGGGCACTGAAGGTCGCAAAGGAGGGCAAAAAGACGCTCGACGCAATGGTCACCGGGCTCGAGGAAACGGGCACGGCGAAAAAGGAGTCCTTACCCCCCGATGACATCGCGGTGCTCACGATGGCGCCACGCACGTCCCACACCGACCACTTTCTCACCTTCGATCGCATGGTCGGCCAGGGGCCCATGGGCCTGCGCGGCTACCACCAGTACTTTGCCGAGCCCGTGCATCAAGGTAAAGACACGGGGATCTTTCTGTGACAACTGTGAGCAGGCTTTGAAAAAACTGTATGTATTCTGAACAAGTGAGGACAATTTCATATCTGAAGAACAGGACTTCAATGAATGACCAATGTTGACCGTCCGCGGCACACGATGGATGAGCTCAGTACGTACTACCTTCAACCTGTCTTCAATGATCGGTGACAGAGAATGCAAAAGATGGCAGAAAATTTGCCGGAAAGTTGTGCCCTCGGTCGTTGGCTCTTTTCGTTTTGTTCGCTGCTGCGTCAGGTGGGGGCAACAAATGGAAATGCTCTGTATTCTTGCGCGATTTGCGTATGCTTTTACGAGAAAACACTGTCTCTGCCGTATGGTCATTTTACGTTTCCGTTCGTGGTTCAAGCTATTTTGCTTTTCCTGTTTGCTTTTTCTTCGGTTGAAATCACTACACCGAAAGTTGGAGCTGTGTTGAAGTTCCAAGAGTTACACGCCATTTTTTTTGGTACCTAGGTGGCACGGCTTTTTGAGTGCGAGGTCGAGAGGAACCCGCGAGAGAGTTCTGCGTCGGTTACTCTGTACAACGAGAACTAGTTCTTGCTGTTGCAAAGTTTTAACTGGAGGTAGCTGCGTGGGTCTTCAAGAAGTTTTAAAAAGGCCGCAAAGTAGGAAAAACAGTATGGAGCCCGCAGAAAGCGAGTAAGTAAAGGACCTAAGCGCTTCCGTGGACGACGAGACTTCCGTGGACGACGGACGATTTTCTTTGATGTAGTTCTTCTGTCGCTTTGTGTCCGGTAGGACAACGCTTTGAAAACCGACAGCCTGCCGCCTGCAGCTTTTTTTTTCTTCATCGTGAAGAAAGTTCCAGATTGTGCACAGAGACACGGTCCGAAAGGAAAATGTCGATGCCCCGTGGTGCTGGAGGTCCACCTCCGCCCGTAGGCTGTGGTGATGGTGCGAGCGACTACGCATCACCATGCGTGAGTGAGCGCGTGCTCCTGGGTGCTATCGGAACGCCAGGGTTTCACACACCGGGGCAAATGAGCAACGCAACGCCAACCAGTCAGCGCCGCCACAAGGCCGGAAGTGCCATGGACGATGCGTATATTCATGCTACTGTGACGAGAACCACACCGGATACTCGTGTTTTTGTGTTGATGTTGTTAATGAATTTTTCAGAATCTGTTGTGGTTGATGAAGATTCCTTTAGTTCCTTGGAATCTGATTCTCCTAGCACTTCTGTGGTACTAGCAAGGCAGATGAAAAATCCTCACCTCCAGCCGGAGCGAGGATGCCTTCGGGACGCCCGGCGAGATCCCGCTTTGCGATATGGACGAAAGGACGGGTGCCGATTGCGTAGCAACAAAACCACGCGAAGCGACCGCAATGGCTCAGCAGGTGGCGATGTCGACCCGGCAGCCAGACTTTGGTGGGGCATCATCCGAAGCACCAGAGCCTGCTTGCGGCAGCTCCAAATCTTCCTCGTGCAGTTCCCGCAGTGGCGGCTCTGAGGGAAGCAGTAGTTTATTTCTAGCGAAAAATGAAGCTGGTTGTGCTGGTTCGAGTTCATCTTCTTATCCCAATGGCTCCCCGCCGCCTTCAAGTAGTAAACTGTTCGTGACTGCGCGAGATGACGCGTCCGGTTCCGAACAAGAAGGGGAGTTCTTCGACGATGCCGCCCTGCAAGATGTCTACCCGAAGCGCGGAGAAAGCGACCTGCACTTCCACAGCGAGTTTAGCGAGCAAGAGAACGATAATTGCTACGAGGAGGGTATGATCTTCGTTTCGGTTTTCGATGTTTTTTTTTTCGTCGTGTGATGCATTTGCATTTGTTTCATCAATCTGACACTGACTCATCTATCTCATGCATCGATCCTTTTTGTTCGGCAACTACTCCGTTGTTGAGCCACGAACGGCTACTCGTCCGGGCCAAAATCGAAAGGGGTGATGTTGGGAAAATACCTCAGGTTTTTCAAAATCTACCTCAACATCTTCTGCCGGCGTTCCCGCTGTAGTGCCACTTCTTGGGCCGGAGCCAGGGCCACATACCAGCTCGCATGGCATCTATCCTGACGAAGGGGATGTCGAGGAGGATGATGGACCAGCATCGGGGACCGTTACCATTCCGCCCCCTGACTACGGTAGATCACGGGGAGCGCAGGACAGTCTACAAGACCGGACGAGAGGCAACGAAAACGATGTTGTCAAAATCCCAATCTCAGCGACTCAGACAAAACGAAGCTCTCCAGCGTCCGAGCACAGCTATTGTTCCTCACAGGTGGAGGCGTTGCTCGTACTACTTCTCTGGACAGAAATTTTACTCGATTTGGCAACGTTAATATAGCCGAGGACCTTGTTGCTATTGCTTGCTTGCCACACTGGTTATGTACGATGGTCAAATGAGAATGAGTTTTCTTTTTCATGCTCACATACCACTGAGTGACTCCTTTTTTCTCTTTGTCTCCAGCCTCCGCCCAGCTCCGCGCGAAAGCGAATACAGGCAGCGAGTCCTACATCCATTTCGACGGGTAAGCCACTGAGCTCGTGCGAAGACGACTCCACATCGTTTCAGCCGTCCACCATAATTCGGCCAAACTCTGTGTCACCCTTCGACGCTGTTATTCTCAACGAGCTTGCGTCCCTCAAAGAAGCCCAGGCCGGCAACAGGGCAGCGATTAACGGAAAGGTATGGGAGCAGTTGTAAAAGTAGTACTAATGATGTGCTTGCGAACGAATAAAAAGCAACTTAAAATAAGTGATATCGATTGTGCTATAGCGTCTTTGCACTTTGTTCTCAACATGCTCCTCGATACGATTTCGATGCTGTTGCTGGCTGACGAGATGAGAACCTGAGACGGAAGAAGCAAGAATTTGAACTTCGACCAGGTTGGTGCTGCCAATCCAGTCGTCAGAACTACAACTGTATGAACTGCAAAAGTATCGTACTCGTATAAATGCATTACAAATTTCCTCAGCATAAGAGATGAGATTTGTAATGCGGATTTACCTTAAGAAAAAGATTTGTAATGCAAGACTTGCATTTATACGAGTGCGATACTTTTGCACAGGATAAACTGGAGGCAATAAAGCGACAGGGTTTCCTTCACCAACACAAAGTGTTGTCTTGGGTTATGCCGTTTTCAACTGTTACATTCTCAATTGTTACATGAATTTGTGATGCAAGAATGCCAAAAGTCAAAGGGGTGACCTTGCGCGTCTTGCATGACAAATTTGGCGCAGATTCTCAGCCTGTTTGGCTCTTCGGGAGTTTGTCATGCGAAGCAGCTTGATCGTGTCAATTCTGATTGGGATTGCAATTTTGCATGACAAATCATATAACAGTTGAGAATGTAACATTTGAGAACTCCATATGGGTGCTGCCGCAACTCAACAATTACGACAGCAACGACCATGGGCAAGAACGACGAATACTAGCAGCAGTTCGTCTACTCTTCAGGAGCCCCCCGCGGCTGCTCTGAGAAAAGGTTCACCTTCTCCGGGAAACACGACGTTACCGAATTCCAAGGTAAACATCACGCAAACGCGTGCTTCTGTGGGTAAGATTCCGTTTCCTCCCTTCTCAACTGTGGGGTCGTTGGTGAGCTGCTCGAGTCCAAAAGCCGAAAAACCGCTACTGCTTCACGTCGCGGCTGCGCAAAGTCGTGCTGCCTCCGAGACGCGGGGCTGGCGCGTGCCGAACTTTTCCATTGGAAACCGTGCAAGCTGCAAGCGGGAGGAGTCTGCACCCTGCGGTCCTGCGAAACAAGTGCATCGCACGACGGTAAGTATGATGTTATGTGATTTGTTGCACGACAAGAACTTGCTGATGGTGATGGTCCCTTCTTGTCAAAAACAAAAGTGACGTGTGCTCCTTTCGTTGATTTCACGAACCTTGCGTTGGCAACATCAGTTTCGCTACGTGCACTCTCTTCATACTGTTTGCACAGCACGTCTTTACGATCAAGCCTCCGCCGCCGTTCCCTCAACTGTTGCACGAACCCGTGATGCCGTGCAAGCGCGCGCTTTCCTGGCGCGGTGAGCGGGTTTTGCCTCCAATAACGCCGGTGCCGCGTGTATGGATGTGTCAGGATCGAAATCGACAAAATCGAAAACGTTGCGATGCGTAGAATGTAAAGCACTGAAGGCCTGTATTGGGGAGCAGGCACATGAGACCGATTGTAAGCCTGATTAGGGGTATGCAATCTGCTGCCAGAGTAGCATGACAGGAGCAGCCTTCTTTGCCCAAACAGCATGACAGACTGGATTTGGGTGCTCCCGAAATTTGTCATGCGCCACTTGGAAGCTGAGGCTCCAACTGGCATCGATTTTGTGCATCACAAATTTTTCGATTTTGCCAATTTCCATTTCGATTATGACACTTCCATAGCGTGGAGGTTTCGGGCCCCGCCAACCGGACATCGGCACCCCCTTCGAAATATGAATTGCAAAAGCATCGTACTAGTATAAATTGCATTACAAATTTTCTCAGCATGAAAAATTGAATTTGTCCTGCTGTTTTACATTGGAAAGGGCATTTGTCATGCATAACTGCAATTAGTACTTTTGCACAGGATACGAAAAGTTTCTCGACCACAAGCAGCGATACGCATCCGCGTCGGTGACCAGAACCAAGCGGCGCACGTTTCCCGCGGCGGCCTGTGTGGCAGGAGGAGAAAAAACGAAGCAGCTGCAGGAGGAAAACGCAATAAGCAGTGGCTCACCTCCTCCTCCCGGTGACTTACAGAACCCCTCGCAGAAGTGCGACCGCGCGACCACAACCCGGAATAAAACCGTGAGCACTAGTACTAGCACGGTTACCACTGCAAAGACCAAGGACCCTCAGACGACGAGCACGGACGCCGCCAGAGTTGTCGAAAATAACGCGAGGGAAACTTTGCCAGCTAACGCATGCTCCGCTGGTGGAGTCCCGCTGCTGGCAGAAGAGAAATCAAAGAGTGCGAATGCTAATTTCTCAACATCAAGCTCAGATGAAAACAAGCAGCAGCCGTCGGGAACTACGAGTTCTGCATCCTCCTCCAGCGGAAGAATCGAAGCTCAGCGTCTTTTCTCCCAAGCTGCAACGAAAACTACGACTGTGGTGACAACTGGATCGCTGCACCGAAATTTACTGCTGACCGGGACCACGGTCGGCGGACGGGGCCGGCCACCGCCCAGCACGACCCATCGCGTCGTGACCGGCATGACGTCCTCCGCAGCGGTCGCCAGCGGTGCGGTGTCTCGCGGCACGTCGCAGAGCAGCACCGCTGGAGCGACTCGACGACTGGCCTCTTCGAACAATTGTTCTCGCGAGGCGAGTTTGAAGCGCGGTGTGTGCTACTGGCACCATTCACCGTATAGTTCGGTGAGTCACCGGCTCCGCGGCTTTGCAACACGAGCTGGGGGGCAGCCCCCGCAAGCGCAGATGATACCGGCGCAAAAGTTGTTGGTCCCCACCATCGGAGCTGGAGGAGCAGTGACGCAGCAGCAACCAGGTCAGGGGACTGTTCCAAGTTCTAGAATTTACGAGCAGCCGCAGCAACAAGCACCGAAGTCTGAAGAGACCTCGGGTATCATAACGCCGCAGCAACCGCCGTTCAGCTCAGGGACAGGCGGCGTACAGTGGCAGCGTGCGCGCCCAAGCTGGAGTGTGAGCGGGAAACTGAATCCGTCCCCATCGCCTGGAAGGATCGTCCCCGGTAGTGGCAGAAGTGGTGCCCGCCACAGTCCGCTCGGCCAAACGAATTTCCGACCGTTCTCCCCGTCGGCCGCGGTGACACTGCCGTCGCCGACTCGCATGCCGTCGGGCTGGCCAGCCCACGGACCTCCGATAAAGACAAGCGTGACGGCGATTCCGCCCGGGACTACCGCTAGTGCCGCGGCAGGTGCTGCCGGACCAGCCATACCACAGGCTGCGGACGCGTGCAACATCACCACGACGACAAGCAGTTTCTCGAGCAATGAGCCGTTGAGTCAGTCGATGCAGATTAGGTCCAGCGCTTCGATAAGGAGCAACACAATCCTCGCAGCCAGTGCCGTACCCGCATCGGTACCGGTTGCAACCAGACAAGCCATGCTCCAGGCCCACCAGCCACCGGCGGGCGCGCCAAGACTTTGTGTGGGCTCCGTGCTGGCGCCGAGGATACCTTTCGTCTTTGCCGCGCCAACGCGGGGCCGCGCTCCAGTGCAATAACTCGGAGGACAGATGACAGCCAGAAGGCGGGGGGCAAGAGTGCAGGACGAAGTTGTTGTTGACGTCGAGATCCGGAGTCGTCTCTGGTAGAGCGCACCATACCGCTTGGGTAATGAGTAAGTACTGCAGCTTTGCCTCCTCCACAACTTGCACTTTTTCATCCGATGACTTTCATTTTGTGACGGTGTGCCGCAAAAATAAAAAATGCACCGGTTGTACAACTTAGAAAGATCAACAGCTACAACATGCCGCCCCCGACCCAAGTAGGACAACTCCACAACCAGAAAAAAAGACTTCAATAAAATTTGTAGCGCCGAAGTCGTGACCAACTGACCCATTACATCTCGTTTCCTTGCCGCGAATACCTTGATTTCGCATTTGATAGCCCCACTGAAAAATCAATTGGAGTTGGTGCTAGGGACAAGTGGGGGCGGCATAAACAAAAATGCTTTTACGCTTACCTTCCCAAGAAATCACATGTACTACCCTTACTCACATGCCGCCTAATCAGTGTTGTTGTCGTCCAACGAAATGGCCAAAGACCTGCCTGAAGCCCGCTTGTAATTCAAATTTGTGACTTTCCCGAGCCGACAACGATCTCTTACAATGAATCGGAGAAAAGTAGTTCTCACCAATTTGCTATTTGAATCTTTCAATATCAACCTTTCGGAAAGCCGCGCCGACGCCGCTCAATTTTCCCAGACCCATACCCATATGTAGCTCGCCTCTTACGGTAGATGGAGGTCCTCAGTTATTCTGGACAGGATGCTCCATATCGAATCGGATTTTGGTTTCGAATGGATGCGATGAACTCCATCACTTTGTTCATCTTCTAAGTAGTACCTCTCTCTTTTCGTCAGAAGAGTTGATGGCCATATGGAAACTAAGTACAGCGACACGGCACACGAGAACCCCATCGGCTACAATCGTAGAAAGCGAACATGTCGACTTCGGGGCTGTTACTTCATGAAGTACTAGATCCAGACCGAACATTCATGCCGTCTGTTTTGGTTTGCAAAAGTAGAGTTGTCAAAAACCTCTGCAGGTAGAAGATTTGCGAAATAAGTACAGAATACGAGGAAATTGCATAAAATTGCGACATCAAGCAACACACCGCATCAACATCAATATGTCAGACCCGTATGCGCGGTTGTTTTTGGCTCATGTGAGCCAGGCCATGAATCAGCAAGCCCGCGATCACGACAGCTGCACGGCGCTCCTGCAATCTGCCACACCCGATTTTCGGGTGGAGGGCCTTGCAGATAGGAGAACACGAGAGCAAGCGGTGAAGGCGCTGAAGCTTCGGCTGCATCCTGATAAACACGGCGGTAGCGTTGTCGCCACCAATTTGTTCCAAGACGTCGACTCCTTCGTGGCGGAGTGTCTGGAAGCGGGAGAACGCCCCCGGCCGGCATCCGCAAGTCGAACATCTACACAATCTACCAGCAACAAGCGGAGACGACAGCAGGACCACGTCGACACGACCAGCAGCAGCGCTGACGTAGAGCCGGAACCCGAAAGCGACATCCCCGATGAGTTCAACTTCTTCCACCACTACGCCCACCTCGAGGTGGCAGACGCGGATGTTTGGTCCGAGTTTTGGCACGGACCCTCGTCCTCTGCGTTAGACGATGCCCGCCGGATGGCCCTCAACTGGAGCGCGCAGCGCGCGCAGGGCCGACCGCTTGAGCTCTACTGGCACCCCGGAGTCACGGTGCCACAGCTGGAAACCTTTTCGGGGTTATCGAGAATAGGGTTAAAACGGCGCATCGTGGAGAACGGGCCTCTGGTAAGCACCTCGTTCGTGCCGACCGCCCAACTGGCCCAAGTGTGTCCGAAAAAGGCGTTTCGCCCCGCGCACATCGGCAGGCCCCACCCAGTCCTCATCTGCGGCTGGCAATACACCCCGCACGGGGAGGCGTGGCTGATAAAACCTCTCGGACCGAGCGACACTTGCCCGACCGCATCGGCTTCACAACCGCGACCGCACTACGAGCCGGGCGTCGACGTGCTTTCGGTAGCGGTGGGGCAGTTCCAGCTTGCAGACGAGATTGAGTGCGCCAGCTGGGAGTTTGTGCGGGACCAGAAATTTCAGGCCGGGCCGTACCTCTCGCTGCTGGACCCTCCAGCAAAGCTCGCGGAAATTGGAAACGCGTGGTGGACGTTATCGAGGATCACCTGGAGCTGTACTGCCGCCCAGTTGCCGTTGCTTTTCACAGCGATCGCGTCCGCGGATCCGCACAATAGCACGGGCGTGCTGGAGACGACGATGGGTATCGGGAAAGCCATAAAATCCGAGGCAAAAGTCGAGTTGCACCTACCTGGCTTGAGGGCGATGTGCAGACCAGTGAAGCTTGCGGAACTGCAGTATGACGTATCGGAAAACCGGTACCGCGCTGAGCTTGTGTTTTTGTGAAGTAGACCTCATTTGGATTTGTTCTCTAGCGACGCTGACGGCGGCCGCGGCGAATCAATGAATATACATAGTGAGTACAATGAACAACGACCAGTAGGATCACGATCGCAATAAACAGAAAAAGAAATTGGAAAGGTATACAAGAAGTGTCCGCTCCTGTTGTTCCAATCATGGCCATGGGTCTTTCTTTTTTCGGTTCACAGAAAGTAAGCATGTTGTTTTTCTTTTTTCGTTTTCGCCACAAAATCAAAAGCAAAGGCCGGCTGACGCTTTGCGATCAACCACATGGATCAATGCAGTTTTAGTTGTCGTAGTCGTTCATCTCGTGATGCTGCTGTGCGAAAGATTTTACGGAGCCGCTGTGGTAGATCCAGCGTCTCGTTGGAATCAATTAACAGGTTTGCTGGCGCTCGCGCCGGGCGCGAATGCGTTTTATACCACTGCGATTTCACCATGTGGAAATGAAAATTATGGATATTCGTTTGCTCGAGAATGGATGAACTAGACAAGAACGAGCCGATTTTTATACCGAATTCGAAAGATCGTGAAAGATCTATGTAAGGTTCGTCATCGTGGTCGTGGTCGTCCAATATAGCACATAAAAGCATTGCTGATCATCAGCTGACTCTTCCGTCGAGGGTCGTCTATTAAGGATCGATACTACCGCAATGAGAGGAGATCTGACGTGTGTCGCTGGTGTGTCGTTTTCGTGGGAACATATCATTTCGTTTTCGTCTTCGGAGACGTAGAAAAAAAAGGACTATGCTTTATGTATTCTACTCCGTCGTCTTCGTTCCAGTGCGTGTTGAGGCTAGCTGTCGCTCTCTACGCTGTCGAGCCAAGAAGAAAATCAAAGAACGATCAAAATTTTTCAAATTCCTGAATTTGCTGACACACCACTAGTCGAGGTTTTTGATGTAGTTTTTTCATCAAAAATAAAGGAAAAAGAAATCTTACTAAGTTGGATAGAGCGCACGCCTGCATAAGACAAGAACAACTTCAGCTTGCTTTTCCGCTTTCCTTTGCGCAGCACTTACGTTCTTTCGGTTTCGTTTGTCTTCGTGTGTGGCGCTTAAACTCGTCACTGCGACTGACCATCCAACGCCAAGAAGTTTGTTCATCACAGAAAGTACAAGCTCATCTCCTCCTTTGCCAACAGGGGACTGAAGAGCAAAGAACGACGAGAAACCATGAGGCCCGCCTTTAAACCGGTGCCCTCCCCGGGCAAGCAGTTGAAAAAGCCCGGCGAGAAACGCGCCGGGCCGTTGCCCGCGCACTCTCGGTTTGCGCGGACGAAGACGGTCCCGCCGATGTCCACGACGACCTCGTCGAGCAACGTGGCGCTCCCGGTTGGCGGACCGCGCCCGGCCCCGCCGATGACTGCTACCTCGGCCGCTCCGACCATTACTGCAGCTACCTCTACGGCGGCTCCGACCACGGCTGCAGCTGCTGCAACTTCTGCCGCGCCGCCCGCCGGGGACGATGGTACTACTGCGGGTAAACCCGCTGTTGAGCAACAGGACGCGGAAGAAGTGGACAAGTTTGTGATGTTGTTTCTCTCGAACGTGAAGCGCGCGCTGAAGGAACCGCACTCGAAGGAGGGCTGTGTGTCCCTGCTGCAGTTGGCCACCCCGGACTTCGAATTGGCGCACTTCAACGACGAGGGGTTGCGCAAGAAGGCACTGATGGAGATTAACAAGCGCGTGCATCCGGACAAGCACACCCCCGCGGCGCGCGTGATTGCGACCGAGGTGTTCCAGGCGATGACCGAGTACGTTAACGTGTGCGTGAAAGCTCCCACCCCGCGGCAGACCATGACCAGCCGGGATACAACTACTTCTACTGGTGGCGCAGCTCGTGCTTCAGCTCCGCCGTCGTACGTCTTTGATCCGCAGTCCCGCAAGCGCTACCGCGACGAGGAAGAGGAGGACGAGCTGTTTGCCTGCCACGTCGAGGAAGAGGTGTCCGAGGAGCAGCTGCAACCGTACGAGATGAGCGACGAGGGCGCGGTGCCGCCCGGGGGGAACGGTGAAAAGTTGCCGGAGCAATTCAACGCGTTTGAAGTGACGGAGTTCCAGGAACTGGCGGATGCGACGGAGTGGAACAAGTTTTTCCGCCGCACCGCGGACGCGCACCACGACGCCCGCGTCATGGCCCTGAACTGGAACGCGCAGTTGTTGCACAAGCGCAAACTGGCCAAGTGGTTCGTCGCGGAGCGGACCGACAAGCAGAAGGCGAAGGAAAAGTTCTTCGTCCACACCGATTTGACCACGATTGAGATCAAGGAGATGATCCTGAAGCACGGCCCGGTGATCAGTACGCAGTTCGTCCCCACGAAATCCCTCGCGAGCGTCTGCGCGCCCACCGTGTGGTTGCAGGGCGCGGTCTTTCGTGCGCACTACATCGGGAAGCACCACCCCGTGCTGCTGTGCGGGTGGACGACCACCAAACTCGGTGAGGCGTGGCTGGTGAAGCCCTTGGGCCCCTCCGACATTGCCCCGCTGGGGCACAAGAAGGAACCGGAGCAGGAGATGAAGCAGATCCGCGGAAGTGACGAATTCGGCTCTGCCGGCGACCCCCCGCGGAAGGAAAAGGCGGCGGCCAACAAACCGGGCGTGAAACTGATCCCCGTCAGCATCGGGCAGTTCGGGATCAACAAGGAGATTGAGTCCGTGAACGTGGAAATGCTAATGGACCAACCGTTTCAGGCCGGACCGTTTTTGGGGTTGACGAAGGAGCTGCCGGAGCACATGAAGAACAGCTGGCGCACGCTGTCGAAGTACCAGTGGACCGGTACGGCGGCCGACCTGCCGAAGTTGTTTGCCGCGACCCGGTACTCGGAGGAGGATAACACGTCCAAGACGGGGAAGTCGTGGAAGAACGGGATCGTCCATGCGGCGACCACGGAATCGTCGTCGGTGGAGTTGCACCAGCTGGGCATGCGGGCCTGCAGTCGCAAGGCGGCGCTGCGGGAGCTGGACTACGACGAAAAGACCATGCAGTTCCGGGCCTTGTTCGCGCTCGACGCGATGACGTAGGCCGGGAAGGAAGGAGTTCGGAATCGGGAAAATTCGTGTCTTTCTTCTAGTTCTACTTCTTCTATTGTTGAGCCGATTTCTTTATTGATGCTTGCTTGCTTAGCATTGAGTAAGTAGTACGCACGACTGACGTACCTACTCGCTACCTAGCTGTACGGCTACGACGAAAGATAAGTTTCGATCTAAATCGCTTTTGTTTCTCGTTGTTGTAGTTTGTTTTTACAGGAGATTGATTTACAGTTTGAGTTTCCACTGTTAGGTTTACACTTTTCAAGTTTATGAAATCACTTCAGAATTCAAAACCTTTCAATTTCTACTAAATTTCAATTTCGTTTTGGCAGTTCTCAATATTATCGCGCTTTCACAAAAAATTGAAGTATCATTCCATTTGTGGTCTTTTGTTTCACAGCATTGCAAGAAGAAAAAGAGAACAAGGTAACAAAGTGAATCTTCACTATTTACCTGTGGATTACGATTAGCTGAAAAATTGCAACCGCGCACAAGATTCAAAGACAGAACCTTCAATTCCAACTGTACCATAGAGATTCTTGTTTATTGATATTGCAGTACCGAAATATTGTTTTCGAAACTAAGTATTCGTATTCCGACCGTTAACAGATTAATTTATAGGTTGAAGTTGATAATTCGAGCAGACGCAGATCAGCCACACTGTACACCATGATTTATTTTTGCAAAGCTTGCATTTCCTCTCTTCACTCTTAGGCAGAAAACAAGGTGAGTGCAAAATAGGAGCAATAGAAAAAGAAAAAACGAAGAAGGTATAGTAAGGATCCGCCTGAAAGGTCGGGGTTGCCTCCACTTTTCTAACAGCGTGAGTCTTCTTCTAAAACCCAGAAACCAGCAAACCTTATCTACCTCTTCATGAAAACGTAAAAGTAAAAGCCGAACAGTGCTCCGTCTGCTTTTCCTAGTGAAGTTGCAGATGCTTCTTTTTGTACACATAAGCAGCAATTCCGATTTCGGCGTTCTGGCTTCTCTCACGTGGGCCGCTCTCGAAACGCAAACGAGTCGGAGAAAGAGCAACACTCTCGACAGATCACAAGAGTCAGCGGGTTAGATCACTGTAGCTTCTCGATGGAAGACGATCTTATTGCAGCAAGTAGTTTGGTTGTCCTGTCCTTGTGGAGAATGAGCCACTGTTGAAGCAAAGTTCTTTTTGCAGGCGCAGCAAGCGGAACTATTGCAGCAAGGAAAACTACCTCCAGGCACTGCTGCAGCTGGTAAGATCCTCCAGATCATAGGGATAGGGCAGTTAAGCAAGGACCAGAATCAACATCTCTGTCACATCTGAAACTGTGGAATAGATGGATAAGGAATTGGAAAAGCAAAGAAAACTGAAATCAACTTTACGTTGCGTTTCTTGCACAGCGTTAGACTACGCCCACTAGTGCCTGTAGACGTGCGCACCATCATCGTTAAAAAGATGCCCTCTCCAAACAGGAAGAAACAGAAGACGGACAGCGCGAAAAATGCGTCGTCCTCGGGGGCCAAGAAGAGTACGTGGGACAAGGACAAAACTGCAGCTGATGGGGCGGGGGCTGCGGGATCTGCTGCCTCGACCTCGTCTCGTCCCGCTGAGGACCCTTTCGCTAAATTATTCCTGGCTTCTGTGAGACGCGCCATGGAGCAGCCAAAATCCCATGCGAGCTGTGTCGCTCTTCTGCAGCTAGCTTCCCCAGATTTTGAGGCCGGGGAGTTCACCAGAGAGGTGCCGCGGAGTCGTGCTCTCCGGGCATTGAAACAACGATTGGCGCCAAGCAAACACGCGGACGAATCCGAGGCGTCAGCTTTGTGCCAGGGATTGGACGACTTCGTTTCTGCCTGTTTGGCCGCACCCAAAAAATCAAGCGTCGGCGCTTCCGAAGCAGGCGAGCAAGAACGGGACCGCGCCAGCGCGAGGCACAACGACGAGGGTGCGGACGCCGGTAGCAACCTTCCGATGAGCTTCAACCTTTTCGAGAACTACGCGAAAATAAAGCTGGGGGACAGCTCTTCCTGGATGAGCCTTTGGAAGTATAAAAAGTTCGTGCGACGCGAGGGTGCGTTGCAGAGCAAAGGAGAAGTGTTGGGAGTGGTAAGCGAAGCAACATCTTCTCTGGAGCACTCCGCGTGCTTGATGGCGATCAACTGGAGTGCGCACATTGTTTGCGGGAAAGAACCCGGAAAATGGTTGTCGTCAGCGATGGAAGAAATCACTAATCACAAAGTTTTGACAACTGCGAAGGACATGTCCATTAATGACATCAAGCGCCTGATAATGAAAGTCGGGCCCGTCGTTAGCACTTCCTTTTCTCTGACCAAGGAACTCGTCCGCGCTTGCGCTGCAAACACTTTCCGCGAAGATTTCGTCGGTAAAAAGCATCCCGTTGTGGTAGCAGGATGGCAGTACTCCTCGCACGGCACCAGTTGGCTAGTAAAGCCACTCGGTCCTTCTGATGTTGCACCTGTGCACTACAGCAAGAAGGGAGACAAGGCTTCCACCCACTACGACAAACACTACGACAACGCTGGCAATCAATTCATCCGGCAGGAGATTACGGAGGGCGTTAGTCTCTTGCCTGTTGGGACGAAGAGCTTTGGCATTGAGGACGAGATCAAATATTGCAAGCCTGACAGCCTAATTGACAAAAAATTTCACAACGGTTCTTATCTCGGATTCGACAAGAAGCTTTCCGCCGTGGACGCAGAAGCGTGGCCGACCAGGACGAAATTTGTCTGGGACAACATCAAGCCGGCGGGTCTGTCCAAGTTGTTCAGCGCTTTCCAGGCTGAAAATTTACAAACCGAGGTTGGAATTGTGGGGGTAAGCACTCGTGGAAACAAGACACGCATTGTGGAGCTGCACCCTCCGGGCCAAAGAGCCCGGAGCAGAAAGGCAAAAATTGTGGACTTAATTTACGACAAAGACAAGAATGTCTACACAGCGACTTTTCTTTTTGCTGCTTGATTGGCGAATCGGAATGCAGCCAAACAGAAAGCATGTCTTGGCAGTCGTCGTTTTTCAAAACAAGCGATGGATTTCATTACTAGTGCTCCAGATTGCAGTGATTTGCTCCGCACATCTCGTGCGATAATGACCCACACTTTTGGTTTTGGCTTTGTATGTATTTTACCGGCCTGTGAGGGAAGTTTAGCTTCTTGGTCTTCAAAAATGAAAAGCAGGCTGTTCATTGCAAAAAAAATATTCTATCTCATGGTATGAGGCAACACATTGATGTCGCTGTCGCTGGTTTGACCTAAATCTACACAGAGGAACACCATCATCTGTATCACCTTACGGGACACCTGCACCCTTTCGAGAGTTTAGGAGAGTGACAGAAAAGTTCCTCGTTGTCGACGAAGTCAACCATATCAGTTCTTTGGCACCACCAACAGTTGAAACCCAGTAGCTACTATCAAAACTGACAGCGGTAGAAAAACAAAATAAATGTAGAGCAAAATCCGTACTCGCTATTCTTGTGCTGTTTACGGATGACTTGCTAGCCATCTAGTTGTAGTCTAAATCGCGAACAAGTAGAATTTGCGCTCCATTTCTGAGGATTGAAAGCATGAGCTCTATGTACGCCTTCCAAAACAAAAACTTGTATCTGTCTTCTCAGAATCCAGAAAGTCTTGTAGATCTGAATATCAATGCCAATGCGACCGAGCGGGCAGCAGAAGATGCTTCTCCAAACGGTACCTCCGGACGCGGCAGCAACTTCGCAATCGAACAGCATGCTCAATCACCCGTCGCTCCTCCTGCCGCCATCCGGGTCCCGGACCCGTTTCCGCAGGTCGACCAGAAGGCGCGCAACTGGAGCGACTTTTCGACGCTGCAGAAGAAGAACATCCTCCGCCGCATGTGGACCAACGTCGGGCGAGCCACCCTCGCGGCCTGGGCGAAAAAACTCGTGCGCATCATCGACGCCGCGGTCCGGGACGAGGACGAGTGGGTCCGGAGTCTCGGCCGGTTGCTCTATCACACAGAAAAAAGCGGGCACGGCATATTTGTAATGCAAAAATAAACACACAAAAAAATCTGTATTGCGTATCCGAAACACCATGCTATGGGCCACCCATGACAAGTTTCTGTGTGTATTTATTTTTGCATTACAAATATGCCCTGCCAGCTTTTTTCTCTGGGATATGCTCGAGGGCTTGCCCAAGTCCAACCGCGTGAACCCGGCGGCCGTGGACTCCGAGCTGGTGTACAAGATCAACAGCGACTTCGCCGAAATTTTCCGGAAAACCAGCACGACGAGTTCCGCCGCCCAAAGCGCATTTATTGGGGGACCTAAGTTCTTCCAGCTGAGGGGCACGAAAGTAGTAAATCCGACTGCGACTGCGAGTACAGCTACCGGGGGGGCTTTTCCGAGTCAACAGCAGGCTCCGCTGGGTCCTCCTAATCGGAGGTATCTTCAACAGCTCAAGACCGCGGAGCAAGAAGCCGAAGAACAAGCACGTCTGGCGAAAGAGAAAGCGGCAAAGACAGCGGAAATACGGGCGGCTTTCGTGAAGGAAATCCGGAAAGCCTGGGGCGACAACGCGTTTCCGAAAGTAGACGAGTCTCAGTCCAATTTATCCGCGGAGCAAAACAACAAGCTGACGGGAGGATTAGCTGCTGCAAGTACGTCGAGCAAGGTGGTCAAGGGGAATGCAGGAGCCGCAACTCATCAAAAGACGCATGCGGGTGCCGGAATTACCGTAAACGAACGTAGCCGAGCTGCAAAGTCCTCGTCATCAAAGTCGAAGCATGTGCAAGAGGGCGGTGCCGGACCCGGCGCAGACCGTTCCGCGAATGCGAAAAGTGAGGCGGAGCAGAAAAAGCCGTCGTTGTTTTTTGAGCCTGCGAATAGCAAACAATTTCAGGGTTTGTCAGAGCAAGAGAGAAAACAAAAGCTCTTTGAAACAATCCGTAACAAGGCGGGTGGTACAGGAGATGGTGAGAGTCCAGCAGGCGGCAGTCCAGGCTCAGCAGGAAGAGGTTTTTCCGGAGCAGGCCGCGGGCAAAAATCCAACCAAGATGCGAGCTCACACCAACGTCCGCGAAGCAGCAGCAAAGCTGCACATCACGGCGAAAGAAGCAAGGAAGGAGCGGAAGAATCTTCCGAGGAAGAGATGGAAGACAGCGCAGAGCAGCGAGGACTCGCGTTCTTTCGGCAAGGTTTCGCCGCTCTGGAAGCCGGAGAGGTCAAACGAAGCCCAAGATTGCAGCCAGGGCCCGCCTCGGCGAAAGCCGGAAATGAACATGTGCACCAACAAGAGAAGCACGACAAGCAGGAGCAAGATCAAGACTCTTCTTTTCGCGGGAAAAACAAAGGACCGCAGAAGACACGAAAAGGCAGCGCCGAATCGGTACCAACATCACGCACTCCCCAGAGTCAGAAGACCGCACCTGCACCTGCTCCGTCATCGCAGCGCTCCTACGATGAGGTCGACGAAGTTTTTGCGTTACTGGATTCAGGTGAGACTAGGGAGGACAAGGCGCCTGCTTCCCTGGTCGATCAAAATAGCGATGCAGCGGGCGGATCAGCCGACCTGCTTTCTAATTTCCTTGCGAGCGTAGTGGGAGCAGCCAACGAAGATGAACTTCAACAACCAGGCCGCCGTGAAGCAAGCCGCACCGGCAAACTCTTGGCGACTGATCAAGAAGTTGTGCACCAGATGTCAGAGAATCGAAATCCACCTGCTGCACCAGCCCCACCGCCGGCAGTCATCAAGTACGCAAGTTTTCGCAGCATGCGCAAAGACTGGCTGAAGCAAGCGCAATCCGCCACGAGTGCAGATTTGTGGGCAAATATTCGCACCGAGCAGGAGCCAGGTTTCCGGGACTGGTTCACGCATTTGCACCAACTCGGCACTGCTTCTATCGCGGATCCAAACTTCGCTTTTCCGGAAGAGCTGGAGCTGGAGGAGCGCGCAAGGGAAGCAGAAACTGCCGAGCAACTGGAACGAACGACGAGGCGACAAATGAATAAACCTCTCAAGCCCGGGCAGTCGTACCACATAAGTAGCAGCTCCCGCGGTGGTCAGCCCGTAATCTCTGCACTTGATGAGGAGGATGAGGCTCGAATTAGCGACAAGAAGCGGCGAAGAACAGCTAGAAAAGAGCCGCAGGAGAAGGAGAAAAGGGCAAAAAGGGCGCGACATTCATCTGCACATGATGAGCAGAACGCCGACAGGTCAAAAGACAAGAAATCCCTCCAGCTGAATGAGCATATCGACCTTTTCGATGGCGAAGATGGCGATGAAGCTTTCGTTGCTCCAGCCGTGCCAACCAGTCAAAAGCGCAAACGAGAGCACCAGCAGCATGCGGTTGACGCCGAGGACAAACAAAGGCGAAAAGAAAAAGAGAGAGAAAAGCGCCGTCGACGAGAGCGGCGGGAGCAGGAAGAGCTGCGAAGGGACCTGGAGTTCATGGAACAAAACATGGATTTTGGGGGGGCTGCTGCCTCAAGAAATGCAACGCGTCCTGCTCCCACGGCCTCTTCCGGCGACTTCTTGCCTCCGGCGTCCAATCGCGCGGCGCGTCGGATGTTGCGGCAGGGCCAGCGCGCACAACAGCTGCAGAACAATGAAGATGATAGCGACAGCGACGACGAGCCGGTGTTCAATTTCAAGAGGTCTAAAGGCACGGCGAACCATTCGTACGACATGAACCTCCAAGACCGTAGTTCTCTCCAGCAAGCCACGGGAGCTGTTGGCGCCGATCGCAATAATTCCAGTGCCTCGTCAAGCGAGGTAGGGGATCCAGCGGAGCTAGAACGACAAAAGGCTCGCCAGCGGCGGATTCGACGCGCTGGCATTGGCAAACTTGACAGTGACGACGATGAGGAATGATTTCAGTAAATGCTTCTGGTTGAAATGGATAAACGAATTGCTTCCACTCCAGCTGTTTCTTGAGTGAACCATGAGCCTTTATGTGAAAAATGCCGAATATTACGTCAGTAAACGAGATCATGCTTGCAGCTGCCCATGCCCTTGACGACAATCCAAACGTACTTACATATAAAACGCAAAATACAACGAACAATGGAAGAAGGTCAGACGAATCTAACAAATACAGCAAATTCAAAGGCGGAGAAAGGGGCTTCGTTGTCTTTGGTATCTGATTTCAAAGACGCTGCCTGGCTGGTGCAACTGTGCTATTAGTAGACCGCGGTGTTCTCTAGAACGTCGGATTCGGAACGCTCATGAATATGAAGCTAATTGTTCTGCTCTTCGAGTTCGGTCGAGTTTTTGCCAGTAGTAGAAGTCGTGAGGTAGTGGAAGTGATTCTCAGGAAAAGATTCCAGATTTGTCTCATCGTCACCTGCTACTCGTAGATCACCAACACGAGATGCAGCTTTGTGCCCCAGTTTCCAGTAGAGTTCCACCAAACATCAAGACGCGATCGGCTCGGAAGGTCGTGTTCCACCTCTCCATTATCTCGCTGATATCGTTATTACAAAAATCGTAATCGTATGGTGAAAATCGTGATATTAGTCGAGAATTCTCGGTCATTGTCATTTTGTTTGCCTAAACCTGCAGGACCACACGCACACCAGGATCGTCCCCTCGTGTTTCATCTTTTCCGCTACCTACACACAGAGAAAGGGACGCGCACGACAGCCTCGGAAAGTCAACGAATCGATCATGCTTTTTTTAGATATACGCTGAAATAAGTCTTATTTCCATTCGAACTCGAAGAAAGCCAAAGTGAAAACAAGGTATCCTTGCAAAAGCTAAAGAGAGCAGGACCAGGTCGAGAACCAAAATGGCAGCGTTAGGTTTGGACAGAAACGCGGATGCTCATGCAGGTTCTAAAGGCAGAAGTGGCGACAATCTTCTCGCCACTTCAACATTACCGCAGCTTTCCGCAGTTGACAGCGCTGGTGTCGACGAAGAAACTTTGAAAAGACGTAAACGGCTGGCCGAGTTGTGGAGCCGAGGTAGCATGTCGGCGGAGCTGGACCGGTCGTGGAAAAAGTTCCAACTGCGGCACGAAAATTTCACGAATGGCCTGGTTGCGCAGATTGGCATGAGCTTCTACGACCCTGATGACGTTTTCAAGCAGTATGAGCAAGAGCAAAAGGAACAACAGAAGGCAGCGAGGCTCAAGGCGGAGGCGGAAAGCGTTGCTGAGCGAGGCGATGTCATACGCGAAGGAACTGCAAGTGCCACCGACCACCGAGGAGAAAGCGAAAAATATATCGTGAATACTTCTACACCGAGCAGTGTTGTCGGTGTTTCGAATACGAACAATGACTCAAGAACTCACATGACACAAACGTCAAACTCAAAAGCAGAAGACAGATAACACGCATAACTGTAAATTTAATGAAGGCAATCAAACTTGTTTGAAACAAGCCGCCCAGCCCCAGGTGCAGAAGAAGATAGACGAGGCTGACACGAACAGCGCGGGGCTGACACGTACGTCTTACAGACTCGAGCAGCTCCAGACATGAAAGTCGTAAAAATCTAAACGATTTTTACCAATATGTTCCCCTCGCCATTCTGGTCTTCTGTTAGTCTTCTTTTCTAGTTGGGCGGGTTCGGTTCGTTGTTCCCTACTGGGTGTACTGGGTGTGAGTAAGAAGTACAAGCTTAGTAGGAGGTTGCTCCAGCTCCTGTGCTTGTGCAGCCGATGTCACGAGTAAGAACGGACTACGTAAAATTGATTGAGTGATCATCTCACTTTCCGTTCCCTTGAGTTGTAGAGATTTGCTCTCAGGAGCGTCTTCAGAATAAGTTGAGGGATACAAGACATAAATAGTCCTTAAGTTGCGAAAAGTTGTAAGAAGTAGAAAATTTCATCAATTTGCAGTTGTAAACGATCTCTACTTAATCTTAATTAAAACAAAAGAAAATGGCAACGCAGGAGACCGCACAGCCCCCAGTGCTTTTCATTGAAGGAAAGTGGCGGGGGAAGGGGAAATCCATCGCAATTTCCACAGGCGAGACAAGGGTGCATTACTTGGAGGAGATGACTGTGGAAAGGCAGGGAAAGCATCAGCACTATTGGTACCACCGCCAAACCTGGCTGTATGATCCAAATGATCCCGAGGAAACGAAGAAGGTACGCACGAGCGGCGCATGTGATTTTGAAGAAAACAAAACTATGATTCTGAGAGCCACTTGATGCAGATTCCAATGACCAAAAAGTCGTCCATGAAGAATTATTGTGTGCGCTGATAACGTACAAGTACATGAGGAAACGAACTTCTCACAGGTTGCCCTTCATGTGGAGAGCGGCTGCATCAAGTTTTTGCCACCCCCTGCGGACGCACCGACCGATGCGGAAGATTATCCGGTCGAAGGGAATTTCATTCACCCCTTCAGTCTCATGGAAATCAGCGTAGGCACACTGTCGAAAGACGAAAAGACGCTGTCGCTGTTGGCGTCGAAAAAGCAGAATAGCTTCAAGCACGGACCAGGGGCGAAGGGCAAGCAGACCACGGCGTACTCGCGTGTGTTTGAGAGTCTAGGTCCCGACACCATGCGATACAAGTGCGGCTTGGCGGTGGAATCGGAAGATGCCGAGCCGTTGCCGCACTTGGAATGTGAACTCACACGGGTCGTCAGTGGAGCCGAGGGGGCTCCTTCGGGTAGTTACTGAAGTTCAAGTTGAAGTTCAAGTTGTTGAACCTGTCTTGTTCAAGGTGTCCCGCACTTGCGCAGGAAGGTCCTGAAAGGCGCTGTGACTTGGCACGCAGGAAGCGGCATAATGACGACAATGCTTCGCTGTCGTTCTCGTTCACACAAGTTTCTGTATTGTCGCGATTCGCTGTGCACCAGCCGGAAGATATTGTTGTACTACTCCGAGGACAAGAAGTGCGTTGTGTCTGTCAGCGTTACGTCCATGAACATAACAGGACGACCTACAAAGATAAGAAAGAAAGCGAAAATCAAGAAACTATTTTGCTCCGCTTGCGCTTTCGCGGCACTGACTGTTCTGATGAAAAGAGCTCAGAAGTGGTCGTGTATACATGGTGTCGCTGGGAAGCAGTTCTCGACTGGTACTTAGAGATTGATGACACCTCTACACTGCAACAACATAAAAAAATTCCTTCGAGCGGAAAGCATAGAAAACAAAAAAAAACTGCGAAGAAAAAAATGGATTGGCAAGCGGACGAGTTGCTTTCGCTGGCGGATCGCTCTCTGGCCAGTTCGCAGATCGAGTTTGGCATGAACATCAAGATCTGCGACATGATCCTGGCCAATCCGGATCTGTCTATCCAGCTGCTACCGCGGCTAGCGGGTGCCCTGAGCACGTCTGCGACGTCTTCGAGTGCTGCTTCTTCGTCGGGAGTAGGTGGGCCAGCATCAAGCTCGTCTTCAGTGGTGTTCCCCAGCAGAACATCCAGGCCGTCGCCGGAGTATTGCGTATTGATTTGAGTTGTGTGATTTGTTTCGTTTTATTGAGTGTAGTGTCGAGCACATCCATACAAGTACAACGCACCCCGTAACCCTATCTTTTTTTTGTTGTCTAATGTTGCTGCTTCTTGGACCGTAGCCGATGAAAACTCAGCTTTCTTATGTATCCTCGAGGCACAAACCGAAACCGAATAAAGAAATCTTACTTTGTGTACCTGATAACTAACCAGCCCGCTCTTCGCCCCGGCGACGTCTGGTTGGAAGTCGTTGATGAATGTGGGGCGGTCAACGCAAGTGCGACGCACCTCTGTCGCGCTGTCGCTGCTCGAGATGCTGCTTAAGAACTGCGGCATGGCCTTCGTCCGCTACCTCGATGCGGGCTTTTGCGACGTCTGGGAGCGGTTGATTCGCCGCAAGCAATCCGTCGGCTACCGGGTGGCTCGAAACGCCAACCACCTGTGGTCTTCCGGGAGTGCAGCGGCAGCAAAGCTGTTTGGGGGTAGTACTGCTGCAAGTTCTTCGTCGTATAATCCGAATAATCCCACCAGCAATCTTTCTGCTTCGCGAGGATCGCAGTCGGAGCAAGCGCAGGCGTTGCAGAGCACCAAACTTGGCAAGGTCGGCGTGACCGACGAGACAAGTCAGGCCTGGGACGAAATTGTCCGGAAGGCCTTGGAGTTGCTGCAGTTGGTCGCGACCACCCTGATCATGCACGAGCATGAGAACCCGCTGCCGTTCGTCTTGTACCGCAAACTACGGTCCTCCACGAGCGTCACTTTTCCAAAACCGCGGACAACCGACGGAATCGGGGTCCGCGACGCGCTCGTGGAGGAGGAGCGAGCGGTTGCAGGCGGTCCGGCGGAGAACACGTCATCGCCGTCGAACACAGCAGCGCGCGTCATCGCAGAGAGCAGTTGGTCAACCTCGCAGCTGCAAAGGCACAAGCAACTGACCCAGACGCCACTCGTTCCGGCCGAGCTCCAGGAACTGGACCACTTCGTGACCGAACTTGAGGAAAGCGTGTCGATGTCCGGTGCAAAGAACATCAAATCCGCGCGGACGAACGAAGTAGGACTGCAAGATAAGCAGGACAACAACTCCGAGTCGGAAGATTCAGGAGGAGCAATGCGGGACGAGGACAAGCAAGCAACCTTTGTCGACCTGGCGGAAGAGATATTTGGTGAGAAAAGCAGCAAGGAACTACAGGAACGCAAAATGCAGTCGGAAGATTCCGACCTCGCTCACTTCCTGCGTCAGGTGCGGCCGCGACTGTGCGTCAGCATTCAGGTGCAGGCGGACCAAGAGTCTAGTACTTCCGGTGGCTCGGAGGCGGTGCTGGTGCTGTTGATGAATTTGCTAAGCCGCTTGGACGAGATTTTAGACAATCGCTTCTTTCCGAGACCGCCGCCGGAGGAGCCCCACCCTTTCTGCGTCGTCTGCGGGTGCGAGCTCGAAAGCGGGCGTGTCTGCACTCGGTGTGGCGGAAATAGCCCGCAGAGACGTCGTGGTGGTCAAAATAGTAACTCCAGGAGTGCACAGCAGCGACCCAGCACGCAAGATTCTGAAAATGCAGCGAACGCCACTCGTAGTTCTTGCTTGCTGATTTCTGACGAGCGAAATCTCGGTGCAGAGGCGCTCGGCTCCTCTCCAATCGACGGGCCTTCCACGAGAGCGACGCCCGCCTTATCGTCCTTTCCACAAGGGGGCAGTAGAGGACCACTCCCAGCACCGGGGAACAAGCTGCACAAGGATTGGCGATTTGTCGACGGTGGCAAACAAGGCCGGGGCTACTGGTTCAATCGCAAAACGGCGCGCTCGCAGTGGCAACCACCGGCGTGGGTAAATCGGCTGAACAATTTCAGACCGTTGCACGAGCAGCAGCTCCTCCAAGACCAGAGTGACGAGGAGGACGATGAAGCGGAGAAATACTACGACTCCAGTGGCCGTGGCGTCGACCGGAAAGAACGAGAGGATCTTTTGTAACTGTTGGCGCAACATCAAAATAGACAGCAGAAAATGAGGACGACGCATAGGCATGACGATACGCGTCCAAATTATGAGCATAATCGCGGAGTGCCGCCATCCACTGAAGGAGCTCGCGAGCAGATGTTCTTGGACATGAAATGGAAAAGCGAGAATAGCGAAAAATAACTTGAAGAAAAAAACCGTCCCTGCCGAAGATCAAGCTGCAGATCTAGATCATGATCTGACTTCGTTCTCTTCGTTAGTGCAGTGCTTCAGGTTCTTCTTCATCTTGGAACAAAAGAAAGTGCTTCCACGATGAATCAGGATCAGATGTTTATTTCTCGAGAGTCAGAATCCCGCGATCCGCTTTTTTTTGCCCTACTTTTGTGCCTGTAGGTCGGTGTGTTGATGACCCCGACGTAAATATACTACATTCCTGGTATGATTCGACGACAGCTCTGTACATACACGACAATATCTTCAACCAACGGACGAGTGTTGCGCTACCCCACTAAATAGTACCGCTAGCAATTCTTAAAAAGAAGCTTGTCGTGTGGATCTTTTTTCTAGTGTCTTGTATTCGACTCTTTCTACTCCGCTGTCATCATGGGCGAACAGGTTAGATGTCTGCACTTGTTGTGCAAGCATGAGGGAAGCCGGAATCCGGTGTCGCGGCGGACGGGGCAATCCACTGCCAATGTGACAAAGGACCAGGCGCATGCCGAACTGAAAATCTGGGAAGACAAATTCAAGGTACTCGGGTTTTTTTTTATTTTGACGTTAGAAGCAGAAGAGGACGATTTGTGGTGGGAGGCGGCACGCGTTTATTTTTCAGAATCGAATGAAAAAAATAGAAAAAAACTGTTTCTGTTGGTCATGTGATCTAAACCCTACCTCCACGCAAGACCGAAGCTTCTATGAGATCCCGAAGCGCCTGTTCTCCAAATGCAAACGATGAAGAATTTGAGCAAATCAGGCTCTCTTGATCAAAACTTTATCAAGGACCGGCGACCCTGATAAAAACTTTACCAGGGACCTCCGTCCCTGATAAAATTGCACCCATACAGAGTGGGAAGTAGGTCCCAGAATGACTAGAGATCTGGAGCCTCAGAGCCTGTGATGAGTGGAATGATGTCTATGGTGAACCTTGATTGATGAATCTTCACAGGATGCAACGCAGTCAGAGGCTTTCGCCCTGTCTGCTGAGAGATTGAAGTGTTTGAACGTGTTGGAGACCTCTCGAAGGTAGAAGCTTTGGTCACTCAGTGTGGCAGGTGTGTTCAAAGTCCAGCACTGCGCTGCGACTTAGACGCCAATCTGTGCTACTTTACACTAGTGGCAGTAGATTCATTAAGAAAACAAGATGACTGCGGTATCCGCAGAGATCACTGCGAAGCTGCCGGATGCGACTGGCTGGATCGAATGGGATCGCTCTGTCCGTGAGGAGGTCGAGCGCCTCGGACTAGGCGTTTACTTCGGCAGCCAGCGTCGTCGTCCATCTCGGTCAGCCCGGTCTCCCCGGAGGAGTCGGTCAGCAGGCTGAGACGGTTGCTCAGAAATGGCGCAACCTGAAAGCCGCGATGCTGAAGTCCTTGACTGGTTCTGGTAAGACCTGGCTGCACGCTCGCCCGAATTACATACAACGCTCTGAATGCTGGAGAGTTGTGTTTGGAGCTGCGTGATGAAGGTCATTACAACCAGCAGAACAGGACCCAGCAGAAAATCCGTGCTGCTTGTCTCGAGTCGATGAAGTTCGATGACCGCGACCAACCTCAGGGCCCGCCTTCCTTTCTCGCCAAGGCCAAGCGCGTCATGGACCAGTCCCCTGCGGTGTTTCCGCCCGACCTAGCCCGTGCTCCTGAAGATCGACAGGTCCGTCCGGAACATCTTAGACTACCTGCCCAAGATGTTTTCCAAGGGTTTCAAGGACACGATCGCGCGCATGGTCGAGGACGGTGCCCAGCTGACGACGCAGCAGATGGGTGACAAGTTGGCGACCCGTCTGCAGGCCATGATCAAGGACGGTGAGTACAAGGTGGAGAGCTCCAGCTTCGGCAAGGCGTTTCCGACGGTTGACTACGACCAGGACACGACCGGGGGAGCCGCTTCCAAGAAACGCCCCCAGGCTAGTGGTAACGATGAGGACGGTAAAGCTTTCATGTCTCAGACTGCTCTCAAGCGGTTCAGGGCTAAACTGAAAAAGAAAGTTACCGCCGAAGTCCACGCAAGCCAGGGTGGTGATCCTTCTACCCGCAAGAAGGGGAAGGGCAAGAAGGACAAGAAGTTCAAGGATTACAAGAAGAACGCCCAGTGCTACAAATGCTATGACTATGGTCACTACGCGTGCGTGGGAGTGTCCTACCGCTGCTGCGTCTACGGGTGGGAAACCCAAAGGCAAAGGCAAAGGAGGGGGCAACGCGTGCACCGGTTGCGGTGAACCTACGGTCTACCAGGACTGGGGCGGTGCCTGGGTCTGGCATGAAGCTAGCGCTGGATCGGGATCCGGCAAGCCCGGAACGAGCTGAGGAGACGATGACCAAGATCCGGAACGGGGAAGATGTTGTTTGAATTTTGAGGAGGATGAAGTGCATTGCAAGAGTTTCGTAGATTCGGCTAACTCTGCTGCTACTATGTTGTCTGTTGTTGATTATTGTGCAGCCAGTTACCTAGGTGCAAAGCAGGCAAACCTAGTGGACAGCTGTGCAAATAGATACTTATCAAAGCACGCTGATGATTTTAAGAACATCACGGGCCGACGCTGTACCATCAACGGAACAGCTGGCGCACGGGATGGATTTATAGGAGAATTGCAACCCAACCAATTAAACCTGCGACATGGTGTTTATTTCAAAGATCTGCCAAAGGATATTGATAGGATTTTGCCTTGGCTCGGTGAAGGCAACACGTCACAAGTAGGATGGGGGCTTACCTTTCACAGCACCGGCGGAACCATTGCTCACACTGGTGCCGGCCGCGTGTTGGACATAAAGAATCATCCCAGAATGTGCCTTCCCGTCCTTGGTTGCAACTTGTTCGACCTGCAGGAGGCAGATGCTGCGGACGGTTTTGTCTGTACTTCTGTCGCCGAGGTATCTACTAGTAGTTGTTACTTGACTAAGTTAGAGCTACGCAGACGTCTTGGACATTTCCATGTGGACGGGCTCGACGTCAGTTGTCCCGAGTGCGATAGAACTAAAGGGCAGAGGAATCCACATGCGAAAGTGCGGAGCGTTGAGAATTATAAACCTCAGCCACTAAAACGATTAGCGTTTGACTTCGGTGTCGGTGTGAAGCCCATGTCTATCATGAAGCACACTTGTGTCCTTGTTGGTATCTGTGACGCCATCAAGAAGTGTTTTGTCAGGCCTCTTCTGTACAAGAGCGACTGCGTGGAGGAGTTGGAAGACATTATCAAAGGCATTCGCGCAGGCTGGTCATTGTCCTTGGGTGACAAGGTCGCTTGGTTCCTGAGACGGGACAGCGAGCCAGTTCTGGGCAGTGAGCACATGACCAAGGTCATGCAATCGCTGCAGATCTGTGACGCTCCAACTGTTCCTCACAATCCAGAGCAAAACGGAACTTGCGAGCGTTTTATGCGGACGCTGTTCGGCTCCTGCCGTACACTGTTGGTTCACGTCGATCGCCGTCTGTGGTCATATGCCATAGGCTACAGCGGTGATTGTTGGGACCGGCTGCCGCATAAATATGCAAAGATGCCAGAGCATGACGGAGAGACTCCGATAGAGATCCTTGAGAAGAGGACAGGTAGGAACAGTGCGAGGCAAGGCATTGGCCTGCTCGGGCGTTTTGGTTGTCTTGTTTACTTTCGTGAACAAATCAAGACGGACAGAGAAAGACAAGGAGGTCCCAAGCTCAGTCCGCCCCTTCGTCGAGGTGTGTTTCTCGGGCTTTGTCCTAAGTCTTCGGGCTGGCTCGTGGGCACCTTCGTTCAAGACGATCGGACAAGAGACGGGCATCGGTGGGCCGAGTATTCTCCTCGCGATGTCAAGTTTCGGGAGGATATACTCGCCAAGAACATCGACTGGCTCCTACCCAGTTCGAAGGGAGTCTTCGTCCAGATGGACTACCTGGAAGATCTCCAAAGCGGCGCATCGCAACCGGTTCCACCCGCGCTTGGACGGCTAGACTCGCAATCTAGTTCGGCTCATCGCCTGGAGGTTCATGGGGCGGGGCACGCGGAGGAATCGACCGCCGGCTTAGAACTTCAAGTGGAGACACTGGACAGAGAGGAAGGAGGTCCAGCATAGTCCCCGGAAGCTCCTATACTGTCGCAAGCTGAGGAGGGGAACCTCGCAGCGAGCAACAGTGGAGGAGGGGAGCAAGCTCGAGAAGCGTCTTCTAGTCCTGCTAGGGTGCGTCACGCACCGGCGAGGGTTGTGGCTGGCAGCCGCATCTCCAAGCCGGGCCGCGGGCGCCCAAAAGGGGCCAAGGATAAGAAGAAACGCTCTCGGCGCACAAAAGCACAGCTCGAGAAGTTGAAGAAGAACGCAGAGGCGTCTGCCGCAGCGAATTGGAACGCTATTGGCATGCTTGATGATGGTGAGGAGATCGTCGAGGCCATAGCGATGTTGACGAAAGAATGCTGACTCCTGGGAAGCTTATCTTTCCGCTGAGAAGGCTGCCAAATTGCCTGACCCTGAGCTTGCAGCTAAGTGGCAGAAGGTGACTGACAAGGAGGAAGCTCGTCTGCTAGCATATGAGACGTGGAAGCCAGCCTCTGACGAGGAGCTAGCTACCGCGAAGCAAGTGCTTCCAATCGCTATCATACTGACCGCTAAGCGCGACGGGACGTATAAAGCTCGAGCCTGTGCACTTGGCAATCTTGATCGATCGGGTGACGTTGACACCTTCGCGCCAGTTGTCTCGCATGCAGCTAATCGCTTGCTACTGGTATCTGCAGCCGCAGACGGTGATCACGTCATCCCGCATGATCTCGATAGCGCGTTCCTTAGTGCCTTGCTAGATCGCGACGTCTATTGCCGTTTGCCACCCATCTGGGCAGCAAAGCACAGGACGGCAGTCGTGAAGCTACGCAAAGCGCTTTACGGGCTAAAGGACGCACCGCGAGCCTGGTTCAAGAAGTGTGAGAGCATCTTGGCCGAGTTAGGTTGGGAGCCCTGTCCTTCTGCGCCTGGTTTGTGGAGAAAGCCAAGTTTATCGCACCCAGGAAGATTTCTCAAGCTTGCTGTCTATGTCGGCGACAACTTGACCGCAGGACCTGATCTTGCTGAACTTCGTGCCGAATTGCAAAAGACTCTGTCGCGCGTCCCCGGGCGTGAGATAGCTGTCGAGCTCTTTACCGATTCCAATGGTATCGAGTGGCAAAAGTTCGACTTCCTTGGGGCGATTGTGTACTACTCTAGGGAGCGCAAGTCAGTGCGTGTGACCATGGAGGAGTATATAGAGAAAATTGCTAAGAAGTTCGCTGCCACGCTTGGCAAGCCGGCACGCTCTCCGAATTTTGACGAGTCAGCTCCGACGGAAGAAGATCTTGAAGAGCTGAAGGATTATCCTCTCAGATCCGTAGTTGGTGCGCTGCAATGGATCGCGACCACTGCGCGCCCTGACATTTGTGTGCCGGCTTCTACTCTAGCTCGCTATGTGAGCAAACCCGCCACGAAAAGGATCGCCTACGCCTGCAGGAAAGTGATAAAGTTCCTCCTGACAACGAAGGAAGTGGGACTGTCGTACAGTCCAGAGGAAGAAGAGACGTTCGTTGAGATTTGTCAGAAGTTAGTGCCGGAGGGCAGGGACGTGCCACGTCTGAGCCTGTTCTCTGATGCTGGTTTCGCGAATTGTTTGAAGACGATGCGTTCTACCACCGGTTCGATTATGTACTGCCGCGGTTTCCCGATCTGCTGGCGCAGTAATCGGCAGACTGTGCGTGCGTATTCGACGGCGGAAAGCGAGTATATCGCGGCTTCTGACACTATTGCGCTCAGTGAGCAGAACGACTTCGCTGATTTCTTCGCTCCTCTCCCTACCAGAATGGTGGAAACGCTCGCAGCGCGGCTTATCTCCGTCCCTGGATGATGCCATCTTGTGGGTGGGCAACCAATCCGCAGTCGCTACCTACAGCCAAAAGCACAGACACAAAACCGAAGTCACGGCATTACGCTCTTCGCTATTTGCGTGCGCGAGATGCTGCCAGTCGTGTAGTCTTCTGCCCGACGCATTTGATGAAGGCGGATGGACTTACGAAGCTGGAATGCTCAGCGCCACTGCGCAAGCTGCTTTTGCATCGCGTAGACAGTCCAGTCATCTCCTGCGACTCTTCACATCCTGGCGCCCAGTCGGATGATGAGGATGATTTTGATGCTTCTTTTTATACTAGTTTCTGCGATGATAGTGGAGTAGCTTTAGTGTTGTACGCTGTAGACTTTGGATTTTGACCCGAGAAGGGGAATTTATGCAACTTTATATCTATTTAGGAACAAGGTAGAGTAGGACTCTTAGGGGCTACAGACTGCATCGATTGAGGAGGGGCGTTGGTCATGTGATCTAAACCCTACCTCCACGCAAGACTGAAGCTTCTATGAGATCCCGAAATGCCTGTTCTCCAAATGCAAACGATGAAGAGTTTGAGCAAATCAGGCTCTCTTGATCAAAACTTTATCAAGGACCGGCGACCCTGATAAAAACTTTACCAGGGACCTCCGTCCCTGATAAAATCGCACCCATACAGATTGGGAAGTAGGTCCCAGAATGACTAGAGATCTGGAGCCTCAGAGCCTGTGATGAGTGGAGTGATGTCTATGATGAACCTTGATTGATGAATCTTCACAGGATGCAACGCAGTCAGAGGCTTTCGCCCTGTCTGCTGAGAGATTGAAGTGCTTGAACGTGTTAGAGACCTCTCGAAGGTAGAAGCTTTGGCCACTCAGTGTGGCAGGTGTGTTCAAAGTCCAACAGTTTCGGTTTCGTTTCTCCTTCTATTAGTTTGCAATATCAATCGTATACAGGGTCTCGAAGGACAAGCTCTTGTGGATGCTTTTGCCAAAGGAGCTCAGGACAGATCGGACTGCGGTAAGTAATTTTTACTTTTTTCCATTAATTAGTCCAGCTTATTTTGTTCGTGGGTACTAAAAATTTAATTTTACGGAACTGGATAATAATTCTGACTGTAGTAGTACTCGCGCTGTACTTCTACAGCGCAGTCAGTGCCAAGCATCAATATCAAAGTAAGCACACGATGAACATTCCCATTATTCCCAACCAACAACCACCACAGGATCTTGCGCACAGGGAGGTGATTTGGGTTTTTTCGGGCCGGGGCAGATGCAGAAACCGTTCGAGGACGCGTCGTTCTCGCTGCAAGTGGGACAGATGAGTGGAATAGTGGACTCTGATTCGGGGTCTCATTTGATCTTGCGCATTGCCTAAAAAGAACCAACGAGCAGTCCGACACTGATTCTTCTATTCCCTGTATGTTGAGGCCTTGCATCGAATGGTGGAGACAAAAAATCGACTCAGAGACCGCAATAAAATCTTCAAAGTGCTGAATGAAAGAAATTCTGCGATCGCAGACGCAGATGAGCAACAGGACGCTCCTGAAGCACCAGGAGATAAGCAATCGAGAGCAAGCTGTGCGCCAAAGACACAGAACAGCAACAGGCTGCGCTTTACAGATTTTTCAGTGTTACAGGAGCGCGAGCTCGTAAGAAGAAGGAACCTCGTGGCCGTTGCTTTTGTGCTATCGGTCGTGCTTGTGAACTCGTGTGATGTAGTTGCCGAAGAACAAAAATCACCCACCAGAAAATCAACTGAGACAAGCAAAAACTGAATGTGAATGATACAACTCAATCAATTGTCCGCGATCATGGTGCCCGCACGAGAAATCCCAATTATGAAAAGAAATTTGAAAACGATCCTCGAAATTGAGTTTGAGACCAAAGACGTGTCGAGAAAATCAAAATGAACCTGACGTTGATATGAGTACGAGATAATTGAGATGAAGTTGTTGAAGACAAATTTCAGCCCTTGAAGGATCAGCTTCTCTGGTGCCTGTCGCTTACCGAGCGGCTCAATGTAAATCCGAGACGTTCCTTGATGAACCTAAATTTACCGTTCCTTTCTGCCCCCCTAGCACGAGACGTGAATGGTGTCGCAGCCAGCAGAGGGATTCATTGTGATCGGACGAATGATGCATTCAACTGAAGCAGAATCAGAAATCATAAAACTTCAGTAAGATGTAGTTAGTTTGTGCGCGCCCGCAACAACTTCCTCCAACCTTCATTGTCATTCAATTTCATGCCGGACATCAGACACAAAAAAAAAACAGGAGTACGATTAGAAGAACAAGCACATTGCTTGTTTCTGTAGTGGTTCAAAAGCGATAACTTAACTCTAACTACCCGTAGTCATCAACTTAAACCCAATTTGAGTGGCTTTTTCAACACCATATCTACATTCGATTTCTTGTTCTAAAACGTAAAAAAAAAAACGATATAAGCGAGTGGCTCTTGTGTATTGCTGGAGGTGCGAAGAAGAAGATAGGAGTTGACATAATCATGAGACCACAACGCAGGGAACATTTTAGACTTTATGCATTCTATGTTGCGCAAGCGCAGAAGTTGGTTGACGTTGATGCAAGACTACGAAGCAAGTAAAGATGTATGAGTGGTTTATGGTTGCAAAAAGTATATAGCCTAATTTTCTAAAAAAGTAAAAAACAACCCTAATTTTCTAACTCTCTTCGCAACCCTTAAAAATGGTTGCGCTTTTGTCCGACCCTTACAAGGTTGACGTTTACGCACCGGAGTTTTATCCGATGAACAATAACACGGTGGGGCGCGCTGCCGCCGCCGCCGCGGGAGGCGGTGGGGGTAGTTTGGGCACGCTTGGGAGCAGTAGCTCAGGAGGCACCTGGAACCCGGAGTCTTTCGATGGTCGTGGCTCCCATTCCTTCTGCCCTGCCGGGCAACTTGCTGCGACGTTGCAATCCGTAGCAGTTCCTGCGGCCGGAGGAACCTTTGTCCCTCCTGGATCGATTGCTGTGCTCCCTCCAGGACAAGGAGCGACTACACTTGCTGCGGTTCCGCCTCTGCCGCAGGTTCTGGGTCCCGCACTCGCCCAGCAGCAGCACACGCAGTCGACTTCCACAAACGCCGCGAACAATGCGCAGCAGCAACACGACACCTCGGAGCTACGCGGGGCGGTGCGGCGGTTGCGCCGCGGCGCGCAGGAGGTGAGCAAGTGCGGGTTGCAGGCGAACACGGCTCGCGGCGTGTTGGCGGACGGCGTGTCGCAGCTGGAAGCGGTGCTGGTTTTCCCAGACCAGATCGCTGTTCCCGACCGCACGGGCGACGCGCTGTTGGGGATGCTCCTGCACGAGATCGCGGGGTTGATGCAGGCAGTGAAGAAGTGGGAAAACGCGAACGGAAACAACACCTCTGGAGGTGGTGCTGGTGACCAGGGAGGAAACAACACGGCGTACGGGAAAATGAACGGTATGAAGTACAACCACCAGTGCCACTGGTTAGACCCCTACCATCGCCTAGATTCTGCCCTGCTAGGACGCGTGGTCAAGGTTGTCGCCGAGATGCTTTTGCACCTGCAATTCGTCTGCGCCGACGCCCAAACCTTGTCTCTCCGCACCATTGCTGCCGGACTGCGTTGCTGCAACTTGGCCAGAAACTGGTGCCGTGCAGAGGCGGGCGTGATCGGCGACTTGTGTAACGCGACGCTGTGCGAAAAGATGTGGAGCATGCTGTGGCTGCGGTTCTGCGAGCAAATCGAGCGAGCGGCGGCGAAGCAAGATGCGAGCAGCGAGCACCTGTGTCCGTTCGCGCTGCGCGACGTCGCGACCATTGCTATCACGCTTACCACGGCGCAAACCCAAATGCAAAGCAATGCAGCCGCGGCCGCTGCGGGGGCTGGACCAGCGTCTGCGTCGGCATCGAGAAACAGTGTGGTCGCGGCTGCAACCGAGGAACACGTGGCGACATGGAAGGCGTTGGCCGTCTTGATCGAGACCGGCAACAAACCAGGGCACTGGGATGTGGCGAAGGAAAACATCAATTCGAAGGACCTGTCGCAGCTTCTGTACGCGACCGCCAAACTTGCGCACTCCTGTCCCCATCGGTTGACGCCGGCCACCGTGGGCAACGTCTGCCGGGTGTTGCTCCCGGCTCTGACCGCGGTGCACAATGTACAAAATGATGGCTCCGCACCGACGCCACAGCAGGCTGGCGGGAAGCACAGCAATAAGTCCGGCAAAGGCAAGGGAAAGCAGCACCAGCAACAGGAACAACAGCAAAACAACGGCAGCATTTTGACACGCGAAGATCTGACTATGGTGTGCAACAGTTTGTTACTGCTGCTTGGACTGGGGAACGGCACGCCCACTTCGATGGAAGAACAGCAGATCGCCGCCGGGTGGGCAAACCTGAAAAGCACAGTCATCCGCGAGAGCGGACAGCAGCTCATTTTCATGGCGTTGGGCCGGTCTGACTTGCGTCCCGTCGATCGACGTCTGTGCCAGAAGCTCTCCACCGAGTTGCAACAAAGCCTCCAGAATAATTACAAAGTCGTCATCCCTCCGAAGATTGCGCCTCCGGTCGTGCCCGGGCCGGCGGCTCCTTGGACTGATGTCAACACGCCTATACCGACTCCGGCGAATAATATGACTGGCTTCAACATGAAAATCAATACCATGATTCAACATGAAGCATCGGGTCTGACGAACACAGACGCCACAGTTGCAGACGCAGAGCAACAAGAATTGCCTTCGGGTGCATCCTCCCAGGATCTCGTCGTCAACATCGACAATAACCTCTTCAGAATTCCCGCCTTCGCCCTGCCCGCCTTCGTTGATACCACCACTCCGATGCACCAGCTCCTCAATCCCGCCCCCACGACCTTGACGGGGAAAGATTTGGCTGCTCAAGCTGCAAAGGAAGCTAATGCTAATGGCGAAACCTCTAAAGAGGGCACGGGCACTATGAGCCAAGACATTGAGAAGCCAGCGGCAAATGAAAAGCATTTGACTGTTGAGGCGAACGAGAAGAGCAGGCCGACCCCTGCAACACCGCGAACAGCACATTTTTTGGACTCGGAGATGCCCCTGGAGTGTCTCGCCTGCGAAACTGCCGAGGAGATCACCAGCGCCCAAAAGGGGAAGAGCCGCCCCCATCGCTTCACGAACAACCCGGGCGCCCGGGACACCGATGAGATTCTGCTGACCGCAACGCCCACGCAGCACCACGGACTGCAGACGTCGCGACGCAAGTTTAAGATCTTACAAACGCCCAAGGTGCTGCCGGGCTTGGGCCCGTCGGGGGGCAAGAAGATGCCGGTGCGTCGCAATTCGGCCTGTGAACCCGGGGACTGTGTGCTGACCTGTTCGAACAACACGTGCTGCGGGGAAATCCACCGCGGCGTCACGATTCTGAACGACCCGAAACACTTCCTGAAGGCCAACACGGATGCGGCCGGGAACTTGAAAATCACCGTGAACGATGCGGGCTGCGAGCGGAAGAAGACGCGGACCACCTCGGGGGAAAAGAAGATGAAAATCATGCCCCACGGAAATAACAATAAAAACGCAAACAACAACAATTCCAATCCGACAAATAACGCGAGCAAACAGGTACTAGACCCCGCCGCTGCTGCCGCTGCGATTCTCGCTAGTGATGTGGATCTTCTTCGGCAACGCAGTAAAAACCGCGACTCTGTCAGCCTGATGAGCAACTACAGCGCCCCCACCGTCAATTTAAACCCAGTACTAGGACAGCCTGACCAAGAGGACGATGGCGTTCCCGGGAGTTCCTCGTCCGCACTGGACAACACGTTGAGCAGCGACGAGGCGGTCTGGTGCCGTACGCGGACCAACAGTCTGGCCACCGACAACGGTCGGAGTGCGACGCCGCAGATGCGGGAGCGCCACGAGCACTGTCTCCGCGTGAAAAACACGTTCGTGCATATCGACATGGGTTCCGTGGACCCGGACGACTGCGACATCTGCGCCCTCAAGCGCCAGCGGGCCACCTCCTGTCTCCTGGACGAGCTCCAGGTGGCGCGCATCATGGAGTCCTTTCGCTGGTGCGAAAACGAGGACGGGTCCTGTGACGGTCACGTCTGCACCGACGGCTTTCCGCGACTGGAAACGACGAACAGCACGACAGAGACGAAGGTCGTGCAGGGCGTGGACGAACCGCGGCAATCGGAGGATGAGGAGGAATATCTGAGCAGCTCGACGAAAAACAAAACGCAAAGTGCAGGTGCAGAAAGGATCTTTGTACTAGATCCAGCAGATGCAGCGCTTCAGCGGATCACCAGGACAGCGACCTCGAGCAGCACGGACGGAACGAGGGATACCGTCGCTAGCAAAGCGAAAGTAACAAGCGCACAAAAGGACGGGGTGAACGCCGATACTAGTACTTCTGTGCCAGCAGCACCAGCAGTCGTAGTGCCTTCAGCGGCCGCTCTGCCACGATCATCTTCCTGCTCCGCCGCATCGAGCTCGCCGGCGAGTTGTTCCGTCCAGGTCGACGGAAAGCAACTGCTTGTTCAGTAATGGACTCGACGCAAAATTACAGTGATTTCCAGTTCTTGTTTGATAGGATGAAGACCAGCAGTTGTATCTACGGGAATGATCCGTGGCAGCAGGACGTAGAAGTAGTTCCGCAGACGAAAGCCCGTTCATTTCTCGGCACTGCTAGACGACTCATCTTCACCCCGAGCGACGAGGAGGGGAAAATCGATTGATATCGAAGATAAACTTCGCGCGCGATGAACCGAACGCCTCAACACGCAGGAGGCAGGGAGCTGACATTTGATATATGCTTTATTACGAATACGACGAGATTGTTTTGAGAGCTTCTGAAGCAGAACAACAACAAAAAGATATAACATTTTTCATGGAACTTCTTGTGCCATCGCAACATTCAACTTCACCGTCCTCTGGCTGACTTTTCGTTTTCGTTTTCCACAAGCCAGACATGGAAAATACACGAGCATCCGCTCTGCATCTACTCTGCTTACGTTTTTTTCAGAACGTTGACGGAAGATGGTAGACGGACAAATAAGCCACAGCCAGATTTCAGGACTATTATGCTAGATGAAAACTGGACGACCTCCACTATGGTGCAGCAATTTTGAACCAAATTGGCATGGCACACATGAGTGGTAGTTCAACGAAGCAGTTGTTGCACGACCTTGACCACGAGGACTATGCGACAACACCGACATGCGCGTTTGGTTGTATCTACTTTTGTACTTGTAAACAAAACTTTGACAACTACATCAGCCTTTACGCAATCATGGGAAGAGCTACTAATAGTACTCGGAAAATCTGGTGGAGCGCTACTCATAGCGGTACGCATTCATCACGACGAACTAATGTTGTCAGCATTAGTGACTTGCTTTACTTCCCCGCTATAAAAGTCACTTCGCGCATGCTATCGTAGACCAGACGATCATTTCAAGTGGCTGCTTTTTGATTTACAAATTTTCTCCTTTTTTCGTTTCTAGTTTTAGCAGAAGCAGACCCAACATCAGCACTGTTGTGGACTAAGCGGCACAGAGGGAGGCCGCAAGATTGAGACTCGTTGGTGTTCCTCCTGATTAAACTAAAAACAAGATCCTCGCCCGCTCGTGACATATGTTCTCGCCTGTGCTTGCGCCTGCGGAGTTGAACTTGAAAGTTAAAAAAGCAGTGATCCATCTCGATGATTTCGATCTGCTCTGTCTACGCGATTGTCCCCTCTGGAGTTGCAGGGCTGCTGGTGGAAGAAAGCTGGGAACTCATTACATAGCCGCGTACGTAGTTGTACATGCAACCAAGAACAAGATTGAATTTTCGTCGGTTCGCTTTCGTGTCCCCAACCTGGTGCTGTCATATCAGTACTTCTTAGATTTTTTGCACGGTTAGTAATACCATCATCAGTTATCGGCTCTCTCGCCACAGGAAAATAGAAATACGCAATACAGCTCGGATTTGCGGAATTTTGTTGGCATAGCGTGTGATGCAGATATTGGTCGTGTTGAAGTTGATCATTGGTTTTTCAGGAAAGGACAGAGTAGATCCAACAAAAGCAAAGTAGACGAAAAGGCTTCACCTCGTCCTCGGTCTTCTTTTTCCAGCAGCATTTTGAGCTCATGATGTCGTAATAAATTATACATACATGTTTGTAGTTGTCTCCGCCATTGTCTCTGGTACTTGCGGTTCGACAATCATCTATCTGTGAAGAAGTTTTGACTAGGCGCCATTGCCACGAAGGCTGTGGTCGTGATTGTGAACACGATAACGCATGTGCCTGGCACGTAGAGTACTCTGTCTCCTACTGACAGTTTTTCGAATGTCGGAGTAGAGTCAGGAATTAACAAGTACATTCATTAAAGATAAAATCTAAGCTGTCCTCTCGTCACTCTCTTACAGAAAAAGGACTACACAATGATGTCATCTTCTGCATCTCCTACTACCTTCTAAGGGTGGGACCACCAGGAGAATCATGGCACAAGAAAGATTGCACGACTTCCGCGACTCGCTGCGATATTCAGACATGATGGGCATGCAATCGTGAAGCCGCACCCGCACGACGACCACAGTTCGCTTCTTTTCGTCGGCCTCCGCCGTCGCAATGAGACACGTCGCACGACCGGCACAATCGCAATCCTTGCCTCATTATGTGTATCGTGGTGTGCAGGCGCGAGGCATTCCCGGCAATGCGCACGCACTACACGACGAGGCGCAGCTGCCCCTGTCCGCTGCCGCAGAGGCTGCGCTTTCTCCGCAGAACAAGCGCGTGTCGATTCACCGGCTGCGCAAGGCCATTGTCGAGTCGCTTGTCTTTCTCCGGCGTCCCGAGCCACTCAGTCGCAAGTGGTATAAAATGTAAAAGTGTCTGGGTCTGGAAACTTGTGATGCTGGGTGGCGTCTCATGATGAGGCCACAAGTGCTGGCTCAGCATGACAAGTTTCTGAGCTTATAGGTGTTGCCTATTCTGCATGACAAACTGCGTTCCTGCATCGCAGAAAAATGGAGCTCTTGGGTAGCGTGCATGGCAGATTTAAGAGTCATGCCAGACAAGCATGACAAACATGAATTCTTCCAGACCCAGACATTTTTGCAATCCATAAGTGGACCGCGTACGCGATACGGGCACTGGGGCGGGAAAAAACAACGAGTCAAACAGAGAGCATTTTAGCGCTCCTGCAAATGCAGCTGTCCAACGCCGGCGCTAGCTTCCATTGCTTCAGCGCCGCTCTCAACGCACTGCCTCTGCAAGACGCGACCAGGGTCTTCGACCTGGAAATACGGTGTCGTTTGCCGGTCCCCAGATCTGCGAGCAGTAGCACACCAGACGCGGCACCCTCGTCGTTGCCGGCCGAGAATAATTTTTTCGGCGACACAGCGACAAATGCCCCCGACGAGACCACGTCCATTAGTGCAGAGATCATTTCCGTCACGACTCACAATCAGGAGCTGTGCCCGGAGCACGCGTCGGGCATCGTTGTTACGTACGGGGCGCTGATTCAAAAATGTGTGCAGGGGAAGGAGGCCAAACTGGCTTTGCGTTACTTTCACGAGTTTCGCTCGCGGTACAGCACCTGTCGGGAGGTGCGTCCCAGTTCGCAACTGTACACTTCCGTGGCAAAAGCACTCGATCTTGTGGACGACGCCCCGGGTGTGCTTCGCCTGTTTGAGGACGCGGTAACCCAGAGCGCAGTGGATTTGGTTTTGGCGAACGCGGTCTTGTCCGCCGTGGTACGGCAGCCCGGGCACGAAGAGTCCGCGACGAGGATATTCGCGCGCATGAAGCACGAGCTGTCCCTCGATCCTTCCGTGGTCACGCTGAATACGATGCTGAGGCTTTTCGCGCGCCAGCGCGACAGCAAGGGGGCTTTACAGCTCCTTCGAGCAGAGGGCTACAAACTTCGCCGTCGAGAGGAACAGCTGTTCGACCAAGTCACCTTGAGCACGCTCATCCAGTGCTTCGCGCCGTCGCAGTGGAAGCACGCGGTTAGGATTGCTTTGAAGAGTGACTGGTCATTTCTGGATCAAGAAAACAGTGATAATGAGGCGGAGTTTGATGACAAGCTGCATCTGCCAGATCATGATGGTCAACATGAGCCGCATGGCCCAAGAAACACGCTGCTGCAGAATCCTGATGTTGACAAGACACACGAGCTAACGTCCTCTCCCCCGTGCCTGCTGTTTTCCGGAAAAAATGCCGATGTTGGGCACAAAGGCAACACCGGATCGACAGCTGCATGGGGGTTCACGCATCTGTTCTCACTTTTGCACGATGCGGCTACGATGTCTCAAGTGCGTTCCCGAGAAGCTGGCGTCTCTGTTTATCCGACCAAGGCCGAGCCCTACCTCGCTGCGATAACAGGCGAGGATGATGCCGGGGAGGTGGAGGACGGCACCACCGAGGAAGCCTGCAACGACCTGCAGTTGCGCGAGCTTCGTCGCGTGACGCGTTATCTGGCAAGCAGGTTGGCCGACCACGCGGAGATTGTCGATCATGTGCTGCTTTCGAAATTGCTGGAATTGCTGGATGCAGTTGGCGACGTGGAAACAGCGGTGGCGTGGTATCGCACTTTTCAGGACCTGAAAGCGCGGCTGCAGACCAGAAGACAAGATGAACCTGTGGTGAAGGCGACCGAAGATGAAGCGAATCGCGAGAGCTGCAAAGCGCCACAGCACCAGCGAGAGTTTATGACGCCTACGCCTGATGGGGCTGGTCCTGGTACTTCGTCGGGCGGAGGTCCAGGGTACTACGAGTTTGTGGTGAGCCGAACGAAACGCGATGGCGTGCGGACAACACAGGTCTTGGACCTACATCACCACAATTGCGCCGAGGCCCGTATCGCCATCGTCGCGGAGATCGCACGACAGGTTGGCAGACGACAGAAGAACTCCACGCAGAGTAAACAGATCACGGCCACGCGTGAAAGCGCGGAAGATTTTTCGGATAAAGACAGAAACCGATGCGAGGAGCAAGATAGTGCACCTCTCACGACGTCTTCGGCCGCAACACGGCCCTCATCTCCATTTACATCGCAGGGAAAAAGCGGAGAAAATGAAGAAATAGAAAATGAAAGAAAGGTTTTCCTCCTTTTGCAAGTGGGTCAAGGACTTATGGCGCGCCTAACGACAGTTTTTCTAACTATTTCAAAAATCGGTATGTAGGATGTAAAAACTATCTAGTGTAGCATCGAAGTAGCTAGCTGAATTAGGTAGTATAGTAGGTAGCTAACACGACGCCTCCGGATGTGTGTCGTAACGGTTGACCAGCCAGTCCACGGAGCACAAGTACCTGTTGCAGTTGGAGGAGATGGTGATGTGAAGAGGAGTGTGGAATTGTAGAAGATCTTGAGCATGAGATGAAAAGAGAATGTTTGTGTCATCATTATGCACAGCTGAAAAACAGGAACGTTGCGACTTTGAGTTCTGCGATCACGCGAAAGTAAATCAATGAGATTGAGAAGCGAATGAAAGCACTGCGATGCGCGATAGATGTGTGCAATTTGATTAGTAAACGCTGTTCAACACAAGCCAACTTCTATACCTTCACAACCCCGAACTACCCCGCTGATAAAATTCTGCAAAGATCCCTCCGAAGTCATCACGTTGTACTGATTTTCATTTTCTTGTTGTGCGTCATGTGGTGCTTCTTCTTCGTTCTGAAACTAATCTTCCAATCAAACCGAAAACCGTAGGGATAAATTGAGAGTTGTTTTTTCCTCGAGCATCTGCTCCAAAACACCAAAACACAAAATGCCGAAGACTTACTCTGCGATGGATTTCGTCAAGGGCAAGATCGGCAAGCCCAGCCGCGCTGATCTGAAACTCTTCAGAGATGCGTTTTCTGAACTTGATGAAGAGCTTGATGCCGAGGAGGAGAACTTCGTGCCCATGTGCAGCCTGTCCCGTCAGGCCTTTCCGGGAACCCTCGAGCGTATACGTTGTTGTTTTGTTTTATTACAATTACACGATATTCTGATAGGAAATTGTGGCTCTGACTTGTAGTTGTGTTTGATTCTTCGGTCCACGCGTGTTTTGTAAAACCACCTCTGGCATGCTTGCGTTTGAAAGTCCAGCTGAGCCTATCTCTTGGCACGCTAGTCTGTGTTGCATTATCTGGCACCGATAAGCACTGATGTGATGCAGGTTTCTGATACAAAGATGCAAAACGCGCGTGGTCTAGTTAGCATGACTAATTGGCACAACAAACCAGCACCATTTATTCACATTCGATATCTTCCCGAAATCAAATCAGGTTTCGGCCAGTTGCCCATCGAGATCGTCCAGGTTTCCTTGAGCACCCTGATGCACCGCAATGTCATGTACGTCGCCCGCTACGTGTACTCCGTCGCGCAGTGGAAGTACATCTTGGTGAAGATGAAGATCCCGATCGACATGGTATTTTGCTGCTGTATAGTGATGTTGTCTTGCGCGCCTTGTACAGAAGGTCCGTGCTCCGTGTCGGTTTCTTAACTTCAATTAGTGCTACTGCAAAGACAGACGTTTTTCAAGGACGTAGCTCCACAGTACCCGCATGCAACCACACCAAAATCTCAACTGCAGGTCATCCAGAAATGCTCGAAGACCAAGTTCCGCCACCTGCAGCAGGTCGTGAAGTTGTTGGCCCTGGCCGGTTATGTTGTGTAAAAGTATCGCACTGTTAAGCATTACAACCTTGCACGACTGATCATCATCACGTCGAAGATTTGCATTGCAAACTCGTCTTCTGATGTTGCGAAAAATTGTTGATAGAATTGCCACTGCGCGATACTTTTATATTGCGTATTGCCTCCAAGATGCAGTGGACGATCGTCGTTGAGATGTGCCCCGCGCCCGAGAAGTGCGTGATCACCAAGCTCGACAGCTGTGCGCAGTACGCCGAGACCACGCGGACCCCCGGCATGGAGGGCGTGTCGATGACCGCGACCCCGGGTGTGATGATGCCCGGCCAGACCCCCGGTCACTTCGGCATGACCCCCATGGGTATGACTCCGTACGGACTGCAGTTCGCGCCGAGTCCCAACATGATGTCCAACGGACAGCAGATGGTGCAGATGACCCCCGGACCGAACGGCACGGCACAGCTTTATTACCTTCGTTTTTTACATTCGGTTTTACGGCAAGAGAAACAGCTGTAGACTATTCGGTTTGTGAAATGGACACTGCAACTTCATTTGTCCAACGTATTGATTCCAACATACACATCAAACCTGACACACAGGTTTTCATGGCTTCGAATGCCGCCGTGCAGTCCGCGAGCCAGCAGTTCGGCGCGGGCAAGACCGAGGTCGTCGCCGACAAGGACAAACTGGCCAAAGGATTGCGCAAGTCCGTCGGCAAGACCGGTCTCATTGCCACCCCCAAGGGCAACGACGACGTCGACCCCGTCACCCTCGAGTTTGACGACCCGATCACCCCCGGGAAGAAGCACTCCTTGAACATCATCGACAACCAGAAGAAGGTACTGCGTGAGTAATTAGGAGAGCATTTGTAGAGTAGCGTGTAAGAAAGCCCTGCACTCGCCCCTGCGAGTGCACGGATGGTTGTAATGAACGCACACGGATCCGTGGCATCGGTGTATTTGTGCATATGCATCTTCCAACCATCACTAATTACTCACTGACAGCCCGCTTCCACCAAAGTCACCCCGAAGGACAAATTCGCGGAGGCGCTGATGTCCGTGTTGAAGCCGGCGGACCAGGAGTCCTTTGTCGAGTTCTTCATGACGTCGTCCGCGGACAAGCGGGCCCGCGAGGAGATTGAGAAGGAGAACGAGACGTTGAGCAAGATGTTGGAGAAGCAGGTCTTGCAGGAGGAGAAAGACAAGTCCAAGGCCCTCAAGGAGAAGGAGAAGCTCCAGAAGAAGTTGGAGAAGGAGATCGCGAAGAACAAGAAGAGCAAGACCCCCGCGAAAGCGTCGCGCGCCTCCTCGACCACCGCTTCTACCTCCAAGGCGATGAAGAAGATGATGTCGATGAAGAAGAAGTGATTAGGGTCGGTCAAACGCGAGTTATGTTTCTGTGGTTCCACCAGAATACGACGTTGTGACTTTGAGAACGCGTCGGTGCTATGCTGGTTCAATAGTTTTACGCATGACAGATTTGTATTCCCGCCAGCATGACAGATTTGTATTCTCGCCAGCAAAGAACCGACACGCTCTCCCTTTTGCCAACCATAACAGTTTTGAATCGATCTTTACACTGGTGGTTCCACATATGAAGTTTCACTAGACTAAAATATATGTTATTTTGAATAAAAAATTATTCCATATTTTATCGCCAGCTTAATGCGCAGAAAGCTGGCGATTACTACTGAAGACTACACAAAAAAATAATGAATTTATTTGTTAAAATTCAAACAATTTCGTTGTAATAACCATTACTGTGAAATCCACCTCCTCTTTGGTCCGGCAGCTGGCTGGTCGCGTCCGCTGTCGGCTTTCTACCTGTAGCGATCAACAATGAATTAATCGTGAGGCGTCGAACTACCTTTCCTTGACGAATGATGTTGGAATCAAGAACAAGCTTCACGACGAACAAATGTAGATTTCGCATCTGAGTCCGCACGTATGAATCCATTGAAGTGTGCTTGCGAGCAAAGAACCAGATAAAAAAGGTTGAATGTGTAGGCTGTACCTGTTGTTCGGATGCGAGTGTCAGATAGTCGGTTGTATCGTAGACAGGGTCGAAGCAGGCGTGCGAAAGATGGAGCACACACTGCAATGGGCTGAAGGTCGGTTGTGTAGTTGTTTGCGCTGTTCGGTCGAACGAATGATATAATCGTGGGGCTCGTAAACAGGTCTCGAAGTAGACGGAGAGATAGCGCACGCACTGCGAGAGATGGATTTGAAGAAGGCGAGCGCAGTTTGTCACACAGACACTCCAGGTCCCACAGCTTGCTATTTCCGCACGTATAGATGATCGTCGAGTAAGCATGCTTCTAGTTTGAAGAACAGAGAGATGCATCCTCCTGCGGGGCCTCCCGTCTACCAACAGGCAGCACATCCCGCTCCAAAACAACGCCAACGTCCTCCGCCCGCAGCTGTGGCCAGAGCTGATTTCGTGCTCCCGGGTGCTACACGAACTCAACGAGCTGTTCATCAGCTAGACCCGGTCCTCAAACCCGAGGACGATGTGCTGGATGAGGTCGAGTACTCGTCATCCTCCGAGTCGGATTCGGAGGCCGAGGAGGCACCAGAGGGCGATCGCCCTGCGCGGAAATCCCGAGCGACTAAATGGGATGTTCCGCTGAGATCGGAGTTTACGGGCAAACCGATCTGGAAGCTGAAGTCGATGGCTCCTTCGCCGACCAATTACGAGAAGTGGTTGTCCACGCAGGTGCCGCGGGACCTCTGGACGTACTGCGGGATTACTTGGCACCCAACCAAGGAAGGATCGCAATGGGACGGGGTAAAACATGAATTTTATGATGTGCGAACCGCATGCATTCATATACTCATGGAGCATGACAAATCCTTTTTTTCATTACAACTTCAATCAGGTATTTTGCTACCTGTGGTGGAGGATCACCCAAACAAAGGAGATTGCTTATGCAAAATTTGGCACGTGTAATTACCGGGATGAGCTCGCAGGTCTCAATACAGCAGACCTGTGGGATACAGCAGAGAAGATTCGATGCGTCGGCGAGGCGCAGCTGGGTCGGATGGGAGCTGACGATGCGAAACTGCGAGCGAAGGTAGAAAATTGATGTTTTTGGTGAAGGTGGTTCCATCGTGAATCACTTTACTCACGATGGTGTTATTTTGCATCACAAATAGCAGTACCACTCCGCCGTGGGTGATGTTATTCCGCATGGCACGACATCACATAAAGTGCATGGATCTGATGCCGTCGTGCATAATCTTCTTCACGATGGAACCACAGCCACCAAATATATCAGGCTGCGGCTTTGCGCCGCTACTACGAGTACGTCATATCCAGCCGCGCGTTTAAATCCGAGAAGGCCGACGATAAGGAACACCTGCTTCTGCAGGAGTTGTGCCCGGAGCTGGTATTTGGATCGCGAGACGGTCACGTCTGGCAGATCGGGGACGGTTCGTCAGTGCGCAAAAACGGAGCCTGGGGTTCTGTGGTATAAACCTTCATCCACCCGTCGTGGATAATATTATCCACGAGGGAAACATGAGCATTTCTTCTTGATGTTCTTTGTGCTGCTTTTCTGCATGAGAAACTGCATGTCATTCCCCTTTTCAGTCCTGCATATTTCTAAATACAAATACCAGTTCACATACCACGACGACGTCGATCCGCTCGATCCGAACAACGGCATTCCATCAACCACACCGAATTTTATGGGCCAGATCCTCCAGCCCTGCGCGTTCCAAACCGGTGGTGTAAGTAAGTTGAAGAGCTCCGTTCCGGGGACGAAGTCGAAGTTTCTCGGCTATCTCAACATGACGAATTGGATTATCAAAATGAAAAAACAGATGCTGCTCTTGTGAGCTTCTTCTGAGGTCGACAGTTCCATCGTGCATAATGTTACTCTGCATGCTATGACGTAGGACACACGTGCAGCATCTGTTTTAGCATTGATAAAACCGCAGCAGTTCGGCGACACGGCGATCACCGATCGGTGGTGCGACAAAGACAAGAACTGGCGGGATATGGATACCCAGTACATGGAGGGGACGGTCGGAGATGATCATCGCTGCCGCATGGAATTTCACCACAAAAGCGACCAAGCCACTCCGGAAACGCGATGGGGTATTACCCAGAACCTCTTCCTCCCCGGGGTAACTGAGGTAGGCGACCTCCACCGCCTGCACAACAACGTAAAAAACTGCTGTCCCCAGTTGACGACGGCCCGGGAATTGTGGGATGACTGGGCTACGGGTCCGTGCGGCCGTTTCCAGAATCAATCCGATTTCCTGGCTGCGAAGCAAGAATGCAAGGCCATCGCGAAAAACGACAAAGCCGAAGCTGACAAGTTCAAATGGAAGAACTTGTGCCTGAAGGAGCAGAAGACGCCCAGTCTGGAAAAAGCCCTCGAGAAGCGTATACTTTTTCTACAAATAAACGCACACTTTTTGCATGCAGAGGATCGCGTGATTTTCTTCCCTCGGACAGGGGAAGGCGAAGGGGTATCCCCTGGGGGTCTAGTGACCCTCTAGAAATCCATCATAGCATGCAGGTTAGCTTTCGCTTACTGGACCACTTTGCAATAAAAACGTGAGGGGTCTCGGGACCCTCTGAGGCCCTCCCTCAAATTTCGCTTTTCTGGTTTTCTTGGCATTGCAATTTCTCATGCAAAAGCGCACAGGTTACAACTTCTTCCACGCAAGCCAGCAGCGGTTTTTCGGCGACAATTCGTGGACGGACATGATGAGCGAGTGCTACTACCAGGTGCTGCTGGTTCTGTGCCAGATGATCCAAAAACAGAAGATCAAGGGCCGCAGTATGCAACTGAAACGCACTACCTGATGTTGGTTTGCACGGGCATAACCACGCTGCTCTGCATGACATGCGTATGTACATTTTTATACAAAGAAAAGCTCGCGCAAAACTACATCGGGTAGTGCTTTTCATTAGCATAGCGCAGGACTTGACGAAGGAGCAGGTCGCCCAGATTCTGGAAGAGAACAATTTCGAGCTGTTGATCTCGAAAACCATCGAGGAGAACCGCGGCAAGTTGAAACCGCGGTGGTTAGGTTACCATACGGAGATGTACAAGGAACTGTACGACATTGATTACAAGCTCTTCAACGTCCAGCGCTCCGTAACGCATGGCCACATGATGTTCTTCAAGCTGCTTCTGCACCTGGAAAAAAACGGGAAAACGAACAAGAACTTGGGCACGCAGGCGCTGCTCAACACGTACCGGCGGTACATCGACCCGGAAGCAAGAATGCACCAGCAACTATCCACCGAAAAAATCCAGCTGTCGCGGTCGAAGAACAGGGATCGCACCTGGAGACACCTTGTGGCGGATTGCTGTAAAAAATACCACATGAGTTCGCTGCACGAAGGTCCGGCCTGGAATGTCCTCGTCAACGCGGTGAATTGTTGGTGGTACTACACGGCGGATCCCAGCTTCGGCCTCTGGGAATCGATGGCGAATGAAGAGCTGACGGTCAGCGGCGACTTGGCGGCGAAGCTCGGAGACTTGACGGTGTTCGAGCTCAGCGTTACGTGATGAAAAACTACTACTTCTAGAAGAAGCTGCTCGTGTTGAATTGCGACTGTAGCAATTCATCTTTTTGTCGTAAAAAGATGAATTGCTTTCCTCTGCCCGAATTCAACACGACTGCAGTCGTCCAGAAGTAGAAGCTTTGCATAGCATATTTGTGTCCTGCAAAACCAACATCAACGTCTGCTTCAAAATGTCGGACGATAAAGCGCTGGAGTTGTTGAAAAAGTGGCGTGTCCGGGTCGTGCGCAGTTGTCCTTTGACGGAGTTCATACAGGAGAATCAGTTCAAGGAGCAGAACCAGCGGCAGGCCAAGGGGCAGAAAGCGGATAACAACTTGCGCAGCAAGAACGTGGACAAAATCCGGCACACCTCCATCCAACCCCGCTTCTACAATCCGATCCGTATCGCTAAACCGGAGATGTTGTATTTGCTGACACCACGGGAAACCAAGGACATCATCAAGGAAATCGCCAAGCGCAAAAAAGCGGACTCCAACGCGGGCGACCTGAAGTCCATGATGGAGATAAACTCGAGAGACCGCGCAAAGGGTGCTACCCGCGAGAAGTTCATCAACGAGGCGTTCAGGGATCTCCGGATGGCGGCGCACAATAACTGGAACAATCCGTCCAACTTCCCAAAGAAGATCCGCAAAATGTGCGACTACGCGGGCGACACCGAGAGCTGGTCCTGTCCGCCGGCTAATAAACTGGGATTCCGTGGCGTGAAGGCTTTCGTCGTGATGAAGGGCAACTACAAATCTGCTCTCGAGGTCAAGGCGCACATGTCGATGAGTGCGCGGTTTGGCGATGACCGCGGCTACACCGACAAATTTGCTACCGGCGAGGACTTCTGCTGCGTCGGGTATTCCAAGTACGCTCCAGATGAGCACGCTGCTATCCACTATCGCTTCTGCGGAAACGATCCGGAGGGGTTCTTGATGGGTATTCAGTTGATCCGGGTGGGGAAGAAGTTGTTCCGCATGCCGAATAGTGATCAAGAACCGAAGAAGTGCGGCGGCATTCTCGACGACTTCATCATGTACGAGGGCGTCGTGACGAAAAAAACCTCGTTGAAGGCCGACCCGACCTACCTCTCGCTCCGCTCGAACCTCTGGGCCGATCCGGCGGACTACTTGCCTCTCATGTTCCCCAGCATCCCGGATGACCAGCAGCTGGCATTGCTGAAACGGGTGCAGGACACCTGGCCGCGAGTCACCGACGAACACCTGGCACTGCTGTCCCCGGACAACAAGCTCGCGCTATTCCAAATTTTGAACGACCATATGCGCATGCAAAAGTGGCCTCCTTTTGTTTCTTTTTCTAGCAATACAAACACACTTCTTGCGCATGACAAATCTGTATATGGCGCAACTTTGTGATGCGGGGTAGTTGTTGTATTTGCTGTCTTAGCATCCAACATCAGGAGGCCACTTTTGCAATTGCATACACGGCGAAGAAATCGACGAAGAGTTCGTGGACCACTTGATTGAAATCAGCGGTGGGTACCAGGAGAGGGTTATGCTTGGCGCCGGCCAGTTACAACCCAAACCGAAGAAGAAGTCGCGACGCAGTGTGCAGCAGCAGCCACCGCTCGGTCTGACACGGGCAGGGCAGACGATGCGGGACGGGCTTACCCGGCAGCGGGCGACGTATTCGTACCTAGTTCTCCGCACCGACGAGAAGAAGACCCAGCTGGCCCGGATTGCGTCCCACAGGATGGATCAAGGTGAAGCCAACGCGCGCATGCGAATCCGCTGGGGAGATTACACTCCGGCCACCGTGAAGTTCGCCGGAACCAGCAAGACAACCGGTAATGTGACGCAGAACGTGCTCCTGGAACTCCTCCCGTATGTTATTTGCGAGTTTGACTTGCAGGAGGGGGACTTCCAACTGATCCGCGTCGACGAAGGCGCCGGCTCGATGAAGGATGTCCCCATCACGGTGCCGCGCATGACGTTTGAAATCGCTGCTGAATCCGGACTGTTGTTGCGGCCGCTACCACCAGCACCGGAGCCTGAGGAAGAAGAAGACGACGGCACGCGGGAGATGAACCGCGGGCTGGAGGTCAGACTGTCGTCCGATTCCTTACTGGATGATCCGAATAATTTGGGGTTCGAGTTTGACGCCTTCCGGGACGCGGAACACAATCGCAACGCTGATTTGAACAAGCAGAAGTCCTTGCTGGACCAGACCGTGCCGGAAAAGAAAAAGGATGATGAAGATGATGAGTCTGCAAGTGACGAGGATTTACCTGGTGATGAAGCTATGTATGCCAAACTCTTTCCAGACTTGAAAAGAAGAAAAGGCTGAACGATAAACATGGGTCAAGATATTATTTAAGAACTTTAGTGAAACTATATTTCAACGCGGGACTGAGAAAGTCTCGCTTTCTGCACAGCACCAGACCATCCGATTTTAGAAAAGAGTTTTCTGTGCGCTTTTGCAGCGTACAGAAAACATTCACAAAAATAACGACCCACTACGACGGTATCAGAACTATATTTTATTTTTATGTTTACACAGGCTGCTCTACAGCGATGATAAAACTATCCAGGTGAAGCTAGGAGGCCAGGCAAAGAGCACTTGCAATTGTGTCCATCTATTTGTCATGCGTGATGTAAATGCCAGCCTGCATTACAAGCGCTCAACGACCTCGGCCTTCATGCTTCACCTGGATACTTCTTCCGCTGCTTGTAAGTTTTACAATTAGAAATTGAATCATAGTAAAATGAATTATTTGTTAATTAATAACAGAGATCCGAACTACATTTGTGTAAAAATGTGACAGAAATTCATTACTACCCAAGCCAGCTACTTACAAAACGAAAACACTGGAACTCCCAGATGAACAAATAGTGAAGCTGCTGTATAATGACACTACTTCTTACCTGAATATAAAAACTACAAAAATTGACTCCTGGGCGAGTCCAGTGCTGTCATCCGTGGCAGCATGGCATTTGGGTTTGTCTATTCGCTTGCTCCAAAAATTCGTCAGTTCGGTTGCTGGCTAGAAGAAGACTTGGACGTTTGGGATTCGGTCTGCTCGTAGTCGGAAATGATCTGCAGCAGTCCGCTTGCGAAGCTGCTCTCGGTATTGTTTTTGACATAAAATTTTTCGAGAACCCCGTCAGGACGCGGACGCTTGACCCCCGGCGCTTCCGGAAAAATATCTAACGTCTTTTTGCCGGGCCTGGGTTGTTAGTTTTCCCTATTGCAATTTGTACATGGTATTTAGATTTATTCGCATCTACTTCCTGCGACTCACATAATGAAAAAAACATGGCTTATAGTACCCGTGCTCGGAGGCCACGTGGCCAGTGTCTTGTAACACCTTGAACGGCACCAGGGCGGAGCCATGTAATCCGCCGAACTGCTTCGGGGTTAGTGCGGTGCGGCCGTGCAACAGCAGGAAGTCACAGGCGTCGCCGTCATACGCTGCGCCGCTCGCCCTGTATTACAGATGAAATTATGGAGGTGTTCTTTATATGTAATGAAAAACTATCGCGCAGGCAGTACGCCACAAATTTGCTCAGCATCACAGATAAATTTTTGCCCTGCTGATATGCCTCGGCTTAATAGATTTGTCATGCGAAATTCCTGCTACAACAAGCTCGACGCTTTTGCATACAGTTTTTTTGTCGCGCTGACAAAGTAACCCATTCACTTTTGCATCGACAACAGCAGGAAGAAACGTTTGTCATGCGCCACTGATGTGCAGACTGCAAGCGCGATACCTTTTCAACATATATTTTCTGTCGGGCTGCCGCGTTCGCATAATCAGTTGGACATCGACAGCGGCGACAAAAAATAAAGATACGCTTACCGCTTCATCGAACAGCGGAGATTCAGTGCCACAGATTTTTCCTTTCGCGGCAGCAGAAGCTTCTCCTGGACGGAATAAACCTTGTCGGGATTCGTGCGGTCTGTGAGGTAACCGTCAACAACTCCGAACTCGGTTTCGGGCGGGGAGTAAATCAAGTCCGTCCCTTGAATAGTGTCCATGAACGCCGCCCGGGCGGATTGCTCCATCAAGGTGGCCTCGGTGTACGCCAGCAGAAGAGGGTTCGCGTTGGTGTGCCGAATCGTGAGGTCGCTTTCCCACAATTCCAGCAGCGTGGGGCACAGACGCTCCAAGCAGACGCATTTTTGCGCGATCGCAATTTCGGAATAATCGCGCACGCGGTGCACTGGCTCCAAAAAGAGTCTCTCCGTATCGTCGCACTGCAAACCAATCAGCACCGTGCCATGCAGGCGATCAGCCTGGTGCCGCAAAATGTATCGCAGACGACGACTAAATGCTGCGTCCCACTCGGAAGTACTTTTCAATTGCGTTCCAATCCAGTAGTCGTTGTCCTCCCCATCCGGGCGGGCAGCGCGCACACGAGGACGAATGAGTAAATCGTTGGTCGTTTCGAAGATAAACTTGATCTCGAACTCGTGCCGGATCAGTGCACAAAAATGGTCTACCGAGACATGCTCGATTTCGTGTGGAAGTGTTCCCATTTTGAATAGTTGCTAGCTGGTCTCGTTCGGAACCGACAACCGTAGTACTACTCGTAGAAGCGACAGCACGTACAGAGAAGGTATCTCGGTGGGAAATATCCACGTTGGGGTACTGCCTTGAGATCGTAAATCCTACACCATAGCTTTTCACTTTCCACCACAGGTCCTCGCCATGAATAGAATCCTCGCCCCCGAGTATGTCCGTAAATGTAATTCCACCGAATTGACGGGTTTTTTCTCATTGCAGCTGTGAAACCACACCGAGTTGTAGTTGTTGACAGTCCGACCTTAAATCTTGAAGGATAGGGAGTGCCTAGATTAGCACCTCCGCAACACAAAAATGGCCTCCGACGCTAATCCGCACGGCAGTCCGCGCTGCGTTACGACACACATCCGGAGGCGTCGTGTTAGCTACCTACTATACTACCTAACTCAGCTAGCTACTTCGATGCTACACTAGATAGTTTTTACATCCTACATACCGATTTTTGAAATAGTTAGAAAAACTGTCGTTAGGCGCGCCATAGGACTGCACAGCAAAGTTCCAGGGGAACGGCTACTGGCACCTGCAGTTCAACACTTCGTGAACTTGCTTGGATTTCGCAGCGAGCTGCGCGCGTTTGGCGATACCAGTCACATGCTTGTACAGGGCGTGCTGAAAATGAAGCGTAGAAACGTCGAAAACGAAAAGTAAAATGCTCTACCTTTTTTTTTTTCAAAAAACGAGCATATGAGAACACGAGGCATTTATTACAAAGCCAGCGCAAATCGACGGGAACGGAACGCCAGGCTCAGTAGGAGCTTGTAGACATCTGCGTCCGGAGATAGTGATAGAAGAAGCGCTCCACCACTGTTTCACTCTGTCAGATCTACTGTTCCTGTAGTAAGAGAGGGAGAAGAGAAAGTGGAAAGAGAGTCGCTTTCAGACTTGTTTTGTTTCTGTTGCGGGCTGTCGTGCGTTGATAGTCGTGATAAACAAACAAGCGCAAGGTGGATTGTCTACATTGGTTGCGAGTTTTTTTCCGCGCCGGGGAGAGGGCCGAAGGAAAAAGCGGCTGCGCGAGGATGCTTCTGAAACACAATTCGCTTTATTATTTCTCCTCGAGGAACCCAACATGAGATGGCGCAAGGAAGCGACGGCCGCGGGAACGGTGCGGAAGCGGAAGTCGAATAAGAATACTTAGACCGCCACCATGGAGGGAAAGGATATTCTATAAATTTTGTGGTGTCCGCCCTGTCCCTCCCGCCCCTGCCTGCCTCTACTTGGAATTGGTCCGGCTCCGGGAATAAAACATACTAAGCGAGAGCCGGGTAGTTGCTCCCTTGGTATCGGTATGTATTTCGGGTAGGGACACCAGCATGCCGATCCCATTCGCGAAGCGAATCCCGACGTACTACCAACTGCGGCGCGAATGCTTTAGATACACGTCGAGGAGTTTTTGCTTTTGACGACGGATATAGATTCTCAAAGAGGAGCCGCCACTCGAAGTTTAAGGAGAACGAAGTTGAGTTTACTTACTTATATTGCGAAACCGAGTTCTGGTTCCGTTTCGCGTGCGGGGTACGCTGGTGCCCAGTCTGGTTTTGTGCGGTTCGGAGATAGTAGTTCGCCGCCGGACCAGGACCATCCGACAAAATGTCGTTCTATGGCGTTCTCAAACGTTACATTGTCAACTGTTGCATGAATTTGTGATGCAAGAATGGCAAAACTGAAAGGGGGAAGATTGCGCCTCTTGCGTGACAGATTTGGCGCAGATTCTCATCCTGTTTGTCCCTTCGGGAATTTGTCATGCGAAGCAGCTTGGTCGTGTCAATTCTGATTGGAATTTTGCATGACAAATCAGGCCTCGGGGGTTGGGTTGGGCTTGGGGCGCCAGGCGTATGGACGGCTTCGCAGCTACGTCGTGATCGACAAACTGAGATCGACGATAATAGTTGCGTTGCTGGTCCTGTGCCAGTCGCGGGGCATGTTCGGGTGTTCCGGGCTGTGCTTTGTGCACCCCTCGGACCCCGCACCCCCCCGGGCTCGGTAGCGCAGTCTGTTAAGCATGACAAATCAGGCAACAGCTGAGAATGTAACATTTGAGAACGCCATACGTTCGACATGGACATCCATCGGCTGGATTTCCTCCAGCTGGGGCCCATGAACCGAAACACGCTTGTATCTTTCGCAAGAACAGCACCGCAAGAAGCTGGACATTGACTCTAGCATCTATTGTAGCTGTAGGAAGGCATTAGTTACGTGCCTACTTGCCCACCTTCTATCCAGGTTCACTCGGAGTCTTCGACCCATACCTACGTGCATGATATGCAGCTTTGGAGGAACTCCTGGTCACTGTTGATGTTGGTTGTACATGTACTAGGCTACGACCTTTGGCTCCTACGGACGTACTTGCATTTTTGTTTCTTGCTTCTTGCGGAGGTTGCTCTGTCTTGATAGCTGTGTGTGCTACCTCTGGCGAAGAAAAAGCAACAGAAAGTGTGCGTAGGCGACGACTCCGGTGTGCTGACGGTGTTTTACCTAAAACGAGGCGAGACACAAATCGAATGGAAGTCGCAGAACCTCGGGCGGGAGATCACCAAAGTGGTCCTGCAGTCCGGCCGCGACAAGATCTTTGCTGCCTGCGGCCAAAGCATCCAGGGCTTCACGCGAAAGGGAAAGGAGTTTCTGAAAATCAAGACCAACCTGACCGAAACCATCCACCATCTGTTCGCGGACGACACCACCATATGGACGGGCGGCGAGTACATCATGAATTTGTACGACAACTGCCGGGACGCGGGGTTCGTGATGTGCCCCGACCGAATAAACGACCTCCTGTGCGCACCAGTTTCGACTGAGTGCAGTCTTTCCTCCATTCTCGCGTTCCAGGACAAATTCATACGAGGTAAGACGTATACTTAGAGGTTGTATATTGTTCGACCGCTTAGTCGTGCGTACTTAAACTTTCTTAAAGTGAGTCTGCCAGGGAGGGCTTCTAGCGTCCTCGACCAAGCTACGTAAACGTGGCATTCCGACACTCCCAGTTCCATTTTGTGACACCTGATCAATATCAATATCTGACTATTATCAGTGTACGCTGGCGAGCGTATGCTCCACGAATTCGCGAGCGGGGCTGCCGCAACTGCGCTCGGGTTTTACGACCGTTCGGAGATTGAAAGCCGACCAGCGGGCAGCCAGAAGCAGGTTCATTGTATGTTTGGGACCGACGCAGGAGACGTGGGGGTGGTGGCTGTCGACGAAGGGCAAATGCGGGAAACTTTTCGACTGAAGAAAGGCCGCAGCGCTTCCGCGGTCACGCACGTGTGTTGCGGCGACATTGGCCGCAGCGGTGTGTTGGATTTGTGTGTCGCACGGGAGGACGGCACGCTGGAAATCTGGAACTTGTCGGGACAAGACGCAAACCAGCTAGATCCCTCGGCCTGCCGGCTTATGTTTGAAACGCAACTCGGAGAGTGTGTCCGATCTTTGGACGTGGGCACCGTCGCACTTGGAGAGTAAGAGTTTTGCTACTTTTCGTGCTTTACTTTACTGAACTTGGCTTTGTTTTCGGCCTTCTTGACCTTGAGCATTTGCGGCAGTGTCAGTGTGGGTATGATTTTGTCCGAATGCGAACTATAGGTACAAAGATCTCGTTGTATCGACTTACTCCGGGAAGGTGCTTGGATTTACTGCCGACCCTGCGGCGCAGGACGCTACAGGAGCTCAAATGGTAGACCTCTGCCCCGAAGGAGGGGCCAATCCTGCAGGTGAGACTTTTCTGGCTCTGCGCTTTACCAACTACCGTGTGGCTTACCTTTCGATTCTTGTGCACGCCGAAGAATGTCAGTGAAGAAGCGGTCGGAGCACTAGCTCAATGAAAAAAGGCATCTTGCACAGTGAATATGAGTCTCCGTCCCTGTTTTTGAAAATTGATTTATTTTTTTTCCTCGATGGTCTCAAAATATTTATCTACCAGCTGCAACTGCTAAGCGGGAAGCACTGAATACTGGCGGGTCACCGACACTCGACGCGAGCGTGGCGAGCACGAAGGACAAGCGGTTTAAGCAACTGAAGCAGGAAGTCCAGAAGCTGAAGACGGACGTAGACGCGCAGAGGAGAAAGTACGAGCAGGAGGTCTCCCGCGAGGGCATTGCGGTGACCGGGAGCCACGCCAAGGTGTCGCACAGCTTCAAACTGAAGCCGGAGGACGCGTGTTACCAGCTGGTGATCGAGTGTCAGTCGAACCTAGCTTCCGTCAGCGTGCGCAGCGACGCGGCGGTGGATCTCCTGGACGTGCCTAGCCAGACGGTGGACGTAATTCAGTCCAAGGCCAAGCAGTCGCAACAGGACCCCTTGCTCCTCACCTACCGGTTTCAGGAACAAACCAAGCGGTTTGCCATCAACATGCGCACAACGGAAGGACCGACCGGAAACATCTCCTGTTTCGTGCTCCCGCAGGCGCAGCCGAAAATCGCGCACTTGATAAATCTAAACGTCAAACCGCTGTCTCTTCACGAAAAGGTATAAATATGGAATAAAGTGCAAGTGGCCCGCCTCTAGTACTTCTAATAGCGCCGCCTGAGTTGTCTGACCAGGATAGTGGTAGTGCATCATACACATTTACATATTATATTTCGGAATGATATTTTTGAAAGCTCGACGATCGAAACAATCGCCAAATTACTTATATTCAGGAAGTGAAAAATTACTTTCTATCTACTTGTCCAACCTCCTCGTCCAGGTTGCTGACATCGAGGAGAAGTGTGCGATGAACGAGCTGAGACTCTCGGGAAACTTTACGTTGATGGATATGCATCATTGGATGAGCCTCTGCCTGCCGGACGTGCCCGCTCGCCCCGCCAACCACGACTCGTGTTTGTACAACTACAAGAGTACGTTCTTGGGCACGTTGCTGCAGTGTCAATACAGCAAGGGACAAGCGAAGTTCCGGTCCGATTCCATCACAACGATATCCGTTGTTCGCGACACCATGAGCCGGGAGGCCACTGCGCGGAAAATACAGCTCAGCATTCAAGTGGACGTACTACCTGCATTTCGGATTTTTTTCTACATTGTCTCTACATTGGTGAACCGTGTTGCGTTCTTGCATTTGAAGAAGACATGATGAACAAGAGGATCCGATCCAAATGTGGTCTCGTGCAAATGACGAGAGAAAAATGCGATCTGCAAGCACCACATAATTTAGACTTACAACCTTGTTATGCTTATGTTCATCTATAATCACTCATTCACGTACTTGTAGGCCAACCTCGAATGATGAAAAGTGCGAACGGGCGTTCTGATGGTTTAATGTCAGATGCTGATCGTTCAACTGTGTACAACTAATCTTCTCGCTGATTCACGCCGAAATTTTGCTTATGTACATGTGCGCAAATAAGAACTTCATCTTCATCGAAAGAAAGAAATAGAAAATTAAAAGAAATCAAAGGTCTTGCAACTTCGATCGGAAACATTTTCAGGTAAAGGAGGAGTCCTTCCCCTATGTGCTGTCATTGATCCATCCGAAATTGGCCTTTCAGCAGGCTCTGACGCGGCAGGTACAATTTGTGGAGCCTTTGAAAGAGATCCAGTTGCAGGAAACGGCCGGAGAGAAGCTGGATTTTCTGGACCCGGAGCTGCAAGAAATTCTCGCACACTCCGACCGAATACAAAAACAATTCGAGCTGCAACCTCAGAGATTGAGTACAACTACTTTTTATCATGATCCTCCTAGAGACATCTCCATGATTTTTCGATTGTGGTCAACATATCTTTTGACGTTGTCTCCGGTCCCTTTCTTTGGACAAAAGGAAAAGCTACGTACAAATTTCTTGCACAAAAAAAAAAAACTGTGCAATACAGGCTTTTTGCACGGTCTGATCGTGTCACTGTATACGCATATTTGGCGTATGCGCGGGCACCAAGGGGTTCCCTCGCACAAATTACGCGAGTTGCAGCACCTTCTCATCAACTACCAGCTGGAAACGCTGCAACAATTTTTCGAGGAGCCGGTGCAATAGCGCTCCCAGGACGGTGCAGCCTGGAGCATTTTTTTTTCTACGGTGCAATGACCGGAACCGGACGGGACGTGCTTCGCTTCACCACCTTCTGGGGAATTTTTTGTATGGTTTTTTAATTGAAGTGAGAAAGGAGAAGTGCGTCCTCCCTGCTCTCCTGGTTGTGTATATTTTCTTCCAGGTCGTGGTTGCACTACTGTGCAATAAGGTACCGAGTCACGTAGCTAAAGGTAGAGCTATCAAGTTCCATTAATAAGTCAAGGTCACAAATAATACACCACAGATGAGGTGGAGGTCGAGGTGGAGGTCTTATTCTTAATTGTCACAAGTATGCTGAAGCACAAACAGGCGCAATTTTGCAAAAATAGCAGATGTCACGGGTACATTAACTCCGCGTAGTACACAACTGATTGAACAAGTTGCGGAAAAAGAAGCGCGGGCGTGTTTGTACAATCAATACCAACAAATACGAGGACAACATCTGTCTTTCTTGTTCTCCTTTTTATTACTCAGCGAACGTGATGACCACGTCCTGCTCGTGTTCTCCCGCTCATCCGGCGGTGACGATCGATGATGTTGTGCTTACAAGCACAGAAAAAAGAAGCTCTTGCTACTTCGTGATCCACTTGCAAGAGTTGCACCTAGTACGGTAGAATAAGGAAGAGGATGGTATCAACAAGCGGAACACGATCTATCAGCTACAGCGAGCCATTAAAGGAACTTCGCTGGCATCAATCGGTCGTGTTACTTAATGACAAAATACAGGATGTAGTTGTAGTGCTGTAAGGACGAAAAGAAAGCATCACCAGCAGCAGCAGGAATGATTTTGTTTTTGATCATGCTCGGCAAAAATACTAAGATTGAATGAACGAACCGATGAGAAAGTAACAGCAGTCACCCAAACCCGCCCAGAACTTGAGCATATTATCCAAACCCCCGTTTTTTTTCGAGTTGGCTCGGAGTTAATTCAGTTAATACTTCTGTGACCTCAAACTAAGACCACAAAATTGAAGCGAAGTCGTGACTTTCCTCATAAATTTTCCGACTCTAGACATCTTTTACCTAAACTTTCCGACTTCGCTGGTCGCGTTGCTTGTCATTCACAATAAGATCCAAGAGCACAAGACACACGAACCTACTACCAAAATCAAGCCATAGACGAGAAGATCAGCAAGGCCACACGTCTGAAGCGCTAAGATCCCAAATCGAACCAGATCAAATACAAATTCGAAACGGACAAAACAAGATCAGAAAAATATCAAGCCGTCTTTTGGACGATTGGATCCTTTCCCTTTCGCCTCGTGGCATCATACAAACATTTCTAATTTCGTTTTGAACTACATACCAGTCAGCTACAGTTCAGCGGCCTTGCCTTGTGCATTGTTTTTTTAGTTGCATTCGACGTAGATTTTCTACACTCTGAGGCTTCCTTTTATCCACCTGGTTGTGATTTTATCAAAGCTAATTTCGACGCAACTATCTATCACTTCTTGTTGTCTTCACGCTCACGACGACTACAGACAGACTAGACGTCATCGAAAAATTTCGCTTCTAGATAAGCTGCTATAGCACCAAAGACTACTTGAATATTAAATTTCGCAAAACTACAAAATGTCGTTGAAAGGAAGCACCACGGTCGGTATCGACATCGGTACCAATACCAGTATCATCGCATACGTGTGTAAGAATGGCGTCGACATCGTGCAAAACGAGGTGTCCCAGCGGCAGACCCCGACCGTGGTCGGTTTCAACGACCGCGAGCGCCTTTTGGGGGACAGCGCCGCGACCGTGCAAAAGTCAAACTTCAAAAACACGGTGCGAAACTTCCGCCACGTCATGGGACCACAGGCGGTCATCGAGGAGCAGCTCACCCGGGAGAAGTTTTGGCAGTTGGCGGAGTCCTGCGACGGATCCGAGGACGGCGCTGCGGCGTACCGCGTCAACTACAAAGGGGAAGAAAAGCAGTACTCGACCACGCAAATCATGGCGATGTACCTGACAAAAATGAAGGAAACCGCCGAAAACTGGTGCCAGAGCAGGGTAAGAACAAAAAATCTACTGCATTTTAATGTGCTGGAAGACGGAGATGATACTAGCTTATTGTTTGATTCCTATGTTCTGTTTTTGTTTTTCCGATCTTGATGTGGTTTGGATTTTTCTTGCTCATTTCCCATCTATCTTCTCCTCTTCGTTCACAAAAACAGGTCGTCGACGTGGTGATCTCCGTGCCGTCGTATTTTAACGACTTCCAGCGTCAGGCGATGCTGGACGCTGCGCAGATCGCGGGCTTGAACTGCCTCCGGTTGATGAACGAACACACCGCCACGGCGCTGGCGTACGGAATCTACCGAACCCGGGACTTTGACGTGGAGAAGCCCACCATCACCGCGTTTGCCCACATGGGGCACTCCAGCTTTTCCATCTCCATCGCCAGCTTCACACAGGGCAAGTTGAACGTCCTGGCCGAGGTGTCCGACATCCAGTGCGCCGGGCGGGAGATGGAAAAGTGCCTGGTCGAGCACTTTTCCGAGCAATTCAACAAGAAGTTCGGCTGCAATCCGCTGACCTCGAAGAAGGCTAAACTGAAGCTGGAGGACGCGGTGACGAAATGTAAAAAAATCCTCTCCGCCAACGACCAGGCACCCATCAACGTGGAGTGCTTGATGGAAGACGAGGACCTGAGCGGGTCGGTTACCCGGGAAGACTTCGAAAAAATGTGCGAACCCCTGCAGAAGCGCGTACGGGAGGCCATCTCCAAGTGTTTGACTGAATCCGGGTTGGCCGGGATTGATGATATCAACTTCGTGGAAATCATCGGCGGGGCGAGTCGAGTACCCTGGTTCCAAAACATCGTCAAGGAGATGCTCGGTATAGATTTCGAATAGTACTAGCTTTTGCTTTTGATCATGAAACATGAACTACTTACATCGATTGCTTCTTTTCGATGAAGAAATCCAGAAATAATGATGAATGATCGCCAGCACGCCGAGCACAGCGCTGATGCAAAATGCGAACTTCTTTTATCTCTCGATAAAAAAACCGAACAGGCCGCGACCTCTCAAAAACGTTGAACGCGGATGAGTGCATTGCCCGTGGTTGCGCGCTGATGGCGGCCATTTTGTCCCCGGCCTACAAGGTGCGAGATTTTGCCATCGAGGACAAGGTTCCACACGGAGTGACGATTACCTGGATGGGCTCCAAAACGGATACCACCGAAGCCGACAAGGCAGACAAGGATGGCGATGCGCAGATGGAAGACGCCGCACCGGTATGATTGTGATTGAAGTTATTTTTTTGAAGTTCGGATTTTCTCTTCTTTTTCCATTCGTATCTATGTCGAAAGCAGGGAAAATCGAATCAATCCTTGTCCTTTTCAGACTTGTTGGGCTTAGTCAATCACAAGCAGTACTTGCAGCTTTTACTGGATTTTTAGACAGGAGAGAGATGATTTTTTTCCTCGTCATCGCGGTCCTCTCTCCACCAACCAACCTTCCTCTCCACAATCGATTCCAGGTGGAAGACAAGCCGGCATTGACACAGAAGTCAATGGAGGTGTTCAACGCGAGCAAAGACAAGACGGATCAGCGGCGCTACATCACCTGGTACCGCAACGGGCCGTTCGACATCGGAGCCCAGTACAGCCACAACCAGCAGAACATCGGGCAGTACTCCGTGCAGCTCCCCGAGCAGCCGGAGAAGAAGAAAATCAAGATCGAGGCCAAGATGAGCATCCACGGCATTTTCAGCGTGGACAGCGCACAGATCGTGGAGATCGAAGAGTACGAGGAGATTGTCAAGGAAAAGCGCGAGGTCGTCGAGCCCGAGGTAGAGGCGCCGGCCTCCACCGAGGACGTGCCCATGCCGGACGCAGACAACAAGGGCGGTGAGGAAACCGGCGGCGCCGGCGAGGAAAAGGAGAAACCCGCCGCAAACGGCGAGGAGAAAAAGGAGGAAAAGAAGGATATCAAATGTAAAAATGTCTGGGTCTGGAAGAATGCAACTTGTCATGCTGATTTTGGATTCTAAAAGAATCTGTATTGCATGAGTAGCAAAGAGAGCCCAAGTTTTGCTACACGGAGAGAGCATTTGTCATGCGGTATAGGCATCAGGAAGCCCTCAAAAAATCTGTGATGCTAGGGTATGCGTCACAGACGTCAGGGGTCATGCAAATGTGCATGACAAGTGTCAGAATCTTCCAGACCCAGACATTTTTACAGTTGATAAAGGAGGAGAAAAAACCAAAGTACGAGTGGGTCGACGTCAAGAAGCCGAAAAAGAGAACGAAGCGAACCCCATTGACGGTACGTAATTATTTCTAGGATATTTGTTGACTCATCGTCGAGATGATTGATGTTCTATCTCGATAGATGAAAGTTTTCATGATATTAATGTCCATGTTTGCGTGCTTTCGTCAGTCAATCTAAATGTAGATAGTATTTGGGATATATGTTGCTCTCGTTTCTCTTCCTCGAAAACTATGTCTATGACCACATCCAATGAACAGGTAAGCGTGAAGGGGCAGCCAGGCACGAGTGAGAAGCTCCTCAGCGGTTTCAAGGATGTTGAATCCAAGTTGCAGTCCGACACGCGCGACGTAAAGGAAAACGACAACAGGAGAAACGACTTGGAATCCTACATCTACGACATGAAAGATAAGGTCACCTCATCCTCCGGCATTGCCAGCGCGTATTTTTTTGTTTTTTTTCATGATGAAGATGAGTGCTTTGTTTGTTTTTTCTACTCGTACTTGTACTTGTTTAGACAGTAAGAGTATGCGCATGCGGGCTCGGACAGGACAAGTGGAGTAACACAGCGGGCTGCGTGGCAGAGTGCGCTGCCAATATCTTTATCATACGTAAATCATGCGTATTATACTGTTGCTGTTCGCCGTTACAACCGAACCCGGCCGAAAGAAGCAGAAGCATCGCTGATGTCTGAAACGTCAAAAATTTCATGGCAAACACACAATAAAATGCAGATACATGAAGCCGGATGAGAAGACCGCATTCGCAACGCAACTGCAGACCGCAGAGGATTGGTTGTACGACCACTTTGACGCCACCACTGTCGAGCTCTGCGACAAGCTCGCCGAACTGCAGGGCATTGGTATGATATTTGTTGACCTCCGATGATATCACAAGGCTAAACGCTTCACGCTTAAAAACTTCACTCCTTAAAAAAAATTTTCTTTGGGGGATTTTTTGGATCTCTGAAAGCAAAGCAGCTGTTTCGAGGAGGTGAATCGTTTGTCAGCCACGCCTATGCTCCAACCCAAAAGGCCTCAAAAACAGAGCCACTTTCGGGCCACCAAAACTGGCCAACTTTGTGAGGTGAATCGCTTGTCAGCCACGAGCTGAGTCCAACCCAAAACGCCTCAAAAACATAGCACTTGTCACAAAAGCATCGCTTTGATGCACCATTTCGATGATTTTCAAAAGTGCTCGTTTTTGGAAGCTTGCGCCGATGCTGCGGCGGCCAAATATGGCCAAAGTGAATCGTTTGTCACCGGAGCCAGTTTCTGGATTTTTGCTGATTCTTCGGCCGGTGCTACGCTCAAAAAACCCACAAGCGATTCATTTTTTTGTCAAGTCATCGACTTTTTCACTTTTTCGCACACAAAAGTCTCCGCTTTGCTTTCATCTTACTCAAATGAAGACTCTTCGGGAGTTTCGCTCTCAGAATTATAAGCCGTGGCGTCTTCACTAGTCAACTGCCAACCTCTACCCCCCAAAGCAAGGCCCAGTCGTCCTTCCACTGATCCAGAAGGTGCACGCGCCGCAATGCCGTCGTCGGCACGTAGCTGCTGATGCTGTAAGCAACAGCGCCAAACCTCACTAAAAAAAGATTTTTTTTAGCAAGTGAAGTTTTTAAAAGTGAAGCGTTTAGCCGTGTGATAGATGAATTTAAGTAAAAGCCAAGCACGTGCTCTTGCTCGTGTTGGAGATACGATATATCAAAAAGAACTTGCATTTGGTTCGCTTTTACACCTGCTGTCCTTGTCTCTGAATTTAATGGCCTTTGCCTCGTTGCCGCAATAAAGTTCCAAACTTTTTGTGGTGTGAGTAGCTAGATGAGTAGAAAGAATGAGCGTGAAGAAGTACCACGAGGGCGATGCTGGCGACTGAAATGTGATTGATAAGTTTAAATTTCTCAACAACGAACAGGCAAGCCAGTGATGAAGCGCCACCAGGACCGAGAAGACCTGAAAAACTACCAGCCGATCTTCTCAGCAGCTCTCACGGAAGTCCGCACGGCCCTGAACAACCCATCAGAGGAGTATTTCATTGATTCTTGTGGTTGTAGCATTTTCGTTTCTACTTCATTTGCAGAGTCATATTCTTGGTTTTGCATCTTTTGTGGTGTTATTTTGTGGCGGCTCCGGCTCAAGAACAAGCTGAACCGTCCAACAGTATGCGAAATTCCGATAACTCGCGGCGCTAGAATATGCGAATACTTTTTACAACCACAAATCACAGCTACGCCCACATCGCAGTAGAGAAGAAGCAGCAGGTTCTCGCGGCAGTCGAACAGCTGGAGGCATGGGGCACGGAACAAAATTCCAAGCAAAACGCAAAGGAAATGTATGAGGATGTCGACCCGGCTTTCACGGTATTGATTCCTAATCTATCATGTTGATGAGGCTTCCAATAAATATACAATTCCTAACCTATCATAGTTAGTCGAGATACTCATGATCATTCTTGCCTTCCACTTCTACTAAGTTCGTGCCGGGCCTTGTTCTATTTTGGAATTCGAAAACGAGAATTTGGACAAAAACTTTTGAATTACACGCAGGCTGCCTCTATCCAAGCGAAGGTTGAGGAGTTGCGCAAGGAGTGCAAGAAGGTTATGTCTGAACCGAAGCCGGCACCGCCACCAGCCCCGGTTGTGGAGACGGAGGGTGAGCACCAGGCGGACGCAGAATCCAAGGACGAACCGATGGCAAGCAGCAACGCCGAGGGTGACAGCACCCAGGCCGAGAACGAAGCCGAAAATGCCGCCGCCCCGAAAGACACCACTTCCGAAGACGCCGCCCCAAAGGTGGAGCCGGAGAGCATGCAGGTGGACTAAATAATAGTGGAGCGAAGTATTGGTTTCGAATTCGGACTTCCATTATCGAAGCGCACAACGAATAAACAACTATTGAAATATTGAATCGACAACTGGTTGTACAACGTGCAACAAGAGTCGATATAAGAAAGTCAAACTCAAACACATAATACATCAAATGCATCTTCCACAAAACTTTTCCTGGTGGGACTACTTCTTCCCAGCGTAAAAAAAGTAGCACCGATTATAAATATTGCAAAAAATAAAAAACTCGAGGCAGAAGAATTTTCCTGCACTTGATGTCGATAAAACTGTGCTGTCAAGAGCAACGCAGCAGACATCAAGTAGACGAAGACCCGAAATATTCTGAATATACATCTTATATGACGCCGTGACACAGGCGGATTCAACGTCTGTGGCTGTGAGCGACTCTCCGTACTATGTTTCTATTTCAAAGCGATAAGCTCGACCACGACGCGGGTGGTGGTCTTTCTCGTTCGTCTCTCGGGAGAACTGCCATTCTTCTTTTGATGCCGAGGCAACATGGGAAAAAATAGGGGAGGCATTTTGTTTGATACCGGGTTTCTAGGCCTGGAATATCGCGCGGCCTGCATTTCCTGCTGGTGCAACACTACCAAAAATGAACACTCGAAAAGATGATTGCTAATTTCTACGATTTCAAAGGCATCATGACTTCTACTAGCAACAGATTTGTCGCATCGACATAGCTCGTTTTTGTGCAGAATTTGACGTAATATGAACAAACTATCTTCATCGAGAACAGCTTTCGTTTCAGCGCAAAAATAGAAGATGCAACAAGTCATGAATGATTCAGCTTTTCATGTAGTGTACGTAGCGAAAACCAAAAGAAAACGCAACGCAGGACCGTGAACTCAAAGCCGCCATCATCCACGCTTTTTGTTTTTTAACCACTCCTGAACATTTCGATTTCGCAACAAAAAGTTATGAGGTCACACCAACACGATGATCTTAGAACTTATCAGAATTTTCTAGGTAAGGTGCAGGAGATGAGTATGATTGTTGAAACTCGCTGCGGATCATGCTGTTGTAGTTTCTTCTTGCTGCTGTCCCCCGCGTCTTACAGAAACCATTCTGCTTTCTTTAACACCAACGACACGCGCCAGAGTGGTCCTCACAACCAACGAAGCCTTTTACAGAGAGGATGAAAATGCATTCCTGTTCCTAGGCAGCTACTGCTTGCGGCCTGGGGTCCGTCGTCGCCGGATCGTGTTCGTGGTGTTCTACTGCGCGTCGACCAGTGCACGAATTCTGTTTTCTGATAGCTATTTCTATTCCTATTGATTGTCCCGATCTGTATCTGGTTTGTGGACGGACGGGTTTTCGGACGGAGAGATTGTGTCTAAAGAGAAGCACCACGATTGCAGTCCATGGTTTGATCTTGGGAACACAGTTTTGACTTTCGGTCATTGTGATCTGATCCAGTGTGTCGGTTATTGTGATCTGACTCACATGTGTCGGTCTATTCGTATTTGCTCTTGCCAAAATTAAAAACAATCTGTCTAACACTAACTAACGATGATTGAAAATCGATGTATCATGATATGGCCCGTCGGCTGCGATGGATCATCTGTTGCAGCGAGAAGAAACAAGCTACGCATTTCCTCGGTGGCAGCACAACCATTTTGCTTCGCTTTCGGTTGCATACATATATGTTGGTTTCTCCTGTTGTGTTGCATTGCTGCTTCATTTATTTCAATCAAGCATGACCCAAAGCATGTTGTATTTGATCATACTCGCGCTCAGAAATATCGCACCATTGGCTGTGACTCGCATTTGTCGCACTCGCATGAACCACCTGGGAACAAGTGGCATGTGAAGTCTATAACAGGACCTCAATCTAGTTGGCAAGAAGATTTTGATTTCATCACTGCATTTTTGCATGTCGTGTCCTTGAAAATGCGGCATTTCTTTGGGACTTTGAACTTTCATGACTCGGTTTGTTGTACGTTGTTGCAGCATCTAGGCCATGAGCATGACCGCAGCGAAAATGCTACCCTGGTGACCCTGCTGAAAAAAATAAGGTAACGGATTGTGTAGTCGTGTCGTTGCACATCATTGTCATTCTTTCATCATGGAGACCTTAAACACGATGAGCACAACCGGCGCTGCACCGAGAGGGCCTTATGCTCGTCTCCAGATGTCCTCGACCTTGACCAAGAAGTTCTTCGTGTTGTGTGCCGCCAGAAGTTGGACGGCCGCGACTGGGACGCGGACGGCTGCAGCTAGAAGTACACGAGCCTCGACGGCCCTTTTCACAGTACGGCGGGCGGGCCGTTTTCTTTTTATTACGGCACTGCGAGCTGCTTTCAATCGTGCGCTCCTACCGCTAGTACCAGGCACTTCAGGCACATCATGGCAGATATTATTTGCTTCTGGACTACAGCTCCATCCTCGAGCTGCGGACAAGGACGGACTTCACAAGTCGAAGTTGGGTAAATTGGTGGCACGAATAAACCCAGACCCCCGGGACGCTGTTTCAGATGCCGCGCAATCCCAATCTGAGGCAAACAGCACCGATAGCAACACACGGACGACCGCCGGTGCCGCTTTGTCCGCGCTTGCGGAACGTGACAACCAATTTTTATTAAAGCAGCTACAGAAGAAGGACGAAAATTTCGCATTGGTTTCTCGTGGCATCGCAAGTTTCATCGGAGACGCAATTATCCGTGGTCCCTCGCGTTTGTTCGCAGCGAGGCACGCACCCGTCAACTTTATTCGGCGTCACGGGGAGTATGCGAAAAAGGCTTTGACCGGAGACTTCGGGGCCACGGAGAAAATACATCAAGTTGCGCAAGAACCAATTAGCAACAGCAAATTCGATGAACGGAAACAAAATAAAGAGGAACAGCAGGGACAGGGAGATGAAGTAGTACAGCAAAGCTGGTCTTCCTTTTGGAAAGATGTTTCGTTGAAAAGAGAGCAGCTCCACAGTTTGGCAAAGCTACAGCAGAAAGAGGTCAGGCCACTGATGGCAAAGCAACATGACTATGACTACGATCGTCATGACCCCCGCGGAGATGTGAGTATGTGGGTAGACTTATTTTTCGTCACCACTCTCACCATGGCAGCATATGGCTTCGACGTCTTTACAAAGCAAGCGACAGCGTTTGCAACAGGTGGAGATGAGGGTGTTGATAAAGCAAAACAAAGAAGTTCTCCAGAGGCCGAAGCTTTCCGGCATGTCGTTGGCCATTACTTCCCTGCATCTGCTGCCGCTTTGGAATTTCTGCACCAGCAGCCAGACGGCGACTACCTGAAGCCGGCTTTTCACATTGTGCGGGATCCTGTGCGGAAAATTATAGCAGTAGTGGTACGCGGTACGAGTTCAGTAGCGGACACTATCACCGATCTTGCCGCCACACCTGCTTACGTTCCCGTTGAAATTTTTGCGGAGCAGAAATCAAGCGAAGACAGTGATCTACTTCTTTCGATCAAGCGGAACAGCAGCGAGACGAGTGACGAAGATGGGAAATTATCGGAGGCTGCCCCATGCCAGCAGGAAATGCAAAAATTCGAAGGCCAAGGCCCCGAGGAGCGCGATGAAGCGTCGACAGGGGAGAGTCGAGAGGGCACAGTTGTGTTTCGCCGGCCCAGTTGCTTCGCGGAGATGACTTTCGACCTTTTCGCGCCCCCGTACAACACGACGCATCCGCGGCAGCTCAACGAGACCTGGGTCAGCGTGCATGAGGGTGGCCTCCAGAGTGCAGAGTACGTGACTGCTATTGCGTTGCCTATCGTGCGCAAGACGCTGCAGCGACTCAAGAAGCAGGGCGACACAACTCGCTACTCCGTGTTGCTTACAGGACACAGTCTGGGCGCAGGAGTCGCTTCGCTCATGGTACGGGAAATAAACTTTGAAAGAATAGTACTCTTCATCAGTGCCCTTTCATCTGCAGGACTGCAATGATGTTGAGTTGCCAGCATTGTGGGCGAGACAGAGTTTTTTTTTGCATATACGCACAGAGGCACGTACGTACCGAAAGGTTTAATCACGATTGTCTCACTCATCTTTTGAACATTCGAGACAGCTACTAGAACTGAGAGATGAAGTACAAAAGGCACTATGACTATACATGATGATGATGATCTTTCTTCCTTTTATACACGTACGCGATCTGGAAGGGTCAGAATTTGCTCCGGGACCTCCAGCGACCCCGGGGTCTTGCAAATGTCGATTCGGGAGAGCAGCAAACAGCGACTCCAAAAATACTGTCCATGTCCTCTGCCACTGCCGTCCACGATGAATATCCTCTCTGGGGCGTGGGTGTCGCCCCGCCTGCCATGATCTCCGCTAATTCCCGAGTACAAAAAAAGGTTTGGGTAAGCAAGGAACGAAAAGTCCTCACTCTCACGACTGACAAAAGACGATATATGCCCATTGTAAACTCAAAGTTAATACTAAACACAAATGAATCCTCTATGGATGCATACGCATGATTTGTGCAAGAAAAAGCAAACCGCCCAGCTAAGGTGCACGTCCGAGGGCGGGCATTTTCTGCTTCAGGGCTTCTAAAGGCCAAACGCATCAGGGCGGCCATGGGGCGCGCGGCGCGGCTGGGTGTGTCCCAGTTTCGCCGGGGTGTGGGCGCAGCAACAGCCGCGCAGGGGCACCAGAAGCGCGAAACCGCATGCAAGGGCGTGGCGTGGTGCCGTAGCGTAGGTTGATCGGTCGAGGGCGGGGCAGGGTGTGGTGCCGCGCCTTGTCTGCGAAGGCAGGCGAGGGCGTGGCGCGGCGTCGTGTCGCAGGTTGATCGGCCGCCGCCCGCGGACAAGGACCGGCCGCAGCTCAGGCTCCGCCAGTCGCGGCCGGGCTATCGCGGGCGCCTTGGGCTTTTTTGGTCTGCCCCGTCTCGTCTCGCCAGCCGGTTCGGCAGGCTCCGAGCCCGCGCAGCGCCGCATGCCATGCGGTTTCGCGTTTCTGCTTGTTCCTGGCCATGGGAATACATAGTTGCGCCCAGAAGCCACTGGTGGCCTTTGAACACCATGACGCAGAGGCCGAGTCTCCTCGTCTCGCTATCCCCTTCGCGTTGTTTGGGTATTTCTGCCGGCCACATCGTCGGGAGTAGGCGTGGCCACTGTTTCCCATAGGAGTCAAAGCGATTTTTCTCTGCAATCGCCACGCATTCAGAAAAGTGGCTGCGTTCTGTACTCAAACCAGCCAACTTTTCTGCAAGGACTTGGCTATTTCAAAACCTGTTTCAAAACATGCTTTCAAAACCACCTTGGCGAGATGGATACAGAGTGGCGACTCGAAATGTCTATCGGCTATGTCTATCCCCTATGGCTATCGCCGGATTTGTTTGCGTCACAGCTGCGCCGAAAATGTGCGCGACTGTCGCGGCCGCGGATTGGGCTATTCTCGGAAGCGTAGTAGCATCGGGGGAAGCCGTTTCTCTGCTTCTGGCTGGTGCCGCCGCCGCGAGCTCTGGCGCCGTTGCTATTGAACCAGCAGCACAGCGTCGGCCCTCGCCATGCTGGGCGAGGCCGGCTATCGGGGGGAGGGCGGCCGCAGTTGCTGGCATTCTGTACCGGCTAGCGGGGGGGACCAGAGCGGCCGCAGCCCTTTGACGTGTCCAAATTCGGGCCCTTGTGTGATCGTTTTAGTCGTCTGGCCGTTAGTCTGATCGGCATTCGCTTGCACTTATTGGCATTGCCGCTCTTTCTGGTCGTGTTTCGACGCGCTATTGGAGCTATGCCAAGGCCGTGCGTTTCGTCGCTTAGGTCCTCCGAATTGCCACGACTTCCGGGCTGACTCGGTCCGTGGCAATCAGGGAAATAACCGAAAAGCCGGTCGATAAGTGCCGATTTTCTTTGGGACAGCCCATATGGATAGACTTGGCGAGTTACAATCTACAAAGGTGCACGTCCGAGGGCGGGCATTTTCTGCTTGTGGGAGTGAAATCCAAGGCGTTTGAGAATCATCATGCAACCGCAAATTGTACTCCTGGTCATGATAACGATAGTAATGGAGTGACTTTTATTTCCAATTCACATTGTGACGCCGGAGTATGGTACTCCGTTGCTGTCCAGGACGATTGGGTGCCGCGCATCAGTGCCCCCTACAGGCAAGTGGTCGGGAGGTCGCTGGAGATGTTGCAGGAGGAGAGCGACAGGTGTCGCGCGGCAGAGAACACTCCGTGCGCCAAGTCGGCTCCCGCAAACCAGCTTAGTTGGGTTAATTGGCTTCTCGGGAGAGGAACGAAAATTGCAGAATGTCCCAGTGAGTCATGTGTTGCATATTTCCGGAATGGGCCTGAGCTTTACAAAAAGCTTGAAACGGAGCGGCACAGCATGCGGGATGTGTCGGATTGGATGCTACCAGTCTCAACGAACGCCGTGAATGGAAGCGTCATTATGCTCACCCATGAAGAGCCTGGCAGTTCCGAGACGCTAGATTCGCTGCAGCGCAGCTTGAAGTGCAAGGACGAAGATGCTGGCGCAGGTGTGTTTACGCACGCTGCAACATCCGAATCCGATACCAATGGCACTGTCGCGTTGAAGGGAGGAAACGTGGGGAGAACGCAAAAGTGCAACGAGACTTCGGAAAAGAAGTTGCTAGTCTCGATGTTGCCGAGTTATTACTTTGTTCCGAACACCATGCTCGATCGAAATCTTATTTTTTCCCCAGGGATTTATCAGGTGCAAAAGTGTCGCGTTCCTGTTCGCAGATGAGACAAAGCTTACACACAGACACTTTATACGATGCCTGTTGAAGTTGATTGAACTACAACAACAGACGGCGCTTGTGATGGAGATTTGCCTGCGGATGTCGATAAATAAGTACCATCTTGTTCTTGTTCGTTGCCAAGGAAAGAGGTGCGTCCGTCGTTCTTCGGCTCTGCATGGGAAAACGATACTTTGGCAATGCATAGATTAATACAACTTTCTTATGTCCCTATGACCAGTCATGTTCCATGGGTCTACCTGAAGCATATCGGCAACGTTATCGAGGAAAAGAAAAACCTCCGCGCTGCTGGGGCGAGAATACCTTTGGGGCCGACGATAACATCAAAGAAGACCACGGGGGCGGGTGGAAAACCACATCAAGAGACGAAAGCTATGGAACAGCTGCCAATGGGCGAGACTTTGTTGAATTCCCATTCATGAACAAAACCGCGCCACGACCTGTTGGGTTCTGAAACGACCCATACCAAAAAACAGAAGAAGACGGGCCAATAAGGAGCTCCTAGTCCTACCCGCATTCACTCACACTCAAAAACAGCGTTTACTGTTTAGGTCAAGAACACGCAGAAGGTCAGCAAGAGCATAATATCTGTTCACCAATAAAAAGTCTGATGCTCATGCACATGCTAATCCTAAATGCTTACGATTTCATTCTTCGGATGTTTTTGTCTTCTATCTTCTAACTCCTCTTTACTTCTTCTGATTGATTCTGATTAACAAGCTCAAGCCAGTGAGAAAGTTGCTTTAGTTATACCCTATGCACGTTCCTGTATGATAAAAATAAAATCTACAAGCGCAAATATTAACGAGCTGAATACCAACTCCTGAGTGCTTTTCGCATTGAGAAAGTATGTAATTGCGGGACGGTGTCTGGCCTGCCGTCTCCGACTCAAACTTTCAATTTTGAAAGCTCAGGCGATCTGAAAAAGAACAAAGAAAAACGCGAAAAAAATCAAAATATGATGATGAAAAGATTGCTAGTACGCACAGAAACAAAAGGCTCGCGACTTGCTCCCTCTCCTTTTCCGTATTATTTTTGCGCACCTCCTTTTTCAAAGTGGAAATACGTCTTTTCGAGGCTAGCGAATGCATGTAGAGTCGGTTTGCTGGTTTTGGTATTCATTGGATGGGCCTCTTTTTCGGTCGATTCCTGGCACCGTTGTAACAGTTTCTTTCTTACCGTGTGAGCCAGACAAGATGAAAGGACGGCACCATTGTTCGGCCAAGAAGTGGTTTTTTTGGACGTAGCTGAAGATCCGCTGAAAAGTTTTTCAGGTTCGTTCACAGGTACTATTGGTACTGGAGGAAGGGTACGGGTAGAACATCACCAGCAACGTTCCTGTCCACCGTTCAACCGCTACAGATAATTTCATACATAAATGGGTGGGATCCTGGTGAGTTTGACGAAGGCGCGTGCCCACGACGACCCCGTTTTGGCCGACGTCGAAAAATCGGTGAGTATCACCGTTGAGGAGTGGACAGGGCCGTTTCTCGGAAAGCCTCCTGGAGTAGCAGTCGATGACGCGACGCGGCGAGAGATCGAGCAGGTGTTCCAGAAGTGGTGGATTCGTCCCGGAACTCTGGAAGACTACTCGAAAGAATTGCTGCAGGTGGGCTACGTCCACCAACTTCTCCCAACCAGGACCGCCAATGATTTCGAGTACTGCGCAATAGCCGCAGGAAGGCAGACTACAAGTAGAGATGGGTTTACTTCGAGTTTGATGATGTCTTCAAAACCAAAAGGTGAAAACGATTTGAGTTACGCATTCTCCTCGTCACGGTCAACAGCTGTATCAGTCTCTTCTGGCGAGCCCGAGGACGTCCAAAAATCCACGACGCGGCTGCACCTTTGTGCTTTGGGAGCCGGGCCAGCCAGCGAACTGTGGGGAATGTTGTCCTTTTTGGAGTCACCTCAAGTAGAAGTTACGGCGTCGCTAGAAAGTGCGGTTCTCGTGGACGCTGCTCCGTGGGGGCGAGCCGTGAAAGAATTGCAGAGGGCGTTTTTGTCAACCAGGAGGAAGGAAAGGACTGACGCTTCTAGCAGACATTTTTATAGATCAGCACGCCCAAAATCTAAATCATCATCGGCCGAGGACACAACTACACGCGAAAGCGAACGACAGCTTGCGGAAAAAGCTGATCCCTTTGCGTTGCCCATCGTCTTTCTGCAAGAAGATGCCTTTGTCACCGCGTCCTCGTCTTCTTCAACACAGAAAGAAGTTGGTCGGCAACTGGCTCGCTACCTGTCGCCGGATCCCGAGGTGCTGAACATTATCTGCTTGTACCGTCTAACGTGGGATGTCGGAGCGAGCAGGGTGCAGACATGGCTGCGATCCGTGCTCAGAGCCTTGGATGAGGGAGTAGACAACAGTATAGGGCCTCCAGCACCATCAGGAGCAGTAGAAGAGCCACGTCTTTTGTCATTTTCTCCGGCAGCCAGCGGTGTTGCCGGGAACGAAGCAAATCGGTTGTTGAAGAAACCTGTGCAGGCCGAAGTCTGGATTGCTGATGCCGCAGCCACTAGTGGGACGTACAAGGAGGTGTTGAATGTTGGAGGCGAAAATGAATCTTTATTGAATTGGACCTTCAGTGTCGGTATAGAAGAGGGACGGACCAAATATCACAGGAATTTTTATGTTTTCAGACGGAGGAGCAGGAGCATCAATAGAGCGACTGCGAGTGCGACGTCGAAGTTAGAGTTGTGACATCAGTCTAGTAGGAGACGAATAGCAATAAATCGCCCCGATGAAAAATGTCCGAGGTAGAAAAATGGATGGCTGTTCCGGTGCAGTTGTAGGTCGTCTCCGCGTTGTGTTTATAGTTCATCTTCCTGATGCGTTTATTACTAGAGAAACATAAAGTACAACTACAAGCAACCGCTTCCGTAGAAGTTGTACAGAGTTTACGAGTGTCCGAACGTTGCAATGGCTTGTTTCATCGTGATGACGCAGCATTCGGCTGCTTGAGAATACCTAAAAATTGACCTCCGAAAAAGAGCTCGACATCCAAATTATTGGTCCTAGTTCTATTGGTGGATCTTCTTCCTGATGAAGAAATACAGGAAGTAGCATGTAAATCAAAAGGCCGCGACCCGCCTTTTTTTGTCAAATGAAGATGGTAGAACGATTACGATGTCAGAGTATTGTTCATGTCCTCCTGCTTATTCAATATCGCGCGTCCGCGTGCGTTTCTCTTTCTGCAGTTCTAAATCTAATCCGAACAATATCTGACTCGAAGTCAGTAGTTCTAGACCTAGACGACCACGCTGATCTATGTTCTTCATGTTGTTCCTTGTATAGCGTGTTTGTGCTGGTGAGATTGGATCAAACTACCAAGACGAAGACTTTACCTTTGTGTCGGATTTTTTGACAGCAATAGCAAAAAATACACCTAGAACAAGAAGATGGACCTAGACGAAACGCGGCGGCAGTTCGGTAATCCGATCCTGGGTATCGACATAGGTTCCTCGACGGCAAAAGTCGCCTTCATCTCCGAGCGGGGCACCACGGTGGAGATTGTGCAAAATGAGGTGAACAACCGCGCCACGCCGAGCGTGATCGGCTTCACCAACACGCAGCGACTCGAGGGTGACAAGGCGCACGGCCTGATAAAGTCCAACCTGAAGAACAGTGTGCGGTACTTCAAGCACTTGCTCCAACTGCCGTCTTCCTCCGAAATATCAAATGCTGGCGCTGCAGCAGGAGGAGCCGCGTCGTCCGCAGACAGTATGCTGCTAAAGAACGAAGAGTTTTGGTCTCTCTGTCCCCTCAAAGTAGTCGATGGAGTAGAAAAGGCAAAGATAGTTGGGTTCGAGGTCAGCTACCTCGGCGACAAGCAGGTCTACAGCGTCATGCAGATTATCTCCATGCTGCTCGTCAAAATAAGGCACATCGCGTTGAAGTGGTGCTCTTTTTTCGCAGAAGAGGGAGCCGACGCGACAAATTGCAGTAAGACACGGAAGATTATCTATGGTTTTCTCATCATGCTTCCAACTTTACGTAGTTGATTCTTCTTCAATCTCTCAGTGTTTCGCTTGCAAAATTGAGAAGAACAGGGAGAAAGGAGCAAGTGCTTCAATTTGAATTTCCGACATAGAAAGTTATTTGATTTAATATTTACAGATGGGCTAACAGACGACAAGAAGTTGAACGTCGTTCTGTCGTGTCCGGCCTACTACACCGACGGCCACCGCCGTGCGCTCATCAAGGCCGCATCCCTTGCCGGCATGAAGGTGCTGCGCATTATGACGGACGGCGCAGCGGCCGCGGTGAGTTACGGCCCCTACCGCGTGGATGAACTGGTGAAGGAGCCGATGCATGTGGCCTTCTGTGGCTGCGGGCACAGCACGTCTTTCGTGGCCATCGCGCGCTTTACCAAAGACGGCCTGCAGCTTGTGAGCGAAACCTGCGACCAGTTCGGGGCCCGGGATATGGATTTAGCGCTGATGAAGCACTTCGCCGCGGAATTTCAAACGAAGCACAAACTCGACCCGTTAACGAACAAGAAGGCCTGCTTGAAGCTCGAGGAGGCGATCCAGAAGACCAAGAAGATCCTCTCGTCTAACGACGAAGCGCCGCTGGGTGTGGAATGTCTGGTGGAAGACTACGATCTCAGTGGCAAGGTGACCCGGGAAACGTTCGAGGACCTTTGCGAGCCGCTCAAGCTCCGCCTCCGAACCCTCATCGTCGACGCGGTCCAACGAGCATGTACAACTTCTACTGCGATCTTGATCTATGTACTCGTTCCAGTATGATCTTCTACTTTATCGAGTGTCTTGACGATCATGGCCTACTTCGCGTTCGTCGCTTGGAAGTCGAACTGCTAGTAAGTTGGAGGGGTTATTTAGTGAGTAAGTACTTTAATTATTGCTTCGTCGTCGTCCTAGTTACTTTTCAGTTTCTATTCGCGGCCGCTGCATTATTTCAGGTCTAGACGTGTCGCAGATCGACTCCGTCGAGATCATCGGTGGCGCTTCTCGAGTCCAGTGGGTGCAACGAGTATGCGAGGAGTGTTTTCAAACGAAAACTCTTTCTCGGACATTGAACGCCGATGAGGCGGTGGTGCGCGGTTGCGCACTGCAGGCCGCGATCTACAGCCCGCTCTATAAAGTCCGGGACTACAACGTATCATATCCATATCGAAAAATGACTATGATGCCCTGTCGTGCTTGCTCTCTTTCAAACTTTATTCGAAACAAAAAGAAATTACTTTAAATAATAGGATGATGTTCGTGAAGATGAAGACTATGTTGATACACTATATTAACTTTTTTTCCATCGCTCAAAATCGATTCTCGTACCTACAGGTTTGGCTCTATTCCCAGCGTGGCGTTTCGGTTTCTTGGAACGCGGACGGTAAGCAGGAAACCTTTGAGGTGTTCCCGTCGCAGAGCTCCCTCAACCTGATGCGATCCCTGAGCCTATTCCGACAGAAAACCTTCGAGCTGTCGGCGTTTGTGACCGAGAACCCCGCGGTCAAGCTCGGAACTTACAAAATCGAGGTGGATAACCCGGACCGGGCGAAGATCCAGGTCAAGGCAAAACTCGACGCCCACGGAATCTTCAGCATAGATTCAGCGACACTCGTGCCCAGGTACTTCTTACCCTTGGGTATGTGGTAACTCTATCTCAACCACAGTGCGACCATGATGCTTCGCGTGAGATGAAAGTTTAAGTTTTACTAGAAGATGTAGATTGATTCACTGTAGACGAAAAACGAGTCGCAGCACGGTCCTCGTCTTGCTCCCTGGTGCAGATCCTGCTCGCGTTACATACTGCTCCGCCGATCTACATTGTTTATGTTTTATAGTGAATCACAATCAGAATCATGCAGCTAGAGAAGACAGCCACGACGTAAGTATCCGCTTCATTTTCTTTTTCCAATTTTTGGGTTCGCACCAAAAACACGCAGCGACCCAGCGGTTGCGGTCCAACCTCTTTCGATCAGCTGTTCCGACCTGCCGGGCGCGTGTTCTCCGGAGGTTTTTGCGAAGCTGAAGAACACCGAGCTCGAATTTCAGGCGCAGGCCATCAAAGTGCAGAAATTGGAGGACCTACGCAACGATGTTGAGGCCGAGGTCTATCGGCAGCGTAGCCTTCTCCAGGGGCAAGCACTCAAGGAAAAAACGGAGGAGTCGGAGCGGACCGAGCACCTGAAGCTGCTCCAGGACATCGAAGAGTGGATTTACGACCACGAAGACGAGCTGACAGAGGAGGCCTTGACCGCTAAGGTGGACTCGCTGCGCCCAAAGTTTGCGCGGCTAGAGGAGCGACTGGGCAAGGGCGCGACGCTCTGAGGAGTGCCAGCTTTATTTTTGCGAATAGACGACAACTACCCGTATACAAATGGCGTAACCTGACGAGGGCACAGACAGCGACATCGCGCACAGTGTTTACTACCTACAGTGTTTGCGTTGAACTTTGTGCGAAAGAACGTCATCGCCGATTGTCGGCGATCTTTGCCCATGTCCTTCACAGCAGACTGAAGTCATTGCGTGCGGTTCCTTCCTTGCGCCCGGCCCTCTACTTGGTAGTGCTGCCGCGGCTCCGAGCAAATCCAGCTGCATGGTTGTACTGCTTGTGGTCTGCGCCGAGGGTGATACCGCATGGAGCTGCTGTGCGCCGAGACAGACGCGGCGACACGACGAGCAGCGCCGCGGCCAAACTACTGAAAGCGACAGAAGGACCAGGACCGCTGAGTCAGGGCTTCGGAATTGGTGAAAGCGGCCTGTCGTCCGCATGTTGACGGAGAAGGCATGTAAGTCGAGTGAGCACGACCAAAATCCACGCCGCTCGCACTAGCAAGTTGGAGATTTCGCTGGCGCTTCTTGATGCTGTGCAGCATGCGTGGTTGCATTAGCTACCTCGAGTTTTTTTGCGGTCCAACCGGAATCTATCGGATAGAAGACTCCATCGGCTGCGGGGTGCTGTTGCAGCAGCTTTTTGTGGCATCGACGCGAAATAGCGAGTTGGCGAGCGTCTTACGATCCAGAGGCCGAAGCACGATGCTTTTTCTTTTTGATGTCACGCCATCATTCACACGACACAGCGACACGGATCACGTACGAAGGATAAGTTTAAACGTAAAACAAGCGACTTACTGCTACTTCCCTATGCTGATCACGGCGACAAGGTCAAGGTGACTGTAACTCCGTCGAGAAGTCGGATTGCATGCGCTGATCCGTCTTCCCCGATACCAAGTTGCTGCGATCATGCTTAGGAGCGGAAAGAACTACCCACTGACATCAAAACACAAGGAACAGGAACTACATACGGGCACTGTCACGGCCAAAAAAGCAAAAATAGCTTCCGTGCAGAGATTTTTACTAAGGATCGAGATGTTCTTCGGAATGCTCCGACGTTGTTGATGTTGAACAAAGAAATCATGGACGGATCATCAAGTTATAGCCCACGGATGTTGAAGTACTCGAACAGTAAGTAAAAAAGCCGTGCCTTTTGCATGTCTCTCTGAATGCGCGACACTTGTTGCCATCTTGTTGAAGTTACTTCACATTTTTCTGGTTCTGCGATGGCGAGGACATCATATCGAGGTCAATTAATTTGGCAAGACGCAACGTCACGAAGTCAAGGGATCCAACTTCACCTAACAATTATGAAGTGAAGTAGTAAATCTAAGAGGCAAAGTCGAAACTAAGAAAGGAGAACGTCGAAGTATTTAGTCTAGTATAGGAAAAAACGTTGCTTCTTATTGCGATCACAGCAGGATGTTGAGCCGAGGACCTATTTGTTTCATTTTTGTCATGCGGTGAGAAATCACTCTTTCGGCTTTCCTTTTGGATGTGGATCTACTGCGGGGATTAAAAGGGGCCCTTCTTCTCTAACACTTCTACTAGAGGGTCGAAGTAGTTTATTGAAATAGAGTGCGAATAGTACTACGACAATATACAATAGACTACGTCTACCCACCGTCCAACAACTTGGTTCTCGTGAAGTCTGATAGGTCGCAAAAAATGTCGTTAGCAGCCATGACCCGAACGCTGTTGCGGTTGGCAGTTGCCTCCGTGCTCGTTGCAGGGAGGGACGTGGAGCCCACAGCAGAGCAAAAAGCAGAATACATGCGGGACTTTGATGAATTCGATTCCAACAAGGACAGCTTTCTTGACGTACCTCAATGTCTTTATCATTATCTTTTTTTTCCTCCGATGGTACTAATCGTAATCTTTGTATCATGATGTTCAAGTTCATTTCATATCCATATATTGATTACGATCTCATTACAGACACAAGAAGTCCGCGGAAACTTCAAGGGCGAAGTAGCCGACCGGGAGCTTTGGGAGTTCTACAAGATGGCGGACAAAAACTTGGACGGCAAGGTCTCTAAGGAAGAGTACATCAAATACGCCGCCGACCTGTCTTACAGTAGTGAGACCGAATACAAGGCGGAAGTGTAGAAAGAACAGCCGGGAACAAGACTTAGTTCTTGACGAGTTTAAGTATTTTTACGGAATCTCCACACGACTCGGGGATGTCGACTTGTTTCACCTTTATCACGACGGCGACATGGACATTGCTGGCATTGTTGCAACTTCTTCGCAATAATACAGCAAATTATCGACGGAGGCTGGCTGCTTGTACATCTTGCGGTTTGCGTTTGGATTGATAGGACTACACCCTATAGATACATCTACTTGAGATCACAGATTTAACAAGGCGAATGGGAGCCGTAGGATTCTTGTCCAAGAGCCACTACGGACAAGGACCTGAGTGCGACGTATGAGAAACTTCTCAAAGAATTTTTAATACGCAGACCTGTTCGGTGGAGCTGCGGCTGCCACCGTTGATACTGAAGAACTTGATGTTGTATCTACCCGCCCCCTGATACCACCTGACTCTCATCTAAACCCTAGAACACAGCTGAAGCCAAAAATTTGTTACTGGACACGCAAGAAGGCTGCCGTGCGCGATTCGGCGCCCTTGTACTGGTTGCTTAGCGCGATTCCAAGACTTGCTGAGTCATCGCAAGCAGATTGTTCTCACCAGTGCCAGTAGCACATCACCAGTTCAGAAATATTAAGTACTTAAGATGAAGTGGCGCGCGCGCCGCAAACGACCCAGTTTCGAAGGCACAACAAGATCTAACTCTTAGTAGGATGGTTGCAAGTTTTTTGAGCATAAGCGTCGACAGCATTCTCATTCTGATGCTTTATTTTCAGCCGAAAAAGAACTTCTTTCATTTCATTTGCTCTTCACTTTTTTTCCCGCGATCCCGATTCAGTCCCGGTTCCGTGCTGCAGCTGCGCCGAAGGAACGTGGAGAACATATGTATCTTGTGTGGCCTGCTTATTCAACATCAATTTGAATTTCGCTGTAACTACACCCACTCCCATTGGTACCACTGCTGGCCGACGAATTTTTCTTCTCTATGTTTCCTCTGCATGTAATGTGACAAATGAACAGCAACACCAGCAGCCGGATTAGCATGGGAATTTCCGCTTCGGTATGATCATGGTCTTCTTACTCCGCTTTATCGCGAGAACCGATGAAATAGAATGTAGATGTACTGAGTTTTGTGGTGCTCCTCTCACGATTTTTGTTCGGTTCAAGCCGGCATAATCGTACTCGATCTAGTATTGGTCTTATTTTTTGATCATGGTGATGGCATTGGCATCGTCTTCGTCGTAGCTCGCTCATATAAGACATTCTAGAGATTAAGATACTTTTTTGGGGAGCTTCAGGCTACATATGATACTATTTTGTCGACGAAGATACTAGGCCAAAGCACGGCAAGATCTTCTTATCGACATGGAGAGCGCAAAGAAATCGGAATAGAAGACCAACCTACGACGAGCGGCTTTTAAGAACGAGGCCGACCGAAGATACTGCTAGCAAATGATGTCTACCCGGCTTGCTAATACAAATACTTAGGCTTCTTGTCTCGGTCTCGGCGTGCAATAATTAATCCTGAAGACGCCGACGCGGGATTGACGCTGAGACGGGCGGCGAATCGGGTGAACCGCCGCCGCCGGTAGCAACCAGAATGACAAGCTGTTAAAGAGGTGGCGTTCTTGATGAATGAAAACATATAAAGAAGTAATTGCGAAGAACGCCAAGAACGCCGTCCCTGAAGAAGCAAGAGTCAGACGGGATCGGGAATGTGGCGAAGCTGTTTCATGGTGCAGGCTTCTGGGGAGCAAGAACAGAATGAAAACGACGTCATTTTGATTAATCACGCTGGGAGAAGTACTGGCTGTGGCTGACCAATTATTTGCGAGCTTCTTCACTACGGTCCGCCGTGTAGTTGTAGCAAACACCCGCGTGTTGATCCTCGAGGTCATCATCTTCATGAGGAGGACCATCTTCATTTCCAATTGAGCACGACTTCGCGCGACACGAAAGACGCTAGTAGTCAACTACAGCGTCACAAGAAGGCGATCTACAACTATTGCCCACGGCGACAGAACATAATTGTTTTACTCCGCTGGTAGAACACAAAAATTACCGTCGCCATCTATCAAGATGCAGCTTCTGATCAGCGAGCAGAGCAAGTTTGATGACATATGTCATCGAATTTTGAGGAGGAAGCCAAAAGTTTATCTCGATACGGAGTTTGTCAGGAAAGGTTCGCTCTTTGACATGCATTTGCATGCTTCATCATTTCTATTTGTGTCATGTGGTACTGGTAGGTCTAGCGTAGATCATGTTTGAGTATCTTCTTGTTGCGAGAGTCTGGCTAGTACCTGTTATTCATTGTCGCACGCAATGTGTACTAGTTGTACGGAATAATCAAAGGCAAAATACCCTCGTCAAATGAAATCTTTCAGGTAAGACATTCCACGCCGTCCTTTCCTTGATTCAAATCGCGGCCGAGATTCCGGAGGAAAACTGCTCCATTCGGGCCGTGGTAGATGCGTTTTTGGTGACCGACTTATCCCTTTTCGGCCAGATCCTGGACGACCACGAAATATTGAAAGTGTTGCACGCCCCGTCGGAGGATTTTCGCATCTTTCTGCACCTGTTCAAGGGCCTACCAAAAAATGTTTTCGACACGCAGTGTGCGGCCAGTGTTTCGGATGTGCTCGGGACAAATAGCACCAGCCCGGGGAACTGCATCGGATACGGGAAGCTTTGTACTTCTTTATCTATGATGGGATGAAATAAATGCTACGACTACGAGCTGCATCCGATGGAATTTGCTAGAAAAAAAGATAGCTTCATTCAAGTTCAACAACTGCGCAACTTCTATACCACCAGGTAAAGCCGTCCTGAATATCGATGTCGATAAAAGCATGCAGAACACAGATTGGGAAAAACGACCGCTGACCAAGGCGCATTTGGACTACGCCATCCTGGATGTTGAGTACTTGATTCCGCTCGAGCGTATCTTGTCTCAACAGTTGGAGCAGGCGGGAAAATGGTAGATATTTTCTCATCAACATCGAGCGCCTTCTAGAAACGGCCCCAAGTGGTCGTGTGAAAGATTGTTGCGGCAGTCAGGTGCTTCTTGACTTTGAAATTTTGATTAACAGGCGGTCGCCCTGCCCCGCTTGTCGTGCGCGTACTGATGACTTATTTGCAAACTACTTTTCGTGCTGCTTTTATACCAGGTCAAAATACATGGTCGAGCTTGCTTCCACGGTCATGAAGCCGGAGGCCTACAAAGCACAGCCGGAAAAGCTGACCCGGCGCATGTGTCAAGAAACGTTGGATTGGTACAAGCACAAGGAGGATCAGTTTGGGGATGTCACTTTCGAGGAGCCGGAAGCGAACCGCATTTTGGCCCTGATGCAGAACCAACACAACGGCATACCCGGGAAGAAAGGCCCAAAAGGTGGCGGAAAGGGCGGCAGCAGCAGTAGCAGTTCCATGTTGCCTGTCGGTGGGGGTGGTACAAAAAATTTCGATTCTTCTGGTGCCGTGCCTATGACAGGAGAAGAAGTCTCGCGGAGGTGTCTCACCGGCGGTAACTCCTCCTGCAGCACGTCTGCGACAAGTAGCAAAAGCACGCTGCCGCAGTACAATAGTGGCATATATGGAGCAGGCGCGGGCCCCGCCGCGCCCATGATGGGAAGCGGCGGCCCTGGTAGTTCTGCTAACGGTAGCGGTTCTACTTCTTACGGGCATCAAGCAATACACAGCACGAATTCAGCGTCAAATCACCCGTCGCCACAGGAGCAGCGGAGTCACAGCCACCAGAGCACGTACTCGAATCAGAGCGCCTCGAGTGCCGGTTCTTCGCATCTGCAAAACCCGAACTCACCGGAAGCGCTCGCGCGGGCCTACGTGCTGGCTGCCACCGCCCGTCAAGCCAGCGGAAACAAGAAACACACCTTTCTGCGACGGTTTCACGCGTTGCTTTGTCTCCGGGAGGAGGTGGCCGCGGAGCTCGATATTCCGCGGCAGCAATGCGCCAGCGACGAGGCGCTGATGCAGGTCGCATGTTGGCTTCCCACGAAGGAGGAGGAGCTCCGGCAGTGCAACCTGATCTGGCGTCAGCACCTCGCCCGCGACGCGACTGGCCGCGAAATACTGCTGAAAACCTGCAGCACTTTCAAAATCGTGGCCGAGTATCAGCGAAGAAATCCGGCGCCCGTGCCGCCAATGCAGGCATCGAAGGGCAGCGGTGGACCCGGAGGTCCACGCGGAGGTCCTGGTGCGCGCGGCGGCGGCGGGGGAAAACACATGCACCACAACGGGGGAGGCGGAGGCTACTACTAGATACGGGAAAATGTCCATGTTCTAGAAGTAGGATGCTTGTTCACCTCTCTTTCTTCTGCTGCTTCCGCGAGCATGTTTGTGATACCAACATTGACCACGCGTCACCGTTTGTTTCCGGAAACGGAATACAACTTCAACAGCAAGAGCATCTTTTTCTCCTGAGAACAAAGCGACCTTACCTCCCGAAGCAGAGATATAGTTTTTCAATCACTGATATCCCTGTGTACCTATACTATACTTTTGTGACCACCTCCTGTTCGAAAGCTCCTCGACGACAAATTTCGACACGACACTCCGCAGCTGTGCGTGGTGAAGCAGCTCGGTCTGTGCCCACTCTGCAGCTGACAAGCGAGAATTATTCACTGCTGGAGTTCCTCCTACCGACAGCGCCCGGCACGTAATAGTATGTTGAGTAAACCAAAACCTGCGACAAAAAAAAATTGAGTGATATATCAATTTGTCATCAGAACGACGACGACCTATCATCATGATGCATCAAGAGCAACACATCAAAATGTCGGCAAACGCAACCGCATTTTGCAATGTGGGGGAAGGCGCAACAAGCTGCAACGGATGATCTTCAATGCGAATGCGAAAGAACAAGCAAGCAAAAAGACACCTACTCCGTCGACGGCTTCGACTTGGAAGTCTTGATACTAAGTTGATCGAGCTGTTGTAGGAGCACGTTGGTGGATGTGTTCATTTGGTGCTGTTGTTGGTTGCGTTTGCAGTCACGCACCTCCCTACACCAAGTCCTAGAGCGAGGGCAGACTTGTTTGTCTTTGTGGTCCTCTCCTGCAGTAGCAGGCTGTACGTGTACCTACTTTTCCTTGCAATTTATGACTTCCACATCCGCTGACGAAGAGGGCATGTTGACTCACCATGAGGCGAACCGTGAACCGAAATGTTGAGTGATCGAAGAAAGTCAACAGTGTGACTGAGGTCTTTCCTGATGTCATCTCACACCGCAATATACAGGACCACATTTAGAACCTTTACCTTCCTGATTAGTTTTCGCTTCCTTGCTCCCCCAAAATGCACTAGAGTTACGATTGGAATTTCGATTTTCAAGAAATTTTAAAGGTTAAGTTGATTCTGATTGACAAAGTATATGCTTTTGTGTATGATAAGGATTACAACAGTCACTGCGACTCTCATCAAAATGAATTACTATGACAATATGAAAATGAGAATGATTTTCGTGCCCTCGTCGCTCTCGTCTGATGATGAAGCTAAGGCCTTGTGCTCTGTCCTGGTGCGTCGACGCGCACCTGCCGCAATGTGCTTGGCCCAACAGTAACGACTCGCATCCCCTGAGCGAAGACTTTGACTTCCGCGCTCCCTGGTGAGCCTGAGGCCGCCGCTGTCGACCCGCAACTTGCGGAAAATAGCCACCTGATACTGTAGTTGTAGCAGTTCTCGTCTTGGTGTGCAGCTGGTGTCCAAGAAGAACGGCAACGACCCCAACAGCTAAGATGTTGCGCGCGCTCAATTCTGCAACTTCTAGTGCGAAGATGTGGTTCGCGGTCGAGGAGAAGGATGTGCTCTATAGTCACCGACAAGGAGCAGAAGGACACACACAACAACGACAACCGAGCATCATGTTGATGATTGAATCGTGAAGAGCACGACGTCGAGAAATTTCCACAGTCCTGGTTCTCGCGGCAATAGAACTCCTGTCAGTTTCCTAAGTTACCTACCAGGAGCTCGAGCGACACGACAAACAGCTCTGCCCGACCGATAGCAAAATGTTGGTCTGTCTCTGGGTGACGGGTTTCATGCTGATCAGCGTGCTGATCCGGTATGCGCCGAAGTGTTGCACCTGTTGCGACTGCCTCAAGAAGCGGTGGTTCTGGCTGCATTTCGGCACGCAGTTCTTCTTCTACGTACGGGAATTGCTGATTCTGTCCCTGTTCGTCGGCTGGACGCGGTTGATGATCGCCGTGCACATCGCCATGACCTTTGTCATGCTCGTCACCTTTGTCGAACTATGGCAACTGTCGCACCTGCGGAAGTACGCGCCAAAGGCCATTGACCAGATCATGGACATGGTGCTTCTTCCGGCGAACTACGGATTGCTCATGGCCCACACGGTTCGGATCCTCGGTCAGCAGCTGGAAGGGGGCCAACACAACGTCGAGCGAGAGTTCCTGAGTCGCTTCTTTGGGGAATCCTACGATACAACCGGAGGTCAACATCTTGGTGGAAGTGGTAGTACGGGCAGCACTACCAGTCCCCTACAATCGACGACGATGTTTGCAGCACAGGACAGCAGCAGCTTTTACAATACTCATCCTGCGTCTTCTGCTTCCTCCTACTTCATCAGTCTGGATGACCCCTTCGCGGGCGAGCGCGACGCCGCGCGTCTGGCCGTTGCGGACACGACTATCCAGACAGCGGACATTATGGATCTGTCAGGATTGAAATCGTCAAAGTTGAAATGATTTGTCATGCATAAAATGCAAGGCATGAAGTGCCTGTCTTGCCGGGATGGCAAGTGAGGCAGATTGTGAGCCTATTTAGGGTTTGGGATAGAGCTGCTGAAGGAGCATGACAAAAGCCGTCTTCTGTGCCCAAACAGCATGACAAACTGGATTCCGGTGCTCCGAAAATTTGTCATGCGCCGCTTGAAAATTGGGCTTCCGACTGGTATCCATTTTATGCATGACAAATCATTTCAACTTTGTCGATTTCAAACCTGACGCTTCCATAGACATTTGGGAAGCCTGGGCCCTGTGGAGCGTGCTGACCATGTTCACGGGCATCGTAGACAACTTGTCGAAAAATCCGAACCCCAGCCGCGTGACGCGAATCAGTCCTCGGGGCATGCTGTCCAGCCGTCACAGCTCCCCGTTGGAAGAGCCTCTACTGGCGGGCTCTACTGGTACTGCGATGATCGGCGCAACAGGAGGTGCAGCAGGAGCGTCGGCAGCTGCATTACGACCGCGGCCAGGCGCGGCAACATCGCCGAACTCGCCTTCCGGTCGGGAACAGTTCACCATCACCAACCGCGACGACTTTTATGTGAGTGGCGGAAGGACGACGACCACGCTCGGCGCAGCGGGAACTATGGCTTCTTCCCCGGGCGCGGGCTTGAGCTTGCAGGACCGCGCGGTGACCTCGTTTCAGCGGTTCTGCTTCGCGGTGCTGCAGCTTTACGTGCTGGCCAGCATGTTGTCAAACATCCTGCAGGTGATCGTCAAGGGGCTTCTCGGGATCCATTTTCCAACCTTGTGCCCGTACTTACTGCAGTCTTGTGAGTATACGTGTGTCACCTGGTGGGACACGTACGTTGGGCCGTACCAGGCACTGATCCTGTCGCTCTTCTGTTGGGCCGCGATCTACGCAGTGTTCGTCTTCGAGGGCGCTTTTCACGGTGAGTTGTCCCTGGTCGATCCCTTCTGGAAATTTTTCGGCGTCAAGGGGGTCGTCTCTGTCACCTGGACCCAATGGCTGATCGTGCGCTACGTGATTTGCGGCTACTATCTGCAGTGGGAGGCGTACTACTTGTACGCCTTTCTGACCGTGCTCGAAGTGCCGATTTTGGCCATTGTGCACGCGTTCTTCGCGTACCCGGTGCACAATGTGTATTTGAGCGTCTCACCAGAGGCCGCGACGCAATGGCTCACAGAGCAGAGCAAGGGTGCCGGTGGTGGCGCACCACTACAACCGCCACCAGGAACTACATCGGGAAACACGAAGTTAGCCATGACAGCTTCATCTTCTGCAACTACTTCCTCCTTCTACCGGGTCCCGCCCGCGCTCACTCGAAACGACAGCAAAAGCACCAACAACAGCAAGCCGGGCACCACCGTGAGCTCGCCGGCCGAGGAGCTTTTCGTCCCTCAGAATCCGCCCCGGTATCCGCCCCAAGGCTTGGACGACTTCGTGGTCGGGACTACCTTGAACTTCCAGGAGAATCCGAACGAGCAGCACCTGGTGCCGCTGCGCCAGTACGTGTACGCGACAGTCTATGGGAGCGTCAGGATTGAAATCGACAAAGTTGAAATGATTTGTCATGCATAAAATGCATACCAGTCGGAAGCCCAATTTCCAAGCGGCGCATGACAAACTTTCGGAGCAACGGAATCCAATTTGTCATGCTGTTTGAGCTCAGAAGGCTGCTTTTGTCATGCTCCTTTAGCAGCTCCATCCCAAATTCTAAATAGGCTCACAATCTGCCTCAATTGCCATCCCTGCAAGAGAGGCGCTTCAGGTCTTGCAGTTTATGCATGAGAAAATATTTCAACTTTGACGATTTCGATCCTGACGCTTCCATACGGTCATGTCGCGGTCCCCGGAGGACATCCGCGCCGCGCCCAACAAGCGCATCGTGTTTGCGACGGATACCTGGATTCGGTACCTGATCGAGAGCAGCAGCGCCGCGGCCGCAGACTCGAAGAGCGGGAGTCGCGTCAAACTCGCTCGGTCAAGAACCTCCTCGAGACCGCGACGGTGGCGGGAAGCTGCAACCACGGCAGCAGCGGCCTCAAGTAGAACAGCAGCTTCCATGCGGGAGCAGCATGGAGGTGCAACGAGTTCGACGCGGACTCTAGAGCAGACTGGTCGTGGGCGGTTCAGCAGCGCACCCGCAGACGGGTTTTCTTTCATGGCCGGAGAACACGAAAGCAAAAAGCAGGTGGGAACATCAAATAGCGCTAGCAATACGGCCAGCAGCTCCTCGAGCTATTTCGATCTCGCGACGGCCGCTGCGCATGGGGGACGAGATGATGCGGCATTTACAGGGGTACCACCAGGTGGCGGCCCCACCCCCGCAGGAGCGGAAAGCGGTCGCATGACAAGAAGAAGGGATCAAAAAGTCACGGTCAGGTCTGTGGAGCGGGACCAAAGTCGAAGCGAAGATTCCGGCAACGATGACGGTGCGGAAAAGCCACGTATGCTCACGACGGAACGGGCGGGTTCGTCGAATGTTTTGGGGATAGTCTTGAGCAGCGCGTCCTCATCTGATGGCGCAGACGACGAAGGGGCTCACGGCAGCGATGAGCCGGGAGACATATCCAGCGCCGGAGCTGCACCGCGACCATTGTTCTTGCGAATCAGCGATCGGCTCTGTGCCTGTTTCCGGGGCGGTTGCTTTGGAAAGGATTCGTCCAGTAGTTCCTCTGCGCCAGCATCTGCTTTCTCCGAGCCAAAATCTGACATGGTTATTCTGGATCAGAATAGAGATGGCACCCGTAATGGTAATGGAGACGAGGTCCACCCGGAAGATCTTGAAGACAGTGGTACGAGTTCTTCGTCGCGTCTTGGCAGAGTCCTTTCATGGTTTGCCGCGCCGTTTGTTTCCTGTTTCTCTTGCTGCAGGAGCAAACAATCGTCAACTTCCTCGTCCTGCCTTCCCTGGCTGTCTGCATCAGACGCGGCCGGACGTCGGACCAGCATCGCACCGCAGACCAGCGATACAGCCACCACCTCCACCACGACGACTTGCTGCTCGCGCATTTTGACCGCTCGGCGCGTGCGGAACTGCCGCAAGTTTCTGAAGCGCAGCGTGATCTCAGTCGTGGTGTCCTTCGTTCTGGTTCTGTTCATGCTGTACACGCTGCAGCCCGACAACCGCGAGGACGTGGGAAACGCGTATTGGTACAACGTGGAATGCAAAGGCGCTTTTCCGGCCGTTCCCCACACTTCGGTGATCGACGCGCAGGAGAACGGCATCTGCAGTAAGACACAGCTCGCCTGCAACATCGGCTACCGTGGGCAGCCGACCGTGACCTGCAATCCGTCGCTGGTGTACGACGTGGCGGGCACGTATCCAGAAAAAAGCACCCATCCCCATCCTTTTTTTGCATGACAAACACTACTTGCGATGCATGTTTTGCATGACAAATTGGATGGGGATGGGTGTTTTGGCCTGGATGGCACGTGCGCGGTGGTCGGGTGCGGGGCCCCGCCGAGAATACCCAACGCGAACCCGATCTACAAGGTGGACCCCGGCGACCACACAAGGCGGGGAACCATGCACCTGGACAATGGGTACCACTCGCTGAATGACAAATTTGTGTGGACCGCGGGGGAGGTGGTGCACTACACTTGCAACCCCGGTTACACGGGCAGCGTGCAAGCGCGGTGCTCCGTCAGCGGTGCGTTTACCATTGAGGGCGGTTGCGATTTGGTCGGTTGCGGGGTCCACCCTCCGCAACTACAACACGCTCGTGCCATCGTGAAGACCAATGACCAGCACCCGATGAACTACGCTGGTGGTGTAACAAGTGCTAGCGCGGCGGCTCCGGCGGCGGCCAACGAAAAAAGCCAAAGCGACGACCTCGCACAAGAGAAGCAGCATGCTCAAGCGATGCAACAGGAACAGCGACAGGACACAAAGGGAAACCATCTGCCAGCAAGTGAAGCTGTCCCAACATCTGGATTGCCTGAGCATCCGATAAATAGAACTGCCGGTGCCGCCGCCCAACTACAGAGCACTTCGATCATTCTAACAGAGAGAATACCACACGCCTTTTCGGAGACTTCCGCGATAGAAGAACAGGCCACTTCCGCACCATCGGCAGACAAGAACGCGAGCCGCGCAGACCACGACCATCACCTCGTGTTGAAGAGTTCCTACGCCGGTGAACGAATCGCCTTTGTTTGCGAACTTGGGTATACTGGCTCACCAGTTGCGGAGTGTCAAAACGATGGCAACTGGATCGCTACGGATACCTGTCGCTTCTTCACCACGACCTTGGGCTGCCAGTGCGAGCCTCAATGGGTGAACTGCGATGACTGGCTTCTTGGAGCAAACTGCTTCCTCAATTACGGATGCAAGCACGCAGGGTAACAAGTAAGTCTATACGTACAAGTACAACAAGCTAGTACTTGTTGACTTTTGGTGCCGATAACGAACATCACACTGTGCTCTGACGTCGAGGGCGGCACTTGCATAAGATCAACAAGAATTCGTTACGTATAAAAGTGAAAGTCCTTCTTGTTCTTGAAAGAAAACCCAACCCTTTTTTTACAGGCGTTCCTACCAGTGGTGCGCCGTGGACCCGATTTCCTGTCCAGAGAGCTCCGCGTTGTCACTTCTAGGATTCCATTGGTATCCGCGTTGGGACTACTGCGTTGACGCTAATGAAAGTGCGGAGGAGCACCACCGCGTGGCCGTCCCCTCTCGCGGGTTTGACCCGCTGGCCTGGGTGGACGAAGCCTTCGCGTTCGAAGGAGCTGCAGCCTTTCTCCCGATGCTGTTTCTGGTCGCCCTCGCGTTTCTGTTGCTCGGCGCCGCATGCGGCTCGTCCCGCGGCGAGTCGGTCGGGGACGGTGTCACCACCATCGGTGGAAGCGAATATGGTACTTCTTTACAACTTGATGTTCCTTTATTTATCAACAAATTCGACTTGGCGGCACCATAGGCATTTGTAGGCCACATGGACATGATGATTCTCCTTGAAAACTCCTCGCAAGTATCGATTTTACAGGTGGTTCTCCCGGTGCGCCCCCGAGCGGAGCGCGCGGCCAAGGTGGTTCTTACGCCGAGGCGTCGGTCGACCGCTCGGACTCCTCGCCGGGGAGCCGCTTACCTATCTGGTCGAGGCTATTCTCCCCCTGGAGCATGAAATCCAGCGAGGCCCGCGAGGCCCAGTCTCCGTTGTCTGTCCTCGACGAGGTTGCAGCGGATCGACAAGGGCTTTTGTCCGAGCCGCGAGTTGGCCTCCAAGACAGCAGCGTCGATCTCGAAAAAAACTTGCTCGAAGTGGAACAGCAGGAGCGGGGGGAGCAGCGAAGTGGTAGCGTGCGCGAAGATGAAGCCCTAGTAGTTCCACTGCTTGGCGCAAGACTGTCGCTCGAAGACCGCGACACAACGAAAGAAAAGCAAACCGGTCGTGAAGGCACAGCAGGCACAGAGGAAGCCGTAGCAGGACCTGAGCACACCGACAACGCGGGCGAAGATGCGGGCACGAATTCTCACTACGTTCCACCCCCTCCATTTCCGCAATCTGTGTCAGTCCACTTTGAAGTAGAGCAAACGCCTGAAGAACCCGTCGCAACGGCATTGCATCTCGGTGCAGCAGGCGAGCATTTTCACGAGCAGGAGCACGTGCATTTACAACTCGGCACTGTTGACGGTGTACTTGGAGGAGAACAGAGCAGCCTCGGTGCGCCGGCAGTAGAACAGAACAGCCTGATCCTCGACTCCTCCACGACACCCCCCGCTGCAGTTTCAGCCGCAATAGGCCCAAGTGTCGATACTGCCATCGCCGACGCCGCCAACACTGCAGTTTGTGACGATGGCTTTGCGCGTGGCGCTCCGGAAGACGCTGAAGCAGAAGATGCAGCAACAAGACCAGAAACAACTTCATCAGGAGCAGCGGACACTAGTGCTGCCGCTGCACTTTCTCCGCCACAAAGTTCGGCTGCAGGGGCACATCATCTCCCAGACGAGGCACACGAAGACCCGCGAGTTGTACGGAAATACGACCAGGCTCTGGCCGCGGACTCTCGTCTAGCTGATCACATTTTCGCGCACACTTCTTCACCAGCGACACGCTCTGCCGAAGAGCATCAGCGAAATACTGGTGAACTACAGGACGAGCACTTGAATCTCCTTGCTCCCGGTGTTGAGGCACTTGTACCCGCCTTGGACGACGAGGAAGCGCCAACGTCCGTAATAGGGGCAGCCACAGTCTCAGTACCGGAACAGCAGGCGTTTCCCCTGGGCGCCGGCGTCGCGCGTGCTGAATTTATCACTTCTGATCCGCAAGACATTGTTGAGAGCAAGCTTCCTGACGGAGTAGATGCTGCCACCAGTGGTCTGGTGCGAAAGAAGAAGATAAAATCGAAATCCTCCGGAAGCCTTTCCAGTGCACGATCCTCGCAGGACAGCGTCGCACCGCGCCCGAAAACGACACCATTGGCAGGTGCGCGCGCAGGCACACCTTCGTCCAGGAGTGTGCGTGACGGAACAGCGGTCACTTCTACATCCACTCGTCGCAGCCCGGCGCCTGCAAAGGGCTCATCCCCACGACCCTCAGGTGGTAGTACATCTAGCAATGCAATGGTCCGGAGCAGCGCTGCCTCTGCAAGCGCTGAGGCCCTGGCGAAAATCTCGGCTCGGCGACCACCCGTCGCTCGGGGATCTTCTGGATTTTCCGCCTCGTCGGCCATCAAAGGAGGACCCTCGTCGAGTGTTGCTCTTGGTGCGACGAGAAGTAAGGCTAGTCCAACTTTTTCACCGAAACCCAGCACCAGCAGCAGGATTTCGTCGTCCCCGAGTCCGCCGCCATCACCACCCCCGACGGGAACGCGAACGACGGGCCTAGCAGGAGGTGTTCCGTCCTCAGCTGGTAACAAGAAGTCGAGCAGCAAACTGTCGCAAGCCAGAAGATCAGCATCACCAATGCCAGGCGCTGCAGCGTCGTCATCCTCGAAAAAGAGCGCAAGGAAATCCCCACCAACGTCGTCGGCCCGATTACGAAGCCCGGGCAGAACTCGCGAGCATGGCGGTCAAGACGATGCAACAAATGGCGACGATAACTAGAATCTTTGGCACAAGATAACCGGCTCCAGTAATTGTGTCCTGTGTGATGATTGAGGAAGTACCTGTTACGGGAGCGGTTGCTATTGAAGTAGATGATGAAAGCTGCAAGATGTACATGGGCAGTCGGTGGAACAAGCAGAACGTGGTGCAGCAAGAACGGTAGCTTCTAGCGCTAAGCCGCGTGTGAAAGACCTGTCGCTTGGCCTTTGCTACAACTACAGAAGAAATTAGCGATTTTCGTTTCTGGAAACAGAAGCAAAAAACTGTGAAGAAATTGTTGCGAAACTTGAAACAAAAAAGCGCTCTCCTCCGTGTCGTGATGACGCCGCCAATATGCACATGCTGCCAGTACACGAAGAGCCACGAACCACAGTGAGAAACAAGCGCATAGTCATAGAAAGCCGCACGCTTCGCCTTCAAAGCCATAAGCTTCAGAAGAGACAGAAGGACCTCGATCTTCCTTCTTCTGGATTTCATTCGTCGACCGCCACTGCGAGGAAAGAAAAAATACATTTGTCATGTTGTGTGTCATACGTTGGAAAGGAAAGAAAGCACAGGAAAAAGATGCACATGCTAAAATCTGCTTCCGATGCACCAACATGTCTGGTTGACAACGACTTCTTACGCTAGCGTGAAAATCTGCTGCAGATCGCGCTGTGCGGAGAGTCTTTTCTAGTGTATGATGTACAGATACGAGACAAGAAGAGAGCAGCTACTTACATTTTCTCTGACATCAACCTGATTGACAGGTTTGAGATTGTGCTACTGTGTGTGTGTGTGTATTTCCTTTTTTTTTTTGATGCTGTTCTTCACTTTTCCGCTCCCGGCCTACGCTGTACAAATTTGGATCTTCATCTTTTTTTTTTGGATCGCTGCGGCTGTCGGCCCCTCGGTTCGTTTTTTTTGCTTTGCTGTGCTGGTCATGACCATGAGGCTATTACACGATCGGAGCTTGTTCTTCTTCTTTCAACAGGTGCAGTAAATTCATTCTTTGAATTTTTTGCTCTTTGGCGGGAAGGAAAGCGTTTTACTTTCCCTTTTCTTCTTCTCCTGAATTTCGGTGATCCGTGTTTTTTTTTTTGAACGAACGCGATCAAATTCATTTCGCTACTACTCCACATACGCATTTGTTTCGTTAATACCTCCTACAGCTACAGCAGCAGCGAAGTACGGGTACAGTCTGTTGCTGTTCACCCCCACAACAACTGGATTATAAAGCATAAAGGTACTAGAATCAAAATCAAGAGCAATAGGTACTAGAACTAGGACCACGACGTAGGAGCGTTGCATTAGGAGCATCAAGATTCAACAAGATGTCGTGGCGTTCGCGCCAAGAGTACACGGACCCTGGAGCCGGAGCTCGGCCGGCTACCGCTCGAAGCGCTCAGCAAGGTTCCTCCCGCGGTGGAAGAAGCCAGGACCGTGATGCTAACTACGACAAACAAGCGACCTCCTGGCACGCTGGTACGAAGTACAAGCAGAGTTCGGAAACATCCAAGCCTGTGGCGTATTCTTCCAACAAAAATGATGACTTCTACTCGACAATGCTGGGCACGGACGAAGGCCGCTCGAATCTTCCGGAGCACGAGTCTACCCAGGTAGTTCCTCATGACTATTCCGCCCTTCAACACGGCAAATATTCATCGTCCGACCAGTATCATGTTCATGCGAACGGGAACGGTGTCGAAAGTCATCATTCTCGCAGCGGGCACCATGAGCAGTATTCCTATTCCGAAGCGGCCGAAGAACAACACCGTCACTCGCAGCAGACGCATCCGCGTTCTGCTGCTGCCCCCACCTTGTTGCAATACGACGAGTACAACAAGGGAAGTCCAAAGTCGGGTCGGGAACGCATGATCCGCGACAACGATGCCTCTTTTCAAAACGAGGCCGAGCGTTTGCAGATGGAGGTAATGCATGATCGCATGCATTTACCGCGGATCCACTTGCCGATACTGCAGTCTCCCCGGGGCCGCAGCGCCGAACGAATGCGGAACATCCGCGAGCAGCATCGCGGCCCGCAACCACTTGGAGGACCTGCGTGCATGATATCGCCGCGTCTGGCCGGGGGAAACATCAATTCTTCGTCCGCTATTCGAAATTCTGCTCAGGAGCACACTCTGGGCGGCGATCGCCAGCACCAGCACCACGACTATCCGCCACGGCCACCTCTCGCGTACGGCAGTGCCCGTGGTCGAGATGTTGAGCAAAAACCGAGCACAGGTTTCTTCACTCCACGGCGTATCACCAGCAGCACAGTGTCTCCTGTGGCAGCCCCTTCCGAGCAGGGACTTGGTGGCCTCACGGGCACACAGCACCAGCACTTCTTTATTCCAACGGAGACACACCCTGGGGGGCCCGCGGCTACTTCAAACAAGCAATCTTCGTGGCGCCCGCTGGTGGGTGGGATGCTGTACGGAAACAACAGTATTGATCCAGTCCCGCACGGAGGCAGCCGGTCGTTCCGGCTTCAAAACGACCAGAATTATCAGCTGGATGGCGAACAGCAGCGGTTGTACCGGCGGGACCAGCACGCGGAACACGAACACCGGGGCTGCTACAGTGCTCTTGACACGAACTGGAGCACGATGATGCAGCACAGCACGATGAAGAATTCCTCTTGCGCGGGAATTTCCTCCATGACGCCTCGCTTGATGTTAACGACAACTCGCACAACTCTTCCGCGGCCGGTGCAAATCTACGTGAATCCCGGACTCATCTCATCTCGACACGACCTTTCGCCACACGAACTTGTGGAGCGGCTTTCGTTTGTCTCGAAAAGTTGCATTCTCGACGATACGGTTTGTTCCTCGCTGCTCCAGTTTCACGCGGACCCCCGGGACTGGCGCCTGGTGCCAGCCGCCGTGTGGCTTGAGCATCTGCGCTCGTGCACGCAGGAGCTGCTCTTGAACAGCAAGGTTGGAGGCGTTCACGACGACGTGGCGGGAAGTGCCATGATGATGTCGCAGTCCAAGATGTTCGACTTTGATGCCCAGCACTTCCACTTGCAGCACACGATGAAGAATCTTCACAGCAGCGATATGATGAAGATGCCAAAACTCAACATCAACGACCATCACGACAGCCAGGCAGACGTCGACTCTCGCGACAGTTTTCATTCACTGCAGCCCCTGTCCCGTTTACAGGCGGTCTTAGTGGCCCTTGCAACCGGAACCTTGCAAGCCTTTCAACACGGATGCTACCACCCTGAGCAGGGCGGGAACAAACAGCAGATGACCAAGATCCATTCGCACTTGCAAAACCCTTCGGTGACGCTCTACGATCCCAGCAGATTGGACGCCACGTTCATGCGCAAGCTGGGTGGTCGTGCAGAGAATGCAGCAAACAGAAACAAAAACCTTCAGAACTTCATCCACGGAAACACTCTGCAACCGCAAGTCCGCGCTACCGACGTGGCTCTGGATTTCAACGGGCCGTTTGATATGGCAAACGTCGACATGTACGACTTCGGTAAGGCTACGAGGTTTGTCAAGGGTAGCGGCTTCTACCGCTCGTTTGATGCCTGCGACGACCAAGAGGGTACTAGACGCGGAGGTCTACACGGCGAAGATTTAGCTCGTCGTGCAAAACACGACCAACAACCTTATTGTTCAAGTACTGGCGCTACAAGGCGGTTTTCTCTAAACAACAAGTTCGCCGCGGGCCGGGACAGGGACTTGCTATCCGCCTCGCATGAAATGCAACTGCAGATGGTCGGATCGGCGGTCGAACAAGAAGTTGACCAAATGATCCGCGACCACCGCGACCACATCGCCGAGTATGCGCAAAATCTCATTCAGCGCCAGGTGGGCCAAATCGTGCGGGACCAGGCCGCGCAACTTCAGATGGGCAACGTGAACAAGCCGCTGATGTTCCAGAACAACAGCAACACGGACGGGTTTGGAGGTCATCAACTTCACGATCAAGGCGCAATGCTTCTGGGTGGTGGAAGCAGTATTTTTCAGCCCACCCCACCTTCGCGCCCCATGTCCTCGTCCGCGCCGAAAGGGACCGACATGTCGGGCGGTCGCTCCCTGCGTTTCGGTGCGCGCCGCTTGTCTCTGCCCATGCAAGACCAGCAGCAGGTACAGACCACGATGCACCACCATTATGAGCAGGAGCAGCAGTTGCAGCGCTTTCTCAACGCCGACAAGACCGGAGGACGCGAAGATCCGTGGAACTCCGAACTCGCAAAAAATGACACAGGGTCTGTTGCGGATTATTTGAGCCGCACACTTGACGACGACGAAATTTCGATTCCGCCTTATGGATGTGTCAGAGTTGAAATCGTCAAAGTTGAAATAATTTGTCATGCATAAAATGGATGCCAGTTGGAACCCAGTTTCCAAGTGGCGCATGACAAATTTCGGTGGTCCCTAAATCCAGTTTGTCATGCTGTTTAGGCAAAGAAGAGTGGTTTTCTCATGCTACTTTAGCAGCTCGAGCTGTAGCCCCAAACAGGCTTACAATTGGCCTCACTTGCCTGCTCTGCAACGCACGCACCTCGGGCCATGCATTTTATGCATTACAAATTATTACAGATGATGGTGATGGCTTCGGTCCGCCTGACTCCGCGACCTGGTGGCCGAACCACGTGCGGTTCGGTGCCCTTACAGGTTGTGTAGTGGTTTCGGTCGGTTTAGCATTACAAATTATTTCAACTTTGACGATTTCAAACCTGACGCTTCCATACGCCTTCCTCCGATCCCTTTTTCGAAGACTTACTGGTGAAAACTAACACGGCACTGCTTTCCCGCAATCGGCGGAGTATTAGCGTGGATACGCGCGATTTAGTGCACGAGCTTTCTGGACGGAATTACAACAGTGGCGCGGACATCAACCTGATGCGGAGTTTCGGAGCCGCCAACAGTATGCCGCGCCGCTCGTCGTCTCGGTCGCGCTCAGGGTCGCCGCGGACCGCATTGGACCGGGAACCCAACACGCTGTCATCTTCGTTCGGTAACAAAAACAACACCAGGAGTGCGTCAGCACGGCGGTCTGCCAGTGGGACCGCCAGGGCGGTTGCGTTTGCCTCTTCCTTCCCGGGTGCAGCCGTCCAGCACCACCAAAACCCTGTTTCTGGCGACTTTCTACGGAACCCCTTCGTTTCGTCGCAGATGAGCACCGCTATGGGACGGGAAGGTCTTGTTCCGCAGCATGGCAATCTTCACAATGGCAACACGATCATGATGAATATGAGAAGCAACAAGACCTGCTGCTCTACAGCCACACAAACGAACAATTGCGCCGAGTTTTCCACTCCGTTGTTCCAACAGACTCTGACGCCAGGGATGCAGAATGCGAACAAGAGGCTGTACAACCCGTTTCTGCCGCAGCCGCAGGAGCAAGAACAATCGCAGACGAACTGCAACCAGAACTACTGGGACCAGAGTCCCGCGTTTTCGCAGAAGTGGTATCAAGATCGCAACAACATGACGTTGGACATGTCACGGTACTATGAATTATACCCGCAGATCATGATGAACAGCCTGGTGGATAAAAACGCGAGCCACTGGAACCCCTTCACCCACGGAAAAACCTTGGGTTTTAAGAGCACTGATGTGCAGGAATTGTTGCACTCGCCTCGCGCGCAGAACTACCATTCGTACTGTCGCAGTCAAGCTCCGCCGGCATTGAAACTGGCACTGAAGAACAGTTGCGACGTTTTGATGGAGCAGCATTTCGCCGCGGAAGACAACGAGATGATGACGACGCACGACCTTAGAGCTCCTACAACCAATTTCAATCGGATCAACCAGAACAAGCAGCATTCTTCCCCTTCGATTGTTGGTACTCGGCCCAAACGATCGGTGATTGTTCGAATTGTTCCCGATATGCACGAGTTCGAAAAGCTGCTAGTACCAGCTGCCGCGGACTTTCACCATGCCGAGCATGAGATGGAGAACGAACTGCGTGTGACATGCAAATCTGATGGTTTCCGGCTGAACACAACGAGCGGCGCGGGAAACGGAAGAAATTACAGCAGCAACTACAAGATGAACAACCTTTCATCCTCCAGGAATGTGGAGCGACGAGAAGTCGAAGTGTTTCATCCGTCAGATGCCAGCTATCTGCAGCAAGAGAGTCGGAATTTTGCGACAGGTTCCTTGTTCGCGAACCCATACGAATTTCTCTCGGCGGTTGCGATGCACATGGCGATGTTGAACCACGAGCCCCGAGTACAACTACCTGATGGTCCTCTCTCTTCAGGCTGTTCGCTGGGTGAATTTGAACGGTCGACAGCGATGAGAGACTGGCGAAACTTCAACAACTCTTTGAAGAACAAGACTTCCCAACTCTTGTCACCAAACACCGATAGTCTGCTCTTGCGCACATCGTTTTCTTTGGCGAAAGAGCAGCTGCTGCAGGGAAAATTCCATTACCACGAGGATCACGTCGACGTTGTCGAAAGAGCCAGAGCCACACCGTTTGTGCACATGAAGGATTTGGCCTTGATCCGTGCTCCCCTGATGTATGGCGCGCCGTTTTTGCCAACACCGATTCCGTTTGATCTTCTGAACTGCTGTTTTTCTCTTGATACTAGCATGCGTCATCAGGATCAACATCATCGTCCGCAGGAGCAAGAAGTCTTTGAAAACCCACACGACGGCACTCTGCGGTTCTGCGACGAGGCGAAAAAACAGGAGTTCAAGGCACTGGTCGCAAAAATTTTGGCCGTGTGTGTCGGTCAACATGACGCCGACCGCATCATTTTTGAACGAGTTCCAGGGATGGGTGCTAGTAGTAGTACGTGGCCGATCGACGACATGATTGAGATTCTTGCGGGTTTTAATCTGGACCGCCATGTGGAGCTAACCCTGACTAGCGAATGCTGGAACCAGTGCGAGGCGGGAAAAATGATGAACACCTGGGCGTTGATGTCGTTCGGAGGTCAGTGCAGTGGAGGTGCTGAGCTGATGAAGAAGCACCATATTAATAACGCCAACGATTCCGGAAGGGGAAAGCGCTTCTCGACGATATGGTAGGAAAAAAGAGGACAGCATAGCCGACGTGTAGGCGGTCTGGTATTTAGTACCGAAGCGTGTAAAAGTATCACTCTCATCGTTCTTACAGATATTTGTACGCAGTTTTTTTCTACGCATCGCCATGTATCTCGATCTCCGAAAACACAAAGAAAGGCATGTGATCAAAGTCAAAGCCCGGCGGCACCATCAACAGTGCAACTTGGTGCTGTTGGTCACGTCTGCATGATAAGTAAGTAGATTGTGATTGATTTTGATATAGAAGTCATAGACCAGTATACGAGGAAAAGGATCAAAGCTCGTATATGGCAGATAATCTTTTCAAATTTTCGGTTTCTGAAAGCAGTAGTACATGCCTGTTTCAGTGAATAACTAACGTAAACGATGAAGTATGAAATATCCTCATCATATCCTCATTCAAATGGACCGCAAAACCAAAAAGAAAAACAAAAATAGACGTAAACGTAAAATGATGTGGCTGCATTTTTTGGAACTCGCCTATCCGCCAGCACAGAATCATGAGTCGTATTTTTTTCTTGCCATTTCAATCGACGAAGAAATCGTAACTGTTGTTTCATTGTTTCTTGTTTCCACAGGTACCACAGGAGACGTTTCTAATTCTCTCAGTGTCCTCAGCATGAGCATGATGAACAATGACCACATATTTATAAGAATGAATATCACCACCTCCATACCCATAGCATAATTGTAGGGAAGTTTATTGGTTTAGCATAGTCATAGCATATCCTTGTCCATCCGTATGTGGAAAATGTTGTCAAAGACCAAGACTAAACATAAGTAATACAAAAGTCGCGATCGGATAGGACAACTGAACATGAAAAACAGAAGGTCACCATGACCGGCACGCATTTGAATTGTTCCGCGCGAGGATTGATTCATGTCATCAGTTTGTGGTGTCGCCCTTATTTTTTTTGTCGATATTTGCAGCGCCGGACGACGCTTTAGTCAGATTCTGTCAGAAGTTTCTCAAATTAAGGAACCATCCGATCCGGTTGAAGACGAAGCTACAAGCGAAAAAATGATCAAGATCAGAATGAAACTCACGTCAAACAATAACAAGGTAGATCAAATGGAGGTCCACCAATGTTGTAAATGTTTTGTCAAACGAAGAGGTCCATCTGCTTGTACTTAGTAATGTGTATCTTGCTGCAGAAGCAGAGGGCGGAGTATCACACCCACAAAAATATTAAGGTCAAGATCATAATGAATTTGAATTTTTATTGATGGGAAGCATATCTGCTAGAAAAATAAAAAGCAGAGCGATGCAGTTTCGCTACTGGCACCATGATACGCATTTCTTGACCAACCATCATCTATCTCTCTCTGTCAGACAGAAGTCAGAAATATGATCAAGGTGTTGGAGATGAAATTTTCGAGGCTGTTGTAAAAAGAAAAACTGAATCTCTTAGAAGGCTGAACAATTTTTATTCGTCGATCGCTTTAACTTGAATCCCCAGTGAGAAATCACTTTTCTTCAAGGAACCGCTTATCCATACGTAATTACGCTTTTGACTTTGGTATAGTAGTGCCTTCTTGCAGTTGCAGTTATTGCCTCCACCGACACCAGATATCATGCCGGAAGTCTGTTGGGGCCCCAAAGGCGGCAGCAAGTGCACCACGGACACATCTACCCGCCCAGGTCCGAGTACGTCGAGCCCGAATCTACTACCTTCTCCTAAAACGACCGCGACTCCGGCGCTGGCAGCGGCCAGCAATGAAGAGCCGAAGACATCAACAACGTTGTCTTGGGCAGCAAAAGCTGCAGGCGCGAAGCCGAACAACAACAAGCCTTTGCCTTCGGGGGAGGTAATGATGGCGTCGAACAACCCGAAAAATCCCCCGAGCCAGCCAAGCAACAAGATCGCGTCGTATGCACAAAAGCTCCTCGCAGGAGGACCAGGAGGCCCACCACGTCGGCCGCCACAAGCGATCGGAATCAACGACGCGCGGTCGCTGCCGGAGGGAAAGGAAAACGCCGCAGTGCCGCCACCACCACCACTTGCAGTTGCAAAAGCTGGCGCAGCCGGTCATCCGCCCCGTGGTCCACCAACCCCGATTGCGCCGCTGGTAAAAAATGGGAACAAACCTCTTCTGCAAGATGAACCAAAAGCCCCGAAGAGAGTAGCCCCGGTATTGCCACCCGGTGCTAATAAAGCTCTGAAAGGGGCGCGAGCTGCAAACCGAGCAGCTCGCGCTGCTAGTGCAGAAACGGATCCAGCCACCGCATCCGCATCGGGGGGCAAAGGACCATCGGGACCTTTCTGGAAGATACCCTCCACTGTTACAACTACAAATTCTGATCCTCAACAAGGTGGTGGACACCCCGCGAATGGTATCACCACGACCTCCAGCTGCAAGACAAACAGTGGCAAGGGAAAGAACGCCGGAACAAACCGATCTACTTCGCCCTCACGCTCGCAACAAGGATTTTTGTGTTCAGAAAATTCGACGAAGAGCACAAGTTCCGATTCTCGGTCCTCCGGAGCACCACAACTGACAAGCTCTGCGTCACGGCCCGCAAGTTCGACGAAGCCGCCGGGGGCGCGAGGACCACCGTCCTCGCATCGCTCCACCTCAACCTGCGCTAGCCCCCGACGAGGACGAACCGAGTCACGCACGAACAATTTGGCGCCGAATTATCAGGAGCATCTGCTAGAGACGCCATGGACCTTCTCCTACGCAAAGAAACCGAATCGCGCACACGCCTTCCGCCCGCCGGTTGCAGGAGGAGGTCGTGGGAACCAAGAAAATGGATCCGTCTCCGCGTCGTCGAGAGCAGCTGCAGCAGGAGCAGCTCCAGCAGAGGATCAATCGGTTGACGGCGATGAAAAGAAGGCCGACAGCGCAGGAACAGAGCCAGTAGAGATAATATCCTCCACCTCAAGTAGTTCCTCTGCAGCGGTGGAGCTACCGGAAGAAAATGTGGCTGGAAGTAGAGGCGCAGGAGACAAGAAAGACCATATTGATGTTGATCATGGTGATTACAGCGCCCCCTCCAAAGACGACGGTAGCGAGAAGGACGAGGCCTCATGTACACTTTCAGAAGCGGAACCAACGAGCATCGGAGGGGCAGAGGCAAAGGCAACAGCTGACGTGGCAGGAAACAAACAGGAAGTTTGTTCTGTGACAAGTCAAGAAAGTCAGCCGCAGCCCGAGGACGATACGCGCGACCTGGTTGTTGACGACCTATTTGAAGGCCACGAAGACATTGATACTGACAGTGACGCCTGTGTTCGTGACCTTGACCGCCTGCCTATCTTCGCCGCTACACCGTCTACAGTAGCCGCCGATGAATCGCCACTGCAAGTAGATGGCTGTAGAAGTTCCGGCAAAGCATATGACGAACAACTGCCTTCATCTGCACCTCCAATGGTGGATGTTGGAGGGGGGCAAAACGGGAAGATGAACGAGTGCGAAACTGCCACTGCCAGTACGTCTGCGAGTTCGTTTGCGCGGGTAGGTGAGGTGACGCTCGGTTGCCCATCGACGCCAGCCCGGAGCGGCGCGACAGGTGCAACAGACGAAACTCAGGTAGCGGAGGTACAAGTAGACAAGGCGCAGCCAAAAGCATCAAAACCGGTCAGTGACGAGCTTGTTGAAGAGGAAGTTGCTTCCCTGCACCAGCTTCCCGACCCGCGACTCAGCGCAGGAGCGCCGGAATTTCACCCTACGGGCACGCCGGAGCCCAGTGTAGTTGCAGTAGTGCCAGCTTCGCGGACTTCTGACAGGAGCTGCAGCAGCAGTTCCACAAGCACCTCCTCCTCGTGTTCGAAGCAGGGCTTGAATGCCAATGCGCCCGAGTACGTGGCAGCGGGAGGTAAATTCCTTGACTACAGTGTGTTTAACACTTTTGCAAGCAGTCCGTCACCGTCTGCCAAGCCTGTACCACCGTGCGGTAGCAATCCTGGCTTGGATGCCGCAAGTAGTCCACTGGTTGGGGGGCAGAACCAGAAGAGCGATTTACCGTTGCCTCAAGCGCTCGAAGATGGCGCAAGGACGAGCAGCACCGTAGTTACGTTGAATGCGCATGCTCCGGTGTTTACGCCAAACACATCGCTGTCTGCGAACGCACCAGTGTTTACGCCAGGTGCTGCCACGACGGAAATCTCCCTGGCAGAATTGCTGGTAGGCGAAAGCGCAACCAATGTATCAGGAACTAACCCCAGTGACAGTGGCACCATGATGGCGGTAGGTACCGCCTCTGCAGGCGCAGCGGAACGAGAAGGAAATCCACAGACACACAAAGAAAAAGATGCTCGTCATGATGAGCAACATTCATCTAAGACTGATGGAGCAGATCACGCAGACGCAAGAGTGACCAATGCGCAGCCAGCAAGAGAGACAGAGGTTCCGGGATCAAATGCCGAAGCTGCTTCGGGAACAACATCAGGCAATAACCTGTGCAGCAACGCCCGCGAAACTGCTTACCACAATCGAACCACGGAGCTCGGTACTTTTGAAACGGTGGAGGAATTCTTTCGGTACTACTGTTTCCTGCACCGACCAAGTGAGTTGAAGAAGGACCGGAGTCTCTCCTGCTTTCGACAAGGCCACCGTCCCGCGTGGGAGGACTACCCACAGGGAGGCTGCTGGATCGTCCGCGTCAACCGGGTCCCTGGGGAAACGCAGGTATGAAAAATTTAGCGTGCTGTAACGATTGCAGAGCTAGTACTTCTGCTACATCATGTCTGATTTTTGGATTTCCTCTCCGTAGAAGTGATTGCCCTCTTATCATTTCCGCGCATCTATTTTCTTTTTCCTTTTCTTGTCTACATGGCGTACGTAGCGTAATCCGGTACATCTTGTGCTTCCCTATAATTCAAACGAACTCGAAGAAAAATGAAAAAAATCTCACAGAAGTTGAACCGTATGTGGGAGGCGCTTTTGTTCGCTCTTGTCGGGGAAGAGTTTGCCACCCCGGAGGTGGTTGGCTGCATGGTTTCCACGCGAAAGGTGGACTTGTTGCAGCTGTGGGTGCGCCACTCCGCGGCGAAGATGACCATCGGGGAGACGCTGAAACAGGTTCTGGACCTCGACGAACACGCCTTGATCGAATACAAGGACCACGCAGACAGCATCCAGGACAAGAGTACCTTCACAAACGCAAAAAACTACATGTTCGTCGCGGACGACCCAGTGTACCAATAAGATTTTGATAAAATAAACAACGATTAGCTCTGTAAAGAGAAAAACGCTACGACAACGACTCTGCTCACAGACACACCAGTCCGTGAGTTGTACAACGCTTAATTTTGCTGCAGAGTGAGAATTTATTGGTTACGCTTGCAGCATTATCTACATTTCTTCTGAAGACGAAAACCAACGACAATTTGGGCACCAGCGAGAGCGACGCGTTGCAATAATCAACGAAAACGAATCTATGATATTTCTAAATGCCTCCTCCTAGACAGTCAGAGTCAAGATTCGCAGCTACGTTATCATGAATTTATTTATCATTCAAGAAAAAATTAACGCTGGAGGAGATAATGGAAAGCCAAAGAGCGGTGGTGTACGTTCTGGCTTTGTCTTTGTCCTTTAACCACGGGAAAATCGGATGAAAATCCAATATGGAAAATTGATAAAGTTCATGATCCATCGTGGCGATGGCGAAGTAGAATGAAAGTGAAACCAAAAAAGTCGGACAGTAGTGGTCTGGTCATTCCAGAGCAACGCCACATCCACACTGCGCAGATTTGGTCATGTTTTTGTGTTCCTTGTTTTGTAGTTGTGGTAAAAATGTTGCCTTGTTTTGTTACTGTTTTGATCTGTTGGGAGTTGAAGATCAAGATCCTCTTCCTGTTGATCTCGATGGTTCCGTCTGAATCAAACGAAAAACTGATCTTCGTAGCGAAATCTGTTCGGAGCCGTCTTTTCTAGTTGCATCAAATTTCGTGCTTTGCTTCTGGTCTGTCGGTTGTAGTTTTTGGTCCAGTTGAGTAGCAAAGTGAATGAGTTTGATGATTTACAAGTACAATCCAGTCGATTTCCCTAGCACAAATTGATCATGTCCATTCGTTTGTCGGGCACTGCCTCCGACGCGGGGGAGTTTCAAAATCTTTCCTCTTTCATGGAAGACACGGCCTCTTCCCACCAGAGCGCCGGTTCGGAATCCGCGGCTTCTTTGGCAGGCCATCAACGTGCAGGGACGTCAACACTCAGGCCGTCAAATCTGCTGCTCACGACGAACGTGCACGTCAAGGACGAGGTCAAGTTGCTGGAGGTATCCAGGAAAAAACACCCATCCCCATCCAATTTGTCATGCAAAACAGGCATAAAATCCGCTATTTGTCATGCAAAAAATGGATGGCGATGGGTGTTTTTTCCAGGATAGGAGGATCAGATGTCGAAATTGAATCACGACGTGTCAAGGCACACCAGCCAGCAGCTGAATCGGTCTGAGTTTGAATTTCCGAACGGACGAACGGAAGAGTTTCAGCGACGCGCGCTTGCGTGCATCAGCGATGACGACGAAGAGGACGAGATCACGCACGCTTTGCGGCCAATCCATGAATTGCATCTGCAGCTGGAGGACGAAGAGGACGAAGATTCTGTCACAGCAGTAAACAAGAATGTTAAAAAACCTAAACCAGCAGGCGAATCCGGAGGAAATAAAGGAGAACGTCGTGGGGTCGTTGAGCAAGCATTTTTCGTGACGCAGCACCAGAAAGACGGGTATAACCTGTTGGACAATGCTTCCGACGCGGACGAACTCTGTGACGAACTGGATTTTGACCTCCGGAGCAAACGACTTCTGGACTTTCAGTCGCAAGAGGGCCATGTGGATGACGACGACGACGAGGATTTTCCTTTGCGGGATATTACCTCTGCAGGAACTACAGGAAATCGTGCCGGACTGCTCCATTTTGATTTAGAAAAAAACGGCGGAAACGAGAATGCGCCGATGTCAGGAGGTCTACTGTCCGGCGATGGTTCTTCGCACAACGGAAACAATAACGTCTGGCATGTGAACGTCGATTCTCCGGGCTACGATTTGAAGAATTCCGTGGCGGTACCGTTGCGGCGCATTTCCGAGGAAATGAAATCCCGAGTGAAGGAGTGGAAGTGTCCTGTCTGGCTCTCGGAGATTTGTCACCACCTCCGGAAGCACTGGCGGGAACTCGCTTGCTTAGTGGTCGCACAGGTGGCCTTCTTCCTTCTGGTGCATTTAGCATTTCGTGCCTGGAACGGTGGTTCCATTGCAGGAGATAGTGGTTCGCCTGGGGTCGACGGCGATCGCCAGGGCGGTTCCGGCGGACTGAACAAGCGCACGCTCGCTAGAAAGTGGACGCCGGTGGTCGGGCTGTATGAGATGGAGGCGTTACGCAGGAAGCTGCTCCTTGACGAGCAGGCCGGGCAGACGCCGGGCGACCTGGAGACGGCGAGTCGCGCGACCCTGCTGGAATTCTATGCGGCGTTTCGCAATTTTGTAGACGGGAACAAGGACGTGCGCGACACCTTGACTTCCGTGGGACACGAAGAGGACCACGGGGCCAGCTTTTTCCTGGATTCGCTGGCCAGCGGGAACCGCGTCACCAGCGGGCACAAGCACGCTAACGCGCGGTTCACGTGCTATCTGGACTACCAGTGGAGTAAGCCGCTCTTCGAGTTACAGACCTGTCTGCGGTGCGCCAGCAGTGAAGAGAGCCTGCTGCTAGAAGCGACCTTGACGCGGGACCCAAAGCTGGGGATCGCGATGGAATGGGCAACCACAGCGTCGACGACCAGCACGGCAGACGCCACCGCGGTGGCCAACGCCGGTAATCATGGTGCCCCGGCAACAAAAATGGCGGACATGGCCACTGCTCCGCACGTCTGGACAGACAAGCAGCGCAAAAGTCTTCCCTTCTGCCTTAGCCCGGCAACGGTGCCGGTGTGATTCTACTTCTCAAGAACAGGAATGCATGAGTAGTACTATCTATTCGCTACTGTATATTTATTAGTTGTGGAATGCTACGAGGTCGTGGATGAGGAAAATATATAAGTCAAAGTAGAATTACATAGCCACAACCAAATCTAATGACCACAGCACGACCTTCCACCAGGAAAACAACCTAGATTCCCCCGATTTATATTAGTTGAACGTGCCCCCTGACTCGAGCTCGAGCGAACTGAAAAATAACGATTTGAATGGTTTGACCGAAGTCCTTTTATGCAGCGCCACGTGAGCATCTGACGAGCGTTATTCACCGTTTCTTGCAGCTGTTCCTATGCGGTCACCTGTACTTGTGTCATGGTTCGCTGCGATGGGCAGGCGTGAGCTCGCCGTCGTGCTGTCGACGACACCGTGGAGAGAAACTGAGAGAAGAGAATGAACACAACGAACAAGGTTCATCAGGTCGTTCATCGTTTGCAGGCGTGAGAGCGTCGGAATACGGCCGACTTGTTGTAGCTAGACTCCTACTGCATACTGCTTTCAAAATACGAGGATCTCAAGAACTACAACTACGTCCTAGTCAGTAAGTATTGCGGCCAAGTGCAGCTAGCAGCAGACTCGTCACCATGCAAATGCATCCGTTCCTAAGCGAGCGTAGCTCCCCACGGCAAATGCGACGATGCCCCAGTGCGGGCGCGCGGTTGTTTGGGGAGAGTCTCACCGGAAGTACGAGCTCCAACCCTTTTCTTGCACAACCGTCGAAAGGCAAGCAAAGCACGCGGAACCGCAGCATCGCGGCGTCAGGAGAGTTCTTGCAAGACTACACGAGCCGACGTGAGAACGCAGCACGACCTGGTGGAGATTCTCATCGCGATCAAGACGAGAACGTTGTTTCTGAGCAGCACAGTTGTTGGGAATTGCCAACGCCGCAGGAATCTCCGCCGCCACGAACTACTACTACACACGCTGCGTACGTAGGGGTGACTCCCGCGCACGACTTTGACAACATCACGCGGGCTGAAAACTTGGAATCTCCCTACAACGAGTCTCCGCTGTATAGCGAATCGCCCCGGTCGGCTTCGACACAGAAACGATTGCTGCGGCGACAACAGGCGCATCAGAGCAGGAGAAATCATATGGCATCAGGAGGTGGGTCTTTCGGCTGCGACGAGGAGCACTTTCCACTTGAGCCACCATCTGCAAGCTCTATATTCAACAAAAAAATGTTAACATTAACATTTTCACTTGCGCAAAAAAGATGGCAACTTTTGACCAAATTTGCCGGTCAATGTTAACATTTGCCCAAAATCCTGCATTTCTGCACGGGAGTCTGGACTTTGGCCGAAATGTTAACAATTGCCTGAAAATCTGCATTTTCGCACGGGAATCTGCGATTTTGCTCGAGCGCCAATTTTTGGCCAAAAATAAGGAATTCGGCCAAGTCGCAGAATCTCGAGCGAAAATGCAGATTTTCGGGCAAATGTTAACATTTCCCCACGATTCCAGATTCCCGTGCGGAAATGCAGAATTTTGGGTACATGTTAACATTTGCAAAAAAAAGTCGGCTATTTTGACTCAAAAGCTGACTAGTGAGAATGTTAATGTTAACATTTTTTTTTTGGATACTCTAAGAAGCACTATCAGCAACTGCTGGACTTGATGTCGGGTAAGGAGAATAAAAGCAAAGGTCGTGGAGGTGGACAAGGACATCATGATCGAGAAGAACCGAACGGCGGACAAGACGCCACGATATTGGATGAGCACCAGCGAGTTTTGAACTGCAGTCCACAGACAGATTTTCCTTGGTCAGCCGACCGAGACGCACGAGACCGAGATCAACAACAGCAGCAACGGATTTTTGGATTTTCTCGCTCTACCGGTGGAGCTGCATGTGACTCTTCTTCCTCTCGCCGAAGCCAGGAACAACAACTGCAGGATAGGAAAACAAGCACTTGCCATTCGAACCAGAACAGCGCGGGGCGAGGACAGCTGGATACGCAAACGTCGGATGGTTTGCTGGAACTGAGTCGCAGCGAAGTCGTGGACGAGTTCGCACAGGATGATAACGATGAGGAAGATGAACGTCTTCAGCCGCTCTCGCTGTTGAATCAGCCTGAATTTCAGCAAGCGGAATCCGAGTTTCAGTCTGCAAAAGCCTCTAGCTCAGTTCGCGATGTTGAACAGGAGAGACGAGACGCTGACATCGTCCAACGTGAGGTCGCAGCCCACAAGAAGCAGATGCAGGAGCGGCTCCTGTTGCAAGCAGAGCGACTGCGGCTGGGGTTGAGCGCGGGAGGGCTACAGCCCCGTCGTGGAGTTGTGGGGTCTTGTGGAGCGGATGCAGGTGCGGGCCCGCAGCCTGATAGTGCCGAAGAGTTGACTCTTCCCGGCGGCGCGTCATCTGCCAGCCTAATCGACCGCGCGTTTCTGCAGGAGTCCGGCGACGCAGGTTGTTCCCAACACCGAAGCCCACCGTTTGAGAACCGAGTGGATAATGGACGTGGGATATGTTCAGGAGAGTCGCAGCAACAAGCTGATCTGACTTCTCTTCAGCGCCCACCAATTCATCGCACGTCATCCTCCTCGACAAGGGGAGATGCCGCAGGTCCAGGTGCCAGTTCCACTACAACGACGCCGGAATTAGAGAAGTCCAAGTCGACCTCGTCAGGACAACAGTTTCAACAAGACCACGCACAAAAAATCAAAGACCAAAAAGAGAGCCACAACTACAAAAGCAGTGGCGTGTGCCGTGGTCTGTTCATGAATGAGCAGGTGCAGAAGGAGGCGGAGAATCAAGATCGCATCGTCAACAGAGCACATGGTTCGCTTTCCAGCGGGTCTTCCGATTCCACGGTCATTTCCATGATCGCAAACGAGGCTCCCGAGCAGGGCGGTGCGACCTTCCAACCGCATCAAATGGTCCCGCAACTTGACAAGACCAGCCTCAGTGTAATTCGCTTGGGTGAGGAAGTGGCGCGCTCGGCACGGAAACACCGACAACTCGAGGAGCGCAGGTCGAAGTCCCACGGCAGCACTGTTTCCGTGGTCCCGCCCGGTACCGCCTTTCTGAACCAACGCAAGGACCGGACCTCACTGTCTTCTTCGGGGAGCGGAGGTGGCCACCGGTTGACGCCGGTATTAGTCCAGCCCAGTAGCTGCCCCTCGGTAAAGCAAGAGTCCCCGCAGTCGACGCTACTAGACAAACAGCAGCGCCAGCCGAAGTACAGTCCTACACTGGTGCGGAGGCCGAACTTGGGGCATCAGACCCTGTGTCCGCTTCAGGTTCAGATGGTTTCGATGATTGTCACTGTCGTCGTTTGCCGTTTGTTTCTTGTTTAGCGGTGGTGCTCATCGATGTCTGCTTCGAGTTGTAGCTGTGCAAGCATATCAAGTACATAGAGACGTTGGAGCACGAAGCTAGACGAAGTGCCACCTCCTTGGTGATTGTGTCAAGTCCTGGCTCAGAGTCGAGCAGCAGCAGCAAGTAGAAACTTACTTGGTGCTCGTTTTTCGACTGGTGAGTAGTACGACTCTCCTTTGAATATTAACACTTCTAAAAATCACAGGATGATCTCTCCCGACGCGCGTTATCCAATTCTCCTGCGGAAACCAACGAGTCTCCAACCCCCGGAACGTGTTCGGAGGGCGGGGCAGGCCCCAGGCTGGAGGACCACGACCACGATTATGGTGCGGCGCCAGCTGTTGGCTCCGATAGTGAGACGCCTGCTGGTGCCACTTCATCTCCAAGTGCGAGTCCAATCAGGGACCCCGCCGCGGAGCTGCTGCAGAGTGCGCGCAACATTCTCCTCTTGCGAAACAAGAAGACTGCAACGAGCTTCTCATCGCTGGATCCGGATTCAAAGAAACAGGTGGAGGTAGAGCTTCTGCAGGGCAGTTGCAGTGCCGCGCAAGAACCTGCTGCAAAAACTTTGAAACACGAGGATCTTTTGGCCACGCAACTTGTTCAAACCGACCACAGGAGCTCGTGTCGCCGGGCCAAGGAAATTTTTGATGTTGCCGCGGAAATAAAACCACGAGGGGTCGTCGTTGTGCACGAGTGGACACTTGACGAGGTCCTGCAGTGGGCTGCGCGCGTCGGTTTGGCGGACCGCATTGTCGAGGTGCTCCGCGAGGAGGAGATCAACGGCAGCGTTCTCACGTCCCTGCGGGAAGACGACCTGCAAAAACTGGGACTGACGAAATTTGGACACCGACGGTCCCTGATGTTGGAGCTGCGGAAAATTATCCCAGAGAGTAGTGCAGCTGAAGCTGCTGCTCCTGTAGTTGAGGATCGAGGACCCGCACCCGCCGAGTCGAAGAGAACCGGGTGGACCTCGTCTAGTGCATCCACCTCTATTGAACAGTATTCGTCGCGCCAGATTGCTGCACCCTCCTTCGACCAGCCTGAGCGAAACGCGTTACTTGAGCAATACCACCGAATCGTTGGCAACACTACAAGCGGCGCCGGTGCACCAGCAGGTGCCAGCATCTACGATAGCATCGGTTCCAACTTTTTACGTGACACTCACCCCTGGTGGTCTTTACGGGCATCAAGTGCGACAGCGGAAAGCTTACCTGTTTCACATCACCACGCATATCAACTGCCTGAGAACCAGAACTACACTGAAGATTTTCGCAAGCGGAGCTCTCTCGGCGGATCTTCTGCAGGGCTGTCTTCGGCGCATCTTCAAGACCAGCCCGGCGGAGGTGTATCGTCTACTTCGAAAACGAGCGGGTCTTTCGCACTGAAATCGCTCTCCAGCGGCAGAAGCAGCTCTTCGCCTAGAAATTCGCATTCGCGGTCCCAGCCGCACATTTTGACTTCCTCCATTACCATTGCAGGGCGTTCGCGAGTTCCCGACCACAATTTCCGTCGCACTGCTGATGAGCACGACCATGTTCTTCTTCAAAGCACCAACAGCCTGATGAACATGAATCTTGCCCCTTTGGTTAACAAGCAACACGAACGCGACCACCTGCGCGAGCTGCAGCAGATACAAGACAACTCTCCGCGACAGCAAGCAGCAGGTGGTGTGGAGCCGAATAGCTATCGCATTCCGTATCACGAGGTCACGAGGAGCGTCGAGTTGGGACGGGCCGTAAGCCGAGCTGTTTTGCATCCAATCAATCACGATGCGCGAACAAACCACCGCTACGGTGCCTCGTATGGTGACATGAACATCGATGCTGGTGGTCCTGCTTGGGGAGGTCATCATCAAGATGGAGGAAGTTATGGCTACGGTCCGTACAACCACCACAGGGGTTTTGATGAGGAAAATGATTTCAGCAGAAGCGAGCTTGCAGCTAGCAGATTCGCGAATGAGGACATCGACCTGGTCCATGGACGAGTGGTCGACAGCTGTCCTGGCCATGGTCACCAGCAGAACAAGAATATACACCAGCACGACCGAGAAGTCGGCTTTCATCCAGGAAGAAATCGCTCCCTCCATAGCTCACGCAGTGGGTCGTACATAAATCTGAACCACAGCACCACAACATCCTCCAACAAATCTCGATCCGATTCGGACCAGCAAGAGCAGGTGAACTACCGTGCTTGGTGCCCCGGCGGGAAGCCGGTTCCGGGGTACATGCAGCACACTGACCTGCTAGACGCTGCGATTGGGGGATAAACTAAGATAAATCATTTGCCTTTCGGGGTGAACATCAAAGTACAGCAAGAATAAACACTTCGTCCTCCCGCCGCTTGTCCACCTGCATCAGCGCACTCGAAATCAAAGGAGCAGAACTCGTCACAGAACCTACTTATGATGAATCAATCTGTACTACAAGGGCTAACAATTCGAACAAATTACTACAACATCTACTGTACTAGCAACTCTGTTTTTCATGATCGCTACTCTGTGTAAATCAAATTTAGCGCAAGAACAATAACGAACTGAAACTATAGGTATAGGTACACTAGATAATGCCTACGGGGCTCTTAAAGTTAAACTTAATTCGCAGTTGCCATAGGCGCAGCGATATGTTGAAAATGCTGAACGAAGATGGTTCTGGTTGGAGCAAAAATGCTTCAGTCTGTGCCTTCTACTTGTCCCCAACGAATGAAATACAAATACGGTTTGAGCGATTCTTCCAGTGGGATTGTGATTGCCATTTTTACCTCGTCCGCGTTCGTATGTAATGAAAATCAAAATTGTTGATATGCGTAAAATTTGCATGAAATTGTGCCACCCACCGCCACCGCCTGTGGAGGCACGGGTACCTTACGAAATGAACGCAACAGCATTCGTCTCCTCGTGTTTCTTTTAAAGCAGCAGTACGCTCGTGTTGAAAAATGACATCGACATCCTAGTAGCAGTATTCACTTATTTGATGTGCTTAACGTGTCTCGCGTTGCGCGATGGTCGACATATTAAACAATGCACTCTGACGAGCTACTTATGGAGGTGTGACTGCTGTTATCTCCGCGCGAGGTCGTAGTGGTTTCGTTTTTCTTCAGTCTCTTACCGCTTTACACATACTTTTACTTTCGGATATGGCAGAACTTGTGATCGTTGTCTCTCGTGTGACGCCTGTCTTCGCACCATCGCAAGAAAAACAAAAGGTTTCAGTCTGGGTCTACACCACGTGGCGTCAGCAAAGGGCTAGATGGAAACAAATCCATCGTCTTAACAAACACGGACCACGGCAGGGCGAAGTAAGTCGGATGGGGCGGACACATCGTCAAAATTTTTGTCCAGGTTGCTGTGCATGGGCAACTGACGAGGCCAATATGATGCGAACCCGAGCGACGCCGCACTACATACTTTCGACGCTTCTCGCAAGGAGTAGGAGAGGACAACAAAGTGAGAGAGAGAGAGAGAGAGATGAAGATGAATTTCGCATGTGCGATTCTCGAGGCATCTTGGCGATAAAAGAGGAAGAAAAACAAGAATAACGATGGATATCACGAGGCGCTCGACGTCGAGAACATATTGGTTTCTTTGTACAAGCTGAAAGCACAATCGCATTCGCAAGATAGACTTGATGAGCAGCTACTTCTACCTCTAGCTATCTCTGCTCTGCAATGGAAAAAAAAAACTAAGGGAGGAAAAGGCGCACCGAATTCATATTTTCAGTTTCCTGGTGCAGCTTCAGCTGACCCTGAAGAGCAGTTTTGCTGACCGATAGAATCCAGCACCTGCACCTTCCAAGAAGAAATAAGGAACCAACAGAGATCATGAAGACCAAAACCGGCGTTTTTACCCCCGGTTGGATTCTCGCGCCGGTAGTCAAGCTATGGAACGCGTTTCTGTCTTTTCTTGGAAAGCTTCTGGAGCTCGCTCTTTTTGTCATCAAGCACCTGATTCAGCTCGCCTGGAATGTGGCCTGTTTTCTCTGGGTCCACAAGAACTTGTTCCTTTACGCGGCGCTCTTCTATTTGATCTACACCGGGCTGCTCCTCCTTTGGAATCGGCGCGAGCGCGTGTACATCGCGATTCGGGTGCGCATCCGCAAGACCCAGGCGTATTTTCGCAAGCATCCCAACCACAGGTACCTGTTCTATGCCTATGTCTTCGCCTGGATTTATTGGTGGCTGTTCGTTTCTTGGTACGTCCGGACCTGCGATCCGAACCTCCTCTGGAACGCCGGCGTGACCAGAAAACCGTACGAGCTGTACCTGCATCTGGACCACTACTTCGACAACAATCTGTTGCACAACCCCTACCTGTCCGACCTGGATAATCTCGAGACGGCGAAAGCCAAACGCGATAGCTTTTCCCTGTTTGGAACCAGCGCCAGCGGGGGTTCCTCTGACGGCTCCAGTCCGACTGTCACACAGATTCTTGTGGACGGCGGCATTGTGGTGTGTAAACAACGAACCAGCAGTGTGGGAGTGGGAAAGGGAAACATTTTACCTGGCGGTGGCGGTGGGACAGCTAGCAGTAATACTTCTCCCAGTCAGAACAAGAAGGAGGAAGACGGTGAAACCACTACGACGACCTCGACAACATCAACGACGACAACAGCTACAGATGCGGAAGCTGCGGAATCATCCAGCAAAAACCAGGAGGCTAGCGATAAGGAAAACGAAGACGAGAAAAAAGAGGAGGACAAAGCAGAGGCATCCGAAGATGCTGTGGCGTCAAGCAGTGGTGATGACGAGGAAAAAAAAGACGAATCAGACTCCGAAGACAAAAAAGGCGATGAGGAAAAAAAGTCAGAAGATGAAAAGCCCGCTGAAGTAGGAGTAGAAGATGCTGAAAAGAAAGACGAGGAATCCTCTGCTGCTTCCGATGACGCCGAGAAGAAAGAAGAAAACACGACGGCGAGCGAAGAGAAAAAAGAGGACGAGCCTGCAGTGGCAGAAACTGAATCGAAAGAAGAATCTAATGAAGGGCCGGCTGCTGCCGATGGCGACAAGCCGGCTGCTGAAGAAGGTGCAGCTGCAACAAGTGCGCTGGAAGTGCATGTCCACCGAGTGAAGAAACGCCGCCTGCTTCGGCGGGAAAAGAAAACGCATGAGCACGAGCTCCAGCATGCCCCATCAAACGTCGTGTCCGCCAGCTCTCTCCCGTTTTGCGACGAAGTGCCGGGCGCGCGAGCCTCACTTGACCTTGACGGAGAACAGTCCGCGTTCCTGCAGGTGAATGCCGCGGAGCCCAGCGCCGCCGCGCGCGCGGAGAGCCTGGCTCTCGAGAAGCAGCTGGCGACGGAATACGAAAACGAGGTGGCGAAGATGAAGCAGTTGATGGAAGACACGATGAAAATATCCAGGAAAAAACACCCATCCCCATCCAATTTGTCATGCAAAACGTGCATAAATTCCACTATTTGTCATGCAGAAAATGGATGGGGATGGGTGTCTTTTCCTGGATAGAAAAACCTCGATGAGACGGCGAAGAAAAAACTGAAAAGGCAAACCGACAACGTGCAGGGCGAACTGGATCTGGAGCTCGCGCGCGCCAAGCTGCAGCAGGAGAAGCTGAAGGCCCTGGACCACCCTGGCATGGGGTCGATCACGGAGAACACCCTGGAGCGGCTGCGCACCGAGCGCGAGACCGCGCGCGGACAGGTGAAGAAGACACTGACCACCATCGAGCGCATCAAGGCCGACGCCCGGCTGGAAAACGCGAAGGCCCAGGAAGTGCTGCGCGACGCGGACAAAACCTTGCAGAAGGCCGTGGTGGGATCGCAGAAAATGGGCGAAGAGCTCGCGAAGGACTCCGAGGAGGAAAAGACAAGGCACGCCGCCGAAATGGCGCGGCAGAAGGTGTCCCTGGAAAGCATGGACGCCGCGCAAGACCGGCAGCGTCTGGCGCTGGACGCGAAGGCGGAGGTGGCGAAGCAGGCGGCCGACCTCGCGTCGGATGTGAGAAAGCAAGCCGCGGACAAGATCGCCGTGGACCTGGACAATTTACAGGACGACTCCGTCGGCGTGCAGAAGGGCCTGGAGGACGTGACCGCGAAGGCGGCCGAGGTGGACCAGCGGGCAAAGCAGATTGCGGAAGAGGAGAAGCGGGAAAAATCGAACGAGGCGGAAGAGAACGAAAAGATCTTGAAGCAGGACAAGGACCTCGTGAGCGCGGCGAAACAGCAGGAGGAGGACGCGCAAAAGAAGGTGGAAGAGGTAGAAAACCAGTTCGAGAAAACCGACGCGGAGCGCAAGATGAACGCCGCCGCGGCCATCGCGAGCTTGATATCCACAGTAAATCTCCCGTACTACACGTGGAAATCGGAATGCGGTCTCCGCATGACAAAACTTGGTTTTGACCCTCGACGTTTAGCATGACCTACTCCAAATTGCTGAAATTTGTGATGCAACTTGTACATGTAGTACGGGAAAATTGTATTGCATATTTGACACAGGAAATCAACAAGCTGAAAGCGGAGATCAAATTGCAGTCGAGCGGCACGCGCGCCTACGCGGAGGCGCAGGAGAACCTGAGCAAGCTGGAGGCCGAGCGGGCCGCCGAGCACGAAAGGTCGCGCAGTGTGGACCTGGACGCGCAGGCGCTGGCGTTGCGGGCGGAAGCGGATCAGCTCCGACAGGTGCGGGACAAGCTGCTGGCGGACGATGCGGACCGCGCCCAGGCCTTGCAGCGGCGCAGCTCCGAGAGGGCGCTCGAGAAGGTGAACCGCGACGTGGAAATTCGAGCCGAGGAAATGGAGAAAGTGCACGACGCCAAGGAATCCGCCGAGGAGGCGGAGGAAAATATCAAACGCCGGCAAGAGGTCGTGGAGCAGGAGATCGCGGAAAAGGGCAAGGCGGACGACGCGAAATTCGAGAAGGAGCGCATCGAGGCCCAGGCGCGCGACGAGTACCTGAAGAAAACCGAAAAGCAGGTGTTGGCCGCGGAAGCCAGCGATGGCGGCGAAGCAGCAGCCAAGGTCGCAGGGGAGGGAGCACAGATAAATGAAAATGCGCCAGAAGCATTGCCAGCAGCAAGCAATGGGAATACGAATTCCGAAGAGGAGCAGGCGAAAAAAGACACAGAGGAGAAGGAGAAGTTGGAAAAGGAGAAAAAGCAAGAGGCTGAAAAGGCTGCAAAAGAAAAAAAGGAGGACGACTATCAAAATGCAAAAGACGAAAAGGAGCAGGCGGAGAAGGAAGAAAAACAAAGGAAAGAAGAGGAGGAGAAGAAGGCAAGAGAGCAAAAGGAAGCTGATAGCCACGGCGAAACGCTGGGAAAACTGAATGACAGTGTGAAGGACGTAGAGCGGGTTTTGGAGGATATGAAGTTTCGGCTTGCCGAGCTGAACTCCAAGTCCGACGCAGAGAAGCAGCAATTGAACCTGGCCGCAGCCCAGCCGGTACTCACAGACGAATGCACATCTTCGTCGGTTTGGAGCTTATCTCGACATTTTGTAGTGTTTCTATCGAGTTTACTTCTGCTCGCGATACTAATCGTGTCTGTGACGGCCGCGGTCACGGCACTGCGACTGGGGCTTCCGAAACAAGATTTGGAGCGCCTCCTTCCCATGGCAACTGCGAACCCAAACTCGATCAACAGTACCTTCATGCTTGCACAGGCACGAGATCAAGGACACCTCCACGACGAACAGGGCGAACATGTCGGACCGTAGGCAGGTCGATTTCCACGCGGGCAGTGTAGGCAACGACATTGCTTTTGCTGGGCATCGAAAGGACGGAGCCGGCGCGTTTTAATAAGAAATGAACATCTTTCTTGGTCGAGAACTTCCCAGTATAGATACTATTCTTTTCCCTGTAAAATGTACTGTAGTACAGCTGGACAGTCGACGAAGTTGTAGGTGAGACGACGATGAATGTATGTAAAAAACCAGCAGGAGACGTGCTCCTTCTCCTTGTGAGCAAATTCTCTTTCGAAAAAGGTATGGATCTCTCAGCTTTACCATGATGTTGATGTCGGACTTGTAATATGTAGGTGAGATCCATCGATAACGACCCCAAATCCAATAAAAGCGATGCAGAATAACAATAAGAATCCTTTGCCCAGTAGGACTGTGAAAAGCACGGAACGACTCCGCGTCCGTGGTGTACATGGGCATGCATCCGCCTCGCTGGTGTCACAGAGTGGAGTGTGTAAGCAGCAGTAAGTATCCATTGCTGCAAAAGCAATGGAGCCCAGCGATGTTTCTAGTTGTGCCGATGTGACGAGAGCATGCAAGTCGCTGCCGAACGATCATCAGTAGCCATAGCCTCGTCGCCGTAAAAGATCTTGTTTCACGTACTCATTCGTTCTTGTATTCAGTAAGCATCACGGGCACAGGAAGATGAGGATCACCATAATTTTCTTGTTGCTGTAGCTAGTACCATCGCGCACACAGTGCAACTTCGTTGTGCTCCTGAATTCAGGAAAACGAAAATAAATTGAACTTTACCTGTTGTGTACCCGACACTTCTTGGCAATCTCGCTGCTTTCGCTTTGTTCATGTTCAGCGAAAATTCCTCTATGTGGACTTTTTGTTTTTGTTAGCCGCCGCTCCCTACTTTAGCTACCTATGTGCCTCATTTTTTGCCTGCAATTCTGATCCACATCCACCTTTTTGTCGTTAGCAAGGCAAGTAGAAGCTCAGTGGAGGCACTAACAGTTCTTTGCAACTGCACTTGTAACCCGGTAGTTCTAGTAGTCCATGAGCATGAGGTAGCTGTACCTGCTTCTCGAGGTCATTCCGTATATTTTTCCGTATATTTTGAGCTATCATTATCTATCAGAAATAATTGCAGCCTAGAAATCCAAATCTTCATCTTGTAATTCTACCTCTACGTCGTTTTTGGTATAAAGTTTTTCATCGTCCTTCTACTAGCTTGCATCTCGTCCTCAAAAAGAAGAACTGCAACTGGAACATCTTCATGATGTCAGCAAAAATATTCGGGAGTCTAGTTGTACGCCTGTTGGCGGCATATCTTCTCGCTGTTCTGGACGAAGCCAGTGTAGTCCTCCTATTCGCAAGGGCCGCCACCTCGAGCGAGCCTTACAACCCGCCAGACCATGCCGTCTTACCGGTGTCGAATAGCAATGGGTGCCTGCAAATTGCAGGAAAGCATGTTCAAGACTTTTGCGGGAATGTCTTGTGCGACCTCCTAGAGGTGAATAGTGCCTTAAAGAAGCACTACAATACTTGCCTGTGGCCCGCGCCAGGAGAGGACAGTGAGCTACTAGGGACCCATCCACGAAAGAAGCGCGCAGCTGCGTACTGTGCGTTGAACTGCGGCTTGGCCACCTGCGCGCAGTGTATTTGCAGTCACTGCGTGCTGCAGTCTTCCTGCGCAGCCGCAATGCTTCCAGCCGCGGCTATATCCCAACTTACGAGTTCATGCTGCTGCGAGCCTTGCTGCTGCGTTCAAAGAACAATGACCGAGGGAGCGAGTGCGCTCATGCTGACGTCCACGATTCATGCGCCGAATGAGAGTCTGCTCAGACTGGGCTGTTGTCTCAGCTACACCTGCACCGCTCAAGCGCAATTCTGTGCGACGCAAGCGGCAGGGTGCTGCTGTTGCATCGCGGGACTCTCACCGGTTGGACGCGGGTTGCGGGTGCTGAAGGACCGAGCGCACGAAAGAGCGGAGCGTGAAGAGGCCGAACGGAGGCGATTAATGGCGTCGCTTTTTGGTTCTACACCCCCCGACCCTGTCCAAATGGAAGATACGCCCATTCTGAGTCCTCACCAAAGAAGGCGAGGAACCGGCTTTCTTAGTCGCACCCTCAGCACATGATAGCTGATTACTTTGTTTGACAGACCAACACCAACGAACTGCATCATGCCTGTAGTATTGGTTCATTCAGTAGGCCTAGAAAAGGCAAAAGGGACGAGCTGCCCGCACCAGAGCTCCGATATTATTTTGCAAAACCAAAACCAAAATCTTAATGCTGAGAATAACTTTTTGAAAATGTGCCTGTCCGGGTCCGGGTGCGCACACCTTATCGATCTGAGTCTGACTACCGCTTCGAACAAGAAAAAATAAGCGCGACGCCCAAAGGCAAACGCAAATCGATGTTATTGCAATAGTATGCAATGGAGCTTGTTCGTCTGCTCCGACTGCGACCGCCACTAGCATTTTTACATCGACAGATGGTCTTTATGGCAATGAATTGCTTCCGTCCTGTTTTGACAGCTTTCTTGCTCCGCCTGAATGCAGTTCGATGCTCTGTAGCAGTGTTCGTGTTCTTCAGTGGGTCCTATTCAGGGTGAGTGATGCATCTATGTGGGCGATCATGCACAGGAAGAATGATGAACGTGAACAAAAAAAGGCATTGGTTTAGAGCGGCTGTTCGAGAATGCACGGAGGAGAGACCTTTTTTTATTTCGGATTTCAATTTCTTATGAGCGCCAAGGCCAACGATCAAGTGGATTCCACGGTTGCGCCGAGGAGCTCCGGACCTCTCCACCTCTGATGTAGTTTTGCGGCTTACTTTCATTCAGCCGTCTTCGCATTCTACGAGCTTTCCAGCGCAGAGTCTGTCAGAATCTCCTGATTTTTCCAAGAAGTAAGGTCTTGCGTAATTTTATTTTCCGTCGAGGGGAGCGAATCAACATAAAGATAAAAGCATGACGAGCCAAACGTCAAAAAAGGTCCGCTCAGAAGCCGAGGCCCTTGTGGCGAACCTGTTAGCCGAAGAAGACGAAGATCCGCACGGGCTCAGCGACGCTCTCACCCGCGCTTTCTCATCTGGTACAACTACAGAAAACGAAACACCAGATGCCCCCACTTACCAAAGTAGCAACACGAGCACAACCAGTGGGACACCTTACTCGCCTGGTGAAGAAAGTGAACCCAATCCGCAGCCTTCCCCTGGCTACAGCGACGCTGGCGCGGGGGATGATCCGGATGATGATGATAATGACGATGATGAAGCTGCAATTCAGCATCAAGACACTCACGTAGTACACAGTCCTGTTAGGACCCGCAGTCCTACTTCCCCGAGCAATGCGAGAAACGCGGAAGCGACTACCTGTACTGCGTCGAGCTCCCGCGGACGCGCAGGAGAAGTAGACGGGGATGAGCATGATGAAGATGTGGTAGAACAAGGCGTAAGCAGCGGCTCCGGTGAAGATTCTCTACCTCAACGAGGAGCACATCATCAAGCTGCAGGCGGCTTCAGCAGCATCGATCGCGCGGCAACGAAAGCAGCGATGATCGAGCGGCTACTGCACGCAAGTAACAAGGACGAGGAGCCGGAACCCGAAGAACAGCAGGACCTTCCACCGTCCGCCCAAGTCCGGCGCCGCATGCAGGACCTGCAACTCCCACCCGACTTCGACTTTGGTTCTCTTCCCGGCTTTGACGAGCGCAAGCGACAAGCCCTGGCCGAATCACTACAAGGCATAAAGAAAATCACAACGGAATACAAGCGTAAGTACTTTTTACGACTGTGACTGCCTGTGTCTGAGTCTGCTCTTGTTTATGTTTTCTTGCACGAAGATTGATCGGAGTCGAGATCGTGTACCGCCTGCTTGACGACGACGAGATTTTTGCCAGCATCGTTCTCGTACTTTTTACACACGAAAAATCTCTTCTAGGTATCCAAGACGAAATGAGTGAGCTGAAGAATTCGCTGTACTCCAGCGGGAACGGGTTCGGAGAGCTTGCTGGCACGCTGCAGGACATGCGCGGTATTCGTCAGCTGCTGGAAGAGGAATCGGACCCTTCCGCATCGTCAACATCTGCCAAGAATGATGAAAGCTCATCAACGGTATTTAGAAACTTCGACTAAAAGTAGTACGCTGCTCATCTTGACTTCCATTCTACATCTGATGTCGTCGCATTTGCATATAGCATTTCTTTGGTTCCGAAGATGGATTGTTAAATCCACAATCACATCGTGCAAAGGGTCGGCTGCTCCTTCGCAGAAAATGATACTAGTAAACTATACTTTTATCATCATCAACAGAGCGCTGACGAAGAAGCGTTGGCAAAGATGATCAAAGCGCGATTTGGCAGCAACCGAATTAGCGCGGAAACTTCCGGGCAAGCTGCATCGCCAAATGCGCAGCAGAGTGAACGGGGGGACCTGAGTGCCGAGTTGGAGAAAGTGATACAGATGGTGCAACGAAAGAATCCCAAAGCTGGAAAAGCAAACGCAGGAGCTGGCTCCAAAGTCACCGACAGACAAGACCTGCTTAAAGCAATCAACCAAGAGCTTTCGGAAGTGGAGGACAAAAAGAAAAATCTCCTACACGTCCGCAAACAGCTGTCCCAAAACATCGAACGTATTTTGCAAGTAGTTTTTTTTCTGCCTTGATATTGATAACGAACCGGGTCCGTTAGCGTAATGTGTGGTGCGCGCGGCGCTAGGATAGACAAGGACAACTCGCACTCGTAGTTGGATATAGAATAAAAAAGCGAAGCTGGATTTTTCTTGTTGCTTTGGCTTCTACTGACACGCATGCAAATCCTGCTCTTATCTCCTGCTTCAGGTTCGGATGCGAGGCGCAGTTCCAGCTCGGCCGGAGGCAAAAAGAACGAGACTGCCACCGCCGAATTCGTTTTCGGAACTTTTCTTTTCCTTGTCGCTGTCTACCTGTCCTCCAAAGAAGTGCGTGCACTTGTTAAGGAATGGTGGGCGCTTGGATGGCGGCAAATCGAAGAGCTGTAAGCTACTTCCGCGACAACCTTTGTTTTTGGTGTGCACCAAAAGATGAATCGCCCGGACGAAATTTTGGTACTACACCATCGCTACAATGCAGGTTTTACGTCAAGAACCTATTTTAGCCAGCTACTGATGTCTCTGCTTCTAGCAGCACTAGGGCAGCTGGACTCCATAGCATGTACACTTCAACGGCGTTGCCGTTGGGCAGAAAGGTCGTCGCATGTTGAGCTGCATGGCGAGCAGCGCAGGGATTACTGACGCATGGTGGCATCCATACAGGTGGTCCACGCATTGTCGAAGATGATGCGCAAATGAAAATGTGTAGAGGTTCACCACGATGGCCGCCGTCGACGTCGTCGAAATATCGTGGTAAACTTTTTTTTGGGATTGCCTTCTACTCAGTCGACATTTTCCTCGAATGCGTGGTTTGTAAGAAATCGCATTGGCATCGTCCCCGCGGAAATTTTTCGTAGATCTTCCTCTACATCAATTCGTTGTCGTTGTCGTGACCAGAAAAATAGTGCGAATGAGAAGGCAGAGAACGAGAAGAGCAGATTACCCATTTCGCAACTATTGCCGCTACCCTTTTACTCGTGTCGTGTCGTTTCTTTGTCGTCGAAAATTTTCGCAGTTTTTTCCATCGTTCTGCTATCGGTTTGTTTCGCGGCACAACGTCGTGTCGTGGTGCGTGCCCACCACCTCCACCGCAGCGAACAGTGATGGATTGATTAAACAAAGGAAGGTCACAGGAAAGCCGGTACGTTTGGTTCCTCTGCCGCCGGTTCGTTTTGACGGATTCTTGCAGATAACAAACAACTTCAAAACGATGGTGCGTTCGCCACAAAATAATTCCCCGTTGACCCGGCCCGTGTATTTCGGGCCACCCACGCTGGCGGAGTTCAATGCCGCACAAACCTGGAGCGACACCGCCAGTTTGATTGCCGAACGTGCGGAGGGCCGGTCGTTCCTAAACAAGCAAAAGGAAGAGTTCGAGCGGTTGGCCGAGGAGGCGGGGCGCAATCTGGTGTTGGAGGACGAGGTGGAGCAGACGTCGATAGACCGCGAGAAGCAGGAGGAGGAGGACTTTCTCGTGTGTTATCTGTGGGAGACCGTCGGAAAATGCGCGAACCGGGTGTCCGAGCGCATTCTGACCAACCTCGACTACATGCGCGACGGGGTGCTGCCGGCCATTACGCGCCAGATCACAGAAACCGAGGCGGAACTCGCCGTGCAGATGGACCTCCGCACTCGACTGGAAGCTAAAGTGAGCGAGTGGCGCGAGTGGGAGAGTAGGGTCAGCTTCGTCGACGCCAATTCCGAAGCAATAACCGCCTGCATTTCGAACACCAACGAACTTGCGGAGGAGGTCGAGGAGCAGCGCGCGCTAGAAAACGAGGAGGCAACGGAGTCCGAAGAAGAGGAGGACGAAGCAGGAGACGATGGTCGTGGAGAGCGCAAAAATATTACAGAAGATGGAGGTGAAAGTGCTGGTGGTGGAATAGAAGTATCCGCCTCCGAGGCGGACTTTCGCACTGGAAAAAAACAAACCAATGTGAAGAAGCAGGAGCAAGACGCTCTGCAACCAGTCGAAGTTCCTCGAGTGGCGCACATCCGCGAGAACACCCAGTACCGCCAGCGCCCGGAACCGTTTGCGGAGAAGTGGCTAAGTTTGTTGAACGACGAAACGAAGTACAACTTTCTGCGCGCGCTCTGGCTGGCCTTCCGGAACACACAGGAATCTTCCGTCTACTTCCACGACCTGTGCGTGCCCCACGAGGATTTCCGCGAGCTCACCTGGGGCGACGAGGCGAAGCAGAACTACGATGGCAGCGAGCGGTACGACCCTGCCACCTTCGTGGAGCCCGTCCCCGAGCATCTGGACGCCCCGTGGGAGGACCGGCTTCACTACGCGCTGACGGCCGAGCGGGCCGCGCACGACATTGCCGAATGGTCGTTCGAATATCAGGCGGCGCGCATTCGCAACCTCCCGCGCGCCGAGCGCCCGGATGTCCTGCGGATCCGCGCGGACCCAACCCGGGCGGGGTCGCGGCTGCGCACAACGGAGCTGCCTCTCATCCAGCACAGCTTCGGCACCGCGCGCATGCTGAAGCCGGACCTGGTGCTTTCCTCGGAGCGCGCCAAGCAGGAGCAGCGGAAATTTCGCGTCTTCCAGACCGATTTCCAAGACCTCGCGGACGACCTGCAGGAAGTGGTGCACCCAGAAAAGGACCCCAAGCGGCTGAAACTGCAGCCCAACAAGACCATCAAGGCCATCACCTTTTCGTACGAAGGTCGCCCGGACGGCCATGTGAACATCATTCCGGAAAAGGAGAAGGCCGAGGACGTCATCGATCTCAGCATTCTGCAACAGGCAGACGGCGGGGGCGGGAGTCGAAAGAGTGGCGCGGGAACAAGCTCGTCGTCGTCTGCAGAACACAGCAGCTCTGCTGCCTCCAGCTCAGCCGCGAGCAGCGCTGCTGAGGATGAGGAGGTGGTGGACGGCGCACCAACAGCGCAAATGCAGGACACAAAGAATCTTCAAGAACTATCTGAAGCACCCTTTGATCCTGCGACCAAAACCTTTCTCACGGAGGGCGCAGAAGATCACCTCCTCCTTCAGGATCCTTCACCGCAGACAAATATTAACGCGCCTCCAGAAGGATGTGCAGATGAACAAGAGGCCGCCTCAAGATCACCAGGTGCGGATGAGCATCAAGCAGCTCCGCCGCTCTCACCGTCACGGCTAGCACCAAACATTTTCCACGTGAACCCGACCGATAACTCTATGCGCGCCGACCTGACTGCCCTCGCTAAAGAGCGGAGTTTCCACGGCGCCATCATCGTGCACAGCCAGCACGTCGCGTTGCCGGGCATGAAATCCATGTACGAGCGGCTAGAATCGAACCGCAAGCCCCCGAGCGCACTTTTGCAGCGGAGCGGGCACCAGAAACAAGATGTGGAGCTGGACGACGGGCGGGTGATCCAAGCGGCCGAAGAGTCTGACGAATCGGGGTCTTCGTTGCAGAACCCGGAGATCAGTGCCGGCCCTCGCATCTTCGACGAGAAGCACCAGCGACAGATCCCGCTGTCTCGCAAGCAGGTAGACGTCGTTGCGCCGCTGGGCGCTGCCCACACGCGTCGCCCGCCGCCCGTGCACAGTGCGGACCTTTACCCGCCGGACCTGCCGAGCTTCGAGCAGCTCTCTCCGGACCAGCCCTGCTCCAGCGAACGGCAATACCGCGAGAAATCGGCGCAACTGCGCGCCAAGCACGACCAGAGCATCGTGCACGTGGAGGGCACGAAAGCGCACTACGACGCGCAGGCGGTGCGCATTTTGGAAACAACCGGGGACCGCGTGCGCCGCCGGTCCAAGGAACGCACGCAGGACTTGTTCCAGAAAGCCGGAGCAGTGCTGGAGGTGAACGATTTAGCGGACCAGGCCGCGAAAAACCGAACCTCCGGCGCGGATCGGAAGCGCAACTTCATGGCCAGGTCCAAAACGCAGTCCGCGGGGGGTGGCGACCTGGAAGCGTTGCTGGCCCAAATGTCCGACGAGGACGAACACCACTCTTCCTCCTCTGAAGGCGGGGTCGGAGGGCCACAAGCCGCTGCTGGCGGCCTGGGTGGAAAGAAGGGAGGGAAAAAAGGTAAGGGCAAGAAGGGCGGGAAATTCGGCGCGTTGCAGAAAACATCGTCGAGTTCATCACCTGGTACTACGGCTGCAAAGAACAAAACGCCCTTTGGACAGCGCGGACCCGCCGGCGCAGTGGCCGTCGAAGCCGTTGCGTCGAGTAGTGCGACGTCCTCTCCCAGCCCGAGTAGCGAAGAAAACTGCGCGGCCGACAAAGCGCTACAAGAGAAGTGGCACGGCCCCGATGCGCTGACAAACAAAAAGTCATTCTTTCAGTTGTACCAGGATCTGCGGCTAGCCGCCACCTTACCCGACTGGAAACGGCGCAAAGAATATTACCTGCTGGAGGATCTGTTGCAGGTCTGGACCAGCGACCAGACGCAAGAGCGACTGCGCCAACAGAAACATCTGAAGCAAAGAATGGACGCCGACCACGCGACGCTGATGCACAACGAAAAAACGTGGCGGGACGTTGGCAAGCGCTGCTGGCGGATCGTTTGGGGCTCCACGCCGGAAGGTGCAGGTGGCGCCGCATCTTCTGCTGACGGCACCTCCGCTGCCCCTGCGCAGCCGACCCGGGAACAGCAGATCCGGGAGCGCCGTCGCAAGCGGCAAACGCTGGGGAAGCTGAAGGTCGTTTTCGACAACTGGTACATGGTGATTCAAACCATGCTGGAAGAAGCAAAGTTGAAAAAGGAGAAAAAATGGTCCCTGATTAGCGACTACGACGACGCACGGGTGGAGTATTTCGTCATCGGGGGCGTCGAGCGTTTATCCATTTTCGGCGACGCCTACGACCAGCACATGGCACCGACGGTGCAAACGATGGTCGACCCCCGTGCCGCGAGTACCGGACCCAGGAGAAGATCCTCGGTCATCAGCGACAAAGACAAACTCGACGGAATGATGAAACTGTAGACCTGTCGTGCGTGTGGTGGAAAAGTATCAAACAAGTCGGACTTCTGAAAATCAACAATATCTGGTGCCGCTTCGTGGTTAGCACGTGCCCGTCTTCGACAGGCGCAGAGTGCGCGATTGACCTGGTAAACCAGCCCCCGGGCAATCATCTTCATATGAAGATTCTGAAAAATGTACTTGGTGCTAGAGGCGGAAAACGGTGTTGCTGTTGCAGAGATGAATTGCATATCATGGCAGTGGCTTGTAAGAAAGCGTGCAGCGGGAGCGTGTCCTTAATACGAGCAGGAGTGTCTGATCACTTTTGCTTTATTGCGCGCACCATTATAAAAGTCGAGCCGTGGAGTGAACAAAATGGAAAGGAGCTATAGAGTGTTTGTGTTACTGGTACTGAGTCTGTGCCTGAGAGAAACAGAAATATTGATGATTTTGATTTGTGCGTGTGGTTCTGCTCGTCTGCTCTGGTGCTGCTAGCTAAATAAGGACGACGAGATGACAACTTACACCCGGCGGGGCAGCAGCCGCGGCTCGAGGCAATCCATCAGTATCCTTGTCAGTGGTCTTGCTACCGCTCGCAATTATTTCGAAGAAAAATCCCAATCACCATGCCCGCTGTTGTTTCCAGTTCCACGGGCGACGTGGCCTCGAGCGCGGTCATCTCGAATGCTGCGACAGCTGCAGTGGCTTCTGGCGATGCAAAGATCTCCAGCACGGCGTCTTCGTCGGAGTCGGGCCAAGTCACCGTGATGCCTTTGGTGATGCCCATGCCCACCGCGCAAGCCAAAGACCACCCTGCAGAAAATCAAGAAGCGAAGCGGGACATGTTTGCGTTCGACCAGGATGAAGAGGGTGGCGCGGAGAAGGAAGAGGCACGGCTGGCGCGGTGGAAAAAAGAGGATCCCATCGCACTGCAGGACGCGTTCATGACTTCCAACGCATTTCTGAAAGCCTGTAAGGACGATAATTTACCGGAGGCGCTCGAGATCCTGCAGAACAGTGTGAAGACGGATTTTCTGCAGTATCACGTCATTCAGGGGTACTACGCTTGCATCCAAAACCTCAATTTTGAGCTCTTCCACCAAGTATTTCAGGCTCAAGGCTTCCCCGTTGGCCTCTTCCCGGAAATTCCCCACGCGATCGCCGAACTCTGCACCAAAGAAACTTTTCCCGTCTGCCGAAAATTCTTCCAGCCACTCTTTCGGGCGCATCAGGTACTATCGCCTCAAGAAACGGAAAGAACGCTAGCAGTCCTAATTCCCTGCGCAGAATCGCTCTACTCAGTCACCATTGGCATAAGCATCATGTTGGCAACTGAGCTTGCGGCTTTTTCCATGATCATAGTCATGAATTTGAATGTTTCAGATCCCGGTCGACCACCCACGACACCGAGACGGAATGACGCCGTTGTGCATTGCCTGTTTGCGAGGTTGCTTGCCGCTCTCCATCATCCTCCTCGAGGACTATCACGCAAGCTGCAACGTGATCACCAAGCACAATCTGGTCCCCTACCAGCTAAACCTGCAGCCGCAGCCGTCCGACGACGCACTAGCGACGGAAGGCCGCCAGCTGCTGAAAAACCGCTTTGAATGCTTTCGCGTCGGCAAGGACGCCCAAGAAGTGCTCCGGAAGCTGCGTCAGGCCCCTGCGCCCGTCATCGAGCACAAAGTTTGGGCTGGGTCCACGGATTTCTAGAGGTTCGCTTCTCAAATAAATTCATCTTCTCCAGGTAAAAGGATACTTTTAAGGATCTTTGTTTACACGACAAGATGAGCAAGAAGATGATAGAATTTGAAAAGTAGGAGCAACAGCATACCTGCTCCTGAACATTCTTCACATTTCGATGCTGCGTTCTTGTGTACGGACTCGAGTGGGAATGCGAGCAATCTAGATGAAGAAGAAGAAACGTCAAAAAGAACAAACTACTTCTCCACCTCTGACAATCATGTCAGCTTTGTTATGGCAGCGCGAATTTGATGTTCATCGCTGTAGCCTATCCCTGTTGTTGTGATGCGTCGATGTCGAAAAAAAAAGTAACGATAGGTCGTCCCAGCGTGCGACCATGGAAAGTAAGTACCGCTTTTGTTACACCTCTTATTCTTGGTTGATTGAACAAGATCCAGGCCATTCAGGTTCATTTTCGCCTTCGCCACTCAATCACAAAGAAGAAAGTATTTCGATGACCAAAGCGAAAGCTTGTCCCGCCGAGGATTTCTACTTGTTTCATTTTCATCTTCGCAACGAAAACGTAAACGAACCAACTACACTGCAGCACCACACTAAATTGCTTGTAAGAACATGCATTGCCAAGCGCGTCTAGTTCCTCTTCCTGGCTAATTTATTAATATAATGCCAAATTATTACTACGACCACGACTTCGAGTATAAGTCTAAGTGCCTCCGCGTCGGGGAAGATCTTCATACCACAGAAGAGGAACCACCACAGAAGCTGCCGGCGTCCGGCGTAAAGAATAAAGTAGAAGGGTTTCAAAATACTAATACCAGAACCCGCCGGTCCAGGAGCTCGCCCGCGCGTTGCTTCAATCCAAATGACCCATTCGATAAGCTTTTGTTCTTCGACGACGATTTGCACTTGCTGTTTGATCCGGCTGCCGTAGATGCGGAGAACAGGGAAAGCTTACTAACCAACGACACGGTCGAGGATTATGTGAGCTCGCCCGCGCGGGCGCATTCGCTTCCCTTGTCCACCTTCAATCCAAACAATCCATTCGACAAGCTTCTGTTCGACGAGGACTTCTGTGACATTGCAGCACTACATAAGAAAAATCGTGACAGCCTTCGTTTCCCCTGGTCGCCGAGTAGTAATCCAATTCCGCGGCGCGATGAATCATCTCCGTTCAACCCAAACAACCCATGCCATGCGCTTGGTATTGATGCGGAAATGATGGCTCCATTGGAACAATTTGAAGTACCACTTTCAAGAGGAGAACACGAACAAGATGCCGAACAAGCCCTGACGCCTGGCTCATCGCAATTCTCTTATCCAGAAATGAATTTTTCACGCACCAGCACAGAAGACGTTGGCGTCGTCCAAGAGGAGCGGGAGTCAGATCACAGTTGTGAACGCAACCCGAGTGCAACAAGCCGCGTTAACAAGAACAACAACATGTTGAACAATGTGACTACTGAGCAGGATGAATCTTCCGAAACCATAGCTCACAAGGATCAGGATAAATATGTTAATGAAACGTCTGCGTGTTCGACGCAGACCCAGACGCCAACTCAGCACCAAGAAATAAACCAATCGAGCGACGTAAATGTCAATGTGACACCACGACGAGTCGACGAAGCGGTGCCGGACCCGGAGCAAGCCCAAGTGGTACAAGATGACGAAAAATTATCCCCACAAAGCGAGCTGCCCACTTTACCAAGCGTTTTACTTGACTACAAGGCGAGCCATCCAGAGAACAAGCTGCCTTTACCCGCTTTGACGAACGTACGCAAAATTCTGGAGCGGCTGCATGGGAACCCGCAACAGGAGGCGCTGCACCGGATGCGGCGCGATGTTTTGATCCGCGTTTGCCACGGTGAACAAGCACTTCAACAGGCCCTCTCTGTGTTCGAATTCTGCGACTTCGAATTCGTAAAGCCCGACGCCACGTCGCCACAGTTGCTCAGTGGTCCTCGCAACGGCGCTGGTCAAAACACCTCGGAAAAAATGCAGATATTGGAGTGGAAAGGCGCGGAGGCCGTTTTGTCTGAAACAAGGCAGAAAGACGCTCTTCTGGCGCCACTGACAACGGTCTTGTTGGATGAACGGGTGGGCGCAGATTTTCAAATGCAGAAGAAAAAAGCCGTGGAGTGCCTGGAAAAAATACAGCTCGTAATCCAGCGAATCCGACTGTTGGAGCTCCAGGCGCGCGACCCCGATTCCCTCAGCTTCAATGAAGTGATCGATGCAGTGCGCGGGAACGTGGAATTGCCGGGGATAGCCAAGATAGAAGAGGACAACGACGACTCGGAGACTGTGGCAGCGCCTACGGAGAGTGCCTTCAGGACCGGTAGACCTAAAAAACCGTGGGAGGTGTAGCGTTGTATCTATGTATCTATACCTGCTCGTCAGGACGAGCAGAAGATCTTGTCCTTCGTGCTGTATATAGTAATATGAGTAATTCTCAGTTAATGAGTTTCCATTTGACTAAGAGGACCACGAGGCAGATAATTCTCGATCTTGTCCAGGCGCGTAGTTGGATTTAGTTGGACGACGATCGAACAGAAGATGACAAGGTAGGAAGAACGAACTCCACACGAAGAAGAGCATGATGATGATCATGGACGAGCACAGAAAGTGCAGAGTACTAAAGGAAAGTGTAGAAGACCCAGATCTACTGGATGGTGGCTACGTACATTGGTTCGAGTTTCCGACATTTTTGACATTTGGAGGTCGTCAAGATTGAAGAGGAAAGTGTCTGAGCACCTCCATTAACCTTTTGGTCGTGAAGTTCTTTTATTGGGCATGACCTGCAACAAGGGCATGATCAGATGCCTGGGGGTCAGTTGTACGATTGAAATTGATCCAACTTGAGGCTACACCCAACATCACGCGAAAGAGAGATACAGATGGCGCAGCTGCTGCTTCGCGAGTCCACTGACATTGAGCGTTGCAGACCCACTCTGGAGGGTTTTCGTTTTTTTACAAAACTACAGGTCACACGAGTGCAGGCCTCTTCCCAAAAAAAAGGCTGACCACAATCCCAGGCAAGACGATGACGATTTAGGTTTAGTGCCTCCACCAAAATAGTGCGTTGTATGCCGGATGCCTCACAGGGCGGACAGGGGCGCGGGACGTAATTATGAGGATTCACCTGCTTCTGCTTGCCTTGCGTCTTTTTGCTAGTTTATGATCTTGCACCAGTCGTAAAAGTTTCAAGTTGATAGAGCCTTCTGCTCAAGAACGCACTACTTACTTGCGAACAAAACGACTTTCCACCTGTGGGCGTCGTGGGTGCCTCGAAGAAAATGGAGAAGAACGTTGGTCTTACTCTCTGACCCGCCTCAGCCGCACCCTACAAGGGACGCGAATTCGTTGCGCTTTCGTGTATTCTAGGAGCAATCAGGAACTCAGGCAGCTTTTCTTGCGGTTCCAACGTCGCGTCAGAGTGGACATACATTCGCTTAAACCGGAAAGGGGTTCCTTCGTCGTCACGCAAAGGCGCTGAGCTACACAAACGCGGGCTCTTGTTGCAATCCAAGATCCATCTTCAAGACACGGATCATGCCGGACGTGGACTCCAGTGTGTGGGGCGAGGTAATCTCGCAGCACCGTGGCCTGCGGGAGTTTCTGTGGACTTTCGACCGCGTGGAGTGGTCCTCGGTAATGAAGGCCCTGGCCATTCTGGGGCTGCAAGCCGTGGTCTTGCGGTATCGGACGCAGCTGGTGGACCTGGACCTGGAACTGCTACAACAAATCGCCCGCTATGTCGACAAAAACGAGGTGTTCCCGCCGAATCTGGATGCTGCCGGTCGTGAAACGGCGGACCCGCTGGGATTCCTCCCGGCGAAAAGAAGGCCGCGTGTGGGATCCGCCGGTACATATGAAAATGAAATAAAATAGACCGATAGGTTTGTCGAAAAGAACTACCTTCAACACTGTATGTGGGCGAAAAGTGTAGAAGTACTGACTAGAAGATCAAAGGTGGACTACAGCTTCGTAAATGAAGATGAAGTTGAAGACGTTGACGATCTTCATAAAGCTCGTATTTGCCATTGCACTCCCCTGAACAAGACATTACCCATCATAATGATTGAACTCGTCTCAGGATCGCTCTCAGTATCAAACAAAAATTTGACTGATGCTCGTGCTGCCGTCACGCCACTGCTCACGGTCAGGGTCAGCACGCAAATATTAAGACTACAACTTTTCATATGTTGCACATACCTGGACGCCGTCCATTCTGTATTTTGCACCGCACACAACATCCACTTTTTTGTCCAAGCTGAAAGCTGACAAGAAACCACCGGTGGCAAAACATCACGAGCAGTGTCTTTCTTTCCATAGCTGGCTCGGTCTCATTACGAGGAAACCAGGAATCGGGACCGGCGGCCGACCCCGAAAAAGAAATCTGCCCGGCCCCTCACTTCCTCGGGAATAAGTAGTCTTTATTCATCATCCGGAGCACCTGGACCTGGCGGGGGCTCCGCTGCAAGGAAGAAGCTCAGTACAAGGCCGGTCTCGTCCCGCACGGCTGCCAATGCAAGAAGCTATTTGAGCAGGTAAGATTAGAACAACAAGAAGTAGGTCGTCCTCGTGCTTGGATTATCATGTTGTAGAAGTCTGAGCCTGAGGGTGGTTTTTGCCGGAGCATACTGACAGTCAAACAAGAAAAGAAAGAAAAAAATCACTACACGTTGTATGTTCAATCATGTAGTTGATGATGTTTGTTCCAATCCCAGTGGAAAGGTCTACAACTGCCTTGTCGCGAAAACAAAAACCAGGCCTGGTGGAGCAGCGCCCAGCTCGTCCTTTTCGGGCGGCCCCTTGCCCCTTTCCGCACGGCTACCGTCATCACGCGCAGGCAGAAAAGTTCCGCTACCGGGTGGTTTTTCATCCGGAGGATAACCAATCGCAATCAACGGAAAGACCAGGAGGCTGAGATTACATCCACATTGATTTGTGTTTATGTACCGCAGCAGCATCGTTATCGTACTCGTTCGTATGCAAACCCGAGCTCAGCGTGAGCTGCATTGATTGCTCAACATAATCTTCCACGTGCGCGTGTTTCTAAATGGAGGTAGACACGGAGTGATGCATGCGGCTGGTTGTTCTTTCACATTCGCTGTGCCTGACCGGAAGACCTTTCCATGTGCATATGCTATCCTCGGGCTCAACAGCAGGTAGATCATCCCGGTATTCGCAGCCGGCCGCAAAGAAAAAGGCAGCCGCTGGGGGACTGCGTGCCGCCGCCTTGCAGCGCAGTAAGGCTAATGCCAACGCGGCTTACCTGGAGGCGCTCGCAATGGCCCGGGGTGTGGGCGGCACGGAAAGCAGCGCGTTTCAGTTTGATCCGCTCCCCCGACCGAAAACTGCGCCGAGCGGGGACCGCCGCGCACCACACGAGCCGTTCAAGCTGAAGGACTTCTCCTCACAGCCGATCTCGACTGTTTTGAGCGAAGTTGAGAGTAACCTGTGCGCGCTGGGAGATCCAAATCCTGCATCACTTCAAGCGGGCCTCGTCGAGGGCCTGCACGAAGAGATAGGAGCCGAATCCGCAGCAGAGGAACTCAGCCAGGTCATTCTCGCCGCGACAAGGGTACTACATAGTTAATACAACCAAGAGGCGTGACAAGGCTGTCGGCGACATGATGAAAACATGCATGATTTCTTATGTTCTGCAGTAGTGCAATTGCAGTTTAATAACGTGCCCGTACTAAAGTTGACTTCGTATAGAGTAAGTACAACGATTTCCAAATGCAAATACAGGAGGGTCTGTCTCCGCGATCAAGGCGGGACTGGATGCACACCTCAACAGCCTCCAGTACGAGATCACGGCCCAGCTCCGCAAAGCGGCTGCGCGACATCATGTTTCCCGAGTATAGAAAATCGCGGTCTTATGTTGCGAGTTTGGCTTTGTCTTGCAGTTTCATATTCTTTTTCTTACGGAATTATGACAAGCTGCAAAAAACAATTATACAATTGACCTCACACGTGGTCAATGAATGAAAATATTTCCACAAGAACCAAAATATATAAACTTGACCAGGGACAGTGCTGGGCAGCTTCCTCTTGCGTCGCTTCCATCACGAACCGAGCGTCGGACGCGACACATTGCCGCTCACAGTCTCGACGCAGCGCATAAACGCGTTCGTAGTGCACGCAGCTTCACCTATCAAGTGTAGCAGTAGTTCTTCTGTTTGCACCCCTACTAGAAGCCAGCGCGAGCGGGACCTCTCCCCAATAACACAAGATAAGAATGGCAGTATTGATTCAAGATGAGCATGGTGGAACGCAAATAAGATCGCTCGAATGCGAAGCGGAGGCAGAAAAGCAAAGTGCAGGACTTCTTGGCGGAAGTGTTGTTGAAGCAGCTATCTTTTCGGAGCGCGTCCGCGTCTTGTTCAGCTTTATCAGGTGCTGGACGAGGGTGCAAACTTATTAGATTCGATGTCGATTTATCGTCGTGAATTCTGTAAACATAGATTTTCATTTTTCATCGGAGACGCAGCGTGCATTCGTTGGCTCGGCAGTGCGAGGGACCATTCGTTAGAGGACGTGAAAGAACGGCATGAAGCCGCATCGTCTTGTTCCAGCTCCAGCTCGCGCTCCTCAACATTGATTTCGTGAACTACATCAACATTCGCGACACCGCTCAAGATCCTCGTGTTATAGCCACTGCTAGCCCTCACCGGACAGTCGTTGAGCAGATTCTTTCACGCTCCGTCGATGGTCGCCAGCTGCGACACTATTCAGAAGCATTAATATGTTTCACTCCCCCGAACAGCAAGAATAGAAGCGCAATTGTCATTTTGTGAGGTCGACGCAACATTCTATTGGGAACAAGATAGCCGCCCGGCTGAGCGGGTTCACTCACAACAAGCCATGGACACATTTCAAACGCTAGAGATTCATGATCGTATCCGCGAGCAGTTGTATGGTGTCGAGGACCGGAGTCTGCCGCAGATTTCGGATGAAATCGAGACCCTCCTCGGTCGGTTGCTGCCTCCGGACGAAATGCGAACCTACCACACCGCGGAGCAACGGTACCCGGGCGACATTGAGTACGAAGATCTCGTACGCGAAGGAAAGCCGCCAGAATTACCGCTCCCGGACCTGGAAACAGGGTGGCCAGCAGCAGAATTTCAATTTGAATTCCCTTCCTCTCCAAGGACCGCCGCAGCTCCGAAAGGCTCGTCCGCACAACCACCTCCACAAGGTACTCCAACGCGCGTCGGATCTGGTCCGGTACCACCACTTGCGATTAGCTTGAACTACCCTCCACCGCCCATCTCTCCTCCGTCTCTTCTCCGGCCTACCATTTCAATTTCTGGACGCGTGGGACTAGCAGATTCCGAAGAACGCAAGAAGGCTGCTGAAAATGTTTATTTGCGAGGACAAAGCACGGCGGAAGGCCAAGAGCCTCAGCTGCCAGCAGTCTTTCCAGAAGTGCGTCCGACCAGGTGGAACCCGACGAGAACAGGAAAGACGGCTATGCGCTTCTCGCCAGTTGGGCTTTCGCAGGTAAATAGGACGGCGAAGCAACACGAGGAAAATGAAAAGCTGAACGTTACCAACCTTCGGCTGGACGAACTGTATCAAAAGCGGCCGGTGTTTACTAGAAGTTCGCTCTCATCGCCGAGCAAGAGCCTAGCGCCTCCGCCCGCGCCGGCTCGCAGTAAAGGAGTGAGCGAGTTCCGGCCTGTTTTTGCGAGCGAAGAAATGTCTCCGGCTGCGCACTGCTCAACAACCGGCGGGAGCTACTCTGCAGTATCGCCATTGTTTGGTATCCCGTCCACGCCGTTGCTAGAGACGGTCTCGCCAAAAAAAAGTAGCCCGCGCTCATCTTCTGCGACCACGCGTCAAGATGTTAGCACTAGGACTATGGTGACAACGAACTCATTGCCGCGGGCTCAGCCGAGCACTACAAATAACGGTGGCGCGCCTCCACCCGCAGGGAGGACTTCTGAGGGAGCAGATGTTGACGGTCGCGGTCGGAGTCCCACTGGTGTTGCAGGTGGAGGGTACGACGAGTTGCGCACTCGGGCGCGCACAGGATCACACATTTCGGTTTCTTCCCCGTCCCCCGCACGGCTGTTGTCCAATCGAATCGACGATCTACTTTCCTCGAATACTGTCACCCGAACAAGTCCGGTTCATTCGAAAACTAGTAACAGTTACGGCACGGCCCCGGCCGACTCTGGCCTGGCAGCTCTTACGGCCCAGTCTGGAGGTGGGGCTTCCTCGTCAAAAAAAGGTACGAAGGTTGACTCTGGGTTTTTCGGTGTACTTGTATATGATACAAAAATAGAAAACGCTCATGCCTACCTCCAACCGAAAGTAGAATTATCACCGATGTACATGATCACGATAAGACTGAATGGGAAACCATCAGTATCAACACGCCTGCACGTCATCATGGTGTGACAATCTTCATCTTCAAGTCTTGAGAAATTATGACAGAGATACTATTACTACGACAACAAATTTGCCCTTCTTTCAGCAACCGGATCTGGAACTGAAGGGCCTCCTCCGGAAGATATTGCAGCCGAGCAAAAGCCCCTGGACGAAGTGAGATTGGAATTCCTGCAGACGATGAGTGGAGGCGGTGGAGGCAGCTCCAAGCCTTTCTCTTCAGGATCTTTCTTGAGCGGAAAGAACCGGCCGCGCCCCGGCCGGAACCGTCTGCAGGAGGTACAGCAGCTACTGGAACAGGACCGCCCGTACGACGAGCTGCGCACCGCGCCCTTTCCGCGCACCGACACCACCGATAAGGAAGTTGCCGATCTGGCGGCGCTGCTTGCGGACGGAGTGCGGAAGTACACAACGGCGGCGGACCGAAGCTTAGTACATCAACTCGAAAAATACTTGTAGTGACTTCAAACGCAAATGTTTCTTCTTGAGAGCGCTGAGGTCCACCACCTGAGTGCCTACTTACGTATAGAAATAAAGCGGGTTTTTGCTGGGTGATTTTGATTATGAGCCGTCCTTGATCATGCGGACGATGCTCGGGGGGGGGGGGGGTTATTCATGCTTTGTACATCGTCATTAATATGATGAACCGCAATACAAACAGGTTGTCGACGCCGAAGCCATCTGCATGCAGATTGCGGAAGTGGAAAGTGAGTCGCAGCAACTGCAGCGCAACATCGCAGCCCTGCAGGAGCGAGTGCAAGAGATTGCACAGGAGGAAGAGGACAACCAAATCAAAAACCAAGCACCAGCAGAGGGTGTTGATGTTGAACGTGTGGGAACAGGCGGCGGGATGAAAACTCTCACCAAGTCAATGGAAAGCCAGGACGTTGTAGATGACGACGTGCTTGAAACCCCATTCGAATCGAAGAATGCACCTTATTTGGACGAGGAGAGTTAGTACATCAGGCACAGCATTTGTAGGTTGAAAACTTTCATGTGCAACATGGCCGCGGCCAGCGGTGTTCTTCGGTGCCAATATACCGTGTCTCCTCTTCTGGACATTCCATTGTCCTGCTTTGGTCTTGGTGCTGCGTCGATATAGTTTTGATTCGCCGCGCCCTGTTCCTATTCGTTGGCGTTGAAGCTTTCAAACGACCTAGCGTGCCTGGACGAAGTTGCAGTTGGCAATCCACGAGCTACAGTAAGAGTAGCTCCATGTGGTGCAAAAGAAAGAAAAGCACTCTGATATGTAGCAATCCGGATACTGCAAAGGAGCGAAGCTGAGCGCCCCTGCCCGCAGGAAGTGTTTTCCCATCACAAGATGGCGCGCCGTCGCTTTCGTAGAATTCGCTGCGCCATAAGTTTTGGTGCATTCTGCTTGGCGCTCACGTCGTCCACGTTCGGGCCACAGATATGGCACTATGTACGACACCTCCTTCTATTACCGGTGGCAAATGCAAACCGAATCAAATGGGGCGACAAAACTTTGGATCCCTGCGACGCAGCTATGGAGTACGATCTGGTGCTTTTCAAGCGGTGGCCCCTTGAGCACGCTTTTACCCCGCGGCAGCAGCGCTGTATTCGCGAGGAGATCGTTTTTCTGTCTAATCTTTGCACGCGCGCGATGCAGGTTTGGAACCAGCTGCTCGGACCGGCGTACCATGAATGCATGACTCACGTCAAGCAGGTAGTGTGTGCCAGTGCCAGGAGCTCTGGTGCGGAGGAAAGAGCCGACTCCGACACGTCATCTAGTATTTCCCCTCCTGGAGACGACGCCCTTCAACGTGATCCCGCTTCAACAACAGATGAAAATATCATCACTTCATCACGTAAAAGCCAGTGTGTCTCGAAAGAGCAGCGCAAATGCAGTGCGGAGCTTCTGCTGACGGCGGCAATTCAGGATGGATCACTACCGCAAGACGTTTTTACAACCGAAGTGTTCGCCCACATGGCACCCGTACGCCTATCTCAGGATTGCACGACTGCGACGCACGAACGCATATTGCAGCAGGTGCGCTACGACTTTATAGCTGACTACGTCAAAACAAATTGGCGCGAATTGGAACGGAAGCAGCTGGCTCGGCGAGGAGTAGAGGGAACACGCCTAGTACAACAAGAATCGCAGACGGAGGACAGGAGTGGAGAAAATACGGAGCAGCTCGGCAACCGACCACGAGATATGCACAAGGGAGACAACTCCTTCGAATCGTACTACCAAGGTTTAGTGTATCTGCGAAACGCCCATGTAACGCCGAAAGACGCTTTAAGCTTTTGGTACGGCGGGTGGCAGGGTGCCATGAATGCGCTGGTTAACGCGTGGCTCCTGAAAAAGGAGTTTACCGTTGGCGAACTCGGAAATCGAATACAGGAACTTGGCGAGGAGCGACAGCTCAGCAATGGGAGGACGGATGGATTCGCACTTGGGATCATTGATCAGCACCTTGCGAACCCGGACAATTGGGTACATTCCGCCTGGGGAGAACGCCACGCAGTGCTTTGCAACCTGGCGAAGCGGGTGACCGCTGCGAGAAGGGCTGATATCGCTGCGAAAGCCGCTACTAGTATCGAGGCCGGAGCGGGGCGAACAACTGGAGAGCGAAATACAGTAGCACAGCAGCGTGCTGCGAATGAAACTAGCACCGGGGAGCCGTTTATCCTCAAAATCGCTGAGGTCGGGGTCTACCTCGGGCTCGCAACTGTGAAATTTCTAAACGAGTGCGATCTTTTTCATCCGGACTCGCCGGAATTTACGAAAATCCAGCTGCATCTCATCGATCCATGGTCTGAATCTGCTGCGGGGTACAATGCGTCAGAGTTTTACGCGGGGAAGAGAGTGGTTGAAACCGCACTTATTGACAATGACAACGCCACCGCATTTGAGGAGCGGCGTTCGCAGCGCGACCAAGTGTCCTTCGCGACAGTCTTCGATCGATTTTTGGAGAATCTCTCGACCAAGCTGCGCTTTTTCACGCCGCGCGACATTTTCCACATCCAGTACTACAATCAGGAGGAAATACTTGCAGCCGAAAAAGAGCGGAAGAATGTGATGAAAGAGCAAAATATGGAAGAACAAGGTGTACACCAAGAGCAATCCTCCGGGAGCAGCGCATCAAGGCCTGCGTATGAAACACCAACCTCGCCTGGGTATCAGTTGCACCCTACTGACGCGACAAAGCGAGCGGCTGTTCCGCCCGGCACGCCGGGAATTTTTATCCATCGTGCGAAGAGCGACCAGGCTGTCCACCGAATCGCGGAACTTGACCTCGTCTTCGTGGACGGTGACCATACCCTGGCTGGCGTCAGTCGCGATCTGGCTCTCTATGGTAACCTGTTGGTGCACCAACCTGGTGGCATTCTCGCCGGTCACGATTGGAATTTAGAGGGCTTCGAGTCCGTCGCCGTTGCGGTCATGGCCTTTCGGCTCGGCTTGCATCGAAACGCGCGGGGGGAGTGGTTTCGTGGGCCGGTGTATCAAGACAGCGATTACACCTGGTGGATGGATGTTGGATAAAGAGGCTTCCCTTCGAGAAAAACGAAGTAGAAACGAACCCGACCGGCATCTTGTACTTGTTCCGCAGATCTTCCAAAATTCGAATTGAAATTTAAAGATTTGCCTGGGAAATTTAGTCTGCGGAAAGATTCTGTAACCACACACTAAGATGCTCTTCGAGAAGTGCGAGTGGAGTCGTGTTGCGCGTGTCCAAGTCGCAAAAGGGCTGGTCTAGGTGTCTTGTGAAGCACGCGTCGGCCGCATCTCGTCGAGAGCTTCTGTTACCAGGCTTGAATGGGTAACAAATGAAACAAATAGATGAACAAGCCTCATGCTGGCACAGAATCCATTTTCACACAAGAGCATTCAGCTTCTGCATTCCTATGTATGGTTTTGGTTCTTTGTGAATCTGAATGTGATGATGTAGCAATGCACAGTTTCGCACATAATAAGACAAGAGCAACTTCTAAGCAAATGCAAAGGCAAGCCGGGTGCGAGTCTCGATCTCCGGCTTTCTTCAAGTTGTCGCTTAAGCGCTTCTAGACACAGGCCACAGGAATAAAACGCAAGCAAAATAGTGGTGTGGGTTCATGACTTGAAATTCAACTTTCACTCTATCTTGGTCGGCGTTCTTGGCGCGGTTATTTTCTAAACCGTGAGTGGGGAGGACACGCTGCTATAAGAGATCCTTTTACTTTTTGATGTTTGGCATCACCAGAGACGAGAGCTTGAGCGAAATTTAAAGATTTGGATCCCATGCCGTCCCTCGTTGTCTTCATTGTCTATTTGAGGTTCATTGTCTATTTGAGGTTGAGAACGGCGACATGATTATTGGATTGGAGTTGTAAGCATATGCAACTAAAGAAAAAGATCAAGATCTGAGCAATGAATTGATCCGCCACAGATTGTGCTCCTCATGATCTTCTTGAAATTTCAAGCTCCTGCCACTGGGTACTACGTAATCACAAAATGACTGATCTTCTTGATTCGAGTGCCAGAAAGTTCTGAGAGATGCTCCAGGCTGAAATTTAGATCTCCAAAATTTCAATCTGATCCTCAGAAGATAAAGAAGCCGATGAGCGATCCGCATTCCGAACAAGTGTTGCCTGAGAAAGAATTTAGATCAGCCGTCAAATTCCGATAGAAGTCTGGATCCGCAACTGGAGAAAATTTAGAGCTCAAGCGGGATCTTGAAGGATCTCTCGACATAGAACTTGCTTATTCTGGACGTGAAAGAAGCCCCTCCTTTATTTATTTCTCTTGTCGAAACCGCACACAGGGACATTTAAAACGAGGGTTCTCGTTTTAGAATTTTAGTTTCGGGGAAACAGAACCAAATCACACAAAATGGCTGACGCACCTCTCTTCAAGCGCTTCGTCGAACCGGGCCGCCTGGTCCTCGTCCGTTACGGACCTCTGGAGGGAAAGATCGCCACCATTGTCGACATGGTACGCTTATTTTTCAAGTCCTCGTGAATTTAGCTTTTTTTGGAAATGTGGATTTGAATATCAACATTTTTTGTCTTCCATGATATGATGTAATTGTGATGACTAAAGCCAAATTACCTACACAGGTTTCCATCAACAAAGTCCTGATCGACGGCCCGACTACCGGCGTGAAGAGGCAGATGATTCCCCTGAAGTGGGTTTCCCTCACCGGCTTCAAGAGCAACCTCGGCCGCGGCGCCAAGGAAAAGGCTCTGAAGAAGGCCTTGAAGGAATCTGATACTGTCAGCAACTGGGAAAAGTCCGCGTGGGCCAAGAAGATCGCCGCCAAGAAGGCCAAGGTATACAACTGACTTTCTTTAGTTTTTCTCCAATTTTCTCATGCTGTGTACGTCTTTTTTGCCTTTGCGCTGATGCAGATTTGTTTGCAATTATGTGACTGATGAACTATTGCACAATATTCTGTTAGCGAGCGGGAGCGACGTAAAAAGAGCAAAATCTAAATCTGACATCTTTATGTTTCTCGGTGTACTTATTCTTTCTTTCTCCTTTTGACAGGCCGCCTTGACCGATTTGGACCGATTCAAGCTGATGCTGGCAAAGAAGAAGGTCAACCAGGAGGTCAAGAAGAGCTTGAAGCCCAAGAAGAAGTAAATCCAACTCCGCGTCTGTTTGGGATAGATTGGTTTCCATCAGCGATTACACCTGGTGGATGGATGTTGGATAGATGAGAAGTCTATTTTCTGTTTACGCAGACCGAGGAACAAATCCACGTCGAAAATAAGCCAGTTTTCGGGACGCGGTGGTCAGCACTCAAAATCCGTTTCCGAAGCGGACCCCTCGGAGGACGAGCTCTCGTTGGTAGCTTCGCCGATGAACGAAGTGCTGAGCCAAAACGTTATCCCGACGCCCACCGCAGCGGAGACGGCAACGGGGGTCGGGAGCTTTTTCACCGGCTTCGCGCAAAACGAAAACATAAAGAAGGATAAAGAAAAGCCGAGGGGACGCAATGTTCTGACCTGGACTTGATCCACGACTATCCGGAATCCCCCGCCTACCACGCGTGCCTCGATGACTGGCACGGGATCCACGGCATGGCTTCCGAGTGCGAGAAGCAGCGCGCCAACATCGGCTCTCCCTGCGGGAAAGCCTGCTTGTACAAGGGGATCCGGCAGCTGGCCGCGAAGCACGGCGCGGTCTCGGAGTTGCTGAAGTGGGGCGTGACGGACTTCAACTTGTGGAACCAGCTCGTCACGCTGGCCCAACCGGTGGCCGACGGCTTAAGCGAGGAAGAACTCGCTGGCGTGTTCAAAAACGGACGGCGACGACACGGCGGCGATCACACGGTGATGCCGATCCCGCGGGTGCGGCACATCTTCACCTGTCTCGACGGGAATTCCGACGGCACTTTGGATGGCGCGGAACTCACCCAGCCGACGAAGTGCTTCCGCAAGTGCCTGGAGGTGAAGGAGCCGGCGGGGCACTTGGAAAAAATCCCGGATGACGCGGACGTGACGGACGTTCTGTCCCTGTGGTTGGGCGACGCGCAGGGCAGCGCGCGGAAGTTTGACACCATGCTGGGCAGGGTCGGTGTATCGAGGGCCGGTGTATCAAGACAGCGATTACACCTGGTGGATGGATGTTGGATGGAGAAGTTTCCCTTCTTCGAGAAAATGTGAATAGAAACCACGCCTGCGTCTTGTTCCGTAGATCATCAAAATGAAGTAGAAGTGAACTTTAAAGATTCTTGAGATGCTCTTCATCGAGAAGTTCGAATTGTGTTGCGCGTGTCCGGGCGTCGCAAAAGGGCTGGTCTTGGTGTATCGAGAAGCACGCGTTGGCATCTCGTCGAAAGCTCCTTTGGCAAGGCGTGAATGGGCAACAAATGAAGTAGGTGAACAAGCCTCATGCTGGCACAGAAACCATTTTCACACGAGAACATTCAGCTTCTGCATTTAGTGTATTTCCATGTATGGTTTTGCTTCTTTGTGAATGTGATGATCTAGCAAGAATGCACAGTTTCGCACATTGTGATCATTTCGAATACAACAAGAGCAGCAAAGCCAACCGATCTCCGGCTTTCTTGAAGTTGTCTCTTGAACGCTTCCAGACACGGGCCACGGGAAGACACAAGCAAAATAGTGGTGCGGGTTCATGATCTGAAGTTGAACTTTCATTCTTGATGCTGAGAAAACTCCGCTATACGAGATCTATCTTTTGCATTCCGAGAGACGAGGGCAAAATTTAAAGATCCCATGCAGCGCCTCCTTGTCTCCATTGTCTATATAATGTTGACGATGGCGACAAGATCACTGGAGTTGTAAGCGTAATATGCAACTATAACTAAAGATCTGAGAAATTGATCCTCGACACGTGCTCCTGATGATCTTCTTGCAATTTCAACCAGCCATTGCGTACTACTTAAGGATCAGATTTTGAAAAAAATGACTGATCTCGATTTGAGTGGTAGAAAGTTCTGAGAAAAGGTGCAGGCTGAAATTTAGATCTACAAAGTCTCAATCTGATCCCCAGAAGATAAAGAAGCAGATCCAGATGATCGATCCGCATACCAAATCTGTTGCCCGAGAAAGAATTAGAATTTAGATCAGCCGTCAAATTCCGGTAAAAGTCTGGATCCGCATCTGGAGAAAATTTAGAGTTCCAGCGGGATCTTGAAGGATCTCTCGAAGTAGAACTTGCTTTTGCTGCACGTGAAATAAAAAGAAGACCCTCCTTTGTCATGTCGCTTTTTTCGAAACCGCACACAGGGACATTTAAAACGAGGGTTCTCGTTTTAGAATTTTAGTTTCGGGGAAACAAAACCAAATCACACAAAATGGCTGACGCACCTCTCTTCAAGCGCTTCGTTGAGCCGGGCCGCCTGGTCCTCGTCCGCTACGGACCTCTGGAGGGAAAGATGGCTACCATCGTCGACATGGTACGCTTATTTTCCAGTCGCTGATTTAGATTTTTTCGAAGTACTTAACATTTTTGTTTGCCATGACATGATACAATTGTGATGTCAAAGAACTCTAAAGCTAAATTATCTGAACTTGAACAGGTTTCCATCAACAAAGTTTTGATTGACGGCCCGACTACCGGCGTGAAGAGGCAGATGATTCCCCTGAAGTGGGTTTCCCTGACCGGCTTCAAGAGCAACCTCGGCCGCGGCGCCAAGGAAAAGGCTCTGAAGAAGGCCTTGAAGGAATCTGATACTGTCAGCAACTGGGAGAAGTCCGCCTGGGCCAAGAAGATCGCCGCCAAGAAGGCCAAGGTATACAACTGACTTTCTTTAGTTTTTCTCCAATTTTCTCATGCTGTGTACGTCTTTTTTGGCTTTGCGCTGATGCAGATTTGTTTGCAATTATGTGACTGATGAACTATTGCACAATATTCTGTTAGCGAGCGGGAGCGACGTAAAAAGAGCAAAATCTAAATCTGACATCTTTATGTTTCTCGGTGTACTTATTCTTTCTTTCTCCTTTTGACAGGCCGCCTTGACCGATTTGGACCGATTCAAGCTGATGCTGGCAAAGAAGAAGGTCAACCAGGAGGTCAAGAAGAGCTTGAAGCCCAAGAAGAAGTAAATCCAACTCCGCGTCTGTTTGGGATGGCAATAATTTGTCGAGTTCCAGTCGAACGTGAGAATCGGTTTTGTCAATCTGACACGACGGACAAATAGCATGATGAAGCGAAGATGAAGCCGATTTAGGGCAACCATGATTCTCCTGTAGAAAGTGTGATTTGTTTTCCTGAACTAAAAAACGCCACCCCTGCCGTACAGGGAGTACTGCAGCTGTCACCCTCTACTAGGGTTAGCATTTCAGCCATTAACAGCGCGGTGTTCATTCTTGCCGTGGTGTAGAGTTGACTCGAGAGACGGTGGAGGGCGAGAGAACAAAAAGTGCAATTTTCCATAAAAAGAAAACGCATGACAGAGGTCGTGGCGTGGAGAGTTGTAGCAGACAGGAGTTTTTGGCTCCTGAGAGGACACAGTCAGATTTAGGTCCCGAAAAGGTTGATGCGACGGGCCTTCCTGTTGTCTGTGATAACGATGTTCCGTGGCGATGTCAAGCCACGCTCAACACGTGTGTCCGTTCTCGTGCCATAAACCTTTTATTTTTGGAGCGCGGAGAATGTCCTGAATTTGGGTCTCTGGCGCACGTCGCCTGCTGTCAAAAATGCCATCGTGGCTTGCTTGCACGCACGCAAGCTCAGGACAGGAGGTTGTACGCAAGCGAGCTAATTTGAAGTTGGCGCTTGTCCTATCGCCACATCGCTCACAGAAGTCTAGCCGTTGGTGAGTTCGGTCGAACCCAATTTTTGAGTGGAGGCGATGCGGAGGTTCTGGTGTTTTTCCGTGGCCGTTGCGACACGGGGGCTGCTGGAGGAGAACAGCGACGAGGATCGCTTCGCTCCATTTCACGATGTTTTCGTCGGTACAGAACTTGGCATCGATGATCTTGTCGTCGCAGGGTCCGTATCAGAGCGACGCGCCACAGACACCAGCACGGGACTTCTGCAGTCCGCTGGGCGAAATGCTGCAAAGGATGATAGTAGCCGCGACGATGTCTCCGCCGGCGAGCACACTGCCACAACATCCGCGTATCAAGCGGCGCTGGAGAGGGGCGTTGACTGGCGACCAACCACGATCGTGCCAGCAGCGGAGTTTCGGAAGCAAATTCATATCCAGACAGATAGGTGGGTTACAACTGGTGCAGCTGAAAGCGAAGCCCCCACGTCCACGGTCCGCCTGACCAAATTGTCGGTCCACACGAGCGCCGATCAAGTCGCGTTCGCGGAATTCCATCAGACGAGTGCAAACCTTTTACAGGGCGGAACAAGCGCAGCCTCTGCGAAATCATTGTCCTCGTCCCTTGTCACTGGCGAGCTGCTTTTTACCTGTCGGCGCTCTGGCCAGGCCAAAATCACGCTACGCTTCGAGCTGGAAAGACCGCGCAATGCCGCAGCAGGGACGATCGAGCTTGCATCCGACCCCCACAGGAGCATCGTGGATGTGAATTTCGAGAAGCACTGTCTGGGTTTTCCGCTGATCGGTCTCTCCGTGCTGCAGGACGGCACCCCGGAAAGTTCGCAAAAGCTCTTCGATTCTTCGAAAGACGAATTGTCGACGGCCTCGGCTGAAGCGGAAAGTGTGCGGCGGCATCTGGAGGCGGCACGGTTTGCAGCTTCAGGTGCACGGTCTGCTGCGGAAGGCGAAGACAGCAGAAAATCCGCAACAGCTGGCGCTTCGTTTGCGCAAGACCCGGGCAATGAGGACATCAAGAGTCAAGAACAAGATGACAGCAATTCTTACCCGTTTCTGGTGCAAGAAGGAGTCGCGCGTGGCCTGGTAGATGCGAGTAACTTCTTTTCGTCAGTGCACAAGCTGGGTGACCTCGTCGGGAACGCTGCCACGCCGGTTCTGTATTTCTCGGAGAAGTCCTCGTCATCTTCAACTTCAGCTTCATCGCATGCAGAAACCGCACCGCATATTTCTCCGGCAGGCGGGAGCGATAACTTTCATTCAGCAGGGAATAGAGGGACTGGTGCTGCTGCCGACACGTCTACTACAGCAGCTGGAGCAGTGCCGGCTTTGCTCGCGGACAGCCCTGTGTGGGTTTTCGATTCGGCACTCGTTGTGCCCCTGGCATTAACCGCGCCGTCCGAAGTCGTTTTTTCCCCCGTGGAAATTGAAGTCCAGGGTTCTCTTTCAAGTCGGCTCTCCCACTACTTGGGCTCCCTGGCAAGCGGTGGGAGCATTCTCGATCAGCGACCGGCTAGTACCTCGGACGAAGTGCAAGATAGTACCGCCATGCTGTGGGCAAAATCAAAATCCGTTCCAAGTCGGCGGGCCATGCAGAAGTTGTTGCACCAGACAGCTACCGCGAATCGCCGAGGTGAGGAAGTGGCTCTGAGTATGCCTGAAGTTGCTGCCAACAGCAGCGACGGTGTCAGCACAGGAGACACGACTACGTCTAGCGTAACTGCCGAGGAGTCCAGCCGTGGAAACCGGGACTACATTTCGTCCGGCGAGCAAGCTCTAGCAACTGTGCCAAACTCACCAGCATCTTCTAATACGGCAAGTACAGCACAACTAAACGACGACGGGCTGGAGAGCCCAGAATTGCCCGATTCGATCAGATTTTCGACATCTACCTCTTTCAAACCTTCCGCAGAAGCAGCAGCAGCACCAGATGTAGTCGAAGAGAGCGACCTGTTGACCACGCGAGCGGGGGCCGTGTCGTTTTTACAAACGCGCTCGTTGGATTCCTCATCATCAACCCTGTTCGGTGCTGGTGCACTGATTCTCAAGTGCGACAGTTACGGTCCGGGCTTGGTCCGTGTGACTTTTTCCGCTTTCCCGGCTTACCAACCCTACGCCCCGGTTCGTTTCGAGCGCGCAATTTTTTGTGGCCACGAAAAGCAGCGGCCCGACTACGTGCTGGCACAGGTTTTGTCCGGAGATCATGATGTGGTCATCTCCAGAGCACAAGAACAGGCCGCAGAAAATGTTGACATCATCAGGGAGAATCTTCTCGGAACAAGTAGCCCTGCGTTCTTTCGTCCCGCTGTTCTGCAAGACCGGTACTCCTTTCTCGCTGCCAACCAGCACGCGGTACTACCGGAGATGAAGGCCCTGGCGATGTTGAGCGAAAATCTTCCCGCTCGTCCTGGTGGTGCAACTACTACTCTGAGGGAAGAGGTTTCTATGCCACTGGCCTTGCTCGAGGGTGAGCGAGAGGTAAGTGCTCCGGCCGACCTTGCGTGGGATGAGGATCGATCAGTGTTTCGGATTCTGCGCGCCGACGCTGCGGACGAATACCAGGTGCAATGCGCCACCGCCGGTGTGCATGGTTCACAAACGTCCAAGGCCCTGCTACCAACGCGGACGAGCTTCAAATTTCGTGCGGGAGAGACGGAGATGACGGACAAGTCAACCAGAAGTACTCAAGCGCCTACTGTGAGCAACCGCAATGTCGAGGCAGGTATCAAACGCGATTCATCTTCCCAGCGTTCTCGGTATTCTGAGGTCACGGTGGACTACCAGTGCGCCCGCTCCGGCTTGTTTCAGTGCACCCTGAAGCCACGCTGGGCTTCAGTGAAAGAGCAATACCGGGGAGACGGCTTACGCTGGAACAAACAGTGTGGTGGGGCGCGAGGGATCACGGTAATAAGTCGGGACGCCACCATGTTCGGACCCTTGTCGCTGCTTGCTGCGGTGCGGAGTAATTCGAAGGACGAAAGCCAAACTGATGAATCAGGTAGAAGCACCGCTACCGGTGAATCTGGTTCTTCTTCTTTCTTCCCTACTAGTACTTCCGACAAGCTGTTGCTGCTCCCCGCTGAAGCAAATCTTGCGACTTTTGTTCTGCACGCGGAAAAGCCAGTGCTGTTGCGGGGACCGCCACGAGTTCGGGTTTTGAGCAACGGAGCATCACCAACATCATCCGAAGAGCAGAAAGCAACAAATGATCTGCTCCGTGTGCAGCTGGTGCGCGGTGACGATATTACTTCGATCGACAGAGACACCTTGCTGACCGCACAGTTTCAATGCACGGTGCCCGACGCGGCAGCTGCAGAAGAGGGGGTCTCGGACCGTCAGGGCTCCGAAGAGATTTCGAGCAAAGGCGCAAATGCGGACGGAGATCTAGACGTGGAAATCGCTTTGCCGATCGAGAAGCCGTTGCCGGAGGACGCAGACACGCTTTCCTTTCGCATCAAAAAGCGATGTGCAGACGCGGCCGGCACAGGAAGCTTTTTTTCTCGGAGATTCGCAGCAGGAGGAAATCGAAATTCCGGAAGCAGTACTGCAACATCGCATGGAAAAGAATCGCGCGGTGCTGCACCCAGCGGGTTGGCGCTTCTGCTTTTGAGGATGCAAAGCGGGATAGCAAAACTCGCGGCGCCATCACATGACAGTTACTTCGGCCGAGTGCTCGGAGCAATCCTTCCGTCGAGCAGCGGGGGAGCACTAGTACTGCCAATCGCGGCCTCGTTGATGGTTCTCGCTCTGCTTTTCAGCTGCATCGGAGCAACAGCCTTGGGAGGTTCCGGAGGTTTCTGGCGCCGGATTATCTTCATGAAAAAAGACAGAGCTGACGCGTCCTCTGCAGGTGAGTCGTTGGTTGGGCACGCGGCAGACGCAACGACATCGACGAAGACCAGCAAGGCGGCATCAACGAGAAGCAAGAAACGCGGATCCCAGAGAAGCTGAGTCAAAACTAACTTTCGAATACCTGGATGGACCGACTGTTTCCTTTTCTTTTGGACGTTTCCGTTTTTTCATGATTTTGGTAGAACGACAAATTCAAATTGCGCCTCGTTCTTAGCAGGCAATGATGATGAAGATGCAAAGCCCAACGCCGTACTAGCTACAGCACCTTTGTACGATTCATTGTTCGTGTTTTTTCCGACGTGTTTTAAGTATATCTTTGCAGAGGAGCGAGACCTTGGATTGCGATGTACAGAGGAAGAAGTTCCACGGCAAAGCACGTTCCAGAAATGTAGCGGGCGGATTACTAGCTCCAAGCTTATTTCTTCTGCTGAGAGATCCGATGGAATCGAGATGTCGTTCATCCTCTTCGTGTTCGTGCTGAAGTTGGCTACAACCAGAAACCTTAAACTTGTGTAGTCACCCGCGAGGGTCTCCTCTATGGTCTTCCGCCGAGTGTTCAACTTCAACATCAACCTTAACACCGAAAATTTCAAGTATTAAAATGGACTGCGTTTGGGAAGACGAGGTCAGCGAGTCGGCTTTCGTCGTCAGAGCCGCGGCCGCTGTGTTGAGGAATGATGTAGCAGCAAAGGAACTGGCAGTTATGGAAGGGGCTAGCACACCGATTCATTCCAGTTCTTGCAGTTTTGGCCCTAGTTCTGTCGGTGGACCACGGGCATCTTCACACCAACAAACCGTCCAAATCGACCCAGATCGCCTGGCAGCCCACGGGTACGTGAAGACACGTATGCACGCACACACGGAGAAGACACTGCACGGCCTTCTAGCCGCTGAACTGAAATACATGGGCGGGGGCGGGCCACAACAGGAAATTAAGGAGGTCGGCAGGAGCACCGTCGATGCCACGACGAAAAGCAGCAGCGCAGCAGGCTCTGCCCCTGGACCTGATGGTGGTCATCAAGAGCATCTGCAGGCGGCATCTTCACATTCGTGGGAGGATGACGAGCGTCCGCGCTTCTGAGGATTGCCTTGGTACTGCTTTCAGGAGGGAATGACGCCCTACGTACCAAAGTAACGAGTACTCAACTACTTTATCTTACTCCTACCTTCCTGCTGTTCATAGGCTGCAAGTACAACAAGAAAGTCAGCTGCAGACAAGTCTTTGGAACAAAGCACAAACGGAAAGGCGTTTATTTTTGCTCCACCTTCTTCATTACCAATACTGAGAGACGGCAGAATGAAAACATGCAATTTTGTCGTGACGCTACCTGTCCCTGTGCGAACGAAGACGCGTGCTCCTGTAATGCCATCGCTTCATCATCATCATCTCGAGGCTGCTGCGCGCTTTTCTATTTCATTTGTACGCAAGGGTGGCTGATTTTATGCATATTTCTGCAACGCCAAGGCCAACGTAGTGCTATGTACGCAAAATGAATGCTCTGACTGAATGAAAATGAATATGTCAATAGGTGGGGATTGCAACGTGTAAGATAGATGTGACAAGTCGCAAATGAAATGCGAATGGCTTTCTTGAATGATGCTCAAGACAAAAACATAGGATACAGAAAGATGAAGAAGTAGGGCGGAAACACATTGCGAAGTGGGCACCAGCACTTAGTACACTTCTCCAAAGTGAAAGTCAGAGTTGTGCTATTGACACGGTTGTATGCAAATGCCACTGAAAGTAGAAATTCGAAATTGCAACCAAAACAACTCGTTGTCGTCGTGCTAGAAGAGTGAAGCCGAATCCGATCGTGGACGGCTATGGCGTCGATGGAGAGCGCGAGAAAGCGGCACATTGATGTGCTTGTGCAGAGAGGTCGTGGCTGCTCGTGCAGTTTTTTCTTCTTATCGCGAATCGTTCGATCTGGAGAGGGCCAGTAGTTGTTAGGTCTGTTTGCTCTTGAAAAGATGTTGGGCGAGTAGTGTGACATCAAAGAAAAAATTATCTGCTAGCAAAGCAACGAATAGAAAAACTTTAAAAGTTCTTTCCTATCTACTTGATGGACGAAATCGAAGCGCCTCCCTCGTCTGCCCGTGGAGTGGGAAAGCTTGCGGACGCGATGAATCCAGCGTATCAGGGTGATCACCTCGACCAAGAACTCCTGGTGAACCCCAGGCAGGAGTTGGTCTTGGCAGCGAAGCGGACTGCCGCGTTGCCGCCGTACGGGGGCGTGCGCCGGTTTGTCCCGCAACTGCCCGGCGTCAGCGAGTTGGTGATCGATTACATGAGCGGGTTCGGCAACGACTTCGACTACGACCTGGTTTCGGTGGAGCGCGCCATCTGCGAGGCCAACGCGTTTTTTGACCGCAAGGAATACCTGAAAGCTATGGATTTCTACGCCGTGGCCTACGAGTTCTTCCGCTTCCTCCCGGACCTGGACCGGTACTTTCCCGTCGCACACGACCTGCTGGTCCGCCGCGTGATTTGCCTGAGCATCCTCGGTAAGTTCGAACAGGGGGTCGCCGAGACGATTATGGCCCTCGCGGTGTGTCCTAACTCCCCCGTCGTGTACTTTTTTCAGGGCGTGTTGTTTTCGAAAATGAACGACACGGCGCAGGCCAACGAGGCCTTCCAGCGCTGCGTGCACCAGTCTGCGGACTACCACGATTTGATCGACGTGCTCGTCGGGATTTTCCTCCACATGGGCGGCTACTACGACCACGCCATCGCGGTGGCCGGCAAGGTGTTGCAGCGCAAGCACGATGAAATTGGGAGCGGGCTGGCGCTGGGAAATTCTACAACCGATCAGGACGAGACCTCGTCCAGTAGTTCATCATCTCTGGATGCGAGATTGGAAATTTTGGCCCTCATTCTCCGCGCTGATTCCTACAAATTCCACAACGACGGGTACTACGCGCCGCAGGCGGCAGACGACTACAAAACTCTTTTCAGTCTGACCCGCGAGGGTCAACAGCAGGGCGAACAAAATTATGAGCACTTCCGCGAGTACTTCGGGCATGGTTTCGCCTTCAAGAACCATGATTTGGTGGAGACGCGTTTTATCCGGCAGTTCAGCGACGTCTTCGAGAACACCCGCCCGCGGGGGTTCTACGAATACCCTCTGTTCAACCTCGTTCGAAACTGCGGCGTGCGGCCCATCGCGGTCCTGGGTCTAGTTTTGCTGTGCTGCGGGAAGTTGCTCCAGCGGTCGAAAACAACACGGCTGTTGAAGCGTCTGGAGCGCGAACAGGAGGATTTGCGGGAACGAAGGGAGGTGGTGCTACGAAAAATCGAGTTGCTCAACGCGGCGGAACGGGCGTTACCGGGGAATCTTCCCAATGTTGCTCCTGCGCCAGCCTTGCTGAATTATGCAGCTCCGGGCGAAAGCGGTGGAGAGGATGGGTATGGCGTCGGCCGCACGCGCTTCGGCTCAGGCGAGGACGGGACCATAGTGTGGGGTCCCGCCGACCCCGATTTGGTGCACGTCAAACCCTATCGACGGTACTGGAAAGAACGCCCTCCGCGGACGCCACGCATAGTCAACATTCTGGAAGAACAAGAAGAGCCAGCGGACAACAGTCTGGGTGAAGAGAAAGAAACTGCTGTCTCGTCTAAACCTGCCTTCACAGAGCTGGTGCACGACGTTGATCCTCTGTCAGCTGCGGGCGGTGGTGGTGGAGCCGGCGGCTCTGCGACGTCACCAAGTAAGCGAGACAAGAAATCAGTATCACCGCGGTCGCGCCACCGCGGAAACGCAGCGCTTACAGAAAAGAAGTACGATCCGGACGCGGAAATGCACGCTGAACTCGCAGAATTCGTCAGGTTGAAAAAGATGGCTGCTGCAGACACTGTCGAACAAAATCCCGACTCCGTTAACGTTGCTGCAACACAGGAGCAAAAGGACATGGTGTTCCTGGAGGGCGTGCACCAGAGTGAAGAATCGGCGCTGAGTTTCGACGAAGTGCACATAGAAGAACAAGACCTTTCCGTGAAGGGCACAATCGTGGACCGAATGGAGCACGAACAAGGTCGAGCCGAAGATGAAATGGTCACGACGCTTGGTAAAAATGCCTCGAAGACGCTGGCGTCCACCTCGTCAGCGAGACGTAGACAAGATGACAGGGCAAAGAATGAAGATCCTCAAGATCGCTGCTTTTTCGCCCAGGGAGATGGTGCTACCTCCGCGGATGCAAGCGCAGAGGTCGAAGTGTTTGACGACGAGATTCTGGAGCTTCTACTCGATGCAGAATCGGACGGAGACGGACTTCCAGAGGAGATCGATGAAAGTTTTCCTGAACACAACGATTGCGGCGCACCGATGTTGAGTGGCAGTGGTGGAATAAAAATTGCAGGTCAACACGTGGCGTTCTGCGAGCGGGAGCAGGAGCTGGAACTCTCTAGTACTCCATGGAGCTTCTACACAAACACGCTTTTTCTCTTCGAGGGGTCACACCAGGCGGCGGACCCTCCTTTCAACCGAACCACGGGGGGCGAGACGACGAGCGATGCCTACAGCATGGACGGTTTTGTTCCAGAAGACCAAGAGGAGCGCGGTGCCGAGGGTGGTGAGGGAAGAAGTGCCAGCAGGGAAGATTTGCTTTCACAGAGCAAAGTCTCCGCACCGGGGGACGAAAACAGCAGGGTAGCCGATCATGGGGAGGCGCGACCCGGCAAGGATGATCTCGTTAGTGCTGCGGGGAACAACATCAAGCGGCGCGGGGAAGAAGTGTTTATGAGCGCAGAGACAGCCGGCGACCGGGCTGCAGAGCACACATTCATGACGTCGGCGTCCCGGGCAGAGCACGACTCGCACTTCTTGGAGAATTACCTCGCAACGGGAGACATTGAGACGCTGAACGAAACGCGGTACGGAGAGCAGCCGCCGTTTGTGCCTTCGCGGCCAGGCAAAGCGATTTTGCAGGTGGTCTCCGAGGATCCCAACATTTTGGATCAGCACGCCGTGCCAAAATCAACCACAGCTGGCGCGAGGACGACTTCGGCGCAGCTCCGCATGGAGCAAGAAGAGCAGCAGGAGGCACTGCAGCTGGCCTTGGCTCGCCCCGTTGCGCTGCAGCCGCTGCCTGCGCCCACGGGAACCGACTGGTCCGAAACCGACTGGGCGGAAAAGGCCCTGGCGGCGGCGGACGCGTACATCGAGCGTGAGGGCCTCTCGCCGGTGAAGCAGCGGGTCCCCGAGCCGCGGTCCGCCTCGGTGAACGCACATCTGAAAAACAGGGCCACGTACGACGGCGAGGATGTGGTCGACGTGGTGCTTGAGCAGGGACTGCAGACGTTAGAAGACTACTGGGAGGAACTCGACGCGGTAAACGAGATGACCTGCATGAGCAAATGCTCCGCACCGCCTCCGCCCGACAGCACAGTCGGCACGTACTCTGTCACCGACCCGCGCTCTTACGTGCTGCCGCCCGCACAGCGGCGTGGAAGCGGCGCAGGGGCCGGAGGCTCGACAGCTGGGAGGAGTTACTTCGTCAGCGAAGGTGCTGCAGCGGCACGAGGATCTGCGACGCAGATGAATCGCGATCGGGAGGCGAGACAGCACATCCAGAGGCAGTTCCAAGGGCGTGTATTGCGCGAGAACCTGCAAAATCCATTGCAGCAGGGCGGGAGGGCAGGAATGCGGTCGTAAGTTTGAGGGGACGTACCCACCGCGAATGTTTCAGTGTTGGCGACTGATTCCGTGCTGAATGAAGAATGGCAACTCGTCTGCATCCTGTCTTTTTTGCAAACGAATCAATGAGCTACAACTAGAACTACCACTTTCTTTATCTTTTCGGCAGCGAATATGAATGTGAAAGCTGCGCTACGCATTCACTCTTGCGTATGGACTTTATCTTTGAACTCTCTGTCGTGAATAATGTCTGCGAGCAGTAAAGCAAAAGCCGTGACACTCCTATTGGATTTGGAAGCAAAGGTAATGGCTCGTCGTGTGACTACAGTTGAAGGAGTTGAGGGCAGCAAACCGATCATTAGTTTAGGGTGCACACTACCAGCGTCGATGAATAAGGATTTCTGGTCTAGTAGAAGATGTCGATGTGTGGAAGATCCTGTGTACTCTTTGTTCCCCCTATTCTGGTACAGTTGCTGAGTTTTTTAAGATCCATTTCGAGGAGATGAAAGATCAAGTGCCCTGGTAGCGTATTCGTAATATGTATATGTGTGTATCATCTGTATCTTGCAGCGAGTGGAAGTAGCATCTTCCGATGCGCTACTAGCTAATGGATCTCACTTCGGACGTCGAGCATGGGTATTATGGAACAAGAACGATCATGCACGAACGCACCTAAATTTAAAGCTTCGGCTTGCGCTGTACTGCTGAAGATCGCGCTGCGGGTTCAGTGCCGGTTATTGGCTCTTCTTCATCATTCAATTTGAAACTGGAAAAACAAAATCAACATTGTGCTCCTCACTTGACTCTTCAGTCCGCCCCGGTTCGCTGTGGTCCTAGGATTTTTCCCGTTTATTTGTTTCTATCGAACCTCTCTTACACCTAGTCGGATCATTTCTTTGCAGAGCTATGCCGATGCAGGTTTTTGTGCGTGGTGTCGACGGCACCTCCCAGGTGCGTTGCATCGACGAGAAGGCAACCGTGGGTGAGTTGATTTCCACGTTGGATGTTGAGGAAAATCTCCACTTGTCCTACGCGGGTAAGGACATTCCGGAGGATGCCTTCGTCGGGGATGTGTTGCAAGAGGAGTGCACTGTCGACGTCAACGTCGACCTGCTCGGTGCGGGAAAGAAGCGCAAGAAGAAGCAGTACACCAAGCCGAAGAAGATCAAGCACAAGCACAAGAAGGTCAAGCTCGCAGTGCTGAAATACTACAAGGTAAAACCAATAACAATACGTACTTCACCTTCTGCTGTGATCATAGGGTCATCATAAACGGACAAGCTATTAGCTAGGAACGACAGATTCGGATTCGTCCACGATGCCACATTTAGTAGTTTCAAAAAGTGATTTGCTTGTGAGCTCCAAAAGCCGAGCATGTTGATGAAGAGCTAGTACTATGACATCTAAATCTAAATTTCTGGTTTAGGTCGGCGGCGATGGAAAGGTGACCCGCTTACGTAAGGAGAGCCCGATCGCCGGAGCTGGCGTCTTCATGGCCATGCACCACAACCGATACCACTGCGGGAAGTCGGGGCTCACCTTCATGTTCAACAAGGAGGAGGAGAAGTAGACACCAAATTTAAACTTCGGAGGAACTCCGATGTCGTGACGGCGCACGGAAGGCGTGTCGAATTTACGGAAGATGAGCTGCAACTGCTTGGCAGTTGATGTTTTTCTCTCTATTTTGAGTCCGTGTGCGGCGAAGATGAAAATAGATGATGATTGAGTGGCTTTTTCAACGACGGAAACGAGAGAGATCGCGCAGTCGCAATTTAGATTGTAGCGATCGTCTTTCTAGGAGATCAGGCTCCATCATCTGACTTGCAAGAACTAGACGCGGCAATTTCCTGGATCGAAAGAGTGAACAGACGGGGACGAATTCGTGATCAAAAAAACTTGTCGCATCTAAAGTGATTGCGCCAGATGTTGTTCACCCTGCATCTCCTGACGCCTGAGTGCTTTTCCATGGTGTCAAGGTCAATGTGATTGACATCATGAAATGTGCCTGAGCTAGATTTTGTACAGAACACGCTGAGTTATGCACCCTAGGCAATGTATTATTTCGAGCGAAGATTTTTGTTCCTTAAAAGATCCATCGGAGGAGAATCTCCAAAGCCTCCTTCGATCTTGTCTCAGTGGTGAAAGAAATTCAAATTGCAGACGGCACATGAGATCAAAATCAAATTCAAAAGAGACAAGAGAATGAGAAATTGAAATTCATGAGAGTCATTTCGGATCATGTGCAGGCACAACAGGATCAAAATCAATTCGAAAGCGATCGGGTTCTAAAAAAGGCGAAAATCTAAATCTTCCGCCAGATCTGCTTCTTTAGATATCTGGAGATCAGAATGCACATCCGGACAAAGGATCGGCTGATATGAGATTCGTGGAAAAATGCTCACTGTGAAAGAAGATCGGTAAAACCACGGACACCTCCCTGTCATAAATGTATATTTTTTTCGCCAACCAATTTTTGTCACCGTGGAAACAAAAACCACAGGGAACTTCAGAGGAGAATTCTTCTGCATAGTAGGACAAATCATTTCGGAAACCAAAACTAAAAGATGCCGAAGGAAATCAAGGAAATCCGCACTTTCTTGCAGCACTCCCGCCGAAAGGATGCCAAGAAGGTGATCATCCTGAAGAGTCCGGAGCAGTCCAGCGGCAACGTCGTCACCAAGTTCAAGATTCGCTGCTCCCGCTACCTGTATGAATATGCACATTTTGCTTTTCCTTGCCTTTCGAGATAACTTTTGGACAATTTAAAGACAGTGCTGGCGCATTTTTCCATATTCATCTTCACTGCCGTGTAGAGCAACATGGCGAAATACGCAGTAGAGTGTCGGTATGAGTAGCTTAAGAGGGAAGGTGTGCTTTTCGTCGAAAGGAAACCTAAACCAATTTTGCAGACCCGCACGAGTTTTACTCGAAGTTTGATTTGCTTTACTCGGTTTCGACGCCTATTGCTGAGAGAGTTGTAGCATGACTGAGGCCAACATCGAAACGTCCTCGTCCTCGATCGATCTAAATATCCAACAAAATCAAAATTTCAGGTACACTCTGGTTGTCAAGGACAAGACGAAGGCGGACCGCTTGGCGCAGTCTTTGACTCCTTCCCTCGAGAAGAAGGAAATCAAGGGACGCAGGAAGGTCACCGTGCTGAAGTAAATTCGATCGGGGTTCTACTTTCAGCTCGCTGTTGCCAGTGGTGCTAGCATGCAGACACGACATGTGAATGTCCTCCATATGTCTTTGTCCTAATATTCGCAGAAGAAGTTCCTCATACACACAGGCGCAGTAGTAGTGCTTAGCTCGCCACTATGCCCGAAAGGCGTAGCTTTCGCTCTTCGTACGAAAGAGCGACTGTGTTCGGAGATAAAGGTTCGCCATTCATCCATTGGTGCTCTTGCAAATTTCGTAAACAGCTGCAAGGCAAGAGTTTCGTTAAGAGTTTCCGGTGTTTTCATCGTTCATGCCATGCAATAAGGTTATCCCTGTCGTTGTAAAAGTCTAAAAGTGAAAATGCGCAACAGTAGCTGCGGTTCAACCGTAATTCGGTCCTCGTTCATTGTGTAGTAGAGCGCAGCTGAATCCATTTCCATTTCTTCTTCGTCCAGCAACAAAAGAAAGGAGAAGGCGATGGACCCTCAGCCAGGATGTTTTAGTCGTTCTACACAATGTGTCGTGTCGTGCAACACAGTTCATTCGTCGTGCTTCTGCACCTTCCTGTTACCTTATCCATGTATTGCAAGCTTGTTTCCACTTCGTATTCGGCTTGCGGTCGTTCATTTTCCAGTGAAAGCTGCGCGTGCGACGGGTCACGTCGTGTGCCTCGTTTACGTCGCACTCGCATCAACAAAGTGAATAAGTAATTTACAATCAGTTGCGACGCACACAAGTAGCACTAACTTCATTTACACCATACCATTAACAGAAGAATCCCCTTCACCATTGTGCTAGAAGTAGCTCCTGCGGCTTGTATCTGATTCGAAGGAGGCGTTGTTTTCACGAAGTATTCGTGTTGTCCCTGGCACTGTAATATCTTTCCTGCGTTCCATGCGCTCTTGACGGTTGAGCCTTTCTCGCCAAGATGACGGTCGAGTGCGATCTCCCACCTGACAGCGAGGTTCCGGAATACACGGGCCTCCCGTTGTTCGAGCCGGCCGACCTTCACCGCACCGATTTTCGTCACAAGCACCTTCGCTACGAGAAGGAGAGTGATCCGAATATACGGAATTATGATCTTCTCAGCCTTCAGCCGCACCCGGACGGGCGGTGTGACGAAGCTGGGCAGAGTCTGCAGAAAAATCACAACCGCAACAATCGGAATGCTGAGGTGAAGCGGGATCGCTACAGTGTGCTGGACGAGACCAGGGACCGAAACAGCGCCGACATTGTGGGTGCGAACCCGTATTGGTGGTATCGGGAGGAGCCGGACTACGGCGGTATAGTGAAGATTCCGCCCAAAAACGACACGAGCGACTGGCACAAGGAATACCACCTGTTGGCGCCGACAGAAAAAATCAACCATGACCCTGCTCTTGCTTCAGCATCAGCTCCGCGGCCGCCGGAACTTGCGCGGCTGCGCCCGAGGACGCCAGAAGCTGTCTCCTCAAACCCCACCGAGCAGTTGAAGCAGAGATCCACGTCGCAAAGGTTGAAGTTCACGGACGTGACGCGCCGCCTGGATGGCGCACCGGCGAATAGCGGCCCCAACGCTGTTGCGCCGGATGCCCGGAAGAAACAAACAGTGGACTTTTCGGCCGACTTTCGGAATGGCTTTCATATCGGGGACCAGGAAAACCAAGCGAAGACAGACGCCGAAGTCTGGTTCAAGCACAAACCTCACGCCACTACCATCGATAAGTCCCGCCCACTGCGGAACTTGGACTTCAGCCAGGAGCACAGCGACTACTCGATATTCCACCAGTTCAAAGATGGAGAATCCGGCGGGCCCGGGGTAGTCGAAAATCGGCTCGGGCGGCCACTAACAGTCGCAAAATCGGCGCCGCTAAAGCAGCAGTACCGGCGTGACTACAAAGACGGCGGGTTTCAGGACCATGATGGCGGGATAGCGCTGCAGCACACCGGGCAGGAAGCCGCGGCGGAGCATCGGAACCGCAGGGGCGTGCAGCAGTTCGACGTGTCGGCGTACCCCGTGCGAAAAGCCATGCCTACCGCCAGCTGCCGCGACGTGCGCGAGGGTGGCTTTTTGGACCACGGGCACCTGCAGGTCGGTAGTGATGAGGCCGACTCGGCTGCCCGCGCAGGAGGTCGTGTGAGGCATCAAATCGGTGACCAGCCGGCGCGAGGAAAGCGCAATATCGACCGGGTGTTCGCAGATAACGAGGCTCGGGCGGTCGATTGCATACAGCCCAGGGGTTTGCCACCGGCTTTTCTGTATTACCCAGAAAGAAACAGTGAATGCAGTGGTGCGGTAGATTTTGATCGTGGTTTCGCTCGTCATCAGGACGTCCTCGTGGTCAACGTCGGACGAGATGGTAAACAGGCATTGCAGGATGAGTATTGTGACAAAGAAGCGTTGTCAAAAAGATGCTGTTCCCGCTATCCTTCATCGAGCTTCTTGTTCGCTCCCGACGAGGGGGGCGCGGGCATTAACACACCAGAGGAAAAGCGCACGGACCCGGAGGACCCGGAGCAAGCAGCCTACACACGCGCGGAGTTTCGGGAATTCTACCCCGACGAGACCGACGCGCAGTTCAACACCTGGTACCAGTCGTTGCCAATAGCCGTCGCCGGAGCGAGTTCTTCGCCAGCAACTGCAGGAGCGGCTGCGGAGGGAGAGCAGGATGACGGCGCCTGGTATCGACCGAGCACCGCAGATGCAGTCCTCGAAGAAGGCATGGAGGGAGCAGGGCCTCCAGCTGCCGCAGTCGGCGGCGCCGGCGCGCAACAAGACGAAAAGCGGTACGACCCCGGGGACCCAGAGGAGGGCGAGTACACCCGGGAACAGTTTCGGGAGTTTTACTCAGACGAAACCGAGGAAGATTTCGAAGCGTTCTGGCAGGGCCTACCGGTAAAAGGTGGAGCAGTAGGTGCACAATCAGGCCAGGAGGCCGTATTAGCTCCAGCTGTAGTTGTGAAAAGATACGATCCGGAGGACCCAGAGCAGGTGGAATATTCATTCGAGGAGTTCAAAGCGGCCTATGGTGGCGATACGGACGAAGCTGAGCTGCGAGCTTGGTTCGACACCCTACCGCAGCACGAGGGCGCGCTCTCGCCAGAGCCAGAAGTTGGCGGGGATACTGCAGTGGTCGTTACAGATCAGAGCGAGGAACTTCTAGGTGAACAGGTTGATCAAACTGTGGGGCTGCAAACACGACTTACTTCGCGGACGAGGACTGCGGTCCGTTCGGAATTTCGCTACGACGGCGTACTCGGAGGCGGCGTGGTAACGAAAAAAGAGCTGCGCGGCCTCTACGCTGCCTCGACAGACGAGGCTTTTGACACCTACTGGCTCTCCCTGGAACCTGTGGACTCGGTGCTTGGATTGGAGTCCCGCACGGTCCGTAAGCGGACGCGAGGTCCGAGCGCGCCACTCTTTTCGATTACGAAGGGCGCACCGCGGAGTGACGGCGAAGAAGTAGATGCGGAAATAAACTCGGATGAGCAAAATGCCACGGCGGTTCCAGATTACATAAAAGCCCTGGTGGTCGAGAAAGATTCCGGTTCCACAGCCGCGACTTCCCTGGAAAAAACGAAAGACTCGGCAGGACCAGGAGAAAATAACGGAACAGACACAGACGGCCACCAGGTCGCGCACCAGCTCAACACCGCGGGCGGAGGCCGTTTGGGCGCGAGTACGCCGTCGTCCCTACCGGGCAGACAAACCTACATCGTCCTCGCCGCGGAGCGGAATGAGACGCCGGGCCCCGGAACGTACGCGAACCCGGTGAAGCAGACCAAAACGCAGCCCTGCTACACCATTCCGGTGACGCTGCACGACCGCGGCATCATCGACCGGGACCGCCGCCTCGCGCCAGGCCCCGGGACCTACTCCGTCGAGCGGTTTCGGAGTCGCAAGATCGCGTTGCCTGCGGAGTTCGATCCGCAGCGGGTGCAAACGCTCCAGCAGAAAAAGATGGAGGCGTGGCACGCCTGTCCGGGGTGTGGCCGCAACTTTACCCAGTCGTCATTGCCACGGCACCTGGACCGATGCCAGTTTCTGGCGCGCGCAGCCGACCACACCGATCTTAAGTCGCAGGTCGATGCGGCGATTCAGTCCGTCGCGATCCACCCGGTCAGAGATGGGCAAAAGTTCGACGCTTTTCATCGCGAGGAACTGAAACAGCGACAGAGCCCTTCAGCTTTCTCGTCAAATATTTCCAACGCAGACCGGTTGGAAAGCCGAGCCACGAGGGGACAGGATCTGCAGTCCTTCGCTGCCGGCGTGTCTCGACCGATCACGACCAGCTTGCGCGCCGCCGCGCCCGCAGTCGATCATTTGCTCGCGCTCAGGTGCCAGTTTTGCGATCGCGCTTTCCGGGATGAGAACACGCGGCGGCTACACGAGAAATGCGTGTGTGGGCTGCGGCCCGTACATTGCAAATACCTCCAGCGCGGGTGTCGCGAAATAGTTCCCGCGTGCGATCTATCAAAAGTAAAAATGTCTGGGTCTGGATGATTCCGGGATATGTCATGCTAGTCCGGCATGACTCTGAGCTCTGTATTGCGTGGCCGCAAAGGGCTTCTCTTGCCTGTCATGCAAAAACGCAGTGTCTCATGCGGAGTACGCAACTCTGAACCACGGAAAAACTTGTCATGCTCGGCAGTGCATATACAGTATGCGCATTTTTCCCTGACTTGCATCACAAGTTTCCAGACCCAGACACTTTTGCATTTGATACGATCTCGGCATTCACGAGGGCCAGTGCGCCTCCCGAGACGCCGGGCTCCGCCGTCGGAGTATGGCGTTCTCAAACGTTACATTCTCAGCTGTTACATGAATTTGCAATGCAAGAGTGGCAAAAGTACAGGAGGAAGATTGCGCCTTTTGCATTACAGATTTGGGACTGATTATAGTGCTATGTAGCGCGTCGAGAAGTTGTCATGCAAGGCAGGCTGGGTCGTGTGAATAGTGATAGTGTTTTTGCATGACAAATCATGTAACAGTTGAGAATGTAACGTTTGAGAGCCCCATACGGAGTGCCGCGTCCTTGCGGACCAGCACCGCAAGTTCCGCTGTGCTGGCGAGCATGCCCAAATTGCACGTCGGAGACACAGAGGACACGCCACGAAGTGACGGCGCGGTTGTGTAAGTGTAACCGACGTACTTCAAAATGTTCGAATGAGCGCATTCTTCTTCACGACCAACGCAGCAGATGATCAGCGGGTTTTTTTTGAAACACCTCAGACGACAGCACAAACACTCAGTAGATCGAGTAGTTTTTCTTGTGGTTGTGTCGTCTAAGTAAGAAGTAGTAGTTTCTTTTATCCTATGGAAGGAATGATGTAGAAATCAGTCGAGTTTACACTGTCTCGGGTTTCTTTGTGGCGTCTGTATCTGTACCCCAGAACAGACAACGCACAAGTGCACTACTAGTAGTCTTTACCCTAATATGCACCTAGACATGAAAGAGCTTTTTGTAGCAGGTACCCCCTGCTACGTGTAGCTCTTGATTCGATTTTTTTATTTTTTTTAAGAACGCATAGTATCAACTTTTTTGTCCGCACCGCGGCACTTGTGTGTCGCTTGCTTGTGAGCAACCAACAATGCACCAGGAACGTCGAAGCTGCTTGCTTCTGGGTCGCAGACCTCATGTTTCAGTTGGACTACGCTGTCGCAGCTTGATGCGTTGTCGGTGTCGGTTTTGGTATCGCCAAGTATGTGCCACACTTTGAATAGAGATAGACATAGACAGCAATAAGGCGAATAAACGCATTGATTGAATGGATCAGAGATGAAACACAAACCCGCCAAACGCGGAGGACATGATCTGAAACCCGAAAGGCAACAAATTTCTCGGCTGAATCATCGATCTTTGCCCGGAGAGATCTTCAGGTTGATCTTGATGTTGAAATGAGTCATGGGCACGATCTTCAAGAATGGTATCGTTCCATTGCCTTGACGGTCGGTGAAATGATCTATCACTACCGGCACACGCACCGAAAGGAGATCATGCCAGTGGCTGCAAATTGGAAGTGCATGGAAATGTCTTTCATCCAGCTTTGAAGATCTGCATGTCTGTCAACTGGTATTGGTGGAAAAAATTAAGATCAAATTATATATTGTGCCGGTTCATTGATCATGCCGAGATGCTGTGTCTTCATGATTTTTTGCCCGCATCTTTAAATGCTACCTCAAGTTTCTGTCTTACAGGCACTTGATCTTCCACCACTATCAATGGCACTGTTTTCGGGTGCGGGATCCTGACAACAAGAAGTGTGTTAGTGTTTCAAAATACACTCATAAAGATTCGACGGCTAACCCTTCAATCGAAACCATGGTGAAGCTAAAGTGTTGAAGTGTCAAAAATTGTTGTGTGTAGAAATGAAGGAGAAAATCAAAATGAGGAAAAAGTCGAAGACATTGAAGCGACAGACCGTGACCGGTGCCAGTACTACACCAGGTGGAAGAAGTAGCAGCACCAGTGAAGGAGCAGCAGTTGTAGCATCAATCGACGAGTCCTCCGGCAGAAGTATCGAAGACGACCGACCATGTGTTGCAGACCACCTGACAACTCGGATTGGTGCGCGCGCGACTCGGAAAAAAAGCAAAGGCGGTGGCCAACAAAAGGCAGAATTACGACGACCTGTAGAAGCTGCTGTGCGCACGAATTATGAGGATCTTGACGAAGATTCGGACGTGGGGGAGCGGGTTGTTCAGGGATCAACAGAGGGGACAATAAAAATGCTCCTCCATGACGAATCCGCAGCTAGTACTGCTAGGGGCGCTCGTTGTCGTTCTCCTTCTGCCCCTGCAACAAAAATAGAAGTGACGAGTTGTTCAAAGGGAACAACATCAACAATAATAAAGAAGAAAAAGCGACGAAAATTGGACACGACCATTAGCAGTGTGTCATCAACAGCCCCACCCTCCGTCCAGGACCGTCCCGTCGCACTCGCAGCATTGGAGGCGGATGAAGAAATGCTAATGCAAAATACGAGAACAACTAAGAAGAAGAGAAGAAAAGCAGCAAAGCAGGGTGTCACTCCCACTTCTTCGAAGGATTCTGCGGACGAAAATATACCTTCAGAGGCTTCTCCTGCGAAGCTGCAGAAAGACGCCGATGAACTACAAACAGACGGATTGCTACCCGTTGTGCGACACCGAGAGGAGATTCTGCGAGCCTATAACAACACCGACGTGCTGATTTTGCAGTCTGCCACGGGGTCCGGTAAGACCACCCAGGTGCCGCAATTCTTAGCGCGCGCGGTGGAGCGCAAGATCTTGTGCACGCAGCCGCGGCGGGTAGCCGCGACTAGCGTTGCTGCACGCGTGGCGGACGAGATGCACACCACTCTTGGCCATGGCGCGGTCGGGTACCGCGTCCGTTTTCAGGACTACAGCGCGCCAAATAACAAGGTGTTGTTTCTGACGGACGGTATGGCTGTCCGCGAGGCCGTACAGGACCGGGCGTTTCTGGACTATAGCTGTGTAATTCTGGACGAGGCGCACGAGCGAAGCGTCCAAACGGACATTCTAATGGGTCTCGTGAAGGAAGCCCTGCGCATTCGTAAGCAAAAAGCGGCTGCCACAAGAACGGAAAGTAGTACTTCTACAGAGGGCCAGGTGAATCTGAATTTGGAAGGTGGAGCACCAGGAGGACCAAAGTTGCTGCCTAGTCAGCGGAACGTGCCGCCACTGAAGGTGATCGTTATGAGCGCAACGCTGAACGTCGCGACTTTCCGGGGGTTTTTCCAGGATGAATTCAAAACCGAGGTGCTGAAAATTGACGGACGGCAGCACCCGGTGAAGCTTTACTACACCCCCGCCCCCGCAGACGACTACATGCTGGCTTGTGCCACGGCCATTTTGCAGCTGCACAAGACGAAACCGGCGTTCGGCGACATCCTGTGCTTCCTGCCAGGACAAGAGGCCATCGAATCCCTCTGCCAACTACTGGAGGAGCGGCGGCGGATGGAGCAAAGTACGTCGAATGAGGCTGCCGCAGGAGCATCTTCAGGGACTGCGAAGAACGAAAATGGTGAAGAAGAATTCCTTGGCGAGCGCCGTGAGGACGCAGTGGTGGGCAGAACCGACATCGATAGTCGTCTTCTGGCCCGGGCGCGAAGTGCGAAAAACAACAATGCGAATGGTAAGGTTGCAGCCGATGCTGCGCGAAGAAGTGCCGATATTGCGAATGATGAAGTCAAGATTCTGGACCAAGATGCAGCGCCAGTGGCGGCCCAAGACGCCGACACCGATGTTCTTGAAGATCACGCTGAAAAGACTACTGGTGCGGAAGATGCTGACATGATATCGTCTCCGCTGAGTGACGAACTTGATGATGAAAACCTCGTTACAGAAAATAACCGACAGGAAACCCAAAGCCTCGATCCTGACCTTCTGATCTGCCCCCTGTACGCCGCTCTCCCCTTCGATCAGCAGATGTCGGTGTTTACGCCCGCGCCGCCGAACGCACGGAAGGTGGTGCTCGCGACCAACATTGCGGAGACGTCCATCACGATCCCCGGCATCCGCTACGTCGTAGATTCCGGCTATGTGAAGCTCAAAATCGCGCACCCCACCACCGGCGTGGAGTGCCTGAAAGTGGTCGAGACCAGCAAGGCGCAGGCAGACCAGCGCAGCGGGCGTGCCGGCCGCGAGGCGCCCGGTGAGTGCTACCGGATCTACCCCGAGGCCTGCTTCCAGAAGTTCGCGGCGCAAACCCCGCCCGAGATTCTGCGCACCGAGTTCTCGCAGCTGTTTTTGCTGCTGAAGAGCCTGGGCGTTGCGCAGGTGGACAAGTTCCCCTTCCTCGACGTGCCGCCGAAGCAGCACATGATCAAGGCCTGCTTCTTCTTGAAGCGCATCGGCGCGCTGAACAAGAAGCTGGAGCTGACCGAGCTGGGCCACAAGCTCGCTCGGTTGCCGCTGCACCCGTTGTTCGGCCTGGTTCTACTAGAGAGCGTCGCCTTCGAGTGCACTGCCGAGGTGCTCAGCATCGTGGCGATGCTCAGCATCGACGCCCATTTCTACTTGAACATCACCGACGACAAGCGAAAGAAGGAGTTGCGCGACACGCTGCTGCACCCCAGCGGCGACCACTTGTCGCTGTTAAACGTGTACCGAAAGTGGCGCAAGGCGGCCACATACCACCACCAGAAGGCCTTTTGCCACAACTACGGACTGAACTTTTTTGCGCTGCAGCGCGCGGACAAGGTACGCGAACAGCTGAAGGAGCTGTTGGAGCACAGTTTGCACGTGCGGCAAATCGGCTCCTGCGGGGCGGAGCTGGACGTGGTGCGGAAGTGTTTCTTGAAGGCCAACTTCACCCATACGGCCATGCTCACCTCTAAGACGACGGGCGAGTACTGCACCGCCACGGAGCGGCAGCACGCGCGCGTGCACCCGACCTCGGTCCTGTTCCAGGCCAAACCGCCACCCGAGGTGGTGCTCTTCACCGAACTGGTGACGACGACCAAAACTTACATGCGCACCGTGATGGCCATCGAGCCGAGGTGGCTCATGGAAGTCTGTGGCGGCCAGTTTTTGAAGATCGAGGATCAGGAGCAGGGCGGTCGAGGTAGCCAACCGAGATGAAGCGAATGACAAGAAAAAATGGTCAGCTAGTACAAGCAGACGGCGCTTGCGTGCAGGTCGATGGCTGAGTTTTCTTCGAAGGCAGTCTCGTTGGAGACACACAGCTGAAAACGACAGTCAAAATCCAATGACAATACTAGATAACGCCCACCTGGGTGGATTTCCGGACGACATTCATGCTACTTAGACTTACTACTAGTAACTGACTTCGCTGCGCATGCAGTTTCTAAGCCTGTTACAGAACAACTCATAATCATATCATAAACTTGATCTTTATCGAAGCAAAGCAATGCTACAGGCAGGCTCTGTTGCTGTTCCTCGTCTCGCTCCGAAACCGCGTTCTCGGCGTTTTTGCATGGTAATCTAATAAGTGCCTGTGATTTTTTTGCTATCTCGCATACTGTCTGCATGTAGGTTAAGGATGAGGAGGCGTTCTGGTCAACGCCGTCGTCGTGTTGCCCGGTCTCGTTCGCTTCGGATGAATGTATCTTGCTCTTCTGGTGATCCAAATAGTTGCGCGATCTTGATCGCTCGTAGTTCACGACGTTCTTGAAATATTTTTACGTTTCTGCTTTTTGTGTATCGGAAAGCGAAAGATGTTTAGATCGACTGGCTTCAGTGCTGGTTGTAGCCTGCTAGTTATAGATGAAGAAGCGGTCGTCGTTTATGTGTCCTCGCTTACTAGGATGATCTAGATCTAGAAGCCGAAAGTGTTGCAGCGTTCTGGCAAAGATTTGCGCAGAACACGAGATCCATCGACATAGCGATAGTTCCATTCGCCATCCGCTCCCGTAGTCGGAACAGGATGGCAATACACATTGCGTCGAGGAAGAGGATACTAGTTTTTTACAAGAAACCAAACCTCATCTGATTTCTACTGTTCTCCCTCGTTTTTTCAGATCCTCGAGAGTTGTACTGTCAAAAAGAGTATGTTGTCGCTTTCTCGACCTTCTCTCGTGCGGCGCATGTTTTTGCCCTACTACAGCAAGGAAAGGGGGCCTCCGATCCTCCGCTTCCAAACGGCGGGGAAACCAAGCAAGCCCTTCTTCAAGCTTGTTGCCTGCAACCAGCGCGATCCCCGGAACGGAAAACACATCGAGGTGTTGGGCAGTTACTCCCCAAAGGTGTTCACGAATGTTAAGGAGATCAGGCTTCGATTTTCGCGCGTCAAATTTTGGCTCGGAGTAGGAGCGGACATGTCCGATTCAGTACGGGATATTCTGGCGCTCAGTGGCCTGATTCCGCATACGAAATTCGAGAACGAGACCTTTATTTGTTCGCAGCAACTTCGAGTTCTTCGAGTCTGCTTGTAGCATTGGTTGATAACAATGTTCTGTCGATCTTACATGATGACGATGAACTAGCTAGTAAAACAGAGCCACGCATAATTACTGGAACGTCGAGAGCAGCTGTCTCTCATACTGCACGATCGCAGATCCACTACTCGAGTGCGACTTGCATGCTAAAGCCGCGATGATGTGAACAAGTTTAGGCTTTTTTCTTTGATTTCCGAGCCTCCTCCCCCTTTCGGCCGCCGGACCAAGGGCCACTACGAGAAACTCAAGCAGGTGATGGAACAGCGACAGTTATTGCACGACTTGGCCATAGAGGAATACCACCGAAGTGGCGGCGGCAAGGGCCTCCATGTGGTTTAGCCGCGGGCGGACGAGGTAGAACCTGCTCTACAACATCTTCAGAGCCTCGTATAAGCACACTGCAGCACTACAGGCACACGTGCCCCCGGCGGGCTGGTGTGGCGAAATAAAGGAAGTGCCGGGATCTCGCCACGAGGCAAACGCAAAAAGAGCGCATCCAGTGTAATGTTGCTGCTGGCAGCCGACGAGGTTGAAGAAGTCAAGTGGATTGTGATGTGGATGTTACACGACCGACCCCTGGTTGTGTCGGACAAGTTAGAGGTGGTATGTCTGCAAGTTGCCGATACAGATGGAGCAGATGAGCATCCTTATGTATAAGCGCCATCAACAAAAGCGGCCTATAATTGCTTTAATGGACGAGACGAAGAAGCGAACGACACTCACACCTTGTCCTTGAAGCCGCTTGGCGCGCTGGGCGGCTTTTCAGTTTTCTTGTCCGTCACTCATCAATTGTGGTCGGGCCAAATCGAGGATTGACGCCGGCTGCAGTTTCAGTCATTCACATTTGTCGTGCCTTCGTTCGTGGTAAGTCGATCGAATCTTCACAGGACAGCAAATTTGCAGATGTTGCAAATGGCACCATCACCAAAAGTGAGCCTGCAGATTTTTTTTCTATCTCGTCGTGAGCGCTTCAAATAGGACGATCGATCTTCGACGCCTCCTCAGCGTCCGAGGTCGAAGTTTCATATGCAGTTGGTCGCACACGGAAGAAGGCCGCGCGTGTTGAACACGTCGCGTCGGAGCTGCTTCAACATCATTCTTGCACCAATAATTTCAAGTCCTTTCATAGAAAAGCGAAAAGCAAACGCGCCAACTTGAACTTCATAGCCGTGATATTTTTCCCACAAGAACTACGTACAACTTCTTTATTTTCACAATGGAATCCGACTTGACAGCGCGCGTGTATGCGGCGTGCGATCCTGGGAGCATCGACTTTTGCTGTACTCTGGAAGATTTGACCGACCTGGAAACGGAAATCAGTCTCCGGCTGGAGCAGCTGCATCCTCGAGAACTGGGCGTACGCGAGGACCTGCAGGCTCTCGTGTCTGTGGTACAGCTCCAGGTCCTGTTTGCACATTTTGACGCCCATCTCGGGGAGCGAAAGTACGAACAGTGCGCAGCCGAGTACCAGAAGGCGAAAATACTTCTCGAAACCACCGTCACATGCACAAAACGTAAGTTCTAAAAGTAGATGTAGAACTTAAAGTGAAGAAGATTTGGAGTATGATGTAGAGGACACTTGCAAAAGGAATCTTCATGGAGCAGATTTTAAAGAAAAAATCTTCTGTACTAGGTTGCTTTTTCGTGCCTCAAAATTTTGCCACTATCCCTATCGTGCAAACGGGAACGAAACACTCAACGTCAACACACAATATCAATGAATCCTTCCACAGCCGCAGCAATCCTGCAGGACATTGCGGGGCAGCTGGAGGTGCAGTTTCGGCAGCGAGCTGTACTTTTTTCGTCGCGGATGGAGCGCAATTTCCAGAACATTTTCAGCTTTTTGCCCAACACGATCTGCATCAATCGCAGTGAGAAGAATCTGCAGGTGTGGGAGGGCCTCCGCACGATGGAGCTTCTGGAGAGTAAGACCAAGTGGCTCTCGGAGCGCATGCACAAGTACATCTTGGCGCCGCTGTTTGTGGACTCGCGACGGAAAAAGCTGTCGGCGCGCATTTTCAAGCCCCACGACGAGGTGACCGTGTGGTCTTTCGTGGACGAGAACGAAAGCCTCGAGTCCGGGGAGGAGGGCTTGGAGTTTCTGCTCGGCATACTCGGTAGCATGATCGGCTACCTCCGCGATTTTTTAGCGCACAACGAGGCTTTAGCTGCCCTGGGCCGGCACCTGTGGCCGCTGCTGGTGGACTATTTGCGCGACTGCTCAGGCGAGCCCCAATTGCTGCTGGAGTTCCAGAACAAGGCTGCGGCGCTCGGTTTCGTAGACACCACGCGGGACGCCAGTTTGACCAGCCTGGCCGCGGAACGGAAGACCGGCGTGCAGGCCCGCGCCAAGATTCTGGAAGAGGCGCGGAATTGGATGGTGTCGCAGGACATGACCACCGTGCAGGTATCGGCGACGTCGGAGAACGACAAGCTTATGGCCGGGTTGGACAAGGACCTGGCACAGTACCTGTGGACGCCCTGCGCCGTATCCCAGTCGGTGCTGCGGCTGGTGGAGGAAGTCCGGAATTCGGTCCGTCTGGGCATCCGCGATCCTGCGCAGACCAAAGACCAGCAGATGCTGACGCGGCAGCTGGTCACCCTGTTTCTCCTGGTCCGGCCGCACGTGCACCGCGGGAAACTGACGGCCGACCCCTTCTCCGGCGGTATTTTCTACAACGACTGCTTGTACTTCGCGTTCTGCCTCACCGTGCTACCCTTCGAGCACGGCAGCAACCGGCCCCTGGCTTGGCTGGTGGACGTGGTGCCGTCCCTCCGCAAATTGGGGCAGGCACACTTGGTAACGCTGCTCAAGTTTCTGCGAAGGGAGTTGGGCAAAAAGTGCGAGCACCTGCAGCAGTACATGCGGACCATCTCCGAGGACGCCAGCTACGCCGCGGCGGAGGCCGTGTTGTCGACTTCGCTGCAGTACCTGCGCACCGCGGTGTCCTCCTTTGCGGCCGTGTTGCCGAAAAAGCTGCTGCTCGCCGTCACCAGTATGCTCACCGAGCAGTACCTCGAGATGCTGCTCCGCAGTCTGGTGCCATCATCCTCCTCTTCCGGTAAAAACGGCAGCTCATCGTCTGGCGGCGGCACAAGTGGATCGGGATCAGCTTCAGCGGGGGCTTCAAATAATACTAGTAGCAACGAAAGGACAGCGACGGGCTCGAGCACTGCGTTCCTCCTCGGCGGCGGATCTTCAGCAAACGCAATGTCGCCATCTCTTTTTGCAGCAAATGGAGCGATTTCGCCTCAGTTCCATGCCGGAGATTTTTCCGGGGGAACCGCTCTGGCGGGGAGTAGTACCAATATCGGGGCGCCGAGAACCTCGGACGAGCAGTTCTTCCAGGAACAGATATTCCCTGAAAATTAAACCCTGCTCCCAACTCAATTTGTCATGCAAAACATGAAGTCAGGTCGCGTAAAGTAGTTCGTCTGTTTGTCACTCAAAAAGTTGTGGATGCGGATGGGTATCAATTTTCAGGTAATAACAGATCAGATGGACCGACCCATTGCCAGGGCTGACCAGCGGTCCTTCCTCTGCAACAGGCAACTCCATGAACACGGAACAGCAGACAACGCGAGAGCGGGAAATGGCGGACCGAAACTGCATTTCCTACTTGTTCTCCTCCGTGCGGGTACAGGTCGAGCAGCTGTTGTCGCAGCGCGTGAAACTCGGCGACGACAGTAGGTCGTCCTGTTTCGACGTCATTGGCACCTTGATTCCGATGCTGGAAAACGATGACATTGCATTTACCGATGTGAAATACCAGCTGCAGCAGGCACTCAGTCGCGTTGAGCACCCGGATCCGCTCTTTGCGACGAATACTTAACGCTGGACAGGTGCTGTAGTTGCCTGTGCTGTGCAAGTCTGGCTTGATGAAGACAGTCGCTTTATTTTGAGCACCAGAGATGTTGGACTGTGTGCAAGCGCATGCAATAAATATCGTCCGAGTGACATGACTCGGAAACTGATTTGGGAATTTGTTTTTGATGTACAATTCTTCTTCTATTGCTGTTCAGTTAATGTTTGCAGGTGGATCATGTGGATGGCAAGGAATACATAGGACAAGGATCGAATCGTCATCCAGCAGATTCGTCGCGCCACTGAAGATCGTATACAGTCCTGCCAGACACAGACTGGTTCCAAAGTGCGGGTGCAGACTGCAGCTAGGTTTCTTTGATGTTTTCCTCTGAATCCAATGCTATATGAGCTATTTTTTTCGCGACAGAAGGTGATGATCTAGCTAGCACTATTCCTACCCACTTTTCAGCAAAGGCAAACAGTAACGGATAAAAGAAAACGGAGTTATTTCTCGATGTCGATGATCATGGTGAAAGCCAATAACTGCACACGAAGATGAGTATATGCAGCGGCCAGGGCGTCCACCTGGGCCGACACCGAAGATTTACTCGTCATTAGTCATTTCTCTTTCTCTTTCTGTAGTGCAAAGCTGCGCCGTGGTTTTCCTGCTACTTCTCCACTCTATATCCATCTCTTTCTACCTGCGGCTGTCTATGATTTCGTGGTATGTGTCGCAGTCGTCGCCGTTATTAGCAGCGATAAGTGTCAGTCGAGCTCATGTTGATGCCTATACTTCAACTTCTTTGGATTTTCAACTCTAGCTTTTAGATCAATCTAAACCGCTGCTGTAGTGTTTTCCCCAGTACAACCGTAAATAACGATCGCAATTGCAAAGGATGAGGTTCCGGACGAGAACGGTTACGGTGTCGAGCAGCTGGCGTTGGTACAACTCCGGTGCCTGGCCGCACTGCGCGCTCTGTGTTTATCTACTCTGGAGAACACTCTGCGCACGTCCCGGCGCGACGATCTGTGATGCGGTGAGGCTTACGTCCGTTTCGATTTCCCACCCCGTTGCATCGGATGAACGCAGAGATCAGGACGTGCATCTGTACAATCAGGACGCACATTTTGAGCTTGCAATTGCATGGGAACGGGATGCAACAGACAAACGACTAGAGCGCAAGCCCAGCCTCACTAGTACCGCTCCATACCCGAATTTCGCAGGTAGCAGGAAGAGGAACGAAGACATGCACATAAGGACCAGCGAAGATTACAGCGCACCAGATGAGTTGCTAACACAGACTCCTTACTTCGATCCAGCTCTTGCCGCTGCTGGAGAAAATTTGCAGCTAGCCTCCGTGCCGACGCAGCATCGAATGGAGCTGATGAAGGACGAGAAAGATGAAAGTAGGCAGCCCCTGCTGCTGAACAAAAGGAAAAGACCAACTTTGAAGATGAGCTCCTCCTCTTCAACACGCCAGCCAGAGCCGCGCCGCTCGGTAGAAGTGATTTCGAAGACTCTTGCAGACGGGTCTGTGTTTCGGTTCCTTGAGGCACCGGCAGAAGAATTTTCCTCGAAAGAGCTGCGTGTATTTGAAGCGCTCCGACTAATGCACTACAACGGACAGCCGTCCTTTCATCGCAGCCGCTGGAGCGATTCGGGCGCGAGCGCAGATGGGACTGAGATGGATGTCTTATGCACAATCTGCCTCCGCAAACGGATTGTAGTAGCTGCAAGACAAAGAAAAGGTCCGACTCCGGGGAAAGCATCGTGTGGTGCCGACGTGTGTCTGCGCTCAGGCCACCCCGAAGAAGAACCCGGAGCCAGCACTTCAAGTTCGTCTTGCAATAAAGTACTAGATGCCCAAGGAGGTCAAGGTAGTACAGGAGCTGTACGATTTAGCGCGAATGCAGGAGAAGCGGGCAGTGCCACCGCGCTTGAGGAGGAAGATGAAGAAGAAGTTTTCGTCATAATGGACCATGATGATGTCAGGTCAGAACGCAGTCTGGTAGAGATCGAAGGCGAACAAGCATTGCAGAACTTCAACTTTTCTGCTTGTCGCGGTTCCGGAGAAGACATCCACATCGCAAGCTCTTGCACTAGTCACTCACGTCCTCGCGACGACCACGACGAGACCCGTCGCAGCAATGGCCCGTCGTTTCCTGCAATCCAGAGAGATTGTGTCTTGAAGGGACCAGCCACAGTGGGCGTCGATTGCGAAGTTGTCTCACATGCAAAAGTAGAGCCGCGCCCTAATTTTGTCATGTCGGGCGCAGATGGGGAACGGGAAGGTGATACTGACACTGAGGGCAGCGAGGCTCACATTCGACGAGAAGAAAAGAACAAGAAGAACGCAGCGCATGACCTTGAACGGGAAAGGGTTGAAGAACTTGATGATTCGTCATCGCATTTTTCTTCAGGGTCTGCAACAGGATCATCCAGCAGCAGCACTGGCAGTTCGTCCCCGAGGTCCGAGTTCGAAATCCGGATTAGCCCCCGTAATAGAGATCATCAGAGAAATGATGCCACCCGCCTTGGCGCGAGTCCGGCCGAGAAAGCCACCTCGGACGAGGAGACAACACGACGAGGAAGCAGCTCTAGTAGTGCCCCGAAGGTCGCGGTGCGCATGTGTGGACACGCCTACTGCCACGGGTGCGCACGGAAAATGGACCAGAGACCAAGGCACCACACGGGACGTGCAGATTGCCCCTCCGGATGCCGAGGGGGACATGCAGAGCAACTCCCGCCCGGCTGCACCCTGGATGCGCCGAGCGGAGCAGAACTCGGCCCCCTCTGGCTGCCAATGCCGCCTTTGTCGATTGCCGACGTCGACGACTTACTGCGAAAATTTCGCATGACAGCTTCTGCAGAGGGGGAGGACGTGTTAAGGCCAGGGAAGATGAAGGAAGTCTCAACAAAGTTTGGCGCCAAGAACGAGCCTAACCCCCAGGACGTCGAACGCGAAGACGAAAAGCGAAGAATTTTGTGGCGCTATATGACGGAGCACGTTTGGCGCGAGCGCACTAAGTGGGCAGAGCATGTACACCAAAATGTGGTGCTCGCGAAAGATCCGCACCAGAATGATGATGTCTTTAGAAGATCGAGCACAGCTACCAGACCTGGACAGACCGCTGACAGCTCTGGAGGTTCAGCGGACGAGGCTCGTCGTGGTACCAGCGTCGAAGGTCGAACTACCGCTTCAGCCTCCACCACACGTCGCAACAACACGCCTTCTAATTCTTACGTAACGATGCAAAATTTCGTCCGGCAACGAGCGCTCGTCGACCTGGTCAACCAATTCGGTCCGACAGGGGCCTGTGCCATAGTTTTGGCGCATGTCATTCGTTATCACTTTCAGCGTCAGTATGACACTGCGAAAGAACTTCAGATGCGGGCGACGGGGGAGCAGGAACGGGATCGCAGGCGCGAGAGAGGACTGGGCTTATTTCCGGACTCCGCACTGCAATTATTGGTGGAGGGATATAATTCGTGTGCCGAGTTTTGGCACGCGATCGGATGTCGGGCAAGCAACGGGTGCTGGCAAAATTTTCCGGGCGAATCATGCGGGTTTTGCTGTTATCCCGAGCGACGATCTTACGGCCTAGCCCGAATGCTATCCTCTACCTCCCCAGCCAACGCCAAGAGCGTGCCGATGTTGCTCAGGTGCTCTTGTAAAGTTGGAGCTTTGATGTCAGATGTCCTTTTTGATTTGGTGTGTAGGTGTTGGCATACTTCCACCTCAATGACTTCGGCTTTAGTTGTGTGACGCACGACGCCTCCCACGCACCGTCGCGGGTAGAAGTACAACTACAGCGAATTGATGAATGACAGATTTTTCTTGTATGGGTGACTGATGTAGTCGTGAAGACCAGCAACAGTCACTACCAGTACGTTCAGTTTTCATGCGTGGGGGTGGAGGTGAGCGATTGCAGAGGATGATGCTGGGCGCCTCTTTTCTAAACTGAATACGGACCTGCCCTGCTGCGTTGCAGAATATACATCACATTGCCTGTGCGTGAACGCGCAACGAGTCGCAGACTATGTCTGTGCGTGTCCACCAGCCCTATCCAACACGTACGCACCGGTGATGGCTGACGGCATTGGATGCTGCCTCGCTTTATCCTGGTGCGGGCTAGCAGGGTGTGTTGGATATAATTTTCTGGGTCCCGGCGAAGCCTTCTTGCACTTGCTTACAGCCGAGACCCACGCGTGTTGCCCTTTCGCGTGCGCTCCGTCCTGTTGCTGCTGCGTGTACCGGTGCGTCGTGGGAAAAAGCGCCTACACGGGCCCTGCGAATCTGGTTGAAGACGAGGAACCAGGCCCGATTTTGGAGAATCTGAACCTAAATCACGAGTCTGACCTAGTTGCGCGGTGCTGTAGATTATCTTGCTGTCAGGAGGCGACCCAGTTAGTTCCGGCAGTGTGGCAGCCCTACCGACGACTTTTAGAGCTAAGGGGCCACGGCGAACTAAGCCAGCGTCTTTTTCCGCCGCGCCGCCCCAAACCTACACCTGCCACACTCACGCAGCGGCTAGCGCGCGCAAAGGCGGACGCGCTTTACCTGCCGCAACTTCTGTTGCATGAAAAGGAAGCAGGGGGTGGGGGACGAACGGGCACGCGTGGAAGCACCACCTCCAGCACCAGCAGGCGAGCTGTATTAAAACTGAAGCAGGAAGCTGCGGATGACCGACGTTCTTGTTGTGCTCAAAGCCGGGACGAGAGCGATGGCCAAGGGCAAGGACCTCCTGGGAAACAAAGTCCCAAATGCAATGGCCACAGCCGGGAAAGTAGTTGTAGTAGGAAAACGCCTCATGATGATCATGATTGCCGCAGAAGCAGCGAGGCGACGTCGACGCGTATGAAAATTTATACGAGCGCAGATGAAGCTGGCGGAGGCGGTGTCCTCGCGTTGTTCGCAAATAGCAATCAAGATGCCCTATCCGATGTGCCACTCTTGTCATCTAGGAAAGTGTTGACTGACAGCACTTGTACTGCCCACGACTGCAAAGATGAAGAAGATTCGAACGAAGGAAATAAAGATAGTGGAACTTGTGAGTTCGGCTTCACTGCCGATGAAACCACACAAGGTGCCGGCCTCCGGTCGAGGCGGGAACGGGAGCGGGATTGCGAACTTTTAGAAGTCGCTAACACACTACGGGACCTATTGGAAGATCCAAGCAACGACTTCTGTTTGCCTGGTATCCGAAAGAAAAGTGAAAGTCCGAAGCAGCAGATGAATTTGCGTGTGCGATTTTTGCCTTCAGCCTATGCATGGCTATGTGTTTACGAATGACGATCAAGATATATGATTATCGTCGTGTCCGTGTGTCTTCATGCCGCCCTAGTGGAAGCATTAGCATTTGGATCAGGATGAGAAAAAAGACAATGAAGTCGTCCATCATGGCGTTTTCTGTATATGGAAGAGGAACATAATGATGAAATATCAATGTACTAAATCAATGTGCGGGGGAGTGAGTTGCTGGTCGTATCTGAATCTGTGTCGGACTCTATGAAAAGTTTTTTCTTCTCATACTTGCAGCACCAGAGGACCGGGATCGCGTGTTTGCGGATGTGCAGCAAAAACAGCACGCAGTCGAAGCCTTTGTTCAGAAACGGACGAAGTGGGTAGCAGGAGCGTCGCCCGGAAAATGCCCGATGCGTGGCTGCACGCTTGTGACGAACCTGTTTCAAGATCTCCAGCTTGCGCTTGTGTACCACAGAAATCAGAACAAGGCTGAGGCGGAGGGGGCGCAGGTAGATGTAGGGTTAGACGATGGAGTTACAACTGAGAAGCATGAAACAAGCACTCAGCGTGCAGCTGCTACTGTGGCTGGGATCCGAAGAAGAGCGACGTCGTCACATTGACCTTCGTTTTACAATTGAAGTTGCAGCCGCTCTGTGACTATGATGAATTGGATATGTTGATAGTGATGAATACGTAAAAAAAGTAAACGACACCGACTCGTCGTCCGACGTAGACGTACAGGTGGCGCAGCATCTGATCGAAACCATGTCCAAGACGAAGGCGAACAAATAATTATGATATCAGCTTGGGCTTGCTCCTCTTGTTCGCTAAATTGATGAAAGATAAATAGATTCCAAACCAGGATAGATGAGTTGGAGTTCGGTCGTCTCTGTTGCGGTGAGGTGAAATGCTAAGTACGTGATCCTTTATTTTGGCCTGATTATCGAAAGCTTCCGATGACGTATTTGATCCAAAATTGTTGCACCAGAAAATGAAAATCGCCATGACAGGGTCGTTGTCGCCCGTTCGCAAAAGAAAATTGTCGAAATTCAGTGAAAAAAACGTAAAAATGAAGTCGATTTCCGCTTGCACCACGAACCATCTCAATGTCAATTTTGCAACAGAGTCCCTGTAAGTGTGTAAGAATATCCAAATTGTCCCCAAAACACCCTGAACAAATCCTACCCCATACCCAAGTCTTATTTCGTCCCATACCCGTCTAAATATTTTGATTTTCAACACTTACAAAAGCAAAAGCAGGATCTGAATATGAATAAAAAGAGCGGTAATGACCACGATCAGGAGTAAAACGTGAGTAGTTTTTTTTTGGAAGAACAAGAAGCCGCTCCTTAAAAAGCGGCCACCTGGGCTATTCTAGTTTTCGTTGAGTAGTTCTTGAATCTTTCTCAAACACTAACGCCATGGGTGGCGACGGCGGGTGCATCAACAGCCGGTGCGACCTGGTGAAGACGCGCGGGCATGATTTTTTGAACCGGCGCATGCACACGGCGCTGGGGCGGCAGCACTCGTGCGTGGTGGCTTTCGCGCAGGAGACCCTGGGCAAGCAGGAGGCGAAGCGGATGCGCATGACCACCTGCAGTTTGACGAACGAGCCCCTGGAGGTGAAGATGGGCGTGATGGCCGACCGGATGGGGAACCTCTTCAGCAAGGAGCACGTGATTGCCCGCCTGCTGTCCAAGCAGATCCCGCAGTCCTTCGCGCACGTGCAGAAGCTGAAGGATTTACGTACGCTGAAGGACCTGTCCGGCCGTAGCAGCGGGTCCGTGTCCTCCACGAAGAAGAACCCGCAGGAAAAGGCAGCGGTGGCCGGGGACATCATCCAGACCACGGGGAACACGCGCAACGGGTCGGGGAAGATGTTTTGTCCGCTCTCGGGGAAGGAGCTGGACGACGGCGTCACGCGGTCCGTGCTGTTGTGGAACTGCGGCTGCGTCTGTAGCTGGAACGCATTTGAGCAGATGGCGGGCAAAAACGCGAGCAAGTGCCCAATGTGCGGAGACGACATCACAGAGAAAGTCACGCTGGCGCCGGACGAGGCGGAGGCGAAGCAGCTTTTCGAGAAACTCCCCGAGAAGGTGCGCAACAAGATCAAGGCCATGGAGCTGCGCAGCAAGGCGGAGGAGAAGGGAGAGCTGCAGCCCAGCCCGCGGGACGAGGACGAAGACCACGACCGAGCTGCGAAAAGGCGGAAGAAAGATCCACAACATAGGGGGGACCATGGTGCGCCGGAGGGTAAGGAACCCGAGGTATTAAACGGTAAAAACAAGAAGTCGGACGTGTTCAACGCACTATTTCGCCCGTCAGCGGAAATCAACGCACGTCTCAAAAACCACCGCGATGGCTTTGGCATTGGTGCCGGGGCGCGACGGGTGTGAGGAATTTCACGACGACAATGAATGTCAAGGAGCTCTTTCATCTAATATGTTTCCGACAGTTAGTGTTTGACACAGACGACAACAGACAAGAACGATCAACACCTCTTGATTCAAGAAGGGCGACCCTGTATCCATATTTGCGCCGCGCAAAGATCTTGGCGGCTTTGGGAAATCTGAAAGACTAACACAACAGCAAAAGCAGCATCACGACTCGACTACTTATCGTCGTCTGCGGAAGGGCAGTAGTCGCAGTAGTCGCACGCGAGGGTCGCGAACAGGAACATGCTGCAATGTCTAGAGAATTTGTGTTCACAGTGACAAGAATATTTTCGTCTTCCTGCGTTGCATGATGATCATGATCAATTTCAATTTGAAATTGAAACTCTTGCTATGCACGGTGTAGGTGTTTCCTTGTTATATATTGATGTATGTTTGCCGGAAAATAAGTATTGCAGTGACGAATGCAGCTGGAAATCCAATCATGAAAGCAAATAAAGCATCTGATGGCACGCAGAAAGAAAAGATCGCGAACGTACCAGCACGAAAAAAAGGGGGCGAATTTCCCAGAAGATCTCGACTCAAGATCTGTATCATGTGGAACAAATGGAAATCTCCAGATGTTGATCAACATTGGTGTTGGCCAATGGTGTTGAGTGCCAGATCATTGCTGGAACTGCCTGCAGAGAGGATGAGGAATTTTTTTTCCAACTACGACTTCATGTTTGCGGTTCTTCTCCGTGCTACACTTTAATTTTCTATCACACTGTTTCTGAATCTGATGTACAGTTAGCTCAGGCTTGTACTATGGTTAGTAACGACAGCACATAGAAATTCCCTTTCGATTTATGCATGAAATGTGAATTATTTTTTGGTCAGTTCTGGCTGCACCTGCACCGTAGGTACTCGACGTGGTGTTGTGTTGAGTACTTGACAGCTGGAAAAGTAGTTGCGAATAATTTCTGTTCGTTAAGTAGCAGAAGAGAAATAAGTAGCAATGACACCTTCACTTCGCGTTGCCGCCTGCTCCAGCAGCACCGGCTCTACCTCTGTGCCGTGCGAGACTGCACCACAAGATGTTGCAGTGCCGAATTTGACTGCAGATCGACAGGCTCCACTGATCTCGACCTCCGTGGTAGAAAAAATGAGCCTGCAACGACCAGCTCAAAAACCTGTTCCAACTTACCAGCAAGGGCTAAACAATCCCCAGTCATTGAAGAGGTCAGCGGGCCGGACCGCATCGCTTGGGGTAATGGGAGCAGTAGCTGCCGGTGTTCTGGCGCTTTTATTTGCAACGAACGTCGCGGTGCAGGAGATTTTGTTCCTCGTGCTGATTTTCGCGGTCGCGTACCTCTGGCAAACCACGCAGCGGCTGACCGCGCAGGTTGAGCTTTCGGATGCGAAGGCGGCCGCGGAGCGCAAGGGGCGAACCAACGCGGAGCGGATGCTGCTGGAGCAAAAGGGGAAAAACAGACAGGCGCCAAAAGGAGGAAATGAGCAAGTAGATGCAGACACTCACGCTGAAGATCCGTCTGCAGACGGGAGTATTCGGAGAAGTGAGCCAGGTCGGCTACTGGACACCGTTGATAGACCAGACGACCAGTTCCTCTTTCGCCCGATCGGGTACGCAAAGTCGCCCTATTTACAGCGCTGCGGGACGCCTCGGCAATCCGGCATTTGCCCGTCAGTCGTGACGGAAGTCAAGCTAGTGCCCTGTCTGAACGCAGCTGCCTGTCTGGACGGACTGGCCGAGTATTCCCATCTCTGGGTCTCCTATATTTTCCACAAAAACACAAACCTGTGTCGCGAAGACCGGGCCCTGCTCAACCGGCGTGAGAAAGGCAGCGGCGTTACAAAAGCTTGTCCAGCTGGGGACGACGACGACGAGATTGTTCATAACAGTGCGAAAAGTGCAGTTGGTCAACATGGTGTGTGCCAGAAGGAACAAGTAGACAGAGACACGAATAGGAAAACGCCGCCTCCTTTCCAGGGGCTGATCACAAAGATCTTACCTCCCCGCGGCAGTAAAAAAGTCGGCATTTTCGCTTGCCGCAGTCCCCATCGTCCGAATCCGTTGGGACTTTCGCTGGCGCGGATTGAGCGCATAGATGCTGGGAAAGGCGTGCTGGTGCTTTCTGGGCTGGACCTCGTCGACGGCACGCCCGTTGTGGACGTGAAACCGTACCTCCCGCAGACGGAGTGCAAACACGATGCGGTGGTTCCGGGTTGGGTACGAGAGAGCTACGCCGTGGAAAAATTTCAAACTACGTGGAATAACACCGTCATCGAGCAGCTTACACAGCATGTCAAGACTTCTAGCTCACCGAGGAGCCATGAAGTAGCAGAGGCCGCATCACAAGCACAGTGTGCTGCTTCAGAGGTGGAAAAGCTGCAAACTCAAGTCGAAGAGGTCTTGGCCATGGATATCCGCAGCCCCTTCCAACGCGACAAGCACCATGACGCGGTTTTCAGGGGCAGTTTGCGCTTCGACCGCTTTCTCTTTGAGTACACCCTCCAAGACGAAGTCAACAACATTGTTACAGTCACCCTACTGAGCGACGAAACGCAAAACGGCTCCTGAAGTGACGGGAGAGAAATACCACTCGTATCAAGCTGCCAAAAACTAACTGCCATACGTAGCTTCAAGGATCAACATGATCAAGAAGAAGATGGTTGCAGAAGTGTTGACAAACAACACAGACGAACCCAAAAAGCGACATCATGGCTCACCACAGAGCCGTACATAGCCATAATAGGTACTCTACCTTGTGCTTCTTCATAAGAGCACTCGTTGCAGCGAGCACCGGCCTGGAGTTGTAATTGAGAGGACCGCTAGCCTCTCAGCGATGTTCTGTTAGACGCTAAACTGTCACTGCCGATGATCCCTCGTCCTCTTTATTTGGCCGTGCGGAAATATTCGAGGGAGCCACGCTCAAATTGAATCCAATTGAAATAAGGTACGAGTTGATCGTGATATTCCACGCATGCAGGGATGCCTTCCTACGCCCTAATTGAAGCAGTACCATACTGGTCAATGAATCGTGCAGTTTCATTGGAAGGATTCGCTCGAAAAATTGTGGAGAAATTACTTTGATTGGTCTCGTCGAAGAAGAAGGTTCACCACTTGATGCTGATCATTTCGGCCTGGAGATCCGGAAAGAACAGATAAATGTCGACAGAAATTGAAAATTATACCGGTGTGCTGATTATACGGCCCAGACCCAAGCTCTTGATCTATTTTCGGGTAATATGATCGCAAGAACTAGGTGCGCTTCGGTTTTGTTTGTTCAAGTCATAAATGGAAGACGAAGATCAATATATGTGATTCAACGCATCGTGGCACAACAACAACAAGACAACAACAGGCGCGGCGTCCTCGACACGAGGAAGTGCCTTTCTTTGCTTGGAGTTTGCTGTAGCATCCTCGGATAAGAGCCATATACCCGGAACAAAGCAAGGAACAGGAAGCGTGTATGTGTACACATAATTGTACCAAGAAGTAGAACGATTTTCATAGTTTTCGTTTTTTTCCTTCTATCTTCAGAAATAAACTCGTAACCTTCATCGACTCAATCATGAGCGCACAACAAGAAGCCTCATCGTGTGGTAAAAAAAGCACGAAAATAAAGACCGCAGCCCCGGTCGTGATCCAGGTTGCCGGGCAGTTGCGAGGCGAGCGCGGTTGGCAGGCGACGTATCAGAAGCAGTTCGGCGTGAAGCGGTGGAGCAAACTGCTAAAAGCACTGAACGCGAAAACGGATCATGTCTGCTTGGTGAATCCATTTCTCGGCGAACGGGAGCAAGACGACGTGTTGGACAAACTCTGCACGGCGAGCGGTTCGGAAGAGAGACAGGTGGGAACAAACCCAGCAGAAAAAGTTAGCCAGCGGGAACGCGGCCCACATCTAGGTCCTCACGATGGTGCTGCTCTTCCGGACAAGAGCGTTGCAGCTACAAATAGTGGTCCGTCTAGTTGTATCAGCACTCCGAAAAAAATCCTTCGGATGCTCCCGGATGCGCGCGTGCCGGGTTTCTTCAAGAAAACGAAAGTGGTGTTGGGTGATGAACTTCTTGAAGAGCAGAGACATAAAGATGAAACCTCGGCTCCTCCTGGAGGAGGTGGTAGTTTCCATCGTCAAGGGGACGATGGTGCGGATACACGACAAATAGCAGGAGCTGCTGCTGCTTCTGCACATCAAACATCCGGCGGAGAACAAGAGCCAGTCCTGACACCGGCCCGATCTGAAAAGCAAGAACAAAACAGGCTTTTCATGTCCGAGCCGAGTACGGAAGACCGACCGCGAGGTGGAGTGGTGGCGATTCCGAGGCGACGGCCATTTGAGTTACCAGACAACGTGCTTACCCACTACTACCTGGACGGCGCGTCGGCGCTGTGCGCTTCCGAAGGTCTGGAGCTGACTGGAAGTGAGAAGGTGTTGGACCTTTGCGCAGCTCCCGGCGGCAAATCGCTCGTGCTTGCCTCGCAACTTTTTCGCGACTATTTTTCTTCGAGAACGACGCAGAACGACAACGACAACGAAACTCCAGAGAATGACCTTGCGGAAAACCCACCGAGATTTGGTCTGGACCTTGCAGGTAGTACCATTAGTACGATGGCACAAGAAGATGAAGAACTCGCGGGTGGCGAGGACAGCGACACCGCGCCGTATGTTTGCACCGAAAAAATGCCTGCTGAGAAGGCTTCAAGTGATGAGGGACGAGTCCGAATTAATAACGACGAAACTACACCAAGTACTGTAACTGGCAAACGACAAGAAGATGAGGATCTCCCGACGACCCCGCCCGATCGTCCTCTCTACTCCAAATCCAACCCGAACCACAACATCAACCGGGCGGGTATCCTTTCCACTTCGACAAGAAATACCACATCGGGTGGACCAAACCGCGGCACAGGGATCACCCCGTCGAGTTCCAGCAAAAACAAGACCGCCAGTACAACTAATATGAGCAACCTGCCACTCTTGGTGAGCAACGAATTCTCGAAGACGCGCGCCACGCGGCTCCAATCCGTCCTGCAGAGCTTTTTGCCCGTGGACCTTTTCGAGCAAAACCTGGTGAAGGTGACCAACCTCGACGCGACGGCGCCCCACTGTGAGTTGTACCGTCTCGCACCGTTCGACGTCATCCTGGTGGACGCCCCCTGTTTATCAACTGTAAAAATGTCTGGGTCTGGAAGAATTCATGTTTGTCATGCTTGTCTGGCATGACTCTTAAATCTGTCATGCACGTTACCTAAGAGCTCCGCTTTTCTGTGATGCAGAGCCGCAGTTTGTCATGCAGAATAGGCAACACCTAGGTAGGAGCTCAGAAACTTGTCATGCTGAGCCAGTATTCGTAGCCTCATCATGAGACGCCATCCAGCATCACAAGTTTCCAGACCCAGACATTTTTACTTTTGATACTGTTCTACCGATCGACATCTCTTGTCCAGTCCGATCGAGATGGCGCGGTGGTGCCCGAAAAGCGTGGCCGCAAACGCGGACCGGCAGGTGCACCTACTGTGGACCGCGATTTTCCTCCTGAAAAAGCACGGCAAGATCGTGTATTCCACGTGCGCACTCTCGCGGCACGAAAACGAAGAGGTCGTCGAGCGGATCCGAAAAATTGCCAAGGACAAAGCCGACTGCGAGCTCGAGGTAGAAAGTGCCAACTTTTTCCTGCCGGATGAACCCATGAAGTTCGGTCCGCTGTTTCGCTGCGTCATGACCAAAAAGAGCGGAAAAATTGGCGCTCCGCCGCCACTAACCGCAGGACGCAAGGGCAAGTAGAACAGGAAGGACAGGACGGGGAAATAAAGATGCGAGGCTGGATCCCGACTCGTGGTCTACGTCTACCATGAATAAGATAAAAAAAGAAGCCGATGGCAATGACAGAAGAACTTTCTCTAAGCGACGCACTAAAGGTAGACCTGCCACAATTGACATAGAGCGACATGCTGATTTTTTTCGACCCGATAACTTTCATTCGAGTGGTGCCGCTGCAACAGCGCATCTGAGAAGAACGTTTGATGTTCTACTGGTCACTGAAAAGTACTGGTGGTGGTCGGGTACGCAGACTCGTCCTCCTGGCTCGTCTTGGAAAAGTGATCTATAACTGTCTTGGCGTGCAGGTATTAGCTACTCCCAAAAATCGTCACCACTGCAAGTAACAACAGGCATGCACAGGAATATGGAACTACCTTCCCTGGCGCACACCAGTGTGGCAGCACTGGTATATCAGTTCGTGGTCGCCATCGACGAACTACTCGGTCTCGGCTCCTTCTGCAAAACTGCAATGTTCAAAGTAGCAGAAATCGGTTTTTTCTGACATTTGACGTCTTCAAAAACCTCAATTATGTCAGGCAGCAGTAGCAGTACCGCGAACACTCGGAAAGCCGTGGTGGGGCTTTCATCGTCCCCGGTAGGCATCATTGGCACAGGGATGATGGCTGCCACCATCCCTCGGGACCGCCCTGGCAAAGACACCCGTCCCAGTGTACTCCCAAACGCGGGACGCCGCTCGCGGCGAGCTCTGGCGGAGAAGATCCAAAAAGGCGTGAGGTCTTCTGGCGTCTCATTGGTTGGCGGAGATTGGCGGGAGGTTGCGGAACAGTGTCCGGTCCTCATACTCGCGGTACCGACAAATATCGGAACCTATCAAATGAAAGACAAAAATGCGAAGTAGAAGTACCACGCCTTTGCTGGTGCTTTTTCGAAAAGAAACCGATATGACAGCACTAAGTAGAAGTAGTATCATACACATACTCATAGAAATAGTAGAATTACAAGGCCGATGCGTGGGCATCATGTGTAAATAAAAAACGCATCGAGACATACAAGGGCAGTTTGTTTCAATTGGTTCCCAGCATAGTAAGGATGATGGCGTCAATGTTGTCCTGAAGCAAGAGTTTCTGGGGAAGGCAATTCGCGGGAAGGGGAAGGTGCTTATAGACATCACCTATTTCGGTCGCGGGGCTTGGACACGAGGGAACCCGGCGCGAAATGGCTACGCTTCCGCTGTTGCTTATCATCGAGACTGCTTCGACATGGGTGAAAACGGCGATGCGAACCTGACAACTCAGCCGTCGAGAGTGAATGCGGCAGCGACAACGCATTGGGCCTCGGGCTTCAAAAGCGTGGCCTGGACCTCGCTCCGAGACGGGAAACGACAGGGAATCGAGATCGTGGGGGACGCGACAGGAAAAGCCGTATTGGCAGAGATAGTATCCGCGATCGGTTTTACTCCGCTCGACTGTGGTGATATTGATTCCGGGTCGCCTCTCATCGAGCCTGGTGGTCCCCAGCGGAAACCTCACCCAGGTGCGGACGTATGATTGTGAAACGTCACTCCTCCTATAATTGTCTGTTATTCTGAGAAGCTGCAGTTCTGTTTTATGAAGCAGGGTGCGAAAAAGTTGAACACCATAACGCGCAAGTCTCGTACTGTGTTTTGTCCTTTGGAGTTTGTGGTGTGCAACAGAATCGATTCTGCCCCGTTGGTGGCGGCTTCCTCGCGGCCGCTGAACCAAAGCGTAAGCGTTTCGCTAAAGATGTAGTTGGATGGCAGCAGCAACGCATTAGTTTCCAGGCAGAAACTGTGTACGTGCAGTTGACAAGCAGTGGATACAAATAGAAGACATATGGTGCGTGACTCTCGTTTATTCGATGTCAGCTATTTCTTGCTTTTCTTTGTAATTGTATGAGGTAGAGGTTCATGCCCAGGTCGTAGGTGGATCACAAGTTGGTGTTTGATCATAGCCAGGTCCTCGGCGGAGACAACAATTCAATTTAAACTGGTTTTGGCGTAGTGCTCGCTCCTGATGATGTACGTGTGAACACAAGTATGTCCACGCACTAAGTCTAATTAATTTGTTGTAAGCATTTATGCGTGCAGGTGGTGGTGTAAACGCTACAGCGGTTGCTCGCTCCACCTCGCAGCTGCATCGATTGGCGACGTCGTACCAAGCGCAAGAACGCGGTCGATTCTTGAAAGCTTCGGCGCCAGCACAGTCATCTAGTGGTCATCGTGTGATTAGAAATCAACGGTGCACATCGTCCTCGGGCCTGTCGCAACTACCGGTTGGTAGAGGCGCCAGCATCACGACCTTCTTGTGTGAGAAGACCACCGCTTGCCCTAGCCGGTCAGTGAGGGGAGACTTAATATGCTTATGGAGTGGTGGCGCTCCACTTGTTATACCAAAGAACACAGCCGCAGCACCACGGCGACCGCGTTGCTCTGTGGTTGAGACGAGTTTGTGTCTCCTGCACAAAAATTATCTGCTCGATCGGCAGTCAGGGAGACAGGAGAGGCACATCTTTACGTACGCCGCTGCAACAATGTCGTCCTCTGCGACGGAAAGGACTGCAGCTGCGCCGGGTCTTTCCGGTAAGAATGCGGAACAAGCGCAAGCAGCGGATAAAAGTGAATCACCAGGCCCTCCTGTGAAGCGGACGCGCGTGGAGACTCATCAAATGTCTGAGTACGCGCAGAGCCAGGTGGACAAGGACTTTGTGAATTTTTCGATCGGACAGCCGACGCCCAGCCGCATTCCGTTGGAAGAATTTAGGACGGCGCTGCACGAGAGATTATCCGGTGGCTGTACCCCCAACGACGAGTCTCCAGACCCGCTGATGCTCCAGTACGGAGGCACCAGCACGCATTTGAGCGTGCTGGCGAGCTGGCTCACGAAAGTGCTCGGCTTTCCGGTCCAGAAGAGCGAGCTCTTGTTTACCAATGGCAACTCCCACGCCATCCAGTTCGCCGCCCGAGCGCTCTGCAGAAGCGAAGACTTGGTTCTCATGGATGACCCCACCTACTTTCTTGTCGGCGACATCCTGCGGAGCCACTGCAACGTGAAGCTGCTGCCCTGCTTGCCGCGGATGCTGAACAGTCGTGAAAATAATACCGGTGAGAACGATCGTGCAGATGGAGATGCAACTACATCTACAGAACAAGATAGCAACTATAGTAGCGCGCAAGTAGTACAAGTAGGTACTGCGGGCATGTCACGCTTTGTGGAAGAGCTGGAGGCTTACCTGAAAAACGATGGGAATCCGCGCCCTCGCGCTGTCTATACCATACCGATGTATCAAATGTAAAAATGTCTGGGTCTGGAAGATTGCCAGGTTTGTCATGCACATTTTGCATGACTTCTGATCTCTGTGATGCATGCCCTAGCATCACAGATTTTGTGAGGGCTTCCTGATGCCTATACCGCATGACTAGATCTCCTGCGGCCGTAGCTGCTTGCGGCGACGGTGCAAAGGTTTTCGATGTGGCGCAGTCGGGTATGCATGACAAATGCTCTGTCCGTGTAGCAAAACTTGGACTCTCTTTGCTGCTCATGCAATACAGATCTTTTTAGAATCGAAAATCAGCATGACCAGTTGGATTCTTCCAGACCCAGACATTTTTACATTTGATACGATGTACCACAATCCGACTGGGGAGTGCCTGTCGGTCCGGGCCGCCAAAAAGCTGGTCCAACTGGCGCACGCTTACGATTTCTACATTCTCGCCGACGAACCCTACGTCCTACTGCAGCACAATGGACGAGGAGGACGTGTCGATGGAAATCAGAAATCCGCGACGACAGCTGGCACCACGGGCGACCGCAAAGATGTTGATCACGAAGACGTTGAGCGCGCGATTCGTACCTCGCTACGGTTTTACGACGGTGAAACTGTGAACGGCGGTACATCTAAATCTTCATCCGCTAGAGTCATTAGCATGGGATCCTTCTCCAAGATCGTGGCGCCTGGTCTGCGGCTATGATACCAAGAAATAAACTGTGCGCTGCTAGACCCCATATCGGCTCCCGAAGTTGTGCACAAGTTGTGCCCGAGCTCTCTCGTCAAGAATCAGAACGTGGATATCAATTTGAATTTTTAATTTTGTCTTTTTCTATGACTTCGGGTCTAGCCCTGTCTTTGAGTTTCGTAAATGCGGTGGCTGAGAAGGTGAAGAAACCGATACGCAGAACTCGACGGGAGATCTGTTTCGTTTTTGTTTTTGGATGTGACTGCTGTGGAGCTTCGTTTTGGTCCTCCTTGGCAGGCCACAGTTTTCATTTCGATGCCGGCTTGGGTGGCTGCATGCGGACGCGGAACTTGTGCAGCGTGTGTTTGTGAAGGACCCCGTCCTGGTGTCGGGCGGGGCGCTCAACCCCGTGGCGAGCCTTGGTGTCACGGGCATGATCGAATCCGGACGCATGGACACCTACCTTGCGAAGCTAAACGAAATTTACACAGACCGTGCCCGGGTCCTGTGCGCCGAGCTGCAAAGCCGGTTTGGCACCGCGGTCGACTTTCTCCCCCCGACAGGGGGCTACTTTCTTTGGCTCCGTTTTCGGGATTCGAGGATGAACACGCACCGATTTTTTCACGATTTCCTGAGCCCGAACCGCGAGAAGTACGGGGTCGGGTTCTTGCCTGGACGACGCTGCAGTGTAAAACTTTCCTCGGAGAATGAAGGAGCCACAATAGGAGGAACAGCAGGCAAGAACATTACGGAAAATACCGGCGCTGGCGGGGGCCCCGAAGATGACGTAGCGGACGGCGCGCGGGCAAGGAACGATGGCCACCGCTTTGATGCGTACTGCAGGCTCAGCTGGGCGTTTTACGAGGCAGATGAACTCAAGGAAGGTGTGCAGCGGCTTCATCGAGCCTATGTGGATTATCTGGAAAATAACCTGACTTGTCGTCAGTAATGTCATCGACTCTCGGTGTTGTAATGCTGAAAAAGAAAACTAAAACGCAAATGCAAAGTGAATAAAACGCGCACTCGTCGTCTGGGTCTGCCATGGGAAAATCTGTGCAACATGAGAAACGCCAACGGGCGAAATTAATACAGCAGAAACAAAAACAGAAGGCGCTCCCGTTCGTGAGAGAAGAGGTTCGTTAAGGTTGTATCGATCAACAGATGCCGGCTGTTGCTGCTTCGGGTCGCTCACTACTTGAAACAAATGGAGAGGTCGTCCTCGTCGTAGCACTACAATAGAGTCCAGAGTTTGGTGTCGTCGACGTGATGCGTAAAAAAAGACCTTTCTAGCTTAAGAAAATCTGGGGGGCTTTTCTGATGAATCACGAGATACTGTGTGACTGTGAGTGTGACAATCGATTTCCATAAGATTAAGAGTAAAAAAAACTAGCAACAAGCAATAGATCTACTTAGAAATGAAGAAATGCGACCAGATCCAGAGCTGTCGCGTTCAGTGTTATTCTAAAAAAAAACGGTATACAAAAAGTCGTCTTTCTTTCTTGCAGCGACAATTAAGATCCTGAACATGGCGGCCTCCGATACGCAGCGGTCCGCCTTTCACCGAGCGCGCGATGTGACGGGTTTGTTCGCGTCGACTGACCGTAAAAATGCGATGCGGGGCTCAGACCACACCAGTGCGCGGGATTCTATCGAGAACCAGAAACGAAAGTTCTCGAAGCAGCCGGTTGTGAGCCTTCCGCCGGACTTCGACGAATTACTGCGAATATCCCGTGCAAAAGATAGATGAACGAAAAGGCTTTCGTATTCGCGTACTATAGCAAGTACCAGTTGCAACCTTCAACATCACGATTGATTTTTGTCTTCTACTTGCTGTCACTTTAACACGGAGAACGAGAACAGAAGGCTCGTAGAACCATTCGCATTTCTTGTTCTCAATGAATTTGATGCCCATGATGTTTTACTGTTTCTTTTGCATTTAGGCAAGTTCTACACTACCGTCAATCGCGATACGATCCTTGTCCTTATCGTAAAAATCCTTTTGCAATGCATAACACACGTACGAGATTTTCCCGCTGCGAAAGTTTTCCGCCGATGACGACGCTCACTCCTCCGACGAGGAGTTTCTCGACGCGGAGAGGGACGCGCCGCCGGCTTTCGCGGCCAACGATTTCAGCTTTCCCGGTAACACCGCCTATGACCAGGAATGGGTCGGTAAGAAGGTGCTCCACCACCTGGCGGACTGTAGAACGGGACCACCACCACCAGGCGGATCTTTTGGCGCCCGCCCCCCTCCCGGCTCCACCTCCTCTCATCTACTTTTGAGCCGAAGCGGGGGAGGACGCGGTGCTGCTGCTGGAGCCACTACAGACCTCGTCACGGCACAGCACGTGAAGATGTCGGAACCTTCGGCTCTGTACAACCGGGGGCAGCTGCTCGACCCCGCTGCGAAGGCAAATGTGACGACGGAGCTCGTCGCCAAGTCCCTGGGTTTTCGCGGAGACCGGGAGGCGCCAGGACCGGACAAGAACTATGAGGTGGACTATGACGGTGATCCTTCTCTTCTTGCAGGAGTTGTCGGCCCGAAGGAATTTCAAGCTGCGGGCAGAGTAGAGCAACGCCTGGGGAGCAAGCTCTCGTCGACGACCTCGTCGTCGGCCGTAGGCGGTAGTTCCAAGTACCTCTACAGCCGGTTGCATCAGCGGGAGCAAGATTCGCACCGAAGTCGGCCGGCGTTGCGGCGCAGTAGCAATTGTATCAACGGCGCCGCGTCCGCGTCCTCTTCGGAACTACATGGAACAATGCCACAGCAGTCGCAGCTTCCGGTTTTTTCACTGCAAGGCGGCAAAGTGGTTTCCTCGCCCTCTCCGAGCCGGACCACCCGAAAGGGATCCTCTTCGCCGAGCAAGAGGAAGTTCCTGATCCCGCCGGGTGCGCGCCGCCCTGAAGAAACTGAAACCATGCAGCGCAAGACTCCGACCACGTCGGACGTTGATCATCCTCCGGGTGGACAACACAAGAACATGAACAGTTATTCTACCGCACCTCCCCCCGCAGCGTCGGCGTTTTCCTTCTACCTGGAGAACGTTGGCCAAGTGGATGAATTCGGGCGTCTGCTTGGTGACGGCGCGACAGAACAATCTACCGGCAAGAACGGAAGCGACGGGCTCGAGTCGGCGGTTCGGGACCGCTACGATCCGTCCAGGATTCTCGCGTCACAGCAACTAGAGGGACGCAGCGGCCGCGGCGACGACGTGCACCTACTCGGAGCTGTGCCTCCATCTCGCGTCAAGAACCACGTTGCCGAGGATCATTACATGCATACGCCAACTGACACGAGAAGCAGCTCTTCTCGAACGGGCGCTTCTCCTCCGGGTTTTACCAAAATAAACAGTTCCGCTGCGGCGCGAGAAGTGCTGTTGCGACTCCCGAACGGACGCGTCACCAGCCAGTCGCCCGACATGAAACGGTACCTGCAGCGGCCGGCGCCGTCCGCTAGCGCCACCGCGCCGAAGGCGTCCCGGAGCCGGGTGCCCGTCTATCACAGCCCCGGAGATGAAGACGACCGAGACGACGGCGAAATCTCCCCGCTACAACTGGTTCAAGCCCTGGCGCAGCACAAAACCAACTACCAGCGTAAGAAAATAGAGTAAAAGGCGATCTGGCGGAGAGCGTGTAGTTTGATGCAGCTGCACCACCTGCATTTTTCGCAAGAGGGAACCGGGACGTGGACTTAGTACCACTATAATGAGTATGATGATGATCTTGATCATCCATGCATCGCATTGCGTATGAATTTGAGTTGCTGCAGCTGCTTACTAGAGAAAACAATAAAAGTACGCCGCAGGCACCCAGGATCAGGATCAGCACAGCATCAGCAACAGCGTTCCTCTAGATTACTCAACGATTTGATGTCGTGTGAGCAATAAACCGGTGCTATGTAGTAGAACGCCACACGCTGGTCGCCATGATCAGCTGTTTTCCACGTGACGCAACACTCGCACGAGCATTCTCCCCTCGCAGCTTTGGATTCGACTACAAAGAAGCGGCTGAGCAATGCTTCTGCGACCTCGTCGGCTGCCGAATCTTCGACCTACACGTCCGCGGTGTTGCAGCAAGCAGGGCTGCACTCGATGGCCTCGCAACTTGGAAAGCACCACCCCCACCACCCGCGGAACAAGCACCAGACGCGCAAGCGGGCGCTCCAGACGGGGCAGACGCCGGCGGCCCAACGAGATTTAGACATCAACTGGCATTCTTTGCCCGGGATTTGAAGAAGTAAGACTAAGAGTATCAAGGGCTGATCAGTTGTTAGGAAGTAGAATCCGAAGCGGAATTCTATTTGATGTTTGATTTCACAGACACAAGGACGAGTAAAGAGACCAGGTTCACTGTAGTCAGTGCCGAAGATCCTCAGTCGTTCAGTCCGCCGACTTGATGTCTGTTGTATGGGAACTTATGCAGAATAAAACTGCTTTCTGTAGTCATCTCTGTCTCTCCGTCGTTTGTACATAAACACGTAGGGAGGAAAATCGCAGGGACTTCATCCGTGACACGGACACAAAAGTCAGTGTTAATGGTAAGGAGATGAATATCAACGGCAAGAAGACAGTCGCAAAGGCAAATTTCAACCTCGTCTTTGGAAGCTGTACGAAGACGAACGGCAAAACGAAATACAGATAAACGTGCAGCTTTTATTCTCCAGGTGACTACAGTAGAGACAGAGAGTAAACGTCCGATGTCCTCGCATGAGCTTAAGCGGCACCACGACTGGTGAATAAGAGCTCACAACTGCTCCGGCACTGACCATGACCAAGCACTGGTTTGGTTGTTGTAGAGTTCGTTTGTTCAGTTTGCTGCCCATCGCGGCTGGTGAAGACGCCTGCGAATGCCCAGTTGTACTACTGGTCGTCACCTCTTCGTGGTCGTATTGTTCTTTCTAACTTGAACTGTCGTTCACGTGAAATTATTTAATCGGCTTCCCTCGTCGGTCGCCTAGTACTGGAGCTAGTAGGTACCCCGCCTCATTGAGGTGGATGTCGGTTTTCTATGCTGTTCCAGTCGGTCCAAATTCGTTCACGTGCGCAACATCGTCCCTGATTTCGTCCGTCGTTGATTCATTTTGTTTTTGTCGTCCTCGCACCTACTTCAGTTTTCCAGACTCTTAATGTGCACGTGGAAACCTCCGTGGTACATGGTGCAAGCCATTGGCTTTTACTTTCTCGGTTTTAGTTGGAAAATGAATCGGAAATAGAATACCGTGCTGGTGATCAGGTGCAACTTGTTTCTTGTTGCTTCATTTGTCGGTCTCATCGTCCACTTCGTATGCGTTCCAACAAAAGCATTTGTTTACATAATTTTCAAATTCAATAAAAATCTAGTATAGTTCCTTGGCTACTTGCGATCAGGAACATCATAAAAAAGGAAAAGATTTCTTTTCTAGAAAAACCTCGGTGTTGTTTCCTTCGCCACAGGCACAATTTAGTCGACCCCCCTGATCGTGAACGACCCCACGGCCATGAGCATGACATTTTATCAGTAGAACTTCATGTTGCAGCTGCAACAGGTGTGTAGTCGTGAAACGGGTATAAGTAAGCATTTCTTGTTTGTAGATGAAACCCCACTCGACACTGATGTGGGAATGCTTTTCTTGAAGTCAAAATCGAAACGCAAACACCTCACGCGTCGTGCGCCACAGTATCATTGATTTGATGCATTTTTAGGCAAAAGCTGCAAACCCAACCTATGTGTTGCGTTGGATAGTCGAAATGCTTTGTCAAGACCACGGTTTTGAGAAGTATGCCAACGTGCTGCTGGGCCAAGAACTATCATGGAGGATATTCTGAGATGGGTGCTCGGCTACCCTGCTTCTACCGAGCCTGCCGAGCCCGGCGAGACACAAAGTAAGGCTCTTGACAGAAGTAAATCTTCCTCGTCTGGAGAGGACGGGCGTGGGGTCGTTGCAACAGCACCCGGTAGCAGGTATGGCCGCCAGAGTAAGAGGACGCGAGCCGCGGGCGCGGCCACAACGGGGGCCAACAAAAACGGGCAGAGCAAAGGCTCTGCTGCTCCTCCTACGGCGCCACGACCTGGTCGTGACGCCACAAACAACAAGAATGTAGAGGAACTACAGAACTCCCCCCCTGCCGTGCGTGGGGATAAAATCAATGCAAGCGAGCACCGGGCGTATATGAAAGAGCAGCACAATTGGGGAGAGGACACGCTAGACCCCCGGCGGCGCCTGTCAAGTCACGCCACATTATTCGCGTGCTGCTGCTGTGCCATTCTGGTCTGTGGGCTCGCCGTGGGCATGCTGGTGGTGTGGTACGAGGCTACCAAAGGGACAACCAACACAACTTCTTCCAGCACAAGCAGCACCGAGGTGGACCAAACTGCAGGCGACTCGGCCCTGGCGGCGGCAGCGGAACACGTGACCGACCAGCTGCTCCTCGAGCAGCGCGGCCGGGCCCAGCACGTAAGCGTGCTCGAGGACCTCTTTGAATTCGATCTGGAGACGAGCACCACCAGCGTCAGCACCGAAGACGTGTTCGGGTCCACGGGGTCCCTGGTGCTGGAGCAGGTAACGCAAGCGACGCAAACGGACGCGAAAACGCTCCGCCTCATCGGGCTGCTAGCCAAGAACCCCTACCTGTCCTACTACGCGGAGGAGATGGCGGACTCGTGGCTCCTCAAGCAGTGGGACGCGGTTCTGAACGAGGAAATCAACCAGAAAACGGCACAGCAAATCAAGGAACAGGCGCTCCAGCAGCTCCCCAGCCTGGATCCGGAGGCGGACTGGGAAAAGATCTGGATGCTGGAGCGGATGCAGCAGTTCGACTTCATCGTGGGCAGTTTCGCAGACACACAGGTGGGGAACGCCGACGTGGAAGACAACAAGGGCGGCTGGACCTTCCACGCGCAGCGCCTGTCCAACGGCGAGCATAAGTTGTGGCTCAAGCTACGGGGCACGTCCAACGCCCGTGATTGGGTCACCAACCTAAACAGCCAGTACAAGGAAACCGCCATTTACGAACAGGAAATGCGATTTCGTTCGAATCCACTTCCACATATAAAAATTTTCACTGCAATCATCGCAATCAATAAATGAGAAGTCGTTTCATCTGCCAATTTGGGTGGAACAAATTTGTCATCCTCAAGGGAAAGCGGAAGGCGAGCCGCCGCTTTTTCCGCGTCGCAAAGAAATCTTCTAGCATAGCACGGATAACGTGATAGTGTGACGACGAGATGACCACTGCTCGTGAGCTCTCACTACGTACTCACGCAAGTGCGTCTGAGTATGAGTATCTAGCTTGATGTTGAAAAGGAAAACCAAATCTCTTTGTGGCCTCCTACAGTTCAGTATGCGAATGACCACAATGAATCTGAATGAGATTGAGACTCCTCCTCCTGATGAAAAAGATCTGTCTTTTGGAAGATTGCAGTGAAATAAAACAGCGATGTGTTTGCGGATATTCATATTTTTTCCTTCGATAGCAGCCACGTGGAGAAGGGCGTCGGATTTGCCCGGGGGTTCTCCAACAAACTTGGATTCATAGGCACCGAGATGCGCGACGGGACGGCCGCAGTGAAGACCTTTGACGCGAGCATCGCCGCCTCGGAGGTCGCGCAGGCGGACAGGGCCGCCCTGTACCCCGGAGCGCAGCAAGTGTCGTGCTGCGATGACAAGCTGGTGCGCAACACCGCGGACAAACGGGACACGGAGAGGCTCGCATACGTGGACAACACCTACGGAATCGCGTACCGAGCCATTCAGGAGTACATGAAAAAACACGGTATCCGGTTCTTCCACCACGTGGTCGTCACCGGCCACAGCCTGGGCGGCGCGCTCGCCCAAATCGCCACGGCGCTCCGCAACAAGAGCCGCGACTACCCGGACCTGATCGCAAACCAGCTTCAGCGGGACGGGCTGCAGAACACCGACTTACGGTTTGGGACCAAAAACTTCGGCGCCGCGGTGGACACACTGGAAGCCATATGGCAGCTGGCGGGCGCTTTCGCCGACAATTTTCGCAGCTATGGGTGGGCGCCCGCCCCCGCGTTGCTGCTGGTTTCTGCGGTGAACCCGGAGGGCGTGGCGGAGCCGCCGTCGGCCTGGAGCAAAATTAGCCAAGCGTTTCAGGCTGCAACCGGCATGAACGCGGACGCGGTGGCCGCGGAGCACGCACTGCAGGACGCAAAGATGAACGATAGCGGGTCGCTCCTCGTGCAGCGCCTGCGGCGCGAGTACCGCGTGGGCTTCTACGGCGAGGATCCCGTGCCCAGGGTGCCCTGCTACACCATGATGTTCCACCCCGAGCCCCGGTCCGCATTGTACGTTGCAGCGGACGCGGACGACGCAGCCAAGGACCAGCTCAGCACCGAGACTGGCTGGTCGTCAGACATTTTTGCCGTGCTCAGCAGCGCAGGTGTCAGAAAAATGCCCGCGCCCACTGGTGAAGTTCAAGGTCTTGCGCCCGCGCAACCCGCAGATGCTGGAGCTGGTGCGGCTCCATCCGCGCTTCTCCTGACGAGTCCCGCCTCCACTGCAGAACAACTCGCACACCGAAGTGCAGTCGCCGCGGAGCCGCCAGATAAAGTTGATCTTGCACAGCCCCCGGTCGATGTTGGTGACAAGACGGCCATGCAGCCAAGCGTTGTTCTACCTAAGAAAAGAACTACCGAGGAACCCGCAGCACTTCCGACGGGCAGCCCCAGTGGAGGACCGCATATTTCCTCCGCCGTAGCCGCGCCTGCTCCAGATCCTCCCGATGAAGCGAGTCAGAGTCCCGCACAGGACAATGCGTCGATATTGGGTTCTTCTGGAGGCGGTACAACTAGTACGCAGATGTTGACTACTCATGCTGATGATGCATCTAGCACCTTGTCCTCATCCTCGTACTCCTTTTTGGCATCCAAAAGTCTCAAGGAAAAGAGTGCGCGGAACGAGGTGGAGCATGGAGCTCCAGGACAGATAGCACAAGTAGCCTCAGGAAGCGCTAGAAGTCAGAGGTCTTCCTCTTCCCGCACACGACCAGAGACGCTGTTGGAAGAAGAGTTCGCTTCCGCGTCGGCCACGTCCTCAAGCAGCGCGGGGCCGACGACGATTCTGTTTCGACTCGGGGGCGCTCGGTTTCGCCAGTTGAGCGGCACCAACTGCCGCTCGACCCCCGAGCTCGCTTCGCAAGGCCTCACCCTAACCGAGGGGCACGTGCAGGCCGGCACGCAGGTGATTTTGCAGCTGAAGCAGCTCCTGGACGCGGCGCACCACAAGCACCACCTCTGGCAGGTGTTTGCCGAACTCCAACACGAGATCGCCTCGTTTAGCGGGGACCTTACCGAGCGGGACCTGGACGCGTACTACGAGGCCCTGCAGCTGCGGGAGACGCTGGCCTGGCTGTGGCTGGCGCTCTGGCTGCTCCCGATAACGTGCTTCTCCTATCCCGTGTAAAAACATCCCCACCCCAGAGTTGTCATGCAGATTTGCACTGACAGAAACATTTGTAATGCGCATCACCATGAGAGGAATTTCTAGTCGTGTTGTGGCATTTGTAATGCTGTAACCAGGATCAGCAGATGGATTTGTGATGCGTTTTCCCTTGCTAACCTCCTGCACTACACTTCTACGGACGGAAACTTGTGATGCACGAGTCCCAAAACTTCTAGGTTTGTGTTGCAAAGTCCCCATTTTGACTCTGGTGTGGGGACGTTTTTAGTCAGGATATCTCCTGCCTCGTGTTCTGTTGCTTGGACGGCGGCAATATCAAATGCAAAAATGTCTGGGTCTGGAAGAATGCGCGATTTGTCATGCTGCTTTTCCATGACCAATGAGGTCTGGAATGCAGGACCTAGCAAGACAGATTCTGTGCGATCTCTCTCATGCCTATCCTGCATGAGGAACTCCCTCCCGACTTGGTGAAAACTGGACGACTTTTGGTAATCATGCAACGCTGATTTTTGCGTGCTTCAGATTTAGCATGACAAGTTGCAATCTTCCAGGAGACCCCGACACTTTTACATTTGATAGGCAAACCCGAGGGCGGATCGCCGTCCAACACCTGGTGGTTTGATGCGTACTACCCCCCGCCCAGCGATTCCGATAGGCACAAGTTCTATCAGGACCAGGGCCGTGGCCAAGAAGAAAAGGCAATGCAGACCATCGCTCCCAGTCCCGGAACGGATACGGAGCAGCGCGCCGTCACTTTAGAACAGAAGAACCAAGCGGCGCGCCACGCAGCTGACGCGTGGCACCAGAGGACGCCCTGGTGGCAGTGGGACTGGGGCGGGGATCCCTACGGAAGTGTCCGCCAGGCTGTATGAAATGTAAAAATGTCTGGGTCCGGAAGATTGCGAGATTTGTCATGCATATTTCGGATCACGCAAATGGCGTCTGATGCAGGCAAAAGCATCACAGGTTTTGAGCACGCCTCATGATGCCTGTCCCGCATGAGAGACTTCCTACTTGTGTGCCAAGAAGTGGACAGCTTTTGGCGCTCATGCAACACACATTTTTGTGTGATCCAGAGTTTGCATCACAAGTTCTAACCATTCCAGACCCAGACATTTTTACATTTGATAGGCTGCGCGCCGGATAAAAACAGCCTGCTGTTCCTGTTGTGGCGGGCGTGAAGAAAGCGACCGCGACGTGCAGAACGAGAAGTATAATTACCACTATGGAAATTACTATAAAGACCAAGACGGAAGAGGCTACAAGAACAACTACTACGAAGGCTATTACAACAAGAACGAACACGTCGAGGACCAGCATAAAGACTACAGATACAAGTACAATAAGGGCTACGAAAATGATTTTTACGATGACGGCTATGATGATATTAGCGGCTATCGTCAGCGCGGAGGCGATGATGAAAACAACGGGTACAATGAAAACACCGGGCGATTCGATCAATATAACAATGCCGGCGCGCGGAGCAACCGGCGCAACGAAAACTTCGACCGAGCGTATGGCGGGACGAGCGCGAGCCCTTCTAGAACAAACACCCCCGGGCGAGGCACGCAAGCTCAACAGCTTGCTCCGGGCACGTCGGTGCAACAGTTGCAAACTAAGGGCCTGGAAGATGATGCGCACCAGCAGCGTGCTGGAGCCGCGCCGCTTCGACGCGCTACGGGAACCGCAGCTGTACATCTTCACCAGCAACAGCAAAACAAGAATTTTTACGACAAAGACAATAGGCAAATTATGCGGCCACAGACTGCACCACACGAAGATTATTCAGTTACCAGTAGTCCTTACGGAAAAGGGCAAGGAGCTGTCGATCGCGACAGAAACAATTACGGTGGGTACGACAACGCAAGAGGTGGGCCGAAATCCTTCAACCAAGCCCCGCAGTCGCAGCAGGGAAAGAATAGAGGCCCAGACTACGGGGGCCCGCGTGGCGGATATGATAATTACACAAACTACGCAATCTCGGGCGGACACACTACAAATTTACCAAGACTAGGGCCAATACCGAGGAACCTCTACGCCGGAGAGGGAGAGGCGCATCAAGTTGAAGAGGCAGAAGCAGCTGCTAGGGAAACGGAAACGCACATCAGTTCGAATCTAGATGTAGACGAAGACGAAAGTGAAAAGCGGTAGCGTCAGTGTGGTAACAAAAAAATTAAAGCAAGCAAAAAAAATAAACAAAAAGCTTGATGTTGAACAGGAACAAGCAACGACGACCAAAAAAAAAAACAGAAGTAACCTCCTGCTCCGGATGAGTCGTGTCCTCATTATACATAGTCGGTGCCGACAATGTAATTCTTTATGGCCGCACAAATAGAAATGCGCACGCACGTGATGCGATAATCAACTGCGAAAAGCCCTACTTGAAAATAGATGGCTGGAAAAGCGGCGCGAGGGCGATTTTTTCACTTCTCAAGGAGGACAAGTTCAATTATGGTCGTCTTTTATGTAAGAATAGCTTGTTGCTGTGGTGTCCGTCTGACGCAGACGCTGACATGATCGTGACATCACTGTCCATTGCCCGGACACCGCAAAAAGCAGCCGAGATGCGAGTCTTATTTGTGTTCCTTTTTCTTCTGACTCTAAGGCTTCCGCTTTGAGCACAGACGAAGTCGATGTAGTTGTGTACGACCTACTCCTACCACCAGGGATGATATCAATAAACTCAAACCACCAAGCGGAAAGGCTGAAATCTACTATAGCTCCTGCTGAAATAGTACTGGTACACTAAACTTCTACGTGATGTCAATCTCAAGGGAACGTCGGGTAAAGATAAAGCTAATCATACCATGTAGTGGCTGAGGAGAGACGCCAACTACATGAACTAGTACTCTACTGCCAGCACGGATCTACAACACCCATTTCGACTAGTACTGTGTTTCTTTGAGTTTTTCCGTATGGTGGAGGTCTACATCTACAACTGATAGCTTGCGTGATGCTGATGTATGGCGAGGCACAACGTCAAACCTGGTCCTTTCATTCTTCTTGTTTGTTCTGCCTGATCTCGTCGCTGAATTCATAAGCTCTTCGAAATTTCTTGCATTTGGTTGCGTCAAGTACAGATATTGCACATGCTTGTTTTGCTTTTGTCCTCATTCGAGAGGACTTGTTGGTCATTGTGATCCTATTCCTAAAGCGAGGATGAATTTTGTAGTCACGGTATGAGTAAGACTAATATGGTTAGTAGACGAGTAGAGGGTACTTGTCCGCACCTCACCAGAGATTGCAGCCAAAAATGAGTGAACATCCTCTAAAATAGATAGGGATGACGAGGTAGCAAGCTGCATAAAAATTGCGAAGAACATCAAACGCTGAAATGACGGTGCCAAGTGTGGCCGTTTGTTCCATGAACAATCAGGATGGTTCGGGGACGCAGGACCACGAGGACGGCGCTCTTTATCCGGTGGAATTGCAGTAATGTCTGAAGGCAAATGTTCTAAAACGCCCTGTTGCTGTTGTCGAAACCGAAACTAACTTCGACTGAATAGGGGCCGCCCAGAAGTCCTGATCGTCGCGTAGTTGTACAACTTCATCACTACATTGTACATAGTTCTATGTATGGACATGCATGGTTTCTTTGCCCTTGATACAGAAAGATGAAGACGGTCGTGCAGTGGGTTTGTCATCGTGACCCAGCAGGAGACAAAAAAGGTAGAACCACACCCGTGGCCGTGCTGCGCTTCGCACAGTAATTGCAGGCTTTCTTTTCCTAGTACTCCTACTTCCTGCATAATAAGGAAATTGTGCGCGGAAAATGTATTGCCCCTATGATCCACTTCCACAAGTAAATTCATTATTATTCCATGCATTTGGATTTGCATTTGTTGCTTGATTTAGGGTTTCATTTCCAACAGCAGAGGCAGACACGACTGGCGTGAAGAACAAGTACAAGCTGAAGAGATTTGCAATGCATCATAGTGCGCCGTCGACGTCCTCCGGAGTTGCAAAAGGATTGGAGGTGGCCGCGGAGCAGCACAAAGATGGAGATACGGATACCTATCAACCTCCCCCGCGTGCGATGGACGAGCAATGGGCTTCCGCATCTTCTTCATCAGCATCGTCCTGCCCCGACGTCACCGAAGACGTGCGTGGCTTTCGGGTGGTCGCCGGCGAAGTGTTGTATGACGAGTCTGATATCGCACAAAAAAAAACTGTACGGCACACCGAAATAGACTTGGTGTTTGTCTTTTGCTTTTCTAACAGTTTCTGGCTTGCCTTGGCAGCTAATACACTGCCGAAGAATCTTGCTCCAAAGAAACATTGTCTTTTTTCACACGCAAAATAAAGTGTATGAATTTGAATACACGAGAAAAAAATCAAGGGCAGCGTTCTTCTTCTTCTTGCAGGCCGCTTTGGGCGACCCCTGTCAACTTCTCGCGGAAGTTGTAGACATTTATCTTCATTCTGGGCTAAAGATATTTTTTTGAAATTGGCAGCTGTGGCTTCGCAGTTTCTTTCTGTCCGATATGCGAGGAAAGTGAGCAGGTTGCTCTGCTGCATGCGGAATACCCGGACGAGTCCACAGCGACCATTTCGCGCTACCTCCAGGCGCGCAACTTTGTGCTGCCGAAAGCCCGGGACATGCTGTCTTCGCACCGCGCGTGGCGATCAACCCTGGGGGAAATCAATCGCGAGAACACAGACTTTTCTCCCGCACTGAAGACCGGCTGCTGGACGTATGATGGGATAAACACGAAAGAATGGTCATCTTGGCACCACGACCACGGTCTTCATCAATGTCTGCGGAGATGATGAAATTTCGCAAGACAAGAGAGAGCTGCAAGGACCCCTCTACTTACAGCAGCAGCTCTTTTCTATATCCGGTTACTTATTGCGTTTGTGCTCCTGTGCAGGTATCAGAAATATGTATTTGAATTAGTGCAAAACAGATGCCCAATGTGCCTCTTCGGGACGACGAGGACGGAGCAGAATGAAGATGATGGGTCATCTTTACTGAGACTGGCTTGCAGGGGAAGACGTATTGCTAAAGTGATGCTGAAGATGAAGGCATTTTTTTGTAGCATAGAAGCTGCCTCGGTTTCACCGCGAATGGAGAGCCAGTACGCACTTAACTACTTGGTTCTAGTTGTGCAGTGATGTAGTTTATCGAAGAGCGGCTACCCCAGAAAAAGGTGGTCGTGGTCCTCTTTCATGTCCCCTGCGGGCGGCTGCGTTGGCAGACGCCAAGTAGTATGATGAGAGAAGCGCAAGAAAGTCACTCTCATTGCAGTTCTAGTATTAAGTTCGACCACATGAAAACTATGAGTCATCAAGTGTTTTTATCATCTTGGTGGTGCACTGTAGTGAAAGTGTGCCTGTAACTCCAACAGGCACTCTTGGACAAGAATTCTTGTTGTGAAGAAAACTCCGCCTCAACCTTAAGCAACTATTCTCGTCGTGGATTTGTATTTCGTTGGCTTGATCTTGAGAGACCTTGCATACCGCAGTGAGTCGTGGGATCGCTGTGGTCTGCGTCCCAGCCTTAGCACACACGTTTTGGTCTGCGTCGCAGCCTTAGCACACATCCAAGGGTGGTTTTAACGAGTGCAATTTCGCATCCGTGCTGCGTCTAGTTCATCTTCTAGTAGTTTTTATCTTGAGAGTATGAAAGTTCTCAAAACTTCAAGAAATATTTGTTTGGTGTACGAAGAAGCTAGATAGCCGCCGCTCGGATTCTCTGTGCGTCGCTGCCTAGGTCGTTGGCATCTGCTGGTCACAGGTCAACCACAGCCAGAGAAGTATGCCGCTCATGCTCTTGCATTCAGAAAATGTTTGATTTTTTTTTTTTGAATTTGCGTGAGCAATAAAAATAAAATTTTAAGTTTTCGCGGTTTTTCCAAAAGGATAAAAATAAAATTTTGAAATTTCGCTATTTTTCTGATTTTTGGCTGTCAAAATATAAAGCACGTATGAAGTCTCGTCTGCGATCGAGAGCAGTCTCATATAGTTTCCCGTGGACGATAAAAATAAAATTTTAAAATTTCGCGATTTATTGTGTTTTTTGGTGCAGGGTAAAAATAAAAAGCGCTCGAGTACCTAGATGGCTCCTTTGCTATGAGGTAGCTCTGGTTCGTTCCAGAACATCCTCTATGTTTGTATTAATATGCAACTAGCGCATTCTCATCTCATTTAGTGGGGAATGGTGGAGGGTCCACGTGGGTTTAGCTCGGTCGACCCCGCGGTTAGGAGGCGGTCTCTTGTCTAGCCGGATCATCGCGTTGCGATGCGCGATCCCGAAAAAAATAGGCTCCCCGTAAAATAGACTCAACCGACGTGCACACTGTGCCCGAGCCACCAAAAGCAAAATAAGTAAATGCCAGGTCTGTTTTAGGAAGGGCGCAGCTCCTCCAACCCATCGGGTTCGGGATCCGTGCACGCACGGCTACTTCTTCCATTCGTGCGGGATGCCTTAATTTCGCTGCACTTGTATCCGTTTAGGAACGCCCGTCGTACTGCTCTACTTCGCCAACCAGAATGGAACTGCGAGCAAACAAAGCCTGCACTACCCGCCTTATCCCTTGACCTCCCCGGCAATAGAGGCGCCCGTGAAACAAATACTCACCGCGATGCAGTAGAAGCATATAGAGAAAGTTAAAACTAAAACAGATCCTATTCGTGCGAGCCGGGTTATGGAATCCCCACGAGGTATCAAAGTGAAGATAAGAAAAACTTGCGCCAGGACAGACACTGTACTAATTTAGAAACGGCGATGAAGGCAAGGATCATGTAATGTGTCCGCGAGATTTGTACTCGTGTTTGCGTCTGCCTAACGGTACGTTGGACAGGAAAACGAAAACAAGAGCTATCTACAACTTCGAGTCTATCTTTTTCGTGTATGGTGGTCGTTGGAAAGACACGTAACCGTAGCGGAAATTTACGATCTGCTTCGGCAGCGACCCAAGGCATTCCACAGAATCTCCTATATAGATATACAGAATCTACTGTGGTCATGGAGTCCGTCGGCCCGCATCTCTACAGACCCTTCCCTTGTCTTCTTCTTGATCGCAGAGCTAGTACCTGCATTTTTGTAAAATAAAAGAAGCAATCACGGGCGAGCAGTGGGTATGCAATCCTGTTGGAAATAAATCCAAGGTAAAGCTAAAAATTATACATCACTCTGCTACAACTGCTGCAAAAATAAAGCAAACTTAAGGACAAAAGCAACAGCAACTACCAGGGGATCAATCATAAAGTTTTTCTTTATTTTCACACACTTCCATACGAGTACAGCCTGGATCAGTACGTGCGGTATGTGGTCTATTTTGTGGAGCGTATCTGCAGCATTGTGGACGACAACGCGGCGACCAGCTACCCCTTCTGCCGCGGCTTTCTGATTCTGTTCTATGGCGTTCTCAACTGTTACATTCTCAACTGTTACACGGATTTGTCATGCAAAACTACGCACCTTAAACCTCCAGATGATCAAGCGGCCACGCATGACAAACGAACCTCCGAAGGGCTAAACAGGACGTAAATCTCTGCCAAATCTGTGATGCGAAAGCAGCAATCTTGCCTCTTCGGTTGTTGCTGTTCTTGCATGACAAATTTCATGTAACAGTTGAGAGTGTAACGTTTGAGAACGCCATATGTTCGACCTGAAGGGTTGGGCCCTGTGGCACGCGAAATACTTCAAGTACCTGCAGCAGCTGATCAACATATCAAATGTAAAAATGTCTGGGTCTGGAACTTTTCTAGACTTGTCATGCAGGTTTTCCATGATCCATATGGTCTGTAATGGAGGACCTAGCATGACAGATTCCGTGAGATCACTATCATGCCTATCCTGCATGAGAAACTTCCTCCCAACTTTATCAAAATGGAAACTTCCTCCCAACTTGAAACTTCCTCCCAACATGAGAAACTTCCTGTTCTAACGCCCACCCGCCAGGAGTCAAATGGTACTACTACTACTAACTTGATCAAAATTGGACAGCATTTGGGAATCACGCAACACTGATTTTTGCATGATTCAGATTTAACATGACATGTTCCGACCTTCCAGACCCAGACACTTTTGCACTTGATACAACATCACGCAAGATCATAATCCACAGCGCCTGGCGAAGGCCTACCTGATCAACGCGCCCCAGATATTCAACGCGGCCTGGAAGGTGATTAGTCCGTGGTTGAACGAGCGCACGCGGCGAAAAGTTGCGTTTCTGAAGCAAGTGCCCAGTCGCGAGAAACCGACAGGGGCGGGGAGCACTAGCAGTAATATTAAAGGCGACACGACCCTGAAAGACAAGATGGCGAGCAAGTTTAACTCGTGGAAGAAAAAGAATCCGTTTGCGAGGAGCAAAGTATTCCATGAAAATTAACCATCCCCATCCAATTTCTCATGCAAAGAAACATGTAGTAACTAGATCTAGAACTAAAGTCTGTGTCTGTCATGCAAAAAGTGGATGGGGATGGTTAATTTTCACGCAATACAAAGACAAGGCAGCACACACAGCGGAGACGAGCACGTCTTCGGCGGTGTGTGGCGGTGACGATGATGAGGAGGACCAAGAAGACGAAAAGCGGGGCGGAGCTGCAAACGGGGCTGGGGACGAGCCAGTGGGGCTTAACGCGCAATCAGACACGCCGTCGACCGCCGCGGTTGAGGACGTAGTTGCGTTGCCCTTATCACCGGCCGAAAAGGTCGAAGCGCAGGCAGAAGCCGTGCGCACTCTGCTTCGCGACAGACTCGCACAAATGTCGACTCTGGTGAAAACTAAAACGGATCACGACGTGGTCCCAAAAGCCTTCACGGTCTACGGAATTCCGTGCTCCTCCCTGCGTCAAGCGCGTATGCTGCACGAACAAATGCTCGAGGTGAAAAAGACCCTGCCGCCCGAAGTGGAACTTTTTCTGGATGTGCCCAGTGAGCTTCTCCCCAAATCGCTCGGAGGACTGAAGGAGACGGCCGCCGTTCCCAACATTCCCGGCGAACCGATCTACTCGGAAGTAGGCGTGGCGAACGATTCGTGCACGCTGCCAAGCTAGGAGACCGTCCTCGAGTTGTCCGGTTTTCGCACTTTCAGCTCGACTTGACATTCTGATCTATTTTCCGCGAGGACCCCGGACGAAGTACCAAAGGCTATCCGGCATGCATACTGGAAACAAGTTGACGCTTCTACCACGAGCGACGCATGGTGCTCGATGATGAAGTGGCTATTGTCGTCACTGTCTCGCTGGGCGAGGAGGAGGACGTTGTCTTTTCGAGTCGACGAGATGAACCGAGGGGATCATGCACCGAGGGAACCTGGTGGAACGACCTGCTTTCGTGGACGATGCAGTTCAAGGGCTTCTTTAGCGCGCCATTTTATTTTGGGCCCTTCGACGATCATGCATGGTGTATATAGTTGTTTTTTCAGTGGACGAGCAAGATGGACTTGCTTCTCATCGACATATTGAATTTGTCCTACTCGTCGTGCAGACGATCGTCAGGGGAAAATGAACACTCAACGGATCATTGAGGCACTTGCTCGCCAGTCCATGTTCAGATTTGCGCAAGTGCAGTTTCCGTTGCTGAGCCGGCCGAGGCGAGGCGTACCAGTACCACATCACATCGATGAGTCAGGCAGCGACGGCGCTCAATGGCATAGACTACTCTTCACACCTGAAGTTCACCTTCTCGCACTAACAGCACGACTATGCTGACCTTGTTCCGTCCCGCTGCTAATATTGATGGAACTAGGTATAGGTTGATGATTATCTACAAGAACACATTTCGCCTAACGAATTTTGAGGTACTATCATGGTGTTAGTTCGTAGCAACGCAGTATATCACCAGCATCCATGGCACTCCACCGATGCTGCGCAGGTGATTTTGTCTTTATATATTATAACATTGACTACATGCAAATGCGTTGTAGTGGAGTTCGAGTTTCATTTTCTCCTGAACCTGATCTGTCATCGGTCATGACGGCCATGCCTGTACAACTCATGGGACGACCTTTCAATGCATCATGCTAAGGCCGATGCGCCCTCCTGCTTTGTCGCAGCTACGACGGTGGTTGTCACTTTTTTTCAGATTTCCGAATTTGCCTTCAGGAAAGAAAAGGTGAGGGACTCCTGCCATTGTATTTACAAGAACTTCGCGCAGGTACCATTAAACGCATATCCATCGAGATGGACACGAAGGACTTGATAGATATCTTCCTCCGAAGGAAATGGAACACCGTGCAAATGTAGTAAAAATCAATGAGGAAGACTGATGTCGGCGGGACCTCTATGTGCTGTGAGATTCTTGAGCATTGGTGTCACCATCATCACTTGGTGCTCTATCTGTTGACGCCCTTGAAAGCCGCGCAAGAGTGACTTTGTGACCTTCACCTTTCGTGCTGCAGTGAGAGGGTGAATTTTGGTGCGCGATGAACAAAACGACCTCTTGATATCGCTGAGTTTATCTGTAACCTTTATTTTTTTTAATTTTTACCGGTGCCAGCAACGAACAGCAATGTCCAGGCTGATTTGCAGAAGAAGTGCGGCGCGCCAGAAGTGGTACAACAGCTAGGGTTCTTCTTCTTTGCGACATGTCGGCAGCCTTTCCCGTGGAGCCCTGGAGCGACATTCGGTTTCAGGACTGCAAGGGGCGCACCTTTTCCCGCGCGGATTTGTTGTCGTACCGAAAGCTGTTCTTCGTTTTTGCAGCCGGCTGGAGTGCTGCGTGCCGGCACTTCGTGAAGCACCTGCGGATATATCCTCAGGAAATTTCCCGTGGTACACGACATACAAATGGATGCTGTTGCTGCGTGACAAAACTGGCCTTCAATCTTAGTCAGCATGACAAGTCGTGTGACACTCCAAGTTAGCGAAATTTGTCATGCATTTTGTAAATGTGCGGGGAATTTGTATTGCATACGATACATTACGAAACCATCACAAGATGTCGAGGCGAGGGCGCGCTCCAGGTCGTCTTCGTGTCCTTCGATGAAACCGCGGAGAGTATGGCTTGCTCAGTATTGTGAGGAAAAATTGAAATTCCCCATCATCGAAAAAGAAATCTGCGATGCTAAATTTGAGTACACAAATCGGCTTGTATTACTAGAAGACCAAGAGACGCAGCTGCGGCCTCGTTTACAGACAATTTGTCATGCTGTTTAAGTATTCCCGCTTCCAGTTGCTTCCTGTCAACATGCTGAAGAAGCAAGACTTACTCTCGGCAGCCAGCGCTACAGCGTCTAACATGACAACGTGATCACAGATCATAGTCATACTACTACTAGACAAATCTCCGTTTCTTGCGTATGGGGAGGAGGGATTTTTCATTTTGATACTCAGATGGAACAATCAATCGGAATGGGAATGGGGACAAGAATTCAAAGCCCAGGCCCACTCCTGTCTTACATAGACGGGTAAAAAAAGACCAAGACGTGTCAGGGTGGAAGACTTGTTGTGATGCAACACTCGTCCCTGACGAGAGCTACTAGGCGGATCATCGCCCGTGCTTTGGTGCTGTAGTAGCGCAAATAGTTGAATATAGTTGCTCCATTATCCAGAAAAAAAAGTGTGCAAGTGTAATTTTCTTTGAGGAACAGCATCACAAATTTGCTCCACATGACAGAGAAAACCTGTCATGCAAGGCTTGCAAGGCACAACACACATGAAAAGAGAGCTTCATGGCTGTCTGGCATGACAGGTGTAACTCTGCTGCATGTTCTGCAACACAAATTTACACTTACACAGTTTTTTTCTTGCATATCCATTCGAGCTTCTTCCAAGTACCTGAGCGAGCCATGGAAGAAATGCAGCAGTTCTTTCAATATCCTGTGCAAAAGTATCGTACTCGTATTGCAGTCATGCATCACAAATCCTGTTCTCAAGGTAAATCCGCATTACAAATTTTATTTCTGATGCTGAGGAAATTTGTAATGCATTTATAGTACGAGTGCGATACTTTTGCAAAGCATATTCAAACCATGCCTTGGGTCACCGTCCCGTACCGAAATGTGGAGTGCAGCGGCCGACTCAAGTTGCTCTTTCGGGTGACGGAAGTGCCGAAGCTGGTATGTGTCAATTGCCAAACGCTGGAGATGATCACCGTGGCCGGTTCTAGAGGTGCAAGTTGTGGCGGTGGTCCACGGCAATTTTTACACCCGGGCGGTCAGCACGCCAGCTATCCAGAAGCTGTGCCCAGTACCAGTAGAGCAGCTGGCCCAAATCGAATAGCAGAGTGTACGGACCGGCTGCAGTGTATGGATCTTCGGAAGCGTTTTGGTCCAGGTGCGGACGCTCTCCTATGCATTGAAAAACTATCGTACTAGTGTTAAACGCATGACAATTTTTTTCAAGAATACAAATGCAGTCGCAGTTTGTAAATGCTGTTTTTCTTTAGGCGAATATATCTGTCATGTATGACTGCAAGTAGTACTACACTACTGCGATACTTTTGCAATGTATATCTCGAAGCCTACGACGATCTAGATTACACAGATGCATCGCACGCTCAAAGTGCTACTGAATCTTGAGTCTTAAGCTCAACAGCATGGCCGTGATGAAAAAGAACGAATTTTTAGTGGTTTTTCGGAAGCCCCCTACCGATCCGCTTTCATGTCCGTTCTTGCAGAGATTGATTGTAGGATCGATGGTCACATGACTCACTTTGCAGTGCGAGCACGGGGGGCGCGCCACTGTCTCTGAGCGTGATGTCGGAATAAAGATTGCCACAAGCCGAATCTGATCGCGTGACTTATTTTCTGGCGGCATTATCGTCTTCATACTTCTGATGTTGTGTCACGACATGAAGCGCCATCGCACAATCAGAACTGCCAAAAAGATAAGTTGTAAGTTCCCAGAGTCAGAGCAGAAATGAGTTCATCATCATCCTCATCATCGTCATTGCGCTCTTGTTTAGCTCCGTCCTCCGCTCTCTACCTCACACATCAAGCTTTCTCAAAAGAAAGCCGGAGCTTAGTTGATTCGTTTTTTCAGCGAGCGGGATCATAGTCATACACAAAAAGAAAGAGGTAGATGAAAAAGGGCAAGCACCACATCACAAACAAATTGCAGCTCGCTCCGACTACAATTTCTACGCAGATTTTAGCATCTAACAATGTTGTTTTGAAATAAGAAGAATAAGCTATAACTACAGAAAGTGTGCGGGAGGAGAATCTATTAAATTCATGTTGCTTTAAATGCGAAGGAGCAACGGATTACCGCGATCGATGAGGCATGCGCTCGCTTTCTCTTGGTTGCCTGCCGTTCGCAACAAGCTGCTGAAGCTTTGAACTGCAGCTGTGTGCATGATTTCACTTGTGGCCAGTAACGTCAAGGCCCACACTTATCTTTTTTCTTTTTTGCTCGTCAAGCTGTATTAACTTTCCCTCCTCTACGCATCTTTTCTTCGTGTATCGCTGATTCATTGCATTATGTATCATAGGTGCCGCCGTCTGAGGTAGAGGTGAAGCCTCACGGTCACGCTAGAATGTCATCATATGAGGAGCAAATGGACTCCAGCAAAAATGGCGCTCTGAAAAAGAAGTGTTTTGCTTCCCAAATTTGAAGAGAATTTCAGTACCGCGATGTTGTTGTGCCGCGAAGAGGTAATATGCAGCCGAACTCTCGGCCAAATGCGTTTGATGGCCATTAATATGCTAGGGAAAAAAAAAGCAAAGTAAGCCGCTAGCACCTCGGTAGTTGTACTTAACCGGTAATGCAAAAATATCAAACGGGCAGTTAGACTTAGATGAGGGCGACAACATCTACATCAACAGCACGAATACAAAATAGAATTAGAAGCCGGAGACGCCTCTTGCTCTTTCCCTTTTCGCATAACCAGTGACATTAGAGTGCTGTTGCTGTTGTCTCTATGACAGTGGCAGGGTTCTTTTTTTTTTGGCCCCGCTCCATAGCCGCGGCCGATAGCGCGGACGAGCTGCTGAAGATGCTGGCATTAGATTGCAGCCGGGAAGAAGTTGAGCAGCACTTGCGTTGCGAGGGGTATTCCGACATCGACGCCAGCTTGCTATGTGACGGCATCATCGACATATTTGCGGCGCCTTCCTTCAATGACTTGCTCCGACGAGGGGAAACAACGGACAGGCCTGGTACTTATGTTTTTATTTTTTCATATAGAAGTTTAGCCCCGGCGCCGGCCTAGTAAAGTCCAGTAGCTGTAGCGCTGAAAAAATGTAGCGAATACAACTGGAGCAACACGCAGCAAAGGAAACGATGCCGCTTTGCCGTTGCTTTTGAGGGTGGGAACGCACGAACGGCGGCAGCACTGTGTTTCTTGGTCATGTCGACGTGAGTGGAGAAGCCCTCTTTCGAAAACGCGCGCGCAGGTCCGCGCTCGGTTTTCAGATCATCAGCATCAACAACATCATCATTCGATAATTAGAAAAGAAGAGCAGTCGTGCTCGTGCAGGTCATCCTCGCACTTTCGATAAAAACCGATTTAGATCACAACTGTTGCAGCTCAAATTCAACGACACGCACAGGTCTACGACCCGGGAGCCTAGAAGAGATGAACCGGAGGAGAAGAGCAGGAGCAACGTGGTCAAAGCTGGCAGCGGCGTGCGCTGTAGTCGTATCGGGGCTCACTGCCTCCAGTTGTTCCCTGGCAACCCTCTCTGGCATATCCGTACCAATTACCAGCGCCGCCGTGGGCTCTAGCATCGTCGTTGCGGCACTCGAGCAAACACAGCGGCGCGATCAGGTGCACGTGACTGCGGCTGGTTCATCGGCGCCGATAGACGTAGAGGTTGAGCAGGGCCGCTACGCCCAGGACACGGAAGACACCGATCAGCCGCAAAACGCGCGGACACCCTCACCCTACGAAGTAGCTTATGACGAGTTACTTCTGAATGTTCCGCATCAGTTATCAGCATCATTTGTGCAAAAGAGGAAGAAAGAATTCGAGATGTTCGACGCGGCGAAGATGAGCAGCGACTACGCGAACGTCGGCTCATTGCCGGTCTTGACTGGCAACCTGGAAGAAGACTACGTGCTGTACCTGCAGCACAAACAAGCTGCAAAGACCCTTGGCGAACGTATCAAAACTGGTTTGAACATGACGGCGGTGCAGTGGACCAACGTCGAGACGAACGCACTGTTGCTCCCGCTGAACGTTCTGCCTTCGCACTACGCGGCTCAGTTGTTGAACAGGTTTGTTATCCTCGACAGGGACGCGTCAAATCTTTTGGAGGAGGACGAGGTTGCAAATAAAACACTCGCTTTGCTGTGTCCTTCGTTCGAAACGCCGGCTGCTGGCGAGTACATCGGGGGCGTCGTTGGAGATGGAACTAGTCAAGGAGTTCCAGCGCAATCGCTTTCCGAAGCCGGCAATAATTCAACTTCCCATCTGCACCTGGCGCTGTCTTTTACGGACTACGGCTGCTTTTGCACGAATGTGCTTTCCTGTGGTGCTACCGGCAGTCCAGCCGCCGGTCCCCTACGGAAACGTGTGGTGCACCCGGCGCCCCATATTGTCGCCGCAACGCATGCAACTGGCGCTGGTGCTGTCGCGTCTTTTACTCAAGTGAAGCAACGCTCCGCGTTGGTGATGCTGGCTGCATTGCCAAATCTGTTGTCTGCGACTAAGATCGCAACGGGGCTCTTCAAGCTCTAGAAGTTTGGCAAGAGTCTGCACGAAGCTTCTGAACTGGCACACCGTGTGGTAGCAGTGGCACACAGTGCTGCGGTTGGTGCCTCGCACATTGTTCATCACCCTCTTGAAGCTCTGGAAAACTATGAATGCGACAAGCCGCGTCACAGCCACATCAAAAACCCAAACCGCGAACCTTCTTCCAAAAAATAGACAGAAGCCGGTCGGCTTGAGTATCCACGTTTATTTTTTGTTTCCTGAAAGAGAAAGACTTTCGCAAAGGCAAACTTCGACTTCGCAGACATTTGCGCAAAGAGGCGATGGAAGCCGCCGGGCTTTTTGCGGAAAAATAGCAGAAAAAGCGCGAAGCGCCTCGCGCAGGTGGCCAGAGAAAGCCAAAGTGCGTGGGCGAAGCGCCCCGGTTGGGCGCGGGGGCGTTTTGTGGGGCTTGTGTACCTGTTGCGCGCGCGTAGCTAGGCCCCGAAAGAGTATCTCAGGCGCCCTGTTTGACGCCCTGCAGGGGTCTGGGGCGAAGGAGCCGCCGCGCGTTTGGTCGGTCGCTAGGGCCGGCGCGGTGTGCGAAGAGGGGTGGGGCGGCTACTGCTAACTATCCGCGCCTGCTGGTGGCCGGCCATTCCTAAAACTTGCCGGCGGCGCGACGTCGCTGACGCGTGCTGTCGTGGTGCGCCAAGAAAATACACCAAGCAACACGCAACTGGTTCTCTAGCTATTGCCTATCTCTTGAGAGGCGCGCGCCCTTTGTTTTTTCCATTGCCGCGGGGCGCCGCCGCACCTTATTCTTTGGAAAGGCGAAAGCCGGCCGGCCCCCGTCGGATTTTCAGCCAAAGGTCGCAGCTTTTGGCCTTTCCGATTTAAGTGTGGCGCAGCTTTTCACCTTCGTACAAAGATAGAAAAGGCCATCGGGTCCACGGGCAAGCACCTAATCAATTTCATCCGGTCGTATCAGCAGGAGGGCCAGAACGTTATGACCTGGCTCGACCAAATGAAGGGCCGGCCTTGGCATAGCAAATGGAACGCATTTAAGCCTTTGCTGCAACGGGCGGTGGAACGTGCTGACGAAGTCGACGAAGGATGGGACCAGGGTATAAGTGGCATCGAGGTGCTCGGGAATCTAGAAGGAGAACTCAAGGAAACTTGCCACGAGCTGTCCGAAGAACTAGCCCATGCCAAGGAGATGGTCAAAAATGATGGCCACAGGGGCAACCACGGGAGGCGACATGAAAGATACGCATGGCACAAACATGGGGCCACTCGGACCACATGGGGTTGGGCGAGGTTTCCGGTTCTTCCAGAAGACCCCAAACGCTTCGAGCTCCGTTCCAAGCTCGACAACATGGCCCGCCGCGTTCTGAAATCAAGAGCCCGAGTGCCTACGCTATGGAGAAGCATTTTTGGTGGGGCCGCGCCGCTTTATGTGTCTCGCACACGCGTGAGACCGGTCTCACGCACCAAAACCATTCGATCCCGGCGGCAGATCCTTCACCCGCCGGGTTATAGCGAAGCTTGCTAAGTACACTAGCCCCGGCAGATTGATCCCAGGCCGGGATCTGCTGCCTTGTTTGATTGCGTGACGCCAGCGCGCGGGTTGCCCCCCGCCGGGCGGTCTCACGCGTGAGACACATGAGGCGGCGCGACCCCGCCCGGGGCGTTGGTTTTCGCCGTATCGGTATGTAGTTTTTTAAGCGAGACCGGCCGCCCGGGGCGCGAATGTATGTTTGGGCCGCGCGCCCTGGTAGCGTGCGCCGCCCCCCTGCCGCTCAGACTATGGCGAGCTATGCATGGCGCGGCGACGCTTCGCACCGCGCATTGATTGGCACAAGACCTGGGTCGCCCTTTAGGGCGACCCCTTGGTGACCGGTCCTAGGAGTCTGGACAGGAACGAAGGCAGGTAGGGTAGAGCAGCCGCGCCGCCGCAGAATGGCGCCGGCGGCGGTGGGAGAATGAAAGACAGAGAGACGGCAAGGTAGGCGCGCCTCAAAATAGTAGAGACACCGATAGCGCAAGGGCGCGAAGGGATTACACGCGGGCCGTTTGCTTCCGAGTAGCTAGCGGGGCGGTCGGCCCTCGCTCTTGTTGGCCTAGCCGGCCGGCCCGCCCGATCCCCGTGCGCTGCCGGCTTGCGCCTGGGCTGTGTTGCTTCCCGCGCCAACCCTTCGCGTGCCCCTAGAGGGCTTTGTTGTTTCCTTGACATGCCCTTGGCTACGGCCGAGGCCCATAGTTCCAACTTTGGGCGGGTGACAGATGAGCGATTCTGTGGCCGGCGGTCTTCGGCGGCCCAAAAGGGCAAAGCAACGCGCGCGGCCGCAAACATTGCAGCACGGACGCCGGGGCCAGAGACAGGCAGGCTAAACCGTAGGACCAGAACCCGAAACCCTAAACCCACGCAAGTATCTTCCTAGCGCAAGCGGCCCCGCGGCCGGTGGCCTTCGGCCGCCGCAAAGAAAGAAAGAAAGGGGAGGGCCGGGGAAGCGCCGTGCGAATTAATACCGACAGAACGCAGCGTGGAAAGCCCGCGTTACCGCAAAGCACCGACGCAGCACGCGGGTGCGCGGAGGGGCCCACCCCCGGGCCCGCCGTCCCAAGGGCCACCAAGGGAAGGAGGGCCCCACAGGACCCCCAGGGGGCCCCCCAAAGGCCCCCCCGCTAGAAGGGGGCAAGGGCCCCTTCTATCTTCTTCTCCTGTTCGGCCTGTCTCCCGTGTTTTTGTCCTTCCCGGGGGAGGGCTGGGCAGCCAGGTGGCGCGCCGTTGACCTTATTCAAAAGAATAAGAAACAAAGCCAGCGGCAGCGTTTTGTTTGCTTTGGAAGATTGCAGCGAGCCGCAAAGCCGGCCATTGTTTACCAAAGCTAACTTCTAACAGGCGGCGCCTGCCTCGCTTCACATCAATTTTTGGGGCTGTGTGCCCAGGCAGATACTCAGCCAACTAGTCACAGAAAGTAAGCTTGACGACTCCGGGGCCGGCGCGCACTATCTCGCGCGCCCGCCTAGGCTATGACGTGCTTGCATAAAAAGGGCGCGCAGAACAAGCCGGCCGAAGAAGTGCCTGGAAGGGGCCTGCCTTGGGGTTGTCCCGGCCTCCGTCATCGATCCATCGCGATAGGGCCAATGAGTGCGACCATCGGCCCCCTGTTTATTTTGGCGCGCAATCAATCACAAAAAAGCGCATGGGATGGCTTCAGGGCTTCGGTGGTAAGGCGGGCCGGCAACATCTAGCGCACATTGACCGTAAGCACGCGTAAGAAATCCATCGGAGGCGGTTCCGTTCGGCTGATGTGGTCGGGTGGTGCCCGTAGGAAGTGGAACGGGTGCCCACCTAGGGGCATTTGCAGAGGCCAAGCCTGTTCTAGCGCCCAGGTATTGGTAGAGGCCAGGTCTGTTCTGACACCTCGCCTGCCCGCCCGGGGTTAAATGGTGACGACTACTACTACTTGGCTTGGATTTCCGCCCGGGCAAGACCTCGGCCAGCTAGATTCGCGCGCGCGCTCTGCATGTCCCTGTCGGACTGTCCCGCAGGCAAGCCGGCCCCCGTAAGTTTTATTTTCCCCGGACCCCCCGCCAGCCTTGGCAAGTTTAAGTTAACCGACCGCGGGCGCGCGGTTGCCCCAGCCGCCCCGGGCGCCTTTGCTGGGGTGGAATCCTTTCGCCGGGCGGCGCGCTCCTGCGCTTTCGGCGCTTTCTCCTCGCGGGCGGGCCAAATTTCCTTGAGAGGGCATGCGTGCCGAAGATAGACAGCGCCCGCTCGGGACTATGTATATAGAAAACAGTTTGGGTGCGCTTCCCCTCCAGCGCCGCGAGCGTGCGCCCCGTCCGCCCCTTTTCCCGTGATGTATGTTTTTCGCGAAGATATTAAGTTGGGTCCTGGCCCGCAGGGGCTCCGCCTCAATGGCAATGCCCTGGGGGAAAGGGGGCCCCGGGGGCGGGTTGGGGGGTCCAGGACCCCCCTGCCACGGGCGGACTCGTATCTTTTTGTCCTGCCCGGATTTCTGGACCTCTTTTCGGCCATTGTTGTATTGCTAATCCTTCTGCGAAATTCGATTTCAAGCTTCTTCCCGGCTGCGATTGGGGTTGCGCAACCTCCCCCGGCCTCGTTTCATGTGCGTCCAAGATTTTACATACAAAGACAAACACAAATGCGCGCGCAAGCGAAAACCTACTTGAAGGAGCTAGGCAAAGCCGTAGCGGAACTGGCGAAGGAGATTCTGGGCGCGGGGCCGAGAACCATAGCCGCGCTTATCAATAAAATCGTCTACGGCCAGCGCCGTGAACAAAAACACGAGGGCCTCCCTTGTCTTGACGATTTCCCATCTTCGCTAGAGGAGGTGAAGATGCAGCGCGATCTATATAACGAGTGGCATGACAAACAAAGCGCTACTACTCGGACTGGGGGCTACGTTTGGTCGAAAGACCAGTGGCATGTGATGAAGATGCGTCAGTCTGTGCAGCAACTACGTTTTGTCTGGGAACAGCCTGGACAGTCCGAACTTCAGATCCGAGACGTGGTAGGGAAGCTATTGCATTACGCCGAACACTTTCAAAAGACTGGAGCTGAACCCGACACACACACCGCAAACCAGCACGGCCGGGGCGGACACCAACGCGCCAACCGACGCGCGGACGCGAGCGTGTGGCCACCAGAGGAACCACCATCTGAAAGCAATATCGGCTACAGGACCCTACCCAATGAGTTCGAGGATGGTGTACTCGACAAGCTTCAGAAACTCCACGAAGAAGTGAAAGCATACATAGGTCCTCCAAAGTAAGAGAGCCGAGAGCGGGGGGCGACCATGAGCGTAGCAGTGACGACAGCTGGTCGCGAGGACAACGAAGACGAACAAAATCATGATGATGGTAGAAGCTACTGCCTCAAGCAAGATATAATTACCGTCTCAAGACGGTCGATATCGATACTTCGCCAATCTTAGAGAACGAAGCGTGAACATGTGGACAGGCCCCTTTTTTTAACCCGTTCCACAATACCCCGCGCAAGCTACATGATGACGATGATGATGAGGGACGCCTCTAGCATAAAGTAGGGCCACCGAACGCAAACCCACGTAGAGCAACGCCGAGTAGTGACGATGAAAGACGAAAAGGTATAGCTGTAAACTCATAGAAAATATGGAAGTGCTGCAAGTACATGGCACATCTAAGTGCATTGCATTGATTGTGATTGCGCAGGAGACTACAAGGAAGAAACTCTGAACAAGTTCCTACACGAAATTGGACACGAAAGCCTACCTCCCCTTCGTTCTGAAGTTGCGCCTACAGATCGATCCTGAACAGGGGAGCGGCCCCCCGCCTTTCTTTAACCTCCTTCGCGATACCATGAAGAGGCTAGAAGATGTCCATGATGAGAACGCGGAAGTTGTTGAAGGTCCTGCGTTTGGGAGGGAACACGCAGGCGCCTTGTAGGTCCTTCTAGTTCTAGCTTCAGCAATGTAGCAGCAGCAGTAACATATTTGCTTCAGCTTCAGGTGAAGCTGGTGTAGCCAATCGATATACGAAGCCTTTGAAAGAAAGAAGTATACAGGAATCTCGGCCAAAAGCCCACAAGCAGAGTTCGTGTCAGCACTGATGGCGGAACTCTAGCGCCGCGTGTCAGCAGCCGCGACTGACGTCGATTTTTCCTCACCGGAGTTCCCCCGGTGGCGCACTGCGCTAGTCCTAGTCTTAGTGTGATGTTGCCCTCCAATTATAGTCGACGCCGAAGCCGGCAACGTGTAGGAAAGCTAGTGGGGCTTCTACTTACTCGCCCCTTCACTCGTAGGAAGTAACCGGCTGCATCTGCAAGCGCACCACCTAGTGGAAACAGCGCACCTGCTGATGGGGCTGCTCGCCCATTTACCCCTTGGCTTCGCCCGCCTTTCCGTCCACAAGTAGAATGCGACAGGCGGCCTGAGTGTGAAAATGCGCTTCTTACTTTTTATTAAACCGAATGCACGAGAAATGAGAAAGTGTTTCTTTCTTTGCCGCGAAAAGCGGCATACCGGACGAAATCAACTGCTTTAGGATCTTCAAGTGCAGGACAAAGTGTGACACTTTTTTTTTTTGAATTCACGTCTAAGGCGATGACCACAAAAACGCAATGCAGTTGTAGTCCAAGGCTGTCGCGAAGAAGGTGTCGGGAAGAACGCAGAAGTGTGAGAAATGGCGCACACAAAAGAAGCACGCCGTCCCACTAGAACAAGTCAACGAAAGAGACGCCGATGCTGTTGGAGCGAAAGAGATGCAACGCGCTGTCCGTCAGCCGGGTGCGCCATTCTTTGAGGCACTTGCTATGTATCAGAGCCTTACAACAAACACGAACAGGGCAGCAAAATGTCTCAAATGTAGCAGTAGCTCGTATGTTTCTAGCTACTAGCCTTCGAAGGACCATGATCCTCGGCCACGGCCCGATGCGCAGCAGCATGCGAAGTGTATCTATCCAGCAGCAAGGTCTGCGCACGTTCGCTCACAATCACATCACTTCCTTATTCGTTTTTGCGTTTTCGTTTTTGACAAATTCTGTGCACAGGCCGGCACTCCCTTAATTCGGTTTTTCGTCGGTCGCCCACTCAAACCCAATGTTGTTCCTGAAGTGATCACCCGGGCGGGGGGTTTTCTGAAGGTATGCATAGATATTGCAAGCAGTGTCAGATATGACCGAATTGGTGTAGTCATTCATTGCTATATTTCGGCGCCGTTGAGGTAAACTTCATCGGTTGCGTATCCTGACGAGAAGCGCGCCATCGTCTGCGCCACTGCATTTTCTTATCGTCGTCCGAATCCGAATCGTTGATCCGATTACAGCAAGGGCTTCAAAGTATAGAGCAGCGAATGACGTGTATCTATATGTTAGTACCGTACAACAATCGTCGCAATTCAATTGTGTTTTCCATCGTTCTTTCGAATTCAATCGTGCAAATGACGCAGATGACTCACTTCCAATTCTGCCATTGTGATTGGTGTCACTCTCCGCAGACCTATTACTAGTAAATTAAAGCTTCGTGCGCTCTGCCATCGTATTTCACCAAGACTTCTTGAAGCCTCCCTAATCCATTCTCTTTTTCCCAGCCGCGAAGCCCGCGTCCTGAAACTGAATCCATTCCCTCATTGATATTTGTTCTTTTCCCTGTGTTTTGATTCATTTACGATTAGGGTGGATTAGGCGTATGTAAGTAGTGGCAAAATGAGATTATGGAATTCTACTTACGTACCATCAAGAACTGAAATCATGGCTCTCTCTCTTTATCCAGATTTTGATTTAGACGATGAGGCCCTCTCTGTCTCGATTTGTTTTTTTCAAAACCAACATAGGATCGCAGCACCATTTAAGAAGGATTTATTGAAGGAATTGAATTTCTATTTCTGCGAAAGATCGACGAAGCATCAACTGCATCAGATTCAAAATCATGTTGGCCAGTGGTGGAACGCGGCGAGGCAGTAACCGTAACTACAACAGTTCCTTTCACATCGCCCTGACCGAGGAGAGGTTTTACCAGTTGCGAAAGTCGTATGAAATACAAAATATATATATGCTCCCGTGTGCGAATTCGTCTTTCTATAAAGAAGCAACTGAAAAAGAAAAACGCAATTAGCGGCAATGCATGTGTGACTGTTCGCAAAGCAAATTCAAAGCAAAACAACTGATCGATCTAGGTTTGATTCGATTGTGATTGAGGAAGTATTGAGTTTACTTCTCTATGCTTATTGTTGTATTTCTCTCAAAAAATGATGCAGTTTCTTTCTACCTCTTAGGGTCTACCAATTCGGGAACTGGAGCATAATATTTGCATTGCATAAGCCGTTCCGTTGTTTCGTCTCGTTCCTGATCGGATTCGTCCTCTTTTACGACCACCGCGAGGTTTTGCAGGCCCAGCGCGATTATGCATTGCAAACACGATGGTCTCAGTCGTGGGGGTCCGTCACAATGTGAAAACCCCAAATACGCCATGTGCGGTCACATGAAAATGCATGTGGAAGACCGATGCATGATATTGATAACGAGAGAGCAATGAAGAAATGACAGCGAAAGGCAGCCCCTGGTCAGAATTTTGTCTGTATAGAGATGATAATGATGAATTGAAGCGTTGCTGTGATCTCAAAGCTGAGCCTGGTGGTCTTTTTAGTATCAGTTCACAGCACCAGAGCTCGTGAAGCTGTGTTTACACACTGTGTGCGCTCCCAGACTTCGGGCTGAAAGTGTTTGTAAGGGATAGTGAATTTCGACGCGGAAAGAAGAGGTCCCAGTACTACGCTTCTTCTCTGGACGGCGGGAGCGTGGAGGAGCGGCTCACGCTGGATATCGAATGGAAAAATCCCCCCTCCCCATATCGAAAACGAAATTTGTGATGCTGTATTTGAGGTCACAAATCGACTTGTCATGCTAGAAGGCCAAGAGCCGCAGTCGTGGCCTCGTTTGCAGGCAATTTGTCACGCCGTTTCCCGCTCTCAGCTGCCTCCTATCATGCTGAAGATGCAAGGCTTGACCACGGCACCCAGCACTACAGTCCGCATCTTTTCCCGTGTAGCATGAGAAAGCTGATTTGTGACAACAAATCTGCATCACAGATTTCCGCTTTGATATGGGGAGGGGGGATTTTTCCTTTTGATACTGGAGTTCCTGGATTTGCTCGAAGAGGCCTTCGACAGCTCGGCAGAAAAAGATCTTATGAAAACGTAAACGAAACGCACTTCTATAGTGAATCTATCACTACTGCTGGTGGAAGCAAGGCTAAGCATGACTGGTCTACTTCAGGCACAAATTAGTACAATATGAAAATGTCGGACCGGATGCGGTCACGGCATACGCATAGAGAGTTTCTTATCTGTAAGGTCTAGATAGAGCAGGTCGAACCTTATTGCATAAATGAAAACGCGTCACAATAAACTTCTACCGACGATAGTGATAGCGCTTTCCCTTTTCATAGGTCCGACTAAATTTTTACTCGAACAGCTCCGGCTGTTGCAACGATCGGACGAGCGGTCCGCGCTGAACAATATGCTATGTAGAATCACCCTCGTCGCCCTCAGCAATTTAGATTTACAAGGAAGAAATGCGCAGGTGCAAGGTAGGTATTGATTTTGACTTGGACTCGCTCAGCTAGAACAACTAGAGGCGACCTCCGAACATGTTGATTTTCACTACTTATACTGACAATGTTGACATAGACATTGGTGCGACATTGTCATATACTTAATGGACTTGCAATTGCATACTGGAGATTTACAAAGTGAGCGCGAGGACGAGGGGGATTTTTTCGTAGGATAAGCAACTTAACACTCCGCGAGCGCAGCGACAATGCCGACCTGCTACAAAAAGTTATGGGCTTCGAAGCCGACGAAGTTGCCAGCATGAGTATCCCGTGTAGGAACCTTCCCTGACCGACGTCGTATTAATGCTACGGTAAAACTAAGGCAGCATATCTTGATCTTGTGCATGAACCAGCATGCCATCTGCATGCTCCTGTGCCTCCCTTTGTATGTTGAAAGACCCAAAACGGAGTTTCGTTACGAAGATGATCGATGCACCTCAATTGCCACATCACAGTAGCGTCCTCCTACTTGGAGGTCAACTTCTTTTTTTATTTGGACGGTCCCGTCCGGGTCGTCGGTCTTTGGTGTGAGTAGTTCGAGGGTACCTATATGATGATCATGTCATGCCTCAGCCGAAACAAACTTGCTTGGTCTGGAGTTGTGTGCCGAGATTGCGTCAGCAACGTGTTCTGGATATGAGATGATGGTCGTGCTCGTGGGGATGTTTTTGCACAGGATACTCATGCTCAACTGGTACGACGAAGCCGCAAAAAATCTGACCACTTTGAACAACAAGGTTGGAAACATCAGTTTCGCCACCATAATACGCATTTACAAAAGCCTCGCATAGAAGCGCCACACCCAAGCAAGAGCAACCTACCAGTACTACTTGTACTTGCATTGCAGCTCATTTTTTCTGCAAATTGAAGTTCGCAAAGGCAAATGATCGGACGAATTGGATCGCAGCCGGAACAACTGTGAGAATCAAAATGCAAACGCTGCATGTTGAATCAATGCATGGGGTGTTGTGATTGATGTCAAAGCAAGATGTAAGTTTCCCGTTGGTGTCTATGTGATGCTTTTGTACACCTGGATATGTCACGGCCCCCAGTACACGCCAGTTTTACAACCAGAAGCAAAACAACAACTCTCACAAATCAGAAGAACCCAAACCGGCGGTGGCCAACACCAGCGGTCCGTCTTCGATTTCGTCGGCGGGGCAGCAAGAAGAGAAGCAGGCCGAGTCGGACTCGTTTTCGGACTGAAGGTCAAGCAACTCAAACGATAAATTCTTAGTTTTTAAATCAATTTGACGCTGAATTAGAATTTGAAGCAAGAAGTGAACAAGAAAAGAACGCGAAACCTGTACAGACCGAGACCGACGAGTCACTGGAACCAACAGAAAAATTAAGAACAACGAGTGGCGAAAAATCGTCTCCCCGTCTCTCATCTCCATCCGAACCTCTTTCTCCCTCCCATCCCCCTTCCCCAACAAGGCAAAAACAAAGAAGTCAAAGAATCGCGGCACGCCGGACCGCATCCATCAGCAAGTAAAGCTCGACATCGCTGCAACCGGCAGAATCCACCGCTCCCTCCTGAAGGTCACCTCGTAGTTGACGTAAGTGCCGGTGGAGACAGACAAATAAAGTAGCTCCACGTTGCAGCAACAACGGACAACTGGATTGAACAACAGCCCTTCTTTATCATTCGTGGAAACGGATACGAAAAGCGCAGAGCCAGAGGAGACAACGCAGGACCTGCTAAGGCTATTAACGTGGAGCTTTTTGAGTCTAAGTGACAGTGAGCTCAAGCTGTAGCTGTCGAGAAAGGAAAGTAAAAAATGCAGGGCAATATTGCCAAAAACGTTGCTCCGGAAGGCGAGCGAGCCTACAGCGCGCAAGGAGTGACTGCTGCTGCAGTAGACGATTCTCGCCGAGAAACGATTTCCATGCAGCCAGAACAAGACGGGTCGGAAGGAGCAAGCAAGAAGAGGGAGCTTTCCGATGTGGGCCCGGCCGCTTTGTCTATGCCCTCGACTGTGAGAACGCCGATTCTAGCCAGCGAAATGGGACAAACGACCTCCAGCACCGTGACTGCTGGCCCAGCGCGGCTTTCGGAAAGAAATCCGGAGACCACAACGGGTTCAAACGCCGCGCCGGCAATATCGCAAGAGGATCCGGTCGGTCAGATGATCGGTCGTGGTAACTTGCGTTGGATTGCCGAGCGCATTACCTCCGGCAGCGCAACCACGGTCGAGATGATATTCAATGCAATAAATTACTCTGTCGTTACAACCGGTGTTGGGGAATTCGAACTCACTGCAGAAAAAACTTCTTCTCATCCCTAAATACGTTGAGAGCCTCCCCCAAGCTGTTGTTATGTTTGTATTAGATTGCGGCAGGTACAAAACCAAAAGGTAGAAAAAAAGTACGCAGTGCCGCCTGCAGATCCCTCGAATGCTTTTGGCTATACATGATCACCGCACAGCTTTGAGATTGATCGGAGTATCATGATGACTCCAGTAAAGCAGTAACGGTATTCGTATTTTGTCGTTTTCCTCAACACTGGCCGCTGTCAGGACGTAGATATTTGCAATGGATATCCGGAGCGCATTCGCAATATTGGAATCCGCCTGATCAGCTACACGTCCGACAATCTGGAGCGGTATGCCCAGCAACTACACTCAACGAATAGGTGGTCCCCTCGAGAAGTGCTTCATTTGCAATAATTGCATCCGTACGAACAAAAGATGCGCATCACAACACTCACTTTGTGTGCCGCTGGTGCGGCACAAAGAAAGAAGAAGACCAAGACACTCTTTGAAGTAGAAATGCATCACAGACAGATGAATTCCCAGATTCAGACGAGAAGGTGCAGGTGGTGGTGGACGGTTGGCAATATTAAGCGAGTAGAGTCAGCGACTCTATTTTTCATTTATTAATATATATGATTTGATGATGGCAGTTTGTTCAGTTGGACTTTATTCATGGCACCTGCAGAGGACGACGACCTCATCACGTAGTTTTTGTTTTCTTGCATAAGCGCGCCCGCGCACGGGAAAAGGCCCTACTGGGAAAGCGGGTACGTGCCTCCGTGCGGTCGGCAGGTGGGCCATCGATTATGAGCACCAGTGCGAAGCGCGCATCGAGTAGTTCGCACCGGAACATTCTTGGATCCGGCGCTGCGTCCGTTGCGTCCTCCGCCGCCTCACGTGCCGCCAAGCCGGGCGTTTCGGTCGCAACGGCTGCGCGCCTGGCGGCCGCGGCGCGCAGTTTCGAGAACCCCGAGCTGAAGTTTCGCCCGGACCTGCGGCTGACCAAACAGGCGACGGAAAAGCTGCGGCAGAAAGTGGAAAGCAGCGCGGAGTGGTTGGCCCGGCAGAAGGAGGAACACCAGGCGCGGTTGGATCGCCGCAAGTCGGCCAAGCAGGAGCAGCAACAGGCCGAAGTCAAGGCGGCGAAGGAAACCGCAAATGCAACCAAGGTCAGCCGCGGCAGCGTGCAGATCATCACAGAGACCAACCGCCAAGATCAACTGCTGGATATGCATGGGAAAAGCCTCGCACTAGTCGTAGATGTTGTAGACCACAAAGACATTGCATTGCAATATGAATATATCTTCAGATGATAGAACGAAAATAACAGAAAATCTGGAGTCGTGGTAAATTAAGTAGAATGAAACAGATTCAGATATGCCGTCGTCGTGCTGTATTGCAATTAAAAATGATACAACGAGTGCGATACTTTTGCAGAGGATACTGGCCGACGCACAGCAATGGGTGGAAAAACGCCGGGAGACGCTCAAGTACGCCTCCGATTTATCCGCTGCGAAAACGTCCCGATCTCAATCTGTGGTCAAAATCAGATAAGTCTACGTACTATAGTATATGTATCAGTTCTATTTGTAGCTTGTAGCTGTACGCACAGAAAGGAGTAGGAGCTGCATGGATGTGATGAATCGTGCATGGAACATCAAAAAGCGTGGGGTCGTGGGGACGTTTTTTCACAGGATACGACTTCCACCCAGACAAGGTGCAAGCGGAGCGCGAGGCCGAGCGGCGGAGCAAGTTGGAGATCACCGACGAAAGCCAGGAGCGGTTCAACCAACTGTTCCAGCGGCAGAAGGACCTGCTGGCCGCCCGGCAGGCTCGAATCGATGAGTTGCGTAAGCAAAAAGAGGATGCGCTCATGGAGGCCTGCACGTTTCAACCGCCTGCGTCCGGCCTTCTCCCAGCCTATTTGCTGAAAATGCGACACGCCGACGATCCCGAGACAGAAGCAGGTAGTACTGGTGTGCTAGATAGTAGTTGGAAAGGAAGATTGAAATATACATTTTGTCGCCCATAGAAGATCCTGTCTCTGTGCTGAAAAATAGTGTGGGCCGTTGCCGTGTTCTATTAGTTTATATTTTGTCTGTGCGCGCGCTCCCAACCCCAGGGCCGATCTCTGTTCCGATCATGTTGTTGATCTTTTGGCCCTTATGTCATTGTAGTGTCTTTTTCCAGCAACCCTGCCAAGGTGTGCTCAATCGGATTTCCATTGCGGCACAGAAGTTTTTTACTCTGCACAAGTACATCTCTAAAATCCAATTTGGAATTTGTATGCATTTTCCTATTCCTGATAGATTCGTCTTGTTTTCAAAAAGAAGTAAAAGCTATAGAAAGTGGCCGAGCTGCAAAAAGAAAAATCGTTCACGATCCCCCAAGAATCAAATTTTATCAGGCGGAGCGCATGACCAAGACGTTGAAACCGGTGGAGCCTCAAGTCTGCGCGGTGATTCAGCGGACTCGCGACGGGAGGCTGCGCGCTACCTGGAGCACACGGAGCGGAGCAAAGCCCGCATCGCACACAAAGTGGACAGTCGCGATTACGAGGATATTGTCTACAAGGACGCGCACCGAAAGAGAAACAGCAAAAGTAGCAGATCCAACCGAGGCGCGTCCGCAACCTCATCGACATCGAAGCGCCACTCGCGGTCTTCTCCAGACGAGACTGACCAGGACCAAGCTGGCACAAACCCTGCAGCTGCACCTTCGCAGCAGATAGGGCAGCAGACCCTCCAGATGACCTCCGAACGAGCGGTGGAGAAGAACGTTAAAAATGATCTTCAAGACATGGATCCGACGGGTAGTACGACGAGTACTGGACAATTACAAACCGGCTCGGTTGCCCTGGAAGATCCTTCCGGAGTCCTCGCTAACGGTGTTGCTTCAACAACTTCCATTCGGCGTGAAAGCGAGACAGGGAACGGTAACAACGGCAGCATTGTACTGAACAGCAGTAGTGCTGCTCAGAAAATGCAAAACTCGTCCTTGCAGCAACTACCAGTTGAAAGTGTAGCGGCTGCCGGTGGTACTGCTGGAAGCACCACAGAAAGAATTGCGGCCATGAATAGTGTCGAAACTACTACTTCTACGCCTCCGACGACCGGCTTGCGGATAGGACTAGAATCTGGCGTCGACCGACAACCAGCAGGAGGCCTGGAGGCAGTAGTATCGTCAACGCCACAACAGCAACTCCCGCAAGATCCGGAGTCGAGCGTTCTGGCCGCGGATCCGGAGCACGAACGGCCCGAAGATCTCGAGATGAATCCGGAGCAGGGCGACGCCCCCGCGGCGGTAGGCCCCGAGCAACACCGGCCGCAGGAAATCCCCGAGAATTTGTCTTCCTAAAACACAACGCACTGAAAGAAAAAATTCCTTTTTCATCTCGCTCGTGGTCCCGTTGTCTGAAGAGCGACAAGAAAACTAGCTGCATGCGAAAACCACTACCAGACCGCAAGAGGGGTCTAGGTGTAGGTCTAGTATGTAAAAATAGGTTGATACCTCAAGAAAAGTAATAGCGACCGGCATTGCCATTGCATTCACGCACCATGAAGTAGAGAACTATGTTCTCGTTGAGATAAAACCCCTAAACCTAATAAATTTGAAGTACCACATTCATTATACACCCTTTCGCTTTCAGTTTCCACAGCGCTCCCCTCTAAAATAAAAATTGCCATTTATCTTCCTCGCTGTACATTAAGTATCGCGCTTTACTCTCCACCGTGTACTTGCTCACCAATTTTTCAAAATCTGAATCGTAATCATCAATGTAGTTGTACTTGTATTTGTACTAGAGCAAAGAATAAAGATGAAATGTAAGAGAATGTATCAAATTTGTAATCGCCCCCACCAGTCGGGCAACCAGGAGGAAGGGAAGAAGTGGGGAACGTTTCATCTTTGCGCTCGTGACAAATGTAATGCAATCATGTACTTTTATTCTTTGTATGATTACACTTACGACCAGTTCTATTTGTGCTAGAGCTACAGCTATTGTACATTCACCCAGCCTCTTCCAACAAATTTATTTTTGAGCTTTGAAAATCAAATTTTGATTTTCAAAGCTCAAAAATAAATTTGTTGGAAACAGAAACAGAAACGTTTTGAAAACGTTTCTGTTTCACTTGCGTCAGATACAAGATGAAAAAAAGTATGGGGCTGTAATTGGATCCCGAAAGCTGGTCTTCGGTGTCTTTTTGTTCTTGGATGTGCAGGTGTCTTGTGCCCATGGCTTGGTCGTGCTGGTGCAGCTCAGTCGTGCGTTACACCCAATGGAAGATGTCTTACTTTTTGCATTATGATTATATATAGGCACGTGTACTGAAGACCTGATGGCGAAGCTGCGAACATGCTTCGTAGCGGTGATTCGTATGTCGTGAAACGTTTTTAGAGAAAGAGTGTCGGTTGATAGTAGATGAGCGAGGAAGTCGAATTTGTCCTCCATGATACAGCGCTGCCTTATTTTACGAGATCGTGGGTGCACTAACGTCGTAATCGTCATCTAGTAGTTCGTCTTGACGTTTTAGGAGACGAACAAACATGAAGAACCCGCTCGGTCTGAATACAAAGAAAGTTGTAAGTGAAGATTTTTCGAATTTGAGATCGAGAACCAGGAAGGCTCCAAGAAAAAGAAAAACGTACGTATGATTTTCACGCGGCACCTCGTTGAATGTACTAGAAGCAAGAGAGCACTACTTCATCGTCGGCGCGGAGGTTGTACTATGGCCTGAGTGGAAAGAAGCGCAGGCGAAACCGTCGTGAAGCGGTTCTAATTTATCATCAACAAAATGATGAGTACTCTGTAGCTGAAACTTTTTTTGTTTGCAGGGTGTTGGTGCGGGGCAACATCATGTAACAAGATGCTCGGCGAAACACGGTCGAGCCAAAGACAGCAGTGCTGTTAGTGGAGTGCCCCGGCGTCGACGTATGAATAGTAGAACACACGAAACTAACGTCAAATCAGGTTGACACAGTGGCAGCTTCTGCTGGTACGGCATGTTGCTAATGTTGGTCTTATATATACCTTCACACGGATCGGTCCGGGTAATTAGATTGAAGATTTGGTCATGCCCACCACAACAAGCAAAGGCATGTGCACGATACATGTTGTCGTATTGATATGACGAGGTGCTAGTGACGAGCAAGAGAACAGCGCGAAGGGTGTACTGCCATCGAGCTGATTTTATGACGTTTCGTTTTTCGATTGCAGACAGTTCGGAGCAGTTTTGCCGCGGCAAAAAGGGCGACAGAAATCATGTCGGCGCCTGAAGATCTCCTCGGCTCGCCTGAGATCCCGAGCCTCATGGCGAAGGAGGAGGAGATATGGTGAAGAGAAATGCCTCTACTTCCAAGATGAACTCAAAGAAAATATGTTATACTCGACATTTTGTATACTTAGTAGCAGAAATCCCTGGGAGGTATCGCTATTGCGAAAAACAGAAGCGGAGAAGCAGGAAGCTGTTTCTTATTCCTTTGCATGGTATTATACATAGGTATGGATGATTTCTGTTGCTTTCGCTGTGCTATCCACGAGGACCGAGACATCTTCAGGCATTCCCACGGAGGACCAGCTTGTTACTTCAGGCCTTTCCGTGATCAGAATCTCCACCTGTAGCTCCTGTGGCTGCTTGCAGTCCCTCTCCCTTGATATAATTGCATGACAAAGTGACCACTCGTTGCTTCTTAGCATCGGTTTCGCGGTGATGCAGAGTCTTTGAGTGTGGGAGGTAGACGGCTTTTTTCGCTCTCATAGGAGAAAGATGACGAAACCCGTCCGAAGCCGTCGCTGGATCTTTCCTTCGGTATTTCTTATCAATTTTGGTTCTTGAGTGTGACTGATCCTGATGAAAAATGCCAGCACACCCACTCATTTCCATTTGTACTCTGTTGATGTTGGAAATGATGTCAATGGTGAGGCAGCTGTGCTTCGATCCTTGTTAATCACGATTACCGCCCGGAAAGTAGCATAGAAATAGATGCACTAACACTAACAACAACATCTTCACGGGCTCGATCGAAGCTTGTTTGAGCGTAAGTACGTATCTGAACCAAACAATCTTCCATGACATCAACGACCTACATTCCATGAGCTTTTGAATGGGAAGACCCAACCTGAAAAAAATACAAACAGATCAATTTCGCATTAAGAAAAAATCGATTTCATTGTTCGACAGGCGACACGCCGATGGAGTTCCAGCGGGTTAACCTGCTGGGGTCTCGCCTGCAGCAGGCCGCGATCTACTCCCTGGTGCTATCGCTGAACACAGTGACCTACTTGGACCTGAGGGGGAACAATCTCGACGCAACATTTGGGTGGAGACTGATCAAGGCCATGAAAAAGCGGTATCTCCAGTTGGAATATTGCAATGGAGTGAACACGTATCAGGGCGAAGAAAAGAAGCGGATCAACGTCATTATGTATCACTACATTAAGCTGAATGTTTTTTTGTCCGCATTTCTCCGATTTGCATTTGCATTTGCTTGTGAAAGCAGATGACAAAAATAGGTCACGCTGTGGTCCTCTTCATCGACGCTTGTCTTGCATTTGATCCTTCGCATGAGACGGCGAGGACGACGTCAATAAGGTCGAGTTTGTGTTATTTTGTGTTGAAGGCAACCGAGTGATCGAGGTGGCGGTGCGCCGTTCTTCTTTCTTCTCTTTGCATACTAGACGGGCCATCCGGGATAACCAGGTGCAGCACCTGAATCTAGCTGGGTTCGACGGCCACTCGGGGTTGTATGGGATTGAGGTGGTGGGCGCGATTTTTCTGGCGCATTTCCTTCGATTGAACAGCAGTTTGAAGTCCTTGAACTTTCGCCGGAATCAGGTGGAAAAGGACGGCGCCAAAGCCTTGGCCCAGAGCATGATCGGCAACGCCAGCTGTCAGATAACCAGCGTGAACGGCCTCGGGATCCGCAAACGGGAGCGGACCGGCGTCGACCTCCGCAAGTTTCGCAAGAACGAAGTGCCCGAAGTGAACCTCGAAAACGCGGGCTTGGACGACGACGACGTGGTGTTTCTCGAAGAGTGGCTCCTCAGACACGACTGCACGGTGGACCTCAACCTGTCGCGAAACAACTTCTGGGGCGAGGGGGTGCGCAAGCTTCACCGCTACATACTCAACTCGAAAACTCTCGTCAACCTCAGACTGGACGGGGTTCCCCTCGATCTGGAGGTATTACGTCGCTCTCTACTATGTGTTGATATTATTTTCAATGCTTCATTATTCCTACTGCTGTACTGAGTACGTACTACGTTGCGAAAGGAAAACACACATGAGTAGGCACTTTCATCATCATCACGCTCAAGAAGCTCATGGCTAAGTAGAGATGGCCTTCACGACTGTGCAAGTGCATGTGCTTTTCTTTTTTGATTTTGCCATCGACTAGCTGATATCCATGTCTACGAGTATGACAAAGACCACGACTAGCGATAGCGAACGAACGCATAAACTACACTCCAGGGCGTCTCCTTAATGGCAAAGGCCTTGTCGCAGAATGTGGTGCTCGAACAAGTCTCATTTTACGAGATGGAAAACAAGATGGAAATTATCTTCAGCGCAGGTCGCTTTTGCACCGGAAAAATAAATCGCAGTAGACAGTGCTGCATCACTCAGCCTCGCATCTACCTCGCACGCGACGTAGGTCGGTACTTTTTCATGTAAATGCAGAACCTTTTTCATGTAAAATAGAAGAGGTACCTAAGTATTTGCGTCGACTTTCTTTGTAAATGCTTTCCCAGAACAATCAAAAAAACCTGCGATTTGCACACAGACGGGTGTCGGGGTGAGGTGCAGCTGCAGAAGATGATTTTCCTACCGATACGGTTTCGACCCGGGCCTGTCTAGGTATACAAAAGGAAAAGCAGGTAGTGATGCACAGTTTGGCTGTGGTATGAAAGCGAAAAGCTCTTGCTCCCCCAGTATTAACTTGTCTTCAGCTCAGATCAGCATCAGCCCCACGACTGATGATTTGTCCGCGCCACTGTCTGTACCTGCGAAACGACTTTGTCGATGACGATCCGGATCCTGCTTCGCTGAAGCAGTGGTAATTCTCCAAAGAGGGCCTTTGTCGTGGACAGGACACTTTTTGGTTTTGGAGGCATCATCGTGTTTCACGTTTATCTTCCACCATCAGCATGCCATGTCTGAAAGAAAGTGTGTTGGCAGTCACTTAATCATGTAATGACAGGGGCAGGGCAGTTTTCGCTTTCATGATTTGCACTAGCCAAGCACCCAAAAATCGCCACGTTTGGAAAATCACCACTGAAGATTAGCGCGATTAAGGACGACCGCATGGCCGAGCTGAACGTATCAAAGCAACAAAAGTCGTCACATCTCTCTGTCGTCCATTATTTTTGCAAACGGCATTTTGATGGTGGTGGAGCACTATGCCTTGATGTAAATAAGATGACGACAAGCGCTTTCTTGCTTCGTTCTTGTTGCTGTCGTTTACTTCAACACGGACGACCGAGTTGTGGATTGCTATTATTTAGTAACGAGTACTTGATGTCAATGAGGACACTGAAAATAAACCGCGAAGGCGAACGGCGATGAGGTGATGTAGATTTTTTCATGTTGATAGCTTGTCGACCGCATATTTGCCAGCCCTGTGAAGTCCGAGATTGCCCTCTATTTTTGGCTGCTCGCGGTGATCTGCCCCGCGAGTAAAACGGATTTCAAGTATGGAGCTGCCAAGACGACCTTCACCAACGAATTTCCAGCGGTTACCGCCTACCCAGTTAGCTTCTGTCCGGCGCTGAACAATTGTCTTCACGAGTGCCGCCACATTCTTACGAAAGTACTTATAGCAACTACATCCATCGGAATTCATGCTCCCTGCTTTTCATTTATTGTTACATTGGGACGAGCCGTTCTAAAATTATAAGTTTGCGAGGGCTACAGGACAGAACATTCCTCAAGCGGCAGCTTCATCTAATACGCAGTAGAATTTGAATTGCAACTTCCTGCTTATTCTTATTGCTTTGTTTGATTTACATTTTCAGGTGCAACTCGCCATTCCGCCGGGTATGGACGGGCTAGCGGTGCAAATAATGCGTCATCTCAGAACGTCGAAGTCGCTGCTGGATCTGAGGCTGCCCGGCTACGCGGCCGCAACCATCACGGAGGTGCCGCCGGATTGGAGTAACGACGGACGGTTGCCCACCTGGATTAAAGACAAGCTCGGACCCCATAGAAAACACTGGCAGGTGCTGCAGAACTTTCTCGCGGAAATACCAACCCTGCAAGTCTTCGGAAACGTCAAACTCAAAAACTACGACTCCGATAGTGCCGAGCGCGCACTTTTGTTGGTAACAAGTTCTGACTAAGAGCCAAATCTTCACAGGCGAATTCTCACTTTTTCGGTACGAATGAATTAAAATCACTGGAAATGGGGCGCAGAAATTTTTTTACTGTGGGCATGTTCCTGTGGTCTGAGAACGCGAAAGGTTGGCTAGTGCCATTTGCTATGCTAGTAGTCGTACAAATGAATCCAAATGCTGGCACTAATAAACTGAAAACAGCTTCTGGAATGTTGCCCGGGCGTGGTGTGCCAGCTCGGCGGCGGGCAGGATGATGAAAACTCCTTGCTGATGCTGTCCCTGACCTGCGGCAGAAAAGACTTGAAGATCCCCTTCGTCTTTGACTGCTTTCGGCTCGTGGACAAGCTGGTATACGACATTGACCTGCTATGAAAGTGCACAAGTCCCCCTCGCCCTCATTTGTAATGCAAAATACCAAACTCACACGAGCACGACACCTTGCTCGTAGGCACTGTTAGCGCGACAAATTTTGGAACCTCAAATAGATACTACTACAATCCGCATACAGATTTGTCATGAAAAAGTCCCTTTTCCGCTGTTGCTTGTGTTGCTGTTCATACAATACAAATGAGGTGGAGGGGGAATTGTGCACTCTCATACCTGCACTTCCTCGACCAGAAAGCGAGCGGCGTGGCGCAGACGCAGCAGGCAATCGCGGCCTACCTGCAGGAGAACAACGGGAACCGAAACATCCCTCCCTTCGTGCACAACCTGCGGCTCCGCAGCCAGAACACCGCCGTTGAAATGGTCCGCGCCGCCAAGCTGCTGCCAAACTTACGCGAGTTCGGGCTCGAACGGCTGGAAACGGTTTTGGACGCGCTGGTGGACGTTTTCCAGAGTCCCGACAGCAAGCAGGACCTGGAGCGAATACGGCTGGACCGCAAGTGGCTCCAGACGCGGCGGGTTCCGAAGGTCTTCAGCGAGGCGCAGCGGGCGTCCCTGGTGAAGCTGCAACAGGTATTGAGAGGAAAAATCCCCCCTCCCCATATCGAAAAGGTATGTTTCCGAAAATTTGTCTTGCTGATTTGAGACCCCAAATCAAGTCTGTCTTGCAAGAAGACAACGCCGCAGGCTCTGCCGCACTATGCAGGCGGTTTGTCATGCTGTTGGGCCTACAGCGTAGACGTTTCTCATGCTAAGCGCCTAGGCCAAAAGCTCTCTACTCAGGCTTGGCAGGCGCCTGCAGTCCTCGCCAGCAAGACAGATCTGATTTGGGTACGCAAATCCAGCATCAGAAACTTCGTTTCGATATGGGGAGGGGGGATTTTTCCTTTTGATAACAGGGCATCAGCTCCGCGGCCTCGAAGAGCTTCGAGGTGATGACGAGCGCGGTGGGCCAGGTCCCGAAAAACGCCCTGGTGGCTATGACGCTCACCGACTTCGCAAACGCCCTGGGCGCGGTTCTGGTGGACGGGTGGGCCAAAAACGACACCTACGCGCCCCAGGTCTACATCCCTTGCGTAACCACGCCGAAAGAGTACTACTACCCCGAAGCCAGCGGGGGCAAGTGGGAAGGGGGGCAGTTCTACCCCGACGACCTTGGCGGGCACACCCCGCTCGCGTTTGAGCTGCCCACGCTGGACACCACCCTGCAGCTGCGGGAAGTGTCGCTCTGCCAAGTCAACCTGAAGCAACTGATCGGCAATCTGCGGTGCGACGAGTGGCCGAACACCAGCCGAGCGCTCTGGGCGAAGCCGCGATGCAAATTTCGTCCGGGACAGTACCTCGAAAACGACGCGCCCGGCGGCGGGATGGAGAAGCTTACGGACCTACCCGGGTTCTCCGCCCTGGAAATAGACCCCAACGAGGTAGAGCAATTTCACTGGGACCCGGTGGGCACCAAGCTCGGCACCGAGTCCGTCCTGCAGAAAGCAACGAGCTCGAGCCAGCTACGGGAAAAAAAATGTTAAAGCATGTGGTCGTCGTCATGATCTTGCGGGCAGGATGACATACATTGACAGTAAGTTGATGCAGTAAGTAATTCTGCCATGATGTTGAGGTGAGAAGTTTCGTTTGTACGGGATGAGGAGCGAGAAGCTCAATAACCATGCAAGGTGTTGAAGTACAAGCGAGCTTTATAGTTCAAGGACAAGAGACAATCTCGATCACAACCATCCTCGTCTCAACCAATTTAAAGTTAAGATCGTATATGTATTGCTCTTCCATCTTTCTGTCAGGCGACTGTGACCAAAGATCTTTTTGCAATTCATACAAGAGTTTCAGCAGTGATTTTCTCCGCGTGTGCCTGGAGTCGCTATTGTCCAGCCCCACAATAGCATCCTTGGACCTGAGGGGGAACGGATTGGACAAGCAGGACTGTTTGTACATCATCAGTCTGCTCGAGAAGAACAACACTTTGCTCACACTGAACCAGATTCCCGTCGTGGTCGACGACGCGCAGAAATATTGTGGGAAAAAAAGGTATCGTAGAGGGTGTACATACGTGGAGTAAGTTTTTGACATGAAAATATGATACAACTTACATCGTGAACGTGATCCTAGAAAGCCTCCACGCAGGAGAGGCAGTGCCTGAACTTTTTGAAGCTCGTGTGTGACACCATGACCATGAAGATGATGTATGGTCTTGTCTCTGTAGTTGGTACTAGCGTATTTTTATTGGTGACAAAGAAAAAAGGGTAGTACGGCAACCTCAACGATACAACGATTTTTGCCCTGCATACCACGATGCGAGAGTTGAAGTTCGATCACCACGGCATTCCGGTGCCCCAACTGGCGGAGGAAGAGCAGAAAGAGAACGAAAGCAACAACATCTACTGCGCCACGGCCTTCGCCAGCGAATACGTCACGCTAGACGAGGGAGACGGCTACTTGTTTGCGTCCCTGGTAACGTCGACCAACTTTCCCGAGCTTACCAGTATCCAGGTGAAGGATCACGCGGTATCCGATTCAACCTTGGCTTACATTTGCGACGCCCTGCTCGCGCTGCCATCACTGGAAAATCTGGACTTCGTGAATTTGAAGCTCAGGTACATGATACTGCTTCATTAAATACCAATACAGCGGTTTTGAGTTTTCCATATTCTTAGGTAAGCGTCTTTCGAATTCGATGGATCGCAGCTCCTGATTCAACACCTGGTACTACAACTTTCTCCTCATGAAGGAGTGATCCACATCGGCATCTGCAGATGAACATAACCAAACAAGTATCAGAATCGATCGATGCAGCTGCAAGATGAACAAAAAAAAATAAAAAGGGGGATGGTCTTCTCAGTTGTACGCGAGACCATAATTGTCAAAAATCGATAGAGTCGTGACCACAAAACAACGCTATCACACCAGCAATCGGGGCGCTAATCTGCTGCTGTCAGCGGTTTCCGAAATTTCTTCGCGTCTCCGCACAGTGAATGGCATTCCGCTGATGAGACTACTCGAAGAGAAGAAGGGTCAGGTTACTGGGACGGACAGCGTCAAGGGGGCCATACTGGCCAACGATGTGGTGTGGAACGACTTTTCGCTCGGGCTTCTCTCCAGGCTAAAACTCTGGCCGCACGTCGTGTGGCCGGAACCCAACACCTCTCCGCTAAAAATGGAGGGACACACCATCACCGATGTTGGCGTGCGTGGTCTTTGCGGCTTGCTCAAGTGCTTCACACCCGCGGACGGTACTACTTCATTTTAGAAGAAGTGTAGTGATCATAGTGGTCATAGAGACATCTCTTCTGTTTACTTGATCTGTTGAACGTTTTCTGCTTGGACTCATTCTCCACTGATACTTGAGCGCAGCGTAGGCCTGATTGAGATGGTGGTGATACGTATGAGCACTTTTCAGCCTGTAGCTTAAGCTTTTGCTTTTGACATCACAATTCGAAAGTGATATTCCCACGCCCCGCATCTTTCTTTTGTTTCTGAAACGACAGGCCTCCCCTCGTCGACATCGCTTCCGTTTTTGCAGGAGCTGAACCTGTCGCGCAACCCGTCCCTGACGGATGCAGCGGTGGCGGTTTTGTGCAAGCAATTATCGGTCGAAAACGCTTGCCCGACGCTGGAGAAGCTGACCGTCCGGTACTGCCCGAAACTCCGCGCGCGGACGGCGTTCGAGCTGTACCAGCTGCTCCGGTCCAAGATTGCACTGACCGCCTTCGGGGAGGCGGCCAGCGTCCAGCAGGAACCCAGCAGCGCGGGGCTGAAAAGCCTGAAGGTGCTGAACGGCATCGATATCGAGGCGCTTACCGTCGCCACGACGGCCGGAAAACCCCTGCCGCCCGCCGTGATCCGCGTGGACGTCGACCAAGCGGTGGGCAACAGCGTTCTGTCGGAATGCGACGCGCACTTCTTCGCGCACGTCCTGCACACCTTCCCGGCAATCCCACACTGCCACGTGCATCTCCTGGTCACACACAACATGGACATGGAGTCCGAGCTGGCAGCCATGGAGCAAAAGTGCAGCAAGCGTAGACACGACGTCAGTCGAGCACCGACCGGAAACACCGCGCCTTTCGTGCCACCAATAGTCATCAGGTACAGGCAGAAAAATTTACTTTGTCCAGCACGTCCTGTCCAGGTGGATGTTGACTTCCGATTGATCACATCGCACTGTTTTGTGATTGTGGATTTATGTGGTGTTGTTAGTACTGATTTTCGTTGTTACACGTCGAATTTTCAGGTCTAAGCTGGAGCGTGAGCTGAAGGAAATAGTACGATTTTTCCGCGCCACTCCCGTGAGCACCAAAGTGCAGCTGAGTGTGATTCCAAAGATTCCTGCCGAGCACGGGATGCACATCCAGGACGACGGCACCATTTTCCTAATGCAGAACCAAGAAGAAATGGATATGGCGTTCTCAAATGTTACATTCTCAACTGTTGCATGAATTTGTGATGCAAGAATGGCAAATGTGAAAAGAAAGGAAGGACCTTGCGCGTCTTGCATGACAGATTTGACACAGATTCTGAGCCTGTTTGGCCGTATGAGAATTTGCCGCGCGAAGCGGCTTGATGGCGTCGATAGTCAAGGTAATTTTGCATGACAAATCATGTAACAGTTGAGAATGTAACATTTGAGAACTCCATAATGGATACGGTCGTGAAGGCGGTCACAAAAACGGTGCACGTCAACACAGCGGGCCCCGCGGGCATTTTCGGGCACCTGGTGGAGAAATTGGTGAAGCGGAAAGCGCGGAAGGACGCGGCGATAAGAGGAGGCTCGGCAACCGCAGACGGCGCAGCCGCACTCACGGACCTACCCGCCAAGCCGCTTTATGTAAACAACATCAACAGCCAGCGCATGCACGACTGCTTCCGTACACTGTATGGAAACGATGAGGTGCACCTGACGCACTCCGACATCTACAGCGACAAGCTCCTAGGAAAATGGAAAAAACATATCCTCGCGTTGTCCTGGCAATTCGAATTTTAGAATTTCAATTTTCACAGTCCGTGTGGTCTGTTTTAAGTATTTTTATTTGCATGCAATTTTTTTGCCAAAACCAATTATATGTTGTGTTTTGCCTGTGCGTGTCGATCTGGTGTGCTGCAAAGTATAATTTTGCAAGCAGAAGAGTCAACGTTGGCACGACAACTCGAAGTTTTTTCCACAGGATGACTGGCCAAGCACCGCATCTGTTTTCCCTTCGTCGATCCCGCCGTGGTGGGCGACATTTTGGGTTCGGTCAGCTCCATGGACATCCAGCACCTGTTTCTTTCCATGTCCCCCCTGAGTTGGGACTTGGGTGCCGCGGACCAGTTGGACCTAGCGTCGCTGACGCACCTGAACCTGGCATTCAACAACTTAGGGGACTCCGGCGTGGTGGACCTGTACAAGCATTCGCTTCTATATCTGATTTTTTTTTGTTGCACTTTTGCGGTGGAAAAATGTCGTCCTCTCGAAGCTCACAAGACTGCAACGCGCATACAAAAATTCCAAAACCCAGGAACAAATAGTGAAGCGTGAACGCAGAGTAAAAGCTACTGGGCCTGGATTGTCATTGTGTACATAATGTAGAAGTTTAGCCTCCAGTACCAGTTCGTGATTATATATATCAATACAACCAAATCTCAGGTTTACTTCGTTGGTGAAGTGTGGATCTACGCTAGTGCACGTGAGCGTGCAGGCGAATCAGATGAGCGACATCAGCGCCGTGTGCATTGCGCACAGCATCCAGTCGCTGCCGCGCCTCTCGTCGTTGAATCTGTCCGAGAATAACATCACCGAATCTGGCGCGATGGCGCTCGCGGAAAGCATCGGCGGCTCGGAGCTGCATCACAGCGAGGTGGAAACCAGCTTGCTGAACGTGCTTTCCGTCGACTTGGGCAGCAACCGGGTGCGCGAGCTGGGCGCTCTGAGGTTCGCGGAGATGGTGGCCATGCACCCCACAATCCAGTTCCTGTGCCTCTCCAACAACGAGATCGCTTTCCGCAGTGACGAGGCGTTCTCCGCACTGGTCTACGCCGCAGCGGCGAGCGCTGCGCTGGCGGTGCTGGATTTGCGGGGAAATTTCGAAGATATGGAGTTCAATAAGGTGCCCGCGGAGATCGTCAGCCGCTTGCTCAACGAGCCGCTAGGAGACTTTGACCCGGTCGAGATGGAACAGGGTGTGTTCATTCGCCGAAAATAAGTTTATTGCTGGAAGAAGTTCGCTCCTACCAGACGAGAAGTCCATCGAGTCGTGATACTGAGAAAACTCCTTGTACGCGTAGCCCGCTCCTCGGGGCCTACTTACCCTGTAGTTCCATCCTCTTCCACGCGGCGCGGACGGCTGTAAAACCCGAGTTTCCACTCAACACCTGCATCTTTCCAACTTTCTTTTTTTTTGAACGCTTCTACACGTCCCGTGTCGGGACTACTCGATAAAAAAACGTCGGCATTCTAATAGATGCAGATGGCGCCCCTTAATACCGTTCATTACATTACTACTTATTACAACGTGACATTGCGTCAAGCCTCGTCGCAGGTTCTGCATGACGATGCGCGACTGCTATCTTCGCAAAACATTTTTTATCCACTTTATGCAAAATCGAAGTTTCCTTGATGAATATTTCTAAGGCTGCTACTTGACTTTTATGGTTGTAAGTGTCATCGAGAATGTTGACAGATGGAAATGTAAAATTGCTGTACAACATCATAGTCATCTCATTTAATATGTAGTTTCATTGCAAATGCTCATCGTCACCTCAGAAATGATCTTCAAAGAACCTCCCTGTGCTTCTATTCAACAATCGTCTTCAACTTACAACTTACGTTACTATCTGTTACTGTTTGATTACTAGGCAAGATCAGAAAAATTACCGCGGCCTGCAGCATGAGAATGAGCGGGACCTTATCGTGACTCGTTGACTCTCATCCTTCAATGCTAGTAGTTCAACCTGCTGGGGCTCGGGTTTGAAAAAAGGAAATGAAACCATGACACATAATTGTACAATGTTTATATAAAAGTTGCTAGCTTGAGGATGGAAGAGAAGATACCGCGATTTGCTGCTTGACGACGGCCGACTGGTGATCCTTGGATGGATTTGGATAATGATATTACGGGCTAGCTGTTTACAAGAAAATATGACCATAAAGGCCACGCTAATATGGCGTGACGGGGAAAATGACTGACGTTTTCCTCTTCTGATGCTGATGCTTCAGTCACGTTACGTTCTCGTCTACAAACATGTGTGAAATATACAGTCAGCACTTGATTGCTGAGTGCCGTTGAGTGTCAACAATCAGAGCGCTTCACGTGTTTTCGATTTCGTATGTGTAGTATGTTGGAGTGACAAAGCAATAGAAATCAATGCTGTGTGGAGGAGATTCGTTCCTCTGGCTAGCCTAGCGTCCATGTTTATTGTAGTTCTTCTTTTTGGCCACGAGCACGACGACGACGACGAGAGGGGGCAAGGGCAAGGCTGTTTGTATTGCGAGTCGCGTCGAAACTCGAGCTTGACATTCGAGATGGGTCGGAGATTTCTCGTTCGCCGTCGCAGGCTTGTTCCCGAACTCAATATGCTGCAGAAAATGAAAAGTGCAGAGGCAGACTGTTGTCAACGGAATTGAAATATAATACAAGACTCATTTAGTTTACCAAGCGCGCAGTAGACGATTGCATGGTCGTTTCCCCGCACTCGGTGCGCGCGCAGCGCGAAGGCGGCGCGTTGCACCGGATAATAAACTACAACGATTTTTCATGTTGAGTACAAGAACTGGCAAGAACATGCTCCCTTGCTGAGCAGGACGACGCGCCCAATCGACCGTGGTAGGAAGCTTTATTCGACGCAGCTTTCTTACTGCTTGGTGGCATCTACTAGTGTTGAGCCGCGGTCGAAAAATGTTCCCAGGACGGCCAACCGACGGGGTGGAGCCGCAAACGCGGCTGCCTCGGGAGATTCTAAAGTGGCTACAGTCACTGGACTTGAGTTTCGCCATCGTGAATGTCGGGCGCGACTTCAGCAACGGATTCTTGGTGGCAGAAGTGCTCTCCAGGTACCACCCGAAGGAGATCCACATGCACTCATACGAGGCCGGTACGCAGCTGAAGATCAAGCGGGATAACTGGGACCAGTTGCTGAAATTTTTTGTGAAACATAAGGTGGACATCGGCCGGCCGGACTTCGATCCGGTAATCAACAATGTCGCCGGCGCGAGCGTCGCGCTCATGAAAAAACTGTACACATTTTTAACCAAGCGCGTGGCCGTGGACTACAATGCGCTCGTAGAAACCATACCCGCAGACGCCAGTGCCGCCGCCACTGGAGATATCGACGAGAAGATAAAGTCGCCTGGATGATTCCTAAAGCGAATGCGTCTTGCAAAAGATACTGATAGGGTGGCATGACGAGCAACTGAAGACATTCACCCTACATGCCGAAAAAGATGAAAAGATCTCTACTGCTGGAGGCCAGCCAGAAGAGCGATATAGGCAGTTAGTTTGTATCGACGCCATGGCTTCATCTAAAAGAACAAGTTGTTCCTCCAGGGGTTCTATTGAAAAAACTTAAATCACATTTGGAATCAGCATCGATTTCATTTCTCTTCGCTTCGATAAAGGGCGCCGATGACGCGGCTTCAAGGGCAGCCTCAACTACTGCAAAGGAACCGGATCCACCCGAGCCAGCGAAACGAGAACAAGCGCAAATGATGTCAACGGCACGGACTAGCAGACCTGCGCACTCCGGTAGGGGCGAGCCGAGGGTCGTCAGTAGCAATGTACTAAAAAAACTTTTTATTTCATGGATTTTGTTCTTTGTTTATCATTATCTTCGTACCCCTGGAAGAACTTGAACTCAGTTTCAGTAGAAATTGTTTGCCGTAGTGAATCCCGCCATGGGGCGGCCTGTTTTAGTGAAACGGACCTTGCTCTTTTGGACATCGACTCCTATGAAGAAGCGAATTGACCGACAAACAGTTCGAGATCTCGCACCTGGACATCAAGGAGGCAAGCATAAAGCCGATCAGTAAAAACTTGACCATGTTCCGGCAGCACAGCCGGCTCGCGACCTCGGCGTCCGCCCGGAGCCTCGACGACGGGGCCGTGTCCGGAGAGAGTTGTCTCGCCATAATGAAGCCCATCTTTGCCGAAGCCATTGATGCAGACTGCTACCGCATCATCGATCCAAGAAAAGACCTGGTACCAGAAGCAGGGACCTCTTCATTTTTGTGAGATGAAGTAGTAGGACTGCAATTTGAACTTTGATTTTTTAATCAATTACTGCAAAAAATATTATGGCGCACTTTGATTTTGTTCCCCCGCCGTCGTGCATCCTTAACAACAAATCCATCGCGACTGAGTCTGCACTTCATTCTGCAGGTGGTCAGTTTCATGGAGCACGTGGAGCAGATTCCGGAGGGGATTACACTTAGAATACTCGAGTCCCTGACCGGGCAGGGCGTCTTGCGCGGCATCGCCGAGACATGTTTGAAGAACCCACCCGAGTTTTCGAAAATTTTTACCCTGTTCAGCCAGCCGCTGTTCTCGCTGAGCCACGACAACCCCGTGTTCGAGGGCATTGCGTACTTTTTGAAGCGCCTCGGCGCCACGCTGTCTAAAACGGATCCGGTCATCACCGAGCACCTGTGGATCGACGGAGGCCTTCCGGACATGGCCAAGCTGGCGACGCTGGTCGGCAGTAAGCGGGAGGCGGTGGCCGACTTCGTGTTTTCTTACAGCGGTGACACGTCGCAGGCGCACATTGCAGCGCTAAGGCACCTGAAGGAGCGAGTTGCCGAAGTCGGGGTGTACGTAAATCTGTTGTCTTTCCTCGTCGGTATAGAAGCGCAGATGGGACTCCTTGGGGTAAGTTGTACAACTGCTTTCATGCATTGCCTTCAACGGTCGCCAGGATATCTAACGGGTCTCAACAAGACCGCCTTATTTACATGAGGGTAGCGTCAACAGCAGTCCGACGGTCCCTTGGAGATGACTGGAAATGGAGATCAGATCCGCCGAAGCAAAATGCTTTTCAACACATGTCAACATGAATATCTACAACAGGATCCGACGCTGCTAGACCTGTACCTGTATTACGCCCAACTGGGCATCCAAGACGCGTCCCCTCGCGTCCGGGTATTTATCCCACGAAAAAAGTGTTACAGTTACACATCTGCTGTAACTTCAGCATCACAAGTTTCCTCTGCATGACAAAGAAAACTTGCAATGCAAAGATCATAAGGGAAAACAGGAAGGAAACGAGGCTCCAACTCCAAAGCATTTCCTGCATGAGAAAGGTTGGCTGTGTTGCCCGTCTTGCATGACAATGTGTAACTGTAACACTTTTTTCTCCTCATAGTATTCGGGTTGAGTATATTAACGCAGATCGTCAGTGCCAAGGAGGATTACGACTACAACAAAACCGCCGAGTACTTCTTATTTTCTTTTTTCTTCCTTCCAGGTGATGAAAAACCGTGATGCAACGAAGTAGTACAGCGTAGCATCGACCCACCGTGCGGATACTTCTAGCCTTGGGGCGACATTGCTACACTATCTTTGTGGATTATTTTGGTTGCGTAGACCTCGATCTCCTTCTTCATCGATCTGCCGTGATCATGAAATTGATGCTGAAGAAGAGGAGCAGGAGCGTCGTGGTCGTTATAGATTCGCCTACAATAATTTCTATCACAGCTACGCCCCGGAAGCCAAGGACATATCTCTGGAAGGCGTTTTCGCCCTCGTACCGGCAATGAAAAACCTCGCACAAGACACGTGGTGGGAAGTCCAGGCGCAATTGCTCCTTCTCGCCTGCCATTTGCTGCTGAATCTAGGTAAGTGGGTCTACAGGCATAGAGAAAGAAGATTGTTGCTACTCGTAACAAGCATTCGCTCTACTTGTTCGCGAGGGTATTTTTCGCGCATCATGATAACAAATTGTGAGACTTGGCCTGTACAGTGTACAACAAGTCAAAACTCAAAAGAACAAACGGCTGCAACTGCATTGGCATTCTATCCACATAATCCATTTCGTCAGTATCCGCAAGCTCAAGTGAAGCGTCGGCGCCGCCGAGGCCACCGGAAACGGAGAAACTGCTGATGCACTTTGTGCAGTCCATCTTTATTCCAACTAACTCGAGAAATGTCCTCCAGGTGGGGCTCGCCAACGTAGTATTGCTCCTGGTCCATCCGCAATTCAAGGAGCAGCTGCTGCCGCTCTACGTTAGGGTACTGATAGACTTTCTAAGTACATCCTGGTGTAGACGTGCGTGCTGATATGGTTGCGCGTTGCTCAGCTTTTTTCAAAATTGATAGTCGTACCCCGCAGCTTGTTTTGCAATCGAATCCACCTTTACAATTATGTATTCCTTTATTTCCTACCAGATACTAGTGACGCAGCCGGCGCCGCTACGACAGAGACTGTTGGCGGATGCTATCAAATGTAAAAATGTCTGGGTCTGGAAGAATGCAAGTTTGTCATGCTTGTCTGGCATGACTCTTAAATCTGTCATGCACATTACCAAAGAGCCCCACTTTTCTGTCATGCAGAAACGTAGTTTGTCATGCAGAATAGGCAACACCTAGAAGCTCAGAAACTTGTCATGCTGAGCCAGCAATCGTGGCCTCCTCATGCATGGCACGCCACACAGCATCACAACTTTCCAGACCCAGACATTTTTACATTTGATAGACGCCGAAATGAGCGTAAATCGACTCGGAATGGTTGTGCACAGACTGAAGTATAGTTTTGGATGCGTTGAGTCTCGCACTCCTATTCTTCATATATTTGCAGCAGTTGAAATGTTCATTTTCCATTTTTTTCCAGTATAGTGTCTGCTTTTCTTGATGATGATCTGCATCTTTTTCAGTCTGCGACGGGGTCCTGCAGGAAGTGCAGCACGTCTTGATAAAATCTTTCCACAGTTACGTGATGGGCCCTGCTTCCCGAGCGTACGACGAGGTTTGCTTGCGCCAGTTGTGGAATGGGTTTGACATCGCGTCAGCTTTCGTTGACGACGTGGAGGCCTCGGAACTAGACTACTTCGACGCCGCCCATCTCGAGCTGCTACTCGCCTGCATCAGAGACATAGACCTCACGCTGGGGGAGGAAGACTGGTAGAGTTCAAAGCTACGTATGAATTGATTCGCTCGCTGTATTTCGGAGGCAATATATATGACCACATCAACATCATATAGCTACAATACTTTCAGTTCTTTCAAATTACTGGCAGTTAACACACGACTTTGGTGCATGTTGCACGTGCTTTCTTCTTGCCTTAGCCTTTCGCCTGCACGCACCACCATGAGAAGCATGATTACCTACTCGTGCATGATGTTTCCAAAAAATTAAATTCATTTCCACAATGATTTCACAACACCAGGGCCGGGTTGTTCGAGCGGATCAGCATGTACGTGTATGTGTCTCTGATTGATCCGGAGTTTTCGGAATTGGCGCAAGTGGTCCTGCACACCTTCTGGAAGGCCGGCTGCGGGCTGGTCCTCACCACCTTCGTGCAGATGCTCCGCGTCATATCAGAGTGCACAACTTGTTCCCCTTGTTCCCCTGCTCGTCATAATTTGTAGCGCATTTCATTATTAACAGCTGCATGATCAGCCTTCAGCAATAGAAACGTCAACAAAAATATATGCCGCTTTTGCATGGCAAAGGCAATTTCGCACAGAATTCCAGTGTTGTCTTGGCTGCCAGATGACCCTGCCTGTTCGCAAAAACAAGAAGTGCCAAGAGGCAAACAGTGGCTGTGATGGTGCTTTGTAAAGTAGGACAATCAAAGGAGAGGGACAAAGGTCCAAGAAGTTGTGCACTCTGATACGTGATGTTTTCGGACGAATTGGAGCGCAGCCGGATCGAGCCGGATATGAACTGCAAAAGTATCGTACTCGTATATTAAATGCATTAGAGCATGAGAAATGAAGTTTGTCATGCGGATTTACGTTAAGAAAAAAATTTGTAATGCATGACTGCAATTACTACGACTGCGATACCTTTGCAGAGCATACCGGAACAGCTGCTGCAGTTTCTCTTCGAGGTCAAGGTCTACAGCCCGGACTTTGTCGCCGAGATTGTGCAAACCTTCGAAAAGAACTTTCCGGACGAATACGCGGCCTCCCCGATGGCGGACCTGTTGATGGAATAGTTAGAGGAATTCTAATTCTTCACAATACTCCACAAGCACAACATGTAAAATTACCATCACCATGTAATAACAAGCACCAACACCATTTGTAATTGATGCAAGGAACAACTGATTACCATTGAAACAAACTCAAAACCTGAAACTGAAACTTTAGCAAGTCGAACACAGTTGCACGCTAACTGATGAAATTTTCTGATTGAATACGCGGAATAATTGTGTCGGCGGAGGACGCATGAAAGTGGAAAGCAAAGAACGAGAGAAGTACCTTGACCTTTCACTTTCAACGCATCCATCGACATAGTGATTCCTGGCAGATGCTAAGCTGATCAAATTTGTGTACGCTCGAGGAAGGTGAGATTGTGGGGAGGGGGGCACCCGAATAAATGAAATCGGGAACGGCAAGAACAGCCGGGATGGCGTCGCAAGAAAGGGAGAAAGCATCTAATAGTACGAAAATAAAGAAAAAGAAGCGTCTACGACGCAAGTAGAACTCGATAAAGGCTCTTCCAACTTGAGACGAGCGCATGACTGTCAACATTCTTTGAGATGTTCTGCTTGTGCTTGTATCGCGACCACACCAAAATGACACTTCCTGAAGCACGTTGCTCTCAACAAGAAGAACTGGATACGTTTTATTCTTTTCTGAGGCCGTCACGTGCTGGTGCGCGTAATTACAATTTTTTACAGCTCGCTGCGTCTACGCTGAGTCCGGGCGGAATGAACATGAGAGACTGAGATGAGAAAGAGCAAAAGCCAACCGCACCAGCAAAAGGGCGCCCGCCACTCTTTTCTGTGTCTCTACTACTTGCAATGATTTATGTTCACGGCAAGCAGACATACAAACAAAAACATTGAAGAAATCCAAATATGAATGCCGTGTATACGACCCCGTAGACAAGAAGCGACGTTCCACTTCCACCTTCTCTCCAAGTAACAAGCAGCAGTGCTAGCAAGAACGGGCGTTCCAGGCGCAGGGTTTCGTGGTTGCTAAACGGCAAAAAGCTCGACAGAACGCGGCGGGCAGTGCAACCCACACCGACTGTTGAATAAACCGCAGGCTTGTCCGCGAGAAAGGATGACGGTCGCGAGTATCGAAGGGGAAAAAACTGGATCACAAAACCCAAACTTTTCTACGCGTCACATACTTCACATACCCGTACTGGAACTGGTACTGGATGGGTACATACTTATGATGATTTCGTTCCTCCGGAAAGGAAAACTGGATAAGCATGCAAGTATCAAGTTATCCCATGTTTTATGTTCCGACGACAAGAAAACAGCACGTCATGTGCTGTTACAAGTGTAATGACTGGCACCACACGTTTCATTGCCTCGTCATGCTTTTTAGTGTTTTTTCTCTGCATAGCGACCAGCACCATTCTACCAAACGTGGGCGCCGCTCCCGGCACCGGCACAGGCGAGCCCGCAAAGGTAAAAAAGAAGAAAAAAAGCAAAGAAAAAGTGGAACAAAAGAAACCCAAAATCGTCGTCGAGTACCGTGTATCCACTGCAAGAGCAATAAATGTCTACGTCACTGTAAGAAGTTACTTGTAAAAAATTACGAACGACACGTCGTGCATATCTTTCATCCTTCTTCATCTATCTTGCTCCCTCTGGAGCCGCGCGCACGAGGTTTTCTGATTCGTGCAAGTTCGCTGCAAAGCGTAAGCGAGCAAGATGAATTTAGGTAAAAAATCTAGATGTCTTTTGGTGCTGACTCTGACATATATCGCATTTGCACTGGATGCGGGGGCGTGATCGATGAGGAGCGTGTGGAGCGGGTCAGCAACACGATGGACGGACTGCTGGTATCCTATTGTAGTACGCACTCGACTTCAGAAATGCACCTTGCCACAGCGTAACGTTAACTTCAGTTATCTCTTTAAGTACACAAAATATGAAAGTTTTGAAACTAGCATGCCATTATACGTTCGTACTTCTTGCTACTGCAAAACTTCAACCACAATTCCAGTCCCAATTTACGACCGGCTGCACCAAGCTTGCGGACAAGCACCTGGGCATGATCAAGCGTCGCAAGCTGGAGAACGACACGCTGATCTGTATCGAAAAGATGCGCGTATCAAGTGTAAAAATGTCTGGGCCTGGAAGATTGCCAGGTTTGTCATGCACATTTTGCATGACTCCTGACGTCTGTGATGCATGCCCTAGCATCACAGGTTTTGTGACGGCTTCCTGATGCCTATACCGCATGACAAATGCTCTTTCCGTGTAGCAAAACTTGGACTCTCTTTGCTGCTCATGCAATACAGATTTTTTTATAATCCAACATCAGCGATGACAAGTTGGATTCTTCCAGACCCAGACATTTTTACAATTGATAGCGCGATCTCATGTACGATACGGTGAAGGGCGACAAACGCGAGCTGGACTGCGTCTTTGGCGGCAACTGCATCCGCATCGGGAAGGTCTTCTACCAGATGGATCTCACGGAGAACTGGAACCCAGAGCAAGAGGAGGAGGACGAGGGCAGTAGTTGTGCGATGAGCACGGCGTCTAGTACGGCGATATCGACAAATGTCGATGCGACGACGTCACTATCATCTTCTTCCTCTGGTACTTCTAGCTCGGCGTCCATGACAGCGTCCCCAGGAAGGAGCTCAGTCCAGACAGAAACTGGTACGGAACAAGCGGCCCTACTGGAAGCCGGACGTTCGTCGGCCGGGGGCAGCAGTAGCAGTACTTCTAGCAGTAGAGGTTCTTGTTCTTCTTCTTCATCCTATCACTGCAAAAATACAACTGAAAAGATAATTACCTCCTCCGCCAAACAAAATAATATCAACCCGGTCACCTCGTTGATCGAAGAACCTAGATGGCAGGACTTGCGCAAGGCCGCCGCCAGCGTGAAGGCGGTGCTGGAATCCATGGGACACTACCGGTATGCATTGCAAAAGTATCGTAGTCGTACTCGCATAAATGCGAGTCTAGCATTACAGATCTGTTTTCTTACCTCAATCTGCATGACAAATTTCATTTTTCTTCTAGGAAAAATTTGTCATGCAATTCATACTAGTACGATGCTTTTGCATTGCATAACCGGCAGTGGCGCCCGGACCAGGAAGAGTCGGAGGAGTCGAGCACCGACGAGGATGAGCTGACGGAGGAGGAGAAATTCGCGCGGTGGGTGCGGAAGCTGGAGAAGATAAAGAACCAGCCGCAGGACCAGAAGCGCGTACTGGACGACTTCAAGAAAATCGACCAGATTACCACCATCGAGGAGTGTCTCAATATCAAGGTACGAGAAGATTTCGATTTGATTGAAGTAATGGGGGTGGAGGAGGTGGAGTTCGGATTAACATTAAGTGGTCACTTCTTGCACCCCGCTCGAATGCAAAAGCAATCGCTATCTCAAGCCATGTTGATGAACAAGATTTGACATGAAGCCGTCTCTACTGAAAACAGTAAACGCTTGCGCAGGTGGATGCGAAGTGGCAGTTCACCAATTGGATGATCTGGATGGTGCACCGGGTATTCTTGAACGATCCGACGCTGCTCGAACTTTCTTTCGCGGGCACGCAAATGCCGCCCCCCGAGAACGAGTTTCGCGTTGCCCCGAAGCTGTGCGCCGCGGTTGGGAAAAACCGTTTTCTGGAGCGGCTGTACCTGCAAAACAGCACGCTGCAGTCGGGGGAAGCGGAGGTGCTCGGCAAGTCGCTGCGGGACAACGGCAGTCTGAGAGAGCTGAACATTGAGGGCAACTACGTGGACGTCAGCGCGCTGTGCACCATCGCGGACTCGCTCTCCGTGAATCGAAGTCTAGAGGTTCTGCGCATCTCCGGGCAGCAGGGCGAGTGCATGAACAACCGGGGCATGGGCGCGAAATTCGAGGAAATTCTGGGCAGCGCTATGCTCAAGAACCAGTCCCTCATCAGCGTCGGCATCGCCCTGTACAACCCAAGTTGGCGGGACGTCTTGGACCGCGCACTCACCCGGAACAACGACCGAAAAAAGCGCATGGAACGCAGGAAAAACGGGGTACGCAAATTTGTAGTTTGCTCATCAGCATGGGTGGCTTTTTTTAGAGGTTTGTGTTTCGTTCTTCACGACGAACTTTCTTAAAAGAAACAAGGCGCAGCGGCCGGTGCGGTTTTCGTTTTTATACATTCTTATTCTTTCATGTAGAATGGATCACATGGCTCAACAACTGCAGGTTCCCTCCGTCAGTACTGCCTCAACGAGTGCGTGTTCCTCGATGTACGGTGGTGTTATCCCGACCACCAGTTCGTCGGAGGCCCAAATAATCCCGCCACCTTCGCGAAACCTCTCCACTGCTTCCAGCATCGTGAGCAAGGATAGTGACGCTGGCGAGCAGGGACAACATACTAGAGCGGACAACGACGGCAAACACAGCGGACCCTCGGTTTCCGCGTTTCGAGACAAAATAGAAGGGCGAAACACGAGGCAGGAGGCGAATCTACAACCGGCAAAGATGGGCGGAGAATTATCAGATGGCGACCTGCAACAAGCGTCGAAGGGGGAACAGACGACAGCAACACCAGGCGAAGAAGAACAAGACGAGGAGGAGGACGAGATTGAAATCGTGCCTCCGGCTCCACAACAAAGCATTAGCTGGCTGGTCACGGACGAAAACGGGGAGGGCCGCATCGCTTCAGCAACTCTTCCGTTACCGGCGGAGGACGGAACTGCAGCGGGACAGGAAGAGGAGGAGCACGAAGATGCTGAGGAAGGGGAAATAATCGCAAATTATGGCGAAACAGCTGCAGAAGGGCAGGATGGTATTTTTCCCGTTGCCAACCAGGAAGAAAAGACGCCATCGAAGACGGTTGGGGAATAACGAGAAAGAAAGGCGTACAGATTTTCCGTGTGCGTTTCGATTGCGTTTCTGTAGACATGAAGGTGACGCACAAAATCGAGTTATAGATTGATACGCAGGGGGACCCGAAAATCGTCAGCAAAAGCGCACGCTGGTGAGTGAAGATAGAGCGACTCTGTGAGCTCGACCACGAATGCATTTTTTCTAGTGTCTTGCATCCCTATTATTTCTTTGTGAATCTATATCTAGACTTTCGTATATATTTTCACCTTAGTACGAGTAAGTCGTAGAGAAACTCGCAGTCTTTGTTTTCGTGAAGGCTTCGCTTGCGTTGACATTTTGGCACGAAAACGTACTTATAGTATACCAGTTTTCCAGCTCCGAGTGGTTCCAAAGAGCGCCGCTTCTCAAGCTTAGTGCAGTTAGTTTTCCCGAAGCCACAATCAGTATGTTGCCCGGTTCCTAAGAACAGACCGTGTAATGCGAACGCCACAACTACAGGATCAACTGAATTCCTTCGTCGGAGCGACGAGCTGCACACACGCCTATGTACTGAATGAGTCATCCAATTGAAGATTTTGTTTTGCAACATTGCTGGATAATTTTTTGAAAACAATTACAACAAGCCATGGCACCATCATGGTGCTAAGTAGGTCAGGCAGCAGCCTTTTGCTCGTTTTCTTCATTGTGATGTCCCTCGTCTTTGTTCGTTGCCAAAGAACTAAAAAAACAACGCAAGAGCGCCCACGACCGTCTTTCCAACTCTGTCGTGTCGCAGCACACAACAATCGTTCACGTTCGCCTTTCGTCCGTTGTCGTTCCTTGGTGCATGTCCTTAAGCTAAAAATTTTCAGTTTGGTCGTTCGCAGCCTGCCTCGTACTTGCTTCTCGTTCTGTTGGTTTCTCAGGATGAAACAAAATCCATATCAAACCTCGTGCAATTACCACTGGTCACACTCACAGCTTTTACCTGTGGTTGGCGTGTGTTTAGTTCTGCAGGAGTAGTTGTAGCCCTCATCGCGTGCACCAGCCTATCTTCTCTGCAAAATGAAAATACATAGTGCAATACCATTTTCATTTTCTTCATTGTTTCGTCACAAACTTACTACAGGAACTCGCAAGCTGAAGAATCTGAATCTCCAATCGGTGCATTTTTCGACCCCGAAGTCCACCCACTATTCCGCCCCAGCTTCGCTTTCTTGATGTTGATCAACTACAGCTTACATATTATCCTCCGTTGAACCGGATCATATAAATTGTGGTCGTAGAACTAGAAAGCTGCATGAGTGTAGTACGTAGTGTCACTCTGTAGATACAAATGATTGCAAGAATGTCGCTTGTGGCATACTCGTGGAGGTAGACCGAGTCGTGTACCACTTACTGTGGCCAAAGAAACCAAACCCGTCTTGTGCCGCGACGCTGCTTGACCAATAAAGTAGAGGCCTTCACATGGTAGACGAAAGTGCTGGTGGTCGTTCGACCGACGAGGATGTTGCGGCGCAGCAGAAGCTGCCGCAGCACCGTGAACAAGAACTGCTCTCAGGCGAGCGAGTACAGGAAGTAGAAGAAGAAGCTTCGTTGCAAGAAGAGGAGGAGCTGTATGAGCTTGGCCAGGGTGACAAGGATTTTTCGAATCACAACGTCCACCTCCTCGTCATCCAGGCGGACCGATATCACTGGGCCGAGATTTTCCGCGGTACAAAGCTAGCGGATGGTCGTGGGGTTCACGTCACCCAGTGCGGTTGGGACGATCTGGATGTGACTAGCGAGCCCTACGACCACGAGAATGCGTCATTCGCAGCCAGCAGAGCCACGTCGTTCCCGCCCACTGGAGCGATGCAAGGGACAACGACAAACACGACACGTGCCATTGCACCAAACAAGGGGTTGCTACTGCATCACACGAAAACGGGGAAAATGATTTCTCCTCCGCCCGACTTTGTGTTGATTCGCAACGAAGTTCGCACGTCGCACGAAGATCACCGGAACAAGCTGTTCGGGCTTTTCCACTACGGCGGCCTCGAAACTGTGAACAGTCTCCGCTCCGTTTACTCCTTCCTGGAGAGGCCCGTGGTGTTTGGCGAACTTGTGCAGCTCCAACGGAAGGTAACCAGGTGGCAGGCTATGGTGGCAGAGGCGGGAGGTGAACTCCAGCAAAGTACTTCGTCAACTGGCTTTGTTGGTCCTGGAGGGTCAAAAAACTTTTACAATGCCTCAAAAACGAGTGCCGCAGCTCATTCAAATAGCCCGGGATTGTCACGCCGGAGCAGCCGACCAAATTCGCCCGGCTCGACGTTGGAGCAGAACTTCCTCCAGCTCTCGTCGAACAATAACAGAAGCCTGTCGCCTGAGCCAGTTGTGGGCACCGCATACTCTTCTCCCGGATCCGCCCCGGGACAACTCTTCCGCAGCAGTAAAAATAGTAGCTCTTTTGCTGCAACCATGACTGCCACTGCCACTTCGGATCAGAAGCCCGCCGTGGTGATCAAAACACAGTCTGGCGACACGATTATTCGCATTCCGCCGCAGGAAAAGATCCGCAAATCGTTGATGCGGAAGCAGTATCAAATGTAAAAATGTCTGGGTCTGGAAGAATGCAGCTTGTCATGCTAAATCTGAAACAAGCAAGAATCTGTGTTGCTGTTGCATAATTACCAAAAGTCGCCCAGTTTTGACCAAGTCGGGAGGGGGTTTGTTCTCATGCAGGATAGGCATGAGAGAGGTCGCGCAGAATCTGTCATGCTAGGTCCTGCATTCCAGACCTCATGGGTCATGGAAAAGCTGCATGAATCTGAGGGGACTAATCTGAGGGGACTATTTATCCCTCTCGGAATTCGGTCGTGAGGAAGGGTGGCCGGGGTCTTCCTGTCAGCTTCGCTTGCGTCGCGGCAGTGAAGTTTGTGAAATCGAGGGAAGTGGTTGGCAGAGGATTTGGGTCGGTGTCTGAAAAGATCCTTCCCGTTCTCGCCTGCGGATTTTTGATCGTTGATCATTTTTCTGTAGGTCAATGCCACCCTCGATTCTTCACCCCCAGGGGGTTGGGGTCCCCTCTTCCAATGTGTATTGGTTGAGGACTGCCCCCTTCATCCTAAGTGCCATCAGCCATGGTATCTGGAAAAGCTGCATGACAAGTCGCTCACTCTTCCAGACCCAGACACTTTTACATTTGATAAGCAGTTTGAAAGCCTGCAGTTCCGGCACTGCGCGTTCCAGCCGCATGTCCGGGTCTCCTCCACCACAACGGTGTCGACCTCTACGACCACCACTAACCCCCTCACCGCGCTCGGGGGTCCTCGGGAGAACGTGCAGTTTCTGAAGCAAGAGCAAACCACGCAGACGTCGACGTCCGCAGCTAGTACCGGAACCACAAATCCAAATGCTGTTGCCTTCCCTACTACAGCGGGAGGTGGCTTTTTCCAGTCACAAGGAGAACAACAGGGAGAGCAAACTTCTTTCCCTTTGTCTTTTAACCAGCAAGTGCTTGAGGTCGAACACCTGATCAGCGACGAGGAGCTGCGGGAACTGTATAAGTGCGGGTTTCCGCTGGTGCAGCAGTCCTTTTTCAGCACGCACCACGCCCGCGGCTTCTTCTACGGCAACGCGTTCCCCGCTGTGGCAAAGATAGGAGGCGTCCATGCCGGTGACGGGAAGATGCTGCTCGAGGACCACCACTCCCTGGAGGATTTCCGGTCTGTGCTAAAGATACGAGACTGGACATAAACTCCACCTTCTGCCCCGCATTTGAGAGGACGCATCAAATAAAGCTGCAGCAGAGACCAGGGCAGAGAAAGAGATGCAGCCTGCTGTGCATCACGAGTCTAGGCATAAAAAAATCTAGTATAATTGTTTGGGGTTCTTCGCAGCAGCTTGATTCGATGTAGTGCTGCAAAGCGATAGCTGAATGATCTGGAGGAAAAGGTAAAGTAATCGCATTCTTGCATGATCCTAGATTTTGGTTTCCTGCGTGCGCAGCTGCTTGTGGCAACGCGTCAACAAAGGACTTCGAGGATCTTCGTGGCGCAGTCCTCACTGTCAGTCTCAGTGTCTGGTCCTGGTGTGGGTGTCTGTGCGACTGTTGTATGCATGACAAATAAAAGAAGACGAGAAGAGGGTGGAAAGTAGTTGTGCTCTTTGATAGAAGATGTGCGGCGGACACTACTGCACGGTGGAACCGTATGTTGCCGACACGGCCTTCGATGTGCGAATTCAGGTCCTCGATCAGGGCCGCCACATCCGTTGCTTCCGCAAAGTTTCTGCGTCCGGGCACTGGAAAGCCAACGTGGGGCTCAGCAAAGTGGTGGAGCTCGGGGTCGTGGGGGCCAGCGAAGAGGTCCTCGCCGCAGGTGGTGGCGCTGCTCGGGCGGAAGTAGATGACTATGCGGCGCCGCAGTCGGAAATCCCGCTCCGCTACCTGGCCTGGGGAAAATTGGTGGCAACGGAGCTGTTCGGAGGACTGGATATCTGCACGATTGACCTCGTCGTGGGCGAAGATGACCAGGAATACATCCTGGAGGTGAACGGCACCTCGTCCGGCTTTTTTCCGGGGCGCGCAAACGAAGACAACAAGGTTGTGCGGGATCTCGTAGTGCGACGCATGAACCAAGTCTTCTGCGGCAAAGATGAACAGGGCATGTGGTGAACAGAATTGCTAGCGCTGCGGTTTGCATTTGTACTTGTTTGTTTTCTCCCGTTCATGTTTCTTTCGGGAGAGAAAGTAATCGAACGACGTGCGAAGATGCCTGTCTTCAGTCTTTCGCTATTTTTAGGTACTTGTTAGTGCATTATTTGGTGGTTTCATGTTCATCAGTATACAGAAGTTTCTTCATGTGCTTCACAGAAGCGAATTCTCGCGAAAAAAATCAATTTGAAGTGACTCCAGCTGTGCTACAATCTTGTATGATGAAATAGGTGATGTTGATCACCGAGACACCGAACAAAACAAGTGAGAACAGATCTTCTCACAGAAGCACAAGATGGTGCCACTCCCCTTATCGGCGGCGGCGGGCGAATATGTTCACACTCACATCCATTGTGATCCTGTTGTTCAAGCAAGGCAGTGCCTGGCTGAAGCAATTGCGGTGTATCTCTGGTGATTCGGAGTGACTTATCGTGTACTTGCCACAAAAGAATCAATCCGTCGAAGATTATTGCGCAATCAAAAAAGTAGGATGTATTCGTCGTGAAAATAGTCGTGAATCCTGCTTCTCCCGCTTCGTAGTTCCACTTCAATTTATCTTCATATCGTACATGCTATGTCACACCATCACCATCAGCAGCATCGGTTGCATTTTCCTCGATATCTGTTGCCCTGCGTGGTGGTCGTCGGGAGATTATCTGTTCTGGGTTCGTTTTTCAAATGGGAGCAAACTCAAGCAAAACCGTGGCGCGACTCGTCTTCATCTGTTGGGATCCTCGTCTTCTACCATTTGTTTCTCCGTCGCTTTTCAGATCTGTCTGGTGAGTGGTCAAATTATGATCTGCAGATAGCACTCATTTTACGTTTATTCGTCGCGATCATAAAGCATTGGACTTTCGCCGCATGGATGGTCGTCGGGACAAAGACAATCTTCTAGTACGCTCGTAGCAATTCACTTGCTAGAACTCCAACTCTTACCTCATTCAACCTCGGATTGTTGAAAAATTATTTCTACGTAGCAGGCGGACTTCGATCCGCGTCAGAAACAAGTTTTTTGTTTTTCCCCAAGAACACAAACCCTATGGGTGCCGATGAGGATCTGCAGCCCCTGGGGCGCACACTCAGCTTTGCGAGCAAGACGGCCAGCCTGTCGATATGCGGTGGCAATGTGACAGCGGTGCAAACCACGGGCGGTGCTACAAGCAGCGATCACACTGCTGCACGAGGGCTTTCCAAAAATGCATCCGCGCCGACGCTGCCGTTGGGGACAACAGGTATCCAGGATGATGTCGTTGTGCTGTCTGTAGTACATTTGCGCATTTGCATTTTGTTTGTAAAAATAGCTGTTGTCGCTGCTGTAGTGTGAGACGACATGCTGGTCACCCCACGTAATTTTTTTATGAATTTCCTGCTTGTCCCAAACTTAGCTATCGATCCCAAACGCTCTCAGATTATGCGCTCGGATCAGAGCAAGCACGAAGCGGGAGATCGTCACCGTTTAGCAACCTAAGCGGTAGCAGAACCCTGAAACTGGGCGGCCGCTACACGAGTTCCGTAAAGACGTTGGTCGCAAATCCGCTGGGGCGCAAAAAGGCTTTTCCCTTCGGCACCGGGGACATGCCCTTCATTTCGACCAGGAAGGGCGGGAGCATCAACATACCCACCACCGTTTTCCGGAACAAATATGGCGTTCTCAAACGTTACATGCTCAACTGTTACATGAATTTGTCATGCAAAAGTACCTTAAGCCGGGCGGCAGATGATCGAGCTGCTTCGCATGACAAATTTCGGAAGGGCTAAACAGCATCCAAATCTGCGCCAAACTTGTAATGCAAAAGGCGCAATCTTCCTGCTTTCACTTTTGCCAGTCTTGCATTGCAAACTCATGTAACAGTTGAGAATGTAACAGTTGAGAACGCCATAACAAAACCCGGGTTCCGATGGGCATGGCAGGCGTCGTCGAGCAGGAGCTGGACCGGGCATTTACGCACCTAGATCCATACTGCGTATAATGAATCTATGGATGTTTGTTGTAGTTTTTGTAGTCGGGGAGCTGGCCGCTTGAACTCGTCATAGATGCATCATGTACGGTTCAAAGGAATCTCGAACTCTATTTTCGTATTTTTCAGGAGAGAGATGGAGATCAGCACTAGCCAGATGAAACTCATCCTGCTGCAGACACAATGATGAACTTTGACTTATACTTCTGTTGCTTCTTGAATTACAACGCAAGACCATTAAATGCAAATCACAACAGCGGGACCGGTTTGGCGACAAGAATTTCTATTTGTCCGATCACGCCATGTCGGCCGCAGGTGCAAACGCGGTGTTTGAGCAGATCAGCGAGAGACCACGAGACGACCTAGATCGGCTCATCGCTATCGACTGCCGGAACGCCAGATACCTGCAGTAGTGATATCGTGACGATGTCGATGATGCCGAGCATTTTTACAGTGGAACACGATGCTCAGAGTCTGCCTAGAATGAGTCCGAGTTCTTAGCTCCTAATCCTCTGCCTCTGAAACATTCAAATGAACTTTCGTCTCAACACAGCTGCGGCCGTTACCATTGCAGCTGTGCATGAAGCTTGTCGTCTGACTCTTAACTTTTATCTTTCATCTACGGGCTTGTTTGTGCTACTACTGCCATTCCTTGTTGGAGGGTGGCCAGGTACTAGAGGAGCAGTGCAAAAACTTGTGGGCTAAATTCGAGTTAAAACTCTCGAAATCTGTAACGAAGTGGTGATCGATATGAAGAACCAACAGGGAATTGTATGGCGGGCTGACGACAAGCAGAATTCTGGGATGGACCGCGCCCTCGTACTCATGTCTTCTCTCTGAAGCAGGAAGCAATGCGATTCCTGGCAGAAGAGTTTGATCGCAGTCCGTTTTTTTTTTGCTTTCAGCCTGGTGTCCCTGCGTCGATCTCCTCGGTATCTATACCGTGCCCCCACATGCGGTGATCAAACACAAACTTTACATTTAGCAGCACTTTTTCACTTCGTTTTGCCCGCGTGGTGTTGGAAATGGAAACGACATGATGATACTTGATCCATCAACATGTGAAGTTTTCGTTTGTCGTCGTGATGTTGTTGTAGCATCTCCAGAATCTTCGCCTTAATTGATGTTTTCGTTTTGAAGAGTCCAGTTGGTTGTGTCTCTTCGTAGAGGTAGTCGGTCCGTTTATGAAGTTTCCAAGAATCTCGGCAATCCTTTGCTTTTCGAGTCAATCTACGGTTAGCGCCAACAAGCGTCAAGATGGGTGATGATGCGGCTCCGGATGACAATGAGCCGGGCGCTTTCACAAAGTGCTGCTTCGCGATTCTGGACTGTTTCGCCGTTTTTGCGCGATGTTTCATGGCCATTTACCAGGCCATCAAACGTTGTTGTCAGCGGTGCGCGTACCCGGTAAAAGAGCGCTGCGTCCGCTGTTACGATTGGTTCACGTGTATGTTTTCGCCCTACAAGAAGAAAGTTCCCTACACCCACGTGCCAACCTTTAGCTACGGAGCAGGCTCGGTGTGAATGTGATAAAGATAAAAGGACAACCACAACGAAGATTTTTACAAGGAGCAGCAAGGGGCGAGCTGAACTGTCGCGTCCCCGCCAATATTACACATCTCCATCGCTCGTGCCTGTCCACATTCTCTCGAGAATACAGCCGCGATAATTTTGCAACTGGAACCGCTTTGAATTTTTCGAGCTTGAAAAGCACGTCGCTGGAATTCGTTCACGTGAAGCCGCAAGGCTCCTGTGTATCATCTTCCAGGAACGCAGTGTCACAGTCGCGAGACGGCGCACACGAAATACAGCTTGTGCGAGTACTAGAGTGCGAAGGAGATCACACGGCTAAACGAGGCAAGTGCTCTCTTGCGAGTCCTGTTCTCGATGTTACGATTTTGAATCTCATTGCCACTGAGAACAAGAGGCAGGCTCTTTCAAACTACAACTAGCCCTAGCCGCTTTGTTTGACATGGTTAGTATCGGCGTTTTTTCTGGAAGATCCCTTCTACTTTTTGTGCCCGCTCCTGTCCCCGCTCATGCTGATCTCGTTATCAAGTACTACATGAGATTATTCATAGTGATGAAAGATCAACAACCAACTAGGACAGCCTCGTGATTGTGATTGACGTAGTTTTCCTAGTCTCACCGAACAGGATCTCTCTGCAAAACCACAACAGTCCTGCAGCCCTCGAACATACATATAAGTGACAACTTTAGTGGTACAGGAGGCAGCTTAATAATTCTGAGGCGAGCTCGACGGTAAAAGAACTAAACATGAGATTGAGAACAGATTCCGCTTCCGGTGCGGGTGCCCGTGCGGTGCATCACATTCGTAGCTATAGAGACGCAGCTTAGCCTCAGTTATGATCCTACAGTGTCAGGTCCCCCAGATCAAAGAGAACCGTCGTATTCGCAATACTTCTCAATATTAAACTACACGAAGACGCTGCAATTTCCTCCTTTCATCTTCGTTCATCAACAGCGGCGACCACGGCGACAGCATAAATTTATTTTGGTAGGCAGGATTGAAATTGATACTTTTTTTGTACCCCCCGACTCGGTCGTTTTTTTTCTCTTCTGTGTTTCGTCTCCCTGTCCAACGGACCGGAACAATATATTACACAATCCATCGCGAATAAGTACACAATCTATCCACCTTGCGAATTATCTACTGAGTATTTGTTACTTTATTTAAGATCAGTTGCGGTACGTAGATTTAGAAAATGTTTGTGAAGCGGAGTCATCCATTTGGATCATTTCCAAGAAGGTACGGCTAGGTCAACTAAATCTACGCGAAAAGATGACACTCCGCTGCTCCGACGGTGCCTTGTTGATTTCGACAGTGCAAAGAAGAGAACCACGGCAGCACGGTGGCCTAGTTCTTCCGGTTTACCAGTGTGATACAGATACCGGTGAAAATCTCATACGCGGGCTACACAATCACAATGCAGAGCGGCACGACAAATTAAAGTTTTCCTAGAACGTCAGGACTCCAATAAAGACAGAAGCGTCTTCGGCTGCAATCTCGATCTCGAGAAGGCCGAATTCTATAGAGCAGAAGTTAGGTCAAAGTTCGATACCCCGACTAGCAAAGAACCTTCCGAACCTGACCGCAGCTCCGAACGAAGACGAGCCGGTGGCTTCTTGTCGTTTCGAAGCGGCACACAGCACGTATACATAGTGGCCTGAATTTGAAAAGGCGCGGCGACGACCACGACATCGTCCGGATTGGAAATACGGTGGTAGCTCCGTTTTCTAAGTACGTCCGATGAGCAAGAACAACAGATAGAAAACTCAGCAAGAAGGACAGTACGTACATCGCGACAACAGCATTTTCAAGCCTTGGCACGACTAGCCAGAGAAACGTTCATTTCAACTGCGTTCCGAGAAAATGCAGTTCCAAGAGGGACCTTCCGAGAGCACCGATGAGTTCTCAAACGGGAGCAACAGCGACATGGGGGATGAGGTACGATTTTTAAGAAAGATTGCAACTTTGATGTTGTAGTTCCACCTGTTGCTGCTGTAGTTCACGCTGCTCTTGTTTTCTCCTTTTCTGGTGCTGCTGCTGTCAATAAGATGAATGTGGTCTGTCTCTGTCATCGATATAGCATCACTTGCCGTGCCGAAGTTCGCTACTTCAATAAGGATAAAGTACGACACTTGATGCAATGATTTTCCGCCCGAACTGCGAGGCGATGATTGATATAGACCTATCTTCTCATCATCTTGACTCTACAGGTGACCTGGATAGAGTGGTTTTGTCACCTGAAGGGAAACGAGTTCTTCGTGGAGGTCGAAGATGAATACGTCCAAGACGACTTTAACCTCACGTACAAAAAACACTTTCTTTGGTTTTAAGTACTTTTTTTTTCGAATGATAGATGTAGAAAGATGTATTGAATTTCTGCTCCTGCCCGCTGCTCTTTCGCGGGCCTATTTCTCGCCACAAAAGCTGGTGACCACCTCGGGAGTAGTAATTAGCTGGACGTCAATTCTGCGAAACCAAAAGCGGGTTCATTTTTTTCTTCCTCTAACCCCAGGTATCTCAACAAGGATTTGCAGGAGTATTACAATGTGGACGTGTACCGAGAAAGTCTGAACATGATCCTCGACTATGACGACGGCGACATGCAAATTACCGAAGACGACAGAAGTATGGTGGAACAGGGCGCGCAGTGCTTGTATGGCCTCATACACGCCAGGTATTGCAATGTAATACCTTCTTGTTTCTATGGACAGATTGAGTTTCCAATCCGAGAAGTGTGGCTTTGTGAGAGCCACTGAAAACTCTCTGCTTTTTTCCCATTTCCAGGTGGATCCTCACCGCGCGAGGTCTCGCAGCAATGATGGAGAAGTACAACACTTACGTGTACGGCTCCTGTCCGCTCCTGGACTGTCACGCGCAAAACCAGGCAGTGCTTCCCGTGGGAATAACAGACGTTGTCGGTGCCACCGGCGCGAAAGTATACTGCCCCCGCTGCAAGGAGATTTTTCACCCAAAGAGCAGCAAGTTGGAGGTACTTACTTAATAAGATAGTCTGCTGTTCTTGAACGAGTTAGGTTCGTTCTTTTGTTGGCTACTAGTAGGGATGCCAGGACGGCGCCTGCTGGCGAAGTGTAGGTATTTAGGAGCATGGCTGCAACTTGCTCCTCGTGCATTAACCCAAACTTCCCTCGAAGGTAATCGACGGCGCATTTTTCGGAACCTCCTTCCCGCACTTGTTTTTCCTCACCTACCCAAACCTCAAACCGACAACAGAACCCAGAAATTACATCCCGAGGATCTTCGGCTTTAAGGTAATATCATATGAAAAAGATAAAGTGAATCTTTGTGGTCATGGACATCATGCATCTACTTCTTCACACTCCTACTAGCTTTTTCTTTGATGTTGAAATTGAATCTGAATCATCACAATTATTACGATTTGACGAAGCACTGAATGAACCCGTTTGCAGCGGCATCCCTGGAGGAGGTGTCAGAATACTAGACGGATCTAACTTAGTGCTTTCATTCCTCAAAAGGTCGCCGGTCACGTCCGCAGTAGCTTGCGAGTTGCCTCGGGGAAAAAAACGTTCCTGGAGGACCTGGAAAAGAAAAAGAAGGAAAAAAACGAGAATAAAGAGGAACCACAGCCGGGCGCGCAGCGGGCGGGAGGCCTCGACTCGTCCTCATAGCACGATCCAACTTCGACGAAAGTGGATTTAATACCCGGACGCCGACGGAGTAATGCCAATACTCCAGTTGTTCACGGGTGCATGCGAGTCTCTCTTCCCCAGACCGCAAGAAGAATGTACGGCGACTGAACGCAACGACTTCAAGCACATTCATTCATGTTTTGCTTCGGAAATTATATTAACCGACCTGTGAAGATATTTTCTACTTAATTTTCAACATCGACACGACGAGAGAAAATGAAACTCAAGACCTCTAACGCATCTCAGTCTTTCATTCAATTCGACAACTGAACGACGCAGCTGGACGGTATGATCAATTCGACGAAAGAAGTTCAAACGCAAACTGGAAATAAAAGACAGAAACCCAATCTAGACGTCGGTTTCTTCGCGGCGGCGAATGTATACTTGATTGTTCGTGTACCCTGTTCCTTTTGCTAGCTCGAGCTGCGCGTAAGTAATTCACTGTTCTCGAAAGTAGTTCGTTGCCGTCTTCTGCGTCGCCCGACTCATCGTAAAAATCGTAATCGTTGACCGCGTCGCCTAAGCACACAAGTCGTGTCACGATCGCTATCGAAGTCGAAGTCGCTTGTTCTGTCAGACATGAGTTCGCAGCTTGCAATGCGAGTGCGGTAACCAATTTTTCTCAGACGAAAGTCATTTTAGTTGTGGACAGCCAATAAATTTTCTCTGTTATCCCTTGAAATTCCACTTAATTTCTCAGATGAAAATAGAACGCCATGGCGCAAATTCTGATTCGCTCAACATCATCGGCACATTGTCCTGCTTTGCAGATGATGAACCTTTACCACCCCGACGTCACATGGCCACGACCGGCGGCCTTTCATCACTCCACATCATCATCAACCAGCTTTCTGCCAGCGGAGGCCCCCGCGCCGGATTTGTGCGCCCCCGGCGGCACCATCGTGAAAAGCACGCGCGATGTCTTGGGCGGCGCCGCCAAGGTGAGTTACGGTGTGTGTTACGAGCCATCCGGGCCGAGCGACGTGCAGGCGCATCTGAAATGCGACCCGGATTCGTTCCACCAGCGGCGGAAGAAGCTGCAGTGTTGCCGACAGCCGAAACTCTTGATGCCCAACGGGGAGTCCAGTCACGATTCTTTTGAGGAGCACGCGGCAGCGAAAAAGCAGAAGAAGAAGCAAGCCACAATGTGCGCGGACACCTCAGCGGAATACACACGGGAGGGGACGCTGCGGTATACCTCTGGTACCACCTGCACGCCCGAGGCAGCGAGAGACCAGTCCAGCTGGGGCCGCTGGTTTTTCAGTCGCGGATGTCAGGCGAACACCTCGAGCTTCTTCAAACCGATGCCGGCCAGTGAAGAGGCGTGTCGTGGCGAGCAAGGGGCCATGATTCTCCGCAAAGATCTCGGCGAGGAACGTCTAGAATTCTGCCCGGCTGGCACCCAGCCCATCAAGAATGTTGCTGTTTCCAAAGACGCAAAAGACGCTGCCAGCAGCTCTAGTACAACTGCCGCCCCACCTCCTGCGTCTGGCCGTCCGTTTCACAGTTGGGAGTGCACGGGAGGGCAAGATACGATTTTGCAGGAAGAGTTCTGCTGCAACGTCAACGGAAAGGAACGTTGCGTCGGCGCATACGAAGACAACGAAAGCGCCCCCGGCGCCTGCAGCTGCGACTTGAACCAAACTCCCACCAATTTAGCGGAATTTCTGTAGCGGATAGACAACTTAAAAGATGTAATGAACACTCTCTGTCCGTAGATGAAAGCGCGCAACGGGTAGTATTGTCCCGTGTCTGTCAAGGAAAATCGTCATAAGTAATTCTCCAGGTTTTTGCTTGCGCGACACATCAGTGGTCGTGAACGATGAATCATGGCGATTCATTGCCAACGCTGGAGGTGGTGGAGAAGAGGCAACTAGATCATCGACTGTAAAAACAAAGCAGATCTGTACTTCCAAGATGATGAAAATAGATCGTCTGTGGTTCTGCACTGTATGTCTAGGTGCACGTGACATTCGTTCCTTAATATTGCGCGATCCCCAGCAGAGCACATAGAAAAATCGAAAAGCTCTTCACGCGATCCAGTGTTAGTGTTTTGCACCATTTTATCAAAATGAAGTTCTTTCACCAAATAAAATCTACGATCTGTACAGCAGCTAAAGAAAAAAACACGGATGATGCAGTTCCTCCGATCGATAGACTAGAAGAGTCCAACTTGGTCATGGTAGTTTCATACTTCAACGGAAATTTTTTCACTAAAAGGACCGCAAAGAACTAAACATAAGAAACACGAGGCGTTGCTAAGAACGATAACTGCCCCGTCATCTCATTACCGTCTCTTTCGTGTTGTAATGCTAATGTCCGAACAAATACTCCGAGCTTCGATACTACTTTCTCCTCGGTGATTTCGACCAATCCCCAATCGTACAGTCTTAGCGACTCTCTCCTAGCGAAAAAAATGGCATCTTCCGCCTCCTCATCTTCGGGCGGAGCAAGTGCTGTGAATAAGGATCTCAGCGCGGTGCTCGCGGCCGTGGCGGATCTGCAAAATGCCGCGCCGAAAGCCGGCACGACCGGGCGGATGCCTTTTTTGGACGCCAAAGCGCAGCTGATGCTCAGCTACCTGCTCGAATTAGTGGACTATCTCCTGCACCAGACAAAAGGTTGTGGAACAAGCGGGGAACAAGACCAGCAAACGAGCGAGTTGAGCGAGGAAGGGGAACCGGAAGCGACAAATTTACAGGAGGACCCGTCGTCCAGCAGTGCGGCAAGTAAGCGCTTTGAGCAGCTGTACCGCATCCGGTTGGCGTTCAGTCGTGTGAAGGGACTGGACCAAAAGCTGCAGTATTCCATCCAGAAACTTCTCGACACGGAGGAGGGGAAACTGCAATCTTCCGGCGCAAGACCCAGCTTGCGGCTCGCCAAGGGCAGCTTGATCGCTGGGGAAAACGAAGACGACGAATTCAAGAACGCCATGGAAGACGAGCCAGAAGCAGGAGGTCAGCAGCTCAAAAACGGAAAGTCTGAACAATCTGGCGAGGACAAAATCTACCGGCCGCCGAAGATCACTTCGATGGAGTACACCGGGTATGACAAGAGCGTAAACAAGGCAGAGAAGCAACTGGAGCGCGAGCAGCGCAGGCTGCAAAACACAAACATTTTCAAGGCACTCAAGGAGGTGGCGATGGAGGGCGAAATAGATGCAACGGCTGTTGAGGTACTTCAAAAAATAACATCATACTTTTACGATTAGACAATGCAGAAGTGTGAATAAGATGTCGTGGTGGTGTTTATGAATGAAACCTGTGTCACGACGCCTATGTCTATAGCATTTGCAAGGCAATAGAGAGTTCTGTCGGTCAAGCAGCTGATTCATCAATTAAAAAACTCCATCGCAGGTTGGTGGTAGCGAACGTAGTGGGCGCACGGACGAGGTGGAGAAGTTGATGCGCAAGCAAAGGGAGCGACAGGCCTACGAGGAAGACAACTTGACGCGCCTTCGCCAGACGAAGCAGGACAAGAAGGATGCCAAGCGGCTGAAGCAGCTGCGGCAGCAGGGCGGCGGCTCGGATGGAGCTGTGGGTCTTCGAGACTTGCTGAAAGAAGTAGACTCCTTCTCCGCCTCCGGGGAAAGGCTCGCGACCTTCCGCAATGCCAAACAGAAGCTTTCCGACATGCACCAAGTGCGCAAAGAAGCAGGTGCGATGAGCGGAAGCAAAAAGAAAGCCGCTGGAGGGGGTAAAGGAAAACAAAAGGGAGGTGGAAAGCGACGGGGTCGGTGAACCTGCGCCTGATTACAGAGCACGATCAATTACGTTGCAGCTACCTCAAAAGGACGAGACTACCTCGACCAAAGAAACAACAAGAAGATCAGAACGAAAAAACGTGCTGCATTTAATTTCGAGCATTTTCCGCGAGAAACAGAAAACCAAAATTTCTGACCGACATCTCTTTTTCCGTTCTTGTAGTGTTCAGTTAACAAACCCAAATCCTATTGACGTCGTAAAAGTAGAAAAGTCCGTATGATCCTCGTAGGTACCACGCTCGAATCACGAAATTTTCGTGGTTTCTTGTCGTCCCCATCAAAAATCGTAATGTGCGAGCAACAGTTCTTTCGTTTTCTCATTTTTCGTCCAGTTGATTTCGTCCGTGCTTGTTACCATTTCTTTGTTCTCGTCCTGAGTGGTAAAAAATCAATGTCGTTCAACATTGAGCACGTGAAACCGCCTGTTGTCGTTCACGAACAAGAACCTGTTCATTTTTTTTCTTCAAAAGATGAGTCCAGCGCTCCTTCTCGGCGGCTTTCGCGCAAGTGCGATTGCTTATACCACTTCTGTACGACTACGATTCAGAAAAAAAGCTGCAAACAAGAAAATCAAAAAGACACTTCATCGCATTTTTTCTTCTGAAAAAGACCTCATCTCCAGGGCACAAAGTTGATTGGGAAAGAATACGCACTACACACGGTCCCTTTTTTGCACCACGACCCTTTACATCATCTAAGTATCATCAGTTTTCATATTTTTTCCGATCGTCGTCGATCATCTTCAGTGGCACAGTCTATCTCTATCTTCACAAAGGGAGAAAAAAGCGCTCTTTCGAACCTGGCAGTGCTGCAGTAGCCAACAAACATAACAAGATGCTTTGCCACGTGGCGAATCAACCCGAGCCGGTGTGGTACTCCAAGGAGGGCTATTCCGCCTTGAAGCCCACGCCAAACGTTCCCCCGACGTTGCTGAAGGAGTATGAGATTCACGGACCAGAATTCCAAACCGCGGACTACAAGGTCAACGCCGAAACGAAGGATGAGCGACCGCACCCGGGTCCCGGGTACCAGGTCTGCGCCCTGTTCCAGGCGGGCATGTGCAACCGATTCTCGGCGTTCCCCGACATGCTCAGAAGAGGCGACCCGATGGGAGAATGGGGATTGCGTACAACTCAACATTAAATGATTTTTTTGCTGCGCTTCATTTCTGTTCTCCTCCTCAAGTTAAAGTTTTTCTGATTTCTTTCACATTTGCAGCGACGTTTTTGAGTCAATAGAAGTGTCTTTTTCGCAGACCTACTGACTGCTTTGTTTCCTCCCCCTACTACAACATCTACTTATACGCTTCTCCAAAACTTGACACTTCAGACGGGCTGTGCGAGGAGTGCTGGCTGCGGCGACGCGAGATGAAGAAGCGCGGACTTCCCGACTTTGGATGCGAAAATACGCCTTTGCGGGCGGAAATCGAGAACGACCTGCCGCGGCTGATGCCGATCGTGCCGTCGTTTGACCGCGAACCCGTGAAGTCCATCGTGTTTTTCGGCGACATGTTCACGCCCCGGATCTCGGAGCAGCGGGGCCAGCGCGTGTCGCTGACCAAGTTCAACGAGATCCAGTATACGCACCAGGTGGCTCAGGACAAGGACGGCAACTGGCGCTGCGTGAACGAGCGCACGCGGGTAGAGCGGCAACGGGCTTTGACAGCGGCCAACAGCGGTTCCCTGGCAGCGACTTCTACGACCACGCCAGACGAGGTACTGAAGCAGCAGCCCAAACCGCTGCCCCCGTCCACCGCGGAATTCATCGAGATTTACGACGAATCGAACTTTCTCCTGTCCGGCCAGGACCTGGCGGCCAGCGTGTTCGAGCACTACCAGCGCGACGTGACGGGCAAGTGCAAGCCCGGGATTCTGACCTTGGTGCACAACCTGGACCCAGACTGCGTGGTGATTTCGGCGGGACACCTGGACCTGACCGAGGGTGTGTCGGCGAAGGACGTTTTTGTCGCGACGAAAATCCTCGGGGAGCAGGCACTGAAGGTGCCGCGGAAGCACGAGTCGCTGCCGGCGCGCAAGGTGGTGTTTATGGCCATTCCGATCACCCCAACGCTGAAACAATTTCCGGACATGATCAAACGCCGGCACCTGGTGTTGGAGCGGCTCACGCACATCCAGCGCATGAATCCGCAGGTGCGAGTGCTGCAGTGCTTCGAGGGCAAAACCGTGTCCGGGGGCCACTTCCTGCAACCCGCGTCCATGTTGACCAAAGCGGAGCACGCGCACGCCTTGTCCGTCATCCTAAACAACCTGAAGACCAGTCCCGGCGACCCCGTCAACGACGTCTTGTACCCGGACGTGCTGCACGAGTTTCTGGTCCAGGGAGGGCCAGTGGTGGAAACTAAGAGTTCTGGTGCTACGACGGGGGATGCAACTACATCAACAAACGCGGCTAGTAAAATAAACACCCAAGATGAACCTCCGGCCGATCAGGCAGCTACGGGCGGCGCCGCGGGGGAGTCCGAGTCGGCCCCAGTGGAGGTCGAGGTGGCCGCTGACGGAGAAATATCAAACAAGCCAGAAGTGCCTGGCGATGGACAGGACGAGGACAGTGGAAATATTCAAACGGGTGATGGTGCTGCGGTTCCAGGCGAAGATGAACAACCGAAGAATACAGGAGAAGATGCAGCTGCAGCCGCAGAAGGAAGCTTGGAAGGAGGAGATGCTGCTATTACAACAGCTGAGGCCGCGGCGTAGCAGCACCACTTGTTTGAAGAGCGAGTCCCACACTTCATCTTGTTGGAAAAAGGCAAAAGCATCTTTGACTTTCTCAAATATTTCATCGATCTCATCCATTGTTTTCCCCAGAGGGGCAAAGCATCACTCTAGGTTATTGGTGCTGAGTTCTGTAGGACTTAAGCGTGCTGCTGTAATTCTTTGATGTTTCTCCCATACAACAAATGTTACCACTCGTCTGCTACATTAGGATTTTTAGCGTTACGTTGTTCATATCATTCGCTTCTTTTCTGTATGATAGGTTTGACTCTGAGATTGTGACTAGTTTCTCGCTATTAAACGCCAATGTACTAGAATTTTGAGTTTGGTCAGTTACACTTACAGTTTGACTTTTTCTGTCAAGAAGTCGAGGAGAAGAAATCACAAGGCTCTGTAAGCATTTCAACATGATAGGATTCCCCCCGATTTTCTTCATCTCGTTGCACTACAGTATCAGTCCTGCCTAAGCAGGTTTTTCATCTGAACGCCAGACAAAATATCCAGGCGTAGTACCAAGACTCGCGTAATTTGCTCTGCCAAGTGTTGGTTGTTTTGGTTGTCCGCCTTTCACTTTCCTCGACTTACACGAAAACACTGCTGGACATCATCCGATCAATAGAAAATATTCGGCGAAATCTTTCGGTACACAATTCTATTTGTCGAATAGGACGAGAATTACACCTGTCTTTGTATTTGTGACCGATGGTTTTCCTGCTAGACGACGCTCGATGACTTTCTTTTGGTGTATTCTTTCGCAACATTTCAGAGATAAAATAAATCCATGGCTGCTCCTTCGTGGTGCGGTTGCTCAAACCGAGCGCGGCGTCTTCGGGCAGCAATTACCGAGGCACGGCCACTTGCGAAGATGAACGAGAATGGAGGAAATGCTCTAGTTTTTGAACGACAGTGGGGGTCCTGTTCTGCCACTTCGCAAGCATGCTGCGCTGCTTGGTTTTTCATCTTCGTGCCCCTTGCCGTTGCCGGTGTCGCCGTCCTAGTGGCCGCATTTGTGCCGATGCAAACGACAGTTGCATTGCAGCAGGTGGATAAAACCATCACGCAGGAGCAAGTAGTCTATTTATTGCCTGCCATAAATTACCAGAACATGAACAACATGATGCGGAATTCTTTTGGTGTCGATCTTGATGCTGAAACCTGGTGCAGCTTCGCCCCCGCCGATGTACTATGTGCCCACGCAGACGAGGTTGCAGCGAATGTAGCAACGAGGGTGCAGGAGATATGGACTTCGCCGATCCGCAGCCCCGTGACTGCTGATGATAAAGTAGATCAGATTTCGCTCGCTGCTCAAGATGACCATGATGTCCCAGAAGTTGTACAAGCAACAGAAGATATTGTGGCAGAACAGCGACCCCCACCTGAGGGTGAGGACCACCTGGATACCACAACACGACATTCAACGCCGTGGAGAAGAACAAGCCGAATCGCGATAAAGCTTGTCGTTTTACTTTCCGCATTTGGACTTCTGGTATTCGTTTTCCTCTTCGCCGTGTCACTGGTCCGCGGGTTGTTTGTTCAGAGGAAGGAGGAGCTAGTGGTCGAACTCTTGTTGCGGCCAAGTTCTGCTCCGCAAGATGACAAGCACGAGGGTCAACAGCAGAAAAATGGTGGCAGCGATGAAAATGTCATACTACATCAAGACGGTGAAGATGAGTTGTTACCGCTAGCAAGGGTCCGGGCGCGAAGGTGGATCGGATCCCGGCTGTTTCGAATTTGCGTCAAAGACCGCTCCTCGACGATTTATACCCCGGAGGACGTACTCATTGCAGAAGGAATGACGCTTTTTCACGTAGAACCATTCCTGGCCATCAGAACACGAGACAATCAAGAGGCGGGACGAGACCGTCTGGAAGCTGAAGGCGGAGGTGGTAGGGCCAGCGGTGCAGACAACAAGAAGCTGAATTATCTAGCTCGCGAACGTGATGCTTCGCGCAGTCGTGGTGTGGTGAAAGAATCTACAAAAAAGCTCGCGCGACGTAGAAGCGAGCACACAACTATCGTTCCTTTCAGTCCCCCGATAAACGCAGCAGACCTTGTTGGCTGTGCCGCGAGTATACGGTCGCGTTTGCAAGTGTTGCAACAAAAGAGAAGACGTACATTTACGACTCCCGTAGGCACAATTGTTCCCGCTGAACTTTCGGGATTTGTGTCTTCCTGAAGTTGCTGCAGCTATGGGCGACGCCCCGTGCTCTGCTGGTCATACTGACCTACTTAACTAGGTTCTTGCTGTCCTGTGTGTCAGCATTTTTTTCCTCGACGGAGCGTAAGCAAAAGGGATTAATTCATTACAGCTGATCCTGATCTTCTTGGAGCGCGACCGCGTCTGCAGCTGGAGAGAATTTCTCTCCGCGTCATGCACAGATCGATCTGTGTGCGCGTCGCCCGTTGTCTTCGCTGCATCTTCAGTGCCAGCATCGTGGTCACGTTGAATTTTTTTCGCGCGCCGCTGCACCGCCACGACAGCACTCTGCGATTTCTAGTGAGCTAGTATCGCTTGTTGAAATAACATAGAGACGTCAGCTCTTTTCATCATCGATCACGACCTGCAGATTGCCAGCTGCCGACTCGGAAGATCCTGATGTTTAACAAGAAGGCAGAAACAAGTATGTTGTGTTCGAATTTCCTGCAGCTTTTGCTTTTTGAAGGATACTACAAGCGCAGGAGCAAACAGAAGATGCAATGCGATGGGCGCGGGCGTGGGCAAGACAAAGAAGGGCCAAACGGGAGTGGTGACGCAGTATGACAATTTCAACGACTACCTGCGCAATCGCGACACGGTCGCTGATGCGGTTTCCAATGAGAAAGACAAGAAGCGGCACAGCGGAGCCAGCACCGGTTCGGGCTCCAAATCCAATACAACCGCAGCGGGCACTGCTGGGAATCATGCCCGAGGCAGCAGACCACATGCCTCGAGCTCGGAAGAGGAGCCGATGTCCTCGAGCAGCGAAACGCGACAGGAAAATTACAAGCGGAAATACCAGATGGCGGCCATGCCCTCGCAGGAAGGGTGGCACGAAAAGAAGCACCGCAGCAAGGAGCGCGGCGCCCCCCTGGTGGGAAGCGACGGGGAAAAACACTACCGAGCGAAAAATAAGCGCGACCGCGAGGAGCAGGCGGGCGAAGGGACCACGACCCAGGGCGGGCACCTGAACACGTTCCGCGGCAAGCCTGTGGATGAAGACATGGTGGCCCGGTTGTTCTTCGAGTGGCAACACGGGCACGACTGGAAGCAGTACGAGGGCAAATACCAGGAGATTCTGAAGCACGCGTTTGTGAAACACTACCCGACCATCAAGTTCTACATTGGCAAAAACGACTACGAGGTGAACTTCCGGCAAATGACGCAGAAGAATCTCAAGACGGGCAACGTGAAAAAGATTCGCATGTTGTCTGCCGGTCTTGACGACGACACGGCCGCGGCAGGGGCAGCGCATCTCCAAGGCCGCATGCCGGAGTCCAAGTTTCAGTGGTTGGAAGGAGGAGACAAATGGAAGGACTTTGAGTACAAGAGTTGAAGTTTTGAGTACCTTCTAAAATCAGTAAAATTTGTGCCCAGGATTACAAACTTTTTCCCTGTTTCATCTTTTGTCTGGTGCATCTGCATGCGATGGATACGCCCAGATACTAACGCTGAAGATGGAAAGAATCACCAACCTTGAAGCAAGATGAAATAACTGCCAAACCTGCTTGACCGCTTCAGTATCTATTGCAAGCACCTTTAGATGTCTATAAAGCAATTCACTACTAATAGTTGGGCCGCAGACAAGCTGCTTTGGCAGGACTACAAGCGGGGTATGGCGACGACACGGCTTACCATCATGGGTCACAACTACGACATCGACTACCTGGAGTGGACGCAAACGAACATTCGGACGAAGAAGGTGCGGAAGATTCGACTGAAGAACATCGTCGACCAAGGCATGACACCCGACGCCAACTTCGCGGCCGGAGAGCAGAAGCGCAACTTCACCGCTGCAGGAACAGCAGAGGAAAAAGTAAAAATTGAAATTTGTCGATCTTGATTTGCTACACTTAGAGTTTTGCCTTTTATTGCCATTGCTCTGATGAAGTCATGCCATCTGGAGTAAGGACCGTGTACATTGGCCTTCATGTGTCAGTGTCATCTCACACGACTACAATCCTCGTCCTTGTGTTATCCTACCATCGCGGTGCAAATAAAACCTTCCCAGGAGCCACAGCCGACTGAACAGCAGGAGGACTATGCGCAATTTCTGTTTCAGTTCTACGAGGATAGCAACGGCAAGTGGCTGAACTACCCCAAGTCCGAGCAGAAGCAGCTCGCGGAAGCGTGGGCCAGCAAGAAGGACGTGGTGGAACTCGGCCCGGAGATGAAGATCGACTTCAAGGAGATGAAGGAAAACGGCCGCATTCCCGTCCGCCGCGTGAACCTCATGAAGACGAAAACCCACTACCCCTACCGCGGGCAGGGCAACCGAGTTCCCGAGGACAACCCGAACAACAAGAGGGACGTACTTTACTACACCATAATTTTTCATCGAATAGCTATTTTTCAAGCTTTGATGAACTCGCCCTTTCTCCATGGATGCCAAAGCCCGAAACAGGGTCAGTACTCTCATCATGATCCTTTGCTGCCATAAGTAGAGCTTCTTGGCGTTACTGCAGGAAAAGGTTGTTTAGGAGCTCCTGTAAGCACCTTTGGTATGTATCTTTCTATGCAGTGCTTCGAATGGTACGATCCCGAGACCGACCAGTGGCACGTGTACGCCGCCCAAGAGGATAAGAAATTGAAGTACGCGTGGCTGAACAAGCAGCCGACGGTCCGGTTCGAGATGAATTTCGAGCCCTACGAGGTGAATTTCGAGATGCTGAAGCAGAAAAACCTGCAAACCAGCGAGGTTCGGAGCATCCGCAACCCGATCAAGTTTGGCGCGTTCCGGCGCCGCAGCAAGACGCAGGGCTACGACAACGCGGACTTTTTTGAGGACCTGCACCGCGAGCGGGTATGACAGAGCACAACTTCAACTCCCCCTCCCCCTCACTTGTCATGCAAAATCCCAAATCTACCTTTTGCCTGTTAGCACTCTTTGCATGGCAGATTCCGAAAGCCAAAACAGCACTACGATCCTCTCGCAGTTTGTTATGCAAAAGCTGCATCTTTGCCAGCGCTTGTGTTGCTGTTCATGCAACACAAATGAGGGGGAGGGGGAGTTGTGCACTGTCATAGCGGGCGGAGGAGCAGCAGAAGGAACGGGACGCGCAGTTCCGCAAGACACCGAAGGAGTGGGACGGCATTTGGGGGCGACGGTTCACGACAGGCGGAGCAGGGAATAACGACAAGAACACGAAGCAGCAATGGAAAAACGCTTTTTTCGGCGCCGGGGGCGGCGCGCGGAAGGCCGGTGTGGACCCACCAGACGGCAACAACGCGACCGCGGGCGGAGCCGGGGCTGGCGGCAAACAGGAGAACCAGGAAAATAAGAAGAGAAAGGCTTCCGGGCAGCCGGGTCCGCACGGCAACGACCCGTTCTTCCGGGCGAACTTTGGCACCACACCGGACCCAGGTTCGGACAGCGGCTCCGACACCGGGCGCAATAACCGCAACGACGCGCGACCGAAGAAGCCCACGCCGCTGCCGACGGGACCCAAGCTGGACGCCTCGGTGAACGTGGCGACGCGGGAGCTGCACCAACAGATGGAACGGGCGCTGAACGAACCCCTGGCCGAACGCAAGGCGAAAATTAAGAAGTGGCAGCTCCAGTATCACCCGGATAAAAACCCGGAAAAAATGGACAAGTGCACGCAGGTGTTCCAGTTTCTCATGCAGCACAAGGAGTGGTTCCTGCTTGGAGCCTCGCCCAACAACAGCCCGCAGACAAAGCCCACTCCGGGGAAGAAGAAATAAGAAAGAGTGGTCTTTTATCCGTTTCGCGCTTGCTGCGCCGAAGTAGATCTTTTGTGCGGCATCAAAGAAAACCCCTCAGTCTCCATCTTCATCTGTGAATCGCTGACGTACTAAACGGAGTCAACTACATGATATTCGCGTTGACATACTAGCGATAGCAGGGCAGCAACACTAAAGCCTGTGCCGGTGCGGAAGTGCGGGTCTGGCAGCTACTTCCTCCGGGACGATTTCGCTCCACCACAGATGACTCGCTCTGTCGTTATTTATTTTTTTCCGATCAGCACGCCGATGCCGACCAATGTTCTGCTTCTGCCTTTTCACCAGAGAGCGTGTCAGTCTAAAAAAATTGATCCCACTGTTGCTCGTTTCTTTTTGTTGCTGGCAAAAGAGGCTAGGGAAACCTGAAGTTAGGCGAAAGAGACAACTTGTTTCACATGGACTTTGACGTTCTCGAACATAGTTAGAACCACGAAACTGGATCCTCGTTGCTCCGGACTGTGCCTCGAGCTCGAACCCGATCATCTTCATCCGCGCATAAGTAGCCATTTCGTATATCTTTTTCCAGTCGTAGCTTGTAGATTAAGAAGTAAGTGCGCACGACATCACGATCGAATGCCGTAGATCAAGATCCCATAGCGCCGCTCGTACTTTGTTGTTTCCACCACGTTTTTTCAGCAACGGTCTTGTATCTTCTACAACCACTCCGGCATCTTTCTTACATCTTTAGACATTCAAATTGTGAAAATGTGACTAAAAACATGTGACTGACCCTGAGTGACGTGATGCGAATCACAACTCGTTCACCTCACGTTCCCAACAAAAGCAAAATTTTTCCTCTGATTTTCTAGTCTCATCCTATTCGATAGAAGATACTTCCATGATGAACAGGATGTCCGGTGGAGGTGGATCTATGTCATCAACGTGTTCTCCCATGGTGCGAGCCGGATCGAGATCGTCCGCAGGATCGTCCACTCCGCGGACGACCTCCCCAGCATGCAGATCGACCCCCTCAACATCAGTGTCTGTTTCTGGAGTTTGCGGTTTTGGATCTATCGAGAACGGATCAACAGAAGCCGTCGCAGAAAGGAGCCTTGTTGGGGAACAGGTTTCTTCGCCTAAGATTATGCCGCCGCACGCGACCACAACGACCCGCAATGTGGTCGAAAATAGCTCAGCACAAGCCCCTGCGAAAGTAGAAACGCAGCCCGCAGCAAATCACAGTTTGTTCGCACGTCAAGACCCGCATCCGTCAGCATTGCGGCCCGCGCGCACGGAAGATGAGGATGACCTCGCGTTGCAGAAAAACATCGAGTGTGGGTTGCAAGCGCTGGCTTTTTTGGTATTTCGGTTTGACCGCGAAGGTCGTAGCTCCGAGACGGCCGCCTTGGAGATCTTCGCGCAAGTGAAAACCCTTCTGGAGCACGCCGGCCCCCTGCTGCTGCTGCACTCGCACGGACTAGACTATGCACAGTCCATCGTGACCATGGTGCTGCAGGCCTATCAGCAGCACCACCGACACTGTGCGGAACTGCACAAGCTTGGCCTCTGGCTGCTGCTTCTGGTTCTTGGCCGCTGTCATAGGATACGTGAACGTGATGAACCGGCAGCTGCATCGGCTGCAGTGCAGTCTCATGACGACTCATCTGCCGCTGCTTCATCACGGACCGAGACGATGAACACTTCTCAGCAAGACCTCCTATTCCGCCACTGCGCCCCGGCAGTTGTCACGCACTGCCTGCGGGTGGTGCAGGCCTACCCAGATGTGCAGCGCAGCGGGGGGCAACGAGGCTACGTCCTGGCGCTGGACTGTCTGATCACGTGGATGTCAAAAAATTCGGATCGCGTGCTGCAGACGGATCAGGAACTGCTTTCAGAACTGACAAAAGTTGGAAAAAGCGAGCAGTATTCGACGCCCGTCAAATGCAACGACACCGCTCCTGCTTCGCAGGACAAAGCAGAAGGTGAAGGAGCGCACCTAGAGAATCAGGAGGACCTTACGTCGGGGCAGCAAAAACAACTCACGACAACTGCAGCTCCTGTACGACTACAAGCAGAAACTCACACCGCGGCGGCAAAAATTGAAAGTAAGCAGGAGGACGACAAACGAGCCGAAGCTGACGGCTTTTGTGGAGCTGAAGACCAACCGACTGAAAAGAGCGGCAGCAGGCGTCCGTCTTGCAGCTACTTGTTCGATGTGAGGCACGCGAAAAAGAACCACGAAATCCAATACTTCCACGATTGCGACGTCGTGTCGGAGCCCAACCAGCAACTGCTGCGCTTGATCACACACGCCCTGGTGAAGCCTGCATTTTTCTGTCCGGCAGACCGCAATCCGCTGACATCGAATTCACCATTTGTGCGGCGTGCGTTTGCACGCTTCTGTGGATTTTTGTTGTCCGTCCGGCCGCGCGCAGTACAACTAGAGATGGATCGCGAACTCCAGAGTGACCCGCTGGAAGTAGAGAGATCTACTTTGAGCGGCAGACGCCAGCAATGTCATCGCGCTGTGAGCTGCAACTGTGCGTGCGGCGGTTTCGCTTGTCAGAATGAGTTTTTCCGTTCACACTTGACAGATAAGCAAGACGCCCGCACCGGGCTCCAGGAGCAAAAGCTAGAAGACAAGCAGTTGCTAAGTCCTGCCTCGCGCTCTGCCGAGCGGTGCATGTGGGTGGATTGGCGGCTGCAGCCGCGATGCGCGGAAGACTTGTGGAGTGGGCTTACGTACACGCCGCAAATTCTCCGCAATTTCTGCCTACTCGCCTTAGTGCGCGCGCAGGCGGATCCGGACCCCACCGTTGCCAACGCTGTGTGCAGTGCGTGCTTGCTGCATTTTGTGCACTCAGAGCGCGAATGCGGTAACGCGTACTTCTTCAAGCCAGCACTTTCATCCCTGCACGCGCCACCACAATGCGGTGTCGGTGGGGACCATCTTCAAGGGCATATTCTGTGTCAATCCGCCCTTCCGGAAATGGACGACTCTTTCCTGCAGCACTGCTTGATAGACCTGGAAAATTACACGTCCAGCACATCGACGCCTTTTACTTCTACCGGGAAAGGAGCCGACATTGCTTCACCAGATAAGGAGCTACTTACAAGTGGTTTTCTATCGGAGGACGAGCCAACATCGTCTAGTGAACAGCACGACGTGCGGCTGCAGTGCCTGCTCAAAAGCTACACCAGCCTCCGCGGTGCCATTTTGCTTCTAGGGAAGTGCGAACGCGAAACAAAAAGCAAGACAGCGTCCACCTTTGGCGAACTCCAAGTCGCTGAACCAGGAGGCGGCACTGAGTTCCAACACTCAACGGCAGCAAATGGCGGTCAACGCACCTGTACTAGTCCTGCCCAAGTTTACCCTAACTGGCGGTCGTTTTGTTACCGATCTTGGCACGACGTGTTACAAGAAACGGAGTCCGAAGTGGAGCGAAATGTCATCGTGGATAACTTTTACGCGCGTTTGGTCAATCAAGTCGTTCCCGTAGATCAGACTGCCGCGGGAGTGGAGGAGGGAGCCGAAGGGGTGATGAAACGACACCAAGACCACTCTAGTACTCTTCAGGAACGACAAGACCGACCTCTGCCCGCCTCATTGAGTGTGGCGTCTGTAAAGGATGTTTATCTGTCGACGAACGTTGAAGCCAACAAACCCGATGGTGAAGTAGAAGTACGAAGTTCGAGCAATTCATCACATCAGATGACATCGAATGCATCCCTGCTGAGTGAAGCTTTGGGCCACGCCACACTACCCCACCTGCCCAGAATGCGCTATGAAGCGCACGGCCACCACTTCCTGTCGCACAGTAGGACGTATCGTGAGCTGGTCACTGTTCAGAAGCAGATCATTCAAGACCTGGCACGCTACGACCCCGGTTTTCTCGACTGGGTTGTGGGGCGTTTGAGTTCCTACGACCGTGAAGATGAAGCCACAACTGGTCCACCGGGCGGACGACGTGATTTCGAGAATCGTGATGAGCCGTGCTCCGGAGCTGGTTCGCGGAACAAGCAGACATTTGTAGCTGTGCACCATCTCTCTTTGTGCGTTTGTCTCTGTTGGGTCCTCGAGGTGGTGAACATTGCGGACTTATCGTCCACTGTCGTGGAAAGACAAGCGCTGCGTGGGGGTCCAGCTCCAGACACATTCGAAAAAATGTCGAAGCTCTTGTGCGATTGGTTCGGGTATGAAGGCAACCCCCTGTGCTCCGCTGAGCTGCAGCAAGCACATAACGTACATGCGAGAAATCCAGAAGATCTTGACGGGTCTCTATCACGCGAGCGTCAACGTCGAAACCGGAAATGGGGTAGGTTGGATGTTGCTCGAAATGCTGTCTCGTTTGCGCACGCCGTGCTTGCGCATCTGCTTCACGCGGTTGTCCCGAGGCACGAATTGCAGTGTAGCGGAGAAACGAAGAGGCAGCAGGCAAGGTTACACCTACCGGCAATGGCAAGACCGCAGGCGTCGAATACAGACGGCGAGCTCCAACGAAACTCCCGGGACTACCGCGTCCACACTTTGCACTCACAGCTACAGAAGATGTTGCCTTACGTCCTTCCGTCGTTGTTGGCTGCGTACAACACGCAAGATGATGAACGACGGGGAACCGCAACGTCGAGAGAGGGTCACTGCAACGTGGAACGCCTTGCAGCGTGCGCGTTTTTCGAGGCCCAGCACCAAACGCACCAGTACCTTCAAAAACTGCAGAAAGGCGCTCCGGAAAAATCGGTCGCAGGAGATGATGGAAGCATCCAGAAAGAAGGTCAAGCTGCTACTGCAAGCTACTCTAGTGGCTGCTCTCTGGTTGCACCGGGACGAGCATGGGCACCTGCAAACCTACTGCGAGACAACGCGGATTTTCTAATCAACTTTTTGCAAATCCAGCTGCGTCGCCAAAAAGATCTGAATGAGTGTCCAGTGCCAGCATCCGAAAAGAAAGGCTCAGAACCAATACTCCAGGACCAAACAGACACCTCGACAACAAGAAACAGCACGAGGAGTGCCTTGTTGCAAAGGCCGAGAGACAAGAATTCCGATAGTGCCCGGGCGCCTGCATCATGCCCCGTCTATTTGACGTCGGGCGGGAGAAAATTTCGCCAATCATGCTGGACTCGTGCGCGAAGGTTCACAGAACCTTTGTGCCGCGCCATGCTCAACGCGGCGGTGCAGCAATATCTGTGCAGTGAGATATCTAATAATGTCGCTGATCATGGATTGCAGCCAACATCCGCAGGCTGTAGTTCTGGTGCTGCAAGTGCACCGCTTCCTCGCACCCGTTGTGGTCCAGCCAGACAACTCGAAACAGGTCTCTGCTCGTTGTCCTCCTCAGCACAGATGAACATCGATTTTTCGTGGACCACTCTACTAAAAGTGGACAGAAGGAACGCAGGTGCGCTTCTTCTTCCCTCCGAAGCGCGAAGAGTGATCACGAGCGTTGTGGTTCAGTTGCTTGACTACGACATTGGCATACACGACGCCAACGGGGATTACCCGACCTGGTGTGTGGCTCTCGTGCGAGATGCGCTGGCCGTCCTCACGATGGGGGTCCGACTCAAGAGGAAGCAGGCGGAGTCATTTTTCCGCCAGAACAGCGCGGAATGTGAGAAGCTGCACAGGATTATTGAGACGGGGGGAGACACGACGCATTTTCAAGGGTTTTGGGTCTCAGATTTATGGACCAAGCAACTAAACGAAGACGGCCCACCGGACGACGACGAGCTCGACCCCCTGCAGGGCTTTGACGACTGGTGCAGTGCAGTGTTGCAGCGCGAAGAAAAAGCCAGCCCAAATAAGGACGTGAACGTGAAACCGCAAGCAGAAGGCGTCACTACTAGCCATGCAGCTACACAGCATACGAGCACCGCAGCCGAATCAAAAGGAAAGCAAGACGAAACACAAGCAAGACCTGATCTCTCAAGAGAGTTGCTAACTACACCGACTGCAACAGCCGGCTCAATACCAGTGTCCTACAGCTACGAGCGTGAGGCCGCAGCGCAGGTGCTTCTTTTGTTTCGCCATTTTCTGGAACACCCGGAGCTCGCGGTTCTGGCGTTTGACTGTATCGGTATGGCGGTCGAGATCCTCTCGACGAACACAAAAGTTCTTCTGCCGCTGCTGCACAAATTGTGGCCCTGCGTTTTGCACTGCTTCGCCCAGAAGGGCGCGTTGTTTGCGAAAGCCTGTGAACTCGTTGCCATTATGGTCCGGGCAAGTGGCGACTTCCTGGCGCGCCGGGTCCGGGAGAGAGTGTGGCCGGAGCTGTTTCGCTGGATGTTCGTCCTAAAGTTTCCGAGATTCGTTGAATTCTGCAACCGAGAGACGGTGACTCTGGAAAGCGGAAATAACCTTTCGAACGGCCGCAGAACTTGTTCCAGCAGTAGGCACACAACCTTGAAGGACCTCGAAACAATCGCGTGTAATTCGGTGGCAGAAGAGTTCCTTCAAAGCAGCGAATCCTGTTGGATCAGTCCTGGTGATGGCCCACTTATAGAGGTTGTTGAGACTGAAAGCCATAATCCTCGACCTCCGTCCGCAGAGGTGGCCTGCGGTAAGAACAGAGCCCGGGCGCTGGAAAGAACGCGGCCGATTAAATTGTTCTCGCAGGCAAGCACTCGGACTCTTACGACAGCACGACCTGGCGAAAAGGAAACTACAGCTGAACACGGCGTAAGAGCTCCTGCGGCCAGAATTGCGCAGTTGTGCGATTTAGACGCGAAGACGTTGGGAATTTTTACCAGAGCCGAGGTACACAGCCACCGCTGCGCGCTCGAGCTCCTTGACTGTCTGATAGGAGAAAGCCCAACGGAAGATCCAGATTTGTTTGTACCCGGAGACGAACTGCGAATCGTCACCGCCCTGTACACTCGTGCGCACGAGTTCGCGGACCTTGCAACAGAAATACGGTCCTTGACGGCGACAAAGCTTGCAGCAGAAGTAGCCGAACCGATCCAACAAGAAGCGAGCTCTGCGGAAACCCAGCACCAGAGAGAGGTCGCAACAGACTTCGAGGAAAATGAAGATGAAGATGGAAGAACGCTACCTGCAGCACTACCCTGATTGCAATTTCCGCACTGCACAAACGAGGACTCGAGAAAGATTGAGTCGCAACACTTTCTTCTATATCGTGGCTACACTGTAACGATCCAAATTCGAATCTTCATTCAGCGCCATTTTTAAGTTTACCTTTCTCCCAAAGTAGATTCCATCCCTTAATCTTCAATGCGGCAAATCTTTCGTGCACGAGGAGCTTGCAGCACATCCGCATTGAGGGGCTAGCTGCTTGTAACTTGCAGTTTCAAGGACCCTTTTGCTGCGTGTTTTGTGTTCAGTGGTGTTGTAGACACGGAGAGCACAAGAAAATGCAAGAAGCCGGTCAGGATAAGGAAAGTATGATTCTACTCAGATGAGCGACAATATGAACTCGCTGTTGTTGTAGTTGACGTTTTTTCTGTGCGACGTCGAGCAAGCAGTGAACATCAAAGCCAAGCAAGATGTTCTTGGCCATTGTGAGGAGCAGTCCATCCCAGCCTTCGAGGAGAGCAGTCGTCAGCTCGTGGGCGCCCTGCTTGGGACGACCTCGACCGATGGGCGGCTCAATAGCAGCCAACACGAGGAGTTCGCGCGACTGCCCCGCTGGTAGCTCACATTTCCGAAGATCCTTCGCTGCAGACGCGGGGATGGTGTCGGAACAACCTCCAGGTTCTTCTGGTTCACACGACGGTCCTCGTCATCCGTCAGTCCCGTCGCCTACGTTGCCGACGGGACAGATAAAAGCCGCTGCGCCAGCTGCTCCCTCCGCCTCGTCCTCATCTGACATCCCAGCACACGTCGAGCCCCTGCCGCCAAGCATGACTCTCGCGGCTACGCGATGGAACCGTGTGCAGGAAGCGCTCGAGGTCATGGAGAAGGAAGACCGCGACACGCTCTACTTCCGGACGAAAATTCTCCGGCGCGAGGAGTTCACCGTTGAAGAAATGCAGGAATACAAGTACAGTATGGCTGCCCCCCATGCCGATATTGATGTTGCGTTTCTCTTTTTTCAAGCGAGATCGCCTCAATCAAGTCTAGAAGCTCTTTCTGGAAACTCAGAAGATCAGTTCCCATGTTCTGTATGGATAAAAATTCCAGGGAAGTTCGTGATTGGGCGTCGTATGAGTACATGCGACTGCTGGGGACCGAGATACGTATGGTAAAACTCACCTTCTGGACTGCGATTTTTGCCTACCTGTTCCTGTGGCCCCGCCGGGAAGACGACAACCTGGAAGAGGTGGGCGGGGTCAAGATTCCAAGCGGCCCCGCGTGGATGTCGATGGACGGCGTTTGGTACGGGGTGCGCAAAATAAAGGAAAAGGGCTGGGCCTACACTCCCCTGCACTAGTTGCGTCGACGAGCATGGATGGGAACGCGAGCGTGGCAGCGAGGATCGCACGACCGTCGTGTGGGGCCGTAAAGGCGCATTTAAGTACTTAAGAACCAATCCACGCGGCGTGCGCCGCGTGGGAAAAAGTATATACATCATTCAGGTTGTTCGATGCAATTGCTTTCAAATCAAAGCGCAGGGCCCGCAGCCCTCTGATAGAATTAATAGCCGGAAAATTTCCACGAATGCTTTCGAGGCGTGGCAGCGCGGGATTTTCGCAAACGCGCCGCGCGTGCGCGCATGGCTCACAAGTGGCCTGCCTTCTGTCTGGAAAAGTTTTTGAGAAACAAGGGGCCTGCCTGCCGTCGAGAAACGGGGCGAAGCGTCCGCGACTTCTCATTTCGGGAAAGTTTTCATTTTGTCTTCGAAAATCGGAGCTAAAAGGTAAAGGTGTTCGCTTTCTTGGAGACATGAGAAGTCACTGACTTCCAACTTCTGGAAAGTTTTCACTCTGGAAGTCACTGACTTCTCATTTCTGGAAAGATTTCACTTTGGAAAGGTGGAGCACTTCTAAAAAGTTTGTTTTCATTTTGGAAAAGTGAGAAGTCGCTGACTTCTCACTCCGTTTCTCGAAGGACTGTGGAATCGGAGTCGCGTTCACTCTTCCCAGAGTCAGAATTTTCGAAAAGTCCGAAGTCAGTGACTTCTCGCTCCGTTTCGCGAAGGTCTTCGAGCTCCCGAAGCCCAGAATCGCGAGGGAAGTGCGCGAAGCATCTAAACGCGAGCGATACCCAGTCGGGCTCTTTTCACACGGCGAAAAGCGTCCGACTGGCACAGCGCCGGCACCTCTGCTAAAAAGGTTGCGCTTTCGCTTGGCGTCAGCCGGAACTTCATCACGAGCCGGGCGCAGTTTGAGTCAACGTTGGAGCCTTTTGCTTTTGTTTAAACAGCGCAAAGTTAACAAAACCTTCAGAAGAAAGCTTCAGAAGGTTTTGAGAGCATAATCTTCAGAAGCTCTTCAGGAAGACTTTTTGACCTTCAGAAGGTCAAAAAAAGCTGCGTCATTTTTTTCGCGGTTTTTGATAAAAAGTGGCAACTTTCGTTTTCCACCTTCAGAAGGTTTTGAAAAAACGACCTTCAGAAGGCCAAAACCTTCCAGAAGGTCAAGAATTATTTTTGGCAAACCTTCAGAAGGTTTTTTGGGCCAAAAATCTTCTGAAGGTTACAACACATCTACTGAAGGTATGAGTCTTCTGAAGGTTTTCAAAAGAGGCGAAATTTGTGCAATTCAGGCCCTGACTCCGTTTCAGTTTTGCGCGTCAAAAAAAGTGCTGACTTTTGGATCTTCTGAAGGTTTTCTGATTCTTCTGAAGATTCTTCAGAAGGTTTTTCTTCTGAAGGATGTTATGACTTTTTCCCTTATAGTCCTTCAATTATTCTCGGAGAGAAGTGGCCGACTCGGACAGGAGGAGCAACGGAGCGCATAACACTCGAAGAAAGAATCAGAGACAGACGAAGTCTGTGCTACTTGATGTTCCGCGGCAGCTAGCACGTCAGTCGGTCCATGCGATGAAATAAAATGAATTTGAACGCGAACCGGCTCAACTGCTTGTTCAGATGAAGCGGATGTGCAGATGAAACTGTGTATGCAGTGGTTTTTAGGTCTCTACTTGCTGCTCACGCAACAAGATCAGTACCGAAAGTTTCAACACGGATGACTCTACTCTGGCGGTTTGTTTGTCAACTCCATCGTCGCTGAGTTTTACAGGTCACGTAGACGTACAAAGATCATGATCGTCGTGCTCGCGCCGCAGCGGCGAAGTATCAATCTGTCGACTTCTTTTTTCATGGATACCGACGTGTCACTCTGTGTGGCCCAATTGTTAAAGTCGTCGCTACAATGCGTGGCACTACATCTACTGCAAAATCGAAAACGAAACTCTACATCTCAGTTTGAATTTTGTCGTGGACGACTTACTAGGCTCGTGCTTGTATTTTGCTTTTACTATGCACAGCTTCGACTTTTTGTCAACCATTACTCACTGGTATCTATCATACATCAGCAGGTACAAAATCATATTCGCTGACTGTTGATTCAGCAAAGCAACCAGATCAGTTTCAGTTTCAGTTTTGGACGCAATATTGTCAGTATGATCATCAAAAATGTGGATAATTTCACCATGAATGACGCTCCGACTCTCGCCAGCAGCCGGCGGCGTGCCATGGCAACTAATCGCTTGCTACGGGCATTGTTCGTCGAGCGCAAAACGTTGAAGGAGATCCGGCGCCTGATTCAACGCCAGCACCGCGGGTCGTGGTCTTCGGGTGTAGGTACTAACATACGCTACGACTGCGTCGATCAGCGGACTCAGTCTGTTTCCAGATCATCCCGAAAAGGGCGAGAAAGAAGACAACATGAGACCGCCCCCGGGCACCAGGTCGCAGCGAGCAGAAGTTGTACAACGACCATCGTCCCCGACTGCACCACATCAACGAGAATGGACAATTTTCTGAACCTTTTGCCCGATGAGCAAAAGCAGTTGGGGTCCCTGGTCATCATCGGCCTCTACCTCGGTTTGCACGAGAAGCTCTTGCTGGAGATATTGTCGCACCCCCAGTTTGAGCAGGTGAACAAGCCCTGTCCGAATACCGGAGGCACCTGTCTGCACATCGCGGCTGCCTTGGACCAAAAGAAAGTTGCCTACGCCATTCTCGTATGCATTGCAAAAGTATCGTACTCGTAGTAATCGCAAACATGCATTTACAAATCTTGCTCTTAAGGTAAAACTGCATTACAAATTTTATTTCTCATGCTGAGGAAATTTGTAATGCATCTATACGAGTGCGATAGATACTTTTGCACAGGATATCTCGAACGCTACGACTTCTTCGCGCTTCACCTCCGGGACCGCCGGGGGATGACAGCTCTGCAGGTGTGTCGCAACACCGCAACGGGCGCAAAAATTCGGCGGGCCATTTTGTGCCATCCTGGGTGGGCGGAGCGAGGAACTGAAGACCACTCGCGGCTGCGGGCTCCTGAACAAGGTGCTCCGCGTTTCGGATCGTTACCTCCGCGAAAACAAAAGGCGACAGAGGCTGTGCATGCTATCGCCGCAGGACGTAGCGCCGCCGTCGAAGAACCGCGAAAGTCGTCGTATCGTGGGCGAGGGCGTTGCCACGCAGGAGAAGATGAGCGAGGAGGCACGAGGACCTCTCATGTCAGGAATAACGCCAACGCGCACAAAAAAATTGCACTCGATAGGCATAATTCAAAGGCACATGGAAGTGAAACAGCAGCGCGACAGAGCGGTACCGGAACAATTCGACGAGCGAACGCGCCTGACGAACCGAAAACGAGGATTGCCAATTCGTCAGCAGGTGCGAATAATGCACCGTGGCAGGAAAGAAAACGCCATGGAAGTAAAAAAGCAAGGGCCGCAGTTACTCGAAAACGCCGAGATCATGAGAAGCTGCGACCAGGAGAACCGCGAAGAGCTTCCTCGAAGACGCGTCCGCGTGGTCATGGCGTCGCACGACTAAAACCAGAAGACGCCTGTAAAAATGGAGTCCTCCTTGCCGCCGACCCTTTTGCGAACCGGCGCATCCAGATGCTGGAGAACGCGAATGACGAGGCTTTGCTCTGCGCTCTCGAGCACGGATTCTTCACCGAAGAAAACCTTTTTTCTCCGCCAGGCCTACAAAAAAACGGAAGTCGGGCGGGCGGCATCAAAGCAGCGAAGTCCCTAGAGGACGGGGCGGCCACCGATGATATTTCCACGTCGCCGTCGTCTTGGAAGTCTGTCGCGTCCGACCCGTTCTTGCCTCGTACAGGAGCCTACGATGAGCAAATAAACGCCAAGATGGACCTGTTGGAAAGAAACGAGGAACGATATCGGAATTATGCTCTTGATGGGCACCTCTATAGGGAAACGCACACCGTACCCATATCGGGGGCGCACGAAGATGACGGTCTACAACTTCTCACAGCCAATACAAGAAGGCAGGCACAGGATGCCTATGCCCTCTCTTGTGGCGTTGCTAACGAGCGCTTTTCCGCCTTCGTCTTTTCGACGGCGCCGTCGAGAATCGAGTCCTGCTGTTCGCCGCCGGCAGGGAACGCATGTCCAGGAGAGTCCCTGTTTCCCAGCTCCCTGCCCAGCGAAATCCCCCGCTGTGGAAGCGAGTCGCACTTCCGCGGGCAAACGTTCGAAGAGCTGGAACTACCGTTGCGAGAAGCGGCAGGAGTAGGGATGACGAGCCGTTCTTTGGTACAACAGCCTTCTACTGCCAAGGTGAAGATAATTAGCGGGCAAGGAGAACGTCATATGCAGAGCAAACGACGAGGATCATCAACGTCGGAGTTGTCTCTGTCACCAAGAGCAAGAGAAAAATCATTTTACAATAAACTTGCCCAGAAAAAGTCGCCCACCGAGCTGTGTGCCGAAGTGAAAAGGAAGCCGTCTTCACCGGAGCTCGAAGAAAATGAAAACCGCCACAGGAGCATCAGCCGCAGTCGCCTTTCCTCCTTGAACCGTTGTAGCGATCAACACGTCGATTCCTTTGTCGAAGATGCAGTGCAGAAAAAAGTTGATGAAGCTCCGAATAAACGTCGTCTGGCTTCGAAAGGAAAAAGTTTATCATCTTCGCTCAGTCAAAAAGACAAGGACAACGAGAACGAGGTTCGCTCTGGGAACAACACGAATAGCGTCGCACCAGCAGCAGCAGACCCTGACCCGCACGCAGACAGCAAAAAACTACTGAAGCCCTGTTGTACTAGAAACGCTTCCGAACAACCCGAACGGGTTCGCAAATCGCGGCCTGGCACTACCGGGACGGCCAGCGCTTCATCAGCTTCAAATAGTCCAGCTCCGGGTGACGACGCAGCTCTCCGACGAAAGGATCATCTGCGAGAAGCAGACATCGGAGGAAAAAAAAGCGAGGATGATAGAGACTCCGTTTCTCCGAGTTCGACGCCCGCGACCCTTTTGGTAATGACGGACGAGAAACCCCGCCGTTCCAGTATAACCCGCTCAGACGTTACAATCTCAAACGTTACAATAGAATCTGACTCTGAGATTTGTCTTGCATGATGAGCATGACAGACTCGCACAGCGTTCCACTTTCTGCAATACAGATTTCGCCAGATTGTAGTGGGGTTCGGGGCCGCTCCGGAACTTGTCATGCGCAATCCCATGAGAGTTGGCTAGATCATGCACTCTTGCATCACAGATTTCCATATTCTATTGTAACGTTTGAGATTGTAACACCTGAGCGGGTTATATCCAGCTGCCGGCGGCTCCTTGACTCTGAGCGCCCTGGCAACGATCTCTTGGAACCGCGGCCGGAAAAACTGCATCGATCTGTGGTGCTGTTTCCCAGCAGTCAAGACACGAGGAGAAAGACGATTACCGACGGTGGCGGCCGAGACGGTGGTCTTCGGATAGAAACGGACAAGGCCGTTGCGGGTGAAGATGTAGTTGAAAAGCCACCCACCAGCGATGATCGCACGGGAACCGGAGCGGAAGAGGTGGAAAGTGTCGTGCTACCTCGGCGAGCAGCAGTACAGAATGTAATAAAGGACGAAGAAAGGCAAAGCATTGTCGTTGATGTTCTTGACGATGATGTACCAATCGCACGAAGTCGCGATGAATTACGAAGCTTTGCGTCTCCAGCGGAGCAGAGAGAACAAGGCCTTGCGCTGCTTGCAGCACGAGGACTCCCGCTCCCCGGAAGCCGAGACACCGATCCAGATACGATGAGTCAGGTAAATGATGATCTTCATCGTCGTTGTGATCCCCAAGAACCATTCAGTTCTGAAGCCAGGCAGGCCAACGAATCCGAAAAGAAGGCCCGTGCCCGAGCGGACCTCCACGACGTGGGCGGGAGCAGGCAGCAACAGATCATAGAGCACCCCGTGCTGTCCCGGGACGACGTCGACGACTATTTTTGCGCCAGCTTTTTGGAAAAGCAAAAGACGAATGACTGCGCTGAGCAATACTCCGTCGTGGCCGAGTTTCTCTCCCGGGAGCATGCCGTGGCACAGAAAGAATCTGTACCTTCGTCTGGCGTCGGGGTACCTTCGTGTGACGACAAAGAGAAGAAAAAGTCTTCGGCAACTACAGAAATAAGAGCGCCGCCGGTGCCAGAACTCCCACCAAGAAATGTCAACGATGATGGAGTCCACGAACAATGGACAGAACGACTCGAACAAGAAATTTCAGAACGGTCGCAGCTTCATCCACCGCACCGCCCACGACAGGGGCAATTTGTTGACGAAGTCTTAACTGGAATCAACAAAACCGAAGCTGGTGCGCAAGCAGTCAGACGAGGAACAGGAATATTACCAGATCTCCTATCTTCCGAAAAAATACCGAAATATGACTCCGACCATCAGTGTCAGCCGGAAGCGGAACAGGTGCAGGTGCAGCAGGGCGCTGACCTAGTTTCAACATTGAAAATAACTGAAACTGAGAAAACCTCCACAGACCCTTTTCTAACTAAACGTAAACAGGAGAAGCCGCTAGCAGACGATTTCGCGTTCCTTTCTACCCTGCATTCTCCTTGCGCGCGTCGTCGCCGCTCTGTTTCATCATCGGACACCTTCTCATCGACCTGGATCCGCGAAGTTTTCGAGCCAGAACTGTACGCACTACCTATGTAATTGCAAAAGTTAAAGTGTCGACGCGCTAGTACGAATCGGAATCGCATTTTTGCAGGTACAAGAAAAACAAAATACGACTTGTGAAGATTGCCATCCAGATTAGGTAAGATTTGACAGCGATTAGTACGATCGCGGGGCAGCTTTTGCACAGGATAGTGCGAGGAGAGTTCCAACTCGAAAGCGATACTGCCATGTCTACACAAGAAGACCCGACGACACAAAACTCGAAGATGTCGCAGCTGAGAGGTCGGAACTACAGGAACGCGACAAATTACAGCAAAGAAGTTGTGGAGATTTTCGACGAAGATGGATCGGACGAATCTTCGGAGGCCTGCTGGTGGGCATCCGAAGATGATTCTTCGCCGAAAATGCGTCGTGAACGCAGCAGCGGCAGCAGCAGTGGGTCTTCAGAAAATCAAAAGGCTCGGCATGTCCTCGCCCACGGGCCTGACCAAGATGATCACGATGGCAACAGTGGCAATTTCGCCGCGTCTTGCCGAGAAGCAGCACGGGAGCTGACAGATTCTGATTCTGTCGTAGATGATGACTGCTTCGCTCTACTTCCCAGCGACGAAGTCGACGCAAAAAGGAGGGGGCATCATCAGCTTGATGATCTTGAGGCGTGTTCTGGCGAGGCTGGTAGGCTTCCCAATATCAGGTTGGATTTTGATTCCATCGCGCCGGAGCACCGCAAAAAGTTTTTTTCTGACGCGTGGAAAGAGCTCCACGACATTTTTCAGGAGGCCACGGCAGATATGTCAGGATGACTTATCGTCATGATGTACGTCACTTGAATGGTTGATCACTACGGATATTTGCGAACAAAACTGTACAGGACAACTGCAAGCCGCTTAGCCTCATTGATGTGTCTGTCGTGCTGCTGCATACTATGACGCCTCGGTCCTTGCCCAGAGGTAGAGGAGATTTCGATTTACAGTTCTTTCAGGCAGTACCAATGCAGATAGAGGCTGTTGAAGAAGATCAAGATTCTGATTTCGTCTGGTCGTTCCTAAGGCGTCAATTTACTCTGGCGTTGGTCAGCTGCAGAAGAAACCTCGAGTTGGAATTTCGCCAAGAGTGGCACTACACCTTATTCGTTTCCATTTCGTTTACCGTCTGTTTTTCATTTAAAATGTCCCTTTTTTTCAAACACCCTCGGTATCCACGCATCGTTGTCTTCGAAGCTGCAGCCACAAGAAATGTTGAACACATTGCGTACGAAGTTGAAGACATAACTCCGTTTATTTTTTTTTGTGATCGGTCGAGGCTCGGTTAGCTGCGTGAAATTTTTACCACTGATCTAGACAGCTCTCGGTTTCTTTTGTCGCCGGCTCTTGTGAACGTTCTTGCTGTTTTTTTTTTTGCAGAGAGGCGGGCGGCCTGACATTCGACTTTTTGTTTTGCTTCCTCGAAGCGAGGACCCATAGTACCTTGTGACTAAGCTGCTGGCTCATCTCTTTGTTTTTTTTTTTGCGCTCCTGCTGGGGCTCTTGACTACCATTTTTCTTCTTTGCGGACCCGGAAATAAGAAATTGACGCAACCGTTTTTGTCGTACTCACCACCGGCAGGCTACGCTCGTGATTCGGTCGTGATCCTGAGTTTTATCGTATACAAAATTTCAGCCTGGTGCTCAAAATTGGAGTTTGTTTTTACAGAAGGAACGAGAATCAATGAAAAAATGTCAGTTTTTTCTAGATGTATTTGTGCATCAGCATTTCCGCATTAGTAGATAGGGAAGCCTTGTGACGGTGACGGCCTCTGCTTTCTACGTCACTACTTCCGGATAGTTGTGCCGCTCCTGTGCCTTTAGTCTCTGTTGCCCGTTCTTCTCGAGCGAGCTCTGAAGATCTCGCTTGACAGTTTTATTTCTTTTTTGCGCCATCTTCCCTACTTGAACTTGCCTTCCCACTTTCGCGTACTTAAACTTATTTGACGCCGACTTTACTCCTGCATTTTGTACATCAAAATAAGAAGAACAAGATGGAGATCACAATTCTTGATGGGGACGGCCTTCCGGCAGGGTCCATTCTATCGATAAAGTCGGGAACCGTGCATTGCCAGGCCGCTTTGGAATTGAACAAACCCATCTATGTGCCGTGTACAAACAGGAGAGATCTCTCCATCGGGCTGCTGAAGGAGATCTGCCGCAGTAAACTCGAGCCCGCGAAAACAAATGGTGTCAGCGGCGCGGCAGGAACAAATAAAGACGTACGTCGTAACTTCTACTTCTAGGTCGATCTATTTGCAAGTGTAATAGTAATTGATGGAACTATCATCTACATGAACTTTCCTCTGCAGATTTGCTAGTACACAGTGAGTGCTGTTCATGTTTCGCTGAAGTACCCGATCATCATGCTGTGCCCGTGCTAGAAACGAAATTAAAACTCTTCTTTCCGCTGATTACAAAAATCAGGATACCCCCGATCCGCACGTGCACCGGGTCGAGTTCAAGGACCAGGAGAGCGGTAAACTTCTCAGCCACATGCGCATTCGGGTCGGCCCGAGCACCACCTCCTCCTCTAACTCCCCGTCGAAAAAGCACGGCCACGCCTTGTCGGCCTGCAAGTACCTGGAGGAGCATGACATCGCCGGCGTTGTGCGAAATCTGGTAGCCGGCGTACTCAAGGCCCGGCCCGAGGAGCCGCTGGCCTGGCTGGCGAAAGAGCTACAAGATTTGAACAATACTAGTAACGACGAGCAGGGCAGGAAAAGTGGCCACGGAGGAAAAGCAGCAGCGGCTCCTGCAAATGGCGACGGAAATGAAGAAACTGCTAGCGGTGCTACAGCATCGGCTGCAGCAGCAGGAGGTGCATCTTCCACTTCGCAGCTCCCGGCAGACGCAGAGGACCTCCGACAAGGTGCTACTAATTCATCTTCTTCTAGTGCAACTGCACAGGCAGCTGCAACGTCCAACCAGGTGCATGATGCGGAAGACATCACGGGGACCACGAAGATCATCGCCGATGCCACAAACACCTCAACCTCCGCTTCTAGTTCCACAGGCGCACAAAACAACAAAAAGCAGCGGGTGCAGAGCGCGAAATCGTTCGGCGTCGGGAAGTGCGACCTGACGGCCAAGATTGAAGAAATTGAGCGGCAGGAAAAAAACTCGCATAGAACCAGCGGAGGAGGCGACTCTGGTAATATCGGCAACAGCGAAAATGAAGATCTCGAAGAGGGCGACTTCCTGAGGGCCTCCTACGTCTTCCGCCACGTCCCAAAAAGTACTTTTGACCGCCACGTACGCCCCAAATTCCAGAAGATGGAATTCCGACCCGGACACGTCTTCGTATGCTAGCGGAAAATCAATTTTGATATTGGATGTCTACTAGTACAGCGATGTGCCCTTTACTTTCTACGAGAAAGCTGGTACTCATATCCTGAGAAGATGGCTACACACATAGAGTTACTTCAAGATCGAAGATCATAGTATGAAAATGAAAAAAGTTGATTTGCCTTTCATACCATTGGGAAGAAGGGGACTCGGTGACATCTGACGAAAACATGTACGTAGTGGAGAAAGGAAGGGTGCAGGTACGTATTGAGTAAAGTGTTTACATCTGTCTAGGTTAACGTGTTTAATATTACTTTTGAGTTTGAGGCTACAGTACCTTTTTCTTTTACGAAGACCGCATTTGATCTGGTTTTACCATTCTCTCTATTTTTCGCATTTTTGGACCATGTCCCCCCAGGTTCGTCGCGACGGCCTTCTGGTGAACGTGGTAAAGGCAGGCGGTTTTTTTGGGGAGCGCGCCCTCCTGTGCGACATGCCGCGGCAGGCCCGGTGCGAGACCGTGGGGCTGCAGGCGACGACCGTGTGGGCCCTGGATCGTGACACGTTCGAGGATTACGTGAAAAACGATCCGGCGATCAACAAAAACCACTCCCAGGAGCTGTTTCCCGCGTACCGGGACAGTCCCGTCCAAGACGCGGACGAGATGCAGGAACTGCTCACCAACGACGAGCGGTACAAGAGCTGCGGAGGCCTGGACATCCCGAAGGAGAAGCAGACGCTGTTCGTGATGCTGTCCAAGCTGTGGGTGTTCCGGCATTTGACGGGCACGGAGATGCAGGCCGTGCTGAACGCGTTCCAGTTTCAACTTGTGGACGCCTACATGCCCATGCTGTACCGCGGAAAGGACAATCCCATCTACCCCAAGCAGCAACCGAAAACCAACAAGGTCGTCTGGTTTGAGGAGGGCGAACCGGTCTCGGACAACGAGCACCTCTATGTCATCGAAACGGGGACCGTCGAGGTCTTCCAAAACCAACGCCGCATCAACGTCCTGCGCTCCGGCGACATTTTGGGGGAATTAGGTACTAATATCGTTTGTTCAACATGACATTCAACTTTTGCTGTCTCGGCTACAACGAGCAGCACGAAGACAAAAGCGAAAGCTGCGAACCCCGCTTTTTCTAAGGCGGCCCGTGAAGATTTTCGCGTCGCGCAGAGCCAGAGTCGCAGTCGCGCTTTAGAAAAATAAAGCGTAAGGGCGAATCAATGCCGTAGTTCTGCTTGTACACGTGATGAATGAATGTAGCTCTAGCAACTTCCTTGGATTGTTCACCGCGTTCTCCGCTGGTCCTTCTTTTCTTTTGTTCAGAATAAGAACTAAAATGGGATTCGTCATGACGACGATAAATATCAGGTATGGTTTTCGATCTGCCCCGGCAGTGCACTTGCGTAGTGCAGGAACCTACGGCGAAGTTTTGGTCCCTGAAGCGCGAAGATTTCGACACGCTTATACGCGGCAACGACAAGTTTTCGCAGGGCGAACACTCCAGCACCTTTTTCCGCATGTACCCCGCACCGCGTCCCAGCAGAACCGGCGGGTCAGGTATTGATTAGTAAGTTTTTGTGATGGTAGCACGACGATATCCTTGCTTCTTTTTTCTCTGTGCGCGCAATCATCGTATGAAAATGTATGTTCTTGGATTTTAAGTAGTCCAATGTATCATGACTCATCGATCTACTTTCTTGATCTTCGAGAAATCGATATAGTGGCTTGTCTTGCATATGGATGCGCTAACCAAGACTGCTTCGCTATGGACCGCAAGCACTCGCAGCCGTGTGATGCATGCTTATGTACAAAAATATTGCAGCCGATTTGTTGTATGGCAACGACGACACCAGTGAGGACGATGCCTTTGCCGCCGCGGGGAAAAGCATACTATCAAACTCAAAACTGCCCCCAGGCCTCCGTAGTGGAAAAAGGTGCATTGATCGTAAAAATGCAAAAAAAATCGATTACGCCGCCGCGTAAATCGAAAAAACAAAACGAGGAACCGGCGGTGGTCGACTACCTGTCGTGTAGATTATTGTGCCTGGAAACATCTGAGCTTGAGTTTTCTTTATAGGAACAAGTCAAAGATGATGAGCGTTGTAAATTGCTCGTGCTCGTCTAGACTGGCTTTACAGCTTGGGCCCCTGTTAAATAAGCGGCCGCGTAAGCTCTTTGTAATTGGTGCGTATTTCGCGTCTCGGATAATTTCACGAACAGTGCAGTGCACACCCTGAAACTTTCCCCAGGGTCGCAATATTTGGCAGCTTTCGCGCCCGCCGGTCGCAAGAACAAAAGCGGGCCAGCGATCCATCGTGGGTTGGCGCAGCTTTTGTGGCAGCGCCTTT